ATTTTTGACATGAACGCTGAATGAAAGGGCCTGCCGATCTCGGTTAATCGGTCTAATCGTTTCGTAGGCCGCTCTTTTGTGCTTGATGCCGTGTCAGAATGCACTCTTTGCTGCCTCTCTGATCCGCCCTTCGACCCCACCAACAAGAAATCGAATCTCGCACGGTAGCTGAGTAGTGGCACCACAATAGGAAACTGGGTGGTCGTACTGTGTATCTGATGCTGATGGTCATTGTTAAAATGAGTGGATACTACTGCACCAAGTAGCGCAGGTGTGAGGGTTTTCTCTAGATCGAGGCGGTGAACCTAGCAATTGGGGCCGGTGGCCAGTCTTCCCTCAACCCTCTCCCTCTCCGACCTCCTGCTCCAGTGGCGGATTGTCCTGTACGTACTCTGTACCATAGCACTGCGGCTATAGGATAGTAATACACTTGCTACGGTGTATGTGTACCATAGTAGCAACAACACTGAAGGAAGAGGGGGCAGTGAAGAGGTGGTGTGGCAGAAGTCGATTATCGTTCGTCGGAGTACCGAACTTGCTGAGGTTGGGTGTGTTGGATTGCATGGTTGCATGGTTTGTTCGCCTAGTTCATCACGCATGCTGTGTGCATGCAAGTCAAATTGCGGTCCCACTGATTCCACAGAAAGCTTGTTGAGGACAGCAGGAGCCACAGACCAGGGGGGTGGTGCTCACGCTTCCGAAAATAGCAACAGCGGAATATTGCTGTCCACCGTGATTATCACCCACTTTGAGCTACTTGAGCTACTTATGTACTAATATGGTACATGCTAAGCAGATAGTACGTAATTAGCGGCACTCCAGTGCTCCACGGTACCACAACAATCATATACTACATGTTATTACAAGTACAGCAAGGCAATATGGTACCTGGGTAGATACATGGTAATATACGATCAGGGTCAGATCGGGCCCCCTCCGAGTCAGGAAGGTTGAATCGCTGGACCGTGCTGACCTCTTTTTGGTCCTGCCCATGGAGGCTTCCCGTCTTCCCCTGACCCTTGACCTTGCCTGTCCTTGACCTTGAACTTGATTGACTGATTTGTCTCTCGACCTCGACCTCGATCGTGCTGTCATCTTGTCCCATTGTTACCTTGTAACCTTGTAACCTTGTTGCCCTGTCTGCCTGGGAGCCTTGTCCATGTTCAATGAGCAGGCCTTGAATGACGGCGAGAGGTCCACGCCAGGGCACCCTCCCATTCCCATTCCCATCTTATCCTATTCAATACGACACTATGACCCTCCCTCATTTTCCCCTTCAGCTGTTCCATCACTTGGCTCAAGCCTCGTGGCACATAACTAACGGCTCAGGTAGGCCGACAGCTCAAACAGGTCTCGGCTGACAAGCACCTTATAAGCGACAGGAACCAGTCGACCAGTCAACAGTAACCAAATCCCATAGCCGAAATTGCATTTGATGCTGGTTGCCTCGGTCCCCCCTCTACCACCCCATCTCCCTTCCCGCGTCGAGGTGCCCACTGGCCACGCGACCAACTACGGTTCGTGTCTCTGTCTCGCAAGGGCCCTTCCAGGTCGGCATCAATCCTCCCATCTGTTGAGTGATCCTTTTGGCCACTTTCAGACTTGGTAACCTGCCTGGGCAGAAGCTGAATACCAGATTCGTTCTTGCGAGCGATCTTCTCTTCCTAAAGCAGCCGGAGAATGCCTCTTTGAACATGATCGAGGAACAGCAGATCAAAAGGGCAGAGTGTCTGGGATGGGGCGCAGCAACGTGTTGCGATCTCAAGTTGTTGAGAGAACAAGAGGCCAGGCGGTTCGAGACCACACACTGAACTGGTCCTTCGCATCTCAACACACCCTCCTCATCTAGACTCATGCATCAATGCTATCTGTGATGTGGCGCTCATAGCCTTTCTTTCCTTCCCCCCTTTGCGTCGCGGGGACCCCTTACCCAGCTTCCGCCTGAGCGCCCCACGTGCTTACCATCCTCCTCGTCCTGATCCTTCCCAACCTCCCCACCCCCCTTTTGCCCCTCTCTCTCACTCCCTTCGATGCAGGAAGGCCTGCTGCCCAGAGATTTCCCTTCAACATGCAAGTCATTGTCTTATCTGTACGTCTCACTGCTCGTGGGAGCCTGTTGTGCAGGGGGCGTGGCTTGCAAGGCGAGCCTTAGCCCAACTCGGCCTCAACATTCACGGGGTCAGCTCCTCTCAAGAGCGTCGACCACCTCTCAAGCGGAGGGAGAGGGGCGAGCTGTGCAGCCGGGCTGGCATGGGTCTTCTCTGATGGCCTGTCTCGCCACGTCTTGACGTGCTCACATGACAAAATTCTTGTGATGCTTCCGGTATGGTTATTATTAAGTTGGCCAGAGGCCGAAGGGCCTATGCTGGATACATCCAGAGCGCGTGGCGCTGTGCGGTACAAGTGATATTGAGACCATGGCGGTCACCGGGCCGGCAGATTGATCTAGAGGATGGACGTCTGGCTTTGGTACCTGATCAGTATCAGGATTCGAAACCCTGGACTCCTCGTAAGGCTGCCAGCATCCTCACATAGCGCCACGACATCACCGCTTCTTGCGCAGACTCCCTCGGGAAGGAGCCCCAACAGCGGGGGCTTATCTACACAAGAGTCCGGCCCAAAACTCATGCACGCTTCATCCACACACGCTCGCCATGTGCCATGTGCCATGTGCCATGTGCCATGTGCCTTGTCTCGTCCCCTTCCTGCAGCCGCTCCCAGAACAAGAAGCAGAGGGGGGAGGGGAGGGAGGCCACCGTGTTTGAAGACCACCTGCATAGCTGGTAAAAGGTTCTCAAGCACCTCTCAAGTCATACTTTGTTTGCCTGCTGGGACTGTAGAGGTAATTCATCAGCCAACATTCGGCACCCTCACTGCCAACTTCAGTAGTATCTGCACTGTGCATATCGCCACCAACAAAGATCAAGGGGGGGTTAAAGGACTCATCCGGGGGACTGCATCGGCAGAAGATGACGCCTCGCCTATTATTACTTTCATGTTCATGTCCCTGCCTTCACCTCGACTTTCACAGAGTCTCTCCACTTGTTTACATGTTTTGCTTCACCTGCAGACCTGCTACTGTTACACAACATAATCAACACACCCTCTCTCGGTAGAGGAGGCCTCGAGACCCATTCTGGAGACCTTTCACTGATTAGACTTAGACGTACATCCGAGCTTTTAGGTCCGATGGCCGGGCCACCAGGCGCGTGGGACTAGACCTCGTGTCTCAGCCCTTGCAGACATAGAAAGTGTGGGGGAAACAACAAGCCACAGTACGAGAAATTCTGAGAATACGTCTTACTGGCATACAGTCCCATGTCATGTGCAAGGAGCACACGAGAAAAATGAAAATGTTTCTCTCTTCTTGATCAAGAGGCGAGCAAAGCAGGTGTCAACAAACGAGAATTCAATCGCAAGAGCCTTTCAGCCCCCAAACACATCTCCTCGCCAACGCCAGGACGCCGTGCCAGGATTGAGACAGGAAGAGCATCAAAATGAGCAGCGCCGCCGGGTTTATTTCTCAAGAAAGGACGGACTCGCCTCCCTAAGCGTCTCAGGGCGATGCGGCCGATACTCGACCCCTCACGGTTTCCTCGCTCACTCACCGAGCCTATACATATGCCGTGCCCAAAGGCAACAGGGCGCTGTATCGACAGACTGTCGCTTTAGCGCCTGCCCCTGTCTCCTAGGTGTTGGATCGGCCCCCGAAAAACGTATTCATGCTCTTCATATTATTTATTGCTCTACTTAATCCTTTGCTCTTAATGTCTCTCTCTCGTCCCTCGTCAAGTATTGTCGGTCTCGTCCAAGCTGATTCCGTGCCGTGGTATCGTCATCTCATACGTAATATCCTCACCGCGTTGCTAGGAGCAGGCTCCTGAAGCTGGAGGATGACGGTTGCCAGCGGATCGGGCTCGACTCCTTGCAAGAGAGGATCCTGACTTCTGTGCACCCTGAGTCTTGGGCAGGGCAGGAACGAGGTCAAGCCTGGGGGAGTATCTTTTGTTGAGTCTAAGAATGAGTGCTGATGAAAGACGAGGTCGTCTGCTACGGCCTCTGCAGGGGCTCATTTTGTGATTTTACCTGTTGAAGCTGGCCGCTGCCAATCGCCCATGAGCACGTTCGTGCTCGTCGTAGATGCCCAGACTGGTACCCCGGGCCGTCGCCAGACGCTCTAAAGAAGACGACAGTGGTAACACACTGCCGCATTAATTTTAGAAACATACCCGCAAATTTTTGCATGAGCTCTTGAGAACTTGAAGAATTTGAATGATAAGAACTTAGCCGTGGATTGTCAAAAGAAAATTAGGTCGCAATCCTTTCGCTGTGCAAGACTCACATCATTTGGGTGTCAAAATGAAGAGGATGGGCAGGGCAGCAGCTTCGAACTGGGAGATAGGTAGTGTAAATGTGTGGGCATGGCACGATAGTCCAAAGTGATCAAACACAAGGAAGGCGTCTGAAGGCCGTGAGGCCCCTCATTGCAAAACAGTTTTGCGCCGAGGCCGAATCATCGCTGAGAATCCAAACGAACCGGTCAGTCTCAGCATCTCGTTGGTCTGGAATAGAATAGCTGGCGGTTTGAACATGCAAAACACTTTTTGTCTCCCCCCACCCCTGGCCCCCAACCCCATGGCTCATGGCGTGCGTATATATTATTTACAAATACCAGTTGCAATGTTGTAGATATTCTCAGAACCCCTCGCCCCCGTATGAACACACACACACACACACAGGGAGCGTCTGATCTTCGGCCATCAAGCGGCAGATCCATCCATGTTGCGCACATGCCATACTTGATGCACCCATTTTCCACGAACGCGTCGAGTGACCACATCTCTGGTCAACATACATTCGTTGGCTTTCCTACCCACTGGAGGATATCTCCCGCTGACCATTCCTATATGGCCTCGCGCCGGGAACAACTTTTGCCGCAAGAAGTGAAAACGCCGTTGTGAACCTTCATGATTTTGCTTTTTGAATCAATAGCAATTGCCTCAGTTACCGTGCAGACCCTTCGTTCTCTCGCGCATGGTTTCTCTTCGCTGCTTGTCCTTTTCTGTAATTCACATGTGTTAGTAGCTGTTCACTCAGTTCACATCGAGAGACCTTTTGGGTTGTTTAACACTCACCAGCATCCCATGTGATGAACTCGTGCAGAGCATGGCCCGCTGGCACCATAGGCAGGACCGGGACCTTCTTGTCGGTCATGACCTCCAGCAGAGCCGGGCCGTCCGAGTTGATCAGCCACTTCAGGGCATCAACGACCTCCTCAGGCTTCGACACACGTTTGGACTGGATACCCATGGCGTCTGACAGCTTCTGGAAGTCGGGGTTCGTCTGGTGCGTATGGCTGTAGCGGTCCTGGTAGAACAGGTTCTGCCACTGCGTCACCATGCCCTGCTCCTCGTTGTTCAGGACGATCACCTTGATGCCGATGTTGAACTGTGCGGCTGTGCCGAGCTCGGTCAGCGTCATGCACATGGACGCATCGCCGTCGATGTCAATGACCAGAGAGTCAGGCTTAGCGACCTTGGCACCGATGGCGGCGGGCAGACCGAAGCCCATGGTACCCAGACCACCGGAGGTGATCATGGTGCGAGGATGCCTCCAGCGGAAGTGCTGTGCCGTCCACATCTGGTGCTGGCCCACACCCGTGGTGATGTAGGTGTCGTTCTTGCGGTCTTTGCACAGGTCAGACAGCTGCTCGATCATCTCCTGCGGCTTGATCCTTCCAGAGTCTCCAGCGCGCTCAAAAGCGTTGAGGGGCCACTTCGCCTTCCAGTCATTGATCGTGTCGAACCACTCCTTGCGGTCCGCCATCGACTTGGTGTTGACCAGGGGCAGCAGGTGCTTCAGATTGGTGCTGACATCGCCCTCGACGGCCTCGGTAGCCTGGACGACCTTGTTGATGTTCTTCGGCATGATCTCAAACTGAACGATACCACCACGGCCCTCTGCTGCCGCAGCCTTGGCCGCCGGCGCAAAACCTCCAACGCGAAGGGTCACACGGTCGTCAAATCGCCCGCCCAGAGCAATAATCAGGTCCGCCTCCTGCATAGCCATGTTGGCGTACGCCGAGCCGTGCATTCCGAGCATGTGCAGAGACTTCTCATCCAGCTCGTCGAAAGCGCCCAGGCCCTGCAGGGTGGTCGTCACAGGGATCGAGCACTTGTCAGCCAGAGCTCTCAGCAGCGCGGGTCCATCCTCCGAGCAAATGACCCCATTTCCAGCGTAGATAACAGGCTTCTTAGCGATGTTGATCAAGCTAGCCACACGGTTGATTGAGTCGTGCAGCTGCTTCTTGGTCAGCTCTGCCATGGCGCGAGAGGCAGCGCTTGGCAGTCCTGGCAAGGCAGACACAGTTGGGATGGCTTTTCTCAGAACACCAGCAGTGATGTCCTTTGGCAGATCCACAAGGACAGGTCCCGGTCTTCCACTGGTAGCGATCTCGAATGCCTCGTTGATCCTTCTGGGCAGCTCAGCAACGCTCTTGACCATGACGTTCCACTTGGTGCAGGCTCTCGAGATACCAATCACATCTGCCTCTTGGAAGGCATCGCTGCCGATGGCGCTCGTGACGACCTGACCGGTGAAAACAACCAGGGGGATGCCATCGGACATGGCATCGGCAATAGGTGTTATAACGTTGGTGGCGCCGGGGCCGGAGGTGACCAGGACAACACCAGGCTTGCCAGAGGCACGGGCATAACCTTCGGCCATGTGTCCAGCTCCCTGCTCATGCCTAGGTAGGACGAAATCGAAATGGGGGGAATTGTAGATGGCATCGAAGACGGGCAGGATAGCGCCACCAGGGTAACCGACTATAAGACTGGATGTGAGTCACAGAAAACATTTCCAAGAAGCAGCACACATAGGGCCTTCGGTGCGCTCAACGTACAAATGTGCTTCACATCATGCCTCAGCATCATCTCGTGGAAAATCTCGCCTCCAGTTTTGCCAATGAACCTATTATAGGACTGTCAATTATATGATTTCACATGTCGTCCGAGGACGGTGGAATCTGCGGACGAATACGTACGATTCGTCCATGTCGGTCGAGCGGTGGGCCAAAGGTTGGACATGTTGTCTAGGCTCAGCTTGGAACGAGGGGCTGGGTTTTGCACGGACATCACTGTGACCCAATTGATTTGTTAGCAGAGGTCCAGTGTGCTGCAGTAGGTGGTGTCTTGACTGTTGAGTCACCGTGGGTAGGAAAAGGGGGGGACTGACGGCGCGGGGTGGGCTGTTGCTGCGGATTTTCTTGCCGTGGAGTGCACCTTTCTAGTTGTTGTGGTAGAGGTGGGAGCAGCAATATTTGAGGTCACAAAGGTCCGTCGAGGTTGGACCAGGGCCTTGACAGCCTTACTGGCCTGCTGACTGCCGGAACGAAGCATATTTTTGGTCGAATTTCGATGGTGTGAGAGTGGCGAGAATAGGGTATCACAAGTATAGAAGAAGAAAATAAGAGAGTAAAAGAGAGGAAGTCACCCCTTGCACAAACAGCTGCTGCACCTTTCTCCAGCGAAAGAGAGAGGAAGTGGCCGGTCTGCCTTTACGAGGAGTGGTGACGGCGACAACACTGAAGTTGTTGCAACAAATTTTGGTGTTATTTTAAGGAACGGGCAAGAGTGCGAGCGGTCCCGGTCCGACTGATTCTTGAAGAAGGGCGGTGGAACTGCTGTGCGGAATCTGAGTCAAGCTCCGAATCGGAGCCAATTGTGTGCCTCCTGTTTGGCAGAGCTTTGGTATTTCGGAGTGTGGGTTAAAAGCAGTGCAGGCGTCAACGGCACCCCAGAAAATTGCAGCTGTGGCGAACTCTGATCGGCTGCAGGGGACCGATCTAAGGGCCCATGACTCTGCAAATTCACTTAGCAGGCTTTTAGGTGACTCCAACCATTGCTCAGTTGGGCCGAGGCAAGGGAGAAATCGACTGGTCACGATAACACCAGAGACGAGAACCTACGGCAAGCGTCGACGTCGATGAAAAAGGCGATGCCACGATAAGCTGTGCCTCTTCTCTTATTTCCACCTGCAAACCATTTGTCTCCCCCATTGAACCATTGAGCGGCTCGAGCAAAATCCAACCCGCTGCAGCCCCTCCGCATACTGTTCAGCCCAAATACCGGGATTTCCTCCCCTCCAAGATGAACACCACCCACTATCCTCCTCAAACCCGCCTGTATGGTGAAGTCTTGTGCAACGCCAGTACATGCAGTTCAGCAAGTTGTCACAAAAAATAGCGTCGCCCATGCAAGTGCATTGACTGCGTCCATTGCAACCGAGTCGTTTCCCAAATGAGAGCTAGAGGACTTGTTGCTTTCCAAGTCTGCCTTGAAACACAGAGTGTCAAGGTGGATGCATTGCCACTATGGAGGTGCTCGCCCAAGGCCATCATGTCGGATATACTATATCCCTTTGAGAGGCCAGCAAAGTTTTCGGTGTTGTGTAGGCTTGACAGTCCCTGGCACCACACCCTTGCGATTGCAAATGGAAAGAGAAGGTCTGCTCATGATCGGCAGGGCCCCTCTCATTCAGGTTGGCATGCCGGCGATGACAGCGGATAAGAACATGATTCCATCCAGGGTCTCCTCCCCATTAGGAACTAGCAACCTGTCCCAGATTTAAAGTTTCGCGCATTGCAGCAAAGGGCAAGGCCGTGAGGCTCTATCTCGCCAATGATCGGCGCTCTTGGTCTCATCCGTCCAAGGTTTGCGCCTTATGCGATGTTCTATGGCCAGGGATTCCCTCCTGTCAGTGTTTCCGGGTATCCAAGTTATTCAGGGTCTTCTCACCATACTCAACCCCCGTTATACCACGGCAGCAAGCAACACGAGGTGCGAATGATTCAGGATTGTGAGTTGTCATGGGCAGAGCCTCCATGTCAGGAACCAACGCCGTGGTCCCTCCATCAGGTCAGGGTGCTACAAAACCTGGGTTGATGACGATCCATCCAAGCGAATTACAAAATCACAAGAAAAACTTGGATATAATTCTAGTTTCTCCTCTTCCTTTATGATCTGATCTTTGGTTGAGGACCCATATCGTGTCCTCATGGCCGAACTTTGTTCCTCTGTCAATCTTGTTGAGCAGTCCTCGACATCCCCCATTTCACTCTTTCTATACAAAACCTGGGAGTCTACGTTGTCGTCCTGTTTTGTTCGCTTAGTGGATTTCTACTACTATCCTCGGACTTCTTAATTCTTAAGTCTGGATACATCCCGAGATTTTTACTTTCTTCCTTTTCGTCTCTTGAACAGAAAGAATCCCCCTTTCCTGTCAAACACCCACCACCCACAAGTTGCTCCAGGTTCCAAGGTCTCGGGATGATGCGTTTGAGAAGAAGTTGCTGGTGGACTGATAAGACCCAGCCACAACACACTTCAACGTTGTCGAGTTTCCCGCTATTCCAGATGTCTTTATCCAAGATCGCTTTTAATCTTGTCCCTCAGATTCCGACAACGGATTGTGCACTGACCGCTGGATTACCCTATACCATTATCATGCTTGCTTGGGGGTGGGAAACCTTCACAACACAGACAAACCTTGGAGACACCTCTTTCCTAGAGGACGAGCATGCTGCCAGCAGCCGCACATCAAAGCGGATTCCTTTCTTGACTGCATCAAGAACTAGCAAATATCGCAAGCTAAGAAATGACAGTAGCTTCGGTCAGTGTTCTGAAAGGTTTGTATAAGAAACCCAGTCAAGAGAACCTTCAGACGCCAAATAATTGACAAGAATGAAATGCAAGCAGCTTTTGACGTGTCGACTTCCCAAATCATAGTGAAACTCGTGCCAGTCAACGGAACCACAAGAAGACTGTTCTGCAGACCGTATGTCAATGTGTCAAAAGAACGCAACACATCTATCGCTTTGGAGGTTCGGGCCAAGGTATAGGACAGGAAGAGAAGGATGAGAAAAGAAGAGAAGAACAAAAGGAAAGAAACCAGATCTGGTCATACACATCGGCTCTCCTATTGAAAATTCTGGGACGCGGTCTGACGAGATACGTGTCGCTTCGATCAGCAGCCAGCTGTACCCAAGAGGCTCTCGCTCAAAGCCAGAGCGTTTCCCATTGGCAACGACAACTTAACGTGCAGATGAGGTACAGAACGGAGACCGCGAAATGCAAAGCGGCGCTCTGTAAACATACTACGGACCAGTCGGACACAATGGACGTGCAATCAAGTTTTCGCGTTGAGCGGTGCTGGTCGAGGAACTACCAGTCTCGCCAGAATACATGCTGCAACACCAGGCGAACGAGCAGGCAGGAAACATCCACGAACACCCGCGGACACAGCGACGGAAATGCACGAATACGCTTCGAAAAGTCACAGCAGCCGACGTCCAGATCGGCGGTCACCCAAACGCCGGAGCCGGATGGAGGTGGTCCCATCCCGTCACTGTCGCGCTACATAAGCAAGGGAGGACAATACCTGCGCAGGAGGCCTTTTCCTACCGCAACGAACCCAAATAACGGTGGGCTAGATCGCACAAAGGAATCCCATCCTCCCGTTTCGTGTGGCCTTCGTGATCTCACAACGCGTCGCTCAGCGGACCACGCTCGGGCAGCACAAGTCCTTGTGCTGCGAGACACCCGAAGTCTAACGAGGAGGGTTGACACGGCATTGAGGCTAGAGAGAGCATGGGAGGACTGGACCTTGGACCTATGCGCACGACGCGAAGGTATCCTTATTCGTTTCGCCCATCCTCGCGAAGAGAGGGAACGGCTTTCGTGGCCTGCGAGGCGTAAATAGGTGTCTTGCAGATAAGAGGTGAGCGAGCCCTACATTGTCGAGATCTATATCTGCTCCGACTTGGGTAGAGTACCTAATACTCAACATCAAGTGTGAGGTTGCATGTGACGACTTATAGGACTAGCACCTCTTCTTTGCACAGCATAACCATGGGGTATCAAGACCACGCACTCCTCGAAATCGCCATGTTGTTCTGGAGATATCAGCAGTACATTACGATTTGAAACCTAATCATCTAAATCATCTAGAATCATCAAGCCTAACGCTAACCATCATCCTACAATCGCTTCATTTTGCGACATTTCGACAAAGGAAAAAGGTTGTTACAAGACATTGGGACCATCGTTGTGTTTTGGTGGGGAGCAGGTTCAAAGCCTCTGCAAAGGCCGACTTTGCCCACCACCAGTTCTCATCATTTCGTTTCCCAAAAATAACTAAGCAAAAATTGCCCACCAAACCGACAACTGAAACGCCTCTGACCGTTTAACAGAGAGAAAAAGAGGAGACCGAGAATTTCCGAGACCTTTTTTTTTTTTTTTTTTTTTTTTTTGGTTTTGGGTTTTTTGGTGGTTCATTAACCGTCACTGTTTACATCGTACTTCAGTCAGCACTCGGTATTAGCAGGAGGCCCCTTTGGAGGTTGATGCAGCGGTAATCGAGAGCTCAGCGTGCTCGACGACAAGATGCGATGCCGACGACTGTGACGACGACATGGCGAGTCTGGGGGCCCCTCTGATGGAAAGACAGGCATGGACAGAGATCAAGAGAAGAAAGGGGTCTAAATAACGGGGTTCGAAACTTACAGCAAAGCCAACTCCAGGTCACCATGAATCCTGGCCTTCAGCTCGATTTCGATCTCGAGGTTCAGGTCCAGCCTCAGCTTGAGGGGGTTCTTCTTCTCGCCGCCGCCACCCTGTTGCTGCTGCTGCATCATTTGTTGCTGTTGCATCATCTGCTGCTGCTGCCAGTATTGCTGCTGCTGCTGCTGGTAGTCGTCGTCATCCTCCTCCTCGTCCTCGTCGTACTGCGGCTGCTGGCGGCGGCGGGACTTGCGGCCCTTCTTCTTCTTGGGCGCGGCGACCTGCTGCTCCTGCTCGCGGGACGCCTGCTCGCCGCCCTGCTGCCAGTACGGCGTCTCCTCGTTGTCCTTGGGCGTCGCGGGCTGGTGCTCCTCAGAAGCAGGAGTCGATGCGTCCTCGCGCTGCATCTCTGGCTCTGGCTCTGGCTCGTGCTCGTTCTCGACGGCCTGGTCCTCATCCTGGTCCTCGTCCTGGTCCTCCTCCTCGTCCTCTTCCTCGTCTTCCTCCTCCCCGCCGAAGCCGTCGTCCTGCGGCTCCTCTTCTTCCTCGTCATCTACCTCCTCGTGGTTTGGCTCGTCATCGTCCTCGTCATTCTCGGAGTCAGCCTGGGCGTTGCGGTTTACCGACTCAGGCTCCGCATGTTGTTCCTGGTCCTGCTCGGCCGACGAGACGGTTCGGCTCGCCGCAGGCCTCTCTTCTGTTTCTTCTTCTTGTTCATGTGCCGCCTGCGAAGCCTGGCGATCAGGTTGTTCCGGTCGAGAGGCTGAGGGTTCCTCTGCCTGAGGGTTTCCTTGCTGCTGCTGCGAGTGCGGCTGTTAGCTTCACTGATGACCGTGGCCCAGGCTAACTAGCCCATGTGGAATCGTCACCCGAGGTGTTGATGTGTTCTATCTGGAACTTACAGAGGAAGACATGATCGTTTGTTCTTTTTTTTTTTTTTTTTTTTGGGTTATTATTTGCTTGTTGTTGCTGCTGTTGTTGCGTGGCTCAAAGTTGAGTTGACTATGTCTTCAGCTGTTGGTTGGCGTGGATATAATCGTGATGGGAAACTTTTCTTCAAGGGTCTGGAGGGGGAGCAAAGGTGCCCTTGCAGGTATGTCTATTGTTTAAATTGGATCAAGGAAAGCCTACAACAAGACCCTGCATCGGCGACACAAAGTTGGCAGATTGACGCAATGGCTTAAACAACCTGCAGTATCGGGAGAGGATGATGGATGACAACTTGTCTGGTGTGTGGGGTGTGTACTACGATCTGGGGATGGAGGCGAGAGGACGAGATTACGCCGAAGAACCTGTTTCGATGCCTCGATCGCCCCTCCCGTCATGGCTAAAGTCACAACAACAAACCGGCATAACGGCATGCAACACATCACACCCACCCACCCACGCTGTCTTTCTGTTCCTGACAGTCCGCCAGCCTGGTGGAGGAAAAGCGTCATGTCACACGTCTTGCGTCAGCGGGGGAGGGATCGAGAAGCTGGGGTGGAATCTTGTTTCTTCGCATCCCATCACGAGGGGGGTTGGTCCAGACCGCGAGACCCTGTGGATATGCGACTTGGGCTTACAGAAACGGGAGCCAGGCTGGGGTTGCACCCCAAGGGATGACGATGGACAAGTACAGCAACGGCCGGAATGACGTCGAGGAGGCTGAGGAAAAGAGAGGAAGGATGAGCAGTGCGCATGGGCAACAGCAGCGGAATGGGGTGTGATGCCTGCAAAGTACTTGCAGGTACCTGGCATGGATGTGTATGGTGTGGGTGCGTGCGATGGTGTGGGCCAGAACGACCTTACAACCAGCCCCCCTTGTGGCTTCTGAAGTCATACTATGACTCTAGGCAACTGGGGAAGGAGGGGAGGGGGGGCGGGGTCTAGAGAAGAGAGGAGAGAGGAAAGAGAAGGAAGGCTCGAATGGTGAGTGGATGAGAGTGTTCACTGGTGGTGTACGAAACGAACACCGAGGGGGGGTTGTGGACCCCGTTCATAGGGCTGGGATGAGGAAGGGAATTAACGGGGAACGATGACGAAAGAGCTACTACATGACATGAGCGAGACGTGAACAGACTGAGGAAAGGAAGACGAACAAGAAGGGTATGCTGACAGGGTCGGTAGGGATAGATTCAATAATCTCGAGGACCAGTGTCTCTTGTGAAATGCGCATCCAATCTGTGCCATGCTCTCTCTCCCTCCTTCGCTCGCTCTCCTGACTACGTGCGACACACAAACACACAGTGCAGCAACCCGTCGAAGCGAATCCTCTTTTACTTCTGGGCCACAGACATTTGCACAGGAGTGTCCACCCCAGCAGACAAGACACAGACGACACAAGAAAGGGGAACGAAACAACCGACATACCACATCAACATCGAGCAACGATGGTGATAGGGCTGCTGGTCATCGCGGCGATACCCACGGTGACGGGGGTGGCGGAGGCCATCAGCTCCAAGAAGCAGCAGAATGCTGCGATGAAGGAAAAGATCAAGTTCAACATGACGGCAACGTTGTCTGTTGACGGGGGTCCACCGACAGAGGCCTGGATTGTTCTCTATGGCGGAAGAGTGAGTTCTCCTCTCTTGTTTTCTTTTCTGATCTCAGGCATCCAGAATCTTGTTTTTGAGTTTTGCTTTCCTTTCCCCTTCCCTTCTGTCCTCTCTTCTCTTTTTTCTCTCCTTCTTTTTTGGATCGGCACCTTACGTTACCGCTACTGCCACTACTACCCACTCTCGGTCCGCTATAACGCAAGAGGCTTCCCTCCTTCTGGTATGGTGGCGCTGGCCGCGCTGATCGTCGCCATTTTTTTTTTCTTTCACTCTTGGAGACAAGCTTGGCACACCACGTTTCATGCCACGCACGCATGCCAGTCAGTGCTCTTACAACGTCCACCCTCTACTTCTCTCAGAGAGATAGAGGCTTCTGGCCAGCGGGGTACCACCGATCACTTGGAGGCCCGCACAGCCGTTGCAGTGATCTACCCTGTGTGTATGTGGAGTTTTATGGCTCATGACCGGCAAGCTTACTGCCAGCTTTACGGTTCTTAGGTCGAGGCTCTCACACCCTCACACACATGCTCCCTCCCTCGATTCATTTTTGCCCACGAGAGAAGAGAAGAAGAGAGAAAGAGCGAGAGAAGGCGAGAAAGGTAACACGGCTTTTACTAACGGAATGGCTCAACGCCGCCTCCTTCCAGATGTACATCGATCACCCCGCGGCACCAGTCCCGGCCCACAAGTTCAATGGTTATTACTTCAAATACCCCAGCGAGCAGGGGTACCAGGGCCTAGTGTCGACGATCTCAGACGACCCCCCGATGCTCAACTGGCTATACGTGGACAAGGACACTGGCGCCATCCGGTACGGGTCCAGGAAGGAAACGGTGGACCATGTTGTTGGCCCTTGGGGCTGGAGCGAGGATGAGAAGCTCCTCGCCATCGACGAGGACGACTGGCGGTTTATTGCGGTCGAGGAGGACCTGCCACTACCAAAGAGACCCTCTGCTGCTGCTGCTGCTGCTGCTACAGAAGGGGAAGGGGAGGGTCAAGGTGGTGGGGAAGGTGATCAGCAGCCACTGAAGCAGGAAGAAGAGGAGGAACAGGATTCTATCAGGTGCTGGGCAGTCTACCTCTCGCGGGATCGAGATGGTAGTCTGAAGCCAAAGGCAGAAAGGAGGGCACCACCACCAGGGGGAGAAAACGAGGAGAAAGACGAGGATGACGAAGAGAATGAAGACGACGGGCCTGATGTCAGGTACACCCACAATTGGGCGCCCATCAGGCTACTGAGGAAGCTGCAGCTCGGGGTGGACAGCTCGTACGTGAAGGGGGGTGGCCAGTCGGGGAATAGATGACGATCAAGCTGGAGAAAGAGAAGGAGGGGGGGGGGCTTAAAATGTGACGAGGACAGGGAAGAAGAGGAAGAAGCATAAGCAATGGGGGCTGCAGAGAAGAAAACAGGTGCATGTGGAGAGTGGAGTAGGAGAGTGTTGCATCGGAGGCGCCACCAACCATACTTACTCACCAACTAGTAGGAGGAGGCTTCTACATACAGTACCAGCACTATAAGTACAGTACAGTATGGTAGGAGGAGCAGTGCTACGCCATTTGAGCACGGGACTTTCTACTGTGTGGCTGGCTGGCTGGTTGGCCACCGCACGGGTTTGGCAGTAGAGAATAATGATAATCATAATATTTGAATAATGGCCACAGCAAATCTCTCTACTTTTCGCAACACAAATAGTGACTTGTTGACTGTAAGTGAACAACCAGCAGAAGGGAAGGGGGGTCGGAAAAAATAACACGAGAAAGACGAAGACCGAAAAAGAAGATCGGCTACCCAATGAGCTCTGATCTAATGTAGCGTGTGGCTCATGTATCTGAGGGTACCCGTGGGTCTCCAAGGCCCCCCCTGCACTGCGACCCAGCGGGGCCCGCGCCACTGCAGTCATCGGACAGCATCGATCGGATCACGTACAACTTGCTCGCGCGCGTTCCAGATCACGACCAATTTGCTTTCTTTCCCCTTGCGCAGGGCCCTGCCTGCAGAGAAAGCGTGCGCGCATGTGTGTGTGGTCCCGAGATGACGAAGACCCCATGGGTGACCTCTTGTCGGGACTGGGCAGGCTGAGTGGCTGTTGGTTGGGTGAGAAGGGGGGGGGGGAGCTTATGATCTCATATCCCTCTCTCTGGTATGTACTGTATGGCATGATGATGGATCTGCCAATCTTCTTGCTGCCTTCTTTTCTGTCGATAGGACCCTGAATCCTGTTTTTCGTTTTTGTGCATGTCATGGGAGAACGGCATATAGATCGTTCCAAGGCCTTACTTATTCTTGAAACGGCTGGGCCATCTTCAGCAACAATTAAAAAAAAGGAAAAAGAACTTCTTGCCTCCTTCTCTCTATATTCCACAAACTATCTCCTTTCCAACCTTTAATTAATCTCCAACTCTCACATACAACGCACACCTATTTATCCTCCCACCACACACAAACAGCAACATCAGCCCAACATGTCTTCGTCATCACAAGAGCGCGCTCCCCGCAAGCAGAAGAAGCAGCCCCAGCAGCAGGTGTACGAGGAGTCTGGCTCCGAGTCCTCAGGCTCTGAGGAGCCCGCGCCCCCTCCTAAGCGGTCCAACCGTCGCAACCGCCAGCAGCAGAGCAACCAGCAGATGATGCAGCGGCAGCAGGGCGGGCCCCTGGGCGGCATGGACGGCGTGGGCCAGACGGCACAAAACCTCGGCGGCGGCGTCACCAACACTCTGGGACAAGTTGGCGGCCAGGCGCTCGGCCAGCAGGGCGGCGGTGGTGGCAGCGGCAAGAGTGATACCCTCCGGCTGCGGCTGGACCTGAACTTGGATATTGAGATTACACTCAAGGCCAAGATCCATGGTGATCTTGAGCTGGCTCTGCTGTAAGTTTTTGACACCTTTTTTTTTCTTTCTTCTTCTTCTTCTCTCCAACCCCTTTCAGAGATACCCCTTTGACGGTGTAAATGTTTTTTTACACTCTTGATTTCTTTTTTCTGTCAGTTCAGCATAAGGAGGAGAAATTACGACAAGACACACGCAACACCTGGCCCAGTATATCATGTTTTTACAAACCTACCCAAAAACCCAAAAACTCTGTATTCGTTCTTCGGATTCTAAAGGACGGATTAGGGATGTGTCTTAAAAAGACAAATCGCTGCAGGGTCTGAGGACGGTGGCTAAAAACGGTGTCGACAGTGAGACATAAGAAGAAGAAAAAAGGAATGGTTGACTCCGACGCCCGTCGCCGTGCCTTGACCACCACCAATTTGAGAAGGAGGATGCAACACAACAATTTCTTGTACAATTAGCACTCTTCCTGTTTTTCTTTTTCTCTTTTGTTGGTTGCTCGCAGTGTTTGTCCCGAGCAAATTATGGCCCGACCGTCCTGTTTTCCACATCATGTCCAAGAAAAGAAGAGAAAAGGAAAGAAAAAAAAGAGGAATGTTCGGAGACTAATCCTTGGGACGCACTAGGAATTGAGAATGCAGAGATCGTGAACGCCGTCAGAGCGGAACGATCACTTTGTGGAGGGGGTGGGAGTGTTTTGATAATTTTTCTTTGTTTTTCCCCCTTTCGTCTTTTTGGGAATTCCCTTTGATTCCCGGTTGTTCTTCAGCGGTGTTTTGGTGGACGGGGCTATGCTCAGACATGATTTGGTGGCTTTATGCCCCGCTAGAACCCCCCAATTCTTCAGCGGGCGGGATGATTACGACTGCTTATGGAAATTCAATGCGATTTATTGATTGCCTCCGACAACAGAACTGCTTCCCCAAGTTTTGTGAATTTGGTCTGTGATGCACATCTTGATAGCAGATCTTTTTTTTGTGGTCTAGACCCAATCTCCTATCCGCTTTGAGCTCGGTACCATGGTAGAGATAATATCCCCGTGCACTCCCGCCACTTATGGGCAGGCATGCCCCAGATTTTCCCACCCAAAAGTCGCCTCCCCGCCGTCACTTCCCGCTGCTGCAGGTGCCACAACAGGGTTTCCTTTCTCTTATTCATGTACTGGACCAACGATATCTCGCAGTCAACTGGGGGTGGCGATAAGGAAGACAACAGAGTGTGTGTGTGGGGGACTACAAAAGTGAGGTTCAAAAAAAACCGGCCTTTTACCATGTGAATGGCGTCTTGTCTCGTGCAAGCCCTGGGTTACAGCCGGAGATTTTAAATGCTTTTTTCTGTCTTATTTTTGTTTGAAAACGATGAGGGTCTCGAGTCTCTGATGATCGTGATTCAGCCACCTGCAAGTCATTTTCTCTATCATATGGGGGTAAACTAGTATGAGCATTTGCCTACGTTTGTCTCGCAGGGTGGTTTTGTGACGCGACGGGAGACTTGAAGTAGTCAGGCAACACATGCACGCACACACGCACCGTGTCCGATGATAGGCCTGAAGAGCAAATCCAAAACGGCTTTTGACTTCACCGTGACCCAATAAAATTTATAAGAAAAGAAAGGATCAGCCTCTGCAGTCACACAAACATTGCCCACAGTTGCGCAGTGCCGCTGCTGCTGCACAGTTCACACAGTCAGGCGGCACCGGGGGGAGGTGAGGGAATGCGTAACTGCTTGGTAGCAGGCTGACACAGGTGGCGCCGACTGTGTCACTGGAGAGAAGAGGGGGCTTTTTCGGAGAAAGACTAAAGACTCCAGTGCTTCCCCGTGCCGGTGGTGATGCGACATGTGATCTACAAATTGTGCAACACCTTGCATGGGGAAAGAGACGTCAAGGCGTCGATATTCTACTTCATTTGCTCATGTTTTGAGATTGTGCAGTGATCGACCGACGTGACTCTTGGAGGAGGAGGTCTGTTCACAGAGGACACAAAAGTGTACTGCGGCGCGTGTTACTGGTCAGTGGGTGATCAGGGTTATGTCCGTCTATGGCAGTCGCAGGCGCATTTCGCAGCCAGGGTTGTCCGGAGCAAATGTCGCGAGGAAGACAGGGACAGTCCTAGCTATGGACAGGGGAGAGAAGAGCCTACTAGTCACAGATTGGATATTGGACCAGCACCAGCCACTCGGAATGTCAAGCCACATACCGTAGTGATGTTCAAAATCAAGGCAGAGGGCCGGGGCCTGACGTCCTGGTAGGGATGCGTTCGGCCGTACTTACAGAACTGTGTAGCGTAAAGTGCACATCGCTGGGCCTTTGATACAGGCAGACCCCAACTCAATTGTACTACTGTCTTTTTTCTCTTTCATCCTCTCGCGATAGCCGCCGAAGACACGCCGTACAGGCCAGAATAATCCCTCTCTTTCAGGAAACGAGATTTTCCTTGCAGCACCTCGTCCCTCGCGATTTACCATGGCAGCATTTGATCAGACAAAGCAAGCTTGCAGTAGGTACTAGTACAGGTCTCGGAGGATTGACCATGCCTAGGACGACCGACGACTTGTATGGCATCCTCTACGAGTTTGCTTGGAGTTAATTGGGGCAATGGTTCTCGTCCCCGATGAATAAGCCGCGGTGGCTTAAGCCTCCAAGTTTTACACTGGAGCAAGTCTAGTTTAGGCCCGGCGGCAAGACTCTGGCGATCATACCAAGGTACACAACGGGTATTGTGGATAGCGTGTGATGAAAGCTCAGCCCGTGCTGCTACCCGCTCGATGTGCGCAATCCGCGGGAGGCTCCGCTACTAGAAAAACCAAACTTAATCTGGAGAAATTAAATTTGATGTGCGCGGGTTGATGAATCTTTTGCGAATTGCCGCGCAAGCCACAGAAAACTATGATTATGGTAGTTCCTTGTATGTATTACAGTATATACCAACAACCCTTGGGTAGAAGCATTTTGAGCAGCAGTAGCGACATCATCATGATTCATTCATTCATTATGCTGGCAACTTGGAGTTGGCGAAAGGTTAGTCTCTTGAGCTGTATTCGTTAGTTGCAACGGTTCACGTTACTATCATGGATAACAGTTCAGAGGAACCCCTTGACGTCCACTGTGGCTGTGGCTGGTGATGAAATGGCCAATGGCTACCACGACATGATGTGGCTAGGACGCTGCAAGGAGAAGTGACGCGCCCCCTATGGCACGTCTTTAGCGATTTTCATGGTAGAGCCTCCGCAGCCCACTCTGCCAAACTCAAGGAGTGATCGTCTATCTAGATCCTAACGGCGGTAGATCGACTGGCACGACTGGCAATGCCGCGCATGGCCCACTGATGACAGCACAGGCCAACAACCTTCAGTGCATCTCTTGGGTCTTTGAATTTTTTGGTCCATGCTGTTTCTCTTGCGGTCTTGAGAAAGGACCAAGTTCATACTTGCATTGCCAGTGTCTGGGAAGAGTATCGTCTGAAATTGTAGATATGACCATGTCCAATTCCTTGTCTTTCTGTCAACAAAATACACGCACCTCTTTCTCTCGATCGCTCGCTCTGTGCTGCTATGGGTGCTTCTCTGGTAACTTGAAATCTACGTACTTTTCCACACCACTCACCAGTCACAATGGCCAAACTTCAAGCTCAGTCAAGAATGCTGCCAGTTGTTGTGTGTGGTTCACCAGAGAGTAGCCAGCTGCCAACATTCCCCCATCGGCGGACGAACCTAGCTCAAGTGGACCAGAACTACTAAGGAAGCTACTGTGGGTCTGGACAGGGTCTACCGCAGCGTACGTGTGTGTGCGCCTGCCTCGTGTGGCTTGTTTTGCAGGCATCGATCAACACGTCCCATCTTTTCCCCTCCCAAAACCGACAACATGTCAAAAAGCTGATGTCATCTTGCGACCCAGATGGTGGATCCGTTGGCACAGCACAGGTGGCTTGACCCCCCTCCCACTTCTTCCTCCTTCTCTCCAGTGTTTCAGAGAAAGAGGCAAGACTATGGGCAAATTTTTGTTCTTCCATTCCCGCCCCAGGCCTTATACGTTTTACCTTCTTCGGTGCCGAGCTCCGTACTGTATTTTCATCGCACATCCGACCTGTCTGTGTCACAATTTACCCACCAGTCAGCCAACCCCATCGCTATTCTATTCGTTCCTGAGGAGTCTAGAACGCTCTCAATACAGTGTACTGTGCGGTGCTGACTTGTCACCAGTGACGTAGTGTGCCATACTCTCTTACATTCTTCTCACACAGACACTGGCTCACTTACTCACAATCTGCACAATTTTCGCGCCCGAGCCTTGAGACGCGTCACTTTCCCCCATCGCTACACCACGCGGCGCGGCAAACTTCAATCTGCAGCGAAGCTTTGATCCATCCCCTTGGCAGGATCCATCTACATACAGCGGCCACCCCAGCTTGTCTTGCCTGGTCTCACTGCTGAGGTGCAGAACGTCAAAGTCTCCGCTGCCCCGGCTGGGTGGTGAATCCCGCACCCACAATCAATGCCCGATATCAAGGCATCTCATCAAGGAACCCTGCGGGGCTCTGTTATGCTTCCTGTTGAGCCAGCTTCGGACGGAGAGGTGGGCTACAAGACTGCACTGTCCGAGATGGAGAGTGACGATGGCAGCCATGCTGGTGATCAGCCAGCAAATGACGAGCCAAAGCACCATGCCAAGGACGACGAGATCGAGGTGGAAGAGCTCCCAGATGATTACACAGAGCAGCAGCAGAAGCAACAGCAACAACAACAACCAACGCTACGACCACCCAAGGCTAACTTACGGAGAAAGACGTCCAAGGACAGTCCGGCCTACGTCTCACCTATACCTAAAATACCCAGCATACCCTCTGTACAACCTATACAATCTTCTGCTGAAGCGCAATCTACACCCCCACCATCTGGTGAAGGACCGCTGCCACAACAAGGAAAGATGCCTGTGCACGAGGCGTCCAAGGAGTATCTCGTGGGAAAGAAGATCGACGAGTTTGGTGACATTGTGGACATCAATGGAAACGTCCTCGGGCGCGTGGAAGGGGACTTACCATCCATGGTTGGGCGTGAGATTTCCAATGCCAGAGGCGATGTGCTTGGGGACGATGGCGAGCTCCTAGGATATGTAGCTGCACTCGGGGCTGGAGACGACCGTGACAAGCAGACCAGGACGGAAGTTCCTACCTGGAGCCTGGCAGAGGTCATGAAGGCTATGGCCGCCGCCGGCAAGGGACCCGGCGGGCTGCGAGTGGATCCTTTTGGAAATATCCTCGATGCTGAAGGGAACAACGTGGGATCCTTCCATGATAATATCTCAGGCTTCGGGAAGAAAGCTGCCGAATACGCCCCTGACAGCGAGACAGGGGAGGGGAGGACAAGGACGAAGGGGAAGAAGACGACCGGCCCCCTGGAGCCGGCGGCTGGAGGAGAAGCATCGCGACAAGCCGAAGATGAAGAAGCGCCCGAGGCCGAGCCGTCTTCTCCCAAGGAGGCGAGGCGGCCACGGGAGAACGCGCAGAGCCACAGGAAGGAGGACCCAGCCCTCAGCCCATCGGATATCTTCCTGGACGTCAAGTCGACAACGGAGGGTATCCAGCTCACGATCCGCATCCCTACTGTGTTTAACAGCGCAGGTCAACCGCGCCGGCCCAAGATAGTGTTTGAATAGTCACATGGTCAGTCAAGTCGTGTATGTCATGATATGTCAGGGGGAGGGTGGGTGGTTCTGGAAGGTACGACAAGAGGCGTTAGGCGGTGAGAACGGGTCATGGCTTAAGAAATAGGAGAACGTTTCAAAGGGAGTCGAGGCGTGGTGGTATCGTGTGGCTGGGTCGGAGATTTTAGTTCGAGTTCAGTGTGGTAACGTCCAAAGCATCACAGGTTTGTGTGCTCGCGTATAGTAATATAAGTGATAATATATGAGGGGGGTGTGTAAAAGCACAATAAGCAATGGAAGACCAAGTCGAAAGAATCTCAAGGTGGTAGTCTCAGCCGTGAAAACACAGTGGTGATTCACTCGTTCGGGAAGACGAACGAGCCAAAGTGGAAGAAAAGGAACAAAAGAAGGGGAAAAGTAATAGAATGAGACTCCAAACAGGTTTTCACCCAACTCTTCCCCCCCTGCCTGCCTCCGAACGATGGATCAGTAAAACCCCCAGACATCCCGAAGGACTCGGCCGAAGAAAGGAGGGCTGACGGGCAGATGACGTAGAATCAAGAGGAGAAGAAGAAGCAAGAGCTCTTTAATTCCTACAGTACTATGTATCAAAAGTATCACAGGTACCCTTGGGACCCGCCGATCGGCACATCAAACGTAGATCCACAGCGCAACTGCAAAGAAGAAGGTGGGCTCCCCGGCTCGTCTCAGTGGACCGTCTGGGCTCGGTCTGCGCTCATCATTGTGTAAGTTCTTCGCCACACACGAGGCCAAACCAACGAGCAAACAAGCCACATGTGGGAAAATAACCTGTTTCCTCCCCCCTCTCCTCTTGCTGTGGCCGATCCCACCCTGACGAAGAGGGCAGGGGGGCGGGGTGGGGAGGGGTTTGATGATCTCCCATAGGTGGGGCTGGCCAATCGTCTTACACCGGCAGCTAGGCCCAAAGCCCCATATTTGGCTTACACGTACTATGGTACACACACTCTTGGTCTCATCATCTCACAACAGATACACTATACTCTCTCCATCCTTTCTTTTGGCCCCTCCCCAGCAGCCTGAACTGAGACATACTATACAGCATGCCTTAGTACAAGTTTACTATAGCATGATGTACTCTACAGTACAATTTTCTATGTAGGATGACAACGTTGGACATCGAATCCACCCCCCTCCCCCCTTCCTTTCACCTCCACAAAAGACGAGGCGGCTGAACGTTGGAACAGTTTGCCCTGGGTCTTGTTTCTCTCTTTTTGCCTCTCTAGACGTGATTTGTGCAGGCATTAGCCCACACTAAACCCTATCTTGTCCAGTCACTACGTGTTGCCGTCCTCATTATCAGTCGTCGATGAAGTCATCCTGGAGTGTTGGCTTGGCTGGCCCCGGCCAAGCTGCACTACACACTGGCACGCCAGCCATGTTCTTCTGTTTGCCGCCCCCTCCCCCTCCTTCTGCATCCTCACACACACTAGAAGCTTATGTGGCTATGACCTTGACTGTACAGTGCAGTATGTGCCACAGAAGAGTTTTGTTGCGTGATGATCCCCCCAGTCCCTGGCCTGCCTTGTGCCCGTGCCGATCGAGATGGGCCAAGAAACTGTGGCTGTGACGTAGAGATGAGGGCTGCTTCTCATCCTGCCAGGCCGCTGATGACGTCCCTCGGGGACCATCGTCGTTGACAGCTTGAAGCTATGGTGGGGAATCTTGGTTCTAAGGGTCCTCCTAACCATCATCGCTCTTTCCTTTTGGGCCAGAGGTGATGGGGATATAAGCTGCCATCGCGCTTTTGGCACACAGCCTTGAGATGGACATTCTCTTTTGAATTTCATAATTTACAACACAACACACCAAGACAACCATCATCATCATAATCATAACGTCGCACTACATCTCCCATCCACACTTTACTTGATACCACCCATCTTACTACACACACCACCCATCACCACCACACAACCATATCCTCAACGTCACGTTACTGCTGCATCACCATCATTTTGCAGTAACGTTTTTTCTCATTCTTCTCTCTTAAAAAGTAAACAAGAACATCAACATGGCGGACTCAAACCCACCCGGAGGCTGGCCATGGGGCAAGAACAAGCCTGGCGGCGACTCGGTCAAGGGAACATCTGAGGCTGCCTCGGGCGCCCAGACCCAACTTGAGAAGGGTACCCAGGATCCCGAGCAGCTGGGCTCCGAGGCTCAGGGCTCGCCCACCCCAATTCGCCTCAAGGATGACGGCGCGTCTCAGACATCACAGTCCAGGGCGTCTGCCATGCGCAACCCAGAGTCTGTCAGCGGCAACAAGTCCGTCAAGTACGAAGACGAGCAGCCCGTCTCCGTCCAGGGCCCAGGCTCCAACAGGAGCTTCAGCCGCACAGGAAAGGACCCCTCTGTCATCTCTGAGGCCAACGAGGGCGCAGAGTCCGTGACGGAGAAGGCTCAGTCCTCCAAGAAGGGCGACGAGGGCGATAGCCCCGAGGATGAGGGCAAGGATCTTACCGAGCCCGCCGAAGGTGCTGCTGACCAGGCTGGCGAGCAGACCGAGCAGACCAAGTCCCAGACAGGCTCCCGCATCGGCAGTTTCTTTTCCGGCGCCAAGAACGTCGCTTCTTCTCTGGGCGGCGCGGGCAGCAAGGCTGCCAGTGCTACTGGTACCGGTGCCGCCTCGGGTGTGCCCGATTCCGTGCGCCAGCTCCAGGAGCAGCAGAGCCAGCCTGGAGGCGAAAGCTTGACCCTGCCTGAGGGCGAGGAGACGGCGCAGACCAGCACGGAGGAAGACGAGGAGGACACGCCTGAGGAGACACCTGATGGGCGCCAGAGCGAGACGGCTACGTGGGGACACACCACGACCGCCAAGCAGCCGGGCGACACCGGGTTTACAGAGGCCGGAGAGGATTTCACCGAAGGTGAGGGCTTGCCCGAGAGTGAAGAGCTGCGGCCCGACGATTCTATCACCCATGCAGCTGACAACTCTCGTCTGCGTGTAGGAGACCTCGAGCAGGAGGGCGTCGAGACCCCTCGTGCTGAGGGCGAGGAGGCTGGCGAGACCACCGAGCTGCCTGAAGGTGAGACTCAGGCTGGCCTGGAGCAGTCCGAGGTGCCTACCAGTCAGATTCCCGAGGGCGAGAACCTTCCCGAGGGCGTCAACGCCGAGGGTCAGGAGCAAGGGCAGCTCCCAGAGGGCGCCGAAGGCGCCGAGGGCGTCGAGGGTCAACAAGGTATCCCCGAGGATGATCAGCAGACGGTCCTGACCTCAGCCACGGGTTATGAGACCAACACCACCGCCGAGCCTGCCGAGGTTGACTACTCCATCCTCAAGGACTGCAAGGTCAACAAGCTGGGCAATGTCGTCAACGAGAAGGGTCAGGCTATCGGCCGCATCATCTCGGGCATTACACAGCACTTGATCGGCCGTAAGGTCGACGAGAACGGCATCATCTGGAACGACAGCGGCAAGGAGATTGGCCGTGCCGAGCCCATCCCCGACAACGAGCTCCAGGACCTGCTTGAGCCCAAGCCCTTCGAGTCTTTCGAGGGCAACGTTATCGATGGCAAGGGTTGGGTTCAGTGGGAGGGCCAGACCGTCGGCAAGGTCATTGAAGGCGACCTGAAGGTGCTGCAGGGCAAGACTGTCGACGCTGATGGTGAAGTTCTCGACAAGTCCGGCAATGTCATCGGCAAGGCTGAGCGCTGGGAGGAGGAGGAGCCTGAGGAGGCTGAGCCTGAGGCCCCTGTTGACCTGTCCATCCTCGCTGGCAAGCGTGTCAACAAGGCTGGCAATGTTGTCGACTCGTCTGGTGTCATCTATGGCCGTGTTGTTGACGGCGACCCGAAGAAGATGGTTGGTCGCATGTGCAACAAGAACGGTGAGATCGTCAGCGAGTCTGGTGATGTCCTAGGCCACGCCGAGCTTGTCAGCGAGGGCGAGCGTGAGGGGTCCAAGGAAGGCCCCTTCGCTGAGCTCTCAGGTCTGACTGTCGCCAAGGATGGCACCGTTGTGACCCCCAGCGGCGATATTGTCGGTCGTCTTGTCACTGGCGACCCCAAGGTTCTCGCTGGCCGCTCCGTCGACGAGGATGGTGATGTCCTTGACCGTAACGGCAATGTGCTGGGCCATGCTGAGCGCTGGGAGCCCGAGCCCGAGGTTGAGGTCGAGAAGGAGAAGGGACCTCTGGCTGGCCTGCACGTCAACAACGACGGCAATGTCGTCGACAAGCACGGTAACGTCATCGCTAAGCTGACCAGCGGTGACCCGCACATCTGCGCCGGCAAGGAGATTGACGACGACGGCGATGTCATCAACTCTAAGGGCATGACTGTCGGACATGTGAACCTCCTCTCTGACATTCACGAGGAGGAAGTGGGCGAGACTGAGGAGGAGAAGGAGGCTCGTGTGCAGAGGGAGCAAGACAAGAAGCTCGCCATCCAGATGTCCATGGCCCTCGAGCAATGCCTCGACAAGATCAAGCCCATCTGCAAGATGATCACCAACCGCATTCAGGTCGAGGAGAGCAAGGCTGAGGAAGACCGTGACGAAGAGGCCCTCGTCAAGGAGGTTCGCCCCTTGATCGAGGAGGGTGGAAACATCCTCCGCGAGGCCCACGGTGTCATCCGTGGTCTCGACCCTGATGGCCACATCCAGGCCAACGCCAAGCACAAGTCTGGCACTCGTGAGGCTTCTCCTGAGGAGTTCCACCTTGCCGAGATTATTAAGGAGGTATGTTATTACACTTGAACCCAAAAGGGAGGACTTTTGTATATCGTGAGAGACTAACATTCAACCCTCCCCAACAGCTTACTGAGCATGTCACCGAGACCATCGAGGGCGCCAAGCGCAAGCTCGAGGGTATGCCTCACGCCAAGAAGGAGCTCAACCCTCTCTGGGGTCTCCTGGGCGAGCCCCTCTTCCAGATTATTGCCGCCGTCGGCCTGCTTCTCAGCGGTGTCCTGGGTATCGTCGGCCGCCTGCTGCATGGCCTCGGCCTCGGCGGTATCCTTGATGGCCTTTTGGGCTCTCTGGGCCTGAACAAGGTCCTGGACAGCCTTGGCCTCGGCTCCATCCTGGGTGGTGGTAAGAAGAAGAAATAGAGGCTGAGCGCTCAATTTCTCTCAAGTTTGATTGATTAATAATGCCTCGCTCCTTTTGGCTGTTAACTTGAGCGGGTGAAGTTCGATATGGCCTTGTACTGCTTCCTTCAATGTTTCTCTTACTCTTTTCATTGTTTATGATGATGTGTCTGGAAAAGCAGTATTTGGGTTTGATTTCTGGTTTCCCCGTCTTTTCTTGGATGGGGTATACGATTACGAAGTATGCACGTTGAATGTTTGGTTTATTTCATCTCGTGTATGCGATTCTTTCTGCGCATTAGGGTAGTTAAATAGGATAATGATACCGACATGTGATGAAGAAGCTACTGTGAATCCAACGTTTATTGTATGAGGTGCTTTCGTATTCTGCTACCTGTACGAACCATCTTGCACTCGCATTCCATAGTCAAGTATGTTTCTGTCCTGTCCCTAGTGACCCTTACCAAGTCCAAACCAAACTCCGAAAAGCCAAACCCTAAAAAGCAAACTCCTGAAAGCCAAAATCCAATGCAAACCCAACGTAGTCCGTGCGTGTAGTCTAAAGAAAAGCAAACCATGTTCTAATACTTAAGAGTCTCTATCCTCTATCCGTCAAGGCTATTGTCCACCAGTCATTAGTCACCACTCCTCATCATCTGAATAGTCACCCCTCATATCAGGTGTCCAGGGGTCATGAATCCGCCGTCCCAGGTTATAGAGATGGTGCACCACACTCCGCAGCCTACGGAGACGAAGCCTGCGCCTGAGCCATCCCTCGTGTCGCTGCTCTTCTTCTTTTTCTCCTTCTCCCTCGTCCTTCTCGTCGGGCCCGATGACCAGGGCGGGCTCCGAGCTCACGATGCCCGCGGTATAGGCCGACAGCATGAAGGAGGTCTTTTGGGCGGGCGAGACGCGGAACGGGTTGCTGGGGACCCGCACCAGGGGCTCGCCGAGGTCCAGGAGCGGGACGTCCGGGTCCTCGTCGGCGTAGACGAGGTGTCTTGGGCGGTGGAGGTCGGACCGGCTGAGCTGGAGGCCCTGGTTGGCGGGCGTGTGGTGGCTAATGGGCGGGCGGTGGTGAGTTGAGGTCTCGCTCTTCCTTCTGGAGGCGAGCCTTTTACATATGCGGTGGAAGGGGCTCTTGCTGGGAGGGCGCTCTCCTCGTCCGGGGTAGGGGGAGGGAGGGCGCCGGGCTTGGTATGCGGGGTGGGATGTTTGTGTGGTGGACAGTGAGGTTGTGTCCGGTCTTGGGCTTGTGTCTGTGGTGTTGGAGGCACTCCGCCCCGGGTATGGTGTGGGAGGGCGGTCGTCCGTGTAGAGGGTCCAACCCAGTGTCTTCTTGTTGTTGTTATTAGTGGTGGTGGTGATGGTGTTAGAGCATGCTGCCCTGGCCTTGGAGGCCAACATAGTGATTGTGGAGAACATTGTGACTGTTCTCTGTGTGTGGGTTCTTTTGATCGTTGGTGGTTGTTCTTTGTGTCTGCAATGGTGTTTGTATGGCTTCATCGAAGCCTCTTCTGTCAAAATCGAGTTGGTGTTCTTGTTGTTCAATGGTTGCTTCCAGTGCTATGAAAGCTGCTTTGTGGTCTTGGTGTCTGATCAGAGTAGTCTTGGTGGTCTGTTCAGAATTTGGTTGTAGTCAAAGTTCAGTAGTTCTTCAGAATTGTTCTTCTTGGTGTGCTGTGTTGTAATCGGGGTTGAGCACACCAGAACAAGAGAAAGAGTACAAGATTATGCTGGGGACAACATTTCTATATATGCTGTTCCAAGAAGCACACTCATACCACAGGAGTGCATGATGATGATAGCGTTATTCAGATTGCTGAGGTCAAGACTTGAGCAAAGTGTGTGCTCTAGGACACTGGCTCTGAAACCAGCCTGTGAAGCTATTCACCTTGGTGTATATTGCTACCCTAGTTGTAGAATGTAATAGTAAAGTTAGGACAGTTAGCAGTGAATCTAGATGGTAGGGAGAACAAAAGTGCTGTACTAGGACGCCTAGACTAGGACGCCTAGTGAAGAATGTGACTCTTATTACCTGCACACTTGGAACTACAGACTAATGGTCAAGCCAGCTAATTACTAGGCCAGAGGAGCACATAATAGTCTTGTACAAACAATCTCCCTGGCTATCTGTAGTAATTATGTAGATGTTAGTGCCTATTTGGTAAGGGCTGCCTTTCATTCAAAGAAATGTAATACCGTTTCTTTTTCTGGCATAGGACGAAGAAAGACTACTCCATATGTTGTGCATCATTGATGCCTCTAGCCTTGCGATCAAGCCCATGGAATTGGTTTCGTAAACAAACACACGCTCACCCAACTACTTACGTATTTGGTACTTATTAGGCAATATGGGAGTCTTGTTGTCATCAACTATACAATCATTGCTCAAAATGCACATCCTGTATGAGCGTGTTTTATTCAAGCTAGCTGGTTTGACTCGTTCTCTATAGCTTCTAGATTATATGACCATCCTGCCTGTGAGTGAGTGCTGATCTAACGAATATCTAATCGAGGCATATCCTCAAGAAGTACCGAATATCCCAAGAAAGAGACACTCTGCCATGCATGACACGGAGACTAAGTCAGTGATTTGGCATGACACACCAAGGATTTCAAGAGGCTGAGAGTTCTATCTAAAGCACAGAGAGTCTACTTGAAAGATGCCCAGGGTAAATGACAGCGTCATCCAAGTACAGGCGCCAGGAGCATTCAAGCTTGGCCATCACCTGCCCACGAATGACTGTTCAAGAAGTTTCCGATGATGTTGGAAATGAGCCCAAAGGGTCCTAGCTTGGGAGCAGACGACGATCAAGTCTCAGTTTTTGTTTTAGACTTGTCATCTCAAATAAGAAGGTTGGGGCAGTTGAATTAGAGCCTCAAGGAGCCTCAAGGCAAGGGGGGTCTAGGTGGTGCAGGGATGGGACAGGCGGCACCTTCCGGAAAGCTGAGCCGAGCTTGGATTACCTAATACATTCACCACCCCTGGGCAGGAAACAGATTTTCTGGAATTTCAATGACAGGCCCATTCATTTTCGTTGTTCCAACCTACCAACTCCACAACCGCCGTGATCAACACATCCTTCTTCCACTTCCTTTGTCGGCCGCCATAGCCTGTGACGTGCTCGACCCGATTTAGAGAGGGAGCTTCTTTGGCGATAAATCTTCTGGTCCGATTCGAAGAGTTTCGGCCATCTGCATCCGACTCGGAAGAGACTTGGTCACTCCTCAGATTCTTAAGACGGCTGGAAGTCAAGAAGACCTTCTGTGAGGGGAGAGAGCGGAAGGGACTGCAAGACGTGAGGGCTGCATACTCGAGCCTTCGAGAGGCCTCGTCAGACAGCGATCTAGGTGGAACGGGGCAGAAACCCTCGTGTTCGACAGTCGACACAACCTCACAACGACGACACGCGCGCACCGACACGCGACCTCCCTTCGTTCAGGTGATTACCGTCAACGACAGGCCCGCCAAGATGTCATCCTCCTTCAGCATGCGCGGTCTCCTCAGATCGCTGCTCACCAGCACCACGCGCCCATCTCCACTACACACAGGCCTCCTCCAAAGTACGCCCGCGACCTCCCCTCCTTCCTCCAGCCGCCTACCATCGTCATTCACCGCCGCCCGTTCCATCACAACCACCCAGCCCCTCTCGGCGCGCCTGGCCAAGAAGAAGCCCGCGGCAGGCGGCAAGGCCCCTGCGAAGAAGCTCGACCCGGCCGCCGCCCGCGCATTGGCTCGCAAGCGCCGCGCACAGGCCGCGAGCAAGCTCGACCCCAAGGTCGCGGGCATGATGAAGTTCCTGTACGCGCCCTCGCAGGTCCCGCCGCCCCTGCGCATGGCGCGCCAGCGCCACCTGCGCCACTGGACCATCCACCGTGCGTGGCAGCTCTTTCGCCGGCAGCAGGAGGAGCAGTGGGAGCGCGAGATGATGCGCATGAACGCGAGCATGAGCCACGCGTGCGAGACGTTGCGCAACCTCGAGGGGCCCGGCACGCGGCCCAAGGGGTGGCTGTTCCGAAAGTCGATGGAGAAGGTGGGCGTGTGGGGGCCCGACGCTGTGCCAATTGAGTATGCGAGGCCGCTGGTGGAAACGCCCGGCGAGAGGCCGTGGAACCACGAGTGGAAGAGGTCATAAACGTGGTATTTTGGGGGAAAGGAAAAGAATAATGTAAAATCATGGCAAATTAAATAAATAAAAAGGCAGCTGAATGGGTATTGCGGTGTGCCTGGGTTGGTTCTTGTTGAGGGGGGTGCCCGTGACGCATGGGCCGTGGGCCGAAAGAAGAGGTATCTCTGTGTGTTTGTACATGCTGTGGCAGGAGGTGTGCAAGTGAGACAGACAACCAAAAGGCACATTTTCCCCAAACAAGTTCATGAGGACCATCTAAACCATTCCATGTGCAGAGAATCGAAATTAGAATGACATTAGTTGGTTAAACCCTGCTACGCTATAATTCAACCTTTTTGTGTTGGTGAAGCAATTAACTGTCCCAACCGCTCAGACCGACTGTGTGCCTCCTCCGGTATTTCTACAACATTCCATTCCGCTGCCACCATACCTGACACGCGACCACATGAACCTGGAAATTGTAGGCCATGTGGCGCATGAGGAGCCTCTCTGACATGATATTGCAGCATGGCACTTGGGCTCAGCTGGTGTGGTCGCGAGTCCCCCCCATGTGCCATTGAAACGTGTGGCTGCCACCGTGGCGCATCGTTGTGAAGTAGTCGAACACCGAGTTCGTCCCCCTCCCTTGAAGAGTCTGTGGTGTGTTCATGATGCAGCCCCTGGATAAGCTGAGTGGGCGTTGAGAGTAATGATATCGAACGGGCGGCCGATTTCAATTCGTATCCCTTATCCGTCGTAATTCGAGTCCAGAAGACCATGAATCCATGACCATTTCCACAAGCATCGGGACGGCCTTGAGCCACGCGCCTGAACCCTCTCTTCCCATCGGCACCCCGAGAAACTGGCTCAACGCTCTTCTCACAGAATAACACAACAGCCGTTGCCCTCGCCCTTTTCAAAGGTCAAGAGAGCCGCTCTTGTCGCCGCCTCGAAAACATCATCCACACCCTCACCGCTCAGACTGGAGCACTCGAGGTACTTCCTGGCGCCTACCTCCCGCGCGACAGCTTCGCCATCGTGTTCTGTAACGAATCGGAGTGACTTCTTTCGCATCTCCTCGATGGCGACTGGGTCTTCCCGCAGATCTTTCTTCAACCCGACGAGAATAATAGGCACATTGGGGCATTTTTCCGTAGCCTCTTCGATCCACTGCGCAAATTCCCTCTTTATGTCAGCCCTCACATCCGACAGCCATGGGGGAAATATCGATCGGCAGAGAGATGATGTTCGGCATCGGTATGTGCAAATAAGTGTACCACGTGGAGACTCGCGAGGGGAAATTGCTCGGTCCTACCGGACATCCTCCACGATTGTCCGCAACCCCCCCCCCCCCCCCTTCTCCCCAAGGTGGATGGTAAAACACACAGGCCTAACAGGGTAGTGTTGACTCACCTTGTGTTTGACATTGTCCAGAGAGTCTGGAGTGTCGACCGAAAACCCTATCAAGATGACATGCGCCTTGGAGTACGCCAGGGGGCGCAACCGTTCGTAGTCCTCCTGTCCTGCTGTATCCCATAGCGCCAGCTGTACTGATTTGCCATCTACTCTGCAGTCTGTGACATAGTTCTCGAAGACTGTCGGGATCTGTATGAATGTTTCGTTCTCTTTGTCAGATATCGTTCGTGTGTCTCGGCTTGCTCTCGTGGGGCGAGCTGTTCATGGGTTCGGATGGCCCGGTAGGATTTCAGGGTTAGCAAGGACCAACCGGTGGCGGACTTACGTAGTGCTGCGGAGCATCAACAGTCAGCATGTGAACATGAGATTTGTTGGGGGGGGGGGGGGGGGAAAGGTTGGGTGCTCAGAGATGGCGTGACTTACTGTAGGAAAGTAACCCAGGGTGAAGACGCTGAGCAGACTGGTCTTGCCACAAGCTCCATCGCCGATAATCACCAGCTTCCTGTGCGCACGAGAGTTTCTGTGTGAGTACCGGGCCTCGCCTTGTTTATCTTTTTCTTTTTCTTTCGTTCAAGGGAGCGACCTGTCTGCCAGGAGCTCGGAGAGGGAGTGTGCGAACCTGCGTATGACGTTCTGGGAGTTCCCTGCGTTTGCCATCGTGAGTGCGAGGTGATATCGCCCTCCTTCGCCGTTCCGAGTCGTATCGTCGCTTGTCAAGAGAGGAGAAGATACTCTCTACTGATCCCAAGCTATGTCGAGGTTAATGTGACGGTCGGTTCGTTGCAATTGTCGTTCGTTATCGAGGACGGGCAATGGGGTGATGACGGGTGTCGGGCGCCGGTTCGGTTTTGGTTCGCTTGGGTGGTTGGGGAATGTCTTTGCTGCTGTTGCAGATTGATTGATTGATGAGGTATGAAGATTGATGATGCTGCTCAGCCCAACAACTCTCCTTAAATAAATGTTGCACTCCTTGCCTGAACGAGTGTGTACTAATCTTTCGTATTCTTGTTTCCTGAACGATAGACACGAATGTATTGGAAGTAATAAAGAAGAAACTGGACGAATTGGCTATGTCAGGCGGAACAGAAATGTTTCGGACTGGGATCTAAGTTTGGAGTTTGGGATTCAAGATTTGGGGGGGGGGGTTGGAATATGATGCGAAAAGGAAAATACATGGGGAAGAGGACTTGGAGGGAAAAGGAACCTCGAAGAGTGCTTTCCACAGGCCAAGCCCAAGCCTAAAAAGCCAAGGCTGCACCAGGCCCACGGCATATGAAAGTCCTAGGCCTTAAATTGGGGGAGTTGGGGCTGCATGCTGCGCCCCCCTGTTTGCAACTGGAGAGCCCACTGAGGAGCAAGGCCGCAGACAGGGACAGGGGGCACTCAGATTACATCTGCTTGTCCACTGCCACTACGGTATCACATACTACGAGTAGTAGTACCCAAGTATCAGCTCGAACTCAGCTAGGGGTCCAGTTCAATATCCTCCTCTGGGCATTATTCGTGTCCTATGATTCCGCTCAGGATATCATGACGACATATCTTTTTTATATCTATTTTTATTTTTATTTTGGAAACGTGAAATAAATATTTTTCTCGTGATGATGTCTCCCGCGCCGAGGCACTGCAGAGACACTATCGGAAGCCTGCATGACCCTCGGGATAGTCAATCGAGGGCAGCACCGAGTAACAGTGTCGATGACACAACTTTCTCCCCCTCAGGCCAGTTCCTGCGCCGCTTTCAGGGGACATGCAAATATCGCTGACGATGATCAACGAACCGGATGCCTCTTACTCCTGGCTCCTCGGGCATTTTCGATAAGAGCACGCATACACTACTGCAATGCCACCTCAATGGCCTCGTCAGCTCGTCGCTAGGGTTGAAGGAGGGCGAGGGGGGCATGCAGGGCAATCTGGCGACAAGAAACCAAACCGGTGCTGAAACCCTCGCACTGGACTGGACGGCACTGCACTTCGTGGCTATCTCTGAACGTGCTCGGCCGTGCTGATCGAAGTGAAAGGCTGGAGGCGGCAGGCGTCCGCGGCTGAGCTCTCCCCTCTCAAAGCATTGCGTATGGGCTCATGCCAGCCATCCAACCCTGCGGTCCCTGCAGCAGACCGTCCATCGTATAGGAGACGCCGCTCCCTGACATCGAATCGCGAACACCACGCCTGGCGATCCTGAGGCAGAGTCCACATATCCCTCCTCGTTCTCTCTCTCCCTCTCTCACATCCACACAAGCTTGCACCGGTCCCGCAGCGCGGTGTGGAGACCCCACGGAAGCGAAACGCTGCGTGTGCACTGCGCGAGAGCCGTTCCAGCCCATCAGCCCATGCACTTCATCATACGGGCGCGCTAGCTGGTCGTTGAGGCTGTGCAAACGGCCCGGGGGGGGTGGGCGGGCAGGGGAACCGCTCCCGTCGCCTACGACACGAGGTCGTCCATTCGCGCACGGAGCCAGATGAGATGAGCCCGAAAAAGAAGACTTGGGCGGCATGAATTGGTGCAGCTCCAGCTTGTGACTAATGTTATAGCGAGCCTTGGTGGTGCCTTGGCGCTACGGGTCTACTTAACCGAGTGAGACGGGGAAGAAAGAAACAAAAAAGGATCAGAGAGGCAGCCCGGCGATTCAATAGGAGCAAATCTAGTCCGTCGTCGTCCGTGTCGCCTGCTAAGGCTGAAGCATGTCTTTTTCGACGCTACGAGGCAACCAGGAGACCAAGTCAAGTCAAATCAGTCAGTCACGCTTCGATACGAGCCGCAGCAGCGCTCCGAAGATTCTATTCTGGTCTGCCTGCCTCGATAGGAACTGGAACGTTGCGTCCGTGAAGTCTGTAAGTAAGCTCATCTGATGGTCATGTGAAAGGTCTTTTTTGTCCCATCGCCTCGTTGCTGCACGAGAGATGATCAAGGCGGCCATCCCCCCGTGGATCAGCTAGCACCAAATCTGCCCACGGGGGCGGCTGACTGGACTGGGGCTTGCGGTGGTAATATCTGGGTTGCCCAACTTGTTATGCTGCTAACCTCTTGAGAGTTTGGATAGGTTTGACGTGTCAGACTTGAGGTAGAAGCTAAGTTAACCGTTCAAACGAGCAAGCCATTGTTGCAGGATGCATTTCAAGGAGGAAACCCAAGAAGATAGGAAATGGAGTCCTTGAGAATCGCATCTTCTTTGGGTTGCAAGCATTCTACCAATTGTTCCGCCGCATTGGGTGTTAGTGCATTTCGGTCTTTAGAAAACCAGTACGGTGACTTCTGCCGGAAAATCCTACTTCATCGGAGACAAGAAATCGGGGAATCCCTCTCGTCGGCGATAATTTTTTCATTGATTCTGTTTTTGTTTTTATGTCTTTATACCATGACGATGAATAGGGTCGGCTTTAACGTCATCTTCACCTTTGGTGAATGTGAAAGGATTCCGGACGACGATGTTCGCAAACGAAAACGAGGATGTATATAAGGTGGCCGATGTGGTGGGAGGTCAAGGAACACGGTCTACTACTAACATTCCCTGAATACTGAGTCAAGATGAAGTTTAATAAACTCTCTATCCTTGGTGTCTTCTCGAGCTGCACGGCGACGGCGACAGCGGCAGCAGCGAGGAACCCAGGCACTCATATGCGGCAACTCAGTGACCCGGTCAGCACTCTGTACGAGTTTCCTTGGGACACATACGTGGAGAACCTAGCCGTCCGACCAAACGGCCAGATTCTCGTCAACCCACTCACGCTTCCTCAGCTCTATCTTGTAGAGCCCCGGCTCCCTGGAGAGATCTTCCTCGTCTACGAATTTCCCGAGATTCTTGGCCTCAGCGGCATCGTCGAGTACCAGCCAGACGTCTTCGCGGTGGTCACGGGGAACTTCTCATTATCCACAGGCGACTCAGGTGCTGGAACATGGGCTGTCTGGAGCATCGACCTGGGCGGTGTGAACATCACCTCGAACGATACTGTGCTCTCCGATCCGCCGCAGGTGAAGAAGATCGCCGACATACCAGAAGCAACCTTTTTGAACGGCCTGACCGTGCTGTCGAGTGCTGCGAAGCAACTTCTCCTCGTGGGTGACGTGAAGGCCGGGACCATCTACAGCTTGGATCCTGACACTGGCCATTATGCTGTGGCGATCAACAACACTTACACGGCGGCGGCAGATCTGTACGCTTTTGGAACAGCGGGAACAGATGGCATGAAGGTTCGAGACGAGATTCTATATTTCGACAACCCAGGGCAGGGCATCCTTGTCAAAGTCCCTCTCGATGCGAAGAATGGTACGCCGGCGGGAGACTTTGAAGTCATCGCCAAGACGATCACGTCGTATGATCAGTGGGATGATTTCACGTTTGACTGCGAGGGAAACATCTTCATGGCGACAGGAGGGGCGGATACAGTCCAGAGGATCGACGACAAGGGACATGTCCAGATCATTGCTGGAAACTTGAACTCGACAGCCATCTCCGAAGCAACGTCTACAAAATTCGGAAGACGTGAGGATGATGCTGATGTCTTGTATGTTACGACTGGTGGCGGTGCCGCAACGCCAGTAAATGGCGATATCGTCATTGGAGGTCAGGTGCTGGCGATCAAGACGGGGACCAAAGGCTCCTTTTGCTAGTTGACGTAACCATAGCGTAAAAGGGGAATATAATATTCAATCCTCCCTTGTCAAGCTTTGGCATCCTCTTCCTTGGCCTGGTGCCGATTCATCTCCAACATGCAGTGATTGAAAGCAGCTTTGTGGTATCAAAAGCTTTTGAAGAACAGGAGCCTTGGACACGCTTATGCAAGACAAAATAGAATACAGGCAACACAAATGCCATCTCGAATTACTTGAAGAAGAAAGAGACATTGTCAGTTTCTGACAACAGATGCTGTTGATGGCACGGTCAAATAATACTGAGGGGAAATCTAATAGCTTCGAGATCAAGTCTTCAAGGTTCTCGGATGACAGGGGACGCGTCCACCGCATCACGTGACTAGCAGCTTTAACCCCTCTGAGGCCCCCAAATGTTGTCAGCACGTACCCTGCTGACCTTGCCACGCCCAAGGGATACATTGGGGCAACATTTACCGTGGCTTAGCGTAAGATGCCTTCCGTTTTGCCGACCTGGGAAAACTGATTGATTGCTCGGTCTCACAATCGCCGTTTGAGCAACAGCCACCACCGCCAACCAACTCGTTTACCCCCCAAGGCTTGAGACGAGGCAGCACAGCTTTCTTCTTGTTGCCTCAAGGCTGATCCAACAATGTCCCCTCCCCAGATGAGACCGGAAATCTAGGCCAATCCATCCATTTTAGGTGCTTCTCATTTGGTCGCTTGGTCGTCTGCAGCCAATTCAGGTCTGGACGCAGGCCAGGTACATAGTAAGTTGAGAGCAATAGAACCCACCACAACCCTTGTTCACCTGTTGGACAGCCTAAAGAAAGAGGAACCCCTCCTCTCTTAGGCCCTCCCTGTCTGCCCTGCCCTGCCCTACACCCGCTGTTCACTGCCTGCCCCCCTCCTCTCTCTGCCCTCCACTGCATGCACTACGCCGAGTGCTGAATGCATTTGGCGTCTGCCCAGGCTTCAATCAAACTCCCTTGCCTCGTCCACATACGATTCGCGCCACACCCTTTGGTCTCGAACGCGACCACAACAAAACACAACACATTCCCTTGGCTCAAGTTGTTCTCTATTCCCGCTTCTGGTCTCTTCTACGCGGTCAGTCCATGCGAGCCCGTCCGATCCTTCGCCGCTGGCAGCAGTCGTCGTCATAGCTCCCCTCGAAGCTGCCGACGGTCGTCCAGAACGTCGGCTGTTCAAACCCTGTGGCTGGCCACATCCACAGCCTTCGATGACAGTCCAGATTCTGTCGCGCGCAATCGTTACTGACCGTCATCTCGTCGCCAAGTAGAACGCGATCGATCCATCAACCGACCGACCTACCGTGCTTACCACTAGCGTCTTCTTCTGTCTTCACCCCGGCCTTTTGGCCCCTCCCTCGAACCGAGACGAGCTGTCGCCGACGTACTCCTCTATGACATTACCAGTGGCCATTCTCTTCTGAACACGCTCCCCATCATGAAGCCCAAGGGAGGAGCTCGAAACTCGTCGGCGCCCATCGTAGGTCAGCAACCACCGGCATCTCCCACTGGCAAGGGCGCCAAGTACAGGAATCGAGACGGCTCAAAATTTATCACTCTGCCCGAGACCACTTCTGCTCCCAGCTCCGCGCAGCCCTCGCCAACTGCAGGCACCGTTGCGCCCGCCAACACACCGATCAGCAATACTCCTCTTCCGCCTGCCAGCAACGGACCCGCCGCCGCGGTGAATCGCAAGAAGCAGAAGCGCCGGGAGAAAGAACGCGCCAAGGCTGCCGCTGCCGCGGCTGTCAACGGCGCGTCAAACCCCCCATCACCTGCAGGCCACAGACCATCTGGAGATCCCGACCCAGTGGACTACAGTGACGAGGGCAATCACCTGGACAGTCAGTTTCGCCAGACGCACGGCGCGAGTAATGGTCATGTAGCCGAGTCCACTGGCAAACCCAAGAAGTCCAAAAAGAAGAAAAAGAAGGGCGGCGCCGCGGCGGATGAAGAGGACACCCTACCAACCCCGTCGATGTCTCAACCCATGACAGCCCAAGGATCCGGAATCTCGAGAGAGCGAATATGGAACACCAGCTCCCAGGAAGAGAGGGAGAGAATCAAGGAGTTTTGGCTCGGCCTTGGCGAGGATGACCGCAAGTCCCTTGTCAAGGTCGAGAAGGATGCTGTGCTCAAGAAGATGAAGGAGCAACAGAAGCACACTTGCAGCTGTTCAGTATGTGGCAGGAAGCGGACCGCGATAGAGGAGGAGTTGGAAGGTCTCTACGACGCCTACTACGAAGAACTCGAGCAGTTCGCCAATCACCCACAACATGACGGCCACCCGCCCATGATGGGCTCATCGCGGCATTTCAGCTTCCCTCACAGCAGCAGGTTCTCGGGCTACGCAAGCCACCAGCCTTCGCGAGGGCGAATAGTGGAGCATGTCGGAGACGATGATGATGACGAAGAAGACGAGCTCGACGAGACGTACAGCGATGACGAACTCGACGAGGACGCGTATAGCGATGACGAGCCTGAGGAGGTCACCCGCGACTACCCTTCCGACTTCTTCAACTTTGGCAGCAGTCTGACTGTTCAGGGTAGGGAATATTTTGGGTACTTGGACTTGGGGCGCACAATGGTAACATGACTCTGTTCTAGGTGGCATACTCACGGTGGCGGACGACCTACTGAAGAACGACGGCAAGAAATTCATCGAAATGATGGAACAGCTTGCGGAGCGACGTATGGCGCGCGAGGTCGACTCAGCCCAGGATCCTTACGCCCGAAGCTACGGTCACAGTGTCAACGGCGGTCTGCCTGGTCACGACCACCCCCCTCCACCACCTGTTGATGAAGGGGAGTATGAGGACGACGAGGACGAGGACTACGATTCCCAAGAGGAAGACGAGTACGAGGAAGACGACGATGTGAGTCCATGCGACGCGTTCCTCCGGGTTGGATTGCACGCGATGGTGGGTAACCTGACAAAGTCACAGGACACAATGACCGAAGAGCAGCGCATGGAGGAAGGCCGGCGGATGTTCCAGATATTCGCTGCGAGGATGTTTGAGCAGCGTGTGCTACAGGCGTACCGCGAAAAGGTCGCAAGAGAGCGACAGGCCAAACTCATGGAGGAGGAAGAGGAAGAGCTGCGCAAGGAGGAGGCGCGGAAAGAGAAGAAGGCTAAAGAGGCGCAGAAGAAGAAAGAGAAAGCGGCACAGAAGAAAGCCGCTGCAGCGGAAGAGAAGGCGCGCAAAGAGGCGGAGCGGGCCGCAGAAGAGGAGTCTCGACGACAGGCCGAGGCAGAGAAGGCCGAGGAGGCAAGACGCAAAGCCGAGGAGAAGCGCAAGAAGAGGGAGGCTCAGAAGAAGGAGGAAGAGGAAGAGCGGGCCAGAAAGGAGGCCGAGAGGCAGCGACAGAGACAGCTGCAGGCTGAACAGGAGCGCAAGGCCAGAGAGGCCAAGGAACGCGAGAAGAAGGCCCGTGAAGACCGCCAACTGAAGGAGAAAGAGGCTCGAGAGCAGAAGGAACGTGAGGCTCGGCAGCTCAAGGACAAGCACGATGCTGAGACGCGGCAGAGGGAGAAGGAAGCGGACAGCAAAGCCTCCGCCAAGACTGAGCTAAAATCAACTCAGAAGCAGAAGCAACAACAAGAGGAGCGGGCAGCAAAGAAAGCTGCAGTCCTTGCGACACCTGCGACACCTGCGACGATGACTCTCCCCAAGAGACCGGCCCAGCAGGCCACGAACCCAGCACTGCCGGCTCTGCCTCAACAACCTCTGACAGCGACTTCTGCATCACCGAAACTACCAGTTGCGACTCCAGCGTTACCCAAAGCGCCGACGCCTGTGCGGCCACGCCAGGCGTCACAACAAGATGGCGTCTCCATTAGTTTCGGAACCACGTCAATATCCGAAAATGCTAGCCTAAGTCAGTCTCCGATCGGTCACACACCTGCTCCGAACAGTCCTGGTTTATCAGGACCTCCCAGCCACAGAGGAAGTGTGGCGAGCCATCACTCGGCAAATGCCTCTCACGCAATGTCGCCATTGCAATCAAATATGGCACGCTTTCCGTCAACAAGCCAGCCTTCTCAGATCAACATGCCGCCAGTGGGCATGAATTTCCCACCAGGTCTCCACGCAGCACCTCCCGGATTCGCGAACCCACTGTTTTCGCCAGCGCCGGGCTTCAGACCACCCCCAGGAATGGGCCCTCCGGGACTTAGCAGTCCTATGATGAGTCGAGGTTTTCCAGCACCTGTCCCACCGCCAGGCTTTCATCAGCCAGTTGCGGACCCCATAGGGCCGTTCGCTGGAAATGGTCCCAAAGAAGCAACTCCAAGCTCGCATTCGCGTCAGCCATCCAATGGCTTTGATTCCCCAATGATGCACTCCGCTCAGCCCATCGGTCGCCCTACGCCAATCGGTCGCCCGGCATCTGTTGTACAGGGCCAGCGACCGCTCTCAGGCTCGCCATCTGGGACTCTGCCGAAGGTTGGCGATGAGACGGAAGATCATCTCGGGAGCAGTGCGCTTCTGGACGACTCGGATGATGTTGTCCCAACACTACCAGACTTCATTCCTGGTGGACGACGAGGATTCCCTGCTCCAGCTCGACCACAAGCTTTTCCGTCTCTACCATTCGGCGACCCTGGTGTCCTACAGCAGTCGCAGCCACTGTGGAGCTCCAGCCCGATACAGCCCTCCGTGATGAACCCATTTGCACAGTCACCAGCTCCTCCTCCTCCTGGCCTTGCTGGCCCTGGCGGCTGGCCGATGACCAGCCCCATTCCTGGGTTTAGCACGCCCATGGGGATGGGCCGACCGCCTGCCTCGTCGCGCCAACCAGCCAGTGTGGTCCGGCAAAAGCTCTGTCAGGTGTGTCGAGAGTTTGCTATGCAGGCGCCCACTGAGGATGGCTTCATTGCGCTCAGCCTGGTCCAGGACACACTGAAAGATCGGGTCGAGCACAACCCCTTGGGTAGTGGCCCGATCACCGAGACGGACATTCTGGCTCTCTGTGAGACAGAGGGAACTATGGCCAATGGCAGTGGAAACTTTGACATCCAAGAAGGCACTACTGGCAAGAGCATCAGATGGAACCCTGACAAGACACCTCAGGCTTATGGTGGCTTTGGTGCACCTGGTCAGATGACCAGCCCAAGCTCAACTTTTAGCCGCTAAAGGATATCTGGGCGACAGTGATGTTTACGACAGATGATGGCTGTCACCTGTTATTTTTCAGTCAATGACCTCAGCCCATCAGGAAATGGATGCATACATGGACATCACAGATTCAAAGTGATGTCATGGCGTCGCTGTGCAATACCTGCCAGTTACCTGCTGTTGATGCTGTTGATTGACGACGGGTGTCTGTGTCCTGAATCAACCAAGTACCTGTATGATCACCTAAATAAGCATACCTACTTAGGTACTTGTGAAGCCTCGACGTGAACCGACATCCTCTTGTGGGATATGACTGTAACGCTAGTTGAATATCCATATGTAGCGAAATGCATGCAGTGGTTCATACCGAACTCAACTAATTTGTTGTCCATGATGCAACAGCTCGCTCCCATTTTCCAGCTTGACAGCTTGGGTGTACTGCTTGTTTGTGACCTACAAGAGTTGATGATGCACCACGACAGCTGTGATGAGACATGTACCTTGATACTCCATTATGTGTGATTGCCCTGCATACAATAAGCTAACTAGCCCCAGATCTTTATGAACTCAAGTATAGACCATCCCTTGGGATTGCATGAGGGACAAATACTCTAGCCTATTGAATTCGGCAATTGCCTTGACTACTTCGGTACTCCCCAGATTTCTTCATTGCATCCTGAGGCTAGCCCATGATTACAATGAAAAAGAAGAAGAAGAAAAGAAGGCTTCAAAAGAAGATAAAAGAATTTCGCGCCACCTGGAGACAGTGTGATACCAGGGACACAGTGGGAACCAGCCATGCAGCTTGGCTGCAGAGGGCCAGTCGCCCGAGGACCAAAAAATTGGCGGAACAGAAGTCCGGCCCGTTTGTGAGGCCGGTTCAACAGCTGTTACACTGTCAAGAACAGATACTACATCTAATCAGAGCCAGAGTTGACTTGAGAAGGATGAAGAAGAAAAAAGGGAAAAGATACAGTCTTGAGAGGATGGCTGCAGAGGTGGTATTTATAAAGCGTGGTGTGGTCGGGCGTTGGGGCGGGAAGAGTCACCGCCGCACTGCTGCCTGGCGGGTTGGTGGAGTTCACCGAACAGTCATACACAGCGGGGCCTGCGATATTTGAATGATTCTCTATTTCTTCCCCTACTGAGTCAGGTCGTCTATTGAGACCAGTTGCCTATAGATTCATTTACTCAACAAACCGGCTTTGGCTTTGTCATAGGTGTGCATCGCATGAATGGGGTTCTGCACCGTTTCTGACTGATTGATGTTATTTTTGTCAAGGATAAGCTTGCTCCAAAGTTTTGAACGGCGGCATAATCTTTGGCATGACTTATAGGGAAAGGAGAGAGGCCGAGAATGGGAACGGGGAAAAAGCGACAAAGACTTTTTGCGATCTCAACAAACAACTACGAAATCTCGATTCTCGGAAAGTATAGTACACAAATCAACATTCAAGAGTCGCTGCGCAGGAACGAACTCCCAAGGTCAACGTTATAGATCACTTTTGAATACGATCGTTTGGGGTGCCCAACGCTCTGCGTCGAGGAAATAATGCAATGGTTATGATTGTAAGTAACTCTCAATTACGCAACAGCGTTGGGGTCGAGATGATCTAACCCGCCAGGCGTTAGAAACGGCGTACTGAAGTGCTCTTCCCTGTCTCTTATGAGATGAAAATAAGTCCCCAATGGCTACGAGCATAGCTCTATCCACAGCTTAGAAGTCTGTCTGCAACGCTCTCTTCGCTGCAGCTGTGCAGGTCGCCTCGCACCCAGCACACGCAGCTCCGGCGCTTCTCGTCGATCCGTCCGACACGACAGTCGGCCCTGGAGCGATGTATGTTGTCATGGTCTGGTCTATTCGGGTATTAGAATCAGGGGAACCGAGGGGCTGGGGGAGGCGGGGGAGGCAGAAAAGGTATTCAATGCCCTTTGGTTCCAAAGTATACACCCGAAGATGAAAGAAGCAAGTAAAAGAATCACTCACAGATATTGATGAGAATTCCCGGATCTGAAGCCGAGTATGCACCTGGCAGCTTGACTGTGGCTGGCGACGCCGTACCGCTTCCATTGACGGTGATCTGGTAGCAGCTCATATAGAACTGCGCGCCGCCAGTCGAGCTCGCCACGTGTAAGGCGATGACCTCGGCACGGAGGAGGTAATCCCCAGCCGCGATATCTGAGGGGATCTTGACGTCCATCTTGCCGCAGCAGGTATTGAGGTCCTTGGTGCCCCAGTCATCATCCGAACCCGAGCTGCCCGCGTTGGCCCACGTATCCTCGAAGATCTTGAACCATCCCGCCGAGGCACCGACCGCCGTCGTGGCATCCGCCACTTTGGCCATGTAAACCTGGACCGGCCCGTAGTGGTCGCCACCGATGGCCTCGTTCGCGCACGAGCGGTCGCCGGGCTGCTGATGCATCTCGACCGTGACGGTGCTGCCGGCGTTGACGGTGCATTTCTGGGCGACTGGGCTGGTGCCGGCGTTGCAGGCGATGTCGTTGGATGTGACGTCTGTGACAGGGTTGTTGCTTAGGGGCAGACGCACGCATGTCGACTGGTTTGGGTTTGTCAGCCTGGAGAACAAGTGTTTCGTTGATTTGAATGAGAGAGGACTCATCTTGTCTACCCCATCTACCCACAGGTCTTGAAATGTAGCATGGCCAGCAACCCTGTGCGCAGACAGACCCGCTATGACTGTGAGCAGGGTAATCTTCATGATCATCCTTATGGTCGCCTATAAGAATCAAAATGTGAGGGCAAAAAAAGTCTTGGCTCTTTGTAGATCTCTGCAAGATTGACGGCAACACTGCTTGAAAGCGCATATTCGCAAAACGTCAGAGGCAAGTAGCACTTGGGGCAATTTATATGGCAGGATCGTAGACCGTTTGACTCGAATCTTGATGGCTACTGACAGACAGATCTCATTCTGTTGCCGCTCGATCCGGCCATGCCCCAAGAAGAGATCTATCGTGGGTCCCGTGAGAGGCCTCGTGGTCGCTCCTCAGCATGATTGATTGGGTATCATCACTGCCTGCGATACTGTCCCATGGATGCATCGTCTGGGACTTCATTAATTTCAAGCCGCATTGCCCAGAGATATAGGCAAGAACAGGGTAGCCTTGCAGTTCCAGGAATCGCTCTTGTCGATCTAAACAGGGTAAACGGCAAGAACAAGGACGACGGATTGGTCGGCTGAATGCATCAATATACGGCAAATACCAAGGCCTTGTGCACTAGAATCATAATCTGGCCAATCCCGGAAGCGCCAAGATGTTCTTCGCAGGCTGAATATGTTTATATGTGACATATACGGAATGACAACCGCCGAGCGTTCGGCTCTTGTTATATGGTTGCCAACACGAGGGCAAGTCCTGCAGTGGGTTCCGAAAATATGATTTTGCCTTCCAATACCTGTTGTGAGACTGCAGCCGAAGGATGCCTTCTGCGCAAACACTTGCGGAAAGACGGTACAGGAGATAGAGGCGGAGAATCAGACCATAGCTGCTCTCTATAATCTGCTACCGAAGGAGGTCTCATAAGCGAGGAATATGACTTCCTTTTTGAAGCTGTGTCTCATGGCATAGAGCGGACTTCAGAGACGAGCGGTCCAGGCCTGGCGTCTCAACATCCATGGATAATGTGAAGTTGAAGATACAGTGCCATCCAGAACAAGCAGCCTTCTACAACAATTCATTCGGAATGAACACTCGGGATCTAGCAATCTTGCATTTGGAAGCTTTTGGGGCCAGGTTCCGGGCTGAAAGGCAAGGCTGTTTGTATGAACGAACGCTGCTAAAGACTACGTCAACCTGTGCTGCACAATTCTGACGGCCTTCAATCGTGGTTCCAAACCAGTAGTGCATAGCAGTCTTGCTTTCTGCAGAAAATGTAAAGGGTGGATGCGGTGAAAATTGGGTTCAGAGCTGATGGGAGGAAATTCCATAGACAGCCAAAGCCGAGCATAGGCCTCAGCTAAATTCAACAACTATAGCAGTTTGGGAGGGTCAGCAGCAGCCATGAACGTGACGTTAACAGGGTTAGGGTTGCTGACATTAGCATGCCTAGAGGCCCTCCGAGCTGCGTATTGCCAAGGCCTGGACTGCCTGTGACAAGCCTACGTCATCAGAGAACCTCCCTCGCGATATACTTTGTGGAATAGATATTTTCTAACACACAAGACTGAACAACTCCCTCACGACCAAAAGTACCCTCTTTCAGCAATCTGCCCAAGATGCCTCTCGTTGTTCCCGGCGTGACTACGCAGTCTGGCGACAAGACTGAGGAGTGGATGAACAAGTTGGTGGGCAAGCAGCTACACGACGGCGAAGAGTCCAACGAGACTGTAAGTCCACACAGTATTCCAAGATCGAGAATGTGTCTGTGGAACAGACTGACTGATCGACGCTCTTTCATCTTCATCTAGCTCTTCGCGAAGAGAGAACTCCCCGAGAGCCACAGAATCATCCAACCTGGTCAGATGGTCACTAGGGATCTTAACCCTGACCGCCTCAATATCCACGTGAAGGAAGATGGCACAGTATCTCATGTCACTCACGGCTAAGCTGGGACGTGCTGTGATGGTATTTTGAGGAGCCGCCTCTTTTTGGTGGTTGAGTGGAGAGATGGGATCTGGGCAGAGCAGATGTGGTGGCCGCCGGTGCGAGCTCTGCTTCTTCCTGAGATACCTCTTGCGACCTAGTCATATTCCAAAGACACGTATCCTCATAGCAAATGTTACACTTCATTTAGCAGTCTAAATAATTTGATGATGACTTGACAATGTTGAGACCTGATCGGCGTGCGATGCTCGTTGCTCACTGCCCCGCACCGCCACTAGAGACCCCCCCCCCCCACCCCACCGCCAGGCCCACAGCACCCAGCACCCCAAATTCCATTTGACCCCGCGGTCGCATCGCGGGGTTCTTTTGCAGCCAGCAGCAACGCAGGCGGTTCCAACATTAGAACTGCACTCTTCCACCCGTCTCCAATACACACCACACCAGCCTCCATACACCAGTTGAAAGGTAGCCAAGATGTTTAAAAAGGAGTGAGTATTCCGGTCCCGTCAAATGAACAGCCCTCTCCACGAGCTCTCCGCCAAACAAATCCTAGCCCTCATGCGGCTCTCAGACGAGGCCAATTTCAATCAAGCACTCCCAGTCCATGAAGAATGAATGAAGACTGACCAGACCCTCTCTCCTCTTCACAAAACAGCATATCCTCGGCGCCCAAGTCCAAGCTCAAGTCCTCCGTCCAACGGTCCCTGCGCGGGTCCCTCCTCTCGACCTACCCGCTCCTCAATCCCTACATCGATGAGGTCCTCCCCAAGAAGGCCTCCCTCGAGCAGATGAAGCTGCCTGACCGTGCATCTCTGTACGTCATCGACGGCGAGCCTGTGTTCTTCCAGCATGACGGCGGCACCCTCCTCCCACACCTGCGGCTCGTCCACCGCTTCCCTGCCGCCTTCCCCACCGTACGCATAGATCGTGGCGCCATCCGCTTCGTGCTGAGCGGGGCCACTCTCATGGCGCCGGGTCTGACGAGTAAAGGCGGCCGCCTGCCGGAGCCGCGTGATGGGGACGAGGGCGTGGATGAGGACGGCCGCTGGAGCCGTGAGCTGGACAAGGAGGAGCCCGTGGTCATCACGGCGGAGGGCAAGGAGCATGCGTGTGCCGTGGGCCTGCTGGTCGCTGGGACGAAGGAGGTGAAGGAGAAGGGCAAGGGCCCGGTGGTCGAGGAGGCGCATTTCCTCGGTGACGGGCTGTGGAAGCTGAACCTGGACTGAAGAGTTCTCGTGGTTTTGGGTGGGACATGGAATAACAGCGACTGACAATCTGGTCTTGGATGAGATACTCCAAGCACAGGTGGAGGTGAGCCTTTGTATACACGGTGGGGCGTTCAGAGAGCCAATGCAGCGAGACATGTCTCTCGGGCTGGGGCTGTGGGATGGATGGGACCATAGTGCTTGTCAAGGGTAGCAGGTCCTCAAGCGTCCTTGACTTGTACAACTCATACTATCCGCTGCCCTCTACTATAGCAAGAGTTTGGATGGCTTGCAGGGTTCACGACCATTCCATTATGGATCTGAATATAATCCAAGACGATTTGACTGATCATGCCAACTCGGGAGCACTCAACTGCTTCGAGTTCTCAGCACTGGCTTCTTCACGAACAACTGAAGAACTCCACTGCTTCTTGTCAAAACACCACCGCTTGTTTTCTTCTTTATCTGAGCTTCCTTCGTAAGGTGCTTGTTGAGTATTATCTGTTTGGGTGATGTTCCTGTGGTATTTCGCTTTTTCTGTGAGGAGCAGCAGCAACAGATGGTTGGGCTGATACCCGATTTTCTTATGGCACATCATGTGTAGCAATCTATCCGCATCCTACCCAAGAGCTTTTTCAGGAGCAGGTGTGACCAGAGTGTGAAGAGAAATCAGGCAATACGCATTCTCGGGGGTGGTATTGACAGCTCTTTGCCCTGCGCCACCCAAGGCCACGGATCGTTTTGCTTACCCCCGAGTACTTACTGTACGATGCTTCTTCTCCACACGGTATGTCTTTGAAGAGAGATAGATTCCAAGATCTTCATCATCTTACCCAACTCTAGGGTCGCGTACGTCAAAGCCTGCCACGTAATTAGCTACTGAGTCCTCTGCCGGAACCTTCGACCCAGAGAGTTGGTTTTTACACATGCCTGCATCGGGAATGTGTTCCCCGTGGCTCAAACAAGAGTATAGACTACACGTTCCTCTCGCAGAGGGACATCCAGGTGGACACGCACAGGTCAGCCCAGCCAATATCCTCACCAATCCTGATGAATTGGGTCGTTCTTCCTAAAATGCTATTCTACTATATAACATCCCGGTGTTCAATCCAAGATTCTATCTATAGTCGTCGGATTCGCAGAGAATACGTCAACGCTGCCACCTTAGGTTTTCAGCGGGCCATCGCCATTACTCTACACAGGAGGGCCAGGACAAACCATCAGGAGGACGGCCGAGTCACACAGTGCTGAGTATTTAGCGACTTCTCCTCTGTCATATACGCAACAAAGTGGCCTCATCGCTAGCATGTCACAAGAAGCATAGGAGCCATGAAATTGTAGTCACAATTGAATGAATTCTGGACCTGCCTTGACAGACCATATGATGGGTATGGTGACTATGAAAAAAACAAACAAAAACATAATCATAAGCCTCAATCTCAGTCAGAACCTTGACCGGTGCAAAGGTGATATCACAACTCTCATTCTCAGTCAGAACCATGATTGGTGCAAAGACGGAATTGCGATCATCACCTCAGTCGGAACCTTCCACGGTGCAAAGATGAGGGGGGAAATAGAGGAAAAGGAAGAAGGAGGAGTGAGAAGACCTCATGTTCGCAGAAACCCATCCCTGAGCGGAGAATGTGTGAGTGAATATGGCTCAAGGATGGATCTGGAGAAGGCGAACCACCTAAAGGCGGATGCGCCGCTGGAACATGTGACGGAAGAGCTCGAGGGCGAAGTCGACGTCAATGTCCCGGTACAGCTGTGTCATGAGGGGACCAGGGCAGTTGGCGTTGACGAAGGTGAGAATCTTGTCCTTCATCGGAGCCTCATGATCAGGGAAGGTGGAGTGGAGGAGGGTGTAGGCGGCTCCATAGTTGTGAAGCATTGCCCGGTGACGGTCCTCGGCGCCGGGGATGTTCTGCTCCAGGACCTCATAGTCATAGACAGACATCCAGGTGGCGTTGTCCAAGAAGTGCTCATCCAGCGCCGTCCTCAGCCAGCCCAGAACTTTGACCATGTGAAATCGGTCGGCCAGGATGAAGAGTCTGATAAGGTTGTAGAACTGCTCCTCACGAAGGCCGAGCTGGATGCGCGGGGCCGTTCCATTGGTCCGGACGAATAGGTTGAGCCGGACGAAGTCTTCCACTTCGAGATCGTCGAAGTGGATGGTATAATCATTGGACTCCAGGAAGGGGCCCCGCATCGCCGCCTCGAAATACGCGCCGAAGTCGCTGAATAGCTTGCGACTGAGTAAATACTCAGTCCAGTTCTTGACTCGGCCATCCTCCAAAATGTTGGCACACAGGATCCGAAGCTTCGGACTGGATGAAGATTATTAGCCAATGCCACAGAGAGAGGTGAATCAACCAGATGCTATGCTTACCCCTGGTCGCAGAAGAGAATGTACGCGATGAAATCGCAAAACATCTCGGGTGGCGTCATCTGGGTGTATGCCTGTCAAGAGCAAGTCAGTATTAAGTCACGTACAAGAAGTCAGGGAAAAGAGAATAAAGAACTTACCACCCCACCAGCCGGGCCGGTGTACGGCACCACCTCGACGGGAGGGCTGCGAGAGCCCTCCTCGCCGTTGGTGGCGACGACACCGCCCTTGTTGTTGTTGGTGGTGGTGGACATTTTGGCTGGGTTGGGATGTTAGAGGTTGATGGTGACTGGAGAGAAGATTGACTGTGAGAACGGTGCTGATCGTAAAGACGAAAGACTGGGTGTGAGGAAGGTGAAATGTGATGGTAACTGAAGAAGAAGATTGAATGTGAGAACTGTGCTGTGTTGGTTATGGAAACGGTGTGATGTGATGGCTGCAGAAGGAAAAAGAAAATTCAATCAGCATTGCAGGAGGAGTGAGGGTGCATTTATATATCAAGAGGCTGCCCCATGCCATGATGTCGACTTCATGAAGTTTCCGGAAGATGTGACGATCAGATAGGGAAGAATGTGTGATTGAGCTGCACAGCCATTGTTGAGGGGAATGCAGAAGGCTGCGGAAGGTGCCAGAGGTGATGGGGAATGACGACGAGGCTAGCAACAAGGCTGGGGGCATGGATGAGGAGGAGGACATACCAGCTTCAGAAGACGCCAGCGCCTTCTTCTTCCACCATCCTCTGGCAGGTACCGGCACCTACCAGAGGCGACCACCCCAATATGGCCCATCAAGGGCAGGGGGGTGGCCACACCATATCATATATGACCCCAAAGCTGGTCCTTTGCAAGCCAGCTTGGAGAGAAGCTTGAGGGAGAAAGTCTGAAATCAAGCAGGGGCGATGGGCGACGTGACCCTTGTATATATAGTAGACACCCAGGACGCACGGACCACCTTGTGCACGTGGGTTTGCATGTTTTAGAAGCACATAGACATCCACAGGAATATTCGCATAGGTTCTATTGGGTGTACTGTTGTAGGGAGATGTGATTTTTGGTGATTTTTTTGTCAACATTGAAGGTGGGGCGCGGCGTGATTGGCTGCCAGTGTGCTAACCAAGCCATCAGACGAGACATAAAATAGAACAATGGGAAACAATGGTAGCAGCTTGGCTTCGAAGGGATTCTAGCATGATCGCTTTCCAGGTGGACAGCTATGGAAGGGAAATGAGTAAGAGAGAGCGCACCATGGAGGGCCTTCTCGAAGATGGTGAAGCCACAAGAGAGATCATAGACAGAACAACCTCGAAATCTTTGGCAAGAAACACAATTCTAAGCAATGCTGCTACCAGACACATCGAAGGCATCTACACCCTCTGACACCTTCTTCAGCATACGATCCGAAGAAGGAGACATGAGACTAGAACGGTTTCTAACGGCGCTTTCGAGAGAGACCTCGATAGAGGAAGGCATCATGATACTACGAGATGGAGGAAGTGACGGGAAAACAAGTCGAAAAGGAAGAGAGAGTTATTGGAGATTACGCCAGCAGGTACTCATTCCTCAACGAGATTAACGAACACGTAATACCCTCAATGTTTACTTTGTTTACATGTATAATCTTGATCGAGATTACGGTTCTGGTCCCTTATTGCCTTGTATATTCGTTCAGCGTAGAAGTTGCTTTTGGAAGACAATATTTGTCAAGCGGTGTCCTGGCACCATTTTGACACTACCATATTCAGGTGGCCAACTCTGTGCCGCAGAAGATCACGCGCTATGCCATTCACGACCCTGATGTTCTCCTCAGCACGAACGCCAAGTTGACGCTGAGACCACTTCGACCTTTCAATGAGTCCAGGGCGACAACCACAGATCATTTGCTGATAAAAAAGTACGACTTCCACTTGGAATTGGGGTAGGACATAATTGATGGCTATATCACGCTCGATGTACATTGCTTGATGTCATGATAGAGATTGGTCGAATTCACGTTACAGGATCGCGTCTCCCAACATCCAATGCCCCGCCAAGGGACACATACGTGAACTCGAATGGATCAAAAATCTAGCTAACAACTAGTCTGAATACAGTCTGTTCGAGGTCAAAGAGTTCGGCGCCGAAGCAAGGTCAGTAAGCGTGTCTGTTGCTCCTTGCCGATACTCAAAGTAATCTTGGCGGCCAAACATAACCTCGAGGAATCAGGCACCTACACATTGGATTGCTTGTGCTCAGACGCTGAGGGAAGGTAATCATGGTTACCGACAGACGAAGGCAGTGATCGAACTTGTACGATATACACTGTTGATGCGCACACATGGCTGATGAGTTGTGTGGCAAGCAGTAATTACTATGGCCAGTCTACGACAGCACGACACACCGAGATCACGTACGGTGGGATTGCCCGCTGGCCATGAGAAGATGAAGAAAGTTATCGAGCTGTGGCATCGTCTGATAGACCCATTGTCGCAATATCAACATTAAAGAGCGGGAGCAATACAGGAAGATGCCAATAAAGAACGAGAGGGTATATGTTTATTTTTTCACCGAAGTAAGGAGACCTCGAGAGTGACAGCAACTAACATTGCTGACTAACTCTCTCCACGACAAGACGCATATTAGATCTCAATATGAGCGGCAGACTCGCAGCACGTGGGGCGTTCAGGTCGTGATCTGCGAGAGAATTTCGCTTACGCTCCCTTCTCGGTCGCCTCTCCGTCGGTCGAGATCTCAACGGTAATGGACGTCTCCTGCGAGATGGAGCCGTAGCGATCCTTGGCATCCTGCCACTTATCCCCAAACCTCTCGTAGACCTCGTCGATTGCCTCCTTGAACTTGGCCTCGGTAAGCTTGCGGACGGTGCTCCCTTTCGCGGTCCGAACGAACTCGCCAGCTGGAACCAGCAGGACATGCGTCTTGGCCACGCGGATATGCATCTGTGCCTTTTCGTTGGCGGGCTGGATTGCCTGGTTCCAGATGTCGACAGCCAGGTCTCGTGATACTGGAACGCCCTCGGTGAGCTCGATCAGCGCGAGGGGCTGTTGGTGCATGGCGCCAACGAGGATCGCGGCGCGGGCTTTGGGATGGCTGATGATGGACCGCTCGATGGGGCCTGGGTGCCCATTGACGCCCGTAGAGAAGGAGATGAGGTCGTCCTTACGGCACACAAACTTCCAGGCGAACTTGGCCTTGGCTGGATCTGGATGGGGTGTCCAAAGATCGCCCGTCCGCCACTCTGGATACGGCGGCGAGCTGGTGGAGGGATCGATGTCTTGTCGGGCGTGCCAGCTTGCGATGGGCGCCGACTTTTCTGTAATCACCATGACAAATTCGTACAGCTCCTGCGCGAGACCTTCTTCTGAGACGTAGTCAGCGTTTTCGACATGGCGGAATTCGTAGCCCTCTGTGAACACATCAAAGTAGTTGTATTCAAAGTCTTCGTTATCGGCCTCGAGTTGTGGCGCGAACAGCGACTCAGTCGCGCCCCAAGCATTCTGTATTTTCGTGTGTTTTGCCCATACGCTCGCGGCGAACTTTGAAAGCACGGCTGTTCCATCCACCGAGTGTAGTGTCAGCCAACAGAGCGCAGCCAAGGTACGATTCACGAGTGTCAATAGGGGCGCTGCTTACCACCACCAAAACAGACGTGTTCAAAAGGCCTGATGAAGTCTCCAGCGTCGGGCCGGCGAGAAAGATCTTCCATCATCCATGGCGTCATTATTCCCTTCGTAACTTTGGCCTGCGGGAGGATCTGGCAAAGGTCGCTCGGGCTCACGCCATGGTGCCTGAAGCCTGGAATGACTATTGCTCTGCCGAAAACAGAAAGACACTGCGAGACTTTGGATCAGCTTTGAATTCTCAGTGCCAACGTAGAACCACTTGTGCTCTCTTACCATCATAAAGCCAGCAGAGATGGCATGTGCAGGCGATGTATTGAGCAGATACCTTACGCCCTCGCCAGGATGTGTCAGTAGTAGACAATGTTTTCTTCCCTGGACATCATCAAGCAGCAACTGACGATCTTGCGTCGCCATGAATCTGTGATTCCACACGATGGGTTTCTGCACAAGGATGCTTTAGTATGAAGTCACCAGCGAGAAAGCCCCAGTGGTCGTTTGGCAAAAGTGATCACTTAGCTTACCGGGTCTCCTGTCGTTCCACTCGTATGTAGGACCACATATGGGTCGTGTTCGGCTTCTTCGTACGTCTTGGTGTAAGGCCAGTGAGGCACCTCATCGGCGTCCAGGAGATCGTCCAATTCAGGAATGACGGCGTGCTTCATCGGTCTGTCCGCCAGGATGTCGCGGACATGGACTCCAAGCGCCGAAAGAAATGCTTTGCAGTCAGTCTGCTCCATCAAGGAGAGGTGGACTGCCTTGCTATTCACCTGCGACGAAAACAACACCTTGTGCCCTGTTTTACAGACTGCCATCTGGATCATGTGGTAGCGGATGTCTGCCACGCCGAGGTACGCCACGGTCTCGAAAGAGGTCGACTTCCCAATAGTCGAGTCGATGAACCATGCCAGCTTGTTGATTGCATTTGCAAAGCGGCCGATAGATATATCTTCGAAACCCTTGGACAGATCATAGTCGTCTATGGGAAGAGAGCACCACGGGCTATTCGGCTCCTCCCGTGCTCTCTGGTCGATGTAGGCTGGAAGTAACCTTCGACCACAGTCTGCAGGGAAATCTTTACCATCTTTCCACATGGTGTGCGATGGTATGGATACTCCTCTTTCTTGTTTGTGTGTCCGTGTGCGTGTGTGTATGTTTGTGTCAATGTCCGAAAGCTGTATTCTCTCTCTCACTCTCCCGAAACTGCATGTGAACAAGATAGCTAGGGCTGCTCCCTCCTAAAAGGCCGCAGGATTCTTGAGATTATAGCAGGTCAAGTATGTCCTAGGACAGCATGAGTTGTCACTTTTGTACTGCAAACATTTCCCCTTTCGGTACGTATCTTCCAGGGGGGAAAGAAGATAGTGCGACACCAAGTGGAGTGCACTCCCCATGCTGATCAACCGGATTTACCGTGGACACAACTCTTCGGTGACGTGCTACAAATGAATGGCCGTGGTCCTGTGGGCCAGGGAATATTGCTTTCTAAGTGGCAAGCCGTAACCCCGTCACTGAAAGGCGAGATGTCTCTCGGGGGGTTGGGGTGGACTGAGTACGACTGTAACCCCAGAAGAAAGAGCCAAAAGAAAGAGAGATGCGGTGACCTTTCTCGCAGGTTGCTCTTGGAGCTGGGGAATTATGTACTAGTATAGGTGACCAGAGCTAGCTACATAGTACCTAGCTTGGGAGAGATCACATCTCAGGCCCGAGAAATAAATATGTGCCGCAGCCACATCCCACCTGAGCCGTACCTACGACCATTGGCCATGGCAGGGTGACTAAGGCTGTTCTATGTGGACAGCCCAGGACAGGGTCGTAACATCCTGGAAGAGCAGGTTTAGGGACTGTTGGACCCGGAGGAGGCAAGACGTTTCGCCCGGTCCAACGGATTCAGAAGTGGTGAAAGACGTGAAGCCACAAGCAAGAACACTTGCGTGGTGGTTGGAGGAGGAGACCTAAACATACATGGCCACAAGAATTCTGGGCCCTAATCTCCCCATCAAGGCTGCAGGCCGAAGCCGAACATGAGGCGTACAGAGAGCACGGCCCCTGATGTGGCCAGCCCCGTGGAAGTTGTTCATCAGCAGACAACATCCTTTAATTTGGTTGGTAAGGCAAGGGCGCACGTCGAATAGACAGATACATGTGGCTCTCCTCCAGATCTCACCTGTTGAGGTGCGGAAGACCCCGCACCTCAAGAGGCTCGAGCGCAGCAAAGCATATAGTAGGCAGGGTTCGCGGTTATTGGGCCTGCTTATGATGACCATAAGGCCTCGTAGACCTTCTTCACGATCGCGTGGACTGAAGCTGTGAGCGGGTGCCCCCAAGAGTGGTGTGGACGACGGATGAGGGTGTCGTAAAAGTACCACTACTAAGTATAGCTGACTAGAAGAATGTCGTTGAGCAATCCAGCGCCCAGCAATAACAGGGCATCCTCGGCCAGTTACCCCTGGTTAGCTTGCCGTGCTTGCCACCTTCCCGTGGTGCGTGCGGGTAAGCATGACAGGGTAGACCTTGGGCTCGCCTAATGCTTTCCCCAGGAGCTTGGGCCGCTGAGAAATTTCCTCCCACGACAAACAATCAACAACAACTTGGCCTGCCTTCTTTTACTCAACGCTGTTATTGGGACTCAAACTCCTGCGGCGTCGAGGAGTAATTCAGCGTATGGCGTGACGGTGCATACATGGGAGCAATCCCTTCTTTCAAGAGCCAGATGGGTATGCATAATGGTATTTTTGACTTGAAGCTTGGAATCAACTACTTGCAGCTATGTCTCTGCCTGCGTCAAGTCCTGCTCAATTCAACGTGACGCCATATGGTCCTTTCTCTTCCTCTCTTCTCACGTCTAAAGGGTACGTACATGCTTTCTTATATATACACATTGCGCACTGCCTCCATGCATGCTCGAAGGATGAACCATATATTCACACTGCGAGGACCACCATTACCTATTGTGTGTGGCGGTCCTGTGAGCGGTACAACACTGAAAATTCTGACTACAGCACCCCCTCGTCACCTTTTACTTCTTCAGTATCATTGCATCCATGGCTGCGGCTAACCATGATACAGTCCCTTCTTAGATGGCCGACAACTGTCAGTGTAGGCCTTTGGCAGTGCTTCGTCATAAGCCTAGACTTGCGGTCTCTGCACACTTGATACCTCATGGCCGTGGCGGTCCGGGTGTCTTGCCATCCTGCCACGTTTTCTAATCATGATCCGTGACGATGAGATGAATGTAGCTCACTAGAGACCAAAGGTAAGATTACATAGCCAGCTAGCTCAAGTTATCGTAACATAGCATTAATACCTGTCATGTCTCTGCTGCCGGTCTCCAAAAGTGTACAAGGTATCTGACCGTACAGGTATTTAACCGAGCTCTTTCTCTGTCAACGCCATATCGTTCAACTCGTCCCTATCTGTGCGTCCCTATCTGTCCATTCTTACGACTCCACGAGCCTCCCATCTAGCCAATGCACTGCTGTCTCTTTCCCATACAGCTCTGGCCTCTTCCTAAGAGTCTGTACCGCCACTCCTAAACGTGGCACAAAGAGCAGCGTAGTAGTGGGTAAGGTCCAGCACGTTTTGCGGAAGGCTTGTCGCCTGAATGATGCTGCGCACCTTGACGGCACCCTCGTCCTCGATCAGTGTGCGAATCGTGTGCAGGAGCTCTGGGCTGAACTCGCTGTACCATCGGTACTGCCAGGTCACGAGGCGGATCGTCGCCGCCACCGTGTCCCGCGTATTCTTCTGCCTCTCGTGTACCCTTAGAATGCCCGTCAGCGCCTTGGGGCTGAAGCGCTGCATCAGACAACCCCGGTAAGCTTCGACCGCCTCCTCGGTGTGCTGCAGACGCTCGGCGAGGGAGCCTAGGATTTCCCACTCCTCAGCGGACTTCTTGTATTGCATGGACTGTGCCCGAAACTGAGCCATTTGTGTCCGCCAGATTGTGTAGACACGTAGGTCTTCGTAGAGCACCATAAACAGGCTGTCCAACCAGCGTTCACAGAGGCGCTTGTTGTTGAGGCGAGAAAGATGCTCCTCGGGCTGAGAAGTTACTCCCTGCTCATCATGATTAGCTACGCTGTGAACAGAGTGGCGTTCATTAATATTGAGACTCACATTCTCCTCGGCCTTGGCCTCAGTGGGCTCAGCCGCGCTGGTAGGCTTCTCCAACTTTTCCCCGTGACCGTTGGTTGCTGAGCCTTCCACATTGTCCGCTGATTTTCCCTCCGCTTCCGCGTTGTTCTCATCATCATCATCCGAGCGGTCCCCATTTGTCGCAGGCTCCGGCGTCCCTCGGATCACATCAGTGCTGGCACCTCGCTTCGACGGCGTGCCCGATTCTTGCTTCTCGGTCCGATACTCGTCCTCCATAACAAACACATTGCTTCGGATCTTCAGCAGCTGGTCCCAACCAATCTTCGCAGTCATCTCCGTCAATATGCTATACGCTTTCTTGAAGGTTCCGCGGTAAGAGGCAGCCCGAAGGTTGAGGAGACTGGGCTCCACTTGCTCCGAGTACCTTGACTCTGGCTCGCTGTCGATCTCGTCAAGCCTTGTCTCTGGCAGGGTCGGTAGGTAGACATCCTTTGGTTCGGGCATTAGGGGTGTGTCCTTGTCCTGGTACGTGAACATGGGACAAGAGTTCAAGATCGTCAGCGCATTCTCCCAATCCTCCATGGCGACATAAACTTCCGCAAGCCTAGCCCAGGTCCCAAACTCGCTTGGCGCCGCAATCGTGCTCCGGTCGGCACAACCCAGGGCTAGGCGGAGACGCTCTTCCTTTTGCTCCGGTGTAGCAGCAGTCTGGGCCTTCTTAAGCAAGAAATGGGCCTGTGTATCGAGCATCACGTAGTCCATTGGCCTCTCCTTGAGCGCAGAGTGTAAGACTTTGACACCCTCGACCTCCTCGTTCCCCATGAACAGGACCTTTGCCAGTAAGGACGCCACCTCAGTGTTTTGTGTGCGCAGCTTCTCAAAGAGATTGATGCCTGACGCGTAGCGACCAGTGGTTTCGAAATACTTCAAGAGGCCCGTGGTGAGGTGATTCGAGACAATGTTTGGTACCTGGACGACCGAGTCGGAGCCGAGTTGCCAGCCTGTCGCAGGGTCAGTACTTCATCAAGTGGCGGGCCCTAGAATTGATGACTTGCCTCTGAAGAATAGTTGCTCGGCAGCGCCCAAGAGTCTTTGCTCGGTCTCCGTGTTGGTTACTGGATTGAATCGTCGCACGCCCATGATCTTCCTGATGGTATCACCACTGCCGTCGTCGGCGTACGAGTAGGCGCGCAGGACGCTGCAGAGGTACGTCTCGAGCCAAAGTTCATCCGTAGCCTTCCTCTTCTCGCCGCGCTCATCGACGCAGTAGCTCTCGACAGTGCCGGGAATGGTGACATGAACTCGCATATCCAATCTGGAGAAAGCATTGTAACAACTATTCGCGCTGCTGTCAGCTCGCCATCCCGTGAAATTAACGAGGGGGCGTTGAAGCGTACCAATATACGCCCTCGACAATTTTCGCGGTTTGCGGTTGTCCGTGCTCTTTATAGGTAAGGGTGTTTATATATGCTGCAAGACTTGCGGAGGACGAAGCATCGACGCCGGTGACATGGTGATAGACTCCAATCTAGTAGAGGGTCAGAGCCAATTTGCAATGTTGTCGTTTCGATCGGGTGGGTGACCAGCGTACATGTTTGACAGCATTTCTCTGTGGCTGCTTGAGGAGATGAACCAGATCTGGCGGGCCCAGCTCACGAAGGGAGATAAGGGATTCGGTGCGAGCTTCGACAGATTCGTGGAGGACCTCCTCCGTAATCCTGCAGGGGAACGGACAACCAGGTCAGCCAAGCACGCAAGAGCTATGCGCCAAGTCAGCTGGAGGATAAGTAGGCAATGGCTCACTCTGGAACAGCTGGAGCAACCATGGCGATGGTGTGGGAGTTGTCCCCTTCCTGGGTTACAGGGTCGAAAAGGATATGTCTGCTTGTTCGCGCCCGGTCAACTCAAAAGATCGCAGTGAACACGTACTCGGTGTACGAGGTTGCGGTCGAAGAATTGGACACTGCGGGAACGGCCAGCAGACCGAGTTCACTGGGCTGGTAACGACAGAAAAGAAGAATTGCGATGCGACCTGAACTGGTATCTGTGATTTTGGTAGTGGGAGGGACGTAGAACAGACACAAAGAAGTTGGTGGTTATTGACCAACACGTAAGTAGTACCAGGAAGCTGTCAGGTATGAACAGCAAGTCGCAGCTCTGCCACTTGCGACGAGTACTTGCGCACTGCCAGGGGAGCTGGAGGGCCTGGAATGTGTTGCAGTAAGTGGGTTTGGTGGGGTGTCCCTGGCAAGCAGGGGCCTTATTTTGGTATTGAGCAGGAAACCAGATACGTAGTGGCTTCCGCGGGCTTGCGGCAGGCACTCAAATTGCCAACAGCAGTCAAGCCGCGTGCCTGGCGGTTCGTACATAGCCAAATTACTATACACTTATGTACTGATGTTCTTTATGACTTCACGTTCACGATACCTAGCGCGTTGGGCGCTGGTGGTCTCGAAACCAATTTCTGATGCTGCATGATACGGATTTCTTGTCCACAGATCCAGCGCGATGGTGAGTGCAACATCGATCGACTTGCGCGAAAGTCGACGCGTCTTCGCTGCTATGCATTTCACTAACGCGATGCGCGCAGCCTGCCTTCTCAGCCATCAATCTTGAGCCCGAGGACAGCATCGAGGAGGAAGTTGATGTCTCCCGGGAGCTCCAGGTACGAACGAACTTCTCCCCAGATCACTGCGGTCCTCAATTACTGACACAGCCACAGGTCGACGATGCCCTGAAGCTCTTCCAGAACGCCCTCAAGCTTCATGCCCAAGGGCCCCGGTTCTTCGACGATGCTGCGGCTGCTTACGACGATCTCTTCCTGTCCGACATCTTCAAACTCCCCGAGAGTGCTACCGAATATGAGCGAACAGAGCGACAACAGCATCCTTTCCTTCCTCTCGAATCCTCGCTTGCCTCGGGCCTCGATGCGGCTGGTACATACGCCGATGGCAGCGAGTCGAGTCTTCCACAGGCATTATTTCTCTCATATAAGAATCATGGGCAGTTCATACTGGACAGAATAAAATCAAGAGCACGTCGAGCTGGAAAATCTGCGCACGAGGTATTCGAAGACCCTGTGGTGATGAGCGATGCTCGCAAGGCAATAGACGATTTTAACGCTGCGTTGGATCGAGACCCGTCCGACGCCGAGTTGTGGAGGCGTACCGCAAGGACAGCTGCATTCCTTAACAGCGCCCGCATGAGTCGATATTGTCTTGAAGCCGCAATTGAATTGGATGATGACCCTGCCGTCGTCGATGTGGAACCACCATCCCTCGCCGAAGGCTTTGCTGGAGAACAGCTGAAAGACCAACTGTGCGTCCTGGGTGATGATGTTTCCCTTACACACCCTAGCATCAAAACATACTTGGAGAAGGAGATGCCGCCTCTCCTCAAGCGGCATATTGATCCCGTCCCTTTCTTGCCCAACCCGACCATACAATTGGGTGAACGCAAGGAGTTGTTGGACATCAGTCTCCCGAGACCAGTAATACAGCTCTCAAGCTTATCATGGGCGCAGCTGGGCATGGCTCTAGTCCAATTCGTCAAGGAAACTGGGTTTTCCGCACAGGGCGTCTTGATCCAGTTACCAGAGGGTCATGAGCACCACGAAGACGATGTTGCGAGCATGGACGTCGACGAGCAGACTCCCGCCCCTGCAGACGTGCCTCAGACGCTCGCTGAGGGAACAGCAGCCAGTTCGCCAGCAGGTACGAAGGCACTCACCAAGGATGGGCCACCAGAAAATGACGCCAACGAAAGTAATATCACGAACGCAGACAATCGACAGCGAAGCGTATCCCTGCCATCTCGAAAGCGATCTGTCTCTGTAGCTGGTCTGCCTGAGCCTGCTGAGGAAGAAAATGGAGACACAAAAAGGTCCAAGCGGATAAGGAGGCGAGACACCCTCGCCGAAGAGGCGGTCGACGAGACTACTTTGCGCGCAGCACAGCTGCAGCCCTTCCAAGGCGCCGACCAAAACCTCTTTCAGTTGACAAAGAACATACTCGAGAACCTAGGCGTATCAGACAGAACCACCGTTGATAGGATAGGAGAGATCCTCGATTCATGTGCATTGGAAGAGCGAACTTCAAAAATCACTCATACTGCCAGCATCGACCTGCGGGATTCATTGGCAACATTCGATGAGGAGACTGCGAGCGTCTTCCTCAACAAGTCGGAAACGACCGCTTTAGGGATGAACGCCTTCTTGGAGCACACAAAGTCCGGTGCGCAGCGCGTTTCTGAACCGGCTGTGTTGAACGAGTCAGTGGGCCTCGGGAGCTTCATCAAGAAGATGAATGCAGCGTACATAGCCGCTCAAGATGTGGCCTTTGAGTGGCTCGTCACCATGTCTCGAAGCTATACCTCCAAGAAGTGGTCTGAGGAGCTGAAAACTGCGGTCGTCCAGACTATCAGCCACTATGATGAGGCCATATACGAACGGATGCATCACGAGCTCCGTCGGATCGAAGACAACACTGATTACGATGATCAATTGGTCGAGTTGGATAATCTCGTGCAGATGCTTTTCGAAGTCTATCTTGATGTTTACGAGCGTATCACCGATCCGAACAGCCGCGTTGACCAAGTCATCAGAGTGGGAACAAAAATTCGTCTAGGTCGCTGGTTGGATCTGGCATCGGAGCTCAGCCGCTCACGACCACTTGACTCTGGTCATCAATTATCTCAGCGTTTCCTTTGGGCTTGTGTCTTCTCGACAACGCTGGCCGATAACATTTCCCGAGATCACATACTTGCATGCTGGCATAGTCTGCGGGACTACCTAGCAGCGACAGGCCATGACAAGATCGAGCTGCCCAACAATGCTGTCATGCCGGATGTCTCCGCTGCCGAGGCTGATCGAGAAATTAGCAAGCTCACGACTATGGACTTCTTCCTCGGCCTGTTCCAGGAGGAGATGACGGATGCTGTCGCAGTGATTGAGACTCTTGAGCCAGTGCTGAATCCAGAGACAGTCTTCATTGCGGCTGACAAGGAGGACTCTTCAACTGACGAGAACCAGACGGATAATGAGCAGCCCTCCAAGGTCTCCATTAAGGAGTGTGCCAATCAAGGCCTGAAGGACCTCTGGAGATTCCTTGTCGCGAGCAGCACTGATCTCAGGCTTCTTCTATGGTCCCGCTTGAGCGATGCTTACGGCTCGATCAATTACTCAACAAAACAGTTCTCTTGTCTTCTCAGAAGTATCGAGATGGTGATTAACGACATGGACAGCGAGGCATACTTGAGCACCCCTCAAGACTCACGCAGAATACACCTTCTGAAGTTGACTAGGTCAATACACGACATGATGGTATCTGCCCTCTCGCTGGCTCTCAATGATAACACCGCATTTGATATCATCGACGAGGACCATCTCAGGTCTACATCATCTGCTTTAGCTAGGCTGAGCTGCTTCGTGCACGTCGCAGTCATGCAGGAAGACGAGTTCACCCTTGGCATAGCCCCCGCACCTTCAAAATCGTCCGCTTACAACGAACTACTTGAAAGTTTGCGAGATCTCCAGGTCAGGACGTGGACCTTGCAGTACTGCCTCATCAAAGTGGGCATCCACCAAAATGCGTCCATCTTCAAGACGCCCGATAGTGATTTGGCCGATTTTTTGAACGCTGTCCATCAAGTCCTGGGCCTGCGGAAATCATGCAGCTCATCCAACAAGGTATTCTTGAAGATGATGCGCATAGAGCTCTTGAAGCAAAGAAACATCGAGAATTGGGAAGACTACCTGGGACAGGTTCTCTACGATCTCCACGGGCTGAAGCTGGGCGTAGGCATCTGGGAGGTGCAAGATCACGGCTGCACGCCAGAGAAGCTCGAGAAACGCCCGGCAATGCAGCTTGTCGAGAAGATCATGTTGCTGGCGAACCGTATGTCGATGAAGGATCTGCTGAAATCGGATCTCAAGAATACCATCGAACACATGCAAGGTGCCATTGGTCAGGCCAAGTCCAGCACGCCCATGATCCACAACCTCCGCAATTTCCAGGAATATATCAAGAAGCCCATACATCCTCTGCGATTGTATCAGGCTCTTGATGGTACTGTGCCCCTTGACGCTATGACCGTCAATACGCCCGAGGCGTCACTTGCCAAGAGCGGCTGGTTCTTTCTGCTGGGAATGATAGCTCTGACAAAGTTCAAAGGCGTCGACCTGAATCGTCGCCAGACCCCAGGCGCTACTGATGATCTACGCATTGGTGCGACATTCCTGCGTCTGCAGCTACAATTTACGCCGGACATGTGGGAAGCATGGTTCAGACTTGCCGAATGTTTCGATTATGAATTGGACGAAGCCGTCCTGTGGTCTGCTGATAAGATGAACAAGGAGCGGAATGAGTTGCTCAAATTCCAGCGCCAAGCGATTCACTGCTACACTCTGGCGCTGTCTCATTCTCAGTCCTGGACCCCTGAGACCACCGAAGATGAGCAGAAGCTCTGCCAGCTTTATTACAATTTCGCCATGCGCATGTATGCGTCGAGTCGGGAACCCTTTGCCATGGAGCCCTTCCAGCACCGCGATCATGCTCGCTTCTACCCGGAGTCGAACGGCAGCGGAACCTTCCAAAAACCCTTACACAAGGAGATGACGGACTTCGAGGTCTGGAAATACGCAGCTGCCCTGTTCAGGAAGGCAATGAAGGGACGGCCCAAGGATTGGAAGAATCCCTACATGCTGTCCAAATGCCTCTGGAAGATGTACCAGAAGCCGATTGAGTCCCTGGAGCCCAAGGACCAAAAGGCAAGGCCGACTGTCGCAGCACTCATCGCAGCTCTAGAGAAAGCGGTCGAGGTAGTATCGCTTCTTCCCAAGCCTCGCCACGGCCAGGATCCAATCTTGGAGCCGCATTACAAGATCGTCTCGGTACTGTGCAAGCTTGTGAGTCGCGAGGAGATGTCGGTGCAAGAGGCCACAGATGTTCTCCAGCGCCAGCCCAACTCGCCTCATCGCGGCGAGAAGGCCACAGTTGAGTCCCTAGATGATTGGGAGGGCTACGTTATTGAGACCTTGCGACACCTGCGTGATAAGGACAAGTCACACTGGCAGCACCGCATAATTATGCGGCACGCTCGCATGATTTACGACCCCAAGGAGAATGATTCTCCAAGCCAGTTCATAGAAGCTCAGGCGGCTTTTGCGGTACTGCGAGAACACATGGTGACCAAGACGATGGCCATCAATGTGTGGAAGTGCGATGCCGAACGTCCAGGACGGCACCATGTTTTCACAGAGCAGTATGTGCGGTATATAATACATCTGCTAACTCTCACGCATGATCGTGTGAACATGGAAGCACTTTTGAGAAAAATCCGGAAGAAGGGTGCGGACTTCTACCACTTCATCGACCTGTGGGCCAGCTGTGTGCAAGCGTACACGAAGCTTCTACGGCGTACATACAAGATTCATCCTGTCGAGGAGGACGTGTTCAAGAACATGAGTCCCGAGGAGTTTGAGATTTTGGCAGAACGAGTCTCGGACTGGACTGGCAAGGAGGACAGAGATCACCACGCGCTGAGCGCCATGAAGGATACCATTGAACTTAAGAAGCTAAACGGAGGCTTGACCAAGGCCGGCATGATCGACGACCTCATCAACGACTGTTATTCGGTACTCTACCTGGCCATTGCCGACGAGCTACCAGGGCCAGAACCGTCGAAAGTCATCGAGGAGCGCAATCGTGTCGCGGGCTTGGAGGCGAATGTGCAAACTGACAAGGATCAATTCAATGGCCTGCTGCACCCTAATGGCCTCGCCAAGAAAGAGGAGACCGGCGCGGGTCGTGCGTCCAGTGAAACGCCTTCTCATGGCGCTGGCAATGGTGAAAAGATGGAGAGATCTGCTTCCAACAATGCAGCGGAGGGCAGTAGTGCGGTCCGTCGCAGACTGGTCGGCGTCCGACGTGCCGACATCCTCCGCAAGGCCGAGCAAGCTGTGTTGCGAGCCACCGAGCAGCCTCCGCCTAAATCTGCCGTCAGTGAGCGATCGAGCAGCCGGAAGTCACGCCGTGGTAGTATGGCGAGTGGGAAGCACGCTACGGGATCCCGCCGTGGTGGAGATGACAGCGAGGGTGAGGATGTGGACATGAAGGATGATAATGAGACCGACTCGAGGCAACGAAGTGGTGACGGCACAGCAGACCTCGAGACGGCGGGCAACGGCGATGTTGAGAGTGAGATGGGCAGCCCGAGACCCGAGCATGACGATGCAGACGACGAGAGCGACCTTAGTGATGTTCCGAGCGAGTTTGATCAGGATATCTCAGAAACATTGATGTTCCCAAACTTGCGAAGGAGCGTGGACAACTCGATCGCAGCCTCGAACAGATCTGGGAGTACATCTGGTTCCGGAAGTGAGGATGGCGATGACGAGCAGGACGAGGAGGAGGATGAGGAGGAAGTAGAGGACAACACTATGGACGTGAACGCCGAGGATCAAGACCACGAAATGGCGGACCTGCACACTGCCGAGGAGGGGGAGGGCGATGAGGTCAGGGACGATGGAGCGGAAGAGACCGGATAGGCAACACCATCTCACCAATTTTTCTTCTTCTTCACAACATACGCGAGAAAGGGGGTTTCGCGGTATCATCAACGCCCCTGACCGAAGTGTGACGAGGTTGCAATGTGGCTAAGAGACCTTTCATAGCAGGACATTAGGCACTGCTGATGTCTGTCCCACCAGCAGTTATGCCCACTTAGTAAGATTTGGATATTTGCACCACGCCATGTTCAGCCGACCCAACTTCTGCCCAGGTCTCTATCTCCACTAGCATCTGCTCTTCATACAATCCAGCTTGTATCAGCGTGTTCGCCGGCAAGATCCCTGCACATTTCATCCTCCAGCCGTGCTCCCTACTCACTACATCGGCATCTTGAGCATCTCGCAAGATTACTCGCGTCCTAACAATGTCACTCATGGATGAGCCGAGGGCCTTGAGTGCCCCCTCGACTATGTCCAGGACCCAGACTGCCTGGCTGGCGGCCGAAGCACCACCCACGCAAGAAAGTGATGAGATGCTGGGCGGTGGGTTGGCTGTGGTTCCCGAGATGTGAATGCGTGGTCCTATACGCACGGCGCGGCAATACCCCTACGAAGATTTCTTTGAGTGCTGTGGAACCACAAGAGTTAAGAGTGGCACGGACGAACTCACACAAATGGGCTCCCATTTACTTCCTGTCATATATTCCACGCTTTGGCCTTTTTCGATGGCTTCCCTGACCCTTCGAGCTTGGTCTGTCTGGGCCAAATGATGGCTTAAATCGCCCGCAGCGGTGAGAAATGGTGGCCGTCGATACTCGTCGCCACTGTCACCGGGAATGTCCTTCAACCCTTCCTGAGCCCTTGCGATGAGAGCTCGATCCTCCGAGTCAAGCTGGAAGGAGAAGACGCCTAGGATCTTCTCGGCATACGCCCCCGAGTCTGCGTTGAGCCTTGTTCCGACGATCACGGCCCTGACGCCTGGGATGTCGAGCACCCACCTCGTCGCAACTGCTGCCACAGACACCCCATGCTTCCTTGCCACGGCGTCCAAGGCCCTGAGGACAGCCTGAAAAGGACCCCAGCCGCCAGCAGCATTGATAAAACGGAGATATTTGCGTAGCGACCAGTTCAGCGAGCTCGGGTCAGCGGGCTGAGGCGCGTCCAGCCACTTCTCACTCAAGAAGCCTCCCAGGAGCGTCCCGTAGCAGAGAAGCCCCACATTGCGCTCTACACAGAGGGCACTCATCCGTCCACGGACAACACGCCGATCAAGCACGGAACAGGAGACCTGGTTTGTGGCGATGGGGAAGCCCGTGTCGAGCAGCATGGCCAAGTGTGCAGCGTCCACATTGGTGAGGCCGATGTGGGCTATCTTTCCTGCGGCACGGAGATGGGTGAGGTGCGTCAGATTATGGATATACGTGTCGTCTGTGTAATCCCAGGCATGGTACTGGAGCAGCGCGATCTGTTTCTGCTGCATCCGCTCGAGAGCGCGGTCTACAGCTTCTTGGGCCCTTTGTAGGGTTTTGGTGCCGTCCTCGGCCGGGCACCACTTGGTGAACGCTGTCATCTTCCCGTTTGTGGGATGGGTGTTGTGGTGGTGGCCTACAACGAGCTCGGAATCCCCATACTGGTCGGCCATGTCGAAGCAGTCCAGACCGCTGTCGATTCTGGGGCAGATAGAGGGCACGCTCAATCTGTGGTCTCACAAGGCTTTGATGCACGCATGGGCACTTACAGAATATCCATGGCGGCAGAGGCATTTTCAATATCCACCTTTTGATCATGTCCGCCAGCCAGCTGCCAAAGACCGTTGATTATTCGAGGAATTTCGAGGGAGCCTGCTACTATCGTCCGCTCAAGGCGAATCATCCTGCTGTGGCTTGCCATGTAATAACGAGAGAGTTAAGAAAGCCGAGGAACTCAAACCAGTGGTTTCTATTCTCAAGGTCAGATACAGATGGTGAATGCTTATCTGGACTTGCTCAATGATGATGTTCTCCCTGAGCCCGCACAGGGCAAATCACTAAGTACTTTAAGCATTTATGATGTGGATCCACCAGGGCTACGTACAGTTACGGTGAGCCAAACCCCCTTCAGCGGCTTGTTCTACAGTGGTGCATGCCGAGCGGGTTGTCGCTCTGGGGCAGGCCACCCTCTCTGCGCTGCAGGTGCTGGGACTGAGGCAAGGCCCTTTCTGCGCGATGTGCAATTCGAACTTGCTTTTGGAATTCACATATAATCCCATCAAGACTCATCAATGCGATCCTTGAACCAGGGAATTGGCCTCAACTCTGAACACCTTTCGCAACATCTCCCAGTGCCACCACGCTGGAGCACACGCGCAACAGGTAAACCCCACGGCCACGCCTACCTATCGCCAGTCAGTATTGGATGGCTGCCTCAACAGAGGCGTGATTGTTAGTTTTCAGGTTGACGCAGTCAGAAAGACTCTTCACCAACAGCTCTTCAGCTGACTAGCGGGTTGGAAAAGAATGCATGGCGGGTTTCTAGACGTTGCCTCTATCAAAATGTGTAACTCTAATGATAGGAATAATGGAAGTATCCAGTGACTCCCTATCGAATACTCTTTGATGGCACGACATGTTCCATCTCCCACAATCTCAGCCCCTACCGCTCCGGAACCCACCGTCGAAAGCCTGTATTCTGCGCTCTTTCTCCCTTTAAGTTATGTTCTCTTTAGTTATATTCTCCTGAGCCGTTGTCTTGTGCACCTAGGTTGTCATTTCCTCATCGATGCCTCCAGGGAATCAAAAGAAGGGGTAAAAGGAAAGGACCAAGGCTCGTCGCCATTCATCGTTCCTTTTTCGAGACTAGAGACGGCTCAAGATGGATGGAAGCTCAGGTCGCCACATGTTGTTGATAAGAGGCTGAGCATTCACCATTTCAGGCCGGAGCTGGTCGATCGCAGTGACGCCCAGCAGCGCCATGCCGATGGTGAGCTCTTCGGTGAGGACTAGACAATTCACACGCCCGAGGATGTCAGCAGCCGCACGATACAGTCTGATCAGCGCTCACCATAAGCTTGACGCAAAAAAAAAAAACCATATATCAGCACTTACTGTCGACCAGCTTCTGCACTCCTGCTGAGCCATAAGCAGCCATGGCGTAGAGGAATGGCCGTCCGAAACCCACAGCAGTGGCGCCCAGCGCCAGGGCCTTGAGGATATCAGCACCGTCTCGGCAACCACCATCTATATACACCTCCAGCTTCTCGAGGACCTCTGGGCAGTATGCCCTGATCTCCAGCAGCGTGGCCAGCCCGTTCGGGGCGGAATGTTGCTGCCGACCCCCGTGATTACTGAGCAGGATACCCTGACAGTCGTTCTCGGCAGCCAGCCTTGCGTCTTCGGCCGTCTGGATGCCCTTTAGGACGATGGGACCAGACCACTCCTTTCGGATCCACTCCAGGTCCTCCCAGTTGACCATGGGACTCAGCTGCCCGGGGACAGGGCGCGCACCCACCGCAGGAGCGTACTTGTTCTCGTTGCCTTCTGCTCCGGCGGGCTGCGAGGTGGTGCTGTGGTCTTTTCCGTCTTCCAGAGACTCTTCTGCCTGCTTACGACGGTCCGCTGTCCTCTTGCCAAGGACGTTCGTGTCAACGGTGATGAACAGGCCCCTGTAGCCGGCCTCTTTAACTCTCTGTACGAGCTCGACGGCCTTTTGCCTGTCCGTCGGGATGTACAGCTGGAAGAACAACCTCGCCGGGTTCTCCTCGGCCCCGCCCACTTTTACGAGCTCCTGGGCATGGAAGTCCATAATGTCCCCCCACGTCTTGGAGCTGGCCGTAGAGATGACGGCGTGCACGCCCTTGCGCACCAGACCATGCATCATCTCTATCTCCGCGCCGGGGTGCGCCATGCCCATCGTCCCCGTGGCCCCGACAAAGAACGGCACGACGGATGGGTGGCCCAGGAACGAGGTGCGCGCCGACACGCTCGCGACGTTGCGCATGACGCGCGGGCGGAACGTCACCTGGCCCCATGAGTCGAGGTTGCCCTGCATCGAGTGGCCCGAGTTGGCGCTGCTCGAGATGTAGGTCCATGACCGCCGGTTCAGGACCTTCTTGGCCTCGGAGCGAAAGTCGGATGCACGCACACATAAGGCTAGTGGGCGCACCTTCTTGCTGTCGGCGGCGGCGGCGGTGGTTACGGCCTCAGGTACCGCAATGCTGAGCGCCTTGGCTGTAGAGGGGTCTAGCTCGCCGAGGTTGCTGCCGTCTGGCAGGTCCTGGAGGACCTCTACCGAGTGAATCTTGTCAAATTCTGGTGTAGCGTCCTGATCCAGTAGGAATAATAATTAATCATTTGATACAGCTGCGCAAGTGGGGAATGACTTGTACTGGCGAAGCATGAATAAAAACTCACAGCTCCAGCTTGTCTGAGCAAGATCGCACGACCTCCTGGGTGCTTGTCTAGGAATTTGGTCACATCATAGACTCTGCCGTGTATAACCATCCAGCACGAGTCTGGGGCCTTGTGCTTGGCCACCTCAGAGCCGCTCAACATGATGGTGTCGGTGTTGAAGTCGTTGTTTTTCGGAGATCTGTTGAGTTGGAGAATTTACGCTACCGTCGTGATGATTTCAAATCTGAGGGCGGCAATTATGGCCAGACATTGCCTTGCTTGACTTTGAGCTTCATGTAGATGAGACAAAAGTCGGAGGAGGTAGAGAAATATGAATGGGAATAAAAGAGATATCCGACAAGAGTCTGGTGTGTATGATTGATGAAATCGCTATTACCGTTAGACGGGGCTGGTATTGATATGCGGGGAAGGATGCGAACCCGGCGCAGGAAGGGCGGCGGAAGAAGTTGGGGAAGGGGAGAGGGGGATAATCAAAACAGATATTTTGAGGGGCTATCTATCATGATCTCCTCAAGTTAGAACCTCCTCTTCTTCAAAGTTTCCCTTTTCTTCGCCCCATATGAAACATTTGGCCATGATAAAACTTGCAGAGCCGTCCTATAATGCGAGTTTCTGTCATAAGTAAATACCAATCAGCACATTTCGGATACAAGTATGAGCACGGAGAATCCTAGCACCTCAGTTCGTGGAATCGTGGTGTAATTTGAAAATATTGGAGCCTTGATTCTTGAGACCATGCTGGGCAAATCATCAAGACATGCAAGCAAGTCACGCTATGGAGAGTCGGAGTAACGCAAATTGTCTACCTAATGATAGGTCGCTCCACTGCCTGAGTACCTATACTGACCCATATTTCCGTGCTCGTCTGCTCCTTGCTCCGCGCATATGCTAGGGCTGGTGTCCTATGTACTCGCTGACGTCCAGGTCTTACTCCATGTGCCGTTCCCACTAACAATGTTCACAAACTCCTGCGCAATGATTCGATCCGTCTGTTCTGAGGGGTGCAGTGTGTCGTACCACATGTAGCTGTCCCGTACGGATGAGTTGTCACAGGGACTACCGCATTGAGCAATGGACGAGGTCACGTTCAGAGGCACCGTGCCATTGAGGTACTCTGATGGGTTGTGCCAGATGTCGCTCAGCTATATAAATTTTGTAAGCATTCATAAAGCATAAATAATTCAGGAAGTCAATAGCATGAACGAGGGCTTGCCCTTACCAGTGCGTGAACATCGTATATCGTAAATGAACTCTCGGGATATCGATCAGAGATCAAAACTTCATACGGCGACTGGAAGTTGTAGATCGAGTTGACGAGTGCAACATACTCGCGCATCTTTTCGCTTACAAGTGTTCTGCCATTCCCGCCAGTGAGTTATTTATTTTGCTGAGGCAGACCACACAAGACGGAGATGAGATACAGACAACAAGTAGGAAGAAAGGCACGTACACGTTGGTGCTGTATTGATCCTCGTTCAGCCAATAGTGAGAATCAATCACCCCTCCGTTCTCTGGCAGGGCGTACATCGGAGTATAGTCGAGAGGCGCTATGTTCAGGAGCACAAAATTGCGTGCCCCTACCCCGTACAATACATCGAGCTGCTCATAGACGCAGCTGATGTAGTCCAGGATCGTCAGGTTCAGTCGATTGTCCGTGAAGAATGCAGCTATCTTCGAGTTAGGAAAAGCTGCCTGTAGGCATTAAGACAGATGAAGGAAGAAGAAAAGCACTCACCTGGGCCGAGATCATTGGTGCCAATCCAAATTGCACTGTTCCCAAGGATTCAGTAAAAGTATCGCCTCACTGACGGAAAACCAAGAAAAAGGTCTGCCTACTAGATTGTCTCATTGGCCGAGTCAACCAGGGATCCATTGCCGACGTACGCGTTGTCTTCGAGAAACAAAGGCACCTGGTTTTGTTTTACACCATTTCGAGTCGATGGAGAGAAGTAAGTATCACAAACAGCTCCCGAGACTGCATAATCGTAAAGGTTGATCCCGGTGTATTGTTGTATGTACTCGGTCCAGATTCGGCCGCCGGTCGTGGTATCATTGGACTGCAGATAGATTATCTGTATTAGCCGTGATTCTTTAGCTGGCTTTGATGAATGTGCCTCTCACAATGCTTCCGTCCGGCTCTGGAGTGTACGAGTAGACACCGTCGTCTGTGTAAGAATCGCCAAAGACGCTGCAGATGTCGAGATATAATTAGAGTTGTTACTTGAATGAAGTTCCCGCACATTGAGCTTTCGTACACTAGACTTGAAAATGAATCCAGAGTGGGTGAACCGATCAGAGCGGCCGCGACAGGGCTGCTCAAAACGCGAAGCAACAAGCAGATACGAAAGACCCTCATTTTCTAGAAGTCTCGTGCGAATGGCAGAATTCTCTCAAGCGGCAGCACGGAACGTTCAACCATGGAGGGCGATCTTTAATGTAAATCTATCAATTGGGGTCCTCTCTTGACAGCGATTTATCCTACATATCCGGTCGGCGACTCGATCGAAAAGACTTTTTCCTTTTCGTGGAATTATTACTTGACGACAAATAGCATTCAGCCGGTGAGCCTTGTTGGCACTTGTCCCAAACCAGGCCTTTTGCGCTCAGTCTTCTCGGGATATGTACTAACGAGTACGACTCTGAAGCGGAGAAAATGGGAGTTTACTTTTTCGGAAGTGTTGATCACATAATTATCTATTTACAAACATACTTATCGAGCATTATGGTATAAATACTGAATATAATGTCTCCATGCTCATGACTACCTGACTACATTCTACAACATAACGACAGAGTGCGGAAAAGAATGCTCCAGTGTAAACTAAAATCTGCGACAGAATACTCGAACTTTGCATGACGTTCAATGTTCTCCGAGTTAGCAAATTACTTAGACACTTAGTCGAATTACCCCCCATTTCAGTCTCCTTAAGTCACAATTACAGTGTGATGCGCCCTGGTGTCTCCGAACTCGGCAGTAAGAGCAATGCGTCATGGAAGCTTTACCCAGACTTATTCCCGATCAATACCACATATACCACGTCTCTGTAAAATCACATGCCTCCATTACGAGTGTATACTTTTCCTCTGTGAAGACTCTACTTGATTCCCATAATGTCAAAATCCTTGGCCATTGTCAAGTCTCTGGACCACCTGGTCCTGACCTGCGCCAGTGTGCCAGCGACCATCAGCTGGTACAGCAGATACCTCGGCATGAAGCCCGAAACATTCACGCCGCCGTCAGATCCGGCAATCCAGCGTCACGCTTTGAAGTTTGGGTCGCAAAAAATCAATCTGCACCAGAAGGGCAAGGAGTTCGAGCCCAAGGCCGCGACCGCCCTGCCGGGGACCGCTGACGTGTGCTTTCTGGTGGGCGACGAGTCGAAACTGGATAACCTGGTGCAAGAGTTTCACAAAGAGGGGATCGAGGTGCTCGAGGGGCAACAGGTCGTTCCTCGTACCGGAGCACGAGGCAAACTTAGGAGCATCTACGTCAGAGATCCAGATGGCAACCTGGTCGAGTTAGTGGCCACATGAATGAGTGTTTTGAACAAACGCTTTCAAGTATTTGCTAGTTGTCTGGATGAAGGCTAACTCGCCTGAGAAGGCTGTCACAGTATGTCGACTAACGTGGATGATATCTCCAAGTACCACCGGCATCTAGAGTTATATCCGAACAGATGAGATATACTGAAGGCTGTCCCTCCTCTCGAATTTGTAGAGTGAGGATGCCATTGTGGCCTTTCAAACCAAACAACATCAAACAACATGAACCTTGTTCTACCTTTGCTGGCTTTCAATCCTACATGGAATCTAAACGAAAATCAAATGTAGATCATAAGCAATGACTGTCGAATAAACATGTTCCTGCTTCGTTGGACTTCACACACTCACATCCATCCTTGCCGACGCAGTGATGAATGGACTCATAACACCCACGTTTCCCCTCCAAGGACTGACATTGTCTTTGAGGTTTAAGTCTAGATAGAGCGCAGCCATTGCGACCTGCAGCCACGGCGACAGCACCAACCATCAACAAGAGTGCGATCATCAAATAAACATTGTGCATATAGACAGTCGTCCAGTCACCCCTCACCCCTGGCCGCAGAGAACACATCATTTGCGTTCAGATTGCCCGTCTTCTTCTCATCCAGGACGCTCCATATGTGAAACTGTCCCATGAAAGACTCGACGGTGTTGCGATAGTCGAGGATCTGCAGCAAAGGCTCGAAATACATAGACCGCAATGTCTTCTCCGGGGGAGAGAGGCCTCATCGTAGCCAACTAAGAGATGCTTTCCACCAGGGGTCAGCCAGACATCAGCCTCTGTGCCCGCTGCGCCCAGCCATTAAGGCCGTGAACAGAGGGTTTTCACACCAATAGTCGTTGTGTGAGCGACGCAGCTTCGGAAAGACCGAGTCTGAGAAGTTTTGCTTCCACATCGAGTCGGTTGTGCCGTTCTGTGAGGCGCGGGTCTGGGAAGTCGGCGTACCGTCATGTCTTCGAGAGCAGGGGGTTTTCGATAACGAGAACTACGAAGAACATGAATCTGCCAATGGTATCAGGTTGAGCTGCAGTGCTCATGATCAAGTTTGGAACCTCTGCAAGGCGTCTGAGCCCCGGGTCGACCTACATGGCTATACCACACCCAATTAGCAGTCGCCTATCCAGGACACGATATCACAGTCGCAGTTCGGGGTTTTCAGCCTCTCGACGCATGTATTCCATGCCGCACTGTGCCGTCCTTCTATTCGGTTGATTGGGAAGATGACTTGGAGGACGTTATCATGGTTGAGGGGCAGCATGGGCTTGATCTGCCGTGCGGTAGACCAGTTGTGAGAGAGGCATTATTTTTTCAACGGCAACGGAATTTATTGAGATAGAATGAAGTGAAAATAAAAGCAACACCAGCGAGCTGAATTTCTGTGTACATTTTTGGGTCTTGCGGCACCCTTTGTTATGCTCAGGCTGAAAGGCGGAGTTGCCGATGAATGATGCGGCTGTGTTTGTCTCATAATCTTGCCCGTCAGGCTTTCTTTCGGGTTGCCTTGCAGGTCTCGAGACCAAAGTTACGGCACAGCCAACTAAGTATTTCTTTCACTCACTATCACTGCACATAAGGACTTACATAGGCTGTGGTTGTTAAACGCGCGGCACCGCTGGAGTGTGTGCTGCCCATAGAGCCCGGCAAAACACCTATAAGCGCCGGTGTAACCAGACTAGGCACCGATGACGATGGTCACGACAACCTCATATTGGGTTTGGGAATTGCTAAGATGATAGAAATGTTACTTCATTGTATATTTCCAAAAATAGTAGTGTACCGAGCGATTCAGACCGAAACCCGATGACCTAGAGTGCCAGCTATCGAACGTGGACGGTAAGGTGAGGGCATGAATATTTTAGCGACCTAATCCGAGTCACGTCTGCTAATTGACCACTACAGTCAAAATGTGTTTGCTCAAGCCTCATATAGACTAAGGACGCAGACGAAATTTCCCCCAATAATATAATTGAAAGCCTACTTTTCAAACATCACTCTCTTCTCGTGCGGTAGAGGCTGATAAATCCCTCCCTCCCTCTCCTCGGAGTTGTGTTGATATCAGCTTGGTGTAAATTTAAGCCACAACCGAACGATCCGTGAGGTGAGATCTTAGGACATCCAGTATCATCCTTGCGACCAGAGCGCAGGTCCTCTCGCGGAGGGCCCCCTAGTGCTAGCTCGAAACCCGCCACTCTGGCACCCGAGTCGCTCCCCCCGGCGCAGTGCTGAAGAAAAACATTGAAAGGTGCGCAAAAAGGCTGTGTGTTGGTCGACACCAATCGGAAACAGCTCCACATGCATCGTCGCTCCACTTAGCCCAGGAAGCTTTCCTACCATAGTATGTCCACAGTCATACGCCAAGACAAGTAGATTTGTTTGGCCATGTTCAGGGTATGAACATGCCAATTCTTAATTCTCAACAACAGATAGATAAGCTTGTGCCAAATCCCTTGCTTCAGGCAATTTCCGCATGCCGGCGCGGTTCGGGAATACCTGTAAACGAACAGCTCGTCTGGAAAGCTACGAGCATTCTGGGCCATTGCTACCTACTTTTTAAGTATGCATATGTCTCGGCATATGTTTACGCATACATGTCTTATTTTTCAGTGCATGTTTATATCATTATTACCAACTGCTACATAATAGTACAGTGCTCAGGCTGGGCCCCACAAATGCGGATGATGGGAGAGATCTCGCGCACGAGCAGTGGGGCATTATCACGGGCAGTAATATACTATGGTCTGTCCTCGAACGAGACTTGCAACTTGGCTGCGGGTCTGGCTGCGCCTGGGCTAACTTAGCTTCTCCATTAGAGACGAACTGATCGGAGCTGGGCTCATGGCTGGCTTGGAAATCTGCTTGCAGTCGTTCTCCTGAGGGCACTGATTCATTCGGGGCTAGCTAGATTTTCGACGCTCGGCCTGGCCCCTAGCTTTCATAGGATGACGAGAGCCATACGCGAGTAAACTGGGGGGTTCCTTGAGGGCTTACAATTCCCTTTGTTCCTTTGCGCTGGTACCAGTTAAGTAGCTTAAACCCCCACTGCTTTGCATGATTTACAGATTTCATTCCCCCACGAGCCTTGAGGAAAATGGAAGCGAGGGTTGTCCTCTTGTCGTTACTCCCAAGGTCAAAGCGTAACTTATGCATTGGCACCACTAAGTATGCCAATACTGTAGGTTCAACGCGACCCAGGGTATCATTGAACCCAGTTCTGGTCCCTGTTTGATCTGTCATAAGTTTGTTCTCATACCCAGATCTCACAGATCTTGTCACATTCTGCCTCGGTTCGGTTCTCCTTGGTACGACATCGTCGTCGTCAGCGTCGTCGTCGTCGTCGACAGATCCGCCTCTGGCTGCATCCAACGACCCGGACTCCAGATTGGCTGAACTATTCCGGTCTTGCAGTGGCTAGTCGGATTGCTTCAGGATTCCCAGCACACATGTGCAACAGGTCGAGGTGGGATCGTCAACATCTGACAAGATGGCCTCAGACGCGGATATCTCCTATGGCACTGGGACGGTCTCCCCCCTGCCCCCACCAGTGAAGAGAGATGTTGTCGCCATGGGCATACTCGGGCTGTTCTCCTTGCTGTCCTGTGCTGTCCTGTTTGTGCACATTTCCTACCGAGGCTTCACATCGCCAGAGAGCAAGAAGCAGGAGACACCGGTCGGCCTCGGCGCCGAAGACGCAAAAACATTCGACAAGTGGACACTTGGGGCAAATCGACAACAACAACAGCAGCAACAACAACAACATGAAGAACAACAGAACACCTCAGATATGACAAAAGTCTTCTCGCAGAACCCTCAAAGCCGAGATAGCAAGGCTGCGGCGCGCCCGGGGTACAACTCGTTCCTCACCCTGATTCACCACCTCCTAGTGGCCGACATGTTTCAGGCCATGTCGTTCGTCCTCAGCCTGCACTGGTGGCGCTACGACGGGATATTTGTGCCATCGACGGCCTGTGCGGCGCAGGGGTTCTTCATCAACCTCGGGAGCCTCTCGAGCAGCGCCCTGCTGGTCGCCATGTCGTTCAATACTCTGCTCACGAGCGTCTGGGGGTATAAGTTAACCTGGCGTGCGGTCTGGTTCATCACGGCCAGCAGTTGGGTCTTTGCATTCGGCGTGTCCTTTGTTAACCTTGGAGTCGCGCGAAGCTTCTCGGCTCGGAAGGAGTGGTACTATGCCAGGTCCAAGTCGTTATGCTGGGTGAACTGGAAATATGCGTCAAAATATGGCATTTGGCTTCAGAATTTCTGGATCACCCTGTCTATCGGGGTTACTATCATCTGCTACCTGTGGATCTTTGTTTCATGGGTGTGTCATAAACGGTTAATTAGGCGAGGGCGGTGGTTGAGGAGCGAAAGTGAGCCGCGGGGCTTATCTTCTTCTGGCCTGCACTCGGCATTCCTGGTCTATCCCGTCATTTTTATCATCTGCGCTGGTCCCATTCTGCTCGTTGGCCTTGTTGCCGCAGGCGGTACTGAGATTACTAACACGTACCTATCGTTCGTGTCGATCCTCTCGTCGGTGACGGGGCTGCTGGATGCGATCCTCTGGTCCACGACCATCCTGTTCAGCTCGAACCAAGAGCTCGAGGAAGTTGGTCTTGGCAAATACAACTTCGTCCGGACTCCGGAAAGAGACTACGGAAATATAGTCTGGGTCGAAGGGGCGACGAGGCGAGGGCAAAGCAGGGACGGGAATATAGAAGGGCCGTGCGGGCAGAGATGGTGGAAGCTTAACGGTGGCGAGGGTGGCTCGTCGGGCAGCAACCGGGGGGACAACAACCGCCATAGGGAGGAGGGCATCCATCTGGACACGATTACAACAGTTACAGTGGATTATGTGCGGCCAGGGTGAGTCTTTTGCCCAGGAAGAGGCATTGGTCTAGGAAGATCACGAAAGTCCTAGGTCAGTCGACGAAAGAGACTCCTAATATATATTTATCTTGGCACAGAACGAGACCTTCGTATTCTTATACAGGAAACATAATACTCCCCATCTCCTCTTATCTAAAAAAAAAAAAAAATGGTTCGAGAGTGATCTCATTATGATGTCGTGAACAAGGGCAAAAAAATCTAAAACCTCTTCTAGTGCACGGGCATGGCCCAAGATGTTATCAAACCTAAAAGAAAGGAAAAGTAAGGAAAAAGAACAAACAGGGCTCATGAAATGAGACGTCCTTTAAGCATGGAGAAGACCTCGGGAGGTGGTTACTTCATCTAGGACATGTTACCTGCAAGGCAGGACGCTTCTAATGGCGGTACAAAATAGATATGCATGAGCCGCCTTTTTACGATTCGGTCGGGTCGCATCTCTGGACCTACTCTTTCCTAAAACCATACACACGAATCATGCCTGGAAATAAACAAGAGAGTATATTCTGCTGCGAGGCCCAGCCCGGCATATCAAGGCTATATCAGAATGATTTCTCAATCTTCAATCCCATGGTTCGCAGCATAACCGCCACGAAGCACAAGCGAGGCAGGACGGTGGAAGAAGTATTTGTCCCGCGTGGTTCCACATTGACCCCAGTCTCTGGCCACTGACCGAGTTCATAGGTGACAACGGACTCGTCGAACCTACAGCCAGCTGGCAAGGACTGGAGGAGAGTCAAGGAGCGGCTTGATAGTGATAGTCGCTACAAGCTCGTGTTCATCATTCGACACGGCGCGGCAGAGCATAACCAGCGACAGGATGCTTGGGATCGCCGCCTCTACGATGTGAGCCACCATTCCCAAAAAAAAAAAAAGCCAATTGCATACCTCGTCTCATGATGAGGATGGCATGGCGCTGAGACAGAGAGAGGCAGAGATACTCGTCCAAGAACTGGGACGCAGCAAACAAGGACTTGTCGACACAGGGCAAGGTGCAAGCTCAAGATGCAGCGATCCGGCTGATGCAGCACACAGGCGGCCTGACACCACAAAGCTTCTACACCGGCCCGCATTTACGATGCATAACCCAAACCACCATCATGGCAAAGATACTCTCTGGTAGAGCCCACCCGCACGTCGCGATCATGGATGAGATGAGGGAGTGGATGGGCTTTGGCCATGACGAGGTGACGGACTGCCGGGGCACAAAGAGCCAGATCAGCCACCGCGTTCGAGACCGGGGCGCCATTGCTATATTCGGAGGTGACGACTTCCCTGAGCAAGACGAGATGTTTGAGGAGCGGGTACGGTCTGGCGAATCGGTCGAGGAGCTTTGGATCGACGTTGACCGACGCTGGCTGAGGGCCCTGGAGTTCATCTGGCAGGTGGACGACCACAACGTCATCTGTATCTGCTCCAACAATAGGTCGCTGCAGTCACTCCTTCGTCTTGTTGGGTTTCCCTGCAGCGTGGAAACTCTCGAGGATGAATTTGGCATTCTCAATCTACAGAACTCAGCCATCATTCCTCTTCTTATCAAGAGGACGCCGACAGAGGAAGGGCTTGAGGACTGGAACGACGCATGCACTTACTGGGAGGATATAGAGAAGCCCATCATCATTGCACAGCGGGAGAGAGACTATGCGGAGGGTGAGCAGTTGGCCCGGAACATGTCCAATGATGATGCCAACCGGTTCATACTGGAGTTGGGCCCTAGGGAGCGAGAGGAATTCAGATTGCATCGACTCGGATGGGAGGGCTCACAGGCTTGCAAAATATACGATAAACTAGCTTCAGACAGATAGAGCTGATAGACCAATGGGGATTTACAGAATTGAAGTGTTCGTGCAATGCCCCTATGGCTCCTTTCACGAGACTTGGTTCGTGCAACACATGCATCACTAGGCAGTCGGTACGTCAGTACATACTTCCTACACAGAACAAACTCTTTCTCTACAAGCATGTCCGCAAGGCTCCTCAGGGAGTGACAAAAGATATGGGATCCGGACAGAAGAATGAAGCCTTTGGACCTTGAAGTCAATGAAAGGCCGTTGAATTGATGTCCATGATCACGTGCAATACCAGGAGGAATCAGCGGCTGGGGCCACTGCCTAGCATTAGGACTAAGCCCGTTGAGCAATAGGTAGAAGACTGACTCGTCGCTGACCACTGACCTTTGGCAGCAGTGCTGAGGGTGCAACAGGATGATTTCATTTCATCATTTTTCAAAGCATTTCACGTAGCATCTCAAAAGTCTACGAAGCAAGTACTTTTTTTGTATAACCATAAATGTAACTTTTGCTCTCTCGAAAAAAAAGCCAAGGCTTTCTCTCTGTCTACCAACTTTGGACATCAAAGTCTGAAATGGGTTGAGCTTGCTCGGTGTCGATATCTTTTGCACAAGTAGATAGACTTTAAGATTTCGATCTCGCATCGGCTCTGGTAGTCGGGAGCCGCCGTCCTCGCCCGGGGGGGGGGGGGGTTAAAAAGGCAGGGGTCCTGTAATATCAACATTTCTCTTCATCTTCTTGTCTCACTGCAAGGCGGCATCCTTGGACGTCTCGTTCGTCTGGTCCCTTGGGTGCCAATACATCAATCATCATGTCAAGCAAAGTTTAGCCCGCATCCCGCATCGACGGCACGCTGCAGTGGAGATGGGCAATATGAGAAGGAGCACCCCCCTGGCGTAGCGCGGAATTCGTGTCGTTGGTGGGTGTAACCGTCTATCCGAAGCCCTCCGGAAAGAGGAAGAGAGAGGGTGCAATGGTCATGAATCCGTAACCCCTGAAGAAGCGAGAGGAAGGAAGAGGGTTGCCGCACGTGGAGGGTGACTAGGCATATTTGCTGACATGTATGCATGGAAGCTATATGGCGCCGTTCAACTTACTTCTGGGTGTTTGGGGGCCAAACAGGGGGGGGGGAGGGAGGGAGGACAAACGCCGGTGCAGGGCGGAGACAATGGGGCATTTCTTCCACTCCTCTGTCGCTAGCCACCACGGTCGTATCACCCTCAAGCCAAGGACGGCCGAAATTCCGCCCGTCGAGGGTTAAAAACTCAAATACGAGAAGGAGAAAGAGAGGGAAGGAAAGAAAAACCACCAAAAACCGAAAACTTAAAACCAATTGATGCTGCCGTGAATCGTTCAGAACATCTAGGGAGCAAAACTGTTGTGACACATGACATAGCTTGTGGTACCACGTACAAACCAAGGGATGGATGGCACTCCTTATGGCGTTCCGCGCGCTGGCGGGAGGAAGTGAAGAAAAAGGTCATGGTGGCCGAGGTGCATCCGGGTGGCTTCGTTGCCGATGCAGTGCACCGCAAGGTCACCCGTTCTCATTCGTCGGGTGTTTTATTCAAGGGCTCACGGGCCCCAGGCTGAAGCGTCACCACGGGCACTTGCTGTGAGCTGAAGGATTCGAGCAGGCATGGTTCCTACCATCCAACCCAACCCCCCCCCCCCCTTCTCCTTCTATGGGACCAACGAGGTTGTTGTGGTTGGCTGTGGGTGGGATACGACAGGCACATACTGTACTATGATACATGCAGCTAGGTTTGAACAACATCAGGGGGGCCAAAAGCGCACGCATGCCGTCTGGTTCTGGGGTCCTGTCTCCCTTTTTCCTTGGGTTTAAGATGGGGTTTTTGTTGACGGTGGTCGGCTGCTGTTGTCCCTATGTAAGTCGGCCCCAGTTTCTATCCAGCTGTGACTCTGCCCAATGATGGAGAAGAAGAGAAGGGCAATAAAGGAAGAAAGGTGTTGTTGTTGTGTACACTGCCAGAGGACATGAGACTTTCCGAATTTAGGACACCTCATTTCAGGGCCTGGTGGCTTGATTGTGGTTTTGTGGTCTTAGCGAAATCCTTCCGGGGTTACTGGCTCGGCTTTTCTCTTCTGATGTCCTCGTCCTCCCTTTGTTGGAGAGTCTCTCTCCTCTCTCTCTCTCTCCCTCCCTATCTGTGCAGCACCATCGTTACTACCTCGCAGGAACGGACAGTTTTGGGCCGATGTGCACCATTACCTTTTTGACTTCTTACCTTTTCGCCGCCGAAGGATTTGGTGTGGGTGGTGTCTGTGCAGTTTCAGGCCGAAGGCCATACGAGGAGGGGAAGAGAAGGGATGAGGAAGGCTCTTCGTTTTGTGATCTGACAAGAACGGCTGTTAGCACCCTTTTTCGCCGTGACGTAGGCACTGTAAGATGCAGCATCAAGAACAAGCAGGTTCCGCGAGACGTCGGCGAGGTTTCTGCGAGGTCATGCAAACTCGCAACCAAGTTATGTACTTGGCAGTAATGATGAGCTGGACAAAACGGCCCCCACAAACCAAGCCAGCTTCCCTCGTTCAAAGGAATGAGAGTGGGTGCTACGCGTGTGCGTCAGTCTTTTCTCTCTGTGATTCCACCCGCTCTCCAGGCTGAACGGCACACCACCCATCTCCCGATGATTCTCCTGTGTGCCTGTCTCTCCCACCTGAAGTAATTCCCCTGATCCACTGTTTGCGTTGCTGTTGGTAGTTTTAGGTCGACATATGGTACCTGGTCGGCGGGTGCTGAGTGGTTCGCTACTCCACATCTACGTCGACGAAAGGACCAGCTAAGATAGATTCATTGGGTCCCCGGGTCTTGGGGGTGGGGGACACACTGGGGGCTCCTCCACCCGCGCTGTCACTCGGGCCACAAGGCGAGTTCAGCCCAGCCAGTTAGCACCACCAGTCAGCGGCAGCCGCCAGCGAGCGCCCCAGGGAAACCAGGGTCTTTTGTTCTTCTCTCCCCCTCCTTCCCCCCTGCACACACATACCATTGATTTACCACTACGAGTCTGCCTCTCCAAGTTGCTCACTCTCGCTCTTTGCTCAGCTCATTTCAGCTCACTGATAGAGAGCTCGAGCCCTGGTCCATGATGTACTTTTCTCCTTTTTATCTTTCGTCTCTCTCTCTCTCTCTCTTTCTAGAGACCCCAAAAAATTAGACTCGAGGTCTCAGCCAAGAAATAGAAGTAAAGGAAAGAAATTGAGTAAATTCGTAGACAAGGACGAGGGTTTGCAGCATTCCATCTCGCAGTATCGCACCGCGGGTGGGACCGCTTACCTATCACGAAATAGGTAGCGCTCCCCGGTGGTGCCTCAGCCTACTTGGCCCCAGTCTGCAGCTTGTCGGTCAATATCCCCAATCCCCCCCAACCCAACGACCAAAACCAACAGCAGCAATGGGCTGGAAGGGACAGGGAGAGAGAAAAAGAAGAGCATGAATTGGATTTTTTCTCTTTTCTCCCTTCCTCCTCTTCCTCTCTTTCTCGCAGTGGCCCTTACATAGCATCCAATCCTAGCCCTCCTCATCTTCGTCCTCGTGGCACCCCGGCGCCCTTGTGCCTTCCCTTTCTTATTTTCTTCAGATCCCTTTCTGACGACGAGGGCGCTCGCACCACTCTTGCCTGCTACCCTGGCAGTCCAGAAAGTAGCGGGCCCATCTCTTCTTCGTCCTTCTCTTCTTGCCCGCCTCCGCTGCTTTTGGCCCCCCACCCCCCCAAACTATCTTTCATCATACCTACATACACAATTAAGAGGCTATACGACCATCTGCTCGCCTCACCTACGCCATCAACAAACACTCTCCACGACCCTCCACGACCTACCAACCGACCTTTTTCTAACCGCGCATCCGAGCCTCCACTCTCCTGCCCCAGCTCCCAGAGACCTATCTCAACCATATGGGCCAGCCTCTCCCGCACACACCTGGTCCAGTGCTGCCACCTGCTGAGGAGAACAGTGCCAACCAGTGATTCCAGGGCCGGCTTGGCCTCGACCACTATTGGTATGTGATAGTTCCTCAATCCGGTCTGTGTTCACATGAGAAGAATCACTACTTCGAGCACTTTGAAGCCATTCGATACTACAATATAGCAGTATAGGGTCGAAATGATCGCCAGGAAACTGACTCGCAATAGTGAATCCAATAGCTCCTACAGCTAGTGCGACGGGCACACCCAGAGCAGATCGACTAAAAAAGAGTTATTCATCCTCGGACCGGCGTCAGATCCGTTGGAATAACCGCGATCGCCGTGCAATACGCAGTCAGCAAACCCCTCCGGCGGCAATCATGGGGTGCCTCTCGTGGGGGAGGAAGAAGAGCAGCCTGCCGGAGCCGCAGAGAATTATTGAGACACCACGGCTGGTGGAGGTGGTGCCCGAGAGGAGACAGACGATCAGGGCGACGACCGAGTTCAAATGGCCCGCCCGCATCAGCGACGTGGCGCCCACGTCGAGCGTGACCCAGCTGCACCAGCAGATCCAACCCGTGCCGGAGAAGGAGGTGCTCGTGAGCACGCCCACGAGCTTCCTCAGCCCGCGCACGCCGTCACCACTCCACATGATGCATCACAACCACCACCAACCAGACTATCACATTTCGCCACAGGTGTATAGCTGTCAGCAGTGTCGACAGGATGGGCAGATTGAGCAGTTCGAACAGCAACTACAGCAACAAAAACAACAAAAAGCACGACAGCGACAATATCAACAGCCAGTACCACAGAAAAAGCAGAAATATCCGACGGGATCTCAGCAGGAGCCGGCCGAACTGCCACCGAACGATCTCTCAGAGCTCTACCCCCTGCCGCAGGAATTGCCTGCAGGAACACCGCCCCTCATCTTCCCTCAAGAGTTGGAAGGGACCTTGGGCACACCGATATCCAAGACGGCACCGAGGACGATACCGAGGAGCCGCTTTTCATATCAGACATGACCCCTTCATATTCGGGCACCGTTGTGTCTGGCGTACACTGAATGCTGATGATGACTTTCATGCATGTATCGTATATATAGCCTGGAGGGAGGGTTGTTATTTTTTTTTTTTAATTTTTTTTCTTATCATGTGTATAGCAGCATAGCATGGTGGCGTGGGAGTTTCTACGTATAGCTTGTTTGATACCTCTATTCCGATCTTCTGGAATACATAACTTCACTATGTCTTGAATTCTTGCTGCAATGGTTCACTCAGGAGGTGAGATGAGGGGAGAGGAACATCCGCGTGATATGCTGGCCGAGGCATCCGCTGTATTTGCACCCCTGCTCCTGCAGCAGCAGCTTTGACCCATGCTTGTTCTGATATAGGCATAGATCATTTCTCCTTCACACAAAGAATATTAGTTCAGAGGACCCGGCCTGTCATGCACGCAAAGATCCCACGGCCTGTTCCTTCGTCCCATGAGAGGCCCGCGGGCGGGCCCCGGCCACCTGGGCGGGCCACTGCGGCAGGACGCTGTATGTATGAGTATACATTTACCCCTCAGAAATCCCCATCAGAGTCCAGGCCACGCCAGGCCAGAAACTCAAATCATGATCTTGACGGCTCGCTGCCGAACGGAGCCATCTCCACCATTCTCGAAAAATATGTCCTGCCATAGCAGGTGGGTGGGTGTGATGTCTGGGATCGACTCGGCTCCACAGGGAGGGACGAAGGGGAATTCCTCCGAGGAGCTCCCTGTGCCTGGGACTGACTTGTTTGTGTGACTGGAGCATCAGTGGAGAGAAAGGTTTCTGCAGTATGAGTATGAGCAAGGTTCAACGGCAGTATAGGACAGCAGATCACTTGATTACACAGGAATTTGTCCTCGCTCTGTGGTGTCTCATCAAGTTGTCAATCAATTTCGAGGAAGGTACTGAGTGCATAGTGCTGTAGTTGTAAGTAATAGCAGTACTATAGTATTATACTATAGCAAGTATTAGAGTAGGTGACAGCAGTTAGCTCTTGGAGCCTGGCACCCCCCCCCCCCGCCCGGGGCCAAGGTGAACCTCTCCACGTTTTTTTCAAGGATACTGGTGGCCCGGTTCAGGGCCCGGTCTACAGGGACCTACCCCACTACCTACCTTCCCAGGGCACGCGGATCTCGAAACGAAACCTTGAACCGCTGCGGCGCCAAAATTTCGAACAAGCTTTCTCCGTTCGCGAACCAGACCTTTTTTATTTGTCGAAGAATCCTCCAGAGCTGACAGGATCGTCTCACTGAGAAAAAGGGCCCCAGGTGGACAAGCCTCCCTTCCCTCTCCCCTCTACCAACTTGATCTCCGGTCTTCGATCCTTTCTTGCGTTCATCAGCCATAGCCCCACGAAACAGAACGTCAACCGAAGAGAGAGAAGATGAACGTCGACCCTACGCTCATCGACCCAGCCCTCGCGGCGCCCTCAGTCCAGACCATGAACGGCAGCACCAGCGATGAGGACGATCCAATTGTCGGCACCTTCAACATCCTCCTCGGCCCTCCACTCGCCGCCAACCGCCGCGTCCTGATCCTTGAGCACCCCAACAAGACAGACGGCAAGAAGCCCGCCCGCGCCCCCATGGAGCTGCGCGTCAAGCCCACCACGGGCATGGTCGAGCTCGACTTCCCCGTCGACTACAACACCGCCTACGACCGCACCAAGGGTCTGAACTGGGGCACCAACCTGCACAAGAGCACCGAGGCCAAGAAGGGCGGGAGCCACGGCCTGGCGGGCGGTTTCGGCGTGGGTGCACCGCCGCCCCGGGTAAGGGCAGGCGGCGCGGCGGGAGGGCGCGGTGACGAGATCTTGGATATGGGCATGGACTGGGGCGAGGCACTGCGGAGGGACTTTGTGCTGCGGACGCAGACGCTGGGCGGACAGACGCCTGATGTGAGCGCCGAGAGCAAGTACATGGTTGGTGTCTTTGCCGGAAGTATGTTTCTCCCCCTCCCTATTGCTTCTCCTTGTTTGTTCTTCTTTTGGTCCTCTGTTCAAAACCCTTCTGAGGAACGCTAATTTGACCTCTTTCTTCTCTTTCCAGGTAATCTTCACCTCACACCTGCGTCATCCCTCGTCCACCTCCGTCCACAGCTTCACCACATTGATGCGACGACCGAGCAGGAGCGCCTAGCCCGCGGTGCCGGGGCAGCAGGCGCAGCGGGCGCGACCAAAGAGGCCGCCCGCGCGATCCACATGACCATCAAACAGACCAAGGACGGCGACGAGGAGATCATGCAGGAGACGATGGCGGACCGGCTCAGGAAGGTGCAGACCGAATCCTGGCGGCGCATGCGCTATGTGCACGAGGAGGCCATGGACAGCTGGGCCGTGAGCGAGGAGACCCTGTACCTGCAGGCTCCGTCCCAGGGCAAGGCCGCGGGGAAGCAGCCCGAGAACGGCGAGGGCGAGGCCACAGCGGTGAACGCGCACGGGCTCGCGGAGCTGGCTGAGCAGGTCGCCGCGCTGAGGACGGGGATGGACGAGGACGGCATGCTGGAGACGACGAGCGGCATCGTCAAGGAGAGGCCGGCCAAGGTCGAGATCTCAGATGACGAGCCGTCTGCCCCATCGTCTGCCGCTCATGCAAAGGGCAAGGGCAAGGCCGCCGATACGACCAGCAGCAGCAGCACCACCAGGCCGGCTGCGCGCGCGAAGGCGACAACCACAGCGCGAAGGGGTAAGAGAGCATCCACCACAACCAACGATGCCGCCAAGGCGGGGCCTTCGACGAGCGCTACGAAGAACGATTCATGATGTGTAGAAAAGAAGTGTGCTGATTTTGAAGCCGGCGTTTCTGGTATTTAGGGTAGTGATGGGATCCTTGCCCGGTTGCATGGGAGGAAACAAATGAAAGAAAAGGCATCTTTCGGGGACAGGTGCATAGAATCGGCGTTCGGGTCTTCTAGGATAGGTAGGTTTTTTTTTTGGGGGGGGGGGGGTTATTAAAAAAAAAAAGCCAAGTTACAGATACCCATCACGTAAGGGAGGAAAGGGGGAAAAAAACGGGCATGGAAAAGAGGCATAGAGAAGAAACATACAGCAATAAAAATAAAAAGTGAACTTTCTCTCGAATATCTATCCTCATCGTCTATAATGACGATCCAGTTTTGCTAATAGTGCTTCTCCATATGAGCACAATTTCCCAAATCCCGCTTCTCGCTATTCTACATGGGTATGTAAGTACTCGGTCCAAGCCTGCTGCTGCCTCTGGTCCTTTGGTAAGTAGACATAACCGCACCAGACTTGAGCATAGCTCATCCCCAAATGCCATCCAATCCTGATGCTACTGCATGAATTCCCAACCGCGCGACCATGCCGCTGTTTTACAATCCCGCCAAGAACGGGGCTCGTAACCCTTCGCCATCGTCTGCAATCCCCATTGCATTGTCCGCACTAAACAGCCATCAGTGCAGCGTTCACCCTCGCTTCTGGAGCTGTCAATCCATGTGGTCCTCGTCATCTTCCAGAATCACGCAAATCGGTCTGTTACTGAGCTATCCCATGTTGAAAACGCCAAGTAAATATCGTTTCGTACCTGTTAGTACAAACTATAGATGGTCTACCCGAGGAGTGACACGTCGAGGCCGATGGCCTGCATGAACAGGTTGACATTAGCAAGGCGCTGTACTGCAAGGTCTTGCGGCAGAGTTTTGGCAACTTCAACAGTTCCGAGCACACGATCCTTGACGGCGACGACAAGGCGCTGCTGCTGCTCCGCATTGGCACCGATACCAAGGGCTGCTAGGAGCTGCCACACGTAGCCATCCTCGCCTGATGCGGGTGTGCCAGGGAAGACGTGTGGAAGTGTTGGCTCCAGCTGGTTGAAGAAGTTTGAATAGTTGCGCTCCCTACGTTGAATCTGTCAGTAAGTCACGCGTCAATCGAGGAGAAGTCTTTGAGTACTTACCATGCACCACCGTCCTGGGTCCGGATAGCATCTCGACCGCCAGCCGTCTGGATCATGATCTCTGCACGACTGAGGATCATGGTCAAGAAGCTCACGCCGACGCGGGTTCTGGCGACGAGGTCCACGTTGACTTCGGAGCAGAAGAGACCCAGTATCCCAGTGATCATGTCGAGACCTAGTTCTCCCATAAAGACAAACAGTGTGTTGCACACGGCGACGCTGAATAGCTCAATGTCCTCGCGGAGCTTAGCGTCGAGGTTAATGTGCCCGTCAGTGACTGAACCGCGTCGAACAACATCAAACTTGTCGAGATTCACAATGATGATCGTAAGAATCGTAGTGCGCTGCTCGAGGTTGACGTGTCGGAAGACGCGTGTCAAAGCCTTCTTGCCCTTGGCAGTCTCTAACATCGCAATGAAAGGATGAATGGAAGCTCCGGCGGGAACGGGCTCGTGAATCTTGAGCTCACGCCAAAGCTTCTCGTTGAGTTTCTGGCTCGTCTCCTGCCAAGCAACATGTTGCTCAATCAGCTCCGTGTTGCCCTCGTCAGCCACAGGTGGCGGCATCAAGCGCTCGTGATCCTCCAGCTTCATCAGTGTGTTGTAGACCTTCTCAACATCAGCGAGCACTGCCTTCTTGTTAAAGCCAGAGCCAGGGCTGTGCGTCTTATGCGGGGTAGGCTGACGGTTGGCATCACCGCTGCTCTCGGTCCGCTTGATGTTTAAAAGCGGCTTTGGAGTCTTTGCGTTGCTGAAAGAGATCTTTCCGAGACTACCCTCAATCACAAGCTGGGAGTTCTTGGGCTTGTTCTTGGCTGCCTCTACGGCTCGCTGGACCTGCTGCTCCATGCGCTGCATGTGGTTCTCAGGGCCATTACGGTGACGACGGTTACCACCTTGTCGATTGCCGGTCTGGTATAAGTAGGTCTGCGCGAAATTATTCAGCGGTTGGCTGGGGTTCTGGCGCTGACCACCGCGAATCTGATTATGGACCTGGTAGTAGAAATCTTCTGCGAGAGCCTCGTCGGTGCCGTGATCAGCCGGGTTGCCTGTCGCCGCGACAAGCTGTTGGAGCTGGATTCGGGTGATGAAGTTCTTGTCATGGGGCGTCATGATGCCGTTATCACGAGACAAAAGGAAGATCTTGTGATTGCGCTTGGCCCTTCGTGCCTCCTGCTCAAGATAAGCAGCCTTCTCGGTATCAGAGAGCTGAGCCAATTGTGCCGGGTGGGTAATGATGGGTTGGTGGCCCAGGGACGCCTGAGACTGATGATTAGGATGCGTCGGGTACCCTTGAGGGCCTATGCGAGCGGCGTCGCCAGACATGCGGTTGGGATTCTGCAGGATCTGCGTGGGTTGAATCTGCTGAGGAGCTTGCTGGTGCTGCTGGAGCATGGGACTCGGGACGTTTGGCATGGGCGGCTGAGCCTGCTGAGAGTTGGACTGAGGCCGCTGGAGTATCTGCACTGGATGGCCCGGGCTAGGGTACTGAGGTGCCTGGTCAGGCTGCTGCTGGTGGTCCGTGACATGGGCGTGATGCTGCTCGATACGATTCGGATGGGCGTAGAAATCATTTTGCTCGAAGCCTCCCTGAGCTGGATGTTGCATCTGAGGTTGTTGCTGCATAGGCTGCTGCGGAGGGGCCTGCGCAGCAGCATGTCTCTTTGCCTGTGCCTCCGCCCTCATCGCCGCCTCGACCTCTTCCAAGCTCATAACCTTGCGACCAGCATTTGGAGCGGGGGCCGGAGCGGCCTGGGCAGAAGCGGGCGAGGGCTGCGTGGGAGCTACACCCCACAGAGTAGGGTCGACCTGTAGATCCATGCTGGAATTCTGCGCCTCATATTTCTCGTATCCCGTTCGCACAGGTCTGTAAGCTGGCTGGGCATATCCGTAGGATGCCATAGGCTGGGTCTGAGCTGGGGCTGCGGGGACGGCCCTTGGAGCGGGTTGGTTGCGACTGTACAGAAGGTGCTCCTCGTCGATGGCACCAGAGACCTGAGCAGTTCGGCCGAAGAAGTCGAAGTCTTTGCCGACAGCACCGCCGCTTGGACCGGCATCGCCGCCAAAGGTGTCATCGTTGAGCTCGTCACCAGCTTCCTCGAGCTGATCACCTAGGCCATCGTATGTGTCTTCGAAGTCGACAGTGTCTCCACCAGTTTCCTGTTGACCGAGACCAGCGAAAGGATCGTTGCCCTGGGAGAACCCAGGCGCGGCCCTGTTGTGGCCCGACGTGTCGAAGCCGAAGAAAGACATTCTGAGAAGCTTGGATCTTGCGTTCGAGATCTGTGGAGTATGACGAATCGGACACTGCTCGGACACCGGTTAGTAGTGGCTAAGACACCAAGCGTTGTCAAAGTGAGCAAGTCGTGATGCTGAGAAACGAGTGAACGAGGTCCGATGCGCGCGCGTCACCCGACACAAAGTCTCCTGAAAAGCTTGCAGGGATCGCTTCAAGTAGACAAGAGGAATGCTCGCTGGACGCGGCAAAACCTCAAGCCAAGTCACGGTCTTTCGAGTAGAAGGTTCTGAGCGAAAAACGTGGCTGGGTCGATCTTGGTCGAAGTTGCGCAAACGTCAACGATGGGCCAGAAAACAGCAGCCTAGGTTAGGTGCGGTGCGGTCGGAGGTGGGTCACACTCTTGGGGAGGGGCCCAAGCTTGGTGGCCAATAGAGGAGGGGTACACGACTAAGGGTTGGAGGCCAAGTCCCTGACGCTTTGCTTAACCCGCATTTTACACCTGAGGGACAAAGTCCAGCGCGCCAACGACCAACTTGCGAGCTAGCGTGAAAATAATATATTTGCTAACTATTCAGGACGTACGTACGTACGAGGAAGCAAGAAAATTGCAATGGTTATACTATTCTGATACCGACCCAACCTTTGGACGACAACGGTGGTATAGAATGTTGTTTTCGGTTCTTGCATACGTTCAAGCACCAATAATCGTAATTTCTTCGTAAGAGAACGTTCCGTAACTCCTTTCTACCTGTTAGCTGATCAAAACGTTGTATTGCCTCCATAACTGGGAACATACCTTGACTTTTCGCTGCGCGTTGGTAAGATTTGTTGACAAAAGAATGTCAATCAGCTCTTGCTTTCCTCCTTGGACATCTCGGACATACTGCAGATCGAACATTAGATTAATAACGTTGAATCAGTGCTGAGCATGAAGATCGACGAACCTCCTCGGTCGATTCCTCAACGAAGAGGCGGATGGTGAGCACAGGGTATGTCTGTCCGAGTCGGTGTACCCTTGCGAAGGCTTCCTCCTCAATTGCTGGATTCCATTGGGCTCCATCAGATACGCGCGGTTTGCCGCAGTAAGATTAAGTCTGCTGTAACTATATGTGCGCCGCTGTGTTCTTCATGTAGGTCATGGCATCCAGTACATACCCGACAGCTCCGTAAGAGAGAGATATTTGATGAGCAACACTGCTTGTATTCCCAATTCTGAGAAGTTCTGCAAGACCCCATCCTTTTGCTTTGGGGCCCGTTTCCCCATCAACCCGCAGACAAGCAATTCCTGCTTGCACAAGAGCTGTCGAAGCGAGATTCAAAGTTGACGTCCAGCCAGAACGAGAACACGATACTAGCCACAAATCAGCTGAGTTCGATTTGGTCAATGCGCATGAACATACTAACCTTTTCTTTGCCTGTCTGTGAAGTCTCAAGTCGTTGACAAGTGCTTTGATTTTCGTTGGAAGCATCCTGCTTGGATCTAGGTCTCCTTGACGCGTGGCGTTATCCAACAGTCGAGAATCTAGCTGAGCACTCAGCACATTATTCTTTGGAGCTTTTCATTGTACCAATTGCATCCGAAAAGCAGGGCCGACACTGACTTGAGTTCGTGCTATCGAGTGGATTCAATTGTGAAAGCTCTGTCCGCGCTGAACTGTGCCAAGAAGAAAGCGTTGGCGAGGCCGAGATCAGTTGTCCCCAAATCATTCAAGTCCAAGGTAGTCCAGTTAGATCCCCGTCATCAAGGGACTCATCCGTGACACCACAGGCATCATCAATACCTTCTGCGTCGGACCGTCTTGAAGGGAAATTTGTCGAAGTGGCATCATTGGAATCAATTGAACATCCGAGATTGCAAACCATCCTCAGGGTATTGATTTTAGATACGTCATTCGCATACCCATTCTTGACAGTCTTGGAGCTATCACGTCGTCTAGAAACCGGATTGTCGCCCGCTTCGCTAAGGCATATTTGGTCTTATCGTGGCAATCCAAAACAAGTGGAATATCTATATCCGTCCTTTAGGTAGAGAAAGTATACCGTTAAGACGTCGGTGCATTATGAATCCAAGCAACTGCTTAAGCCTCTTTACATCCTCTTCTGGGTCTCCTGATCCCCATGTGAGGCTTCTGTGATCAATATGGGGATAGAAGCGGAGAAAATGAAATAAGCTGAACAGTTCGGATAAGCGGTTCTGTATTGGCGTTGCGGTGACCATCAATCTGCGGTCTGCATTCAGGGCTTGAACGGCCTGGGCAATCGTGGTAGTGCTGCTCTTCATGGATTGTGCTGTGGAAAAGCTAGCTTTTTATACAGTTTTGGAAGCCATTATCTCGGATTATGACCTTCGTCCAGAATGACTCAGTGATGCATGAAGCCAATTGTCTTTTGACCTCTGGCACTCCATTCATTGGCTGGTGTGGAATACGTCGTGAAGATGACATCCAAGTCCGAGAAAGTACTTGATCCCCTTGCTCGATTACGCCCATGGTATAGATACCGCCTTACCAAAGGACCTAGAAGAGATGTCAGTCACACCCAGTACGTAAACATGTCTTGTCGCTAATTGATATGTGTTAAAAGGTACGAAAGACTCCTCAACAAGATACGTGGCCGCTATACCCTTCGGGATCTGTCGAGATTTTCAATAATGTTTGAATGGTTCTTTTTTGCAGAGGGAGAGACCATATTCAGAAATACGGAGTTATGAGTATCGCTTTCTCTCCAGACTACCAGCTGGTCGCAGCCGGATGTCTGGGTAAGAGCGCCTATATTTGGGATATTCAATCTGGCAACCTTGCTGAACGCCTTGAGGGCTCTGATGAGCATAATAATGCTGTTTATGATATCGCTTTCTCTCCGAGCGGCAAAGATGTTAAGATGTGGGGCCTTCGCTCGGCTCGCCACCTGCAGGATGGAAACGACCAGGCTCCCAAGGAGGGTCGGTGTCTGAAGACATTCAAGGGCCAAAGGGTAAGTGATTGTCTTCCTGGGGTATATGATAATGCTTTGACTTGAACAAACTATAGGGATACGTCCTTGGTGTTGTTCTGACCCCCGATGCCCAATGGATGTTATCCGGTTCCTCGGATCGAAGCGTGCGTTTCTGGACCCCAAGACCGGTAATACTCAGCTGGAAGTCCACGGTCATTCGTTCTTTCAGTGGCATCGAGTCCGAGACCCTAGTATTCTGCTCCCGGGTCGAGAGACTGGACCACCCATATTTGGTCGTATACCCGTATTGTATTGGGTCCTTCGTAGGGTCAAGGTGAACCAAACACCAGGTGTACGAACTTACCAGGATCTCAGCACAATGACACAGTATCGGAGGCCCTCCAGGACCGAGGCGTTCTTGATGATAATGTGAACCTTACAAATTGAAGGGAATCAGGGTACAAGTATGTTGAACCGTCTACTATATCATAAGCATTTTGAAATTGGAACTGGAAAGTTGCAGCGAGATAAGCGTGCGCTCTCTTCCTTGGTAGATAGACCAGCAGCTCAGATCAGGACCAAAGCGCGCAGAAAGCAGTGAGACCCAGGAAGTAAAGAAGAGCTAGATGAGAAAGAGAGAATACAAGACAGTGTTGTAAACAGAAAGTGTGCCGTCCAACAAGTCAAGACAAGCAGCTATGTTCAAGAGTGGTAACAATAGCGAGCTTGGTGCCCCTGGAAGCTGAAGTATTGCGAAGAGGTAGCAGGTTCATGAGTGATGTCAAGGTGGATGTTGGGGCTAGGACAAAGCTCAGGTCGTATTAGCACCTATCACTCTCACCAGGAATGGATGTGGTCAAGGCCATTTTAAAGTTTTCCCCTACCTAATTCATGTTCAGCCTCAAGGCTAGCAGACATTTTGGTATCCCTGCTAGGACGGTATAGGTTTTGGGGGGTGGAGGCTTTGGAGGGGAAATTGGCACAAAACAGCTTTGGGTGCAATTATACTACAGAGACATATCTGTACACAATAAATCCCCTGAGCAACGGGCAGTGAGAAGCCACATCCACTGTACAAAATTGGGTTGTAGTAAAAAATACATGATGGAGGACAGGGGGCCCTATTCAAATGGCCATGCAGGTGGGACACACACGCTATGTGACAATGCCTCGATTAGTCTGGCTGCTATTTCTCCGCTCAGACAGGCCTAGAAGAGGCCACCAGTAGGGGATATTCATAGTAGCGAGGATGGCTAAATTAGTGTTGCCTACCCGCGCCCGTCTCGGGAATGTGGTCGCCGGTACGAAGCGAAGTACTGTGCAGATTTCTGACCAAGAAACTATGGTAAAGGTACGACGAGTATTTCCCAAGATCTGGGAGACTCCTGGAAAGGGCCAAGCCTTGGTTGACTCGGCCCAGACCTGCCGATGTACACCATAGTAAATGAGTTGCCATGGTAGGTTTGAGCGAAATGCTCTTGTCTCAAAAAGAAGGGGGGAAAAGGGGGCTCGTGTTATCGTGTTATCGACGGACTCCCTAGCAGACTTCAGTTAGTGGCAACATACGAATTTGTTAGGGCTGCCCAGCGTACCACCCCTGTACCATTAGTGCACAAGAGTTGACGCGGCGTGGGCTCGCATATGCAGGTGTACAGGTGTACTCTCGTACTCTTGTCAGCAGAGACAGGTTTGACTTACTTTTTCATCCTCCAGACAAACCTGTCCTACTCCAGGGACGGCCTGGTCTATCTTCGTTCTTCTCTCCTTTCTTCTTTTGATCAGTGACACAATCTCTTCTCCCTTACTTTCTCTGAAGCAGCGAAACCGCCCAACTCCGGAGAATGGTACGGTGACCAATAAGTTGCAGTCTACCGAGCACGGTCTTGCAAATTGATTTGTCGCCGCTCCCTCGTCGTCGAAAACCGCAAATCGAAACCCGACGAGCATTGGTGAAGTGGTCGCACGCCGGATCTGCTTCCACTGAGGGCCACGACTCCTCCCAATTTCGACGAATCCTGCAAAGGAAAAGCAAAAGACGACAGCAAATTTGTTCTCTACGATCCCTTCACAGCAATTTCTTTCTTCCCCTACGATAATCAACATCTTTCAACATGGCGGCGGGTAGCGCACGCATTGTGCGATACATCCTGATCGCCTTTTTTGTACGTCGTTCATACCTATCACCTGGGCGCCCCGCGCCACTGCACGTGCGAGTCCATCGAGCGTGTGGTCCCACGATGTGTGTCTTTTGACTGACAGTCGGAGTAGCTGGTAGCATTGTGGTATTTCGTTTCCTCCTCGTCCTACGAAACTATCGGCGTGAACAGCCCCATCGGTTTCCCGAGCACAGGAAAGACAGGTAGCAGCGAAACAAGTGGCGGCAGCGGCGTCGTCAAGGAACAGGAGGAAGAGAATACACCTCCAAGCAAACCTCATACCGGCGGCACCCAACAGCAGGACCTGGGATCGAGCCCTCTTGTTACGCAACCCGGCAACCCGCAATGGGAAGACTTGACCAGCATTGCGCCAGGCCCGCGCATGAACGCGACCTTCGTGACCCTGGCCCGCAACTCTGATGTCTGGGAAATCGCGCGATCGATCCGCCAGGTCGAGGATCGCTTCAACCGCCGCTACAACTATGACTGGGTGTTCCTAAATGACAAGCCCTTCGATTCAACTTTTAAAAAGGTGACCTCGTCGCTGGTGTCAGGCAAGACGCACTATGGCGAGATCCCCGAGGAGCACTGGTCTTACCCGGCCCATATCGACCAGGAGAAGGCTAAGAAGGTGCGTGAGGACATGAGAGAGCGCAAGATCATCTACGGCGACTCTGTCAGCTACCGCCATATGTGCCGGTTCGAGTCCGGTTTCTTCTTCCGCCAGCCACTCATGATGAACTACGATTACTATTGGCGCGTTGAGCCCAGTGTCGAGCTCTTCTGCGACGTCCACTATGACCCCTTCCGCCTGATGCACGAGCAGGGCAAGAAATACAGCTTTGTTCTCAGCCTGTACGAATACGTCGAGACCATCCCGACCCTTTGGGAGAGCGTCAAGAAGTTCATGAAGAACCACCCTGAGCACATTGTCAAGGACAACTCTCTTGGTTTCCTCAGCGATGACGGGGGCGAGTCTTATAACCACTGCCACTTCGTAAGTGCAAACCATCATCACACGGCCTCGTCAGAAACACATACTGATCCCCTGCAGTGGTCCAACTTTGAGATTGGCAACCTGAACTGGTTGCGCTCTCAGGCGTACCTCGACTACTTTGATGCGCTGGACAAGGACGGTGGTTTCTTCTACGAGCGCTGGGGCGACGCTCCGGTGCACTCGATCGCTGCCGGTCTCATGCTCAAGAAGGAAGAAATCCACTTCTTCAACGACATTGCATACTATCACGTTCCATTCACACACTGTCCCACAGGCGAGAACGTTCGAACACAACTCCACTGCCACTGCAACCCGAAGGACAATTTCGACTGGAAGGGTTATTCATGTACGTCTTGGTCGCCCCCCCCCCTCGTTTCATTGGAGTCGAGACGGCTGCTAATCATAAGCAACAGGCACATCAAGATTCTTTGAGATCAATGGCTTAGACAAGCCGGAAGGGTGGGAGAACCAGTCTGATTAAACCAGGCCGGTGGCATGCGTGCATCTTTGTTGTGACCTACGCCATTTTTGTAGTTTTTCTTACTTCTTTGAAGACTTTGCTCACGAGCACATTTCACATTATGCATCAACTGGAAGGCAACGGAAAAAGGAGATCCGAAAGGCGTCTGGGCGACTGACTGACTGCAAGACCGGACTGGGTAATCTGGAGCAGTCCTTAAAGGACCTGGTACATGCGAGCAAACAATCGAGCATTTTAGCTATCTGAGCTGCATGGATGTCTTGTTCTGCGTCTTAGAGACCTCAATGTACACCTGCATTACGATGCAGTCAAAGGCAAACATATATTCTTCATTCTTGGTGCGCCTCGTGATGCAGCCTCGCCGGCCAGCCTTACTCCACCCGTTGCTACTTCCAACCCATTTTTATCGATTTCAGCCCACAGAGGCCTTCTTGGGCTTCTTAGTCCCGTACTTGCTCCTTGCGTTGGTCCGGTTCGACACGCCGCCCAGATCCAAGGCGCCCCTGACAAGCTTGTACCGCACACCAGGGCAATCCTGCGCCCTCCCGCCTCTCACGAGCACCACGCTGTGCTGTTGGATGTTGTGGCCCTCGCCAGGGATGTAGGCGGTGATAGTCTTGCCGGTGGTCAGGCGCACACGCGCCGTCTTGCGCTCACCCGAGTTGGGCTTCTTGGGCCGGGTGATGCCGACCTTGATGCAGACGCCTTTGCGCTGGGGATCGGCGCCGCCGGCTAGGGCAGGGGAAACGGCGTGGCGGGCGCGTCGAGGTTTACGGCAGCCCTGTGAGAAGGGGAAACGAAGGGAGGGAGAGATGTCAGTGTGCGCCTTTATTGCATGGGGAAGAAGATATCTGAAGCTGTAAGGGGGTTAAAAGGGGGGAGGGGGGGGGGGCTCCTTGTGGTAGATAGGATGCATGCATACCTTCAGAACCTGATTAAGCGTTGCGTTCTGGACTGGTGTCGAGGTGAAAGAGCGTGTGGTAGTGGTGGATGTTATGGCGGATGGCTTGAGGAATGTTGATGGCCTGAATGTGACGATTCTTGCAGCTGATATAGGTGCCCGTCGTATTGAAGGCACCAGCAGGTGCCTCAGCATTGGCATTGACATCTTGGACGGTCTGGCTTGGAGCTGGTTGTTGGTGCCACTCGCAGCAAAAGAGTGACTGGCGATTGTCGCTGTGACGCCTCACCTCGCCTCGAAATCTGATCTGGGCTGGCTCTTGTTGGTCCGTGCTCTATCCAGGTAGCCTAGCAGTTCAATCCGCTTAGTCATTCGCCCATTCACATGCTCCTTGGGCAATGCCCAGCAGAAGGGCCCAGATCCTGGCTGGTACCCCTTCCCCGGACCCCGAATTCCCCAATGACGCCTGCACGCCGCTGGTAGTGGCCCCTCTGCGGAACCGCGGCGGTGGTTATCCTCGGCTTGATTCTTCGAGATGGGTCACTTCTCTTTCGGTGTTGCTTTCTTTTATCTAGGCTATGTCCTCCTACAACATTTTGACAATTCCGGTTTTACAGAGGATTTCTAGCCAATTCTTTTCCCTTGCTCGTCTGATACCGAAGGGTTTCAATTCTGAGCCCCGTCTTGTCTCGTACACTTGGAGTGATTGAAACAACATTGGCCAGCTATGTCGTCTGTCGCGAGAGCACTGCGCCCGGCTGTCCGGGCCAGCGCACGTGGTTTGTGCGGTCTGCGAACGGTTCCAAGGATAGTACGGCCTGTACAGAGATCAACGAGTATACAAAAGTAAGAGACAACAGGGCAGTCATCAGGAAGAAGATCATTATGCTTATTTTGCTTACAATAAAATCACAGTGCAAGGTGTCTATCCAGCACGCCCCTCCTCCGCTCGGACATCACCGACATCCCGCCTACGCCTATCACGCACCTCTCTGAGATCGAGTCGGCCATGCAGGAGTCCGTCTCTAAGTTTGCCAACGACGTGATCGCCCCCAAGGTGCGCGAGATGGACGAAGCCGAGAAAATGGACCCGTCCATCGTCGAGCAGCTGTTCGAGCAGGGGCTCATGGGCATCGAGATCCCTGAGGAGTTTGGCGGCGCCGGCATGAACTTCACCGCTGCCATCCTGGCCATCGAGGAGCTTGCCCGTGTCGACCCTTCCGTCAGCGTCCTGGTCGACGTCCACAACACGCTGGTCAACACCGCCATCCTGAAGTGGGGGTCCAAGGACCTGCAGAAGAGGTTCCTACCCAAGCTCGCGACGGGCACGGTAGGGAGTTTCTGTCTGAGCGAGCCGGTGAGCGGGAGTGATGCGTTTGCCCTGGCCACCAAGGCAACGGAAACGGCAGATGGGTACAAGATCTCTGGAAGCAAGATGTGGATCACCAACTCCATGGAGGCGAACTTCTTCATCGTGTTTGCGAACCTGGACCCGAGCAAGGGCTACAAGGGAATCACGGCTTTCATCGTCGAGAAGGATATGAAGGGGTTCTCGATTGCCAAGAAGGAGAAGAAGCTCGGCATCAAGGCCAGCAGCACATGTGTCATCAACTTTGACGATGTTGAGGTGCCCAAGGAGAACCTGCTAGGCGAGAAGGGTCAGGGTTACAAGTACGCCATCGCTCTGCTGAACGAGGGTCGGATCGGCATTGCTGCACAGATGACAGGGCTGGCGCTGGGCTCATGGGAGAACGCGGTCAAGTACGTCTGGAATGACCGGAAGCAGTTCGGCCAGCTGGTCGGCGAGTTCCAGGGCATGCAGCACCAGATCGCGCAGTCTTATGTCGAGATCCAAGCCGCAAGAGCCCTAGTGTACAACGCATCAAGAAAGAAAGAAGCAGGCGAGGACTTTGTGAGAGATGCTGCCATGGCGAAGCTGTATGCCTCTCAGGTGGCCGGAAGGGTAAGCGGCCTCGCCATCGAGTGGATGGGAGGTATGGGTTTCGTGAGAGAGGGAGTTGCCGAGAAGTTCTGGAGGGACAGCAAAATTGGCGCCATTTACGAGGGGACAAGTAACATCCAGTGAGCCACTCACCCATTCTTTCTTTCTTTTCTTCTGGTTTACACCTCCGCCCCACAATACTAATGTTCTGCAGGTTGAACACCATCGCGAAGCTGTTGCAAAAGGAGTATACGTACTAGACGGCAGGTTTAATCATCGATTCGAGAGTTGCTCTTGCATGTGAGGAGTTTTTCGGCTCTCTTACGTTCTGGATCTCTGGGGAAGAACTCTCAAGTGTGTCTCTTCCCTGTACGTAATTTTTCTTTGACCTTCAGCATCGCTCTAGAGATTGATACAAAAGCATTTCACAATCCATACTTGCACAGAACATGCATCTTGTTTTTATCTGTACTTCTCGCCTGATTGCGGCTTTGCAGACCACACGATGGCCTAGGAGGAACAGGACTCACCACCACCTTGGAAGGTGCCCGGATACATTCTACTGCACATACCTCCTTCCAAGAGTGGGTCTGTTAGGAAGAGGGGTCCAAAGGATTATAGTGTCTCGCGGGGATGCATCGTTATAGCATTACCGTTATAATTACACCGAGGCTTACAAAAAAGGGTCATCTCTCGAGGAGGCCTTCTACTTTGTGAGCGCCACTTTCCCCCTTCGTATGAAACTTCAAGATATCGAGGCCGTGCCAAAACCTCTCCCTCCCCCCCCCCCTCTCTCCCAAATATAAACCTTTCAAGATGACAGACGAGCTCAAAGGCCTGATCAATCCTCGCCTCCTCTCCTACCTGGTCGAGTGCCGCATTGGTCCGCCCAGCGAACCTCTCAACATCCCGGAACTTCCGCGCACAGCCCTCACTACCGAGCGCTTTGGCTCATTGATCAGACCCCAATTCCTACCGGTGCTCATCGCCCTGTCCAAAGTCGGGCTCGAGACTCTCACGCCTGAATTTCTGTCCACCAACTTCCTCCCTCCTCCGTCTTCTCCAGACTTCCCACTGCAATGTCTCGGCCTTCAGCTGCTGGTAGATCAAGCCCCGCGCGCCCTGTGCCGGGGAATCGATGTGCGCTGGCAAGCGGGCTACTTCGACATCATCGGCGATCGGTTCGCGCGGTGGTGGCACGCGCTGCCGCCCGAGCAGAGGCCGGACTCGTGGGCGCGGTGGCGAGATGATGTCGGCTCTGGGTTCGACTACTGGACGTCAGTGCGGCTGTGGTTCACCGCGCCGTTCGTGCACTCCGAGGCCGTTGCTGACCATGAGACGGCGCTCGCTCTCACAGAGGAGACGAGACTTGCGGTGGAGGAGCATAGCGGCGCCAAGGATTCGTGGAGGGAGCGGAGGGATCAGGTGTTGAGTGATCTTGAGGGGTTTCCGCGGGTGGCGCGGGGTGGTGAGCCGCTGGGGGAGAACCCGACGCTGGAGGAGTGGTGCTGGTGGTGGTTTATGTTGTTTGATACACATAAGCCCATCATTGATCGATTTGGAAGGTACCCATATCGGAATGGCACCCTTGCGCGGGCGTCTACGCCCGAGGAGGTGGAATGGCTGGAGCAGGTTGGTCATTATGGGGAGACGCCGTCTGAGGTTGCGAGACAGGTGAAGAGGGATGTTGAGAGGGGCATCTGGCAGCCACTAGGTGAAGGCAAGATTGAGGACGAGTGAAAATGAAAGCCCATCGTTCTTGGAGGAAGTTCTTGTTCTCTATTTTTGAATTTGTCCATTTCCTCTCTTGACCTTCTTTGATGTCGCAAGATGCGTGCTTTGATAGTTGTTGCATCCAGTCTGGTGTGCTATTACAGTCAGTGTGTACTGTAGTCACGGTCTGAATTCATAAATCAACTTGGACTTCTGGCTCATGACATTGTTCTCATAATCAATGACTTTCTCTTTTCTTCCAACTTGCCGTTTGCTCTCCTTATTCCACCTTCTCCTTCTCCTTATAAGTATCAGGGACAGGGGCTGGGAATCTCCTTACCCTCACCCTCCTATGCTGTGTTTAAATGGCTCTTTTCTCTTCATCTCGTCTTGTTCCTTTATTTTTTTTAAAAAAAAGCCTTACGGTTCCCCCTGGTCATTTTGTTTTAGATTGGCCTGAAAATACCGAGAAGCAAAAAATGATGTGATTGTGTATCGTATCTACAGAAACATTGAAAGGGGTATACAATCATCTAGCAGGCCACTCAAACATTTGAAGTGAAAACTGCTGTAAAACCAGCCATAGTCCCTCTTGATCGTGCATCATTCCACACTAACACTTGTAAATTTACTAGATACTGATGATTCTTTAGCGATAGAAAATTCAACCGGCCACGCTGGGTCTTTATGTTCTGGTTAAGGCAGGATATTGAAAGTCGAGGCATAGGAAAACAAAGCAAGCCCAACAGCACGCATTCCACATTCCACAAGCCCATTCAACATTTCAGATCACTACAAATATAGCAACATAGCCATTATACTAGAAATCTCAAACTCAGAACTTTGCAAGAAACGGAATGATTTTCGAGCACTCAAGTCAGCATTTATTGAAAGCCCCACTTGATCGTCTTATGTCTTCGGGCGGAGCCCCGAGTGTAATCACCCATCTACTCAAAGACCTTCCCGTGCGAGTGCTTGTTCAACAGCGCAAGCGCATTGCCTCTCAACGCCTCAGGCTTCAGGACCTCCGCCCTGGGGCTCTTCTCCAGGAACGTCTTGTACAAGTGCACCACCTGCAAAATGCTGGGCATGGGCGCATATGGGAAGTCGCTTCCAAACAAAATATGGGATTTGTCGGGCAAAAAGTCCAGCAGCGCGTTCAGCTGCGACGGGCTCGTGCTCACCGCGATGTCGTAGTAGAACCGCGCGGCGTCCTCAAGCCCCTGCTCGTACGTGACGCCGGCCTGCACCGCGATGGGCGGGATGGACAAGGACCCGAGGGCGCGGGCACCAATAAAGGGAAGCGTGCCGCCGGCGTGTGAAAGGATGATGTCGACGTCTGGGCATGCGCGCACAGTGCCTGTGACGATAAGGTCAACTGCCGCGCGGGTTGTGTCCTGCGGGTAGTCCACGATGGGCTGCGGGAGAAACCCGCCGATGAACCGAGGCGTGATCTCGACGTTGGTCGGGTGCAGGTGGACGAGGGCCTTGTGCGTCTGCAACTTCTCCCAGATGGGCTTGAAGGTCGGGTGGCCTGGCAGCTTGCCACCGTAGTTTGAGTACATGCCCACGCCGGCGCAGAGCTTTTGCTCGCCGAAGAGGAAGTCGATCTCGGCGACGGTGCCCTCGACGTCCTCCCAGTTGGGAAGAACGCCAAAGAAGCTGAATTTACCGGCGAAGGGACCTTCGCTCTTGCTGGACAGATCACCTAGGTACGTGTTGAGCTCCCGGCTGAGTTTGCGGCCTTCCTCGCCTGCACCGGTGATGGGGACTCCTGGCGAGGAGACCGAGAAGATCCCTTGTATTGGGCAGTTTATTGTCAGCCGAAAATCTAACTGACATCAAAAGGACAGACCACGACGGGAAGGAAAGGCACGCAATTACCAAAAGATGACCCAACGGCCTCCATTGATTTTAGTGCTGCTTCTGGAGACCAGTCTGGCTCTGGGAAACCAGAAGGGTCACCTCCATGTGCCGCAACAGCAGCCTTGTAGGCTGGAGGGAGAGCATGAAAGTGAACGTCGATATGTCCCGCCATGTTTGTTGTGTGCAACCAGTCCTGCAGTGGAAGCTGAGTGTTTCTATCTCCTTCTCCGTCTCTCTCCTCTCTCCTTCTTTTCTTTCGGTGCCCTTGATAAGTGGTAATTGGCCGCGACCTGACGGAGACGATCCTCAAGAGGGAGAAAGGTGTCTCGAGAGTTGCTTCGTAGTCATGCTACTAGATAAACATCACTTAGAATAGGTGAAGACATCACCCTGAGCATTTCAATAGTTATATACATTATTTAGTCTTGAGAATCGGTCTTTGCAAACTCCTTGTCATCCGCCCTCGCTACGTAACCGACAGACGCGGGGTTGTGTTATGCACTGCGATAGAATTGTTAGTGGAGTGATGAATGTATTGCTTGTTAGAAGAACCCGAAGAGGCTTAGACCCGGACTGACAGCAGCATCTGGCGGGGGGTTAGGATCGGAACACGCCATCTTGAACCTCCGGTGCTTCCGCCGTGCCTGGCAACTGGCACCCAGTTTTGTTATGAAAACAGTTTAAGTAGTAGGTGGGGGTCATGGCCTGCAGGCTCATGCCCAGACACTCGCCCTCCATTACGACAAGAGACCTTCCGCATGAATGCTATAGTCCAAGCTGACTAGCTCGCCTCTTCACACAAAGGACGCCTTCTAAGCAGATGAACCTGCAACTGTCATCAGAATTCATTTATCACCAGCCGAGCAGGCATATTGAAGCATGTATAATAGAATACTATGGTGGAATTGATGGAATTGATGGGATAGTGGACACGATCTTTTGTCCTCAAAGTTCGAAGTGATCACCGGTCATTTATGAGTGACCCAGCAATTAGCAACCCACAATGTTTCTTTCCTTTGGATGGAAAAGATGCTCTTGACAGCATATGCCGCTTTTTTCTTGTCCTCTTCTTTATCTCCTCCCCCTCTCCTTCCCTCTTGAAGGGAGGGGGGGAACCCAGAGAGAGGAGAGAGGAGAAGAAGAAGAAGAAGAAGAAGAAGAAGAAGAAGAAAAAGAGAAAGAAGAAAAAGAGTACTCGTTGATGGCTCCAATCACACAAGAAGCCTCTAGAGCTCTCAGAAAGCTGCGCTGTTTGATATGATATCAAACATCGAAGTGTTGACTTGCAGATGACTTGCAGAGCACTACAAAACCCAGTGGCCGCACTCCACCCCCTGGCAGGGCCTGTCAGCTATACAAATGAGGCTTGTCTCATCTAGATTCACATTTTGGCCCTTAACCTGATGTCCCATGATGTCAATGCATTTTGCCATGATTGGTCCCAGTAACTAGTGAAAAGTGAGATTGCAGAGGGACACATATGGAAGATTCAGGTCCCGACAAATGGTAATCAAGATTGGAGAAGAAAGATTCACCCAGTAATTACTTAATTACTGCTCGTGTCCGCATGGTGATGACTGTTCAAAATATCCTGTTAATGTCGCAAATGGCAATGCAATATCATTCAAAGAGGATGGAAGTCTAGAATCGTAGGTTGCACAGCCCTCAACGCCCTTTGAAGATACTAAGCCTTTACTAGCATACATGTGGTGAATACTCAAGTTACACCTAGTTTTAGACATGACTAGAGCCTATTTCCAAGTCGCCCAAGTGAGTGACGAAGGCTCCACAACTAAGCCGTAGTACTCATTGAAGAAGGGGTATAATAACCACACGACTCAGCAGAGTGTTAAATGGCGATGATTGAACACTTTCTTGCTGACGTGTTGGATAAATTTGAGGCACTAGAAGAGCTGTGACGAATCTGATGAGCTGGCTCAGGGAGATGAGGTATTTCGTAGATGGGAATTCACGGCAATAATGTAATTTCCCATGACAGCCCCTGCCAATAATTACTATACCTCAATCCAATTTTTAGTGGTTGCATTGAGCCAGTCTGTTCTGGTGTGAACAGTCAGAATAAAGCAGGAAACTTTCCAGTAAACCGCCCCCCCCCCCCTCCCTCCGAAGGTGCTTTGATATGCATATGTAAACCGATTCCTTTCCTGCATCTCTCACCCTGAAAGGTAGCTAAACTGTACTAAATCATGTTAGAGAGGGAGGTTGCAGGACTAAGGGAAGTTGACCGTTGTGGTTGCCCCACAACGCCTGAACGCGTGTTGTGGTACACACTAACGACTTATCTCCATCCCTGTAGGCTTGGGCCTGCAGGCCAGACCTGATTGGTTCGATTTTCTATATGCCTCTAGTAACAGGGACGGCCCATAGTGACAACCTGACCAGCGATAACACACCCAAGAACAAGTGAGGGGTGACACCAGTGACTGCTCCCCCCTCCCCCCTCCAAGGTTAGGTGCTTGGGTCTTCAGTTGCCCCCCCCCCCCGTCCCGAAATCCCATCACCCGCGATTCCTCTGCCGAATGCGAAACACAAAAAAAAAGCCCCGCCATTTTCGATGTTGCTCTCAATCTCCTCTAACACAAACACAGATACACACCACCCCCCCCCCCCCCCCCAACGCAACCCACCCTCGCTGACGACATTTCCCCCCTCCCTCCTACCACCAAACAAACAGGCGCCCCATCACCCACCGACTGATCACTCCTGTTATCATGATTACATTGCTCACACGGTCATACTGACATCAATTAACCCAGTCGACAGGAGAACACTCCACTGTGAGAGGCCTGCTCGTGTCCAAATTTCTTTTCAGCTCAGTCTGCCGGTTGGGCTGATCTGATCTACAAAAGTTGAAGCCCAACAGAGCAAAGGGCCTTGTGCTGGTGGAAGTGGCAGTGACAGTGGCTGCGCTGCAGAAGAGGGCCGAGCCTGGAACTAGGACTTAGCAGTGGAGTCCTAGCCTTCTGAACGACTCGTGGGTCCTTCTTTCATACCTGCGGATACCGGGCCCAACTCGACCGATCCTCCCAAGAAGCTGCAACCGCTCCACGAACTGCCAGTCAGGTCAGGTCAGGCCAAGCCCACGTCGAAATCACTACACTCGATCAATCTGGTGCGGATTGCGAGTGTACAGAGACTCCTTGCACTGCCCTGCCTGGCCCTCGACAAACCATTTCTTACTCACCACTGGAGGTGTGTCGCCTGACGCGATACGACCCGACCCAAAACCTTTAGGTTCCCTTTCTTCCATCCCGCACACCGTTACTGCACCCACTCTTCTCAACACACACACACCCCCCTCTCTTTCTTTCTGCGCGCTCCGTCCGCGCAGACACCAATACCGCCACCATGAGCGGCGAAGAAGACAAGATGATGGACATCTACAAGAAGATCGAGCGCGAGAAGGCCCTCATCCAGGCCGCCAATCTCATGCGCCAGCAGACCAACAATGACCAGGTCCGGTCCAAGCTCGACAACCAGATGCGCGAGGGTAAGCGGAACCTTGAGTTCTTCGAGGAGAAGCTCAAGGAACTGCAGCTGCGCCGGGGTATGGGCGACATGAGCATAGGATCACCGGGCTCTTCACGGCCACATGGGTCACGCAATGACTCTGATGGTCCTCCTATGCCTCCACCCAAAGATGCATCCGGCATGGCAACATCAGGAGGCGATCCTCAGTACAGTCAGATCGGCGGTACTGACTTGATGCCTCCCCGGGGTCCCTTTGCTCAACCTGGCCCAGGCTCTACGCCTAAGCCACGGCCAAACTTCACGAAGCTCGGTACGGTTCCTGACACCATCACCGCCTTGCTGCCCACATGTTTGGGCGCGTAAGGCATGGAATAGAAAGACAAATAGGGAGAGAAGAAAGAGTGGGCTGACATAATTCTCATCATCAGATCTGATCAAATATGACACGCCCTACCTCGGCCCTCGCATCCAGCTCATGCTGTCCCAGATTCAGTTCAAGCTCAACGTCGAAGAACAGTATCTCAAGGGTGTCGAGAAGATGGTCCAGCTGTACCAGATGGAGGGTGATAAGAAGAGTCGCGCCGATGCTGCAGCCAGAAAGGTCGAGAGCAGGCAAAAGATCACACTGTTGAAGCAAGCTCTCAAGCGCTACGAAGAGCTGCACGTGGATGTCGACAGCGCCGATAATGCCGATGGTGCGTAGTGGGGAGAGCAGAATCACGCACTGGGAACCTGTCTCACTAACATGATGGTCTGCAGACGATAGCATCAACATGCCCAATTTGCGAAAACCTCTGTCCGGTCAGCTCTCGATCCGGGTTGTCGCTGTGAAGGACGTCGACCATGCGCCTACAGGACGTTTTAGTCGGACTGCCGATACCTTTGTCGCTGTTAAGGTCGAAGACCAGGTCATGGCACGAACTCGGGCCACCAAGAACGACAGATGGGAAGCCGAGTACCACACCATCGAGGTCGACAAGGCGAACGAGATCGAACTCACGGTCTACGACAAGCCTGGGGAGCACGCTCTACCTATAGGGCTGCTCTGGGTCCGCATCTCGGATATAGCTGAAGAGCTGCGTAGAAAGAGGATTGAGGCGGAGATCAACAACTCCGGATGGGTCTCTGCCGACAGGATGGCCAATTCGCGGGGTCCTGCGCAGTTCCCCATGAATCCACAGCAACAACAGCCACAGCCGCAGTTTGGTCCCCCACCCACCTCCCCTGGATATCAGAGCCCTCAGCCTACCTACCCACCGCCGCAGGCCCAGCCCCAGGTGAACCAGCCTATCGACGGCTGGTTCAACCTGGAACCTACCGGTCAGATCCAGTTGAGTCTGAACTTCATCAAACAGACAAACAACATGCAGAAATTCGATGCGGGTCTCGGGCGGAAGGGCGCTGTGCGTCAACGCAAAGAAGAAGTCCACGACATTTACGGGCACAAGTTTGTACAGCGGCAGTTCTACAACATCATGCGCTGCGCTTTCTGCGGCGATTTTCTCAAATATTCTGCCGGCATGCAGTGCGAGGATTGCAAGTACACTTGCCATACGAAGTGCTACACAAACGTCGTCACCAAGTGTATCAGCAAATCCAATGCTGAGACTGATCCCGACGAAGAGAAGATCAACCACAGGATTCCTCACAGGTTTCAGACCTTTTCGAACCTTACGGCAAACTGGTGTTGTCACTGTGGTTCTCTGCTGCCCTTCGGCAAGAAGAACTGCAGAAAGTGCTCTGAGTGTGGTCTCACTGCCCACGCTCAGTGCGTGCATCTGGTTCCTGATTTCTGCGGCATGTCTATGGTCAACGCAAATAAGATCCTTGAAGGCATGAGGACCCAGAGGCAGCGACAGTCCCAGAAGACATCGTTGAGCGAGAGGACGCTGCGCTCAAGCGCCAGCAGCCCACCAAGCTCTCAATCCTCCACCCTCTACGATCGGACCAGCATGAATTCGTACAACCAGCCCTCTCCACAGGCTACCGAGGCGGCAAGAAGGACGTATGGTCAGCCATCCCCAGAACTCCAACAAGGGGGTAGGGTTTCCGCTTCATCGGATGCGGCGGCTGCAGCCACGATGGCGATGAGTGGAGCAGTAGGTAGCCAGTCACCACGGCCACAGCAGGGAGGACAGCAAGACTACATGGCCCGTCAGGACTCGTACCCGAGGCCCGACCAAGCGCAGGAAGATCCTTATGCGTCTCAACAATACGGCAGTCCGACTCAGCAACGAAAGTACAACCCGGCTGACTACGCCAACGTGAACAACCAGTACGGCCAGCCTATACCGCAGGCCCGACCCGCCCAGCCTCCACCGATACAGCAGCAGCAGTCCTACCAGCAAATCATGCCTGCGCCGATGGCTCAGCCTAAGCCGCAGCCAGAACCTGCAGCTCCTTCACCGACCACCTCTTCGGCCATGTCTGCGGCAGGAAAGAAGCCCCTGCCTTCGGCCACCGATCCAGGGACCGGTATGCGTATTGGCTTGGACCACTTCAATTTCCTCGCTGTGCTCGGAAAGGGCAATTTTGGAAAAGTTATGCTGGCCGAGACGAAACGATCCCGAAAGCTCTACGCAATCAAAGTCTTGAAGAAGGAGTTTATCATCGAGAATGACGAGGTTGAGAGTATTCGATCTGAGAAGAGGGTCTTCTTGATCGCGAACCGAGAGCGACACCCCTTCCTCACCAGCCTGCACGCCTGTTTCCAGACGGAGACCAGAGTGTACTTTGTGATGGAGTATGTTAGTGGTGGTGATCTGATGCTCCACATCCAGCGTGGCCAGTTCGGAACGAAGCGTGCCCAGTAAGTTGTTAATGACCGTCCCCGTCTCCGCAGCACAGTCCTGATACTGTTTAGATTCTACGCCGCTGAGGTCTGCCTGGCCCTTAAATATTTCCACGAGAATGGTGTTATTTATCGAGATTTGAAACTCGACAATATTCTTTTGTCACTTGACGGCCACGTCAAGATTGCAGATTACGGTCTATGCAAGGAAGACATGTGGTATGGATCGACGACGAGTACTTTCTGCGGTACTCCTGAGTTTATGGCGCCCGAGGTGAGATAAGACAAAAGAAGAAAAAAAGATACTCGTCGCGTGTATCGTATCCAATCATACATACTGACTCTTGCGTAGATTCTGCTTGACAAGAAATACGGACGCGCTGTTGACTGGTGGGCTTTTGGTGTCCTCATCTACCAAATGCTGCTGCAACAGTCTCCATTCCGAGGCGAGGATGAAGACGAGATATACGACGCCATCCTGGCTGACGAGCCTCTGTACCCGATTCATATGCCGCGGGACTCGGTCTCGATCCTGCAGAAGCTGCTCACCCGTGAGCCAGACCAGCGACTGGGAAGCGGCCCGACCGATGCCCAGGAGGTCATGAGCCAACCTTTCTTCCGTAACATCAACTGGGATGACATATACCACAAGAAGGTGGCACCGCCTTTCTTGCCCCAGATCAAGAATGCAACCGATACCAGCAACTTCGATTCCGAGTTTACCAGCGTCACGCCGGTGCTCACCCCTGTTCAGTCTGGTATGTTCTTCCAGCGCCTGTTCTCCCTTGGGAGCCAACACCTGGTGACTAACATGAGATGCAGTCTTGTCGCAAGCTATGCAGGAGGAGTTCCGTGGCTTCTCCTACACTGCCGACTTCGAGTAGTGATTAGGAACATCAGCCCGAAGCAACGTCTGGGCGGACCGATAAGAATAGCTGCTTCCTGGACAAGCGTCCTTACGTGCCTACAATGGCGAAGGATTGCTCGCGTTAAGGACTCGTTGGAGGGAACCGGGCTACTGCTTCATCCCTTAAAGATGAGGTTTTGATTGTATGCCCAATAAAAGATGTCAGGAGGAAGCAACTTTTCATTTCTCGATTGACCTGCCGATGTCTCGGCTCACTCAGTGTTTGCGGTTCTGAGTTGCCTGTCGCAGCAACCAAAAATAATGCACGTGTTTGGATGTGATAAAATGCCGAATAAGTGATGTGACGGGTAGACGAGGTGCGACAACTGCCGGCGAAGGCAATATAGCATTTTTATCTTTTTTTAATAGACCGCGAGAGCGAGATATCCGACCAATGAAGTGGTGCTGTATTCATTATTGAGGTCTATATTGAAGGTGTATTGGATACATTGGTCTACATGATGCGGACAGCTTCTATGTAAGATCGCCATGCCTCTTTTGATACACGATAATCTGGATCAAGCTCGGCGCACAGTCATGAAGGCCACACTGGCAACAATAGCTGCCCCAGCCACGGCGCCTTCTAACGCGATGATGCTCGCATCCCTCATGCGCAGGTCTATCCTCCTCTCGCTGTACAGATCCTCCAGTGCGGGCCTCCACAGGCTCGGGTCCAAGAGGAAATCTTTCCACGACACAGCCTCTGGGGCCAGGTTCGTTTCTATTGTCTGCCTGGGCAGGGAAGAGACAGGGGTAGCCTCTACCCCAGCATCCTCGACAATCGACTCTGGCGCTATAGCCTCACCTTGTGTAGCAGTAGCAGCAGCAACGCCAGCAGCGGCGGCAGCGGCGGCAGCAACCTGCTGCTGCTCCTCCTCCTGCTCATTCCTCCTGGCCAGGAAGCCCCTCACCTCCTCCAGCTCCCTCCGCACGGCCTCGAGCGCAGCCTTCTCCTCGGCGGCGATGCCCTTCATCAGGCGACTCCGCTTCCACGGCTCGGCGACGAACTGCAGCACGAGGAACAGCAGCACGTTGACGCCCATGAGGCCCCAGGTGCCCCAGGTGCTCTGGCGGCGGATGCGGTCGCTCCAGATCTGCTCCTCGTGGTACCGGCGCAGGATGCCGCTGTTGAGGCTCTGACTCAGGCGGGCCTCCTCGGCCTCGGCCTCGGTCAGGGCGGTGCCCGCCTCGCCGACCGCGGCCTCGAGCTCATGGTCCTGTCTGTACAGCGTGGTGAAGCGCTCCAGGTCGAGCGGGCTCCATGTGTCCTTGCGGGCGAGCAGGGCCGTCACCTCGCGCTGGGTGGCGGCGCGGCGGGCGTTGACGGCCTTGTAGTGGGCGCGGGCGCCGCGCAGGGTCTCTTGGGCTGTGGCCAGGTCGGCCTCGAGGCGGGCGTTGGCTGCCTTGATGGACTCGATGGCTGAGTAGCCTGTCAGGTCGTTGAGGGTCTGCGAGGCGACGAAGGCGCGTGATTGTAGGTTGTCCATGAAGGCGGAGAAGGAGTGGGAGAGTGGGGAACGGCGGGAGTCGGCCTGGGAGGGGAGCTCGGGGGCTGTTGCTGCTGCTGCTGCTGCCGCTGCTGCTGCTTCTGCTTCTTCATGTGGGGACGAGGGCGAGGGCGAGGGCGAGGCGGCGGCGATGGGAGGGTCTTTGACAGCTTCTTCTGGATTCCTTCGATGCTCAGGGGAGCTCGAACTCGGCGGATTGGTCGAGTAATGGCGTAGCTGACTCTGTAGCTTGCATTGTAAGCATATGGGCAGCTGCCTTGGTGGCTTGCTGAAGCTCGAGAAGCTCGTCGGCGCTGGAATTGGTCTCGACGGTATTAATGCTGGGCCGCTGAGCTGCTTTATTAAAAATGTCGACCCAGGCCGCAGGATGGGCCGAGCAGCAGCTACAGGGCCCATCATTGCCAATTGGGACACAGAAAATGGCAGTTGAGAAGGGAGAGAGGAGGGAATTGGTGATTGGTTGTGTTGTTGAGAAGGAGAGGAGATAGGAGAGGACCTGACTTTTTGGACCCGTTGAACAAAAAGCTGCAGTTCCTCGTCAGATGCCACGCCGACTTTCGCGACAGGGGCCCATGCCTACTGTAAGTCCCGCGGTGGGGCAACATCTACGTCAGGGGTGCTGCGCTTTGGTTGGTTCTTCGTACTATAGTACTCAAGAAGTATTTATTTTAATCCTAACTTTAACTCTACACTCTGAACCCCTTCGCCTCAAAAGAGATAAAATGAAGAGATGAGGGCGAAAGGTCCTATACACCGCACGCAAAGGTTCCTCACTTACATGCAGCTACATGCAGCTGCTCAGATTCTAGAGTAAACAAAGCACCATCATAATATTCGAATTCCTTGACTGGACAAAACAGGATAAATAACGAATTATAAGAATAATATTGAACCAGGTCTGGTGACTGCGATCGGAGGTCGAGTACATCTTGTACAGTCTTCCGACCTTTCCGAAGGATATCTTACCACCTTTTCAATCGCTTCCAAAATCTTGAGGCTGAGCACAAACGCGTACGTACTTCAATATATATATATCTTTGATAAATTATCTATTCAAAAGGTTGCCTAGAAATCGTCAACGGCCTTAGACGGCCGTAAAGGATGATTCCGTATATGTGATATTCCCGTAGTATATATAAAGAGGGGCTCCACACTGATTCCTACGGGATAAGACAGGCCCGGTGTCGCCAAAGCCGACGACTCAATTTCTCTGGTATAATTTCATTTTGACTTGCCACAACACCGGGATCTGACTGTTCTTTGTTTCCTGGTCAGCCTCCGTTTTGGAGCAGCACCAGACCTGGCCGCCTTCAGATTGGTGCTTCGGCACGGCGCCAAAGTAGATGCATAACTCCGAAGATCAACTGTTACACTGGCAACCGACTGGTCCGTGGACGAGCGGCACAACGGTGGTCTTTTCCTTTTCACGTCATCATCTATGATGTGGTAGGATCTTGGCTCTTGTGCTGATGTGCCCTTATCCCGTGGTGTCTATTGGAGATGTTTTGGATTATTATAAAGTAGAGACTACACCAGGTCTTGATTTTTTTTGGAGGTCATCGAATCTATTTCGATTACATATCCTCACTGGCATCCATTCTCACTGTTCTCTATCCAGTTGACACACGTACGAAAGCACACACAGACTCCTCATACCCATTTATACACACACGCACACACACACTTACACTTACACTTACACACAAAATGGGCACCCCACCTGGCTTCGTTTATCACCAATTCACCTTCAAACCTAAACCACTGCCCAAATCCGTCGATCTCACCGGCAAGACCATGATCATTACAGGGGCCAACGTAGGCCTCGGCCTCGAAGCCTCCAAGGAGATGGCCCAGCACGGGCTGTCGCGCCTCATCCTCGCCGTGAGGAGCGCCTCCAAGGGCGAGGCCGCCAAGCAAGAGATCCTCAAGGTAGCCCCCAAGTGCGACGTCCAGGTCTGGGACCTTGACTACGAGTTGCCCGAGAACATGGCCGCCTTTGCTGAGCGTGCCCGCTCCCTCGACCGTGTCGACATTGTCATTCTGTGCGCCGCTGTGAAGAGCCTTGAGTTTCAACTGTCCAAGGGCGGCCATGAGATGAATGTTCAGGCACGTAATCATAAATACGGGACCCCCTCCCCCCTACTTCTTGGGGACCATACATGTATGCTAATACTTCGTCTAGGTCAACCATCTTGGCACGGCAGCCCTGTCTCTGCTCCTCCTTCCAGTCCTCAGGGCCACCGCAGACAAGGTGGGCGCACCATCGCGCATGCTCATCGTCACATCAGAGGTCCACTTCTGGGTGCCCTTCAAGGAGAGAAAGGCCCCCTCCATCCTGGCCCGTATGGACGAGAAGGACTCGTTCAAATCCCGAGGTAACGGGAGGTACTGCACCTCCAAACTCCTGAACGTCCTCTGGGCACGGGAGCTGGCCTCCAAGGTCAGCGCCGAAAAAGTGGTCGTCAACCTTGTCAACCCGGGCCTCTGCGCCACGGCTCTGCACCGCGGAGACACGGCTATAGACGCGTTTGGCATCAACTTGCTGGCTTGGTCCGCCGAGAAGGGCGCATACACGCTGACGGACGCCGTGACGCGCCATGAGGATCACCAGGGAGGGTATCTTAGCGAGCAGCGCCTGACAAGGTATGTTCATTCACACAAATGCCGTCCTATATTAAGGTTTGTGTGCGTTGCTGATGAGAGGGTGACAGTCCGTCAAAGTTTGTCCTGTCAGAAGAAGGCCAGGCAACGCAGAAGAGGTTGTGGGAGGAAACTGTTGCTGAGCTTGCAAAGACTGTTCCCGGATTTGATCTTTCTGTTTTTTTGTCCACACCATGATTATTATTTAGTACCTGCCTATGTTCTGCCAACTGGCAATAGTTTGTCAACATACGATTCCCACATCTCCTACACCAAACATTACTATTCAAGCGATATCGCTTCTGCTCTCATTGTCAGTTTGCTCTTCTTGACGTTCCTCTCCTGCTCACGCCAGGCCCTTTCTCTTCAGGCTTTCTTCCAGTGACCGGAATGGAGTGAATAATGATGGCGGGTTCGTCATCCGATAGAATCGATGTAGAGATTGAAGTTTGATGGAATCAGGTTGGGAGCTGGAGCTCGTCGCTGTAGAACTTGTCGAGCCCGACTCGTTCTTGGAGAGTAGTAGTCGAAAGCATTCTAGTCTGATCAGATCGGATGAAACCAAAATTTTGGACCATGGCTCCTGTGCTTACCTCTCAAGATACTCACCAGACTCAAAAAGTTACTGATCATGATCTGCAGTATCCAGGATATCCCCCAGATAGGCAAATCAACAACCACAAGGCCAATGCTCAGGATCGCCTCCTTGGAGAACCGCCTTTTCTCAAGTGCCGTCATAACTAAGGATAACCTGCGAGCCGGCAGCTCCAGGAAGACATAGGCTGGCCAGAACCAGAAGGTTGCCATTGAGCCCGTTAGCTCGGCAAACTTGCTCATACCGCTTTCACTTGGGTCAGATCCACGCCGCGTAAGCCTCTCCCGGTAGATACTAGCACTTCCGCTCAACAGCATACTGTTCTCTCTGGTAGAACGTGCTGCCGTTTTTCTCATGTCCTGAAGAGGTACCCACACGGTACTCCGAATAGGCTCCCAAACACGAGACTGAAGGCCACCCAAGACGATATCGACCATCTCGAAGAACATCTTGGCGCATAACATCAATACAATCGTGACTGCAAAGGCAGCAGCCGCGAACTTGACCAGCGATACCATCACCTCGTTCCCTGGGGGCCCGCTCATGCTGTAGAAGCTTGCTGCGAAGCCTAGAGGCAGGAAGATGACAGTGACATATGTGAAGTACCGAATGTTGCCCTCGCGTTCGATCTCGAGGTCTTCCCGAGCTTTTTCACGGATTGTGGTAAGAGTTTCCCGGAGGTTCCGCATGTTGTCACGGTGAATCTCGAGATCCCAGGCTTGCCTCTCCGTCTGCGATCGGAACTTATTGATATGCCCTCGGTACTTCTTCTCGTCGTTCCGCGTCCACCTGGGCTTTTCTGGGCCGCGATCATACTCCCTGGTATCCCACTTCTGCAGGGTTTTTAGGATAGACGTCAAGTCCTCCTCCGCGGCCTGGAGAATATGCTCGTACTCCTGCCAGCTGTGTCTGGATCTTGAGTGCGCCTGGCTGTTCAGTATGGAGAAGGACAGGGCACTCTCTCCAATTCCAAGCTCTTTTCTGATCTGCGTCAAAATATCCACCGAGCCGGCGACAGCAGCACTCAACATGCGATGCAGTAGATGCAGCTCGAGGACTTTACGCTGCCACCAGTGCTTATCTTGTGGCCTGTTGGAGCCATCCGTATAAAACTCAAAGTCCCAAGAACGTTGAGGGTTGACAACGTCGCGGTCATCGTTCTTGAGCCTGAGATTTGGCAAATATTGAATGAAATGACAAGTCCAATAACGGTCGAAAAGGTCGCCATCAAATCGAAATCCCATCGACGCACGTCGTATCTCCTTCTCTGAGGTACCTGGGAAAGGGGCGCTGCTAGGGGCTGGGAGCCCAATATGTTGTGCTCGCGCCTTGTCGGCGAGCACGAAGAATCTCATGTGTATCTTCGTCTGCCAGATATTCAAAACCAGCGTCGTATCATCCCACAAGTGGCTCTCATACCTAGAATGGCGGTCGAAGAAGAGGGATACCGCAGACTTGTCTGAGTCGCTGCTTGCCGACCAGCAGAGAAGTGATGTCTCTATATTGGTATGCGGCAGCCACACGAAGCGCTTCTTGGCAGTTTCTGCTGACCGGGCACCACAGATCCTCATCCATAGGCCTGTATTCCCGAGGGCAGTTGACTCTCCACGCCAAAATTGTGGTAGATTCTGTCTTCTCTTCAAGTGCTTTTGCTTCGGCGTGCTTGCTACAAAAGTAATTGGACCATAAATGTCTTCATAGATGAACCATCCAGGTAGCTCGCCGTATTCTAACGTGTTCGAGCGGGTTTGAGACATTTGCTCGAGTCCTTTGCCAACGATCGTGCCGATCGTTTCCGCTGTAGACTCGAATGATTTCTTGGCTTCAAGAGACTTGAGGAGTTGTGGGAGATCAATTTTCTTAGTCATGAGGAAGTCTGGATACTTATACAGCCACTCTTCATCTAGAAGAGAGATGCTGCTGGCGTCTATCATGCTGTTGAATGGCGTCGACTTTCTCATCGTCAAGCTGCGCTGTCCACCCAGGCGTCCATCACTGTCCAGGAGTTTCAATATCAATTCAAGTTTATTCGCAGGCTGTTCGGCTCCGATCCCTTGCCGCTTCGGCTGTGTCAGGAAGATCTGCCGAAGTTGGTCGTTTACCTCGAGTTGAGGCTGCTGTTGAAGCCCGCCTGTCTTGTCCGTGAAGCCTTTACTACCTTCCACGGGCGACCCAGCTTGATTTGCTGGGGCGTTTCCTGAGGTGGCTGTACTTGATACTTCTAATGTGGCTTCTATGCGCCTTGCATGTAAGAGGAGAATGTGACAAATTTCGAACCCAGCTTGGTGATAATACTGTCTGTCCTCATCAGAGGAATAGTTTGGGAATGAGGGCTTCCGAGATAATGCATCAACCTGCCCCGCAACCAAACCATTGTGGCAGCTTGCCTGAACAAGAGCTTTGAAGGAGTCTCTCAAGAGGTCGTTTGCACTCTTCTTGTTGATCGGAAAATTCCTCGTGCCGGCAACAATAGCCATGCCGAATCTGAGGACATTCTCCCACTCGTGATCGGCATTCTCGTTGTGGTGGGACTGCGACTTGATCGTCCTCTTCCAGAGCTCATCAAAAGACTTATCCAATTGAAAAAAGTTCCAATCGTGAGCATAAAATAGAGCAGTGTCACGAGCGTGAAACAAGAAACGTGTCTCTCTGTGTGATCTGGTAACTGCTAGCATGCGCTGTTGCGAAACTTCGTTCTCGGTTGTGAAGCGCTGTAGTAGTCCTCTTTGCGCATCTAGAGGTCGACTGTTGTCATCTTCATCGTCGTCAATAAGCAGTGCTGCTTTGCGAGGGTCCAACCCTTGTCGAATACGTAAGGCTTCGATTTCCTCAAGGCATGTCCACAACCAGACGTGATCATCAAGTCGGTAGATGTCAACCTCATCTTCTCGCATGTGCCTCCATACATATGCTTTTCGCGGGTCTGATTTGTTCATCGTGACAAGCCAGGGCGTGTAGACACTTGCGAGAAGGCCTCGAAGGCGGCCAAGTTCTTCCTCTTTTGTTTCCGCCCTGCTTTCGTCCTTCTCGAGAAATCGGTCGTACGCCATCATCTTCATAATTTGAAACGGTGTGTTGAGGGTGGAGCTCCGCGATTGAGTTTCACTTGGGGCCATGTCTGCGGTGATCCAGTAGCTGTCTGCGAAGCACCCAGTATCGAAAGGGGGCTCTCTGTTTTCTGTCGACTCCCAAGACTTCATGGTCTTTGCTATCCAACTCACATGACCTCGACACACGGCTTTGACCCGCTCCTGCAGCAGGATAACGAACTTGGTCTGCTTGATGCACTGCAATCGCTTCAAGACATTGATGAGAAAGTCAAATGCGAAACTGAATATTCAGGATCAGTCCAAATACATACGCTAGCCAAATGCAACGTAGTACTTACAAACTGGCCCAAGGTCCCAGTACTTGATGGCCGCCGATATCTCCACACGTAAGAGCGATGGCATCGTCCTGTGCGAGAACGTCTGGCACGACTTGCTCCGAGTCTTGATGAGCGGTGGGGTCCACAATGGGATAGCACAAACTGAGAGTATGTGTTCCAGATGCCTCCATGTTATATACTCGATATGATCTCCAGGAGGGGATCTTCCATCGCATCCTACCGGGCCACTGAAGGCAGACTTATGACTCGACTTCCCGCTGGCTTCATGATCGAGTTCAATATGTGGCTGGCTCTCAGGCAAATCTGTTGCAGTACCCTGGTTCGAATCGACGATTGGGATCGTCCCTGTCTTGTTGAAATGCGATGTGCCTTCCGCTATATTCTCTCTGGTGATGCTAGACGAATCAGCTTTCGGAGTGCCGTCAGGCCTTCTCTCTAGATTTGTTGCTGCGTGCTCCAAGTCAACCTTAGATATTCCGAGTTCGTACAGCGAGTCTGAGGATCCAGTTCCAGGCTTTTTCCAAAGCTGATCGGTTTCCTCGCGAAGGATAGTGTTGACATCCGCCGCCTGGGCCGAGATCAAAAAGTTTTTCCAGTGACTTTCACCTTTGGGGATGACAATCATCTTATAGGCAACAACGATTTCGTGGGAATCTTTGCCGCTGCCTGCTCCTCCGAACCGATTCTCGGTTGAGTCCATTGGTTTTGCGATGCCATCGACATAGAGCATCATCACAGAGACGACGGCATGTGTTTCGCCATGTGCTCCTCTATTAACGTTTTTGTCGTCATCTGAAGGCAGGAAATGCACAGTGACTGAACCGAGTCCGTTGGGACCGCGCATTTGGATATATCCCTCCCCTGCAGACTCAACATCACCAACTTGGGGTTTTTCTTTATTGAAAAAGTATAACCAGTTAATATGGTCAAGATCTCGTAGCAGCATATCCTTGCGCGTCTCGTAATGAAAATCTTCGATCGGTGAATCATTCAGGTTCTTCAAGACAAGCTGCTGCAGTACGACGTTATCGTGTACCAGCCACTGGCAAGAGATGCGCACGTGGTCTGCTTCCCATTCATATCGTGGCCACCTCCAATTGACCCATTTGACCTGAGGATTGGTCTTCGGAAGGAAGTTGTCACACAGGTGCAAGCCGAAGGACAAATATCCTCCTGGAGCGTGAGCTCTGGACAAACCATCCAGCTGGAAGGCTCTGTTGCCGGAAATGTAAGGATCTGGTGTTGACGTGTGATCCATCGTGAACATGCCTGAATGTCCGACGCCCAGGAACTGGCTCATCTGTATCAAATTTCCTCGACAGGAAACAGATGCTGTCGTCCCTCGGTCTCCGAATGAGGCATGGCAATCTTCATTTGGAGGATTCTTCCAGATTCCGCAATGCTCGTCCTTTGGCGAGAATCTCTGAGCGGTACGATCTTTTCCACCCGCATCAACATCAGCAACATGTTCTATAGTCTAGGGTTTCGTGAGAGAACAAACATGAAAGTAGTTTCTCGAATTCCTCCTCTTCCGTCTCAAGAACATCTTTGTTCCACAGGCCGTGTCCCTCAGAAGATGAGGGGCCTGGGCCAACGTCACTCATGGCTGAGGATGCCCGACCAGCTATTGCACTATTGAAAGGGGCTTTGTCATACAGGCGGAAAGCTCAAGCACTTTGGCCCTTCACCAAAGGCAACGAACATGCTTGGATGTATACGACTACAGATGCTAAATTTTTAAGGGGCTACGTGGTCTATATGCACGCAAGGCTGCTGAGGTAACATGACCGCCACAGCAATTTCAGCCAGAATACGGCTGAAAACGCGTTCAGCTCGTCTCACTGCATGATAGATTGCATACTAAACTAAAATGGGATTCATTGGGCGCCGTACAAGCAAGGAGATGCGCAAGAGCAGCAGGTGGCTGCCCGCTCACTGGATAGGAAGCACGACCACGCTGCGTTATCAACCCCACATATCGTCGCAATTGTCACCAGCTGCAGCCGGCTTTGCTTCCTCCTCCCTCCCCCAACCATTTGACCTATGACGTTCCCCGATCTTCTACTATGGTAGTATCATCAGCTTTCGACTCAGTCATCGTGTCGAATACCTGCATTTACCCTTGTGAAGGGTGGGGGGACTAAAGGGAAAGGGGAAAAGAGACGAAACTGGAGTAAAATTCATTGCAGGTGATATTCGGTGCTAAATGATGATTTGTGAACCTTCATAAATTCTTTGTCTTTTTAACGATTATCTCAGCCAGCCTGGCGATAAGAAAAGTTTAACACCTAGGGAGTCTCAGATAAGAGGGATGCAATGCTCTCACATGAATAAGAAAGATGTCGTTCAATGTTGAAGGTGTGATGGTTGGTCAAGTATCTTGTCGCTTTTCCCTCACATTATAATTGTCGGGGTTTTTCAATTCATGCTCGATTCAGCTATCCAGCCCTTACCCAGCGTAGTCTTACTGTATGAGTGTGTAATTTATGTGGGTAAATGCTTCGCTTCTGCCTCCTTTTGTATTAACATAGCGGAGAATCGTTGCTCAATCGCGTCACCGAGTCCTTGTGCAGGATAGACATTTGCAGAAATTGGCAGGAGAACTTCGTTGCGCTGCGGATTTGTTCCCTCTCTGCGAGGAACTCGGCCCAGATCCCTGCATCTCCTCGTGGGCGGACCTACAGATGAGGAAGTCAGTTCACAGGCAATCAAGTCTTGAAAGAAACTTCAGGCTCTCATTCTGCGTTCCATGCACTATGCTCGAATGCATGATTCGGCACAATTCAACGAAAATTCTGTCTGCCGGCAGGCTCATCAGGTGGCAATCTACCGGTCCACGTGCGATGAGATGCAAAGCCACACCTCCAAAAAGTGGCAGGGTGAATTGATCACACACCTACTCGGCTAGGGGGCCACCCACCCCCCTCCCTCCACTTCCCGTGTAATCTCCAGTGCCACAGTAATATTTGCATAACGTAAGTCATCGAGTTCTTCAAGGAAAGAAAAGAGAATGTGACTTCAGCTCCGGAAGGTTCAGTGAGCCGGCAGTGAGATGCAGATCTGTGCAGGGCTAGCTCGCTCCTTTTGAGGGTGTAGAACGAATTAAAGAAAAGGCAGGTGACGACACGGGGACAGCTCTGCAATGACTTGCATTAGGGACAGGCGGGCGATGTCTAAGCGTCGAAGTACGTAAGCCACGATTGGCGTGCATAATCACGCCTTTCGCCCATGCGTTTGCGTATACCTTTGAAAAGGGTGTTGCGACGATACCCGTGGCCTGTTATAAGTCTGGAAATGGAAACTGGTCCACCAAAAAGAACATGGGCTCGATGGAGTGATATCAATGGAAAAGCAGCAAATTTCTTGATAGAATTTCAATTTTTCAAGGACCATAGTCGTCATGGTGCATGCTACCAAACGATCCTGAGGGCGAGGAAATCTGACATTTTTGTATTGCCTCGACCGCAACCGACTAGACCGCCAAGTTGACTGTTAACAAATTAAATGAATCATGTCTTGAACGCACAACACTTAAAAGACCGATTCTTTTCTATTTACTCCAAAGGCGATATCCTTGAGGTCATAAGCCTTTATTATATAGCAGGTTCATACCACCTCATGTGCTATTAGTAGAACGTGGAACCCCTTCCCCCCCCCCTCCCTCCCCTCCCCCATGTCATCACGAATCCAGGCCCAGGTGCCATGACCCAACCTATACAGACCCTGCCCATACCTCCGCTTTGATCTACCAAGGAAGATGTCCTCGTGTAAGGAAATGACCCGCCCATCTGCATGTCTTTCGCCGCTTTTCACCTGATATCGTCCACCCGCCGATCATCTTCCCTATGCGGGGAACTATTAGGCCTCAGATGGCTCTTATTCGACGCCGTGACCGTACGTGATAGCGGTCTGCAGATACGTTCGAAGGGGTCAAGTGTAATTACCGCAATGACCGGGGACGAATGTTGGATGCTCGGATGGCCCAGGATCTTGATGAGTGGGGGGGAGAGAGAGGGGACGGGGAGATTGTTGTTCTCCTCCTGTGTGTATATAAGGAAGTCCTCATGCCCTCAGGTATAGCCCAATCATTGTCCAAGTCGAACACCGCCAGAACACCTCCCCTCTTTCTCACACTTTGAGAATATCCTGGCTCGGTGGTGTTTATCATGTGGCCTATTCGGACTGCCCTCCTCCAACTCCTGGCCTTGAGTGCCACGGTGTTTGGCTACCCTAATCCTGAGCCCTGTACTGGAAGCTGTTTTGCCCAAGACCCAGCGCTCATCCAGCGTGCTTCTGACGGGGTCTACTTCCGCTTCAATACTGATACCTACATCGACATCTACAAGTCGACTGGGGATGTTTCCGGTCCTTGGGAGAACGTTGGCAATGTCCTGCCTAATGGCAGTATTATAGACATAGTTGAGGGTGAAGGGCTATGGGTATGTCATGAACAGTTTTTTTATCAACAATAAGGTTACAACTAACAGTAGATCAAAAGGCACCAATGGTGATCGAGGTGAATGGCACGTACATCCTGTACTACAGCGTATCATCACTCGGCAGCCAGGACTCGGCCATCGGCTACGCAACAAGCACAACCTTGGAGGCGGGGTCATGGGTTGACCACGGCTCCACAGGCGTTGAGTCAGTGGACGGGAGTCTCTACAACGCCATCGACCCAACTATGATCCTGGTCGATGATACATACTACCTCTCGTTCGGCTCCTACTGGGAGAACATCTTCCTGGTGGCCTTCGACTCGAACGCAGAGACGGTGGCCGACCTGGCCGACGCCGAGCAGGTCATCTACCAACCAGCGGGCACTCACGAGGTCGAGGCTAGCTTTCCGTATTACTATGACGGATACTACTACGAGTTCTGGAGCGAGGGCCAGGCCAACAGGTATGACACGGACAAGCCAGCGGCGGGAGGCGAGTACAAGATCCGAGCCTGCAGGAGCTCGGCTCTGCAGGGTCCGTACACGGATGAGAACGGGACGAGCTGCCTGGACGGTGGCGGCAACTATATCCTGGAGAGCCACGATTATGTCTACGGACCAGGAGCACAGGGTATCTTTGATGATCCCACCTATGGTATCATCCTGTATTACCGATACGGTGAGCTAATCTCTTCTTTTGTTTTTGGTTCATTTCAGTCAAAGTAAAGCTCGATGAAATACTAATTTGTATACTCTAGTCAACACCACAATTGGATATGCTGTTGAGGATTACCAATGGGGCTGGAACGTCATCGATTGGGTAGACGGATGGCCAACACTCTAAGAACAGACAGTTATGCATAGCGATTCTAGGCATAATTTTCTGTGGTAACGATATGAGTAATGTCTACTTATTCTGGACGATAGAATCATCTTCTAGATAGAGATAGCGCTACAGATGATAATGGAATGCCTCGCATACTTCATGTTTTGAGTACCGTCTCGGTCATGTTCTACTATAATCATCCCTCGCGAGCTTGAATATGTGCTATTCTGTATTCGTCTTACTATTTATGGCTTGCGGCCAAGGATCACACCCGAGACCGTGATGAGAAAACACTTGCCTCGAGGAGTAATCAATTTCCAACGTCTGGAAAGGGATGTTTGGTGACACTCCAAAATAATTCCGCATTGATTGTTTCTTGAACAAATCTTTTGCTATCGACGAGCCTGCTATAAGTCAAAGTCTCCCTGCTGATGAGTTTGTTGGTCTCATCAAATCCCAGAGCTACATGCTTCGCTCCGTCCGTCTAAAAGAAGTGCAATAATAATCATCAGCGCTCATCACAGTGGCCAGCCACGTGGTGCAGCGCCTCACAACAAGCAGTCGATAGTCGTCAAAGAGCAAGAAAATGCACGATTTCTGTTTGAAAGCCTCCTCGCCAACATGTTGAATAACGGCGGAATATATACGGCATTATAGAGCCAAGCATCGACGTCGAGACCGGAGAAATAGCGGCGGCCCGGACCGCCTACCTCCTAGGCTGCATGCTGCATCCTGCATGGGCTTGGCAATTGTTTCAGTTCAGGGCTCAATTTGGAAGAAGTAGATGACACCTAGATGAGCCATGGAAATCCACTGCCACAAAGGCGAGGACTCCTCCAGCCCGAGGGGGGGAAAAGGGAAGGAAAATAGAGCGAACATTGCAGCATGCGTCTCCTCATCAGTTTCCGTATTCATTGGCCTCGTATGTCTGTCTCTTGTCCACTCCTAGCACCATGAGTTTGTAGACACAATGTACAGTTCGGAAGAATTGCGATGTGAGCTAGACTTCTGGGGATCGTCGGCTCGAGATCCAGCTACCAGAACGGGAAATTTCCTTCGGGATCGCGTGCATGGAGTGGGCGGAAGCGCGGGAGGCCTTCTTGGCGAGCGGGGCCGTGAAGATCGTCAGGTGAGTTTAATTTGACGTCTTTTTTGATTTATCTCATTTCGGATCCTCTTGAATGACTTCCAGTTCCATTACTTGTGTGTATGTGAGGCCATGCTAAAAGAACGATGCTTGCTTTGTAAACGCTCTCGTCGAGTATCCATTTCAAGCCACCAAAAACCAGAATTCCTTAATACAAATGTCTATTTTGAATGCTCAACGTGACTTATAAACTCCTGACTAAACGCTGTCCTAATTGTATGGTGCCCCAAATCCAAAGAAATACGCAAAGCAACTCGCACACCACAAACCCTTCAAATACCCACAGGTTCACCCCGCTTGAACCTGTGGATGATGTCCTCCCTCTCGTCCTCCGGCAACACGCTCGTCCGCGCCAGGATGGTTATGATCCCGGGCGGCTTGAGGGGCGGTGGCTTGACGTGCGCCTCAAGGCCGTCGGAAGCACAGAGCCAGCAGGGCGACTCTGGAGAAGGGCGTGTTTCGGGCGGGCTGGGAAGAGACTCAGCCTCGGGGTCTGCTGTTGGTTCGGACACAGCAGCCCGCGACCCAGCCTCCTCCTCCTCCTCCTCCTCCTCCTCCTCCTCCTCCTTCTCGAGAGCCGCCTCGAGCTGGAGCAAGATCGACATCTGCCGGTGGTAGACCAGCGCCGCCACCGCTTCCTCGGACCTGGCCAGCTTCTCCACCTCAGCGAGGGTGAGAGAGAAGCTGGCCACCGGTTGGAACGAGAAGCAAGCCGGGTTGAGAAGGCTTGCGTTCCCGCCGGTCGGCACAACGGACGGAGGCGGGGCTGCGTCTCCCGCTCGTGGCGGGGATGCCCGGATGCCGGGACGGGCCGTCGCCCCGAGGCACGAAGAAGGGACGAAGTCTCTGGCGGCCACGTCGAGGTTACTAGGCCCTGGGCGGCTGGGGCCGAGGGGCAGTGGAGCGCTGCCACTGCTGTCCACGAGCGAGGGCGGCGTGGAGGGAGGAGAGGTGCCCACGGTCGCGTCATCCGTGCCCTCTCCTCTGGGACTTTGGAGGAGGACGGCTTCGACCGGGGCGAAGGGTCGGACGGAGGGGTTCTATTTGTGTTCCCTCTCGTGTTAGTATGAGACTTACGGCACATAGAATTACACGGCTGTGAGGAACAATATTATCGTACCCAGATCGACGTAGGGGCGTCCATGTCTACGCCTCACTTTCTTCCGTTGGAAAAAAAGGAGAAGAAAAAAAAAGGAAAAAAAAGGGTCGAAAAGAGCGTCCTAGGATAGGGCAAGAAGGAAGTGAAAGTGTTGAGGCTCTGTCCTAGTCCGCTAGAAACTTCCACAATTTGTCGTGACCGGGGAACTCTTGGCCAAGCGCAGAGAGAGGATTGGTAAGTGTAGAGATTTCTATCAAGGGGAGAGAGTTTGAAGGTGGGTTATGGCCGCATATTATATAGATATCCAGGAGGGCACATTTTGCTCTAGATGTGCATGTTTGCCTTCTTAGCGTGCAAACATTGACGTCTGGTAACCTCATTTGACGAAGTCTAGCAGTGATTTATTGACAACATCATGGTCCTAGGGCACTGCTAGGATATAGTAGCCTAGCGCACTAGGACATCTAGGTGGAAGTTCTAAGTTGTCGAGGCCATGGACAAGTCCCTTGATGAGAGAAACACAACTCTACGTAGAGTACTTTAGCTAAGGATGTCTGATCCTTATGACTCAATGGGACCCTGGAAAGATTCAGTTAGGTCTTAGGATATTTAGTCGAGATTCTTGGGTTTTCTGGCTCTCCCTCATGGAAGATGTTTCGAGTGTTCTCGAGGCTGTTGTTGTACAGCCTCGCAGGAGGCGCGAGGCTATGACGAGTATTAGGTGTGATCACGAGACCAGCCCGACGGACTTCAAACGTACTTACTCTAGGGTAATCATCTAGCTCAAGCAGAACCCCGGTAGATGCCACAGTAACTATGGGAAAGCATACGTTCTTCGAGACACTAAAAACATGCACCGTCACTAGGCATCTGCTGTGACATAGCACCAAGTATCGTCATTCTCCGCCAACGCGATGAAGTTGAGATAAAAGATGAGACTGAGACCATCCATGTTGTCAAGATAGACCACAATCTAAAGATTCATCCGCACTACATACCTAGTAGCTAAAACCAATGTATACTCTGCGATGAAGACAGGCCAGGGCACAATTGGCGTGCCTAGTGCAACTCGAGAAGAAGCACTAGGTAGTCCTAGCTGGGTGTGCATAGAGTAAGTATCTCCTGTAGGTCGTATCCGGTACTCATAATCTATAGAAGGCCATGACATGTATCAATAGAGTGTTGAGTCTAGGCCCTTGTTGCTCTGATGCAGACTTGACTTGGGTTGGCTCTGAAGCTTTGATTCCAAAGAAGTCACTGCAACAGTGCGGCACACTAGGGAGTCCCAGTATACAACCTAGAATTTCAAATGGGCAAGGCAGTTACCCTGGTAAGTAAAGTGAGCACTGCTCTTCACTGGTTATGGACTGAGTACAGTAGGCTTGTATCTACATGCACATGCCAAGGCAGATCAACCATCAAGCGGCAGTATGATTTTGTTTTGGAATTGATAGAACATTTCTCATTGACTGTGTGTGTCTGTCTACTCGTAAAGCAGAGGAAGAGGGAATCTAGTTTTTTTTTCTTCCTGACCCTTATTGACTCCCTTTGTATCACAGTACATGGAGCAGTTATACGTCAAAATCTGCGAGCCATACGTCCGCAACGTGCCGACACTCCTTTCTTCTCGTCTCTTGGATCACTACCCCTCCCGGACGACCTTATCGACGGCCTTGGCAAAGTAGTCGACGTTTCGGGTGTTGAGACCGGCCATGCTGATGCGGCCGTTCTTGGTCATGTAAACGTGATACTGCTCCCTGAGCTTCAGGACCTGGGGCTCGGACAGGCCGGTGAAGCTGAACATGCCGATCTGGTCGGTGATATGGTTCCAGGTACCGGGGGTGCCGAGATCCTCGAGTTTGGACCGCAGGGCCTTGCGCATGGTGATGATGCGGCCCGACATGGTCTGCAGGTTCTCCTTCCACTCGGCGAACAGTTTCTCATCGTTGAGGACCGTAGAGGCGACGCGGGCGCCATAGATGGGCGGGTTGCTGATCTCGGAGCGCTGCAGGATGGCGAGCTGTGAGGCGACGCGGGTGGTGGTCTCCTGGGCCGAGGTGCCTGAGGGGGCGGTCACGAAGTGGAAGCAGCCAGCACGCTCGCCGTAGAGGCCAAAGTTCTTGGCGAAGGACTGGGCCACCAGCAGCTCGAAGCCCTGGTCGACAAAGTAGCGGATGGCGCTGGCGTCGCGGTCCAGGTCGCCCGAGGCGAAGCCCTGGTAGGCGGTGTCAAAGAAGGGGAAGTGCTTCTTGGAGCGGATGAGCTCGGCAAGCTCGTGCCACTGCGACTCGGTGGGGTCGACACCAGTGGGGTTGTGGGCGCAGGCGTGCAGCAGGATGATGCTGCCCTCGGGCGCGTCGCCGATGGCCTTCTTCATACCCTCAAAGTCCAGGCCCTTGGTCTTCTTGTCGAAGTAGGGGTACTGGGCAATGGGGAGGCCGACATTGGTAAAGATCTGGTTGTGGTTGGCCCAGGTCGGGTTGGAGACGTAGACGGTGCGGTTGCCCTTGTAGAACTTGGCGAGGAAAAGGGCACCGAGATGACAGGCGCCGGTGCCGGAGATGGTCTGGACAGAGGCGACGCGCTTCTCAGCAAGGGCGGTAGAGGACTTGCCCAGGACGAGCTCAGAGGCCCTGCTGGTGAAGGAGGCGAGGCCTGCGATGGGGAGGTATTCGTGGTTGAGGTTGGGATCGTTGCGGATAATCTCGTCGGCCTGGTTGTTGGCGGTTGGCATTTGTTAGCAAAAAAAGTGGCGTGATGTGATGTTTGTGGTGTGTGACGGGTAATTGTGAAATCTGGGGAAGGGCGGGGTTGGTGGTGAGGGGCCCCAGACAAATGAATGCACTGCGACGTGTTTTGTTGACCTCTGCAGCTGCACCCAAGAGATGGTTACACAAAAGCATGCTCACTCACTTTCTTCACTACGGGCAGAACCCAAGGCTTTGCATTGTCGTCTCGGTAAGCTCCAATTCCCTAGATGACAAGGAAAAGAGGCAGCGCTGGTCAGCTTCAATTCTGTGTCTCTCACGACGTCATGGAGAAGGGATGAAAATGCCCCACCAGGTCAATCTTATCAGGGCTCTCATCAGCTCTGTACAGCCTTGCCAGACCAAAGAGTGGATCCTCTGGGGCCTGGGGGACGGTGTCAGCTGGGAAGCTGGTGGTGAGAACTGGGGTGGCCATCTGGTTGGCGATGTTGCGCAGCCTGGTTGTGGGTGTTGAGGGGGAGGAGGAGGAAGAGGAGGAGGAATTGTGGTGGTGCTGCGTTTGGGTGTGGGGGTGGGTGTTGTTGTTGTTGTTGTGAGGTTGAGGGTCAGTTCGAAGCTGGGTTGGAGAGAGATTCGAGTCGGAGGCAGGCATAATAATATCGTTCGATTCGAGCTGCCCCAGGATAGGAAGCAGCAGCTGATGTCTTGGTCTGGGGGTCAGAGATGCCCGTTACTGGGTGCGCAGCTGTGGTACATTTGATATGTACTTGTTTGCTGTGCATTTTAGATGTACAGTACATACCTTTTTGGACAATACGGGGTAGCAACGGGGTAGGAACGGGGTCCTGCAGGGGTGCGGGCCGGTCACGGGCTTGCGTTTCTGCGATGTCCCAAGCCAAGCCAAGCCTTCTCTTGTTCCTCTTTTTACTCCTCCAGTGAGGGGCAGCGGATTAGTATTACACCACGGTAATGCAGTATCAGGTGAGGAGGGTGTACCCAGGTGGAGGCGGTATCGTCTGTGGATGAATGATGCAACAGATCCTTTCCGCCGAAACAGATCAGGCCGCTCGGCAGGCAGGTCCTCTTCCCTCTCTCTCTCTTTTTTTTTTTTTTCTTTTTTGGAATAATGCGCAGTGCAGAAAGAAGCAACTGTTTGAGGTTGTGAACCCCGGGCCGTGATACGATATGATGTGATGTGGTAGGGAAAGTGTTCGTCAAGGTTGCTCGCTGTGTGCTCAGGTGCCTGCTTGGGCGGTCGAGCGGGTAGATAGCTGATGGTTTCAGGGGTATGATTCAGTCGCCAAGTATAATAGCACGAGGGAGAGTGGGCTTCAGCTGCCGGATAAGGCCGTAATCTGTGATACAATGCAGTTGTGGTCAAGAGAACCGGAGAGGCAGATTATGATGAATGGTGTTGAAATGACACTCTGAAAGGCAGGTTTGAGAAGAACATGAACCTCTCTGCTTGAGAGATTACTATGGAGCAGCTACAGCACAGAGGCATGTGATAATGGCTACAGACAGACAAGCACCCCCCGCCATTCCCACATTGTGCTATCGTCTCGGTTCACCGGGGTTTATCGCTCAAGTGTTCCCGAGCTCGCCGAGGCAAAAAAGATTCCCGCAAGCTGACCAGCAGCAGCACGTCATATGAGCAAAAATTGAGCTACAATTCTTCTGCTATGCACCTCCCCAAACTGTTCTCCGAGGCATTTGCACATTTTCACTTTGGGAAGCTGAGGCACCTCGTGCTCTTCTTGACGTGATCATTTTTTAAAAGCTGTGCCGGTCACCATTACAGTCCGTCCATCCGTCCGTCCGTCCGTCCGGTCCATGGCAGGATTTCTGGACAACAATGCAACGATTGGGTAGGACTGGGGTTGTATTGTTTTGAAGCTGCTACTGCTGCAGCACCTGCTGCTGCTGCTGCTGCTGCTGCTGTTTCTCTCATATTATCAGATCCCACACAATCAGGAATGTGCACAACGCGCTGGCCGCATAAAACGTCATGCGCGCCTGGCTAAACTTCCTTTGTGTCGCCTTCTGCAGGTGCTTGTTGCCGCCGCCCACGTTCTCCTCTGTTCTCTCCGAGTCTGCCACCAGCTGGTCGATGTGCGCCGACTGCACCGTCAGGTTCTCCACGAGCATCTGCTGGAGCTCAGCAATCTCCACCAGCGACCTCTCCACGGTCCTGACCTTCTCCGTAGCGCTGTTGTAATGCCTCACCATGTCCTGGTTGTCCCTCTCAAACATCTGTTTCTGCTCGTCCGTAAGATCTAGGTCTGTAGCCTGTCCTCTCTTCCTGGACGCCGCATTCTCCTCGTCCAGCGCTACAGAAGTGCCCGTAGTCGTAGGTCCCAGGCCAGGCCCGGTCTCCTCCAGCCCAAACTCCTTCGCCAGGCTGGGCGGCAAGCCCTGCGCGTTTCGCACCTTGGCCAGCACACTCCTGTTCTTCTCCATCTCCCTCGCCAGTCTGGTCTCCATCATTGTACGCTGCAGCGCCGCTGCCGCCTGCAGCTTCTGCTGCAGGTACACAATCACGCCCCCACGGTGCTCGACGACCTGCCGCTCCTGATCGATGGCTGCTGCATGCTCTGGGCTCCTGGTGCTCGCTGCACTGCCATCGCGCTCGGATCCGCCGCCGCCTGCGGCCCACCCCGTCAGAGCCCGCAGGCCTCGCGCATATTTTTGCTTGATCGCACCCGCCGCCGCCTCCTGTCTCTTGATCTCTTCCTGCGTGAGCACATTAATCCGCGCGCTGAGCGCCCGCAGCATGTCCTTGGCATCCCTGTCAATAATGTTGCGGTCCGCGTCGGTCAGATACGCTGGCTGTTGCTGCTGTGCGTCCGCGCTCCGTCGCAGGTGCGTCTTGCGTGGGGCGGCTGTCGAGAGGTAGGCCTGTCGGATGGAGGAGAGCTCATGGTGCAGAGTGGTAATCTCGCGGTTGATGGAGGAAGCCGTCTTGAGGAAGCCGTCGATCTGGTCGAGGGTGAGGGTGGACCGGGTGGGAGGGGCCTGCCGTGCCTTGAGGAGCTCATTGAAGGAGGACGTGACTTCCATTTTGGTCGCGGGGAAGGAGAAGCAGGAGGGAGTAGGGAAGAGCAGAGAAGAAGAGGATGGTGAGGGTGGGCGTAAGGAGAATTATGTTATGTGTAAGATGAACGTTGGCTGCGCGCTGGAAATAATTCGTGGTCGTGACAGCTTGCAGTAGCTAAATCGGGCGAGCTTAGGCAGGGTACAGTATGCTGTTACTGGCACAAAGCTTCAGTGCTGTGGCTGGTGCTGAGCATGCTGTGGCTGGGTAGGCCCCCAAGGAGGATTTAGCAGTCGAGTTACAGGCTTTCTGCCCAAGTCTCTCCTATACTGGGCCAACCACTACCCTTCTCCCCAGACCACTAACCCCTGCTTGAGATGACCAATTCTGGACGTCGGACAACGTCCATATAACCCAATATCAAAACTCGACAGCATCCAGTCAACGACCCCACCAAAGACGCTGTGCTCATAGAAGACGTGGCCATCAGCGCCCTCGAGACATCTTGCCCCGAGGGTTCCACCAAAAATCATGCTGCAACTTCAGCATCCCCGGCTTAGACGTTGCACATACCTGTGATGTATGATTGAGTCGCTCTCTTGAGCAGCTCGAGATGCATATCCAGAAGCTTCTAGCCCAGTCTACTCGTTTGGACATACACTCCTACAGCGTGGCCAGCCCCCTGAACTCTAGGTGGCTGTTGCTGTTGATGGTCTGCACAATGCAATACTGACTCTACTGGTTTCGCGAGCTCAATCTTGACCTGTCTCGCCAATGGCTTCCCCGAGAAGAGATTCGTCTTCGTCCTTTTCTGCTTGTAGGGCAGGGCAAGACACCATTCATGGATAGGGGGAACGATGACATACTTGAGAGGGATACGTTCTTGGGAGGAAGGCGGGGGTTTCATGGAGGTGGGCTTCCAACAAGAACCAACATGATACAGAGCATCGACAAGGCACGGAATAGACAACCAGGCACCCTAGGCTGCATTCCAGCACACACCGTCCGTCTCCTTTGGGCCCTGCGTCCGTCCGCGATTTTCGCCGTCTAGTTCATTCGGCTTTCAGTCGGCTGTGGGGCCGATACCGGGCCTCTTCCTCTCTCCACTCCATGTCCCGACCACCAGGAATGTGTACGATCACTGGTTCGACAAGGGTGGGGGTTTTAACGGGGGGGGGGGGTTTCTCCTTCTTTCTTGTCTGTCTTTGGATTGGTGTCAATGATCGAGCCGCACATCTGGTTCCACTCTTGCACAAAGCGCCATCACCACTTGGACATGTGCGAGCCTCCTCCTGCTCCAGTCTCACCGATCGCAGGCTGACATTGGACCCGGTGATGTGCTGATGACACCGCGCTCTTAGGACCCCGTCCTTCCCTCGTCGAAGCCCTCGCGACTTCGCAATTATGGCCTCCACGCGAGCTGGACAGGAACTCCTCCGGAAGCCCTCCATCTGTTGTACTATGTACTCTGTATACCTACAGGGTTCCATCCTGATAAGCCACCCGGACGTTGGCCGTTGACAGGGTGGCCAACGGGAATAAGGCCCCCTTCATGGTCCACATTTCCCCGGAAACCTGCCGTGAGATCCCCAATCTAGTTTTCCTATTACTACTACGGTGACAGTCCCTTCACCTCCAGATTTATTCCCCAGGTTTTTCTCCTGTTCTCGCTGTCTGTTCTCCTTCAAAGCCTTCGTTGCCCCTCCTAGACTGCACAAGGGGATCTGGAACTCCGTTGGATTCTCGGCCCCTTCCTCTTCTACTGAACGAATAGGTTCTATTCGATCATAGGGCTTTCCCACACTCCTCTTTCTCCTTTTCTTTCGCTTTTCTCTTTTTTATTATTCCCCATGAGCGGCGAAATTGCAGTATTCGTTCATCTCTCCCTCGATTCATACCGGCAGGATAGTCGTGTTCTCCCCAAGATCCACGATCGACATGGAGTTCCGTGATGCCGAAAAAGACGACTCCTCGTGCCTGGCACACACGCCTCCTGAGGGCGTTGTCGATGCTGCCTCGTCCTTAGCGGGTCAGGATCCAGTAGCGAGACACACTCTCAGCCACTGTTCCCCGGCAGACGTTGCCTCTTCGGACGATGAACCCACAGATAACAGCAGTGACCGAGCCGTACCGGACGCGGATCCGGAGGCTCTGGCCCGAGTGTCTACTGGGCCGGTCTACTCCACGTTCTCGACCGGCATGAAGAGGTGGATTATTGCTGTGGTCACATTGACGTCCTTTATATCGCCAATGACAGCTGTGAGCGAAATTCGCAACATGGAGTATGCTCCAGCGTCTCGGAACGGAGTTCTAATGATGTTTACAACAGAATATATACTTCCCTGCCCTGAATCCAATCGCCCAAGACTTGAATGTTGATGTTAGTCTCATCAACCTGACTTTGACGACCTACATGATCTTTCAGGGAATTGCACCGACAATCTTTGGTGATTTTGGTGACATGGCTGGCAGACGACCGGCATTCATACTTGCCGTGCTGATTTATATTGTCGGTACGTTCTCGACGCAGAAGCTCTCCTGCAGAATGGTTTTTGTCCTTCTTTCTCTTTCTTCCTTCAAACGCCCTCGGTGTTCCTAATCATTGTCTCCAACAGCAAACCTCGGCCTGGCACTCCAGGACAACTACTCCGCCCTGATGGTCCTCCGTATGGTCCAGAGCGGCGGTAGCAGCGGGACGCTCGCCCTAGGATACGCTGTAGTCGCGGATATCGCGACCAGCGCCGAGCGTGGCAAGTACATGGGCGTTGTGGGCGCAGGCATCAATGTTGGGCCGGCGTTGTCACCCGTCATCGGCGGAATCTTGGCCCAGTACCTGGGCTGGCGTGCCATCTTCTGGTTCTGCTTTATCTTCGCCTGCTCTGTCCTCGTCCCTTATGTTCTCACCGTCCCCGAGACTTGCCGTGCAATCGTGGGAAACGGTTCCATCCCGCCCCAGGGGTGGCATATGACACTCATCGATCTCGTGCACAAGCGGCGCCGCCGACGTGACCAGCTCGCGCGGAGGTCCAGCGCTCAGAGCAGCACCAGCACGCACCAGCAGCAGGAGGCGACGCCGCCGCGGCCCAAACTGCGCTTCCCCAATCCCCTGCGCGCATTAGCGGTGGCCCTGGACAAGGGCGTCGGCCTCATCATTCTGTACAACTCCCTCCTGTACCTCGTCTTCATCATCACCGTCGCGACCCTCTCCACCCAGTTCAAGACCATCTACGGCTACAACGACCTACAAATCGGCCTGTGCTACCTCCCGTACGGCGCAGGCTGCTTCGGCGCCGCCATCGGCCAGGGGTACCTGCTGGACTGGAACTACCGCCGCGTCGCGCGCAGCATCGGCTTCACCGTGGACAAGAAGCGCGGCGACGACCTGTCCAGCTTCCCGATCGAGAAGGCCCGCATCGTGCCGCTGTACTTCTTCGTAGCCGTCGGGCTGGTCGCCATGATCCTGTACGGCTGGGTCCTGGAGCTCCGGCCCTCGGTCGCCGCCCCGCTGTGCCTCCAGTTCTGCATCGGCCTGTGCGTCACGGGCTCCTTTGGCATCCTCAACACCCTCATCGTCGACCTCAGCCCAGAGGCCCCCGCCACCGCCGTCGCCGCCAACAACTTTGTCCGCTGCGAGATGGGCGCCGCCGCCACCGCCGTCATCGAGCTCATGATCGCCGCCATGGGCACCGGCTGGTGCTACACCTTCTTCGCCCTGCTGCCCCTGGTCTTCGCCCCCATTCTGTGGGCCGAGACGAGGTACGGTATCCAGTGGAGGGCGGAGAAGCGGGCCCGCAGGGCGCAGAAGAAGGCCGAGAGGGAGAGGAAGAGGGGCGAGAAACAGGACAAAAAGGAGGAGGCCGAGCGCCGCCGACAGGACACGGAACGGGCTGGCGCCAAAGAGGAGGGCCGCGTGAGCCAGGGCCAGGCGCAGGAGGAACACCACGAGCAGCAACAGCAGCATGACTAGGTAGGTAAGTAATGAAAATGGTCTGATGATTAGTCTACATATCGGAGTTGTTGTTGGTAGGATGTATATCGGGATTTCCTACTTTAGGGTCTTTCCTTTCTTCTTTGTTTCTATTGTTTATTTATCTTTGATATACATGATAACACGGCATCGGCAAAGCGCGACACGGCTGCATGGGGCGGGGTTCAACAGGAACAAACATCATCCGATGAAGGGACAAGAAAATATGATGAGCGAGGGGCATTGATAAAGGGCGGTCGCATTAGATTGATACCTCATGACTTTTGTTGCACATGCGAACCATTTCACAGCCAGTGGCAATAATCATATCGCCATCACTATGGTCCTTCATGCAGTTCACCTAGATGCTAGTGACCTGGCTGAAGCTGTTACTCGGCGGGGCATCAAGCTACGTGCCGCTTCTCAAGTGCTTGCAGACAATGCGGCCTGCCTTCTCGCCACGATATCCTACTATGGTCTTGATGCTACAGTACAGCTAAGGATAGTAGATAATCTCGTCAAAGGCGCGATAGATGTTGCACTCTTGCAAGACGTCTGTATCACCATCATCGCAGTTGTTGTTGTTTACCCTGAGGCAGAGCAGATATATGTACTGCTCGGTAACTGACAAAATGCTCGAATCTGGCAAACTTAGCATAGCAAATCAGTTCAGAAGCTATGCTAGTAATCTTCCAATTTCACAAAAAAGCGCTTTCTCCTATTCCTCCTTTCCTTAGCTCAAAGTTGAGCTATACTATACAGAATCGATTTATGCAGATCAGAGTATAATTGATAATATCATGAATGATAAGCTGCATGTAAGAGATTGCTTAGTCTAAATGAAGACTGAATAGCGCTTCTATAGCTATATTAATCTCTAAAGTAGCAGAGCAGATTGGTGCTATCTATACAATTAGATAATCTGATATGAAGTGTTTGTATTTGTTGGAGGTAGTATTGATGCAGAAGCAAGCATAGTACTTGCTCTTCTTGTCTGGAGCATGCTGCTAATCATACTATGACTTAGAATTTAACATCTACAGGTCTACATTCTTCTCATCCTGTGCTAGCAGGCCAACTGGAGCAGCAGTTGCATACGTGGCTAGTACCAAGTCTGCTGCTGTCTGTTGGATATGATCGAGAGGTAGTTTGAGTTCTAGCTAGTGAAGGGATTTTGCGAACTGATGTGGCGGCAAAAGTAGCGGTTGTGCGTATTTCTGCGTCTGCAGCGCACATGGCGAACCCTAGAAGACATGCAAAGACCTGACTTCCAGAGAGATACGGTCGCGTCGATGAGAGACTTAAGGCTCCTGCGGTTTTCACCAGTAACATCAATGGCCAGGAAGTGGCGCCTGTCCGAAGACCCAAAATGAGTTATACTATTGAATAAGAGACATTTGCTATATTAAATATAATAATCTCTTATACTAAGATGTATTCGAAGAGGAATTCACAAGACGGATAGTCCAGAAGTCATAGCAATGCTTTAGATAGTCGTATGGCATATAGAAATAGCCATTCTCACCCCAGTTGGCTCCCCATGAGTTGCGAACGATGAATAACTTCTCCTCCTGGTTGTATCCAACTACAAGAAGCGAATGCCTGTGCTCATTTTTCATCTCCTTGGCAGTCGGGTGCCCTGCAATAGAGTGTTAGCTATTAAGAATCAATAAAGATAAGTCGCGAGCTATGACTTACTTAGTCCACGGCCATCTGAATTGATATATTTTCTATCGAGCAAACCATAGGTCTTCATCCCGAATACAACAGGGTATCCCGAATGAAGGTATTGTATAATCGCCTTTTGAATGCCTTTCCGCGGAAAAGTTCGATACGATGGTGCAGTGTGCTGATGGGCATGATGCTCCACTCGAGTTGGTGGTTTCTTCGCTGCTTTAGCTCCAGGATAGAATTTATGCGTCTTCTTATCGCTTTGGCCTACTTCGTAAGACCAATCTTCCTCAGAACAGACTCCATGTCGGTGCATGTCAAGAGATTTGATGGCATCCTTTATATTGCTGCCAACATCTTTATGAATGTCTTCTGGGTTATCTGACTTTGCACGAGCGTTGTACCAGATGAAAAGTCTAGAGGGTGAAAACGCGGGTAGGCCTTGCTTTTGAACATCGAATTCAAATGCGGCAGCGACGGCATGAGCAACACAACTGTTCATAGCTTTCTGACTGTATACCTCTGGGCACTTGTCTCTAAGGTCGATATAGTTGTCCACAGGCTTGTCAATAGGCTCGTAGATATGGTCGCGATGATCTGGACGGGAGGGATAAGGGCCGCTGTCGCTAGGCTGGGCACCCGGCAGGTTGTCTGGCTCTGTCTCTGAGTTCTATTCCACTCGTAAGTCCTTTGTCTGAAAAGTTGACTCAGCTATCAGTTCCAGGCTTACCTCTTCATTCGGGACTTGTTCGCTTGAGTCACTGTCCAAGTAAGAAAATGTCCACAGCTTAATTATCATGTAGTTCAAACATACCCGAACTTTCGGAGTAACGTGGCAGTCTTACGCCCAGTTTCGCGCACAAGGTTCTCGTTTGTGTCATAAATCTTATCACTGATATCCTTAATGGGAGCAGCTAGGATGTCATTGACACCAGTGGCATCAAGAACCCCATTTTGGGTGCGGTGGGCGATGCCGACTGCTTGAGCGGCTAGGTCTGCGCTGTCTTCGACAGAGTCTGCAACAACCTTGAAAAGCTCCATTGCAAAGAGATGATAACGGTAATCATAATGTTGGCAGTAGTATTAACGAAAGATATGCTACAGTGTTGAGTGTAAAGGCATGATATTTATAATTTGTAAAATAGACAGTCAATTGTAAATTTCACTTTGGCTTCGAAGCGAACTTCTGGCCATTGATACTTCGCTCTGACAGCTGTCTCCTTACTTACTTAAGGCAGCTGTGTGGCAAAATACTGATCGCCATTCAGCTTTCTCAATCAATTACAATTGAAGCTTACATAGCAATATCTCCACAAGCTGAAATCTGCATACATTTGTGATATCTCCACAAGCTGAAACTTGCATACGAGTTGTATGATCTTGAAACATAATCTTTTATTCCTTGTTATGCTTGCTAAGCATTTACTATCTCCGGGACTCAGCTGATCTTATCAGTGTTCAAGCGACCAAAGTAGTATATGCATGTCGTTTAGCCCTTCTATTTCCATCAAGTCCGGCTCAGTTTGATGATCATTTTCCTAGTCAGTTGCTCATCATGATATTCCGACCTTCTATTTCTTGTCAAATTTGGTAAACTATTGCTTGCCTCTAGGTTCAGCTCAGCTTTGCAGCCTGTGATCAACCTGTTTAGTATCTGTATATGGAATATGAAGTTGGTTGCATGGCATCATATTGTGATTACTATGCTATTGTGACCTTCTATTTCCATCAAGTCCAGCTCAGTTTGATGATGATCATTTTCCTAGTCAGTTGCTTATCATGATATTTCGACCTTCTATTTCTTTGGTAAACTATTGCTTACTGGCAGGTTCAGCTTAGCTTAGCAGTATTCAGATGACCAATCTAGTATAGCATGTGAAATAGACAATTGGTCTCATACTATGCTACTAGTACTATTTGCTGAAAGCTATTGCACTACGCCCTGCTCAGTTCCTTTTGAACTTCAGCTTCAGTTTAATTCTTAGTAAGAGCTAATAAATTAATACATGATGCAATTAATAATTACAGGCGCCACATTGCTAGATAAAGATAGTATCGAGCCTAAAATTCTGCTTTTTGCTTTTCTCAAGTCTTTGCATCGAGTCTCTTGTATTCGCGATGAAGTTTTCTGCACGCATTATATAAGTGTTCCGATTTCCCTATCGTTAGGAGTCAGTTCTTCAGAAATTCATTCTGAACGCTGACTTCAAGCTGGAAACAAAATCAAAATGTCGATTAATATCGAGTGAGTCTAATCCTAACTTCGGAATCAATGCACGTCTGTTAACTCGTGTCAGACAACTCAAGCTTGCAGATCAGTGGGCTGGTCTGTATATCTACCCCGAGAACCATCCCAGCGGACGGAGAACGGATGGAGAATCGGATTTCACTATAAATACCGAACCAGAGGCCGACAAGATCAATATTCATGGTAGCGGCCGCGATAAAGTTGGTGACTTCACTTTCAGTGGACACATTGACAGAAATACAACTGTGTATTTCAAGAAAGATTACGGCACCCACTGGTGGCACTATACTGGCTCTATTGATGCGGAGACAAATATGATGTACGGCAAATGGGGCGTTGGCCAGGAAGGAGGAGGAGGGTATTTTGCCTTCCACCTGGTGAATGAGAATGACGAAGCTGGGGATGTTTCTGCCGAGTATGCATTTCTACTTGCTTGTCCACCTTATTGAACTCCCCTGACCTATAAATAATTGTGACTTCATACGCTAATATCGAGGCAAATTAGGGACCAGCTAGAGAATACTAAGGGCGCTTGGTCGGGATTCTATACCTCGGCTGAGTCAGGTACTAGCCGGAGATGTAACTTCGAATTGGATGGTCAAGTAGGAGGGAATGGTGATCTGCTCGCAGTCAAAGGCAATGGAACTGGACCGACAGGGCCATATAGACTCACTGGTGTGGTGTCTAAGTCAGGCCAAGTGGTCTTTGCCAAGGTATATGAAAAACATACATATCTTTATCGAGGAACATTAACAGCGGATGGTTCCATGAAGGGCCAGTGGGCTGGAAAGGGGAGCTCTGGTACATTCTATTTCGAACGCTCTTAGCCATTAACACTATTGAGTCTCTAGTTGAAATCAACACTATTCACCTAGGATGTAAAGGCATTCATCTTACTGCAGGCGCCCATTCCTAAGGCTCACTCGATTACTCACGCCTGTTGTTCAATTGCCCCAGAGACTGCAAAGTCAGGTCTTGTATCTCGAGCAGAGCATCGTCTTGTTCTGCACTAAACACAGCTGTGCTGCCGCGCAGGGTCCTTTGGTTCAAGCGATGGATCGTGGGATACACAGTAAGAATGTGGCCTGGCTCGTGGCTGCTGATCTTGCTAGAAACTGACAGACCAGCAATGTACTTAGGCAACCAAGCTCTGCTTTGCGTCCCTAAACTGCACGAGAGCGCCGCATCAATGGAGACTATGACGACATTCACCTCTGCACGAGGCTCTGTGCCTGATTGTAAACTGCTCTTGAAGTTCTGAACGCTGGTCCTTGATGAAGCCCGACTGCTCTCAGGGTCGCAAACATATCAGCCGGCTCGACCCGGCGCGTATAGCCTCTGATGGTCATGTTCTGCTTCCTGATTTTGGCTACTGGTGTCTTGGTCACCCTGTCCAAAAGATCAACCGAGATGAAGCCTTTGGCATGTTGCGTCCATCGATTTTGGATAGTGACGGAATGGATTTCGAACTCTTTCCAGCCTCTCAGTCCGATGTTCCAACCATTCACTGGCCGAAGCGCTGTAAAGATCTCAATGCCTTCTGAATTATCTGGGATGACGAGGGCTCTCATGATTTTAACAGTACGGAGACTGTAGCGGCAGGTACCTCCAACAACTGCAGTAGCATGCCCGACAGCCTCAATAGCGATACAAAACAATGTCCGATTCAACAGCATGATCACGCATCCAGGGAACTTCGTCTGCCCGGAGAGTGTTTCTCTAGCATGGTGCCTCGCGGGCCGCGCCAGGAGCCAGGGCGTCAAGTAGATCATGGCGCGGTTCCCTCCTCTCGCGGATCGCCCGATTCCGTCTCGGCTCGAGCCAGTATCTGTTCTGGTGATTCCATGGATACGGTGGCAAATCGGTCAATATCCGGACAAGAGATCCTCCTCCACAAGGGAAGTTGACTGCTTCCATATTCACAGGGCGCATAGCACGCAAGAGATTGGCTGCGAGAACCTATAGGCTCTCGCGTGCATTTTCGTTCTGTATGAGGCAGCCAAGATACAGAATTCGTAGGTCTTTGAAGACGGGCTGTGCGAGGGTCTGGTGAATGGGGACTCCAAGAGCAGTATGGGGGCCTATCTTGACTAAAATGTCGATGCTTGTCCCAGAGGGGTCTCCGTTCCCAAAAAGCATGTCCATCAAGGCATCAAGGAACTGGACAGGCTGTACCAGGCTTCTAACCCAGTGCATCGGATCCGCTAATTCTCCGGCGTCTGCTATACGGTCTCCGGTAACGGGAGATGATAATATGACCGCATCGAGAGAGTCTTCAGGTCTCTTATCTCCCAGTATATCATCCAATGCTTGTCTGTAGGCATCGGCAATAGTATCTGTGTGAGGGCAAAAAAGGTTCCATTGCAGTGCGCTGAAGAGGAAAGAGAAAGGAAGAGAAACGCCACGAGGCCAGCTATCTGAGGCTATCAACAGATCTGGCTGTTGGCTGGCCCTCGCACAGCATCTATCTGGTGGGAGTGGTATGCCGTATCCACCTTCAGGCGCCTAGTGAGTATATAATCTGCCTGGGCCATCTGCTCAACCTCTACTATCGCTGCCACGTCGCCTGCAACAGTGACGCTTTCGGGGCTGTTGATACAGCCCACGACAGCCTTCGCCTGGCATTTGAGCCTCTTAAAATACCCATTGGCCTTGTCGCGCCCCAGCCTGACGGCGATCATACCGCCACTACTACCCGCGTGGCTCACAAGATCGATAGCGAGCATAGCTTGGTGGTAGGCTATAGCCATGGCCTCGCGATAGTCTATTGCTCCCACCGTATAAGCAGCAGCGATCTCCCCGCAAGAATGACTCGTTATACCAGATGCTAGACATACGAACAATGTTCCATTTCCGTTCTCCATCCTGATTCGCTTCCCTTGCAGTCGCAGAAATGAAGCATGACAGACAGATGGTTGGACACTGATGTTTTCGTGATGACTTTCTTAACACAGTGTTGCTGGATGACGGCAGCGAAGAGTTGGCTTAAGTTGTGGAGATTCTTTCCCCTGCAGATTTCTCCCTGGGTATCTGTAGTAGATGCCCAACATGTGTCGAAAATACAAATGTGTAATGGTGTATAAGGTGAGAAGAGCCGGCAGCGCCTTTCAATAAGCAATGTCTGGCTTTGTATGCAATCGAAATTTACCTACAAACTCTCTTGTCCACCTTCAGAATTGGAATAACTGGTTCACCTCCGTCACCATACACATTATGAAATGTCTAATGTAGTCTGGACGCCTGATGTCCTTTACAGGGACATAAACAACGCAACCGGGAATGGCTAGGACCAGACCAACGCCATCGCTAAGAGTGTAGGCAGATGGATAAAATCTGCATCAAATGAAAGAAAACAAATGTCCGTCCATAATGTGAAGTAGAGAAGACAAGAAGAAAAGATGAGAGAAGAGAGAAGAGAGAAGAAAAGGAGGAAGAGGGGGGGGGGGATGTTGGGGACCCAGACAGCGTGGGCTCGATTACCAGCGTCGACTGCAAGGAGCATGTTAGTAAGGCGAGTTTCATGACACCATAAAATGAGTGAGGACTGTACCCACCTGAAAGCTTCGTTGACCTTAACCCTCTTCTTGAGCACTGGTTTCTGCACGACGGCCTTCTTCGGCCGCTCTAGCCCAAGGAGTTCATACTCGAGATCTGACATGACCGAGTCCTCGTCACTGTCAGCGACGGGTTGGGTTGATGAACGTGAACGTGAGTGGGACCGAGGTCTAGCATCTCGCGGCGACCGCAACCTGTCCCGTGATCGTTCACGATCATACCCTCTGTCCCAATCCCGTTCACGGCTTGTGTCGCGGTCACGAGCCTGTGCTGGTGGCGGTGGTGATGGACGACTACCACCACGCTCCTCTCGGTAGGGTCTCAACTTCTCAGCGGAGGGCCCCCTACGGTAGGAAGAGTCATGGCGCTGTGTCGAGTTGTAAGCACCTAGGCGGTCACTGCCTTGCAAACGGTATCCGCCAGGTGAGCGAGAGCGCCCTTCTCTGGAAAATGGCCGATGAGGAGAGTCGATGCGGGAATCCCCTGGCTGCGATGCCCAGGAGTCTCGATCGAGGTCTTTACCCCAAAGTGATGGTCGAGGAGGAAGCCTCGACGAAGGACTGCGATCCTGGCCCTCTGAAAACCTTGATCGCTTTGTGTCCCGCCTGTCGTCGCTGGCCTCATCATACGGCCGTTTGTTATCCATTGACCTGGACATCGAATCAGTGTCCCGGTGCGGGAAGGGACTACGATAGTGATTGCGGGGCTTGATCGTGTCATCCAGAGTTGAATCAGAAGGTGCAGGGATGATCTCCCTATCCTTGATCCATGCGGCTCTGTTTCTTCGGGAGCATTGATACGTGAAGTACTCGTGGTGGGAGCCCGGGAACTGGACAACTACCATACCACGCCGATATCTGAACACTGGGTCGCGCTTGAGTTCGGTCCAGTACTTTGTATCTCGTACAGAGGCGAGAAATGCGTCAGGATTATCCGGGTCGAAGAATGCAGTTCTGATGCATCTGGCGTCGTAAGCTGGTGGAATTGTCGGGTCATCGTTCCACTCGGCAGCGAGTGGTTTCCCTACCGGATCGGCTGGCTTGCTTTCTATCTCGACGAATGCCTTCTCAAGGTCCCAGCGGAAGTCTTGTTCAGCTTGGTCTTCCTCGTCGTCAATTACGTCCTTTGTCACCGAGGGGGCTTCTGCGTCTGCCTCTGCTTTGGTCTCCTGCTTCTTGTCATCCTCAGCGACAGCGCGAGGCTTAGGGCTCTGTTTACGCGAGGATGATGGGGGGCGTTGAGACGACTTCTCACGGCGCTGCCCTCTTCCACGCTGGCGAGTGTCGTTATCGCGTCGGTGATTTTTGTTCTTGGAGCCCTTGTCTCGATCATTGCGTCGATCCCGGCGGTCCCTCTGTCGAGGATTGCCACGGCTGTTGGCATCTTGTGGCCAGCCAGAACTCTGTGGTGGAGGATATGGGTTGGTGTACGGGGCGGGATGGGGATAGTTGGGCGCATGAGAAGGTGGAGGATACGCATTGGGTGGTAGAGGAGGTACAGGCGGCAGCGAGGCTCCATACCCAGTGGTGTAAATAGGTGGCGGTGGTATTGGAGGTGGTGGGCCTGAGTACGCAGGTGCAGGGGCTCCTGTATACACTGGCTGAGGCGGCGGATAGGTTGTAGAATAGGAATCTGTTGGGTACGGCCGACCAGGGGGATATGACCCATCAGAGACATATGAAGAGGGGGGAAGTGGAGGAGCTGGAGGAGGTGGAGGTGGTAGATAAGAGACTTGTGCATACTGGCCATAGACGGCACCAGATACAGGGGGAGGAGGAGGAGGGGGAGGTAGAGACGTAGGGACAGGTGGTGGTGCATAGCCAGTGTTGGCTGGTGGATAGGGCGGAGGGTATGGTGGCTGCGTCTGTCCTGGTGGTGGATAAGGTAGCGGAGGCTGTTGTCCATACGGGATCGGAGGCGGTGGAATTGTAGCCGGAGGGGGATAGGGCCCACTGGTTCCCCATGCATTCGGCGGGGGCGGGACTGGAGGAAGGTGAGGCGGCACCGACGCGGGCGGAGGGCCGTATTTCGTCACGACCAGACCACCCTTGGCCTTCGAACTTTCGGAGCCACGGCCTCCGCTACCGTGTTTATTTTTTTCTGCGTGTCGTTGACGGAAGAGTCCAGCGCCGCTGAGAGAGCCAAAAGAAGAAAAAGGCATGTCAGCCAATGACCAGAGAATAAGCTGCTTTATACTGATAGGAACATTAGCCCAGAACTTACTATGGTTCCTTTCGTACCGGTTCAGGACACGCGTAAGCAAAGTGGTGCTGGCTGCCGCAGTTAAAGCAGCCCCCATCGTACTTTGGGGCGTCAAGCCCTGGAGCACGGTCTGTCATCATGATGGGGACATCAAGGTAAAGAAATTATCTTGAGACGTAGACGGTGTCCCTTCATGACAAGGTCCTCGAGGCGAGGAGGGATAGTCAGGCCTGTATGATTTGGGCGCCGTACTCTGACTGACAACGGAGAGCCGTCTTGTTAATGCTGCTGGAAGACCAGGGCCGGTGAAGGAGTCGACGAACGGAAGATTAAAAGAAATATCGACGGCGATCAACAGTGTCACGGCAAGAAGACCCCAGCAATGTCAGCGTCTGCCGCACATGCAAACGGGGGGAACAGGGGTTTGGAGGTGGCACTGAACAGGCCCCGGGCTTGTCAAAATTGAGGAAAGGAACCAATGATGAGGGTGACGTGCTGAGGAGGGGAAAGCAACACAGCTTTTTGACAGGTGATGGACAAACGCAAGGCTAAAAGACGTCTCTTCCGAGTCTTGTGCGTGGTGCTTCCGATCCGGAGGACCAGTCTGCCCTGCCGCCGACCGCGCGCGCCGTGCCTCCTCCTCCGCCGCAGGACCAGCACCTCACCTCACCTCACCACAGAGGCCAGCGCAGGATCGCGCGCAGTCAATGAGGCCGATCTGACAGGTCTAGGAGGTGTGCCAGTGCTTTTGAGACATGCGCATGATGTGCAAGGAGGGATATCGTGGGACGTAGGCGGCGTCTTTGATGAGATGAAAAATCACAGGAATTGGGTCTGAGAGGGAAAGACGGAGGGTGAGCCCGCCGCTTCAGGCCAACTGACCTGCACTGCAGGAGACTGGACTGCAAGACTGCAGGCGCAGCCTGCACCACCTGGGGCCGGCCCCCGCCCCAGTCTTGTTACGGTTAAAGCTCGGGCCGGCAACTCAATCGCATCTGGGAAGGCGCCCAGAGCTGACTGAGCAGTAGCAGGCAGGTGCTCTCTGACCGATCTGACTTGGCTTTTGACTCTTGTCTCTGGCGCCAACTGTTGTACATCGTCAATGTTGTCAGACCAGCCAGCCCCCCCCCATTGTCTGCATATGGAGGGAATCTGAAGGTGGTGGGTGGGTGACCACGTCACGCCAGTGACAAACGACAAGGAAAGGTACATTGCAGGTCAGCGTCGAGCAGGCCGGCTCGTAAATCACACCCTGAGGAAATAATAATAGTAATACTTGTCTGCAGCAGAAGCTGCAGGACTGGGTAGTACGACGTCTGTGTGGGTGCCAGGCATTTCAACATTGTGGGTTTCTTTCTTTCTTTCTCTTTTTTTTTTTTTTTTTTGGGAGGGTGGTTTGTCCTCGTCTCCTTTGTTTTGTTATAAATGGAGGAGGCTCTCGCCATGCATGTATGATATCTCATCGAGTATTGTGCTATTAGAGGCTCCGTCCACGCAGAGCCAACGCAACGCTCCACAAAGGAAGAAAGAAGGAAAGAAAGAAGACTGGCAAGACCAAGCATCCTGTGTCCAGATACGCCATTTGCAAGAAAACGGCCAGGCAGACCTGATGCGCAAGAGAATACCGGGGTATAGGACAAGGCTAAATAAAAGGCAGGCTCGCGACGAGGGAGCAGGGCGATCATCAGAGAGAAGTCAAGAAGGGGATGGGAAAACCAATCCCAAGCCGACAAGGTGTCGACTATTCCTCACAGATTGAAGAACATATGAAATCTACTGCACCAACAGTATAACCACGAAACGCCCCAGGATGAGCGAGCGAGCGGTAGGACGAGCAAGAAGAAAGTGTCCAACCTGGCGCCGGCTCCAGCAAGGACTGACTGTAATAACAGACCAGTTCTTGAGATCTGGACACACACGGGCGACGCTGCAGAGGAAAAAGCCCGACAGTGGTAGCGCTGGGGGGACAGAAAGGGGACTGACTGAGACGAGGGGACAGACCTAAGCAACGACAGAGACGGGTGAAGGATGAAAAGAAGAAAGGTTGAAAGAACGGCGAGAGATGCCAGGGAGCGGGACAAGTGGGCGAGGGCTTGCTTTTAAACCATCTGAGACGGGAGAGGGGGATGCACTAACAATTTTCACACATCATTTTGTCAGTAGCACACAAGTACTATGTACACGCCAACATACCATAATAGTAGCTAGCCTATTGTAAAATGCTTGCCTCTTGTCTAACGGCTGCCCTCCCGACTTTGATCCGGATTACGGAGTAGCCCCAAAAGGACGTCAGCCAGCTCCTGTCAAGCATCTGTCCGTTGTGATTGGAAAGTTGGTGGTGGCATCTTGCCCCCTTCTATAGACAGACCCTGCCCTCCTCCCGGCCAATACTGTCCTTTCCCTACCACTCTTTTCTCTTTTGTCTGCCCAAGATGTCTTTTGGCATCGCTTGAAATTCCAACGCTTTCCGATGTGAGCCCGTCTCTACACAAACCCACATACGAACATGTTGGTTCTTCGGCCAACCACCTCCACCATCGCGTTCTCGTTTGCCGGGACAAAAAGAAGAAGAAGCCGCCCAAGAACCTCTCCTCTGCGTCCCACCAGCGACAGGACAACCCCTCCATAAGTCGGCATATCACCTCGAAAGCTTCGACTCTACTTGCTTCCCCGTGCGCCGCCATCGCTACCCGTCGCGCAGGGACAAGACAGGATATCGCCAGGAAAGGAAGAAAGCAAAAGGGAAGGGAGAAAAGATGCCAGGCCTGCCAGCTTCGGTCGACTTGGATGAGTGCATATCGCGCCTCTACAAGAAGGAGCTGCTCGCCGAGTCGGTCATCGAGGCGGTATGCGCCAAGACCAAAGAGCTGCTCATGCGTGAGAGCAATGTCGTCCACGTGCGCGCGCCCGTCACTGTCGTCGGCGATATACACGGGCAGTTCTTTGACTTGATTGAGATATTCAAGATCGGAGGCTGGTGTCCCGATACCAACTACTTGTTTCTAGGTGCGTCCCCCCCCCCCCCGGGTGGTTGTTCCGCCTGCCGGCCATCACCAGAAGATGGTTGTATGTATGCAATGCTGACGGGTCGCGGCGACCACAGGCGATTATGTAGACCGCGGCATGTTCAGCGTCGAGACCATTTCCCTTCTTGTCTGTTTGAAATTGAGATACCCCAACAGAGTGCATTTGATTCGCGGCAACCACGAGTCTCGCGGCGTCACCCAGTCCTACGGCTTCTACACAGAGTGCTCGCGCAAGTACGGCAATGCCAATGTCTGGCACTACTTTACCGACATGTTCGATTTCTTGACGCTTAGCGTTGTAATAAATGACCAGATCTTCTGCGTACACGGAGGTAAGCCGCCAGCCAGCCTCGCCCTCCCCCCTACCCTCCCCATCACAACAACCTCAAGCATGAGTTGTCCGCCAGCGCTAACAGGAGCTCTACGGCACAGGCCTCTCCCCCTCCATCCACTCCATCGACCAGATCAAGATCATCGACCGCTTCCGCGAGATCCCTCACGAGGGGCCCATGGCCGACCTGGTCTGGTCCGACCCGGACTCGGAGCGCGACGAGTTCTCGCTCAGCCCACGAGGGGCAGGGTACACTTTTGGCGCCCAAGTGGTGCGCAAGTTCCTCGAGGTCAACTCGATGAATCATATCCTGCGCGCGCACCAGCTGTGCCAGGAGGGCTTCCAGGTGCTGTACGACGACAAGCTGAGCACGGTCTGGAGCGCGCCCAACTACTGCTACCGGTGCGGCAACATGGCGAGCGTCCTGGAGGTGAGCGACACCGGCGAGCGCTTCTTCAATGTATTTGCTGCGGCGCCCGAGAACGACCTTCATAAGGACCTGCAGCAGCAGGGCGTGGACAAGGGACCCGATGGAGGCTCATTGCCTGATTATTTCCTCTAGAGGCATCAAGCTCATTGGAGAAGGCGATTTACGGAATGATGGGCCTGGGAAACCAGCCTGCAGGATTGCTCCTAGCTTCATCAAAGCCTGACAAAATTATCGTCAGGAGACAATACGAAAGAAGAACTGTGAAACCCGAACACGAGAGATACTTTGCATACATGACAACACCCCCAAGCCCAGTCCTCCCACCCTTGGACGGCTTTACGCCGCCCTCGTCGTCAGTAGCTTCGACTTCTTGGCCATATTCTGAGGCATCCCAGCGATATGACCTGCAGAGTATTGCGTCCAGCATGCTCCGGATCGATCCTATCAGGAGATCACGGCTGAGTGACGAGTAGATAATCGGCTTTGACGCCGTGCACGCTGGCCCTCTTGAGGAAGTTGGTCTGCTTCCGACTCAACCTCCAGCGCTAAGGCCGACTACTCCATACATGCCGCCGTGATCGGCTAAGAAAGAGATCTTAGCAAACGCTTCTCGAGAGCATCCGCTAATACAGACGCCGTCAAGAATCGTGTCGATTTATGGCTCTCCTTTTAGCTCAGAGCAGCATTAAGGTTTAGGTCCTCCGTCGTCTGTCAGGAAATCCCTCGGTGACATACACTTCAACCAAATGATGGGAGCATGAGTAGTGGAGTGAACATTATCACATTATGAAGATTTCCCGTATCCTTCCCTTTCCAGACACTTTTTGGACCCCCCCCCCCCTCAGTGCAGCTGTGAAGCGGCTGAAGTAAAGCCTTCCCCATCGCGCCAGAACAAAGACATAAGACCATATGAAGTGTATCTACTCCCAATCCTTGGCAATATCGAACGACCACTCGAACGTCAGGTGTGTTTTCTTGTCATCATCGACGAACGACGAGACGGCGTTGTAGTGGCCGCGGGCGAGCATCCCGGAAGGGGCTTCCTCCTCGTTGACTTTGGAAATTTGAAATCAGTATACTGTCTTGAAAGGCTTAAACTGAGAGGGGAAGCGGGGGTTGTGCTAGGAGCTGTGCTCAACATACACTTCTTGTTGTAGAGGGGGGTCTTATCAGTATTGGGAGCGTATGAGCCCTGTGTATCACAGTATCAGCAAGCCGTTCACGTAGACATATGTAACAACAAGGGTACTTACAATCATCTCGCTGTCCTTGGACACCCTGATGCCCTTGCGCTTGACAATCTGCACATAGTGGAGGCCACTGAGGACCTCGTGCTGGACCTTGAACGTGGCCGACATGGTGAATTTGGCGCCTTCCTTGATCTTGAAGGGCTTGTCCTTCAGAGTGTGCTCGGAGCCTGGTGAGCCCAGGTCGATGGTGATGGGCGGGCGGCCTGGCGAGTCCATGGTAAGGGAGTGAATAATGCAGACGCGCGGGTCATTCGGGTCGCTTAGGTCGTTGCCGCCGGTGAGACCAAGAGACTGCTTATAGCGCTGGAGTGACTCGTCATTCTCATCTGAGAAGGCCCGGCGTGCGTGTTAGTATATGTTGACGTGCCTATATAGTCGGCCAATCTCTGAGTACTGAGGAAATGATGGGAATTGGAAGAAGACGGCGGCTCGTGTGGGCCTAGCCCCGGGTACGCCCGAAGACGGGCGGCAATGGTGGAGTTTTGGGTCTCAGGGCCACGCTGCTAGCGATTTGACATTGTGACACTGCCGTTGTTGAGAAGGTTGACGAGAAGATTGGGCTGGGAGCTGATATTGACAAAGTGGGAGAAGGAAACTAATGCCACGTGATGGCACTTTGTGTAAACGGTCCAGTGTCCACTCAATCGGGATATAACATCGCCAGTACATAATGATATGCTTCAAAGATGATCATACAACCCCCAGGTTTTATACCCCAGCCAACGTCTCAGCAGTGCCAGAGGGGGAGAAAGTGCAAGAGCCAGTGCCATAGCCACCACTAGATCCGGGAGGGCGGTTTTTTGGCAGGGCCTCGTACAAGACCTGCTGTCCTCCGAGAAGGCGGGGGAGGGGGGGTCGTGAGGGGGAAGCTGCTGAGTCTCCCACTGGGAGTATTCCCACCAGGTTATAGGCGATTTCTCATGAAGAGTAGAAAGGAGAAGCTGACACCGATCGAAGGTTGTAATAGAGGATAGGGACAGGCTCATTGTGGGGTCATTCCATGGTTTAACGGGGAGGCGAGTGAGAGGAACGAGTACCGAGTACCTTCCTGCTGGAAGCGAGCCGTGTTGACAAATCCACAGCAAATGTCGATCATCTCACATGGGTGTGGTGGGATGAGACTGCTGAATAGCATCATGTGGGAGAAGTTCCCAGCAAGGCCACATTTTACTCCCGTAACAACAAATTTGTATACCACACCGCTCCTCTTAAATTGGTGACCATCCAACCTGGAGTATACTTCGAGAAGCCCACGAGAGGGACAGCTATGGTACTGATCATTCCCTGAGACGGCTCCAGAAATAGAGCGTCTTCCGAGGCATATTCCTCATCCCATAGGAGGACTGGACAAGAAGGATATCTGGAGGGGACTGGAAGAGGGAGGGTATGGATCTGCAGACATGAAGCACTTGCTCCGTTCCTCTGCTGGCGAGGAAAGGCCTGAATTCAAGACAGAGAGAGGCCAGGTGGTGGGAGAGTCTTCGGGCATAAAAGTGAAGGCACCTGAAGGCATCTGGGCGGAAGACGATGAGAGACAAACTGACATACCCATCTGTTGATACTCCGCTAGGCTTTGCTTGGGCTGAGACAGCTTGTAGCCCTGAGTCTCCTCGGGCATGGTGTCATCGTCATGGTGAGAGGCCATCTTGTCGAGTCTTGAACCCTAGAGAATAAAATAATGTGGTGATGAGTGGCTGAGTTGTGATGTGACGGTGGAAATCTGCGCTCGAAGAGTCGATACGGTGAGTGATGTGCAGTGTCCACAAAGGAGACCATTTGGCGATGTCAACACATTTATCCTCCCAGCCTGGTGAGGGGCAGCTGTTGGCCAGAAGCATGGGCCGTGGGGCGGTCCAAGTCGATGGTGGGGTCCACGCTCCCGACAACTCACCTGGGAGACGTGCATGATTGGGCAGGGACCTTGCTGTACTGGAACACTGGACTGCTGCAGCATTGTTGCTGACACAGGGGGGACTTTAGGTGCTTCTGCCAATCCAGTTACTCCACCACCACAAGCACTGATTCCAGTAATACTGATGAGGGGAATTGGTAAATGATATCTCACTAATAAGGGATCCTTTATTACTGTGCTGATGAACAAAAAAAAATAAAAAATCCAAAAGTTCGGAAGAGAATATAGCAGGGAACGAAACCAAGATTTCTTCTACTGGTTAGTGGAACCTGTACTACTGTAGAGCAGAAGCGTTGCCCCTCCCCCCCTTATTTCTTTTGGGCCATACTCGCCTAATCAGAAGTTCGTATACGGCAATGCATTCATAACATCTCCCGTCTTGTAATTCCAGCAGGCGCTTCAAGAGCTTCTGCGTTTAGTACTGGGCGACGTAAATTTTTTTCTTTCTTCGTAACTGGTCGCCGCTTGCAGTTGCGGCCGTCGCTTGCCAGTCGTTTCGAGGGTCCTTCCTTGGCTGCACCGGATCATTCGTGCGGGTGGCCCAGCATCCGCGCCGGCTTGCAACCTTACCCAGCACGCTTTGGGCCGTTGGGTATTACCGGCCAGGGCACCCACAACGTAGATGGATAGCGCCCTCCAGGAACGGCGGTCCCTGCGTGACAGATGAGATGGATGGCTCAGCTTGATCCTGATTGATGCCACGTTCTGATACTCGTTATTTCTCGTGGATCCCAAGATCAAAGGGAGGCTCCCAATACAAAGTCTTTGACGAACAAAGCTTGCACTCTTTGCAGTGAATTGGTGCCCAAGCATCAAAGTTATTCATATCAACAGCGGACGAGCGAGGGGAACAAGGAGGGGACTAGCAGACGGGTCCGAGCTGCCGTACCCAAAGGGTCACCTGCGCTCGTTGAAAAAGGTGGGTCACATCCCTGATAAGATCTGCTAATGAATACCTCCTGTCGTATGTATAACAAGCCGCGATGAAGGGTACTCAGATATCCTCAAGTATCCTGGTCGAATCCCTACCTGTCTTCCCCAGGAAGAGGCTCGATCTCCTCTTTCGCGAGCGCGAAGACCCCTTCTCAGGCCACACCCCCAGTCCGTTATTAGGTCTGGTATCGAACCCCGACTTCTTACATCCTCTCTACCACAACGTCAAGTGCCGACTTCTGAGCATGAGCAAAGTACACGGCCGCTGGACGCGCATGGCACAAACCGGAAGATAAAACATAATCCTGCATCTCGTTATTAGTCCATGAGTTTCACCGTCTTGCTGAGAGAGCACACACCATAACAGCTCTTACCCACCGTCCGACCCCCTTTTCATCAATCAGTGCCCCCCGAATCTGATCTCGGGCGCTCCACCCAAAAAGTAGCGCGCAGTCCACTGTCGCGCAAAATCCCCCCCCCCCCCCAAGCTTCACCCAAAGCTGGACCAACCGTCTCTGCCGACATAGCAGCTCGTTGTAAATTTCAACGCGGCTCAATTGCAGAAGGCAGGTCGCCCAAGTACTACCGACTCGACCATTCAGGGCCAAACCTTTTGTCTGGAAGGCGCGCTCTGACTTTCCTTCTGCTAGGCTTTAAATTGGACGTCTGTTGTTTGCGCGTTTCCGTTGTCGCATCGCAACCTTTTGAGAACCAACAGCTACTTCGAGAACGTCGACCCTGTCTGAGAGAGTCGCCAGTCGCGATCGTTCAATAACAGCATCAATACTTGCCACCCGGGACCCCGAAGTACTTCAAAAAACAGTCTACCTCACGCGTCAGCTCCTTGCGACCATGGCGCCATCACGAGAGAGGAACCTGCCAGAGAGGCGCAACCCACTTATCACGGGACCGGCGCCAGACTGTAAGCTTCAGCTGTGCACGATGCAGTCTGGCCTTCTCAAGAAGCTGACAGTCCTTTTCCTTGTTCTTCACAGGTAGCGAGCTCGCCGCCAAGCGTCGCCTCGGGCAGACACAATTAACCGCCAGGATGGTCGCGACTGTTCCTGGCGCAGCGATCGATCCGACCACCCTTGGTATCTTCGACTACGCGCATCTTCGCGCGCCCCTCCCCAAGGGCATTGTTTCTGGTATCTTCAAGTCGAGTCCCAACAGCTACTTTCTCATGCGCCGCAGCCACGACGGCTTTGTCTCGGCAACCGGCATGTTCAAGGCGACATTCCCGTACGCCATGGCCGAGGACGAGGAGGCAGAACGGCGGTTCATCAAATCTCTGTCCGATACCAGTCCCGAGGAGACGGCTGGCAACGTTTGGATCCCCCCCGAGGCGGCGCTAGCCCTGGCCGAGGAGTATGGCATTAAGCCCTGGATCCAGGCCCTCCTGGATCCTGCCGAGATTCAGCTCTCGAACTCCACGTCTGAGAACAGCCCCCAGAAGAAGATCAACGCTCCGCCCAAGTTCATCTTCCGTGGTGCTTCCCCGACGACTTTGGTCCCGCCTACACCGACACGGAACAGCCGCAGCCGGCGGTCTGCCAGCCCCACCAAGAGCACCGCCTCGCGACGCGGCGGCCCTGCGAGCCCGCGCAAGCGTTCCACCAGGATAACAGCCTCTCAGGTCGACGCGGCGGAGTCCTCCAGCGGCACCAGCAGCCACAAGAACTCGCTGACCAATGGCGACATCCCAGTTCTGGTGCCGGGCGAGCCTCTCAAGGTGGAAGACGTGAAGATTGAAGCAGCCGAGAGAGAGCCGCTATCGACACTTGAGCCTGTGGAGGAGGAGCCCAAGGTCAAGGTGAACATCCATCAAGAGATCCAGACGGACGAGGATGGCACAGCGGTGAAGCACACAAACTTCGAGCTGGAGGTGCCTTTTACGGCCGGAATCCCCAGCCCGGACGACGCACGACGAATGATCGAGGAGGCCAGGAATATGGTCAATGCCGCTGCCGCTGAGGCTGAGGCTGAGGCTGAGGCTGCCTTGACCCAGCCAAAGTCAAAGGCGGCCAAGAGCAAGCGCAAGGCGGAGGAGCTCGAGGCCGATAACGAGGACGAGGCCGGCGCGGAGAGCAGCCTTGCCGTGCAGCCGCGTGCCAAGAGGGTAAAGACCCAGGTCGAAGTGCGCAAGCAAAAGGTCAGGAGGCGCGCCTTGTGGGGCATCTCCCTGACGCTCGCAGCCGGGGCAGCTGGGTAAGTTTGGTTCAGACTCGACTGGTTGGGTTTGCTGCTGGAGTCTGACATTGCTAACCGCGGGGTAGTATCTTGGCACCATATGCCGCGAATTTCTTGTGAGGAATCTTGATTGCCCCGGATAGGTCAAGGGTATGGATGGGCTACAGTAAGTTATCCTTGCTATGTTATGGGCTTGGATTGGAGTTTTGGATGAGGCGTTGCCATTCGAGCCGGGGAGTTGAGTTGTCTGCTTGGCAGGCACACCTTGGCATACTGTTCTCTTTTTCGATAGACGCAGCATGGTGCAGGGTCGTGCTCGTACCTCACTCTCGTTTCGTTGTCGATTTCGTTCTTCACCAACTATCTATGGGTCGGGGGAGTTGAGAGAGGGCGGGGTTGAGGCACGACGGATTCTCTGTAACTACAAACTATTCTCAGGTCATGTATCAACTCTCATATCTAAGCAGTCGCCCGCCTCTCACACAGTTGCCTGACGGCGTATATTCGAGAATGGCTTGGCCCAAATTATTGTGCCGTAACTGAGATAACTTTGTCGTCTCTCTTGTCAAGCTTGATTCCCTTGCTTTTGGGGAGGGGGGAGAAGGTCAAACATAAACAATGACCCATTCCATAAGGCTGAGAGCACATGTGGCCATCTGAGGACTCTGTTTAGCGCTGCTGCTTTACAGCGGCCGTACAGCCCAGTTAGTACATGCAACAACAGCGTCGTGTGGTGCAAAGAAATGTAATCGGTAGTGGCTGTGATAGTCCGTGAGCCTACAAGGGTTTGGCTGCTCCTGCCGCGCCCTTACTGCTGCCAACCGTTGACCGCCCAACCGCTACCACAAACGCGCACACGTGAAGCTAGGGCAACAACTGTTTGGATATGATTGATTCCTTCCTTATTTCCGCCCCCTGGCCGTGTAGCTTCCACCTTCTCTGATAAGAAAAGCTCAAGTGCTCATCCCCCCCCCCCCTCGAAATTCCTCGTTTTCCCCTCTCCTCGTCCCTCAGGCTTGAGGTTTATCCATGCAAACATAACACATGAAATGCACAAACATTTCAAATTCAACGAGGTCAGAAATGAGGTACGTTGGAGTCAGTCACTCCACTGGTTACAACAAAGGTCGGCTCCATGTCGCTGCAGTGCGCGCGCATGGGCTGACCAGGGCTCTAACCCGTTCCCCCCAAACCGCGGCAATGGCCGGCTTTCGTAGGCATTACCCCTCGTTGCTTAAACTGCTGGCGCGAGCGAGTGATGCTCGGGAATGGGGACGTATTTCCTCCCAAAAGAAAAAGCAAAAGAAAAAGGAACAACATCTCTTGCGAAATGTAACCTGCCGACATCTCGAGACAAGCATTCTACTAGCCTTACCTACTAATACACGGGAACAATGCGGCCTATATCCACAGCATGGAGGCTGCAGAGGCTGCAGCGGCGTTGCTTCTCGTCCACGCCAAGAAGGTTGGACAATTACGCCTTCATCGGCCTGGGCCAGATGGTATGCAACAATCAACTATCTCCTGAATGCATATCCATATAGAAATGACAAAAGGCTGATATTTTGTGCGTCCACAGGGTTTTCAGATGGCCAAGAATCTACAGGCAAAATCGTCTCCGAATGACAGCGTCAGCTTGTTTGACATCAACCAAGATGCTGCACAGAAACTGGCTGCGGAGATGGAGGCTTCCCAAGCCGGAGGTGCATCCGTTGCCCTGGCTGCCAGCGCAGCAGATGCCTCTAAAGATGCTGTGCGTCTGGATTTTGATCCTTCCTGAGCCCTCACAGCTGCCTTTTTTGGTTCCTCAAGCAAGAGAGTCATGAAACAGATGCTGAGCAAAATGGCCCATCTATGAACTAAGTTGGCGGCCAACTTGCTAGCCATCCTTGATTGTCAATACATACACAGCCAACCTTCTGGAGTTCACTCGCCGAAGGGGTTTCCTCCGAGAGTTATTTGTTTTGCATCCGGCTGTCTTGCTAACCTGAAGCCCCCCACCACAGGATGTCGTGATCACCGCCCTCCCCGAGCCGAACCACGTTAAGTCTGTCTACACATCCCTCCTCGAGGCTGATTTCAGCTCCCGAGCCAGTCCGCGCATCTTTATAGACTGCTCCACGATCGACCCGTCCTCTTCGCACGAGGTGGCTGCGTCGGTCACCAAGGCTTTCCCGAACGGAACAGCTCACTTTGTAGACGCGCCCATGTCAGGTGGGATCGTGGGGGCGGCCGCCGGCACTCTCACATTCATGCTGGGCGCACCCGCAGAGATCGTGCCACGGGTTGAGCCCATACTCCTGCGGATGGGCAAGACCGTCTTCCACTGTGGCCACCAGGGGACGGGTCTCTCCGCCAAGCTGGCAAACAACTACCTCCTTGCCATCAACAACATCGCTACCGCTGAGGCCATGAACCTAGGCATACGATGGGGGCTAGACCCCAAGGTGCTCGCCGGCGTGATCAACGCGAGCACAGGTCGCTGCTGGCCGAGCGCGGTGAACAACCCAGTCAGGGGTGTCGTGGACAAGGCGCCGGCCAACAGGGACTATGCAGGCGGGTTCGGGATCTCGCTCATGCGGAAGGACCTCGGATTGGCTATGGTCGCGGCGCAGGCGGCCGGCGCGAAGCTGGAGCTTGCGGCCGGCGCGAGGACGCTGTACGAGGCTGCTGAGAAAGACGAGGCGTGCAAGGGGAGAGACTTTAGTGTGGTATATAGGTATCTGGGCGGAAAGGAATGAGCAGTAAATAGTACTATCATCGCATGAAGAAAAAACAAATGAAGAAAAAAGAAGAAAATCATCAACAAACCCTTGCGCATCACAGCATTATCACATCTGCCAGGTCGACGACCAGGTAGAGTATCCTCCGAACCAACAATAGGACGCGAGTTGATGACGAAGCCAAGCGTCTGTGTGTCAGTCTGTCTGTCCAATAGCACGCAATGTGGCATAAAAAAAGCTCAGAGATTCGTATATTATCAGCAGTCGATGCCTAGTTCTTTTATCAACACGAGTTTATTCCTCTTGGCTGCAAAGGACTCCGCCGGGTTTCGTGTACAAGATTCCCGAACCCGTAAGAACCCCCCCCCCAACTCCGTCCTCGACCGGCCCGGAATTCACAATGTTTTTTCTGCGGCCCACACAAAAGACTGGCCCGGAGAGGTGCACATCCGGGAGGAATACCCCGCCGCTTACGACTATGCCACTATAAGGCTGGCGCGCAAAGGATGCCGTTTTGGGAATTGAGAGATTACAGTGTGTGCGTGTCTGTCACTGTATTCTGTTGAGCGCTCTTACTCTCACTGGCCTCTTCCCATCCATCCAGTCTCTTTTTCTCTGCTCGGATTTTCCGTGTCGGTCGGGGGCTCTCTCTCACTCGGCCTCTTCTTATCAACCCGTCTCCGGTCTGTTTTGTCTGCTCGGATCTACCATATCGGTTGGGGGCGGTAGGGTCGTTGTTTGCGTCCTAGGTATCTTGTCAAATCTGTCAGCATCTATTATCTGATGGTAAATAATAATAGTACACTTTTAATTCACTAACCCCCCCCCCTTTTTTTTTTCTGTCTTCCATCCTTCTCTTGCCCTTCGACTCTTACTACGTAGGCGTCAATAAGAAAATTTTCCGATTCATCTCTTTTCTTTTCTTTCCTTATTGTCTTCTTGTCCAAGCGTCTGCTGAGGCGCTGGATACATTATCTTTTCTTTGTCTCCCTCATACACACTCATCCGAAGAGTTCTCCCTCCTCTCATCGGGCGATAACCACATTTGCCGGCCATCTCAGAAGCGCAGGCCACCACAACATCTCCTTCACCTCCTCGCCACCACCGCCGCCGCCCTCGTCAACAACATGGCGCTTCTTCACAGCAGAAACGCATATTATGTATGCAACGAGGTCTCCGCACTGTGTCCCGTCTCAGCGACCACCCTGGGCTACTATCCCAACAAACCGCTGAACATCTTTGTCGCCGTTGCCTTTGGCCTTGCTGCGGTCATCACGCTGGGCTTTGGGATATGGAAGCGGACGTGGGCTTACATGTCGTTTATCGCGGCCGGATGTGTGCTTGAGCTTGCTGGTAGGTGGCCTTTCCTTTTCCCACGGTGTCCGCAGGACTGAGAGGATGCCCCTTTCTGTACCCTTTTTGGCGCATCAAGTTGAAAGACAATGTGTGTGTATATGTACATTTACATATATATCATGCTGTCTCAAAGGTGATCTTGGTGCAAAGTGTCCAAAATGAACCACCATCAACATCGCCCCCTTTCCCTCCCCCACAAATGCTAACCCTCCTCCTACCCACCACTACAGGCTACGTCGGCCGTGTCCTCCTCAACGCCAACCCATGGAACCAGCAGGCCTTTGAGCTCCAAATCTGCGCCATCATCCTGGCCCCCACGCTCATCTGCATCTCCATCTACCTGACCCTCAAGCACCTCTGCCTGGCCCTGAACCCAACCATTTCCCGCGTGCCCCCGCGCCTGTTCCCCTATCTCTTCGTGCCCGCCGACGTCAGCTGCCTGCTCATCCAGGCCATCGGCGGCTCGCTGGCCACGCAGGGCGACAAGAACCTGCCCCTGCTGCGCGCCGGCGATCGCACCATCATCGCCGGTATCGCCCTGCAGGTCGTCGTCCTGCTTGCCTTTGGGCTGCTGAGCGCCGACTACTGGCTTCGTGCGCGGCGCTGGGTGCGGAGCGCAGAGGCCACTGAGGAGGCCAAGGCGCTCTGGGGAGATCGGAGGGTGAGGATGTTTGTGGGTGCCATGATGGGGGCGTATCTGTGTGTGCAGGTTCGGTGTATTTATCGGTATGAGATTTGCTTTATTTGTTATTTTTTTCTTCTTTTTATCCCCCTTTCCCTTGCCCCTCTCATCTCCTCTGCCTCTTGTCTTTTCCGCTTAGTGTCTTCTGCTTCTTATCCTTCTCTTTTCCCTGTCTTCTTTCTCATGTTTTCTCTGCATGTTTCACTTCTTCCCTGCTTTTTTCCTCTCCTTATGCGCCCCCCCCCCCCCCAATCCGTTACAACTGCTTTGCACCCCTCGACAAAACTTTTTCAGTAGTGATCTAGACACATCTTGCTAACTTATTGCGTATAGTGTTGCAGAAATGGCAGGAGGATGGGGAAACCCCATCATGCAAGACCAGCCGTCGTTTACCGTGCTCGACAGTTTCATGATGCTCATCACCGCGTGGCTCCTGGCTTGTTTCCCGCCGGGCATCTTCTTCCCAAATATGACTAAGGCGTCCAAGGCCACCACCCTTTCCAAGAGGGAAGAGCTGTCGACGCCGACAAAAACTGAAGATGCCGAGAAGGGTGTGTCCAAGGGTGAAGGGGCGGAGGCCAAGGAGCCGTCATCAGAAACGGCACCTTGAAGACTTATCTTCGCTATTCGTTATATTGGATGTAGTTTTCGTCGGTACTAGTCTTGAAACATTACCACTTTCTATAACCGCTCGCCCACCAACCTTTTTATCAAAGACGTGAGGGGGAAAATCGCAAATAGACAGAAGAAGCAAGAAAAAGGCAAAAGAACATTGCAAAGGGGGGGGGGGGGGAGTACCCTCCTCAGCCGCTCTGTACCTGATCCTGCAGCCTCTGCAACAACGGCTCAGTCTCCCCCTCCAAAGTTCCGCCGTACGCCAGCCTTCTATACACGCCCCCAGCAACCCTGGACACTCTCCAGGTTCCCTCTTCCTTGGCGTCTTCAAAGAACTGCTGGTTGTCCTCGAAGCTCCGACCGCCGCTCTCCGGAAGGTAGATCCAGGTCCAGATGCCGGCGAAGGCGTTGGTGGCGGCAAAGATGAGAAATATCCAGTACTTGAGGTTGTTGAACATGATGGGGCTGACCAGGGTGACGGCGAAATTGGCGAGTCCCCAGACGATGACCGAGATGGCCGAGGCCTGAGCCCGTGCGGCGGTCGCGTAGATCTCGGTCGGGATGAGCCAGACCGTCGCCAGCCAGCCGATACCAAAGGCGCCCGTCGCGACAAAGAGGGCGATGGTGCCAAGGATGGCAGGGATGCCAGGGCCTGGTGAATCCGACGAGGAGGTCACGGCGAGTCCGCCAAAGAGGGCCAGGAGCAGGAAGCAAACCGTGAGCACGCCGCTACCACCAAGCAGAAGCTTGCGGCGGCCGACGGCATCAATGAGCAGCCATGCCACAGTCATGAGGAAGAAATAGGAGACATAGTTGGCCTGGGTGACGAATTCGGCCTCCCTGACGCCGAAGCCGAGCAGCTAAAGGAAGAGAGAATGGTGTCAATAAGATGTAGAAGTTCAGACAAACAGACTCTCTGTCTTGTCTCTCTTGCTTTCCAGAAATAATGAGAAGAAGGGAAAAAAGCTTACCTCGAAAATTTGAGGACCATAGACAGATACAGCCCCATATCCAGTGAGAGCCTGGTTGATCTGGCCCATGACCGTAATGACAGTGGGATGAAATGTCGAGGAACCCGGCGTGATCATCTCAATGTACCCAATCTGCATATCCTTCTCCCGCTCGTGCTGTTCAAACAACTCGTCGGCCTTTGCGCTCCCGTTGTCCTCGCCCCAGACATCAATCAAGGCGTCCCTGGCGTCGTCCCTGTGGCCCTGGTAAATGAACCACCTGGGACTTTCTGGAAGCCTACCGATCACGGCGAACAAGAGGGCTGGGAAGGCCTGCATGACGACAATGGGGATGCGCCAGGCCCACTGGTCCGCCTTGCCCAGCGTGTTAGTGACGGCGAGGTTCACAGCAAACGCCATGTTGAGCCCAAAGATGTTCATCTGGAACTCCTGGGCCAGCGCCTTGCCCCGGGCGCCGTCGCTGCTCAGCTCCGAGCTGTAGACAGGGATGACGGCGTCGACACCGCCCACGCCCAGCCCCATGATGACACGCCCTACCCAGAACATGTGGATGGCGTGACGACTCCAGCCTCCAAGGCCCGTGAGAAACATGATGAGGTTTCCCAGACTGGCGGCTGCCAGACAGGCGAAGATGGCCTTCTTCCGGCCGTATCTGTCCGAGAACCAGGAAAAGAGGACCGCGCCGAGGGAGCAGCCCAGGTAGTAGACGGCCACGAGGATGCCGACGAGGGGATCCTCAGGGCCGATGTTCATTGTCGAGAGGTAGTTCTCGTTGGTGTTAATTAGGGACATCATGCCCTGGTCGTAGCCATAGAGGGCGATGGCCGTCGAGCTGAACAGCACAACCTCTTGCCCCTTGGTGAGGATAGTGTCCGACATCTTTGCGGCTGCCCAGTACCATCCAGAAACAGTTTGAGGGTAAGAGAAGAGGAGAGAGGAGGAGAGAGGCCAGGCCAGGCCTAGTCTAAATGCACAAATAGCTACAAGCACATGCAAAAGAGAAAGAGGGGGTAAAGGAAGAAGAGGAAAAAAAAAGACAGCCGACGATTTGTGTTTTATTGTGGCTGGCTTGTCTGACTGCAGCCGAGGAGAAAAGGAAGTTGTGAAGAGAGGAGGGTCGGTGGACAGAAAAGAATTAGGAAAGGATTCACATGAACAAGTATTTACAGCGCTCAGTTAAGGAGATATGCTTATCTTGAGAAGAAGACTAAACCAACTCACGAGACCAATTTCTGGCGGCATTATGCGCGTGGTCACATAATTAGGACCCCGATGAAGGAGGACAAAACGGGATAAAAAGACCAGACCTTGGAATCGTGAAAAATGCAAGGTGAGAATGATCCCGGCGAAGAGAAAAGTAAAGTACGTCATTTTAACTGAAGGTGCTGGGGCTTGATCCACAATTGCTGCAGCTCCAGTGAGCGGGACTGCAGTTACATGACGCCGCAGGACTAGTCAATAATTCTTCAAGACAGTTGAATTTTGGAAGGGGGCGAGAAGGTGAGAAAGAGGAAGAAGTGGTTTGAGAACTTATTCCGAATTGCATTATCGTGCTCGGGAAAGACAGAAAAAGCATGTTCTCCATGGCGATGAAGGACACAGTATGGTGCACAGTTTCATAGGCTCGTCCCAACTGCAACGAACAGAAAAGGCCCTGCCTAAGTGTAAGTACTTGGCATCGGGACGTGGGGGTTCTACAGCCTAAATGTAAACGGTCTTGGGGAAAAGAACCCAGCTTAAGTTGGGGAAAGTGGATGGGGGGTCCTTTTGAGTCCCGCCTTCCACTGTCAGTATATTGAACCTCTCGGTTTTTTTTTCCCTCTTCTGTTCTTTCCCCTTCTTTATTTCTATTCATCATCCTCGTTTACTGCATTTCTTTGCCTTTCCACATTCGCAACGTCAAATAGTACCTGAGACACTTCCATTTCCTTCCCCATTGGCCAGCACTTTATCAAGGCCCTGCTCCTTCAGCAGAGTTTCCGCATCGAACACCATCTCGACCATGACAGCCTGGCGATTGCTGTCGTTGAGAGCAAACTTTGTCCTTCCCGCCACAATGAAGTTATCACGGTGTTCATAGTGTTCCCAGGGCCCGGGATCTTGGTAAAATGGCCACGATGCCCGCCACTGGTCGAGGTATTCGTGCTGTTTCATTTCGGCCGGGATGTCCACCAGCACGCACATCCACTGGCTGCCCCCGCGGTCCAAAGTATGGGCCAAGTGAACGCCTATCCTGCTTGCCTCGCTCGCTCCCTGTCCACCGGCAGCAGCCTGATATACTAATAGGCCGTGGGCAATGCCATCTTCTTGGTTGTGTGGGTTGAAAAAGCTCGTGCTCCGCCGGAGGGCCTCTGAGGGAAAGGCGTCCACAAGCTGGTAGTTCCCCATGCCCCGAGGAAATGTCAACAGGAACCCAGATCTGCGCTTGACCTCATCAAACTTCTCCTCCCCAAAGTCCGAGTCGTGGCTGAAGATTGGATATACCCGAGTGAAGTGCGAGATGAGGTACTTTGTCTGCTTAGGCGTCGTCAAATCCTCGATCTTTTCTTTGAACCCCCGGGTGTATACTGCCGAAAGCAAACTCCGGATGAGGCTCACAGGCTCTCGTGCCCGCATGTAGACGCCATCCTTTCCGAGGAGGGGCACACAGATCCGACTTCTTGCGGCACCCCTTTTGCTCTGCGTCTCGGCGCAATTGAGCACAGCAATCACCCAATATGGCGAGAGCGTCTGGATCAGCGGCGTCCTGATGGAAAGACCAGCATTTCGCAGCGAGAATTTGGGAGTGAGTGTCAGACTCAACAGTGGCTGTATATTTCTCATGTTGCGGAATAGATCAGGGTGGTCGGCGAGGAGGGAGTTCTGAGATTGCCTTGTGTCAAAGGCAAGGAAGCTGTGATCGCCCGAGGTTCGTATGATCTCCTCCTGCAGCCTGATGAATGCTTTCATCCCCTCCCCATATATCGGGGACAGGTGGATATCAAAGATCCCCAGGAGGCAGTATGCCATATCCTCGGGTCGCGTCGTCGCCCTGTCGGCTGCCCAAGACATTCGCTGAGCAATCGAGTATCTTCTCAGCGGCTTCTGCTCCCTGTCACGGAGGCACAGTGCGTCTATACCTGTAACATCCGACAAGAAACTCGAGTTTGCTTTCTTGGTTCCCAGCATCTGCCAGGACTGGGAGAAGAAGACCACACGGTCCGGGGCGATGAGCTCCTGGAGTGTCCACCCTCTAGAAAACCACTTGCTTGACCCCATCAGCTCGAGCCTGCCGATGCCCTCGGGCGGCTCGTCCGGTATATCAGCAAGATACACATAGCAGACCACCGCCCTCTCGTACCACGCAAACATCGAGTTGATGGCTTCCGACAGCTCCGCTGAGCTCTCCTTGTCGATGCACGCCGTGTCCACCCAGACGTAGCCGATGTCATCGCGACGAGCTTGTTCGCACGTCGCAAGTATCTTTGCGAACCCGGGCTTCTTGGCCTTGCGCAGTCGTGTCAGCCGTGAGCGCCACTGCGCAAAGGTTGCCTCTGCTTCACCCCATGTGTGCGATAGAATGGCATACTTCGGGGCTCTGGACGAGACAAACTCTTCAATCTGCAGAGTGCGTGTGTTGATGAGTCGCATGTTGGCATGGTGTTGACATGATGAAAGAAGCAGAAACGAAAGAAGAAAGAATAGAAGGGGAAAAACCGGCTTGGAGGTCGCTTTGATGGTTCTCGCGGATTGCTCGCCGTGAATTTGTTGCAATGGAAGAAGACGACATCCCAAGGGAGGGCGTAGGAAGAGCCAAGAAATAGGGTAGTGTCGCCTAAAACAGGAAAGTAACCGAGATGATCGGAGACCCAGAGCTGCAGGTACAAGTGCTTGCAGCAGTCTCCCCGTCCAAGCCCCATTCCTCCGTGGCAACATCAGCTCGACTCACAGAGACCATTGCACGTAAGCTTACTGTTGACTAAACTGGAACAACTTAACTGGGTCGCAAGCTACTACAGTACTTGAAGTTTTCACCAAGCCGTCGTCCGGACATAGGTAGAGACGCCCTTTTTCTTTTTGGGGGGTTTTGGGGGGGGGGGGGGGTTGTCTCTTCAATCATAAATTCCGGAGGTTCTTGAATCATTTATGATTCTCTCACACAACTGCTAAGGGACTTATTCACTGACCTGGCATGTTGTACATACAAGTAGTATTTATCCCTGCAGGTCTTGATTTATGCAGCTAGAATTATGAGATGGCATAGATGAACAATTATGCCTCTTGATTCGAGGTTGCAATGATTCCTCTTTCCTCATTTCCTCCCCATTTAATTGAATTTGGATACCCTCACAGTATCCTCAGATTCCTCGACTGGTTTCCCCGAGTCTATCAATCCTGTGATGGACTCAAACATCCATGAGAATCACTACCTTGCCCCGTGTACGCCCCGTGTTAAGCCTCTCAAACGCTTCCACGACTTGAAGAAAAGTAAATGTGCTGTCAATGATGACCTTATCCCTAGGCAGGCGGACGAGGTCTTCCAAGAAAGAGTGTTTGACAGCCAGGTTCACGCAGGTATACGAACGACCAAGGCCTGCCCTGCCAAGCAGAGCGCGGACGAGCATCTGGGGATTCCATAGATAGATGGCCCTGCCGCTCATCGCCATCCGGTTCGTCTTGTCGCCAACGACAGTCACGTACCTCTTGGCGATACCGAGACACTCCGTCCCCCCCACAAAATCCATAATGGCATCTGGCGCGAATTCCTTGAGTCTCGCAGACACGCTGGTGGCTGTGTAGTCGACAGTGTCGCTCGCGCCCATGCTGCGGACGAGCTCCGCCTTGGGCCCAGAGCACGAGGCCATCACCGTCCAGCCATGCTGTTTCGCGAGGTAGGTGGCGTACAGGCCGCTGCTGGAGCTGCCTCCCAGGACAGCGACCTTGCCGTTCTTGACGTATGGCTCGATCTCGGCGACGGTGGTGTGCGCGGTGAGCCAGACGAGCGGGAGGGCGGCGGCCTCGGCCCACGACCAAGCGCTCGGTTTAGAGACGACAAGAGATGTCTTGGTGTCTATGCGGATCTGGTCCTGTAGAACGCCCCCGGGAATAAAGGGCGCGAGGCCCAAGACCTCGTCGCCAGCCTGGAAGCCGGCGTCTTTTCCTGCGTCCTCTACCACTCCCGAGAAGTCCTCGGCTACGCCTTTGTGAGACCGTACGATAAAAGTTGGAAGGTAGGTCCAGAATGAAAACCCCATCATTTGGGTGTCGACGGGATTTATGGAGGCGGCTTTGACTCGGATGCGAAGTTCTGATGGCTTGAGTTGTCCCACGTCAGAGGGAAGCTCCGATTGTTGAAGTGCTTTCGGGAACCCTCCGTGAGTATATGTCCAGGCCTTCATCTTTTTACCTGTGCCGATCAACGTGGGTGAATGATGCATTGGTACACGAATCATTCGACCTCTGACTGGTGGCGCACCTCAAGGGCTGTTATTGATGTTTTGAATGGTCGACTGGTCCAGGTTCCTACCCCCCCCCCCCCCTTTCTTTCCGGGGGGAAGAAGGAAGCACATATCCAAATAATTATAGACGCAGAGTCACAAGTTGAACGGCGTAACATTACCATGTTACCATGAAGATTAGTAGATAAATCGGAGAAAGATTTTCGGACCGGTCCAAGAAGACGTCCGTGCGATTCCTCAGCAACTGCCGGCACAATTCGATTCCGCTCGATCCATCCGTTGTGCTGGATCACGGGTGCCGAGCCCCGGAGCACTAAATCACAGTCTCTCAGCTTTCGATGAGATAGGTAGGTTTTCGATTCAGTATCTTGTAAGCAAATATCCTTTTTTTTTTTTTTTTTTTCACTTTAAGAAGAATTATCTCGTTCCTTGGGAAATACGTTGTGTCTATGAATGTAGTGCATGTTGTTTAGATGGTTGTGCAATTAGCAATAGGAATTAGACAGGCGTGAGCGCACCAAGGACTATGAACAGTTTATTTCCATTTGCAAATCGCAAACCATCTGGTAGGAGCCAACTCTGCATATACGATGTATCTTTAATTCTGGATCTGAGCATGTACTCGAACAATACACTGCGAATGAGGTCAAATATTCAGCCGTTAGAAGTGGCCCACCATTGTCATCTGCGCGTATTACCTTCACTCTGGCTGTCTCTCGGTGCTCGCTGCCCGAGTCCGCACCATACAGCGTGTCTTCTAAGCAAGCATGTACGTTCATTACAGGATAATATTTCGTGCATCCATCTCATCAGCCGTGGACGATCATCCCTTCACCAGAGCATAAATGAATAATACCCCTTGCTTCTTTCGTTCGTGCTTGAAGCTCGTCACACCAATTACTGGCTTCCCGCGATTCGAGCAGCCTCGATATCCCCTACAATTCTCTAGTGAGCCCACGCCGAGCAGCACGGTCTGCAGAACATCCGCTTAGTTGACAATGAATACGGTCGCCTGGGATCACAACAACAAAGACGAAGCAGGTGGAGAGCCTACAAATGGCGTAATGGAAGTGAGGTCTGCTTCCATCGATCAGTCTGTTGCCTCCAGAGGCCAGCCAGACTTTAGGCCGGAGAAAGTTGCAGATGGCGAGCTCGAAACCGGTGCCACCGACAAAAAGAAAGACGCCGCGGCGACTCTGGGTACCGACCAAGATGGCAAAGACGACAGTGCATTCCCACGCGGCATCAAGCTTGCATTGATCCTCGGGTCATCCTATTTGAGCATGTTCCTAGTAGCTCTGGTAAGCTTCATTCGGACTTCTGCTGGTCTAGTTTGGATTTCTGTTGCCACTCCGGTGCTTCCCAGTACCTTTTTTCACACAAAATCAACCCTCAATTAGTGTCGTGTGGTATTTCCCCTGAAGTTCACTCTGGCATGAAGCAACAGGAAACAACTACTTACCATTTGGGTATAAACTCAGGATCGACTCATTGTTACTACAGCCATACCCAAGATCACGGACGAGTTTCATACGGTGACGAATGTCGGCTGGTACGGCTCTGCATATCTTTTGACAAATTGCGCCTTCCAGCTATTCTTCGGCAAGCTCTATGTCGTATACAGTATCAAGCTCGTTTTCTTGACGAGCATCCTGATCTTTGAAATCGGTTCTGCTGTCTGCGGCTCGGCGCCCACCTCCAATGCCTTCATCGTCGGTCGTGCTATCGCAGGAGTGGGCAGCGCCGGCATCTTCTCTGGAGCAATCACAATTCTGGTGTATTGTCTTCCTCTTCATCGCCGCCCGTTCTACCAAGGTCTGTTTGGCGCTGTATTTGGCGTTGCAAACGTTATTTCTCCTCTCCTTGGTGGTGCATTCACTGACAGCACCGCTACATGGAGATGGTGCTGTAAGTCGGTCTCCGCAAGTACCTACGTTCTATGACAGAGAACGCTAATTATCGTCTTTGGACACAGTCTATATCAACCTCCCTGTCGGTGCTTTCTCGATAATATGCATTGCCTGTTTATTTCGGATTCCCGATCAGAAGATAACCCACCTTCGCACAAGACAGAAGCTGGCCCAGCTTGATGGCCCGGGCCTCCTCACTCTCCTCAGTGGTGTTACTTGCCTCCTGCTCGCCCTTGAATGGGGAGGCACGACCTACTCTTGGAACAATGGGCGTATCATCGCACTTCTCGCCATTGCTGTAGTTCTTCTGATCTGCTTCATTGGCATACAGATTGCGTGTCCGAAAACCGCCACGATCCCGCCCTCTATCTTCGTCCAACGCAGTATCATGACGGGGTCTCTTGCTATGTTTACAAGCGGTGCGACTATGATGATCACCTTCTACTATTTACCAATATGGTTCCAGGCTATTGAGGAAACCAGTGCTGTTGAATCCGGTCTCCGCATCCTCCCGCTTGTTATAGCACAAGTCACAGGATCTCTCGCCGGCGGCATTGGGATTCAAAAAATGGGATACTATACTCCATTCATGATGGCTGGCATCATCATGATGGCTGTTGGGGCTGGCCTTCTCACCGTGCTCCAGGTCGATACCTCCGAGGGCGAGTGGATTGGATACCAGATTCCCTATGGCATCGGACTGGGAATCACATTGCAAGCGCCTCTCTTGGCAAGCCAGACCGTTCTCGCTGTCCAAGACGTTTCCATCGGGACTTCACTCATGTTCTTCTCTCAGCTCTTAGGCGGCTCCATTTTTGTCAGCGTCGGGCAGAACCTCTTTGACAACTATTTCATTGAGGGTTTAAATGGCGTTCCTGGTGTGGATGTTGCCACGATTCTCGAGGAGGGGGCGACGGCGATCACTAATATATCTGAGCCGGCAAAGAGCGTCGTAGTCGCAGCTTACAACAATGCGTTGAAGAAGGTTTTCATCGCTGGGCTGGCCATGGCGTGCTTCACATTGCTTGGCGCTTCGGGCATGGAGTGGAAAAGTGTCAAGAAGACCGTTTCTGAGGAGGATTCTGAGCGCTAAATGCAGAACATTTGGCCTTGAGCCTACGACTAACGGAAGTGATGTTGGTGCGACAATGATGCACATGATTCTGTATAAACTGAATAAGTCAAGTCATCCTCACACTGTGCCGTACGGGCACAATTATAGGTTGAGGAGAGATTAGAAGAGGCTTTTACTTAAGCTTGAGGCTACAGGAATTCGGGGTCTCTGAGTGTATTAAATCGATGCTCAAGTCCACAAGTCTACTAGGAGTAATTAATGACATATCGGAGCTGCCATTCTTAGTTGACGGAGAACGAGCAGGTCTTGTAAATACCCATTCCAGTAGCAGACCTTACATAGGAGGTTATCAAAAGAGTTGTTCACTATTAATATGGAGCCCGTCGTTCCTTCGGACGAATAAACAAGTCCGAGCAAGGTCAAACCCTCAGCGGACCTAAATTAACATATTATCTTACCCAAACCTGATTATGCATTTGTCATACATCATCCAACCGCCTCACTTGCCTACTGTGAGTATTCGGCACCAACTTTGGCAAGATGCCTCAACGTCGTCGTGAAGTCGTTGCCCCCGCAGATGTTACCTCAGACAACAGCGATACGGACTCGGTGCCCGGCGCCGCGATTATGACCTCGACCGCCCATGAAGAACCTGGCAGTGTGAACAACACCCCGGCCACCTCTCGCAGGCGCCAAACAATGCACCGGGATGACCCACAGCAAAGGTCCATGACCGCAGCGACTTCCAGCGTGCTGTCGGCTGCATGTGACCAGTGCAGGACTCGTAAGATCCGGTGTGATCGGCGGCAGCCCAAGTGTTCCAGTTGCCATAAGGCAGGCATTGTTTGCAGTCAGACGAATAGTCATAGGCGTGTCAATCATTCAAAACAGCTGCAAGTCCATTTCTGCTCTTGAAGTCGACACAGGTGACATAGCCTCGGGATTAGTTGGTGCATGTTGCAGTCTCAGCTGACCGTGTATGACCTACTCAGACGAGATGATTTCTCAAGCGTGTTGGGCCGCCTGGATGATATCGAGACGACACTCGGTGTATTGACGGAGTTGACCAAACAATTCGCTGGTCGCCCTCATAGACAAGCACTTGCAGATCAGGCATTGTCTAGTCACCCCTCGGTTGAGCGAGATCGCTCAAGCACACCATGTTTAGGCACTTCTAGCCAAGCAGACGTTTCAGAGCAACATGATACGGAATTAGGTCCAGGCTTGCTGTCCTCGCAGCCTGTTCTCGATCGGACGAGATGCGAGGCACATGATGCTCCAAGAGTACTGCACCAAGATGACTTCCTCGCAGAGAGTGTAGAGCTCGAGCATGGCGGGAAGCGTGCATATAAACTTCCGGCGTCAATGGCTTTACTCAAGTCTCTCAGAAGGAAGCTAGCCGGTAGCTGTCATTCATCAACAAATATTCACATCGACGAGGACGGGACAAGCAATACTGCGACTTTTACCAGGGCAGCCATCCTTCGCCAGCTCGATTGTTTCCCCTTCCGTGGGAAATGCATCCAACCTGTTGTCTCTAGCGATCGTGGGCCGATTTACGCACCCCCTCATCTCATCATCCGCCTCTTGATCGAAGGATTTTTACAAAACAGCAACTCTCGGTTCCCAATTTTTGACAACAACGGCCTTCGAGAAGCTGTTGATGTGTATTATCATCCGAGTTCGGTGCCCTCGAATTCTCGATTAGCTTCGCTGGCTACCCAGACGCAACATGCTGCTGATAGCGCCTGGGCCGTGATATTCACCAACATTGCGTTACTGGAACTTGGCTTGGATACTCAGGTCACACGTTGGCAGCACGGGCTGACAGACTCTCCATCGATCAGTCCAAGTCTTCTCGCCGGAGAACTCATCTCTTCGTTATTCCGTAACTGCGATCGTGCGCTGGAAGATCTTACTGCCTATACGCGTCCATCTCTTCTGAACATACAGGCTCTTTTGACCCTAGTGAGTGCCGCTCTTCTCATACACATCCACTTTGTGTACTTTCTCAGAAAAGGATTTTTAACGGCTGCGGGGCTTCTGTCTTTCATTAGGCTTTAGTAGCTCAGGAGTTCTACGGCAATGTCCTCTTTGAAAAGATACTACACACGACCTGTCACGTGGCCCGTATGTTGGGACTGCATGTGGAGGTCCATGGCAGCGCTTCCGGTGAAGAGTCCGAGGAGAGATGGCGCGTCTTCCGGGTTCTGTACGCAATGGACAAGCAACGAGTCTTCCTGACCGGTGATCCTTGTGATCTCTACCATTTTGACTCGGACCTCGATTTGTGGAAAAGTACAACAGCGACCTCTAGTGATGTCGAATCACCTAGCCGAAAGCTAGTCGATGCATTTGACGACATGATGATCATCTGGGAAGAGGTGTACCTAAACCTCTATTCTGCGCGGGCGACCGCAGCAGGGGCCGTGAACTCGTCAACTCAGGTGATAAACCTCTTGAAGCGTTTGAGCGATTGGAGAAGTCGTCACTCGAGGAAAATGGAGACCAGGTCAGCTCGAGGCTCATACAACGAAAAGCTCACTGCACCGAACATGACCCATACTCTATACGATCATAATATCGACGAGTTTTCCTTTATGAGATTGGAGCTGGCATATTGCTATCACGTCACCCACGTCCTGATCCTACGGTGCAGTCGAAGGAGAGACCAGCAAGCCCAAGCGGTATTGTTGAGCCATGCACGCAGTTGCCTACGGGTGATCGTGGAGATGAGCAAGATGAGGGATGACATTCCAAACCACTTGGCCAAAGCAAGATTGGCGTCACTGGGGCGGGTCTTGCGGACCTACCCTGTGGCTGCATTTATCGATCTTGTTGCTTTCCATTTGGACGAGATGATCTCGAGCGACGGAGCACCCAATAGCAACTTGGAAAGCAGCGAGTTGCAGGATGTTGAGGCCGATATTGAGCTGATGAATGCTGTGTTGCATACTCTGCACTGTCTCCAGCATGTCAACCGCAAGAGCACCTACCTCAACCGCCTCCGGCTGGGATTAGAATGGGCGACGCGGGTCGTTATGGAGATGAGGAGGGTTGTGCTGCGGGAAACGCTGACAGCCGACCCGTTGCTTACACTCGAAAACAGCAGCACCGGTGATTTCCCCGGTGACGAATCGGGATCGACTTGGAATACCTCCTCCGTTTTGCAACAGCAGCAACAACCCTACAACCAGGGCCACCAAGAACGACAGCAAGAAATGCTCTTCCCGAGCTCAGAAGATATTATGGATGTGGACATGAGCATCCCTCCATCTGCTCAGCTACACGCGCACATGGGCCAGGGCTTCCCACCCTCTGCATCTGGGCTAGTTGGCGAAAATACTGCCAGGACAACGGATGCACGTCTAGGGGACAATTGGTCAGCTACCCCACATCTCAATGAAGTCACAGGTGACGCTGGATGGAAGGGACCGATGCCTCGAAAGGTCTCAGAAGGGTGTGCTTTCTACGGACTCAAGGGCTGGCAAGACTTTTTCTTGCAGAGTCATGAAACATCTCGTGAAAGAGACTGACTGTCCCACATTGACCAGCAAGACGTGGCTGCCCAGACAAAGACCCAGTTGGTTTTTTCTTATGCAATGCATCAAAGAGCCTTGTTCTTTAATTCAATGCGTCCACAGTAACCAAAGTAGCCCTTGTTATGAAAAATGACGAAGATGTTTATTGCCTTGTGATACGTCTGACAGAAAGTAGGCGAGTTCCCAATAACTGGTTCGTTAAGTGAGCTTTAGTCATTGTATTCCACTGCAGTCCAGATGAATCATAGGGAAGCCAAGCTTCTGGTAACGTTGTGTAGTGTCATGAAAGGAAATGTGTGCTCACTGGGATCAATATATCAAGAAGTTTTCTGAGTAGCAATCGACACACAACGATGACTGAAATCAACCTTCTAAATCAAATTTATGTATCCCATTTAGAAATTCCCTTGAAATCGTTTCTATCTTGACATCAATACTGAACCAAACAACAATCAGTCTCGCGATATCCAGAACACTGCTTACATTTCTCTTCACTCACCATCTCAGAACCAACACAACCTTGCCGACCTCACAATGGACGACCGAAGAACTCTGGAAGACTTTGGGCTCATCCGTCAACTGGCGCCTGAAACCAATTTCCCAAAGACCATGCTCTGCATCATCTCACGGCCAGTGATCGGAACAACACTTCGCATGGACTGGGAACGCGAGTGCGTCAGGGACGTCAACGAGACCTGCACGCTTCTCACCTACGGCATCAGCCTCTCCAAGGGCTGTCTCGTGGTCACAGAGGCCTTGCTGCGGAACACTTACGGTCTCATCGGCCGCCATGATCAACCATCTGACCGACTCACGGATATGCGGCTGTGGCAGATGATCATCCAATGCTGGCAGGAGGCGGGCGGCCGACCAGAGAACCTACGCTACGTAGGCTTCTTCCACATTGTCAACGAAGATGTGCGGTTGGCTATCAACCGTGAGATGGATCGTTCCGAGCTGCGATCCGGCGAGACCGCCGTTATTACCCCTACAGATGCTGGCTGGGACGCGAACCTGTTTGCGCGTTGTGCCAGCTCTGTGGCGCGTGGGATCAAAGAGCTGGTTCCTGAACTCCCGGACCCTCAACTCACAGCTCACCTGCTCTCAGAGACATATAGAAAGAAAAGCATATACCATATGATTGTTGAGCTGAAAGAAACTCGTTGAATCATTGACGTACGTTCCTGCTGGATGTCAACAGACTGGCCGGTGAAGAAACTCAGGTGAGAGATTCCCCATCGAAATGCCCCGCGACGTACGATTCAGCGGCTCATTAAAAGTACAGGAGAAGAAATAGAAGAACGCCCTTTCCCATTACCGAAAAGAAAAGGAAAGAAAGAAAGAAAGAAAGAAAGAAGAAAAGAGAAGGAGAGGAAAACCACTTCGAAAACATTGTGGCTTTTCAGTTAAGGGGTCCTCGATCAACGCCCTTTCATGCGACTGGGACCGCAACACCCAGAGAGGAAGGCAAATTCTAGAATGTGAGAAATCCAGGATCTAGATTGAGTTTTGGGCTTTTCGACTGATAAATTATATGCAGGACTCTTCTTATTCCCCTATCTATTTTCCAGATACTGTGTCCGAATTCATATTTTGTACACTTGAACCTACCCTGGTAGTTTGAAGACATTGATCAGCCTTGAATTCTCTTCCCTCCGAGAACGCGGCGAGACCTGCAAACCATGTGGAAAAAAAGGTAAGCCGTTCAGTATGGGGAATGGAAAGTAAGGGAATGGATATGAGAAAAGACGCGGCATGATGGAGGATGCAGGAGAATACATGCAGCATCAAGATCAATGTCAGGGGATTTTGAGAAGGCTGCATCAGATGCAAATCAGACAGGGAGAATTTGCACCAGGAACAGGATGAGTAATTGGTGATCAGCATCAAATTAATTCTAAAAAACAATGGAGGTATCATAGGGGTCTGGCCCCATCCTACTTCAAACTCCTCATCATGTCCCGAGCGCCGCCCTTGCTCTTCCGCAGCCCCAAGAGCTGCCTGATAAACCGCCACCAGAACATACAATCAGCCGCAAACTCCTCCACCTTGAAAAGCACAGCCACAAAGGCGAGGATGGCAAAGGCCGCCCACGACATCCACTTCAGCTTGTAGCCGGACGTGATGGTGATGCCGACAACGCTGCCGCCCAGACCCACGATGTAGGCGACGAGGGCGATCACAGTCAGGATCACGCTCCCGAGGAGCAGGAAGAAGGCGGCCAGGGCGGCGATGGAGCCGCAGAGGGAGTAGACGCGCGCGGGGAGACCCTCTCGGGACCGCACGCTGAAGGCGGTGGCGGCGATGAGGATCAACACCAGGAGGCACGTCATGACGGCCGCCAGGATGTAGACGGCCACGATGGGGATGAAGAGCAGGTCGACGGACCAGCTCGTCAGGTCATTCCCGGCCTCCTGCAGCAGCCTCTCGACCGTGTCGGCGGCTGTGTCGACTGGTTCCCGGATCTCGTCTTGTGCGCTCGTGGGCACGTAGAAGACGCCGAGGGCCTTGGCGAGGAAACCGCCTGGCTGGAATCCGAGGATTGTGCCGTTGTTGCTGGTCGCATTGGAGGAGCCGGCGCCACCTAGTAAGAAGAAAAGGGTTAGTAAGAGATCTCCTTGGAGGGAGGGACAGAAATACAGAGATAATGGGGATTAAAGAAGACAATAGGGTTAAACCTACCACGCGAGAAAAGCTGACCGCACGATGCTTTGGTCGAGTTGGACGTGCTCCTCGACTGGGTGCTACAGAACGTAGTCAAGTGGAGCGACATCTTGTCAGGAACGTCCACGTCGTAGAGGGCACTGGCTGTCTCCTGGAGCCACTTGTTCAGCTCGTCCTGGATGGTGTCGAGGACCTTGTCCATGAGGCCCGTGACGGCGGTTTCGATATCCTCGAGGGTGTCACCGATATCAGCGACGATCTTGTCTGCTTCAGCCTCAGCGGCTGTGGCTGCGGCTGCGGCGGCGGTCTCCACAGCAGACGCGGCGCCCGACACTGCAGTCTCGACGGAGGTCACGACACTCCCTGCAGCACTGGCGACATCACTCTCCCATGAGCCTATGCCTCGTCGTGTCTTGGTGGCTGATGATGAGTTTGACACGAGCTCGATGGTTGGCGGCTCAAACCTCACGAAATTGGTCATGTTGACCTGTCTCACTGTTAGCTTTTTATATGGGGGGAGTGTGCAAAATGAGAAGAACACATACAGTGATGAGGGCGAGGTCACTTCCACCATCGCCATGTCTGCCGACGACCAAGATGATGAGTGTGAGGACAAGCGCAGCAATGGTGAGTGCCAAAGACACGCCAAGTCTGAATAGTCTCCATATTGATTGCTTTGATGTCTCTGAGTCTTGTGCTTGGGTCTGTTTCTCTGGGAAGTGAGAGTCGTGGTCTGATCCTGATCTTCCTGACTGCCAGTCCTCACGGGCCAGTCCTCGATTCGGATGTGTGAACATATTGGTGGACAGGGTGGGTGGTTGTACGATATGATGATGATGATGAATCACGTAATTAAAGAGGAACCCAAGAAAACAAATAACAATTTGGAATGGAAAACAAGAAAGAAGCCAAAATGCTGTCCTGCAGTCTTGGTGGTAATGTAGCAATACTTAGGTTCAACCTGGTTCTAAAGAAATCCATACAGAGAACTCTGTGGGCGAGAATCGAAGGGGTATATATGTCATTGTCTCGAACCCCTATGCATAACTGGACAATGGGCAAGACATGCAGTCTCAACCCAATAACAAAGCTGGAATGCTGGCTGGGCTCAAAGAAGCAGCACAATGGGGCCATCACCAAGGGAGGTAGCCAGCCCGCCCTCTCGCTCTCTCAGCGTGCAATTCATTGGTGTTTAGGCCCTTGGAGCAGCTCCAGCCCTGGCAACAATGAACAATACGCGCCCCCCCCCCCAACAAGGACCCCACAGCGGCTACTGGGATTCAGGGACTATTGTGTGCGCCCACGACAACCAATGGCGTCCTGAGCGCGTTTCAATTCGGGACGGCTCCTGGCCAATCACTTGACTAGTCCACCTCTCAATACGGAACCCACCCCTTCGAAACGCTGCAGATCGGGAAATGCAAGGTTTGTGCTCAGGGTCTTGACGGGGCGTGCGTTGCAACCCAATTTGGTCTTCACGATATACATACATAGTAAACTAGACGCCCACTTACCTCGATCATCTGACACGGCGCCTGAACGAAACCATGCACACGTGTCTCTTGACAGGACAGCCCAGGGAGGCGAAGCACTTGCTGTGTACCTGGCGCTTGTTACCTCGATTACACGGGGGCGCAGCTTGGGATTATGCTCAGGTCGTTGAAGCCCGACATGCCCGTCCGCAGATGTGCCGAGATGCCGCCCTTTCATAATCTCTGGAGCCACAACATAGATCTGTATCATGTGTATCAAGAAGGCTTGGGGGCTGGAGGGAGCGATCTGCCCATTTTTATGGCAGGCCTAGGGTGCTGTTCTTGCAGCAGTGTTCCAGATACGGCGTATTGCAGGTTTCGACGTCGACGTCGACGCCGACCTGAGGTGCAGTGTTGCGACACTTATTAGTCATACTGGGCGACACAATAAGTTGACTGACGACCGACCAGTAGATTAATATTGCCTCCTGCAGCCCAGCACCAGTGACGCTGACGCAGCTATGCTTTTTCTACTGACTGGTCATGCTCACGGTCGTCCTCTTCTCCGCTTTCTTCCTCTTCTTCCTCTTCGTTGCCCTCCTCTTCGTTGCCCTCCTCTTCATCGTCCTCGCCTTCCTCTTCCTCGTCCTCTCCCTCCTCAGACTCCTCCTCTTCTGATCCTTCCTCGCTTTCACCTTCCTCCTCTTCTTCTCCATCCTCGTCCTCAGCGAGCCAGTCTGCCAGTGACTTCTTCCCCAGTCCTGCCTGCTCGACGCCATTGGTTGCCTTGACTACACTACCACCACCACCCATGGCAGCGGCACGGTCAAGGCTCTCGGCCGCGGGGACCGCACGCTTTTCGCCGTATGCATAGGTAGTTGTAGTGTCGCCGTCGGATCTGAGCTGCGGATCCGGCTCCTCACCTTCCCTGACCCAGTCAGGCAGAGGCTCGTAGCCCTTGAGACCATGGATACCACCACCGCCAGCCAAAACCAGAGCCGAAGAACCCAGCGTGAACCCCTTCCTGATCTCTGATGGACTGGGCGCCTGCGGGGCAGGCTTCGGCGCCAGGAGCATGAGTGTCGCCAGCTGAGGGACACCTAGCAGCGCCTTGAACAGCCGCGTCCTGTCCCGTAGATCATACGAGGTGTCGTAGCGCACCAGCAGCAAGACATAATCCCACAGCCGTGCCACTGGGTGATCCGCCACCTCGTCAAGTGGTGGTCGTCTGTCCACCCCCTCTTCGTCATTGTCATCCTTCCTCTCCTCTGCGACGCGATTCAGATGATGTAAGTAGACCTTGGCGGCGAGCAGGACGATTTGCCGCTTGGCTATCTCCGACTCCTCAGCAAAGCCCTTGAGCAAAATTCGAAGCACGTCCGCTGCGATATTGTCCTCGCCGTTGAGACCGGCGAATTCTCCAACAAGCCATATGATGGTGGCCCGGGCCTGCGGATCTGTGGCGGAATCCAGGTTTCTGGCCAGCCTGACGACCGTGCCAGTATGAGCCGTCGGGTCCTGCTGTATCAAGTGTCTGATGACCGTCAGACTCTCCGCGGCCAGGGTGCCGTCGAGGCTGGTGATCTGGCTCAACAGCAGCCTCAGGCATCGTGGGCTTGTTGCGGGATCGCTCTGCGCGCACCGGCCGATAGCCCTGACGGCCTCGCGAACCAGCATCTTGTCGGAACCTCTCGAGAAGTGTTCCAGCTCGTTGAGTATGAGAGACTTGACATGTGGCGGGGCGTGGGGAAAGATGAGCGTCAGGACCTCAAGTTTCAATTCCCACACAGGTCCGCTGTCTGTGGCCCGGACGAGGAAGTGCGAAGCATACTTGACGAAGTCCGTCGGCTGAAGGAGACAGACGGAGACAATGTTGTAGAGCGCTACCTGCTGGATATCGGAAGGTCCTCGCAACAGGGCCACGAGAGGACCTGCGGCCGATTTGATGTACTCTGATGTGCCGATCGAGACGTAACAGCGAGCGACGGCCACAACAACACCCGAGTTTCGGCTCTGAAGCAGCGGTCTGATCGCATTCAGTAGCAGTTCTAGATCTGGATCTAGGGCAGACACCCGTCCTGTGTCCACGCCGTCGCCCGCCTCCCCGTAGAAGTCCTGGAGATCTGCCGCCTTCTCCGTGCTCTTCACACGCCTCGTCCTTCTCGGGAAGCACTTGCGGGCATATATCGTCATCATCCGCAGCGTCGAGAGCTGGCTCCACTCGTCCATGTCCACGATCTTCCTGGCCAGGCTTCGGTAGTGCTGGTGGATCAGGTCGGTGCGCTCGGGGCAGATCTCCATGAATGCGGTGACGGCAGCACCCGCCACGTAGTACTGCTTGTCCCCGAGCAGGGTCGACAGGTACTCGATCAGCTGCGGGCTCTGGTTGGGGTCCAGGCGGAAGCACTTGGGGATTGCCATGGCGGCGGCCCGGCGCACATAAGGACTCATATCTCCCGTCCCCTTCTTGATCGCCAGCGACACAATCTGGCTGATGACCGGCACTCGGATCCCAGACATGGTCTTGAGCGCCAGCGCGCGAACCTGGGGGTTGCTGTCCGAGAGGGACTTCTGGATGGTGTTGATGGACAGCAGCGCCAGGTCGGGCTCCTGCTCGGCATGGTGGATGAGGTAGATGTATACGAGCTTCTTGATCTCGAGGTTCGGCGAGGCAACGTTCTTGACGACGGAGGAGAAAAAGGGGAGGGTGCGCTGCGAGCGGTACATCATCTACCAAAACACCAAGAGTATGATTAGCCTTCCTGAGACTGATGAACATTTTGTCTTGTAGAGAGGGCTGGAGCACGTACAGAGATGACCTTCCGCAGACCCTCCAGCACCTCACGCTCATTGCGGCTGTCGACAAGCCTCTTGATCTGGTTCTTGTCCAGGGGCCGTGAGGAGTGCCGTGAGTTTCGGGCGGCGGATGCAGCGTCGAGGGTGAGCTCCTGGGCTGTTCCGCGAGGTGTGGTCGTCAGTCAGTCTTCCTGCCCGGAGGGCCCACAACAATGGCGAGGCAGTCTGGCTTACCCTTTTCGAGGAGAGTCGATATGCGCGATAATGGCTCCATGATTAGGCGCAGTGTCGTCCCCTGTGAACCGCTGTACTGGTCTGGAGGGAAGAGGAACAAAAGGTTGAGGTGGGATGTTGATGCTCTAGCGGGTACAGGGCAACTAAACTACCTACGTACGCTACAAGGTGACGTGCTACAGCATCCTGGCAGGCTGGGTCTTGGTGGGGTTAGGCAGCGCATGGGCACGGGAGAGACCGCCCGTATTTACCGCCTTTGTGGGGCCTGGCCTCCGTCCCGCTTCAGCGCTTTGGAGCCGGCGGCGTGTCCCTTCTGCCCCGTTCGGTGCTTCCTTGAATATTACAGGAGCCTAGTGATTTCCTAGGAGCAGACCGCCAAGATGAAACTCAGATCACGAACCCACGACTATTAAGGGCATAATTTGAAGACCCAAGACGGGTCTAAACATGGCGGCAACACCACTCTTCCTCTCGCCCGCACTCCCTTCCGAGCTGCTCGCCTGGGTCACTCGAAACGAGTCGTACCCAACGACTCTAATAATCTGCTCGTCAAGGGCCGAATTCCTCTCCTCCCTCATACAGGACGTCCGCAGCGCAGATACCAGCACAGGCACAGATGACCCAGAGACATCCGATCTACAGCATCTTCTCTTATCCTCGCCGCTCTACCAGGTTGCTGTAGCCCGCCACATCCGGCTCATCTTTACACCTACAGTCTCACACCTCCGCGCGTGCCTGTCCGTCTTCGATCCTGCCGACAGCAAGGCCCCGCCCCCTCCGCCGGCAGCCTCCGTGTACTCTGTGCCACCATCAAGAGCGGCGCAGCGGCTACCGCTGCTGCTGGTGTACGGGTTTCTGCGGCAGCATCGCGATACGAGCGAGTGGAGCGCGCAGGGAATCAACGCTACGGCGGCGGTGCTGGTCGAGGCGGGCAGGAGGTGTGGATTCAGGGCTTTGCTTGTGGATGCGCCGACGGAGATGGCAGGAGATGGGCCTGAGACCGAGGAGGGGGATATGCATGAGGGTGCTGGGGCTGGATCGGGGCAGTCGGTCTTGGACGAGGAGGTGCCAGTACTAAGCCCAAGTACTGTGAGGGCCGGAGGTGATCGGGATGATGCGGTGTGGACAGGGCGGAAGGTAGCTCTGGGCAGGGTACTGGGTCGATGGTTCCGGTACAGAGAGGGTGACTGGAAAAGACAAGGCGCTGCTGGGACATTGGATGATCCCCATGAAGACGAAAAGCAAAAGCAAGCAAGCACCAGTGATATATGACCTAATCTATGAATCCATAGGCAGTATTTCAATTCCAGCCACTGAGAAATACCTGCTGCTGACACCCCTAGCCCAAAAGTATCCACCAGACCCCTTTGTGCCGTTGAACTCCTGACATGGTATCATATCGCTTCCGAGAACACAATGAAAAGAAAAGAGAGAAGGAGGAGGAATCCCCCCCTCCCCCCGGTCCGTGACCTTACTCGTCTGACGGTATGGCCTGCTCCATCTCTGTTATGTATAGCTTGATGTGTGCTTCCATCTTGAGGTACTCATCATGGGCGTTATGGACCTCGTTCTCGATGTTCTCCTTGAGGTCTTGCATCTGTGATCCAATAGTCAGCACCTGTAAGTCCACCAAACAGCTGGCAGATCTGGGGAGACGCAGTAAACGCTTACCTTCTTCTCCGTCTGCTCTATCCGCACCCGCCGCTTCTCGATATCGTTCCCCTTCTCGGTGCGCTCCTGCTTGAGCTTCTTGTGCACAATCTCCAGCTCTTCCATCTTCCTCTTGGCCTCCTGGGCCTTCGCGTTGGCCTGCTCCCTAAGCTTCTCCGTCCGCTCGACCCATTTAGCCAGCTGCCTCTGAAGCAGTGCCTCGGCGCGCTCGACATCCTGGACGTCCGTCCGCCGTTCGAGGAGCGCATCCTTCTGCTTGGTCTTGCGCGAGTTCTCCTCCTCCTCCTTCTGCAGCTCGCCCGCGATCTCGTCCAGCAGCTTGATGCACGATGCCACGTCTGTCGACACCACCGAGAACGAGTCGGTCGAGGTCTGGAGGGCGCGCGCGCGACGGTCGAGGGAGTCGATGTGCGCCTTGTCGCCAGCGAGGGTGTTGGACAGCTCCGTCAGGCTCGCCTGCAGCGCCGACGCGCTCTGTTGGACGTACGGCCGCAGCTTGTTGCTCTCCTGCCGGACGGCCAGCTTCTGTGCCGTCCTCTCCTCTAGCTGTGTCGCCAGCTGGCCCTTCTTGGTCTTGGCCTCCTCGAGCCGCGCGGCCACCTGCTCCTGGTTGCGCCGCAGCTCCAGCAGCTTCTTCTTGAGCGCTTCGTTGCGCTTCGTCTTCTCCGCCACCAGCGCCTGCGTCTGCTCCAGGTTCCCGTGCATGTCGTCGCGCCGCGCCTCCAGGTCCTGGTTCTCCCCATACAGCGCCTCGATGCGTGCCTTGACCTTCTCGCCCCTCTTGAAGTACTCGTCGATGATGCTCGTCTGGCTCTCGCGGAAGCGCACAAAGTTGATCAGGTGGCTGAATATGTCGACCAGCCGTGCGTGCGTCGGCCGGTACAGGTCCGCAAAGCTGAAGTCCTCGTCCTCGAGCCCGCACTTGAGCAGCAGCCGCCGTAGCGACACGTAGAATCCCATCAGATCGGCCGTGTCGGGCGGGTATAGCATGTCGCCGTGGTCCCCGGCCACGTCGCGGGCGGCGGCGCGCATGGCGGGGGCCACCGTCTCGCGGGTCGCGTTGAGGACTAGCTCGGCAAACCACTCAAAGATCTTCTGGATCTGGTTCGGGTTGGGCTTTTGTAGGTCGGAGAGGGTAAAGGGGATGCCGATGTCTGTGATGCAGCCGACGACCTCGTGGTCTGGTAGGCGCATCGCGGCCTTGGCCTCTTCACGCCTGCTGCGCGCTGTGCGCTGATTGCGCGCATTGTGTTGTTCCGGCGGGATGATACTCATCCTGGGATTGTAAGCCATGATGGCGGTGTGCGAGAAGTAAAGGTGCGGCCTTGGGATGATGTGCTCGAGGTAATTGTCGTGGGCAGGTCAAAATGGTGTTACAGATATGGGTAGCATGGGATTGTTCCGTCTTCTCCTTCCTGCAAAGAAAACACATGCCAGCGCAGAAAGTTAGAGGATGCTGCTGTGGGCCACGGTTGGAAGGGCAACGCGCTAGAGCGAATCCCTATTGCTCAACTCATACCCCTTGCCAGAACTTACAGCATACACGACAGCAAAGGTAGGTCAAGTGCGTGTGCGAAGACTATTCAATTGATTTATTTTTCTTTCATTCTGCTTGGAGTCTATGCTATTTTTATTTTTATTTTTTTCATTTTTTTTTTTTTTTTCAATTTTGCCTTGGGCCCAAGAGGGAAAAGAGCCGAGACATCAATTACACAAAGAAAACAATGGACAGGATCAAGAAGAAACAAAAGAAAAAGAAGAAGGGATATAGAAGAAACAGGTAAAACGCTTGTGTGCTCCTAGTCTGCCCCAAACCCTCAAAAAACCCCTAAGGCCGATTCTAGATGGTATCACAAGCCTGCATTTCATTCACCGATCAGACTGGTCTTCGTGGGTAATTTTTGCCCCTTTCTTTCACTTTATACAGTGTATATGAAGAAAGGGGGCCGCGGGACTCCATTCGTGCTGCCGCACAGGGCTACGAGAGCTTGTCGAGCTGGGCTCACAGGCGACTGTACCAGCATCGAACAATATCAATGCCAACCAGCCCTTCGTGTTACTGCTTGGCATCCTATTATTCAGCGTGCACCGCCTGTTCACCCCTCAGAGGCGAATAGTGGCTACCGCCCCTTCCAAGGTTCGGACTTTACTTCTGGTTGTGGTTGATCTGATGACCATTGGGGGTGATGTATCGATGACAGCAGACAAGAGGTTGGCCCAACACCTCGTGCTCCCAAGCCCACCCACGAACAAAACCACCTCTGACGCAGTAACTAGCAGAAAAGCAGAAAAGAACGGTGGCAAAGGCAGCAGGCCAGGCTCTCTCGATCGAATCTGGGAAGCCGATCTGTCTATCGCCCGGGGTGTCCAGGAACTGACTGGCCAGGGCCAACGGGTGGTCAGCAACCCCAGGCCAAGGACCATGCCATGCGAACCGACCGGCACTTTCGTTTGTCCTCTCCAGCAAGCCCCCTAGTTTGGAACCAGATGTCTTTTTTGAGAGAGGGGGGGGGGGGGCCTTGCGGACTGTCCGATATGCAGGCGATCATCACATACCGGGACTGGATTGAAAAATCTCAGGGTCCTCCATTCTCCCAGGGCTCTGAAACTTCGGGGCCAGATCTGGGTGCGCAAGAAAAAAGAAAGTGTATCTTGCATACCCATTCCATTGCCAGCTTACAGAACAACAATGATGCACAGGGGGCCCTGACGAGTGTTAGACTGGTTTTCTTTCTTTTCTTTTCCCGTTTCGCCGCATTTCTTCCTGGTTCTGTGCCGTGCGACGAGATGAGTTGTACGGAGTTTCCCCGTGATGCGCCTTGACTCTTTCGGGTCTCCACTCGAAACTCAACGGTGTGTGTGGATATTTTCATGGTACTCCATACAGAGCAGGCCCACTGCTTTGGCTCTGGCCAGCTGGGTATTTCGAAGAAAGTGGTGCTCTCAGAGGCGACTCCAGCACAATCTCATTAGAGATTACTATAGTACATACATAGTACTATGGTATATATGCGATTGCTGCGCAGTGGAGCTCTGGAGAAAGCTGGTGACGATACTCGGCTGTCGGTTGGGGTTGACTGTGGACGATTAATGATCGTTCTCCCCGAAAGCCTAAAAGCAGCCATAAAGGAGCTCTGCTTGTTACCGTACGCAGTACGCAGAACAGACTGCAAGCTAAGATTGCCTGCCCATGGGCTCGTCCAATGGTGGACAGCACAGCACGTTCAGCACTTGCGCAGTCCAATGAATCTCTCAAGACCAATGTCACACAGGCCAACGTTCTGACAGCTGAGTGGTGGGATACACAAGATAGCTCTCATGCTATCTGCCAAGTGGCCTTGCGGCCAGCGAGTCGCAGGCGGTTTCCGAGGGCGAGGGTGGCAGGGCCCCTGGGTAGCTGGGTACGTACTATGGTACCTCATGACGGCTGCCTCTTAGCGGGGATCTGCTGTGAGCCAGCACGAGCCAGGTTGACTTTAGTTGACTTTGAACTTCTGGGCATCCCCCCCGGTGCCCGTGCCCCCCTTCCCCTTCCCTCCTGGAACCCACATCGATCGGGGGTTTTCTTTTCCTCTCCTCTACAATAGTAGATGGTCTGGGCGTGATCACCAAGCGCTTGCTGGGTTGTTTGCCCGAAGCCCATCTGGTCATCCCCCGGGGGGGGGGGGGGGGAAGGCGCTGTTTATTGTTTGCTTTGCTGCTCTGTCGCATGTCAGTGGCGGTGAATAACTGGCCTGACGAAGGAAGCGACCACTGGACAAATGGCCTGTGCATTTGCGTCGTTTCTGCATCGGCATAGCAGGTTTAGACACGATTCTAATGCAATGCAGCTGGTACGTGGCGTGGTCTTTCGACGCCCATCATCAGGTACGAGAAACATACCTGCAGCTGCCCCTGCAGGGTCGGCCGCAAGCAAGGCCTCTCTGCAGCGGTCGGCGTTGCTCGCTGGCCAGCGCTGTGGCCCATTCTTGCGCTTTCGCGACCTTGCCGAGACAATTAATCATACCCTGGACAGAAGCAAGCGAAGAGGGCCGTGGTAGATTTGATACCCCGTCAATTCCAATTGTGTCCTCCCTCGAGGCCTGACCCGGCGCCAGGGCGTCGCAAAGCCACTTGTTCTCTCTAGGCCAAAAAGCTATACATAGTACCAGAGGAATTTTCCAAGGCCGCTTCGCTACGATACCAGGGGGCTGCGAGGTATGACATCAATGTTGCCGGGGGACGCCACCTTGGACGATACCCGGCTGTGAAATGTCTGAACAGGGGAGGGGATCGTCGAGGCTGGCCCTGGCCGAACGGACCTGTGCCCTGATCTGGCCCAGCCCAGTTGGTGATCTCAGGATCGTCGTCGCGAATTTGGCAGCTGGTGCTTTGTGTGCGCTGCTGCTTGGGCGGGAGAAGCTGACCCAGAAAGATTCCAGGAGGCGTTTTGTGGTTAGCGTCGAATCATGGACCTTTTCACGTCGGAGAAGGTAGATATTCTAGAGCGCTTTCACCCCGTCGACGTCAGCAGGAGAGAAATGACTTTGAAATTTCTTTCATCCCTTACGTTCTGGTGGTAGCGTTACTCTCGTGACTGTGAGGGCAAGCGGACAATGAATTCCCCTTCAGAAAAGCAGGGCCGACGGAGGTGGCGTTCAAGCAGCCATTTAATTTCCCTCTTGCTCAATTGTCACATTCCTTGGGACAGCTGCAGGCGAGAGATGCGAAATGCATGTGCTGCCAGCTGTCATCCTTCTTCTACCTATAGTAGTTGCACATGCCCTAGAAATTGGAACCCTGGCAGGTCGATCGGGGGGATCAGGCGCTACGAGCTCCAGGCATACTCGCTGCTTTTCTCGTGCTGACCCCATCCTGTTCTTCGCGCGTCGAGGCAAGGCCAGAACTAGACACACGTCGAGAATTCCAGGCAGGATCCAACCTTACGTTGAGCTGTGTGCGCGCTCTTGGTTGGCAACCGAAATGTGGCATTGCTGTGATGATAGGTCCTGTCTTCTTATGGTTGGGCTGTTCTTCTTTTGCCTTTTTTTTTTCAAGGAAGGGATATCGGCAGGATCGTTGACACAGACCCCACCCCCCCCTCCACCCTCAATGGCCTTGAGAGAAAAAGAAAAGGAAGATAAAATACAAATGGTCCACCCCAAATAAGTACCCTGGTACCCTGGGCCCCTGTTGATGGTCTTTGCCTTGCTCTGCCGTGCCGTTCCTGTCTGCTAGTGAGCGGACCCATTTTATCTTGAATCTACCCACTCAGCCAGCGCAATTGGTCTTCGCGCCAGAGCAAAAACGGGAAGGTGCAGGTCATTCTGCTGCCCTTGCTTGACGGGAAGGGACTTGAGCCACGCCTTTTACCAAAGTGGAGAACTGGGGCATGCAAGAGCAACGTTGGAACAAGGGGAAGGGAGCATGGACTTCCTGTTGTCCCAAAGTCACCCCCGTTTCAAAAGGACACCCGAATTCTCCAACGTCAGAATCGGTAGTGACAGGAACCTGAACCAAGCGCCAGAGCCAGAGCCAGAGTTGAGGAGGAGCAGGAGGAGGGGGAGGGATTGGGTGGCACCGCTCTGTGGGTTGCAGACTGATATGACCATGGCATGGCTACATGGGCTGCTGCATGGGCATGGCTGGCGGCACACACACGCACAAAGCCCATCTTACCGTAGTACATCTGAAGAGTGCTGGGAGTTGTCATTCGGCCCCCCTTCCCATCAATCATCACTTCATCCCACCCACATTCCTCTCTCTTCCTCCCTCCCCCCCCAGTTCTCATTTAGTTCGCCCACTGGGCTCACTGGCTCATTCGTGGCTGCCCGCAGCGCATTCCCCTGCTAGGGTGGGTTTTCGTGTGTGTGCTTGGCCTGCTCGCCACAGCTTCCCCTTTTAAGCCACCCCTCTTGCACACCCCCTTCAAGTACGCCCGTTCCTTTTTGACTGCCCTGCTTCGACCCTGCGGTCCACCGCCCCCCAAGCCGAACAGCAGCATCAGGACACTCCCAAATTCTCATCTCCTTTTTATTTTATTTTATATCAACGGCTGGACCTGTGCGTTGAGGCCCACCTTATAGTATCCATAACTTGTCGACGATTCCCGCTACCGACCCAGGGCCGTCACAGCGACACGGCAGCATCAGCAACGTAGCACGGCGCCGGGAGCCTGAACATACGAATAGCAACATCACGAGGTAAAGACGAGAGACTTTCCCGTTGTGCCCGCATTTCTCGAGATCCCGCACCAAGAGCCAGCCTGCGCAGCCTGTTTTCCATCAGCCTGAGTCTGGCCTTTCCACCCGCGGCATCATATTGCCTATCCACACTTCACACAGGTCTCCGTGTAACGTCCCACAGTTACACACAGGACTTGCCACCATTCTCAGCACCGCACTGTGTGCTCTTTGCTTCATCACCTCAATTCGTCTCCTCCCGTCCTGTCACTTTTTGTCACTCGCTTCCCTGCGCAATTAGAAGCACTAACCTTTTGAAAGCACAACTCGTCAACAGCAATAACTTATACACCAAGTTGAGGACCGTCCTCGCGTCACGCTCACTTCGATCAAACTCAAAAGCCCAGGATGACCAGCTCCCGCAGATGAACTCAACAAGTATCTAGTCGCAGTCGTATTCTCCCTTGGATCAGGATGCCTTCGCACTTGACAGACAGCATATTGCATTACCGACCATCAGAGTTGCTCGTCCATCGTTCTGCTCAATCATAGTGCGCATACCACCAGCCACGCCCCCTCTGGGCAGGTGCCCGTCAGACGACAGCATCATGGCTGTCTGGCCATTTCGGCGGAAAAGCCGCAGGAAACGGCCCCGTAGCGGAGCTCTCAGCGATCCCGACTCCGCCACACAGGACCCGTCCGAGGATCAAAGTCGAGTTCGCAGAAGGAAGATAGATCCTGAACCAGCAACAACCACAATGCCTGTCAAGAGACAGCCAAACAAGTTACACCGCCGTGAGCGCAGTTTGAGCTTTGAAAAAGGAAGAGAGGATGCCCTGGCTATCGAGCGCCGGAGAACCAGTCGGAAACGGACATCAGGGGCCGTTGGCCAGGGTCTAGTGGATCCTCGTGTCCACCCTTATTCCAGAGGTCTCGATGCTTCTAATGTGGACAAGTCCCCTTTTAACCAGGACAACTTCCCTAGAATGCCCACCCTCCATCACAAGCGGAATGCCGAACTTTCAGCACGCAGAAAATCCAACAAGCGGAGGAAGGCCGACCACGCCCGTGAAGCAGACATCAGAGCCATGAGCAGGTCTGACCCAGTCCGACCGGCCGCTGAGCCGTGGCAGTCTGGAAGGCCTATAAGGAAGGAGACCAAGAAGGCCAAAGGCGGGCTCGGACTTAGTCTCCGGCGTTCTTGGGAGAGAGCACATCAAGACTCGGACATATCGCTCCCGTTACCTGGGAGCATTCACTCCAGCCTCTCCGACGATTCAGAGCACGTCTCGTTCAAGGTCTCTGCGCTCGAAGCCCTTGCCCCACGTCCAACCCTGCGATACACAGTTCACCCGCGTCACAGCTCCCCGCCGGCAGAGCGTCCCGACAGACATGTCTCGGTCAGACATAAAGTATCCGAAAGGCAACCCATCCCCGAGGCCACAATCAGAGCCCACAAGCGCATTGACGATCTTGCGGATGACCTTACTGCCAGTGACTTGCGGCAGCTGATGGAACGCGATGGCCGGAGACGGGCAAAGAAAGAGGAGCAAGATCGGCAGAGGCTAGAGAGAAGGCTGGCGAGGAGAGCAGAGAAGGAAAAGGCTGCTGAGAGGGAGGGGCGGCAATCTCCTCCCAACCTAGAGAGAGGCGTGCTCGGTCGGGAATCAGTCGGTCTGGGTATCGATCCTGAGTCTGCTGTGAGAACCTCGTCGACGCCAAGGTCCTCTGCGAAGTCTTCTCCCAGCCCTTCGACAAAGCAGCTGGGCAAACGCCCTGCGGCGGAGATGGAAGACGACGAGGAGGCCGACGAGACCGCTGCTCAGGGGCCGCTAGAGCACTTCCACCGGACCGATAGCATACCACTGGACGATACTACAATAACACCACCCCCCGAGGATCCGCCCACCCGACGTGAATCGAGCCCCCGAAAGAGAATTATATTAATGCCTCGAGCATCCAAGTCCAAATCGCCGCCGCCGCCAGCGCAGCCGTCGTCCGATCCGCCGAAGCCCGAGAGGCCTGACCATGCCAGGCAAACATCTGAAGGCAGCCTCAAGAAGATGCGGAGATCTTGGAGCAATTTGTTCCGCTGGGGGTCCAGGTCTAGACGCAGGTCAGGTCCTTCGTCGTTCTCAAATACCTCGCGAGATTCCATGACGGGACCTTATACCCCGGCCACTCCTGCATACGACCCGGCCGCTTTATCTCGCAAGATCAGCAGCGGCGTGCCCAAGAGGACGCTGTCCCGGTTCCGTGAAGACTTGCCCGAGCTGCCTCTGTCGCCGCCGCAATCAAGAGAAGCATCCCCAGAGCCACCACCCTCCGCGATTATCGAGCAGGATTCACCTGAGCTCGACGCTGCAATGGATCTTGATGAGCCAATTGTCATGCCGAAGCGCCGGGATACACCCATGTCTCCAGATGAAGCACTGGGCAGTGTTCCCGCGAGCATGCCCTCAACCGTTGACCCCTCGCCTGAACCGAACACGGTATCGCTTGCCTCCGTTGATTCTGAAGGATCTTGGTTCGGCAAAAAATCCTCGAACCGTCGGTCCGTGCCGACGCCTCTGACACCACCACGCATCCAACACCAGCGACCAGCCACCGCGAGCACATTCGACTCTCATCATGACCCAGACCTTCCCACGCAGGAATTCCAGGAAGATTACTCCGACATCACCGGGGACGATTACCTGTCCCGTCTCGCCAATCAACGCAGTTCGGGTTCTCACGTGACGCATGCTCGTGCCTCGTCAGATGCGTCTGACGATGCTCGTTGGGGCATTGTGGGAGGACACCAACCACATTTTGTTGAACCACGCGCGATCGATTTTGTCAAGAGCCACGAGGGGCTTCTGAATAGCTTCTCTGACGACGGTGTGGACGCCAGTGAATCAGATGACAATGCGGACAGTATAGGGGCTGATGAGGAGAACAAAGAAAACGGGGGCCGCCGTGCGGCCACCGCTACCCGGCACAATAGAAGTGCGAAACTGTTAGAAGTCAACCCGTGAACGCCAGTGGATGCGAGAAGGGTGTCGGCCATACCGTCATGATTTTTGGAGCCGAGAATCAGAGGTAAAGGTCTGGGGAGAAGCGGAACTAACGAAGTATGACTGACAGACTGAGATGCCTACCACGTTCTTTTTACCATTTCCTTACCACTATCAACCAACCACAGTCTCAACGACATTTCCTTGCAACAATTCTCAACCACCGACCACTATTCACTCTTTCAACCTCTCCTTCGAGTTTCAGAACCATTTAACACACCCCACACAAAAAAACTTGAAAACAACTAGAATCAACCATGGCATTTCACGAAGCAGTCTGCTTTCGATCCCTACTCTTACTAATCTTTACCTACGCTTCCGGTACTGTCTATGACTGTTCTGAAGGGTCGAGACCCTAATTCTCACCACCTGGTGCGCTGAAGAGAACATAAATTTCACTTGGGCAGGGTCCAGCTGAAACTATTTTCGTGGTCGGATACATTGGTTTTCTTTCCATCACACATTTACATTCAGGATACCCTTGGCGCGTCTTGTTTTGTTCCATGATAAGATGATGGAATGGGGGAATATGGAAAATCTGGGCGGAATGCGGCGTTTTGAAGAAGCCGCCACAAGAGCGCGCCGGGCTTTTCCCTTTTATATATGGGCGTGTGTCATATAGATGTTAATGGCCCCTGTTTGGGTCTGCAACGAGACCGAAATACACAAATGCCCAGCTACAGCTTATATGCTTGCTATTCACCCTGGCTATTGAGAAATCATGTGATGAGTTCACTTCGAGTTAAAGAGACAAAGAAACAAAAAGCCAAGGGAGGGTGTCGAAATTTCGATGTTCAGGGACAACAAGAAGAAGAAGGAATGAAGGACTGATGTTATCTCTTTAGCATGCTAGTTAGACCTGACGAGGGATCTGCGGAACCTTCCTACCTTCCAGACACGCCTGAAGGCAGGAGAGAAAGCGCTGGAGATAGGCATTGTAGTGGGCCCTGGAACGGATCTCGCGCTTGTTTTCGCCGTCAAAACTGTATCTACAACGGTAGGTATAGGCTGCGAGTATCACATGCAATTGACGAGGCTGAGGTGATACGAATTTGTTTGCCTGCTATTGATTACTGAGCATGTATTACTTGTCGTCTTTTTAATTTTTTTTCCAGCTTTCCACAGCCTTGTATCAATCGGCCAGGCAGGGTGGCTGCTTAGATGCAGTCGGGAGAAATCGTTGGATGGTTCCCGCCCGCCCTAGCGGCCAAGTGATGCAGAGGACAGTCCAGCCCAAGGGGGAAAAATTGATACTCTTGTGTGACAAATCAGCCCATGTCGCAATGCCTCGTCGTTGCTTACATCATTGAGGACAGAAATTCGGAGAATCACTGTAAACAAGTCATTCAAAATTCTATGGCGAATCATTCTGTAACAGAGCCTTGAGCTAGTATTGCTGTAGTGACAAAAGCTACGTACTTTTGGGAGCTAAACTGCGCGTCATTCGTGCCCGCCCCAGAACAGCGGGGGGGACGAAGGGCGGGGGTTGGTTTGCTCAATTATCTAAAGCGCGCAGCGATATTTAAAACTCGACCATGTTCTCCACCACCACCACCAACGCTATATATCCTGCCTCCTCCCGCCCTCCCCGTTTCCCAACCCGCGCCTCCGACTCCCAGATCAATCAATGTCCATCACCGCCGCCAGACAAGTCCTCAAGACAGCGACTCGATCTTCCCTTCCTCTGTCCACCTCTACCAGACTCACCTTTGCGCGATCTTTCCACTCCACGCCCTCCAAGATGACTGTCCACAACGTCGAGACGTGAGTCAACATATCCGCCCCCAGTGCGACTGAAGAAGAAACAATTGAATGGGTTTACTGACTTTTGTCTCGTTCCTCCTTGGATTTTTGACAGTGCCTCCCAGTTCAAGGAGATTCTCGCCAAGAACCCGGTTGTGTTTGTTGATTGGTTCGCGACGTGGTGCGGCCCTTGCAAGATGATCGCTCCTAAGATAGCAGAGTGCGTACCTTTTGCGTCTCTCCTTCCTTCCCCCCCCCCCTCCCCTTCTCTCTCTCTTTCATCAATGAACCCATGCGAGCGCGTAAACATGACTCTTAAATTCTAACACTTGTATTTGCTTCCCTGTAGGTGGTCAAACGAGTACACCGGCGTTTACTTCGTCAAGATCGACGTCGATGCGCTGCCCGAGCTGGCGGCTGAGCACAACGTCAAGGCCATGCCCACCTTCCACGTCTTCAAGGACGGCAACACCACCGCCGCCGAGGAGTTTGTCAGCGCCGTCCCCCCCAAGGTCCAGGCCCTGATCGAGAAGCACAACCCGGGCAAGAAGGAGGGCGAGGAGAAGGCCGAGTAAGAGGGCATGAATGGGGAGAACAAGAGAGAAGACACATAAGAATCAATCGTTCTTGTAGCAGACACATAATTCATACCTCCCAAAGCGTTTCAAAATACGTTCTGGCCTGTGCGAAAGTGTTGTTCCCATTTGTGGTCTATGATGCAGTGATCAAATTAGTGGTTGCATATTGAATGCATGCCAGCTTAATTTGCTGCGCTGTCGACTACCTTCTGTGTTGTTTTCTGTATAGGTCGCAGTCAGAGCCTGATCACTCTCGGCCCCCCTGGTCAATCGCGCGCAAGGCTCTCACGATTTTGTCATCGCGGGGTCCTGCGGCAGCGGGGCACTGATAATCATGCCCAGCATTGCCTGAGGTACGTGTGGCTCCTTCTAGTGCTTTAGCAGGGAGCAGCTCCGCGGCATTGGGGGTTAGGGTCCGCATCCGTGGGACTGACGATAACGACCACAACAAGGAACAACAACGACGCCAATCATACTTTTTCTCCCTTGTCCATCCACATCTTCAACTGCTGCTCAGCATACACCCAGGCGTCATGATTATTGCAGTACTTCAAGCCCTCTTCGTATTCCTCATCTGCTCGTTTTTTCAAATAGTGGATCAGCACAACCAACATTCTTTTCAAAAAGAAATCTGAACCACTTTCAACTCCAACAGCACTCACCGGTCTGAAGCGGGCCCTGGCTCCCGTCTCGTTTTCTCCCCCTATGTCTCGTCATGTTTATGATCTTGGCCGCCCTGTCCATTCTCAACCGCTGCCACAGCTCGAGGCGATGGGGAATCTCCTCGGGGGTAGTGCCAAGTGGTAGTACAACGCCCAGAGCGCAGCCGTCCTCGATGGCCTGTGCAGCGCCTTGGCCCATGTCTATAGATGCGTAGAGGCATCAGTCAGGTTGCCGGGTATTGTATAGAGCAGGAGACAAGAGGAAGTCGAGACTGGCACACGCTGACTTACAAGGCAGGAAAGGACGCGCTGCGTCCCCGATGAGGATGGCCTTTTGCCTGGTGACACTGGGTTGAAGCTCCATCTGGACGAGATCCCACAGCCTGGCGCCGTCCTCGGGTATTTTATCAAGCATCTTCTGGACAGGCCCGCCAAACTGGTTGAAGTGCTCCTTGAGCCGTGCCTTGTTTCCCATCTGGTCATACCCCGTCAGACCTGGTGAGGGAAAAATTAACCAAATTTTGTTGTCAGCACTGTTGAGCCATCCTCTCGAGCATGGACACAGGCGGGGGAATATATCTCAGTAAAGGGGCAGTGGCCTACCTCTCTTGATCTCCCCAACTTCACTCCTGGGTACAAAGGCCGCGATGTTCATCACCGTTCCCGATGAGCACGGATACAAAATGATCCTTCTATCGTCCACTCCCATGATCTCAACGAATGAGCCTGGCGTGTCCGCAAGGAATTTCGTCTCGGGGTCGGCGAGCAGATCAGCTGTCGGAATCAGGAAACGGTAGCAACAGCGCCCCGTCCCGTACAGTGGGACCTCGCGGCCCAGGACGCCTGCGCGGGCGGCGGAGTAGACTCCGTCTGCACCCACGACGAGGTCACCAGCCGCAGTGCTGCCGTCGGCAAGGGTGATGGTGGCGGTCTCGGGGTCGACGCTCGTGAGGAGGGAGGCGGTGTGGATCTGTACGCCCAGGGAAACGGCTTTACGCTTGAGGCTCTCGTGCAGGTCGGCGCGGGTGACCAGGTACCATTCCTATTCACACATGTCAATGCTTGTCAAAAGCAGCACCAGCAGCACCAGCAGCAAGCGCTATGCGACGCTGAAGTGGATGTGTACAACGCACCGCCAGCCATGTGGCCCTGTCCTGGTCCGTCGTGGCCCCGATGCGCAAGACGTTGCAGTCAGCGTCTAGGTACTTGGCCTATTCGCCATATCGAGATGTGTCAGTGCTGGCGATGGTACCCTCTTGGTTGACGGTTCCAGATTTAAGAAAAGCAAGGACACCCACTCCACGGTAGACGACGCCTCCAATCTCTCCTGGGTGAATACCCAGGTGGTTCAGCGCCGCTGTGCAGTTGGGCGCGCTGTACATTGCGTTTCCGAGCTCTGTGTGCAGTCTCGACTTCTCAAAGATCTAAGCAAGAGCGACGATTAGCAGGCCGGGAGCTCCTATGGACATGAAGGGACTCGTTTTGCTTTGATCGATCACAGGGGCATACTTCGACCTCGTGGCCTTGGAGGCGGAGTGCTATGGATGCAGAGAGCCCACCAATTCCGCCTCCCACGACGAGGATCCTCAGGGGGTCGGTCTGTGTCATGGTCAAGACTCCAGGGGATGTAAGGCCTTCTGAAGAGAATTGCAGAAAGAGTTGGCTAAGTTGCTAATAAGATTGCACTGTTTACACCCTATACGTGTATAAATGTATCATTAAACCACAACTGAAACTGCATATACATAGATCGATAAGATGGCTGATTTTACAGTCTACATTTATACTTCAGGTACATTATCAGGCAGACTTAGGCAGAGTGCGTCCTATGGTGTTGTCTGGTGTAACATGCAGCACCTCCCTTCCTTGCTCATCACATCCCCGCCCCCTCATCAGCAACTCGGCATTCGTGACTATGAAGGTCGGCATCTGCATGTGAGCGAGCGAGTGTGCATCGCATATGCAGGCCGTCCCGCGCCAACTTGGCACAGCTTTTGGCATCGACCAGTCAATTCATGTCAGTCTTCCCCTTGTTGAAGCCACTTACTCCCTTGTCTCCTCTCCGAGGCCCCAGTGTCTGGTCGGAGGCTCGGAATCGCGAGGGCCCGCTAGATCCTCTTGATCGATAATCCAGTCTGGCTGTCTTGCTAATGCGATCATTCTGAACCCAGGTCACATGAGATCGTATAATAAGCAGAGAGGAGTTGTAAGGAAGAAGATGATTTCGATGACATATAGAATGATAGAACAACATCTACAGGCGGGCAGACCCGTGCCGGTGATGAGGATTCCGGCTCCGGCACAGCTCCGATCGCGCGGCGATGTTGGGGGCGGGACAGGGAAGAGCTAGGAAGCAAGCAAACAAAGTACCTTCGTTTGGGCTGCTGCAATTAGCACTGCGATTACTTATCCGGCCGCCAGGTAACACTGCAGCCCGCCTATTGCCCCTCCCCCTCTTTTATCTCTCGATACGTAAAGTGGCCCCTCGCTCCTCTCTTCTCTCTGGCCTTCTCCTCTTGGAACGAGCCAGAGAGTCATGTCATTTTTATCTCTGGGCCGCTTTCTTGCCGGCAATTGAGGGAGTGAGTTCCCCCCTAAAGGCCGGGCCGTTTTTGGCGCATCTGCGGGGATGCACCTTTGGAGTACTTTTTGGTTGTTAACATACTTAGATTCATCTCCTCCCAGCGCGCAATCCTCGCTGGGTCTCCTACCTTGTGTGATTGACCAAATCTCAAGAATTTCTCTCTATTGTCGTAAGATTTAATTTGTCTATTGTGCAATGCCTCGTATCGTAGTGGTCGGGTGAGTTTCATCATATGCTGTCTCCAATCCTTTCTTTCGTTTTCGATCCTTTCTTTCCAAGATGAACACGGCTGACATGTTTTTGGACGGATCACCACCTTCAGTGCCGGAGTCGCTGGGCTCACTTCAGCCCTCCTGCTGGCCAAGGACAAGGAGAATGTGGTGACTGTGATTGCGAAGCACATGCCTGGCGACTATGATATCCAGTATGCGTCGCCGTGGGCCGGAGCCAACTATCTACCGTGAGCAGGATACTTTATTCCCCTTTCTCTTTCTCTTCCTGTTGTTGCTGTCCTCGAGGAGGGTCTCGTCACGGTATAATGTGTGTTGACCAAGGAGAAAACCAATAGGATGTCGACACCTGAGACCAGCAGGTGGGAGAGGAGGAGCTGGCCTGAACTGAGGAGATTGGCAGTCGAGGTGCCTGAGGCCGGTATTCACCTACAGAGTGAGTTGTTATCTGCATGATGATCCTTCATGTGGCAAGGAGAGAGGACTTGTCAACACACTGACAAGAAACCCTCAATCTCCTTTAGAGGCTCTCGTCTATCGCAACGCAAAGGATCTAGACGTAAGTCGCCCCCTTTCTGAGGACTCAAAATGTCACAAATAAAGACCATAATAAAACATCTCATCATCATCTGCGTGCAGAGAAGGCTGACCAGACCTCGTACAGCCCAACAACAAGGCCTCCGGGTTCGGAGATGACCTCTTCAACGAGAAACCATGGTACACCACCTTCTTCCCAGACTACCGCAGGCTGGCAGACAGCGAGCTCCCGCCCGGCATGGCGTACGGGCACGAGTTCGGGTCCCTCTGCATCAACACGGCCATCTACCTCCCCTGGCTCGTAGGCCAGTGCCGCAATCTCGGCGTCGTGTTCAAGCGCGCCACCCTGTCCCACATTTCCGAGGCCGCAGCGCTGCACCAGGACAGCGAGACAAGCGCAGGGAACAAGACCACCACCACCAGCAGCAGCAGCAGCAGCAACATCATCATCATCAACGCGACGGGGCTGGGCGCGCTCAAGCTGGGCGGCGTGGCGGACAAGGCGATGCAGCCGGCGCGGGGCCAGATCGTGTTGGTGCGCAACATCAGCCCGGCCATGTACGCCGTCTCGAGCACCATGGGCGAGGGCGAGGGCGAGACAGACGAGGTCGTCTACTCGATGACGCGGGCGGCGGGCGGCGGCACGGTCCTGGGCGGGACGTACGCCAAGGGGAACTGGGACCCCAACCCGGACCCCAACATTGCGAACCGGATCATGCAGCGGATCGCGGCCAAGTTCCCGCAGATTACGGGTGGGAAAGGGGTCGAGGGCCTGGATGTCATCCGCCACGGGGTCGGGCTGCGGCCGTACCGCGAGGGGGGCGTGAGGCTGGAGAAGGAGCTTGTGGGGGATGTCTGGGTGGTGCATAACTATGGACATGCTGGGTGGGGGTATCAGGGCTCGTACGGGACGGCGGAGAGGGTGGTGGAGCTGGTGGGTGAGATTCTAGGAAGGGCGGCGCCGGTGGTGCAGGAGAAGGGGAGGCTGTAGGATCATTTGCAAGGGGAAACGATGAGTGATATGAGTGGGTGGAATGGTTTCTCTGTCTTTGTCTCTCTCTCTCTCTCTCCCTCTCATATATTTCTATGTCCAATTCTGGTCTAATGAATGGCTCAATGGATCAATGGTGTTCAAGATGACAGCTGATCCTAAGCGTAAACATCAGGTAGCTGATACAGTACTCATCGAGTGTATGGCAGGCAGGCTGTTCACAGGCATGTCAAGATACTCATGGTCCAGCCGTATAAACCGCTGAAAGACCATCCCGAATAAGACAGCCAGGAATTGCATGCTATATCTTCCCTCCAGATAATCCTTTTTCTAATCTTTTCTGTTCATTTGGCTATGATTCCAGTCATCGTGGTCTGAGATGATACCCTCAGCAGGAAGCCGTGAATCATGGGTTTTCTGCAGGGACCTTTGTCCCCTACCAAATAAAGAGGAGAAGGGTAATGAAAAGAAGAAGAAACCCATTGTCATGAAGAATAATTGAGAGAATTTGATGTATGCATCCTCAAATAATATGCATTTCTCACCAGTTTTTTTGCTGTTCTTGCTCGAAACATGTTACTGTAGTCATTAGAAGGACGCGTGTCGGTCCGTCTGGGTGGGTTAGAGGGCCCCTGGTTAGGCTGAGCACACTTGTGATGGGGAGCGCTGCAGGGGTGTCTGCAACTTCCAAACACGTCGCTCCAAATATCTGGACGCAGTGCATCTCCAATCACAACTTCAACACCACCTCCCAAATACACGACGCCTGGACAAGGGAGCAGCCACCACCCACCCAAAAGGATGGCAGACAAAGATAGCCTGCCTGTGCAGGCCTACAGGCTTGCACAAGACATTGCAACAGGACGACACTTCCTGTCCCGTCTTATACCAGCTGTCCTGCTGCTTCTCGACGCTGCTCTCTGTGTGATCATCATCAAGAAGGTGCCTTGTGAGTAATGAACTGCACATACTACATCTGAAATTATGATACATATAATAACAATTTTGGGGGCCAAAAAATAAGACACAGAGATTGACTGGAGAGCCTACATGGAACAGATCCAGTTGTTTGAGGATGGAGAGAGGGATTACACCAAGATCGAGGGCGGCACTGGTCCCCTTGTGTACCCAGCTGCCCATGTGTGGATCTATCGCGTCCTGTACGAATTGACAAGCCATGGAAAGGACATCTACCTGGCCCAGAAGCTGTTTGCTGGTCTCTACCTGATCACAGTGGGTCTTGTGATGGCCTGCTACCTCAAGGCCAAGGTGTGTAACATCAAAGTTATGATTCATTGGTTTACTCTCATGAGGCGCTTGAGAGTATGAGAGAGAATATGTGTGAGGAACAGAGGCTGACATGTATAAATCCAGGCTCCTCCCTATGTCCTTCCCCTACTCATTCTGTCCAAACGTCTTCATAGCATCTTCATGCTCCGCTGCTTCAACGACTGCTTCGCCGCATTCTTCCTCTGGGTCTCCATCTTCCTATTCCAGCATGGGTCGTGGCTGTCTGGGAGCCTCATCTACAGCTGGGGTGTGGGCATCAAGATGTCTCTGCTCCTGGTCCTCCCTGCGGTGGGCATCCTGATTTTCTTCACTCAGGGAATTGTAGGGACTGTGGCTACCTTGGGATCCATGGGCGCACTGCAGGCCCTCATCGCAGCACCTTTCCTCCAGTTCCCTTGGTCCTACTTGTCCCGAGCCTTCGAGTTTTCCCGTCAGTTCTTCTTCAAGTGGACCGTCAACTGGCGCTTCGTCGGGGAGGACATGTTCCTCAGCAAACAGTTCTCCTACACCCTGCTCGCATTGCACGCCTCCGTCCTGCTGACGTTCCTATTTACCCGCTGGCTACCTCCTACGGGCAAGACGATCCCGGACATCCTCAGGGCAACCCTGGGCCGCCCAGGGCAGGGACAAAACTGGGGGCCGCTGTGCAAGAGATTCAGCCCCAGCTACATTCTGACCACTATCCTCACTTCCAACGTGATCGGCCTCCTCTTTGCTCGGTCCCTGCACTACCAATTCTACGCCTATCTCGCCTGGTCCACACCGTACCTGCTTTGGCGGAGCGGCCAGCACCCGGTCCTGCAGTATGCCCTGTGGGCCGTGCAGGAGTGGGCTTGGAATGTCTTCCCGAGCACGCCAGTCAGCTCGGCCACGGTTGTCGCGGTCATGGCAGCCACCGTGGGGTTGGTCTGGTTTGGCACGGCGGGTGATGTTGTGTCGTCGTCGGCCCGCGAGCCCCTGCAGACATCGGTAAAAGGTGATGTCAAGACGCAGTAGTCAATGGAGGAGCGATAAATTCCTATTCCGATGCCATCCATCCACTTTCTCTTCACACCTCGTCCTCAGAGTCGCTTGGGGGCAGGTCGCGAGGATTCATGTCCCTGTCGTCAGCGTCGTCGTATGTGTGCTTCGGGAATTCTCTGGGCCTGTTCTCGTTGACGCTCGTTAGACACTGATTATCGAGTGAGTCGATCATTTCTCTCACGTACCAGTATGACATCTTTCGCCATTCCTTTTCGTCCCGGACCACATTGATGATCTCGCCCTGGACCCTGCTGTTGGCCTTGGAACGCTCCTCGCTCGGGGTCAGATCGACAAGGACGAAGCCGCCCCTCTTAATCCATATGGTTTTGCGAAACCTCTGCGCCAGTTCGACAAGGACGGTCTTGGTGTTGGGCAGGATGCAGGTGTACAAGTTGTTGCCCTCTGGTTTGCCGACACGCGCCACGGACTGGGCCTCGCTCACCTCGTCCGGAGGGGTTGTGGACTCCTCTGCAGCGGCGAGGATATTACGCTTTGGTCGGCCCATTGTTTGAGGAAAATCGATCCTTTGAGGTGATTGACTTTCTGCAGGACGTGTATATGCTTTGTGTGCATGGACAGCAGGGAAGGAATGTGTTTGCGTGCCGCTGGAAGGAAAGATGCCCCGCCAACTTTTCTCCAAGGGGGTTTTTGGAGGGGGTTGGAGGGGTCAATCCTTGTTATGTAAATACACTGGTTAACTAAAAATTGATGTGCATCTAGTGTGAAAGTGGGCCACCCTGTTCTACAAATAATATCATCTGTTTCTTCCCTCCTGCCAGCATTGATATCACAAGACATGAGTATTTGGCGGAATAATGATCCAGGCAAGCCATTTTATTAATATTCAACAAGTTGGACTGATTGATATCTTGTTTCCCTTCTTCTCTTGGATTTTGGGTATCCATCTCTCCTCTCTCTACTGTACAAGCACTGTATACACAAGTCGCATAAGTACTAATTAGAAGGTGCGTGCTACCCCCCTATTCGCACGAATGGCTGCGCTGGGCCCTATGGAATCACTGCATTAGTGGTGCAGTGGTGCAGTGGTGCAGTGGTTTGCATCATATCCCTATTACCAGGCCGTGCTAATAAGGACAATAATATAAAATAAAAACATTCTGCATGGTCGAATGATTACCCTCGAAGCTAAACCGCGCTGAGGAATCCAGTTTCTCTTTCTCCTTCCAAAGCCAGACTAACCGTGTTTTTTCTTCTTCAGATCGGCAAGAAAAGGGCAATTGTCGTCGTTTTTGTCCGGAAGGAACGCTGCATGTATAGAGGAACAGAACGGTGGAGGAAGGCACAGGGTAGCCAAGGTGCTTGCCTAGATAAAACAACGCCACAGTGCCACAGAAAACAACTGGAGTGACTAATATGATTTTTCTTTCCAACAGACCGTCGCGAGATCAGTCCCAGTATTATTTCTACCCAACCTTTCCTGATGACAAAAGTCTTTTTCCGCGAACCCCAGCACGACAGGCACCGGAATCGGCTTCGGTTGGCCAGGCACTATGACCACCTGATAACATCGGTGAGCCGCGCGGGCGGGAACTAATTGTGCACTGCACGCACACAGGTGGACAGCCACCCAACGATGGGGAGTGGGTGTGAAGGAAGAGAGGATGGAGAACTATCAGAAAAAGTTAGGTCGTGTCTTTCGAGGATGTGAACGAATTGCCACCCTCTTCTTTTTTATGCTTCTGATTTTTATTCTATCCTGGCTGCGTCCATCCAGAGTGGCTTTATAAATCATTTAATCGACTTCAGTTTTTCTCTCCTCGAAACGATCCTAGAGAATTTTCTTCTCTCTTCTAATCTCCAGAATTTCCCCCACTTCCGCATTTTGTCTCGACATCTTACAATAGGTGCTCTCTCACCCCAGAGCCCAAGATGGAGGCTGCTTTGCTCAGCCAGCTGGTTGCCGTCGAATCGGCACCAGCCCGGCCCCAAAGAAGCGTTACCAAGACCTATCCTGCTGTTCCCCAGGGCGACGATGCATCCAGCACCGCAGAATTCGAGCTGGTTCGTATCTCCAGGCCAGCGACACACACAGGAGGCTACAAGTCCGGGACAGTGACGCCCAACTACTTCTCACGCCCGCCCACGCCTGACCTCGAGAGCCGTCCTGCGAGCCCTGTGTTCGGTCCAGACGATGGCGCCGAGGCCCTCCACAGCATCTGGGACCCCTACATGAACAGGTTCAGGCTGCTGTCGGCCTGCCTAACGAACCTAGGGAATGGGCTAAGTGATGCTGCTTCTGGGCCTCTGTTACCGTACATGGAGAAGTGAGTATTCTACTGAGCCCAGCACGATCCTGTACCATCTCAAAACCCTGTTGTCTTGTCTCTGACACGCGAGAAACAAACATCAAACAGGTACTACAACATTGGGTACGCCGTGGTGTCCCTCATCTTCGTGGGCCAGGCCGCAGGCTTTATTCTAGGCGCAGGCCTGATCGATCCCCTCAGAGAGCGTCTCGGCCGAGGCCGTGCCATCGCCCTGTCCAAGCTATTCATGACTGGCGGTTACGCAGCCATCGCCTGCACGGCCCCCTTCCCCGTCATCGTCGTTGCCTTCTTCCTCATCGGCCTGGGCATGAGTATCAACCTGGCCCTGGGCAACATCTTCTGCGGCAGCCTGGCCAACAGCACTACCGCCCTGGGTGCCATGCATGGTGCCTACGGCATCGGCGGCATTTGCGGTCCCTTGATCGCCAACGCCTTTGTGACGGTCCTCAACCTGGTCTGGAGTCGGTACTACCTCCTCACCCTGGCCGCCTCTGTGCTCAACAGCATCTTGGCGCTCTGGTCCTACTGGCACTTTGAGACCGAAAACGCCGACACAACTGCTGCCGCTCCCCTCGCTCCGACCCGAAGCTCTTCGTCGAGGGCAGTGGCGTCCAAGCTGCGCGGCGCACTTCAGGCCTTCCGGTCCCGCGTCGTCGTGCTCGGCGCCCTCTTCATCTTCGCCTACCAGGGTGCCGAGGTGAGCATCAGCGGCTGGGTCATCTCTTTCCTTGAGGACGCGCGACACGGCGCACCGAGCCGCGTCGGGTACGTGACCTCGGGCTTCTGGGCCGGCATCACGCTGGGGCGCTTCATCCTGAGCATTCCCGCCCACCGCATCGGCGAGCGTATCTTCGTGTACGGCATCGTCGTAGGCGCAGCAATCTTCGAGCTGCTGGTGTGGTTCGTGCCCAACATTGTCGGGGATGCAGTGGCTGTCGCTCTTGTAGGCTTGCTGCTGGGCCCTGTCTACCCTTGCGCGGCTGCCATCTTCATGCGCACTATGAGTAGGTCCGAGAAGGTGAGCGGCATGGGCGTCATCAGTGCTTTCGGGAGCTCTGGCGGGGCGGCGGCGCCGTTCACCACGGGTTTGCTTGCGCAGGCCGCCGGCACGTTTGTGCTGCACCCTATCGCGATTGGGTTGTTTGCTGCCATGTTGGTGTGCTGGTATGGCCTTCCTTCTGAGAGGAAGAGAAGGGACTAGACTGAAAAACTACTATACTGGATGGTAAAATAATGAGATTGACTACGAAGGATTATTTAGACGGAAAGCTCAGATATAGGGCTCGATCATTTCGGCAGGAGTTATTCTTGCTTTGCAGTTCTTATCTTCATTTTTTTCTTTCACTCCTTGTTTCTCCTTGTTAAATGATGGTTCATTTCAGGTTCATGTTGTGCTTTTATTACGACCTGGCGATCTTTACGTTCAGCTCCTCACACTCAGGTGCTTCGTCTATCTATTGTTCACACATATGAACGTGCTTGGGAACAAGATTGCAATGATACCAACAGCGTAATTGAATCAAACGCTACGCTTTCTCATCTAACCATCCGAGCGGAGCAGTGGTGTGTTCTCATTCCCGGTATCTCGCCCCTCTCCATCTCCCTGGCCTTCATATCCGTGCTGTTGTTGCTCATCACCATCCTCCGTCTCCCCATCTTCCCCTCCCTGCCCCCTCTTCTTCCACTTGAAATACAAGCCCATCCCTAAAACCACCCCCTGCAATGTCGAAATAAACACATACAGAATCCAAGCACTCCACCCCTCCCACCCCAGTCGCACCGCCAGGCTCGCCGCCCACAGGTACCCGCCGGGCGTCTGCACGCACATCATAGGAATACTCAAGCTCCCCAGACTCTTCAGCTTATACGTGGTATAGATCTGCGGGAAGTACTGGATCGAGGCTAGCGCGGTGCCCGTGATGCCGAGGGCGTCTGCCCACTTCCAGGCCAGGCTGGCGGGCTGGGCGAGGATGATGTACGTGGAGGCGATGGCCAGGGCTACGGTGTAGACCACGCAGACGAGGACGACGAGGACGGCAGAGCGGTAGGAAGGGGGCTCCTTGTCTGTGTCGACGTTGGGGGTGTTGGGGGTCGCTTTGGGGAAGTAGACGAGGAAGAGGATCATTCTGGGAAGGTTGTGAGTTTTGGATTCGAACATGCATTGTCTTGTGCTAGAGTGAAAAGGGGGCTTCAGGGGGGATTTGTAAGAGCAGGTTGGCAAACGCACATGATACCGAAGCACACCCATTGGACTGTAATCTGGGCAATCCCGAGCAGACCTGCAGAGCAGGCCAACCCGCTAATGGACGGACAGCATTCTATACAAGTCCTGCTGGGCGGGAGGACAATAATGTTGGCAAAGGCGGATGTTGCAGATGTGGTGCCCAAAAGAACAAAATAAGGAGAGAGGCCAAAGGATGTCCCGCGGGAGATGATGCGGAAGTGCTGCGGCAAGTAGGACAGCAGAATGCCGATGAGTATGACCCTTTTAACGCACAGCTTCGCATTAGTTTCTTGGAGAGAAAAAAAAAGTCTTCCATCTCAAACAGGTGAGGTTCTGGAGGTTACACGATAGTTGCATACATACAGGCTGATGGCAAAGTTTGTGTAATCGACGTAGTTGAGTGCCTTGCATTTCTCGGGTTGAACAACCTGCAAGACGGAGGCCGTAGTGAACATGATGGCGAAGGATATAATTGAGGTTCAAGTTTGTTCACTTGGATACTCAATGGGTCACAGGAGATGAAGAAGAAATGCGTTTCCTGGTCAGGAAGCGAGTAATAAAGACTTCAAGACAAGGCTTGATTAAGCGTGGCTTTCGACCTGGTGACGATATGATCCGCATAGCGTCAGGCTTGTTTAGCTCCAAACACTTGATCCTGACTTAAAACCGTTGATTAGCTTCAACACGAACCGCGCCTAAAACTAATTATATTATGTAGTTGAAGTAAAGCGTGGATGAAAACAAGTCGGGCCAGCAGTCGAGCAACTCTTGCTATTAATGATTACTATTTCTCACCACTAACTACGCCTCCTTTGAATAGAGGTCTGAACCTCTGATATAGCACTGAAGACCCCTTCTATCTTGTCCCCATCCAATTTCAGCCTCATCAGAATATTACGCTGAAGACTTTTTATTACCCAGCCCCAGGTACCCTCAATTGACTAAAAGCAAGGCCTCACCAGCGATGCGTCTAGCCATGGAATAAGTCTTCCATCAAGACAGACAGACATGGCGGCCCCAGCTCAAAATTCTTTCTCTTCAAGGCCCCAAAAAGAAGGTCGCTCATCCTGACTTAACTAACGTCCCTATTTTTCGAGAGAGAACCAACCATCTTTGTGCTAATATCGTCTTCTTGACTTTTAGACCACTCATTCCCGAAGAGGACATGTTGCATTCATAGGGCTCGAGCTTCAAGCGATACCCGCTTTCCTAGGCCTGGAGCTAGATTTCATTTGCTTCGCAATCTCAATGACTTGCCCACGAAGTTCGCTCAGCTCTTGGCTCATCTGTGCGACCTGGGCTAGCTTGAGGTCGCGAACAGCAGTTGACGGCTGCAGAGATTGCAAAAGCTCCTGCACTTCATCGCGAAATTGAAGAAGCCGACGATAGCAAACACCTGCGGGGCGGTTGTTTAATTACTGATTCGAATGTTCGAAAAGTTGACGAGAAGGAACTGTGAGATTTGGGCCTACCACGATTGAGGCGATACGGAGGCGAAACCTCGTCATCGTATCTTTGCATTCTTCTCACGTCAGACCTTCCCAGATTCTCCCGCAGCGTGTCCTGTAGGGCCCGCAGTTCTTTCCTGGCACGATGCTTGAGGTCTCGTTGGGATGAGCTCTTGCTGGAACCAAGCCGGACGAGACGAGACAACGGCGACGGTTTGAGCAATGCCAAGTGTTGCTCGATGTCCTGCCCGATCGCTTCGAGCACTTGGTCGAACTCGTCATTTCCTCCCCAGGACACCTGAGACGCCGTGCTGGATTTCCGGGACACAAGCGAGTCCACAGACTGGTTCATGTGTTGAGCGCCTGGTATACCGGGACGGGAGGCGTTCTGGTCATCTCTCGCCATTGTTTTGTCGGATCGTGTTGTAACATTCGCGTTGCATGCTGCTAGCTTGTAGTCTTGAGACACAACCTTGCTTTCGTCTATCAGTGATAACTCTGGCAAATCAATCTCCATAATTAGTAAGTTTCAGTCTCTCAGTGAATTGTAATGGAATTCACCCTAGCATTGAAAGTCCTGATTATAAATAAATAAGACATCTGAGTGCATTGAGGCTTTCAAGATTGTGCCAGGACAACGCAGAGGCCGCCTGAAATACCCGTGCCTTCTGCCGAGCGCCTAAGTGAGAAGGCTGTGCAGCAAGCTGGAGTCTGCTGCAGCCTGCATTTGAGTGGCGAAGTGCATATTGTGAAGTGCGTGGGATTCAAGCTGGGGATTCAGCTCCGTCCCAGCTATGTGCCGGTGGCTATGCAAACAAGTAAGCGAGTGGACCTCTAACCTCAGGAACACCATCAAAGCTAACATGTTATGATTTGTCGACTATAATGTCGGCGCAACCCTCCAACAACGAATTGAGTCCTGAGAAGACTTGCCATGACGAGACGATAGAAGGAATGATGGATGAGAAGGGGGCGTATTTCGTGAGACTGAGGAGCTATGTCGTCGACTCGCTGAACAAAGAAGAGGATTTCCATTTCCTGCGTTTCGAGTTCCTCCAGCGGCTGAACATTACCAATATAGAAGTTGAACTCGCCGAAATGAAGACTCGTATGCTTTGCTCGCAGGACATCGACGCTGAAGATCTCGAAAACCTGAGGGTTAAACTTGAGCAGTACGGTGAGCATATACCACTTCCATACGGCCCAACTTATCCTCGACATCCACTTGATTACTTCTTGTGCATATGTGTCCATCGTGCTGATAACTATACCAAACCCCAGCTACTGCACTCCGCGACTACCAGTATCTCCGCAACAAGACACCCCTCGCCGCAGCCCAACAGACAGACCGCAGGCTGCGTCTCCACAAATACTTCCACTCGGCCGCCAGCCTCGTCGACCCGTGGAACTCGCATTACGCCTATTTCCGGGACGACGACTCCGACCACCACCTGCACGGGGGCTCGTCCATAGATCCCCTGAGAACTTTTCTCCGGCATTATCTGCCCTCGCGGTTGACCTTCTCGCGGCATGAGAGGCATGCGCGCGCCAGAGAGTATGCCGAGGGCAAGCCGCCGCGGGAGGTGTCGCCCTTTGTGGACAGCCTGGCGCGGTTCGTGATTGCCATCGTGGGCGGGGTGGTCCTTGTTGTGCCGATGATAGTGAGTACGTACATTCTCTTGGGACTGTAGTTGCCCATCTACCTTTTTACGTTGTTCCTTTTCTTTGTTTCTGGTCTTTTATTTTCGGCTACCCTTTGAAGTGGATTTCACGGATGGCAACCGTTGACTTACACAAACTCAACAGTGATCTTCCAGCCATCCCAGACAAAGAGCCTCATCTCGGTGTCTGTTGCCGTGGTCCTGTTCTCGTTGCTGCTATCCTTTGGGATCAAGGTGTCGAACGTGGAGACGCTGGTATCAACGGCGACCTATGCCGCCGTGTTGGTCGTGTTTGTGGGGACGAGTTCGGGGGTTGGAGGAGGAGGGAATAGTACCTCTTAGGACAGGGTGAGAGCGTCATATCAAGAGGACGACTCATTGCTGGGAGCTGTGGTTTTGAGCCAGAGATTTCGTTCTATCGTGATCACTCTCTTCCCCATATGCACGGCATTTGGAAATTATAAATATATATTCGTGCACCCTGTGACTTAGCACGTAGCAACAACAAGTCTCGTCATGTCTTGTCCCAGGTAGGGAACAGACACCTGTCAAAACTTCTGGAAAGAATGTGAAAAGGTAAAGAGGAGATGAGTGGATATAGTGCAAACTTGATTCTGTTTTCTTTTCTCTTTTGCTTCGTCTTTTTGTTTTCTCCCCTCTCTAGCTTTTATGGCATAGCCACACACGGTACAGACAACGCAAGACTATAGCAACTAAGAAAACCATCCGGGGAATAAAAACTATACTCCTTGCGCTATGCAACCACAGATTTGAAAGGGAGGACAATGTGCAGAGGACGGCGGCGAAAGAAGATTTATACAGGTCATGACGCAACCCAGCGAGAAAGGCATTAGAGCAATCCAACTAACTAAATATACAGGGGGACCACAGGCAAAGCGAATCACTCGTATCAGATGAACGCCTTGACCTGCCCGCTTCCCTTCCATACTCCATTTGACAAGTTGTTTGCAAGAAAACCATGAGTAGCAGTGGAAAGTAAAGGGGATTGTAGAGAGGCACAGGTCTCCTGGCTAGCTGAACCTGATATGCATATGTATGTCCAGGCAGCGATCGCAGCAAGGGCAAGCTTTGGATTAGGGAACATCGGTATGCATCTTCCTGCATGCCTCTCTTGTCGTTGGTATATTTGAGTTCATGGCGGCGGTATGATGCCAGTCATCCGTCCTGTTCTAAGGAGTTCGTGGGCGCTTCCAGTAATATTGCTGTGATAGATACACATCATGATTAGCTATTGCTTTCTTCTTTGTGATCACCAATGCACGGCGCAAATGATGGGCCACCATCACCTACCACATGATGCTTCCGACAGTTCCGCAGTGTGGGCTTCCGCAGCCCGTCGACCACGGCGGCGCGGCGATTCTCGTCGTCGTCCCTCTCTGGGACATAGTAGTACTGGCTCTCGAGCGGCTTGCCGTCGGCGTCCTTGCCTTGGCGGGGGATGGTGCCGACACAGGTCGTGTTCTCGACAATGTACCGAAGCTCGTCACGGGCCAGGCCGACTTTGTCGTTGGCGGGCAGGTTGGACAGTAGAGTGGAGAGCGGGTTGGACGACAATCGCGAGAACGCTAGCTGGTTGATGACATGGTTGGTGATCGTGTCGACGTTGACGTGGCTCAGGTCTGGCACGTATGCGACCTCGCTGTCCTTGTCGTCCACCGGGTCCTGCTGTGGTGTGGAGGCTGACTTGCTGGTGGTGCGGTGGTGGTCGGCGCCGGTGACAGTACGTGGGGAGGAGATATATGTGCCCGAGTCGAGACGGCGGCGCTTGGGCGAGGAGGCCTTGAAGGAGGCCATGCGGCTGTTGAGGTCGTGCCCGAAGGGACCAAACGAGTGAACAAGAGGGTCATTCTCTTCGTCTGGGTTGTTCTCGACATTTTCGTCGCCGTCGCGGTCCTCGCCGTCCGATGGGACCTCACTGAGCTCGCTCGAGAAGCTCTTGTTTATGTCGGTGATGAAGCTCTGGCCGGCGGTGGAGGGGCGGCGGGCGGCGTTGTCCTGCTCCTCCTCGTCATCCTCGTAAATCTCCACGCTATGCTCCCTCTCGCTGGCGCTGGGCAGGTCTGAGAGGATGCTGCTGTGCTGGGAACTGGCGGGCGCGTGGACGGCGGGGGTGGGCGATTCGGGGGAGCTGATGCGTGCCGTCCTCCGAAGGGGGCTGGACTGCAGCAGACCAAGGCCAAGGACACCATCCACCGCGTCTCCGCCAGCGCGGGGGCTGCCAATAACGACACCGCTACGGGCCGGCGACGCGCCCCCGTTCCGCATGGACCGCGGCGAATCCTCCCAGCCGAGGTCGGCCAGGCTGTCCCTGACGTCGTCCCGCTTGGGCCAGTGAAGGAGAACGCGTGCGTCCTGAACATCGACCATGATCTCAGCGCCCTCGGCATCAAAGCTCAGGACGTCGCCGCGGTGCATGTCGTAGGTGCGGCCCTGGCAGGACAGACGCAGCCCGTTCCAGCCATTGCACTCGACCTCGACCTTGTTAGCCTGCAATGGCACAGAGGCGGGGACATAGCGGGCCTTGACGTGCACGCGACTGATGAGACGGTTGGCGGATAGCTGGTAGTGGCTGGAGTTGGAGGAGCGGCCCATCAGAAGGGTATCTCCATTCTCGTTGAGCTCAACTGAGGGGACGGCGGAAAGCGGGGCGCGCTCTGACGCGATAGACGGGGTGCGTTTGGCGGGCAGGATAATGGTGCTGCTGCTGTGACCCGTGGTGGTAGTCGTAGCAGTAGTAATGGCAGCAACGAGAGCAGTAGCATGATTGTCACGGTGGTTATTAATGTTATTGACGCGTCGTGGTGGTGATGAAGACAAGATGCCCGTCTCGGAGGTTGGCACAGGTGTGGGGTATTTCAGGTACGCCTGGCTCTTGGTGGCATTGGCGTTGTTGCTATTGCTATGGCTATTGCTGTTGTTGATTATAGTGGATGATGGGCCTTTGGCAGAGGAGCCAGGACGGCTCAATCGTCGAGCGGAAGAGACATTAGGAAGTCCTGGTGAGGACGACATGAGCTCCAGCGGAGGCAGGAGGGCAGACTGGGAGGAGGAGGGGCGCCTCTCGTCGTGGTCTTTATCGTTGTCCCATGATGAAGGTGGTGCAGTGGGAGCAGGCTGGCTGGAGGAGAGCTTGCTATTACCACCAGGTGGAGAGTTCATGGCTGATGGCACAGAGGGGGAGAGAGAGAGAGAGAGAGAGAGAGCGAGCGAAAGGATCAGGACGAGGCTGGCATAGCAGGAAGTGCCTGTGTGTATATAGTATAAACGGTGGGAAGGTAGGAAGGTATGGTGGAAAGTGGAAAGGGTGGATGCAGAAACAAATCGATCGACTGGAGTCAAGGCCGAGTCGAGTGAACGTATGGATGGATGAATGGATGAAAAGTGCCCCTAAGCTGCGGCTTTTCTCTATTTCTCTCTCACCTTTTTTTTTTTTTTTTGTTCCTTCTTACGTCTTGTTCCAAGTCGCGGTTCAGATGCTGCCCCAGCACGTCGCGTAACCGCGTTCCTCAGACCGGCTCGGTGCGAGCTCCACCGTAGTAGCGCTGCGTAAGGCGCACCGTGTGTGAGAGAAGGGGCAGCCCACCCACTTTGGGTTAAGAACGAGAGAAGGAGCGCACGTCAGTGAAATCAATGAATTGAAATTGTAAAGAACCGAAAAAGATGGGCTTCGGGATAATATGACAAGTCTCTTAAAAGAAAAAGGAATTGAGAGGGAGCCGAGAAGGAAAAAAAATTATATATGCACAGGAGAGACAAGATGCAAGATGCAGTCGATAGTACAGTTTACTAAGGATTCTTTACTGTATGTAGGGCACACACAGGGGGTTTGGCAAATAAATTTGCTGAGGTCTCACCTATTCTGTCCGTAACCGCAGCTCCATCTTCCCGTAAATTGCTAGTCCCCTCTCTTGCTCCTTCCCTGCCCTCCTTGCTCCCCCTCTTTCTTCCTTCCTCACGCTGTCTGGCTGGTTTGCTCTGGTGGTGGTGGGTTTGACCCGTTTTGCACCCGCCACCTGCATCCACACCCGTGTCTACCCCCCTTCCCTGCCGTGCGCGTCTTCCCCCTCGGCTCTAGAAGCGCGTTTTTGGATCTTTGCTGCTGCACCCTCCGACCTAGTTTCGATCCTTGAGCCCGTGCCACAGTGTCCTCCTCCGACCCTACTGGGCCTGTCGTCACCGGCCTGGACTGACTCGTAGCCTGCCGAACCTTCACAGCCTTGCATAATCTCTGTCTCTCTCTTGCCGGATCAAGGCGCGTCTCATGCCGGACGTTCTTCGCGAGGCTGTACTCGAGGAGATACTCATTTTTCATTCTTCACGTGCATCTCTCTCTCTCTCTCTCTCTCTCTCTCTCTCTAACGTAGTATGAAGAAGTGACCGAGACGAGTGTCATTGGTGTGAGAGTACTGACAGCGTTGCTAAATTTGCGACGGCTGCAGGAGCTCGACCCTATCACGCCAACCCCTGCCGTCGCGTTCGTCCAATTCAACCACATTCCTCCCTTTTTAATCTCGACGAAGAAAAGAACATTGCACGCTGTTCTAAAACTACAATTTGTTTGCAAAATGGCCATGGTTTCATTACTCAAAATCTTTCTTTTTTCTTTTTTGAAAGACAAGACAAACGTCGAATTGGTGCTGTACAACCAAACCCTCGGCGCCGGACCTCCGGACAAAATCCCGACTGACGGATCTCGGAAGGCCCGTGCGGGATCGAGCTCTAGCCGGGCCCTAACCCGGTATGACTATGCAGGGCCAATTTCCCCCGGCAGCCGGAAGCTCCGGTCTCCAACCCGAACCCGGAGTCAAGTGGGCCCAACCAATACGAAGAAGAAAAAATAGAGTCAAGATCATCGTTCAACTTTTAGAATATAGGGACATGTATGTTTTTGGTAATCCACGCTCATCATCTGCTCAATCTTCACGTATGTGATCTGGAGTTCTGAAGATGAAATTTATCATTGCGAAAGCAAGCAAGGTCGATGATGCCTCTATCGTTCAGCAACTTTGCAGCAAGATGGATAAACCGACGTGAAGTTAATCTCCGAGAAAGATATATACATTTATTCAAAGCAGCCCTCCCACTCGAGCTACAGAGTAGATTGAACCTAAGTCTGATTACTCATCTCAAGACTCCTTAGACCACTGCTTCCCACTCCACAAGTCTCCCGTCGTCCACAGCCAGTAATCCCGTCCTTTGATCAGCCACACCAAGAAGCTAGGCACCTGCCACCCCATCGCTGCACCGACCCCCTTGGTTCTCCCGATCGGCACCAATTGCGTCTCCCTCTTGTCCTCTCGATACACACGATCCTGCCCTCCCACCGCCTGCCCCGCTGCACGGAGCAGATCGCGCTGCATATTAGAGCAGAGCACAGGAACCGCAGCGAGAATAGTGTGCACCGCAGGACGCGCAAAGGTGCTCGCATCGCCAATGGCATACACCCGCCCGTCCGGCCCCGTCCCGTCCACCCGAAGGGTCGCCGAGTTGGTCTCTATGCGGCCGTCGCGCGAGAGCAGAGACCTGTCCGTGAGAAAGGACGTATTCGGCGTCGTGCCCATGGCAGGGATATAGATGTCCGCCTCGAGGGACCGGCCGTCTGCCAGAAGTACAGTGCCAGGGGTGGTCAGCAGCGCTGGGTCTGTACCTGTCCCTTCGGGGGTAACAGAGATGACGCGGGTGTTTTTGATCACCGTCACGCCGACTTTGGCAAGGAGGGATTCTGCTTTGCCGGCGAGGGATGGGCGCAGGGCAGGGAGGAGCTCCTGTGCGCTGGTGACAACGGTGATCTTCACATTGGGCCTGGGAAGCCGCGCAGCGAGAAATCCGGCGCGGCCGTTGAGGTGTTCGCCTAGCTCGCCTGCTGCTTCGACGCCGGCTGGTCCTCCACCGGCGATCACGATGCTTGTCGCAGTGGAGAGACTGGTTCGCAAGGAAGCCCAGCGCTCGCGAAGCATCTTCTCGTCCCCTTGCAGGCCGAGCAGCGGAGACGTGGATGATGAGCCGGTCGCTATGACTGCTGCGTGAAAGTTGATCACCTCAGAGGTGCCATGGTGAGTGGTGATGGTGACCTTGCGGTGCTTGTGATCTAGTTCTGTGACTGTCCCGTGGATGAAACGGAGCCCCTTCTGGCCGTATTGGTCGAATTGGGGCTTGATGTCCACGAAGAGTTTCTCCTGCGAGAACGCCTCGTCGGATATCATGGCACGAGGACAAGCAGGGCGACAAAAGACCTGAGATGATGTGCTGACCAAAATGACTTTGTAGGAATCGTTGTCTGGAAGTTTTGGCAAGACATGCTTGAGAAGATAGTGAGCGGTCGAGAGGCCACCGTATGATCCGCCCAATATAACAATGTTCTTCTCACTGTCCATGATTTCAAGATGTTATATCAAGAAGGTATCGCCGGCCTGTCTATAAAGTCGCGCGAAGGAATGCATTCTCGAAATCAAAACGATGAGGTGTGGTGTGGTGTATAAATATTCATGTTGCTCGTGGTCCGGCCGGCGGACGAAGATGCGGACGAGTTGGGTTCGTACCGGAGTAGACTCTGAACCGCACTTGGCATCCCTGTCTGTAAGCACTGCGGTCTCCGAGACGGACGAATCGTCCGCCGCTCACAGCCGGGCTCGACCAGGCTTCGTTGGGTGGCCCCTCTCTACTGATGCTGCAGAGTTCTGGCCGTTTTTCGAGAATGAAAGAGAAAACTTTGAATATACTTTGTTTTGAAAATGACATGTATTAGGCAACAGACTCCAAGAACATTTCATCACTCTACTTATGATATGATGTGTGTCCAGAAGGTAACAAGCTTCGCGGAATTAGGTCAGAGATATAACAGTAAAATAAGTTACGGAAATAAAACAAATACGGCAATGTAGCCAAGTGGTTACGGCGCTGGCCTGCTATTCCCCTAGGGTTTAACGTTAGCCAGTCTCTTCGGAGGCGCAAGTTCGAATCTTGTCATTGTCGTTTTTGCATCTTTTGTGCCTGGTATATTTTCTTTTTTGTTTCTCTTCTTTTCTTCTTCTCTTTCTTCCCTCGTGTTATCTCTGCTAAAAGCGCTGCCTCGTTAGCGAGGATCGTCATCGGTGCCTAGCCATGCCCTACAAAGTTGATCGAGGCGCCGTGCACGCCAACTCCTCCCATCGAGTTTCCTCCGCCCTGCCAGACACGGAGCAACTCAATGGCGCCTCCCTCTGTGGCTGCGAACGCCTCTTTCCTCCAGATATGGGCGCCACGATCATGTAAATTGCCAAACGAAAAGGCAGCGGCCAGTCCAAAGGGGCCGTGTCGATGGTTTCGCGAGCGGGACGGACTGCTTGCTGTGGCTTGTGATCGTCCATTACAGGGGTGGATGGATCGTCGAGAAACTGTTCGGAGCGGACATTCGCACCCAGGACAGATCTCGCTACCTCCAACTCTCGGAAGCCACGACGGCGGTGTCCACCCCGAGCTTGAACTTTGATAATGCTATTATGGCCGCTCTCTCAGAGCTCTTTGGCCCGCAGGTCGCCGATGCCATTATTGCCACCGACAAGTATAAGAGCGAGGTCAAGAATGGACTCAAACATACGAGAAGCGTAAGCATTCATCCCACAGATGGCCTCCGAGAGCGTGGTGCTCTGCATCGCTCTACAAGCCGAGTATTCTGTGAGGATCAGAGATGAGCTATTTCTATAGAAAGAGAGTTTATGAGGCATCGGGGCAGTCAACCTATATATGCTTGCTTCCTAGGTACTGCCCTTGTGCCGAACAGGGATCTAGAGATTGCGAGTTCCTTGCTTCGGTGTATGACATTAGTCTCCAAGAGGTGGTTGTTGGCCCTGTATCTGACCCAATTCAGATCATGCTCGCGAGCCATGGTTTATTGACACGGTCCTTTCAGCGTGATGTGCTCTGCATGGATATGGTGAGCTAGACCAGAAATACCAGGGAATCGAACTGTTGGACTGTGTTAATAGTGACATATGTGCCCACAATATCTGAACGGCATTGCACCCGAGGAGAGGCCTGTAAGCTGTAATCATGGATGGCAAGTTTGCAGCATGTGGGCTTTGGTTGAAGGCTTGAGTATAATAATAAAAGCATCTTCCATGTGCCTCACACCTTCAAAATGTTCATGAAATATTCATATGTCCGCCTGTCTCTGGAGGTGCTGCATGAAGTGGCGCAGGATCCGTTCTCTTCACTCAACAAGATGATTGCTATGGACAGGTATGGATTCGCAAGGGGCATGTAAATTGCCGCCATGTCAAACATGGGCAACAGTTTCGATTCGTGGCACAGGAAGTACATGATTGCCGTACCTTCTTTGTCTGTTCGCTTCCGTCCCCTTCCCTTCCCTTCACTCCTCTTTGAAGAAATAATCTAAAACTTTTACTCCAGCTCATCCTCACTTCTTTGCACAGAACCTTCACTTTAAATTTGTGTATTGTTCTGTCCCCTGTCTTATATGACAACAGAGTGACAATGGTTATTACTGTCAATCCACACTCAATAACATCAGTTCGCCAGCCTAAGGTGAAGTCGCTGGACGGTATCTTGCCAAAACTCGACTCAATCTTCCCATCTGCTCGACCCCACCACTTCCAAGACAACCCAGCTTTTTGAGGGTCGAATTCTCTGGTTGTGGATTGATTCTCTGTGTGGTCCGACTTGTGGGTTGCAAACATCCGCATCTTGCTTGTCCCAGGCCAAAAAGCTTTTGATGGATTGTCCAAGGCAGCCACCGCTTTGGGCTCTCTCGTCTGATTTTTGCTTCGCCTGATTCCCTACCTTCTTGCCTCTTGAGTTCAAAGCATACCCCTCCCTCCTACCCACCCCCAAAAAAACAACGATACTTCTCACCTGCCTATTTCCTAGCAATTAAACCCAACGCCCATACTCTTAAGCTCCTGAGTGATCCTTGCTAACACTGCCAGGATGTCTGAGAAACCCAAGAAGCACATCTACGAGCAGCCCGAGCTGTGTGATCATATCCTTAGTCGCGTGGATAGGTCCAGTGTGCCTCTTCGCATCAACGCGTCGTCAATCCCCCATGCTCGCAATGGCCTGTTTGTCGTTAATGATGTGAAAGCTGGCCACGAGATTTTTCGTTCTCAGCCTCTTCTGGTCGTCAGCGAGGGAAACAACAATGATGTCTGCGACCACTGCTTCCTCAACAAGAACTCCTCTGTCCACCCTGACGGCCATTTCTTCCAAGGAGATGAAGGCAGGGAGAGTATCAAGATCTTGTCCTGCACAGGTTGCAGGGTGGTTGAGTACTGCTCCAAGGTGAGTGGTTCACCCACCAGTGACTTTAATATGTTTTGTCTAACCATGGACACTACCTGCAGGAGTGTCAAAGGACGGCTTGGAAGTCTTATCACAAGCTCGAGTGCCCAGTGCTGAGGCAGATTAAAGAGTTCAACAAGAACATGGGTGCCCTTCCCCGAGCCCTCTGCCGTTTAATTTTGTGGATCGAGAACAAAGCCATGTCCAGATCCAATTACAAGGCGATCGTCAATTTGGAAACCCACTACAAGGAACATAACGATGATTGGTACGAGAAGAATGACGAGGGCATCCCCCCAACCTTCATGGTTGCGAGCAATGTTAGGCAGGCGACCACGCCTGATGACCGCAGTCACGTTGAGCCTGGTCTGTACTTGGACACGCGCCGTTGCCAGGAACTGTACTGCATGGTAAGTTGAGTCTCGCCATTCGAAACACTGTCTGAATGGTAGCTAAGTTCCCGAATAAGTTGATGGCAAATGCCGGTGCCATCTGCCCTCCCGAGGGCGAGATCCAATACGGAAGCTTCCTCGACTTGGTTGTGTCTATGATCAACCATTCCTGCGACGCCAATGCTCATGTCTTTTTCGAAGGACGAGAGCTTCGCTGCCGGGCCTTGAGAGATATTCCAGCTGGCTCAGAGATCACCGTCAACTATTACCCAACACCCCGCCTCGATGTTCTCCTCCGGCGCTCGACACTTAAGCAGTACATGTTTATTACTTGCAACTGTAAGTTGGCGGCATCATCAATTCTAACAACCCAGTGCCGAGTAAATACAAACACAATTAACAGACTGACCCTTGAACAGGTCACAAGTGCAAAGACGAGATGGCGGAGCATGTAGCTGCTGCTGTCGACCGCCAGGATCATCTCGCAAAGTTCAAACAGGGCCAATTGGATCTCCTGAAGCTCGGAGAGGACGCCGAGAGGGCATTTTCCAGATCGCATACTGTGAAGTCCTGCATCAGCTTCCAAGACCAGATCGGCAACATCATCGAGAAGAGCTTCCCTGGTGGCCACTGGCCCCACCACATCGAACCTCTGCCATCTATTTACCGCACCCTGGGTTCCATGTACCGTGATATGCACTACGTCGTTGGCCTCGAGTTCGTGCTCAAGGGCACCATCTATGTGCGCGACCACTCCGGCCCCGGCTGGACCAACGACGTTGTCAATTTGGTCAAATTCATGTTCTTCGTCGCACAGGCGGCCGACAACGAGATGAAGTGGGTCGGTGCGGTCAAGAACTCGGAGCTCCTGGAGCGGTCCACGATGCGCGACGTGGCGCGTGCCTATCTTAGTATCGCCTGCCTGGACGGCAAACACACGTTCGGTATGGAGTCTAAATTCGTCCGCGCGCTGTACAAGTGGGCGGGCGATTCCATCGACTACCCTGGCGACCTGGGCATACACACTGAGGGGTTCAGAGAACGCTTCAAGGATTCGCAGGAGAGACTGCTGACCTGGGCTGGAATGAAGGCTGAATGTGGCCTGCGTCTGCCATCAAACGAGCAGATTGCTGAGTTGAGGCAGGATATCGCAGAAATCTGAGCTGGAGGTGGTCTCAAGACGGCCTGGAAGCTAGAAGACAGCTTACTCCGCCATCAAGACGAACCGGGGTAACCAGAAAGGCAAGTATACTGCGACGATGTGCACGAGCCGCGTACTGCAAAAGGTGGTGCCTACAGTTAGCTGAGCCATTTCTCGGAAGTGACCACAACCATCAAGGCGCAAAGACAGATACATAGCAAATCATCGTAGGGAGATCTTTACACTATTCCTGATATAATAGTGTTTCAGATCAAAATGGCGTTGTAAGATAGTTCCATACTCGCGGTCTGTGATGGTTCTTCTCATCGCCTCGTGCTCGCCACATCATTGGCAGCGGAGGTTTATGACGAAGCCGTTGAGCCCGAATTTCACACATTTCCCGTAACGAGGCTTCTGAAATATAAGGTAATGGGAGAAGGACCAAGACTGCGGAGATGCCAAATACGGCACGTAAGCTATTTGCGCCGCGAGTGGACTCCCAGATTATCATGGGCAAAGGAGCAACACCTTGCGACCTACCATTCGTGATTAGCTTATCCCGGTACCACAGCAGGGTCCTTCATCCGATGCTAAATATGCATATCGTGTCTGTTGTACGAGTGTGACATGCAAATTTATTTTGTGGGAATGCTGGGTCTTGCAGCTGGCCTCAGCGATCCACCAATGCACGCACACCACTTTTGTACTATGCAAGCCTCGGATCTGTGGGTCTATCCATTTAAAGTATGCTAGGACTATGAGAACTCTGCTATTACATCCTCGTCTCGAGGGTCTTGCGAAGCTGGGTCTGCGGGCCCTCCTAGACCTGTAATACCACCAGGAGCTGGCTGGTCTGCGGCATCTCTGCTAGTAACATTGACAACCAGTGGCACAAAGTCTTCCGATGATCCAGAGTCACTGTCTTCCAATCAAAGGAAATTGCTGTGCCGCCTGGGGGAACACAAAGTCATAGGCCCTCGTTACACAACTACGGAGGCTGGGTGGATGGATCTGCGGTCGGACCAAGACACGTGTGAGGTACAAGGGTTTGAGCGAGACACATGACGCGGGATGGGCTAATTATTGAATTTCTGTGCCTGAATCCCCTCCCTTCATGTAAAAAGGGAGCGGTCTCTCGTCTCGTCCAAAAAGGAAGGGGGAGGGAGAGAGAGGGAGAGAGGAATAGTGATCTCTCCTCAAACACTTTCTTTCCCGTGACTTACCTTAAATTGTGAAGGAAGGAAGAAAAGTACCCCCTTCCAAACCCCAAATTATCGATATCCGAACCAATATGCAACCCAGTCTTATTCGAGGGCTCTTGCTAGCAGCCTGGTCTGCGGATCTCGTAGCAGCCAAGACGATCAAGATCGAGGCAGGCGATGTCTACTTCGACCCGGTGAATGTCAACGCTTCCGTCGGGGACGTCTTGGAGTTCCATTTCCTCCCGCACAACCACAGCGTGGTCATGGGCGACCTGAGCAGTGCGTGCCAGCCTGCTGCGACGGGCGGGTTCTACTCGGGCTTCCTACCCGCCTCAAGCGGTGAAAATGTGAGCAAACCTGCGCAGTGGCAGCGAGGATCTATAGCCATGGCGGCTCGGCATGAGCACGAGACTGACACATAGCGAGCACCTCAGGCCAAGGTTTTTCAGGTTACCATCAACGACACAAACCCGATCGTCTACTACTGTTCGCAGAACGCCTCTCACCACAACCACTGTCAGGACGGCATGTTTGGCTTCGTCAACCAGCCAAGCGAGACGGCGATGGCCATGTACAAAGCCACGGCGGGAAATAGCAGCATCAACATCTCACCAGACACGGGCGTATTTGGCGGTACATTCAAGGCCAACGCCAACCTTAATGCAACCACAAACTCAACGATGACCAGCAGGCCCTCGACTAGGACTGCCTCATCCACCGCAACTGCTTCGACACACTCGAAAGCTTCAACGGCTGCATCTGCCTCGACGGCTGCATCCAGCTCAAGCACTGGATCGCCAAAGGACAGTGCAGGGGCTGCGATAGCTGGAAGCGGCCTTCTGGCTCTCTTGATGGCGGCAGTAATGGCTTAGACTGCAGACGTCGGGAATTAATTGATCTGCATGACCCAGACATTGTGGCTGGGTACTGGCGTACTTTTTGGCATCCTATTGCACCAGGGAGAATGGAAATTGGCAGGCGGCAACCGGTAAGGAGGGAGCTCTGTGACCGTGTGCCTTGAAACCTTGCATGCTGCGGGCGACTCGGATTGGCTTGTGTGAACGGGTCCTGTTCGTTTTAATTGAGACGGTCTAGAAAGTGTATAGCAATGGATTCAGCTTTTAGGAGAGCAAGGGGCTCGTGCCAATGTCATACCACACAGGTGACAACTCGAGGAAGATGGCTTGGACGAGTGAGAAAGCTCTCAGTTCTGTGGATGGATGACGTGATGGCGTTGAAAGATGTATTTCTTGAAACTTGAGGAAAGACGTATGTGCTATCCAGCTCACGTCATATATCGGTGCTCTGAGGGCGAGAAGAAGGTTTTGTAAAAGACAATGACTGAGCTCGTGCAGCGGTCAAGCTTGGGAGTGAGTCAGACCGGCGACGTTGATAGGGTTAGGGGCTTAGGTGGCGGCTTGCAGCTTGCAGTGGACGTCATACGCTGAGTGCCCGTACTAAGCTATAGCTAATTGCCTATAGCACGCCGGACATCGTCTGCGCCAACTCAACTGCGACCTCAACACCCTCAAGCAAAATGTCGATGAACCAGCTGTCAATGCTGCTGGGCCTTCCAGACTCAGAACTAAAGCAGATCATAGACTATGCAAACACGCTCTCCAAGGCAGAGGCGGCAGATCACTTCAAGAATTTCCTGGGCGACTCACCACAGGCCATCGAGTTTATCTCTGCCTTCAACTCTCGACGACAAGATCCTAAACCTCCAGCGCCTCCACCAGCAACAGCAGCAGCCGCCGCCGCTGCAGCGACAAGCTCACAGCCTTCCTCAGACGTGGATGCAGTGCCCAAACGGACAAAAGGACCCAAGAAGAGGAAACCTCAGATTCACACGCCCGCGCCGCGCCAGGTCGTCCAGACGGGAGTAGGGCCTGGCACCGTTTACAAGAAGGCCCTCGAGGATGATTACATGCCCGCCCGCTCTGGCGCGTCGACGCCCTCCTTGAGCAATAGCAACGCAGCCTCCTCCAAGGCGCCGACACCAACCCCGAAATCCTCCACCCCTCCACCCCAGAAGAAACAAGGCAAGCCGCCGCCCTCCGCCGCGGGCTCCCTCGTCTCCGACCTCCTCGCGCCCAACAAGCACAAGCCCAAGTCCAACCCTCCCTCCCGCACCTCGACCCCCGGGCCCTCCTCCTCCGGCGGCAACAACAACAAGAACAATGCCCCTCCTGCAGCAAAGGTGTCCATAACAGGGGGCCTGCCCATGCACGGCGCCTCGGGCGCAATCGCCGACCTCGACTCGGCCATCCGTGCGCTGGAGATCACGACAAACCCCTCGCTGTCCAGCAACAAGGCCAACGACGTCGCAGCCAGGAGGTGCAACTGTGTAGCGACACGCCACCCGCTCCAGACGGCGGCGCCAAACTGCCTGAACTGCGGCAAGGTTATATGCCTGAAGGAAGGGCTAGGCCCCTGTACCTCGTGCGGCCACCCGCTGCTCAACCCAGACGAGGTCCAGGCCATGATCCGTGAGCTGAAGGTCGAGCGCGGGCGGGAGAAGCAGGCGGCCGACCGCGAGGCACACAGGCGGCCAGACGTGGCGGCGGCGCCGCGGCCCTTCACCAAGGCGCGGACAGGATACGAGGCCGACGAGGCGGTCAGCTCGGCGGAGGCCAAGGCCAGGGAGCACCGGGACAGACTGCTGGGTTTTCAGGCGCAGAACGCGCGGCGGACGACGGTCCGGGACGAGGCTGCGGACTTTGACGTGTCGGGCGCCATGATGGGCGGCACAGGAGGAGGCGGCAGCATCTGGGCCAGCCCGGAGGAGAGGGCGAAAGAGCTCAAGAGACAGCAAAAGATCCTGCGGGAGATGGAGTGGAACGCGAGGCCGGACTACGAGAAGAGGCAGCAGGTGGTGAGCATCGACCTAGTCGGCGGGAAGGTCGTCAAGAAGATGATGGCCATCGAGCGGCCGCCCACGCCTGAAGAGGACGAGGACCACGGCCTCGACGTGGGTCCTGGGGTCCTCCGGGAGACGAGTGCCAATGGTAGAGGGAGTAGCGTGGGGGGAGGGGCATTTAGCAGGAACCCGTTGCTAGGTGGAATGATCAAGCCTGTCTATGACATGAAAGGCAAGGGTACGGCATTGGAGGGCCGGAAGGACAGGGCGACGAGGTGGCGGAGGGTCCAGGATGATTTGAACGACAATGAGGCTGTCATATTAGATGGTGGTATTTATGGTGGTAAAGATGTGGCCAACACGAGTAGCTCTGGCGATGAGCCAGCCCGTGGATAGATAGGAAAACTCTAGAAATTTAGAACTCATTTGTCATATTCACCTAAAGGCGAATAGCATTCTTGAGGAGGAGTAGAATCTGGAAACACATTTGTAGGTATCTATGCTTTTTTCTAAGTGAATTTCGGACGAAGCCCGAGTTTCTTCTAATCAAGCAATTTGACCAACCAGCACCAACCGAACCCCTTCCCATTATTTACCAGCCAGACTCCATATGTGTATGAAAAGAAAAACGAAGAGTGAAGAAAACTACTTCCTCATCCCGGTGACGAGACTGCAGAGGGCATACCCACTCAGCCTCCCCTTGCCATCATAAACGGCCTCGATCAAGTCTTCCTTCTTCAACGAGGTTGATGATGATGCGACACTGGCCCGAGCAGCTGTGTCTCCTAGTACTCGTCCACTGGCGCATTTCTGGGCGGTCTCGCGTTAGCCGCGGCGACATAGTGCTTTTTTGTCAAGGTCAGTTATGTTCTTTTTTTTTTTTTTTCTTTTGGGGAAGAAAGAAACCAGTGTACTTACACCCCATGTTATGAGCTCTTTGCTGCAATCATCCTGGTGGATGGAACACTCAATCAGGCAAGGACCCTCCTTGTACTCGTTGGCTTTGCCGATAGCCTCCTTGAGCTCGCCTGCGGTGTTGGCAGTGAAGCTGATGCCCTTGCCGTCGGCGGCGTTGAAGGCCTTCATGAGCAGGGCATAGTCCCAGTTCTTGATCTTGTTGTAGGAACCATCGTGGATCTCGACCTCGATGGTGTAGCCGCGGTTGTTGATGAGCAGGATGGTGATGGGCAGGTTGAAGCGGACCATCTGCGAGACCTCCTGGGCGGTGACCTGGAAGGACCCGTCGCCGCAGACACAGATAGTGCGGCGCTCGGGATAGCGCATGGCATAGCCAAACGAGGCCGGCACGGACCAGCCGATGTGGCCCCACTGCATCTCGATCTCGTAGCCGGCACCCTTGGGCAGGGACAGCTGCGTGCCGTTGAACCACGAGTCACCCGTCTCGATGAAGAGCGTCGTGTTGGGGGTGACAAGGGCCTGCAGCTGGCGCTGAATCTCCTTGCGGGTGAGCTCGTCCTCCTCGTCGGCCGTGTGCACGACGTAAGGGTCGGGGCGGAGGCGGTTGTACTCAACCATGGTGGCGTCGTTGAACTGGCACTCGGTGGACAGGTGGTCGAGGAACTCACTGAGGCGGACACGAGAGAAGTGTGCGCCAGGGTAGGTGACATGGTCCATGTCGCACTTCATGAGGGGGATGCTGGGCATGGCGGTCCAGCCGACGGTCGAGTAGTCGTTGAAGACACAGCCGGCGCAGATGATAGCATCGCTCCAGTTGAGGATGGCGTCGGCGGCCAGCGTCGACGTCTGGCCCCAAAAGACACCCACAAACTGCGGGTGGTCCTCGGGGAACATGCCCTTGGCCGCTGGTTGCACGGCGACGGCACAGCCCATGGCCTCTGCCAGCTTGATCAGGGCCTTGTCGGCACCACAGCGGGACAGCTTGGGTCCCACAAGGATCATGGGCTTGATCTTGCCACTCAGGTACTCGGCGGCACAGTCGGCAGCAGCCTTGAGGGCGCCCTGGTCCGAGTGCACAGGTTCCGTCACAGCCGAAATGGGGCCTGGGCGGGCACAGGCCGCGCCCGACAGGTTGGTGGGGATCTCGATGTAGCAGGGCTTGCGGGCGAGGATGGCGGCGCGAATGGCTCTGTCGATCAGCCTGGGAGCCTCCTCGGCACGGTTGACGGCCACAGCACAGCAGGTGACCTTCTTGGCCATCTCGTACTGATATGTGTAGTCCAGCTTGCCCAGCGTGTGGTGCAGTATGTGGAATTGGCCGGCGTCGTTGGTGTTGGGCGAGCCAGAGATGAGGATGAGGGGCAGGTTCTCGGCATAGGCAGAGCCGGTGCCGTTCATGGCCGAGATGGCACCCACGCTGTACGTGACGACGCAGGCAGAGACGCCATTGGCACGGGCATAACCCTCAGCCGCCAAACTGCAGTTGAGCTCGTTGGCACAGCCGACCTCCTTGAGGTCAGGGTGGGCCTGCAGCTTGTCGAGGAGGATGAGGTTGTAGTCACCAGGGACGACAAAGTGGTGACGACAGCCAATCTGGGCCAACCGCTCGGCAAGGTAATCACCGACGGTGAACTTTCCCGGTGTACTTGTCATGATGTTCTGATGTTGTGATTGTGGGGGCAGGGGAAAAGATTATCAGGAGCTTCTTGGCTGTTGTTGTTTTGAAAAGGGAGGAGGAGGAGGAAGAGAAGGAGGAGGATGTGAGGGATAGAGAGGTGAGGACGAATGTTTAAAGTATTGATTTGTTGATTGGATCTGATGATGATGACAGGAATCTTCCTATGCAGGTCAGAGGTCGGCTCATGGCAGTCTTATATTATATGTTGATTGTCTTGCTCCAGTCCTTGTCAGGAACAACGACAACACAACACTGCATACAGATTTAGCCCCACCTACCTGTGCGTACTCGACTCGACGTATGTTTCGCCCGCCCTAGACTATCGTCAGAGTCCGATAATGAATCCTTGACGAGGGATCCATTGGCAGGAAGGCCCCTGGGAAAATCTTTACCGTATGGACTGATGGGAAAGTGGGAAGCAACATGTCACGAAAATAAAACCCCCAGAAAAAAAAAAAGAAGAAAAAAAGGAGCCTGGCCGCAAGTTGCGCTTGCGATTTTCGGGGACGTAGCAATCATCAGCCGGCGGGAATTCGTCCAAAAATTGGGGGTCTGCCGCTTCCGGCGGGACGAGTCAAACTCTTGTCACTCCTTTTTTTCCTTTGCTTGTTTCTTCTTTTCATCCCTCTTTTTTTCTTTTCCTCCTCTCTTCCTTTTCTTGTTATTCCCGTGACCCACTTAATACGGTCCTTCCCGTCAAGAGGTGGTGTGAAGAGAATAAGTCGGAAACAACGATACGAGACTCAGCTTGTGGCCTGCTCTCTCCCCTTTCGTCATCGTCCAAGAATATCGAAAGAGAAGGAACGGACAGAACTCAAGACCCTGACAGTTCGGCCCCAACAGAAAACGGCCTAGACTCTGTGCCCACACCTTGTCCACACACTGCCCCCCTGTCAATCTTTATTTGCTTGACCAAAGAGTGCTGTTCTGCAGGTCTCGGATCCCTACCGAAGATCAGTCGGGTGGCTCCATGTATTCAAAAGTGACGGGAATCACGCCACGATTTTTTCTCGTGGTGGATCCCGCCCTCTGGTCTGGCTGTCGCCGACTCCCTGGAAACGAGCGACGCTCAGGGAAATAATCATGAGATTCCACATGCCAGCACCTTATCTCTCCGAGGCCCCTGCACGTCAGAGATGTCAGGCCAGACTTACTTGGTGGTACGACTTTCCATTTTCGGCCTCTCTCTCGCAGCTTTTTTTCTCTCTCTTGTGTCTTCCCTCTCTTATGTCACTTCGTCAGCCTTGGGAGAGGAACTGTTTTGTTTTGACCACGCTATGCCAATCTTTATCTGGCGCCACCTGGGTGGGCTGCCGCGTGGGGGCAGTTCCAGCAGAGCCTCATCTTCGTCTCTCCTATCCATCAGTTGCCACTACCAATACAACATGCGGCACTTCCCTTCCCAGACCCGGTTCCCAGTAAAGTTCTGGAGAATGAAAAAGAAAAGGCCCTATTAAGTAGCACCATGTATTATGGTGCTATGATACAAGCTCCTCTCTTTCTCTTGTTCACAAAAGAGGGTCCCCCACTTTCGGCATCGCGGCCCCGATCAAATTTGTTTCGCGATCTTGCGAATATTTCAGCTCGAGGCCTCTCAGCTCTCCCTGCCTTACCGCAACAGTAGATCCCCTTTCCCCTGACGGCCAACGACCGCCAGTCGTCCGTCATCCAAACTCCGGCCTTACCTACGTAGATTCGATCGGACTACGATCGGGCCGTCGCTGCTAAACCACTCACTTAGTAGCCAACCTGACTCTCTTGACGACCACGTGATTTCGACCCAGCTTCGTCCCGAATATCCTGTCACGCTTTTGTCTTGGAAATTCTCGGATCGACCTCCGGCATCGCAGACGCGCAGTCTCTCTCTCGGCCTTGCCCAGCTGGGTGGAACTCGCTGATCGACGTACTGAAGGTACTACAGGGCAGTACCACGAGTACCGCAGTACCATAATAGGTCGGAGACCTGCCTGGGGCCCAGCTTGGTTTGAGCACATCTTCAGAAGTTTGAGCTTCATGATGAGCAGAGTGTCTGAGAGGGAGCGAGCGGTCTTTTCTCGGATGGGTCTGGATGGAAAGTGTTTCTGCGCGCCGAGCCTGGATATCCATATGACTTCCTCGAGGGAGCCTTTCACCCTCACGCCTAGGTGGATCTCATAAGATCTACATTGTGGGAACAACCGACATGTCTTACTGCACATGCAGCTGGAGGGATTACATTCCTTAAAACCGCAAGGTAGGATGTGACACAGCAAGGGCAGCCCGAGATCTTCTCTCACGAACAGCACGCCTAAAGTCGCACAAATCCTGCTCTTGACAGACCACCAATGATAGTCACACTCGATACGTTCCTCGAGCACATTCTTGCTACTCACTGTTAGCCATGGGGCGAAGTCCTCAAAGGTCTAGGTCTAGGGAGCCACAATAATAATAACCCCTGCTCCTCTAAACACACGGTTCCCGCTGGAGAGGTTGACAGTCTACTGATCCCATTGGGACGTTAGATCCCACACCCTGTCCAGACGACGCTTGCAGGCTTCTCCATCAGCTTCCTGCAGATGACCGATCAGCATCTGCCGAGATATTACAGAAAGAGCCACCCTGTACGCACCAGGTGGTACATGATGTTTCACCTCATTTATCTAGCGTCTCTTGTCCCTTGTACGCTCTTAGATGGCATCACACTTGTCAGCACGATGGAGACAAGGTAACGAAACACACCTCATAGAACTGGCCACAGCTTTGAAGGCTCGAAAAACAGTCTGCACCACGGAAGCGAGCTGTATCTCACTGTCCTGTCTCTCATAGCACGCCAACCTGAACGCCATGAGAATAGATGCTCTGGGTCATAAGGCGAGTCTCATCGGCAGATATGTCTGAACGGTTCAGGGTGCCCTGACGGAAAGCACATTTTCGCAGACGCTAGCCTTTTCGTACAAAAAAGGCCAGAGGTCATATGGGATCCGCCGTCAATGTTGCTTCTATGTGTGTCCCTTGTGTCGTCATTAAAAGTTTCCAGGGCCCAGTATTCTTTGCACATTGACTATTCTTGGGCCAATGGAAATTTCGGTACTCGCTACATTGGAACCCTAAGCTCTAAGTCATAGAACACTCCCAATCACGCATCGCTTGATGTTCACACGGCAACATCGAAAGGTCAGGGTGCACGTGAGGAGAGAGTACGTATGGAAATGCTGTAGAAACACTAACGCGATGCTATTGGACAGTGGTGCAGTATCCTCTCAAACTTCTACAAACCTGGGATTTGCTTACCCCATGTCATTAAGCCTTCAGCCTCATTTCAAGTCCTGACTAGTCGTGACTCGCCCCGATAGTATTCCCCTCGGGGCACAGTCCCTCGAGCTAGTATTCTTTCGGTCATTAAGCCCCTTACATATCTACTTGAGTGGTCAGAGAGACAGCAATTCAGATGATACGGAGGCTCAACATCCACCTAACTCAGCGTGACCCGCAGTGCCATCCTCCCCTCTCCACCTATAGTAATCACTTTTTTTCTGGCAACTTTCGGCCTTCGGCTCACACTGAAATCATTCTTAGTATCATCACCATAAGGTACCGAAATTCAGGCAACACATGTATTTAGCAATCCTCACCTTGGCCTTCCTATTTCTACATTGGTCACTTTATTAGAGCGAGCACCCACCTCTTTGGCCCCGTCCTGCGGGTCTTGATTCAGATTTTGAAAGCCGTGACCATGCGCATGCATGCTATCCCAGTGTGATGAGGACATATTCAGAAAATCCGCAGTGCAGAAATATAGGAGACGCATGAATATATGAAGGGAATCCATTTGGTGACCAAAGACTGATTCAAAATTCCTTTCCCTGAAGTTTCCCATGAACGCGGTTCCTTGAATCTTGTTGGGTCCCGGTCTGCTTAATTATTCATACTCCTTTGCAACTTACCATTACTTTTGCTACCACCCGATGAATTACCTTGTTAATGCAAAGCTGAACCTTGGAAGATTGGAAGGATGTCTCTATACTCCTGGACTTCTGGTATTTCTTCTAGTCTAGCGACCCCCGCCTCTCTTGCTGCGCTATCAAACACTGACCAAGCCTTTCACGACGGAACACCTTCCATTGCCATCATCTTCGGCACCATGGTGTGTCTGAGCGGCTTTGGAAGCCTTATTCTTGGGTATCGACAATTGAGGCTTGCATGTCGCAAACCTAGTGAACCTGAGCACGTGGAGTCTGCAGCTGGGCCCAGGGCTCTGCCAATGTCAGAAACTCCTCATGCCCCTGCTAAGCAACTTGATAAGGATGAGTCAAACACATGAAATAGTCGGTGGATGCATACTGACTAGTGATACCGAAGCACAAACGCGAGAACTCAGTCCTTGGGCTGAGCTGAATGCCCAGACAGAAGCCAATCACATCCCATCAAGCTTCGACCACGTACGAGATGAAAGTAACCAGTCAAAGGTGATTGGCGACGTCTTTCCTCTTCTTGAAGAAGATGTACTTTGGAACTAGGTTTATGTAAGACTTCAATAAATCGCTTGCATTGCTGCTCATATTGATCAATGACTCTCATTAAGCCCAGTGCTTTGAAGGTGAGTGGGACGAATGATCCTAGCCCTTCAGGAAATGGGTCGACTATCATGATGTGTATTCCAGAACTCATTGAGAGTTGCAATTATGGATTATCGACTTAGATTGGATCTAACTATATGCTAATTGCCGCCTTGGTTCCTGCTCAGATGTCTTGTCCCTGCGTCCCGCGCGCTCATCTGGTAGCTCCACAGTGTTGTGAACCAATGAATGCGCCATGTAATTATTCGCCTCCATTGGCGAGATTTTGGAGTATCTTGTGGCACTCAATTCGCGGGCGCTATTGAGAATCAAAGTAATCGAAATCACCTCACTGAATAACACAAGAACCAGGAGCGCAGATGTTCTCCGTAGGCTCCTCGAACGTCTTGCCACATGTCGTCGTCCAGTAATACTCAAGCGCCAGCCAGTGGTAATTGTCCGCATTGATCGTTTTTTGGGCATCGGTGAGTTTGCGCGTGGCTAGTGCTCCGTACCCGATAGCTTTGTCATTTTTGTCCTTAACGTCTGTAATATGTTGTCCGATTGCCGGCTCGCCAATGAGCTTGAAATGGGTGTATTCGTGCAGCAGAACTGAGCCGAGAACCATCATCTCACCGCCGACCTCCTCATCCAGCTCCTCGCATGACACATCCTTAATTTCGGGCAACTCGTAGGCTTGGGGACACGCGTGCGCTATTGCAAATTTCTGTATTTGCTCTTGGCCGCTGACCTCGGCGACTGTCTCTTGATTGGTTATATACGCCAGTGTGTACGCTTCGGTGGGTTTCTCGTCCTTTTTCGCTATGCAGTTTTGTCTGAAATCTTCGGCTTGCCTATATTTGGGAAGGATTTGTCAGGCCGACACTCTTCTACCTTTTTCAGTGATAACCCTGAGCGAGACTCTGGCTCGGGAAAATGGGCTGCTGGTCAACGGCCCTGCAAAATGGCACTTTAATACCACGTTTTGGACTAAAAGGTGAACGAACATACTGCAGGACAATTAGCATGTACCCCTCAAGATTTAGATCCCTCTAGATCTACTGTACTTACCCAGAATACCCAGAGCAAATTCACAGAGCCTGTATTGACACTCCCTCCATATATATCTGGAGAAATCAGTAATCAATCAGTTTTGCGTAGAGAGCCATTTTGTTACAAGAGAGGAGACAACTCACTTTGGTAGACTTTCACCACCTTATCCTTGTCTGCAGTTGGGAAGTAGTGTCCGTAGATGCCAGAACCGACCGCATTGTCCCATTTATTTGCCATCCAGGCTGCGAGATGGATGGCGTCTTTTTTGCCTTGCTCAAGCTGCTGTATATGTTTTCTGTCCGTCGGATCGTTTTTGTCAAACCTGATATAATGGGTATCGGCGCGCTTCTTGAGAGTGCTCCGATCAACGACGTTGTCTTCTCGGTAAGAGCCGTTCTGTAGCATGACTTCCACCATTTGCTTAGTTTCAATAAGCACGTAGTCGGGCACACTGTCGGGCCCATGTGTAGTGTCATTGTGCCATTTAATCCACCCTCGAGATCCGTCTCGTACATACACAGAAGAAGACCCCTCTGTCGCTGGAGTAGCATTGACACCGGCTAAGCAAGTCAGCAAAGCAAATTGTGCTGCGAGCTGCTTGATTCGCATTTCTGGAAGAATGTTGAGTGCGGTGTGCTATACAAAAAAAATAAAAATGAAATTATATAGATAGATTGTTGATAATCCAAGGTTTGTACTTATTCAGGGTATTGACATTTACTTTATACGCTATCACATTTCTTCAGTCTTGTAGTTTGACCACCGTGGTGCTCCACACTCTCGAAGCGCCCAACGTCTTGTCGATCAGCCCCAGACAAGGCCAGTGTGGTCGATGTTGCTCACAAAAATAGCCCCGCCATCCTCTATCTTTGACTAAAGTATCCTCTGCTCTACCCTGCAGTTAGTCAAGGCAAGGAAGGATAGTCAATAACATCAACCACACCAACAAGGCTCTCCCGGTCCGACGAAATTGCATATGCCACCTGTGGCTTACCAACCGTTTCTTCTTTTCTTTGTCTTTTTTGTTTTCCCTTCTTCTTCTTCCTCTCTTCAGTATCCTCAATACACTCGGTATGTAAAGATCATGCTCAGCTGACCGTACAGGACTCTAATATTGCGTTGTTGGGCCTAACAATATCTGAAGAACGCACCAACACGAGGCTACGGAATCACTACCCGGTTTCTCGACACTGTTGGTAGCAATCTATCGATAGAAGCTGCTGCACTAGAGATTTTCGTCCGTTTCAGGATCTGAGCTGCTCCTGGCTGTGTGCTACAGGTTATGTGTTACAGGTTAGTCCAAATCATAGGCCTTTCAAATTCATGGCAGTCATTAGATATTAGACGTCATGCCTGCCTAGAGGGATTTCCGAACATACTGCTGAGTATCTTACCTAAGTACTGCTTAAGTGGTATTACTTCCTAGTCTTCAAATGTTGTACAAGAAATTCTTTTGCAAATTATAAATTCTGAAGTCAAGCCTTGAGCAGCACGAGAAGAGAGCTTACCAAGCTATTTCCTCGCCAAGTGAAGCACTAACCAGTCTGGATTCTTCCGAGGGCCTGTTAATCTCAGTATGTCTTCCGCTAGTTGAAGCGAGTTCTATAAATTTTATAAAGGGTGGGTCTTTGATGTTGAGAGGTTGGGCCCCCCGGGGGGGGGGGGTTGCTCTAAGTAAGCCCAACATGTCTGACCAATTATAGAAGTTCCTAAAAGGACCCACTCTAGCCTCGACTGCAGTCACCTCAACTCTCCTTATCAGAAGAACTAAAGTCAACTGGGTGTCTAGTATATTTACATATGGTCGGTTCCATTCTTTATACTGCTTTTGAGGACAAGAATCCTTTCGCTGCATAGGAGCCTTGTGTGGGTGCTGCTTCCAGTACGCACACATTACGTGTGCACTTTAGGCAGCCGCGAGGCGTGTTACGTCTCTCGATACAAAGCCAACGCCGAGCGACGACACCACGACTGAACGCTTCCTCCACCACAGGAACTCGAGATGTCGAGCCTCACAAGACAACTACGTCAACATGGGTAATATTAATATCATTGCTACCGAGACACCTGTTATTTGGGTCGAAGTACATACTAGCGGCTCGATCCTTTCTAAAACGCGCAACCCGCCTTTTACCATCACCCTCAAGGCCCATACAGACAGCGCTAAGCCAGTGACAATCTATACTTCCAACACAGTCTTCGACTCAGAAAGAGTTCTGGACCAGCATCATCTCATCTTCAGAGACACAAAGAGCGGCGAGCTGGCGGAGCTTCCGCGGATAGACATCTGTCCTCCTCCAACAGCCGTAATACAGCAGAGGTACCGCCCAAAGATTCATCAGAACGATTCACGGTGTCGCACACAATCCGCAGGTGCGAGTTAGGGCCGTCCTCGCCCCTAGAAATTCGGACACTACCCACAGAGGACATCGAGGCCAGACAGGCGGCCATTCATGCGGCCATATTTGCGGCCGTTGCGGCTCATGTAGAACGGGATGCCCTGTGTCAAGTAGAGAAATTTATTGTCGGGCGCACTTATGAGATTGAGCTTGGGGAAAATGATAGCCAAGTGGGGTGGTGGAAGAAAGGGACCATAGCAGAGGTCTTTGCGTATGGTCTACTGAGCAGACGTACTACAAAGGCCACAAGTATCCCTCTGAAATTGGTCAATACTGCACGTTTCGGGGTAGTAGAGTGACGTCTGAAGGACTCGGGGTCGCGATAATAATTCCATTTGTTGCGCTAGGAAATTTCTCTTGTATTTCCCCAAATGGGTGAAAGCACGTCTCTCTACACAAAACCTTGCAGTCATCGAAATCACTCTCAATATTGTTTTTGAGAAGGATATAGTATTCGTTATCGAAACAAATTTATTCTATTCCGGATTGGATCACCGTATTATCCGCCTTATATACGCCATCCCGGGTCGACGCCGCTTGTCACGGTACGCTCAAAGAGAAGAGAAGGTTTCTTAACAGCATAGACCGAAAAGAATAAGCGAACTATGGCTACAAAAGAAGAAAAAGAAAGGAAAGGCAAGACTGACTCGCCAGCTAGCTGTAAGGAAGAAGGTAAATGGTGTGCCAGGGTCGTCGAATCTCTTAGGCCTTGGCAACAGCGTATCAAGTTTCACTGTCTGCTAATCAATATCCCGTGTAGCAAGGAGTTTTGCCGTTGAAGAGACATCTCGGTTTCGGAATACCAGGGGTTGTCGGCCGAGAGTCTTGTTGACTCTATAATTAATTACTGCTAGACTTGAGCACGAGGCCGGATGAGACGTCCGCTCTCAGGTATAAACTGGTGCCAAGTGCAGAATATGTTGCCCTTGCACGTCGTGCAACGGATTCAGACTTCCCCCCCAAGGTGTGGAAAAACGCTGTGCCCGTTGTATGTACTGTATAGAGCATCCCAGGATCCCATGCATTGCCGTCAAAGATTAATATCCTACTTACGAGAAATCGAGTCATGGTCCAGAATCTGTTCTGGATCCACCCATCAAGGTTCTTTACCCGGCTATTTCACTTAGTGCCTAGTAGCCAGGGGCAGTGATATCATTTTATCCCTTTCTATCCCTGAAACCTTACGAAACCTTAGGTCCGAGTTTTCAACCAACTCTAACGAAGGCCTCTCGGGACCATTGAAGAAAGGACTTCATCGTCGTCACCAACCCGAGCAGCGACCGCGATGCTCCATTACGCCCATTCCCAGGCACCATCATAACAGAAGCAGTAGTAGTCACTGCACAGTCACTCGTTCACTCTAATTACTAAGTACTTACCCACCCTCATTCAGCCTCGGAGAGGCGTCTCGCCTCTGCCTCGGGCAAACAACAACAACGACACCGACAACATGGTCTACAGTGTGCCGGTCACGCTCGTCAATCCAGGCGAACAGAGCTTCCTTCCAAACGCGTTTGGCGGGTCGGCACAGGTGATCCTCAACACGACCTCGTTCAGCGACGTGCTCGGGCAGCTGGGCACCGTCTCGCAGATCTCCAAGACACAGCACGATGGCGGGTCTCCTGCGCCGCTGACGCTCATGTTGACGGGCTGCTATGTCAACGCATCGAGCGAGTCGGCCGTGGACGGTGCTGGGACGCGCGCAGGCTCTGGGTACCGCGACTGCACCACGGCATGCTCGGACGTGAGCATGATGTTCAACTCGAGCTATACGCTGTGGAACTGTCTGACGCTGGCGGCGGCGAGCCAATATGTGGATGACCAGGTTTTGATCCTCGACTCGGATGAGCTGGCGACGGCTGGAGACAGCATGGGGTTCAGCGACTTGGGTCAGTTCAACGCAACGAGTATCTTTTCGAATACGCTGCAGTGCATTCAGTCGTCGTGCCAGGACTATAGCCTCGGATCGTGTACCAAGAACATCACGACACTTGATATCAGTCGTGTTTCGGATCAGGTATCGGCACTGTATAATGGCCTGCAGACCTACTGTGATGGGATGGACAGCGCCATTAATTCTGATATTGCTGGTCCAGGCGTAGGTCAAACCCCAACCAATCTCGTCCCTCGACGTTGCCCAGTACTTGCTTCCTTCGCTGTTGAGGGAGACAATGGCTAATTCTGATGCGATTGCACCCACAGGTTGTCCTTTCCTATATTCTTCAGGCTGTGCTCGCCATCACCGTCTATGTCTTCATCAACCTCCTCACAAGCTGGCTGCGACCCATCCTCTCCTTTTTGTACACCGTTCAGGACCGCATACAAGGCCAACAGCGGTCAGATCGAGCGATAGATGCCACGGCGGCAGACTTGCACCCACAGCAGCAGAGAAACCCTTGGCAGCGAGCAGGCGAGCACCAGCGGAACCTCTCACGATCCCGCGCAGCAGCAGCGCTGACGTCGGCGCTGGTCGAGTTCCAGGAGATGCAGGGCTTCTTCGTGGCGTCGATCCAACTGGCAACGCTCATGATTTTTGCTTCGTCGGACCATTCTGCGATGCTTAGCAGCACAAGCTCGTTCGCAGAGGCGGTGATGAACGTGGAGATTGTGCAGATGCTGTCCATCAGCGGCGTGCTGCCTGTCTTGTTCACGCAGGTCGGGCTGATGCGGCTGGGCGTGCGGTGGTGGTACTTGACGTGCATCATGGTGATCGTCTTCTCGACGGCCATCATCATCTCTCAGAAGAGCCTGATGCCCGACTACAACACGCTGTGGAGCTATTTCACCGAGGAGTCCCCCATCGCCATGTGCGGCGGCAATCCGAGCCCCATGACATATTGTCTTGACTCGCTGAATGTGATCGACCAAGCCGTCAGCTCCATGAACTCGGGCCTGTTTGTGGGCTTTATAGTGGCACCGGCGTTGGTCGCGGACCAAGCCTGGCATTCGCTCGACCGCAACGGGCGGATGACGGCGCTCCTCGACAAGTGGGAGCTCTCCAGCGCGACGGCGCTGATGTTGCGGCGGCGTGTGTGGCCGTTGTTCAGGACGGTGGCGTGGTTCGGTCTCGAATTTGCGCTCCTAATATACGTGGGCATGTACCTAAAATCAGTCATCGACATCCTCCAGTTCGTCGGCACGTCCGCCTCCGACTGGACGTTTGGGCAGCTCATCGCCATTATGGTCTGGGCCCCCGTGATTGGCAAGTACGTCTACTACAATGCCTTTGGCATCACGGAAGGGGTCGGCAGGCGCCTGCCGAAACGCTACAAGGTTGTTGAGGTTGACGAGGACGAGGACGACTCCGGCTCAGGTCCAAGGCTCACTACTCTGGATGCGGCGGAGGAGGAGGAGTGGACAAAACATAGGATGGGACCACGGAAGTACACCTTCGGCAGCACCAAGAGCAGCAGGGAGAGCTTCCAATTGTCAAGCCGAAAGTCGACTTTCCAAACACTGAGCCGTGAGGATACGCTGGTAGGGACTTTTACGCCAAACATACCTGGGACACCCTACATCGACTCGCCTTATGATGTTTGCGGGAGGAAGAACAATCCCTTTGATGATCTTGGGAGAGGGAAACTTGACAAGTCATAGAGAGAGCATGTGTGCGTGTATATATGTATATATAATTTTGCTACTGCTACTAATGAAAGTTCACGAAATGATACTAACTCCGTTTTGCTCAAGAGAGGGAGAGAGTGTGGACGAGAGGGTGTGAAACGGCCTTTAGCGTCCCTCAAGACATGCCAAATGCTCCAGGACTGACTAGCTTCCCAATGGCCTCGGAGCAATTTCATACAGTTGGGCACAGACATTGTCTGACCTTGAAATTCGCAAATAAGCTTGAAAAATGCAAATGTCCAGCGCCTCTCAGCTCGTCGGCACAGTGGTATCAGAGTCGATTCGGAGCAGCGCGCCGCGCCCGCGCCCAGGTCACCCTAGCCCCGCTTCCAGACCCAGGACCATGCCAAGCCCGCGGTGATGATGAAGGCTGCGATGCGGTTTCCCGTCCGTGGTGGTGCCCATGGCCTGACCACTACCGCCGACGGCCCTGTTGGTTGGCGCAGCGAGGAGTATGAGCGGCGGGTGGCCCAAAACTCTCCTCGTCGCTGAGCCGTTGACGCATTTTCAGTCAAGGGTAGCTGGCGGCTGGTGTGCCTGTCGGACGAGGAGATCCCAGGTGACTATTCCTGGCAAGGGGACAGGGCCGAGGACAGAGGATCCTCATGTGGTGGTCGCTGCCTTGCGAGACTGTGGCGGGATTGGCTGTCGGGCCTGAGCTGTGGTCGCTCCGCTACATGGGGACAGGCTCTACTGGGCGGGCGGCGGTCACTACAAGGGGACAACATCACCAGTTTGGAGGCACGAGAAGAAGGCTTGTCTCCTTGCGTCTCGGACTTTTCTTGTTTTTGTTAAGACAAGAGACTCGTTATTAATATGGCTCCTACAAGTGGCCGTACCGTGCCGTGCCGTGCCATGCCAGCAGCTATGTGAGCTGACGAACATAATCAGTAATCGTCCGGCGAATGCTCTTCCGCCTCGCGATTGCCCTCCGTCCCTGCGGCGACTCGGAGCAGCGGGTATGCGTGTACAGGTTGGGATTCGAGTCGCTCCTGTTCCTCACTCTCGTGGGCTCCTTGAAGCTGACGTGACGACCCTCCCGGTCCGCCCCAGGCCAGGTTTGTGTGAGGGTGGGTCTCGTATCGGGGGAGTCGGCAAAGTCGTGACTCCCTGAGCTCGTAGAAGAGGACGACGAGTCTTGACGGCCCAGACCGCGCTGCTGGGTCGGCGAGATGTCTCCTGTGTCTCTACTACTGACATCGTCGTCGCCATTGTCGTCAGACTCTGGCTCTGACTCGGACTCCTGAATTTCTGCGAGTTTGGGCTGAGCAGCGGGTGATGCGTCTGCCCAGCCCTGAGAGTAGAACTGATTGAGCTGTGGTTGCTGCTTCGGTTTTGGTACGCTGGTTTGGCCGCTCTCGACCCGTTGGCGTTCGTCCTCTACAGCCTTCTGGAGAAAGGCCTCATAGTCCGAGGACCCGGTGCCCCCCTTTGGCGGTTGCACGACCATTTCCACGTTGTCGTCGGGCTGCCTTCCAGTGCTCTCCTGACCCGCCTCGTCTTTGCTACCGGACTGAACTGCTGTCCCGAGCCTGTCGTCCAGCTTAGGAGTCCTTGGCTCATCCAGACCCTCGCCGACGCATTCTGCAGCACGGTGTGGCGTAAAGATGACTGGCCTCTCTGGCTTCGCTGTTGGGTCTATCTCTGGTTTCGGATCCGAGCGCAGTCGCCGTAGGCGTTCCATCATGCCGCTCTTCCTCGGCCCAGCCTGGTTTCTCGGGGTTTCCATCCTGTTGGGAGTTTTGTTGTTTTCCCCGCTGCCTTTCTTTTTCTTGTCAGGTTTCAGAGCAAAATCGGTCGAGATGACGGTCCCAAGGTCCTGCTTGCCGTACTAGAGAAGGAGGGAAACAACCCCAGATGATATAACTCGCCACGACGAGGCAGGTATGTCGATCAGACAATCATTAGGTGGGGTTGCGCTTTTGTATGGAAGAAAACAAGCATGCCTCGTTAGAGATCTGCGCCGCGCACGCTGAACGTGCAAATCTTGACCTCTTTCTTTGCCTCTTTTGCCAAACTTCTGAGAAGGTACCGTCCTTCCCCCCGGTGAGTGTATTATATGAGTGACATGTTGGAGAAGATGGGGGCGGAGAAAAGGGGGCGAGCAGTTTCTGGGAGGGATTTTTGACCCCAGAACCTTCAATCACCAGAATCTCCCGGGGAAATAACATCTTGTGTGGGGATCCACTGCGGGTGCGGCCGACGTTTTGACGCGCCATTTCAGGCCCCACTTCAGTGGGTGGGGATGTTGTAGTATTTATCCGCCCAGGTCAGCTTGCCCTTGCCCACCTCGCCAGGCACGCCAGGCACCAAAAGGGGCGCTAAGGGTTCAGTGCTCAGGCTGGCTGCTGTGTTCCTGCTCAGGGCCGGTTGCGCACTAAATGGTCTCAGGGGCACTTCCTTGAGCAATCACCACATGATGTACCACGTACCACGTACCTCACCTCATCTTCTGCCATCTTCACTGCCCACCAGAATCGAATTACCTGAGAGCTGTCCAGTACAACCATATAAAGATGTACTGTTGCCCCACGCAAGACGAGGATATCTATCCCACCTACTTTTTCTTTTGAAGAAAAAAAAATAATTGTTCAGATGTAGTAGAAACACCATCCTCATTCCTATGCCGGGTACGCGGAAGCTAGAATGAACGATCAACATTCAGCCAGCTTGAGAACATGTGAAATGACTCTAGTACATGTCAGATGGTGGGCATTATCCTCTAAATCATGACGACGCAGACTTGTTGTAGCTCAACGCGGCTCTAGACTCCTATGCATTTGCTCTAGCAGATACGTGGGCACTCGATCAGCTGGATTTGAGGCTTGACGTATTGCTTTACGGTCTAAAGTTGCAATCTGTACTTCAGGCGCACTACAGCTGTCACAAGCTTGGATCAGCTAGGCTTCTCGTTTTCGAGCTGAGGACGTCTATAGCTGATGATCACATGTCTGTCTCTTACCGGGCTTCGCTCGGTGGCCAGATCACATTCTCGCCTCAAAGAAAGGAGGGGTTTACCATCAAAACCATGACCAAGCCTCTTGCGAGTCTCAAAGACAAGATGTTAGTCCGGAGTCGGCATAGGACTATGCAAATGCCCCTCCATCAATGGACATCTGAAGCTTTAATTTTGTACTTAGATCTTGGTCTAACAATCAATGACGGCATCTACATCTACAGTTTGCGGCTGAAACTTTGTTATATCGAGATCGGGAAAGTCTCTCTGTAAGCCAATTGGTCTATATGAAAAAGGTCCTCGACCTTCCCCTCCAGGAGTTAGAAACAGGCTCTACAAGTCATCTGCAACCTTCGAACGATGCTCTCAACACCTAATTACCACATATTCACAGATAAATTATTTTTCCAACCGCATCAGCCACCATGAGACTAATGTGGATCACCCTCTTCGCCTCCGCGGCTACCGTATTCGCAAGCAGGTCCCCAGAGGTGAAGCAGGACATCGCCACCGAAAACATCACCATAAACGAGCTACAGATTAATGCGCTGCCCGTAAGCCTGCCTGACCTCCTGACTCTCGTCAAGGTCGAGTGTTCCATGATTGGTGAGTGGCCCCGAGGTCCGACCTGCGGATTTCACACGGCAAGCAACACGTGCACTGATGGCCAGATCATCACAGATGCAATCCTCACAAGATACGAGGAAGCACATGACATATCCCAGAAGAAGGCCGCAAGACAGGTGGGGCGAAGACTCAAGCGTATGACCAAATCGATGGCCCGCGCCAAGCTGTTCCTGGAGAAGACGGGCCAGCACGCCTTCGATGAGGCAGCGACCCTGAACGGCTGCGATCACGCCTGCATGACGCGGTATACCAAGGCGATCATCAAGGAGCTCTCAGTGACGACGAGGGCCGCCATCCTGAAGCTCGGCCTGCGTAAGTCACCGCTCGCAACAACCCATCTCTGATCAGACCACACCTATCTGATGTATTGCGCATGCTAACCACAAGTGCTTTTCTCATCAGAGGCGCTCGGGAAGCGCATCCAGCCAGTGTTTATAGCCCTGAGCGGGCTTGTCATCACAGTGAACGGCCTCGTGGGCGGTACGCTCGTCTTCATCACCACCTTGGTCAACGCGCTGTTGCTCGCCATAGCGGCCGGGATTGCCTTTCTGGGCCATCTCGTGTCTGATACAGAGAGAGCCAAGGCTGGAGGCCCCGGTGGTCCCAAGACTGCGGAGATCGCAAACCTTCTCGACGGACTGGGATGGGTGGTTGATCAATAGATGAGCATGCGTTGAGTGTGGTCATTCTTAGTTTGTAATGTGTGTTAGCTATGAGTACTTGAAATTTATCAGCTCACTCGGTGCTTATTTGGAACTTGGAGTTTTGCGTATAACACGGATGTTGAAGCACTGGATTAGCCTTGATCTCACTGCGGTTGCTGCCAGGTGGGAGAAGCCGAGAGTCCAGGCTACCCGAATGCTGTCGAGAAAAGTCTGAGATAATCGTTCCCCCGAGAGTCCCTTCGTCTTCCATAGGGAGAGGTTGGGAACAGAAGTTTGACCCATTCCGCTTTGTCCCAGCGGTGTCTTAGAGTCGCATATTGTTGCCCAGCTGGGATCTGCTCTCGCCCCGCTAGTCTGCACGATATTGGCTCAACTTTGCTGCCATCTCGCTGTCCGCCTGGTCTCTGGCCCGGACAGATTTCCACAAGGCGAGTGGGATATCATTTCCCGTCACGATTGATATCATAACACGTTCCACGTGATGATTCATATATTGCAGAATATCTCTTCCGATCTCGTCGAATTTGCACGAAATCCCCACGCTGACGATTCTCTTTGGCTTCTTGTTGTTCAAGAAGATGCAGTGATCACTTGCGCAGAAGGAAAAGAACTCTCAAGTGCCGTCTTGATGAGCTACCCAAGTCTTTGGTTCGTTTCGCGCTACTGACTGCTTTATCTTTGTGCCGATCACGGTGATCCGTCACACCGTATCACACCATACATTTTTAATCACCATCCACAGGCGGCCTTCGCAGCGACTTGCTCACCTTCTTCTTATCCACAAAATCCATCCTCGTCCGACAAAGCGGACACGTGTTCTGGTTCGCCGAGCTGAACCACTTGAATAGACAATCCCGGTGGAACAGGTTTTTGCACGTCGCACATTTTTTGTCCGGCATCTTTCTGTCGACAGCGATGAACGAATAGCAAATAGCACACTCCACATGGCCCTTGAGGGCACCGAGAACATTCCTGCGGAAAGTGGATAGTCCGTCGATGATGGCGCCGTTCGAGATGGTAATGATTCCCTGGGTGACGCGCAGCCACGATTGCCATGTACGCTCGCTGCAGGCGACACGGTTCAGTCCTACGACATCGACAAAATCAAGCGGGTAGTTGGGTTTGATTCGGACCAGCATCGAGGCCGACTGCTCGTCGCCACCATCGTCGATGGCGTAGGCCGCAGTGATTTCCCGCTGGGCATAGTTGACTTTGATGGCAAGTTCTTTCTCGTCTGGGTCTGAGACATCTTGGGAGTTTGACCATTTCTGGACCTCTGCGATGGCGTCATGTATGATGATAGGGGAGAAGTACTTGATCATCCAGGGCTCAATGGCAATCCTTGTCTGCTTGGAACGACAGTCGAGGAACCAAGTCTTGAACAGACCAGGGACAAATTTCAAGGTGAGATAGAAGAGGTGAATGAGAAGCCAGTGCATGTTCTTCTCCTCAGGCAGCGAGTCGGCGACCTTAATGTCGTAGTCTTGTATGTCATCGACAGTCAATCCTTCTTTATCGAGGTTGATAGGGCTGGCGGCTGAGTGGCCCAGAACATCAAACATGAATTCCATGAGAGGACTGATGGCGCCATTGACTTTGAGGTCTTCCGTGTAATCAGTCCGAACCTTGTATGCAGCACCTTCATAGGCATCGAAGACAAGCTTCCAGGACAAGAGATAGGACCGTATAGGTGTTGGAAACTGCACCAGTACTTCCTCGGGAAATGCTTCGAGGGTCGGTGCATCGAGGAGAAGTGATGTGAGCTCATCGGGAAGTCTAGCTTGTTTCTTCTCGAGGAGGACATTGAGAGACACTTGCTCCTGTGCTGCAGGTAACGCTCGGTGGATAAGATTAAAGCCGGCTGTTTGGATCTCGCGCGACTCGGATGCCACCAGGACATAAATGTCCGTCAGATCCTTCAAGTGTTCCAAAGGAATACTTGCGGCTTCACGACACAACAGGGCATCGACTATCTCTCGAGGTTGAGAATTGGTGCTTCCAGGAAGCTTGAGAAGATCCAACAGGCCGCGGAACACAGCGTCCGCATGTAGATCAAGTGCGTCCACAAGATCGTCATTCGGCTCGTCAAATTTGCGAAGGGCTGACAACAGCTTGACGGAAGCGTGTATGTAAGGTAGACGTCGCTCAGAGTCGTCTTTGGAAGCATGACTCCATAGTGAGAGACAAAACCCAATCGCCTGCTCCCAATACGGTCCGTAGACCTCCTGGACGCATGGAAACAGGTGCTGCAGGGCTCGGCAGCTCTCCGTAGCAACCTCCATGCCTAAATCTTCTGGGCTGCGTGAAAACCAGGATGTGATCTGCTTCACAGCGAAGACAAGACGGTTGTTTGCCACTGGTAATTGACCTAGTTCAAAGACAGGCATACAAGCGTTGAGCAAGACCAAGGATTGTAAAGTCTTTTCGGCTGGAGGATTCGCGCCGGCAATATCGCTGATCAGTCTGTTCAGCAAGTTGGAGACGACTTTGGACCCTGCCAACATCTCGCCATAGCCTGTCAAGAATGCTGTTGAAGGAAGGACTGTCGCATGAGATGCCTTCATGATATCGAGCTGAACCACCCAGTCCTCAACGGCACTTGCATGCCCGTGGGCGTCGGAAAACGCTTCGAAAATCTCGGTTAGCGCACGAGCACTGTAAACACCGGTAGGAACAAGAGCCTTGGCCTGCTCGATCAGTGTGCCAACAAGCCCATCAAGTAGACACTGCCCTGCCCCTGGCCTCCAGCCCTGGAATTTCGCGAATATGCCATGCATGATTCGCCTTGCTGAAGTTACAAATTCCTCGACTTCTCCCAGAAGATTTGGGTCCTCGAGATCCTTGAATAGTCTGTTTGCATCCATGAGCGTCATCTGGTCAGACGCGAGCTCGATGACAAGGTAGAGCAGATATAGCAGCTCAGTTTGGAAGCTTTGAGACAGTGCCTCTATCTGAATTCCGTGGTCGAGTATCGCGGTTGTGTACATCGCCATCCGAGCTGGAATAGAAAGCCCTCTTGAGTCGCGCCGGGAACTTGTAGTTGGCAGCAGTAGGTCGTCCTTCGAGAGAAAACAGGCACCACCGATGTTGCTTGTCAGCGCCAGAGCCGGATTGATCCCGCCTTGTAGGAAGTGCGCAAGCTCTTTTGCCCAGACTCTCGTATCTGGCAACATCTGCTCCAGATCCGTGTTGCCTGCTTCCAATGTGGCGGTAGCCTGCTGTACTAGAGTCTCAATACTCAAGGAGTCTGGACCAGGTCGTTCAAGATTCTCTTGGATGATACTCAGGACAGATGGCTGCACATCGCCATGTTTCTCGAGCAACGAGCGAAGCTGAGATGCCCTAGAAGAGACGGCAGGCTCGTTGATTTCCAACATGCTAAGCAACTTTGTTGTTAGGCTGAGGTGAAGCGTCTCGTCTTCCGAGATTATAGTTGGACGCCGCCTTAGTATGATCTCAATTGCTTTCATGCTGGACTCGTTGTCATTGCCAAGCGTTTCGATGATGTCTGACGCCGAACTTCGTAGACTTGATTCAACCACCACGTCTCCAGCTAGAGTCGCATCAAACATGTCCCAAGAACCGCCTCTAGACTGGGCGCATGCCAGAATGTTCTTCTCGAGATGCTGTTGAAGGCTGAAAGAGTTCCTCGCCACCGGCTTCGCGGCAGGGATCGAGATAAGCTTTGTGAGATATGAGTCTGCTTGTGAATTCGCCCCCTGCATTTGGAGGAGGGATTGTACGGTAGCAGACCATAGATTCTCGAAATCACCATCGTGATTTTGACCCAGAGCTTCAATACAAGCAATTATGTACGAGGCTGACGGTGATGATAACAGCTTGGCCATCTCCTCCTCGGAGCCAGTTGGGACGACCGACAGAAATAATCCCTGGTTCTCAACTGTGAAAAGGTATGGGCTCTGCTTCAAAGCCCATAACAAGATTGCAGCTGCTCCGAAAGGCTTGAAGTTCCTTCGCTTCAGTACATCCACTGCTTCTCGCACCACAGTCATGGCAGCAGCTTCCGTATAATCCTTGGTCTGCTGTTCAATGGGTTGGCTAGATGGTGCAGTTAAAGACGTATGGATGGCGCCCACCACAGAAAACCACCGTTTCCCGTCTTCTGCGATCCTTTTCTGGGAAGGCTCGAATTCTTTAGATACCTCAGGCAGGGACGTGGAAAGTCGAGCTATGAAAGCGGCCCCTAGTCTTTCCCATTCCTTGCTCAAAGATTCTGTGATTTGTGTATCTTTTGACTGAGCTGCCACACTATAGGCAAGGGAAAGAACAGGCATTTGAACACCTGTCAGCCACTCTCCCTGGCGTTCTGTCGAGAACAAGTAGTTGTCTGTCAATGGAAAAACCGTTTCGGAGATCAGCTTCGTGCGAGATTCAGTATCGACTTGATCTAACATCCGAGAGACCGCGTTGAGATAGCACCTCCAAGCATAAGGGGCATTGGTTCTTGGCTCCTCTCTTCTGCTGATCCCCGTCCTGAACGATTTGAAAAATTCCGAGGCAGCTCCCTCGGATATCGAGTCGGTGGGGAGGATGGCCAAAAGCTTGTCCAGGCCATCCCAGAAAGATGGTCGGCCGCCTTGGGAGCCTCTTTCGATGAAACTCCGCAGTCTCGAAAGCGGTGATCGCTTGGTACCCCAAAGTTCCCGGTTGAGCCGCGTCAGTTCTATGAGAACCCCAAGAAGCTCATCCGCAGAGCCAAGTTGGGGCTTCTTGAGAGCGTCCGAGGTGATAATTTTGGCGATTCGAGGCATGTGCGGGTCTAACAGCGCCTGTTGCTTTTCCAAGCAAAGCCGCAGGAGTTGGTAGACGATTTGCCGAACGCGAGAGTCATCGGCAGTAGCAAAGGACCAGGCCGAGTCTCCAGGGCCGGAAGAGAAGAACGTTTCGTACTCAGTGTAGAACTTGGTTGTATCTTCATGAGAAAGCCTCTGAAGAAGGCCAAGCACGAGGGACAAGCCTCCTGCTATGGCACGGTAGTATTTGGCCTCGGCGTCTTCCGGCTTCGTGGACCGCTCGTCGCTGAGGGTGTCGGGCGTCTCTGTTATGGCCTCAGTTGCGTACTGCAGAATCTGAAGCTGGCACTTCTTCCAGAACTGGGTCACCTTCTCTTCTGTTGTAAAGACCGCAGACAATCCCTGCGTGGTGGCTCTAGCCACGGGCTTGTCCCGGTCGAAAGAGCCGACCAGCCAGGTACCAGCAACCTTGGGTATCCTTTTCTCCATTCGTTTTCTGGCGGACTGCAATAGTTTGAACTGCAGAGTATGTGACAGCTCGCGGACCCGGCGGTCGTTATCGATCGATGTCCTAGGATAAAGTTGAACCCATGCATCAAGGACAGCGTCCTCCACGCCTCCATCCAGCTCGTGGGGGTGTGCTTGTGTATATGCAACTAGATCGGCCAGTGCTTTAGACTTCGTAGTGTTGTCCTTCTTCAAAAGGTTCTTGAAGGATACGACAACATTTGGATCGGAGATTGAGGACAGGTCTGGAGGGTCGGAGAGGTAGGAGAGACTGCCATTGCTCGTTGATGGGGTAGCGAAACCACCGAATGAGGACGGAGCAGCGCTGCTGAAGCCTTTCCCAACGCCTAAACGACCCTTGGGAGCCATGTCGGCGGTCGAAACTTGAGTATGGGGCAAGGACAAGAGATAGGCGGTATCGGTCGGTGGTGGGGGACGAGGAAAACGGAGAGGATGGTCGAGTTTAGAGAGACTTCGCAAAAGGTTGGCTTCGGTGCACGAAAGAAATTGATATCATGACAGCCAAAATGGAAGACCATAGGGTACGGAGCTCCTAAAAAGGAATTCGAAATAAAAGTTCGGAGATGGTCATAGTTATTGTCATGTTTTGGAGGATCTGAGTCGAGAAAAAAAAAAAGACGTCTTCAGATCGACACCGCGGTGGGAATGAATGATGAATGTGCGTCACGCCGGCCGCTGGTGGGGAGCTAGGTACTATGTACGTCGTGGGGGTTGCCTGCAGCAGGGTGCTAAGCACAGGACATGGCCCCACATCCTCTCAGCAGGGGGAACACCTTGGCATGAGGCTCAGCTCAGTACTCAAAAAAAGCAGCGTGGCGACAGTGACTTGTACATGCAGTTAGCAGCCAAAATCGATAAATCATGAAAGTTGAAAACAATTAAAAGCCTGACACTGTATCAATTTTTTATTAAAAAAAAACTTTTGTGACCACCAAGCAAAGGCATGGTCCAGTCTTTTGTTACCTTGTGTTTAAGTCTAAAGTTGGAGGACTGACCGGCCTGGTGTATCACGATCAGTAGAGAGGGTCAGCGACTTCAAGTCTATATATTTAACAGCCTATATGCAGAAAACTTGACCATGGTAACCCGTGGCTACTTTGATTCTGTCGCCGTCATTCCACGTGCTTTACCTTCCCTTCCACTTGCCTGCCCTTTCCTTTCTCCAGATCATTGTTTCCCTGGGCCGGTTCTTCATGGCCCTGTAGTTCGGGATGCTCACGGGAGGGCCATTTGTATGGTGGGTGCACATTATACGAGCAGACTGCCAGATACAGACCCGGGTAACATCCCAGGTTGGAGCAGACCGAGCATGTTAACCATGTCTTCACCGATTTGTCTCTCATATTCATCCACGAGGAACCATCCATGCAAGCCATCGCAGTCTTCGCACGGGACTTCGACGATGCTATCGTTGTATATGCAGTTCCTTGGACATCGTGTCCAATCTCCCCATATTATCAAGACAGGGTCATGTGTCGACTGACCTCACCAAGGACGAATAATCGCTACCATTGGGTCCGTCTTTGACTTGGCCGGACAGCTCAAAGTCCGATCATGGTGCATAACTTGATACTAGGGTCCATGATATATACTAAAGGGGTGATTGAAGCGTTGTGATCATACATGTATGTATCAAGATTGTGTATATCTTGGTCGGCGAGAGTATTTGTAGTCCTATTGCGTATGGCCATTGATTCTACTTGCCTAATTTAGACTCTTCTGGTTGCTGTTGTTTTGATTCTCTTTTTCCCTTCTCTCTTGTCGGAGGAACAGGCGGGATTACTGGGCTTGGAATAAACAAATAAGCTAAGTGGTATAACAAACGTGTGTGTGTGTGTGTGTGTGTGTTTAGGGTGGGTAGGTCTTCGTAATAACAGACGATGGTATTGAGATTCCGTGATGTGAAGAAGAAGAGTCGAGAGGAAGAATGGAACGTACGGGAGCGAAGAGAACCTTAAAACAAAACAGAGGGACACGGGTTACTCTGTCTTCTCTATGGCTGTAAACACATGCGTCAAATAGAGGCTCCTGCCGTGCGAGCGATCTAGAAAGCTTCACGTTGGAAGCCGCTCGTCATCCATAGGATCTCCTGCCCGAGTTTGATCGGGACTTGCTATATATATATATTTTAGAAAACCACAACGAAGCGGGGGAATGTGTAATGGGGCCCCATCTATATGTGTGAGGAAAGAGTTAAAACTTAATGGGAAAAACACATTTAGTATTTGAAGTCCTCTTGAGTCTCCGTCAACCTAGTACGGGAAGTCGGTGTGAAAGAAAAGAGACGTCGTTCAAGTCCGCCCTTCATGGATCAGGAATTTGTCCCGCTGTCGCAATGAGGTTTAGCCACTGATGGCAGTGAGGCCTGGCAGCGGTGTCTGCAGCCCAGGGCACCCTGGCACGCCTGGCGATTCAGTGGGTTACGGGGGTCTTTGCCCTCGCGTTCTCTCCTCAAGTGAGTGGAGTGCGGCGGGCACTACCACTGCTACCCCGCGTTTGGCTAGGCTCCATTTGATGATGTTCCACTTGAAGCTGACAAATGTGGCGTGGGATGGATTTGGGCACTGCGGTATTGTATAGTGCCTCTGCTCGTAAGTTTATGTGTTGATCAGGACTTGGAGAGTCTTTGTTATCCTATATAGCTTGGGATATGAGTAGTAAGTGAGGCATGTCTGGTATGCAGGAAGGACATGATGGCAGTATCAATTACTATCTGTAGTCAGGCCAGTTCCGCCGGTCCGTTCTCAGAAGCGACACCCATGGCAGTGGCCCCCATTTCGAGCGACCCCTCATTCTCGACTCCATGTAGGCCCCCACCCTTCCGTCTACATTCCACTATAACCGTTCGGCTCTCGTCCTCTCCAACAACCTCGAGGGCTCTCTGAGGCCTCGATATAAGCCACTATCTCTTCTCCTTCTCCCTATCATGAATCTGTATGCTACAGCAGCCTACATCAACTTTGGAGCCCTTTGCATTGCTGCGAAGGGTTAGCCCACCGCTTATTCATTATTGGCAAGGAAGCACAGCTCTCTCCGTGCCAGCCGTGGACCCATCCCACACACCTACCGTGTGTCAGGACTTGGCGACCTCAGCCTGTGTGTCTTCCTCAAAACGCAACCTCCGCAATCAACCAGCTTATAACAAAGCATAAGAGCTCTACAGGAATCCCTCTGGCCAGTCTCACTGGGCGGACTAGACCACATCCATAGCATGGTCGTATCTCGAACAGCTGTGACTTCACAATGTTGACGACCGCCTCTCAGTTCACCCCTCGGACGAGGTGCCTGCAAACCAGTCATGCTGCTAACGCTCGGATCGTCGGCGTGGCTGGTAGCTGGCATCGACAGCAATCCCGAGGCTTCCGCTTCAGCATGTGGTCCAAGTACGTCGACGACGACCTTCAGCGCGAGATACGACGACGACAGCGCATCCTGATACATAAATACACCGAACAGGTCAACAGACGGTTGTCATGGGACAAGCATCCTTTCGCCGAGGACGCCCGACACGCCCTAAAGCGCATGATCAACACTTACTGGCATCCTCACTGTGCGCGTCCGGGGCCCCGGTCATGGAACGACGCTGAGCGCCATAAGCAGCAAACACCCGAGAACAAGGACGGCGTGCGTCCTGGCCAAAACATCGAGGATGTCGAGCGCGGGGCCATGGATCATCTGCTATTCGGCCAAGAGAAGGAGGAGCCGTTCCGAGGATCGCACAGCAGGGGATCGCCGCCGAAAACTAGATCGACAGCTCAGACAGATGACGGCAGGCCCATCGAGCAGGGAGACTTCGTCATCGATCCAATCACGAATCGGAAAGTTGCAAGAGATCCAAGTCCTAGGAGCACCAAACCTGAAGGAAACATTCCTCTCGATGTCTTGGAACGTTCCCAGTCCCCGCCTACCCGCCACGTCAACTCCCTATATAATGAAATCTCGGTAGAGAAGACTCGTGAGGACAGAAGCTCTGACATCGGCCCTGGAACAGAAGGTTCCGACATATCCATGGATGCATCAGACAGGCCAGATCCCACTGTGCAAAACAGAGGTCCCCTATATGATACGAATACCCTGAAGACTCGATCCAAGCTTTGGAGTGATGCCATTCCACAAGCGACTTACAGTTCCAATTTACTTCAGAAGGACAAGCCAGTCATCGTGGACCAGGCTGAGGCTGACAAGCCTGAGGGCTTCTCTAAAGAGAACCTAACGGATGATGACTTGCAAAAGTCCAACCCCTTACAGTACCTGGACCCGTACGGGAGACCCGAGTCCGTTGCTGAAGAGCTACATACGCAGCAGCAGCACGATGGTCTTGCCAGGCCCAAGACAGCGGCGGACAAGGCTCATGAGCAGTTTGAGGATCTCAACCCACCAAGCGAGGATCTCAACAAGTATGAAAGCAAGCCTTGGCTGGCCGAGGAACTCTCGAAACGTATTGTGGGGGACATCGAACCCAGTCGTCCCGATCAGCACACACCGGTCCCTAGCGAGGTTGGTGCTTCACGAAGTGACGCGAAGACTCCCTTCAACGTCCTGAATTTGCATTCAGCGGATTGGACCAGTGAGCTTAATGGCAAGCCTTCGAGCTCTACTGAAAGTTCTGCGAAACCCGAGGTCCATACCAGATACCGGTCCTTCATTGAACAGCTAGAGCCCGACGACTTCACAGAACCAACCGTCGAAGATTTTCGGAGAAAGTATGGCCAGACTGAACTGAAGCAGTACACCCCGCCGAAAGATCTAGAATCCGACGGAAACCCCGACGTGGACACGGCAGGTGGAAAGGGCAACGACGTCTCGGAACGAATGGCCTCCACAGAGATGGACAGCACTGATGAGTCGGGCCACGAAATCACGTGCAAGACAATACAGTCTAAGAAAGGTCCAGGCATCGATGTGATGGAATCGCTGATGGAACAGCATGGGCGAATGTCAGATGCTGAGGACAGAGAGGCAACCCTTGCTGTCAAATCTGCAAGAGCCAAGAATCAACATGGCAGCGCGTCGGCAACCAAGGTGACGGGCTCCTTTGTTCGTGACTTTCCCGAGGAGTTTGAAAAGTCTTGGACGCAGACACTTTCTTCAGTGCCTACTGAGCGCACAGAGTCGGATTTGAGTAATGCTCAGGTTCACAGCGAGAACATGGACGGTGGCTTAGAGGGTGCATTTGGCCGTCCTTCGCCCTCCAAGATTCAGCCCGCTCTAGACCGACAGGTTCATCGGAATCCAGTGATCAATCATCATGATCTCCAGTCCAAGGGTTCCCAAGGTCTTGAGATCCCAGTTGTTGAGTGTAGCAGTGACGCCACTCCGTCGCTGCCCGAGAAATATGGGAACTCGCCCGCTGCTAGCCAAGACCTTCCGGAGGAGGCCGCATCCTCCATGGTCAAAGAGCCAGCCGCCCCGTCTCAGGACATCAGCTCCGGCTCAACGGATGGGCCTTCACTGTACAAGATTCTGGCGTATGACCCAACCATGCAGAAAGTCAACATGGCCGAGACCACGTCGCTGGTACCGGACTTTACATCTGCCTTGTCGCCAGCCGATGCACTTCTTCGCCTTTCAAATCCTACAAAGTTCTTGCCACACTTTGCCGCTCTTGAGGCACAGGGATTTGAGATCGTCTCAGGGAGTGGGGACGTGCTCATCTTCCGCAAGGTGCGCCCGTCAACGACTAAGCAGACAGAAGACAGCCTTGCAGAAAATAAGACGGGGTTATCGTCTGTGGAGGCCCAGCCTCAGCCTACCTCGACACCCATCAACCCGATCGACATGACAGGTCGACCCAGAGTCGTGTCACCGGCTAGCGCCAACTTTGCCTCTCCTACGGGGTATGTCAATTACGAAAACTTGGCCGGCAATGAAGCCAGTAAGCTTCCTCCTCCGCCGCCGCCATCATCACCCCGGATCAAATACAACATCAATCTCCGGCGTGAGGAGCCTGTATACAGTGGCCCCAAGCATGCGGCGACTGATGGCCAGAAAAAAAAGAGCAGCTTGGGCAAAAGATTGCTTGTGGGTGGTGTTTGGGTGGCTGGTATCAGCTACGGTCTTGGCGTTGTGTCCGAGTATTTCACGACCGGTGGCATAGACGGCACGGGGCCTCATGGATTTTAAGCTGCTTTGCTTCATCCAGAGGCAAGCCTGTTCTGGTTCTCGATTGACCCAAGAGTCAACTTCTTTCACAGGCGAGACTGTTCCGCAGTACGAGAGACTGACAGAATTTCACTACTCACGAAGGAGGCAACCGACGAAATCATTTCTGCAAATTACGAAACGCTGTACAAGTATCAACAATGGGAAACCTCTACTCCTTGACGGAAAGGAGTTTTGGGAGGAGGGGATTAGGCGTTCTGGACTTGAGAATTGCGCGTGACAGCTACCTAGCTCGTCTAGGGTGCTTGCGAAGGACACACCGGCGAAGATCTCAACTCTGACACATCTTCCCAACTTTCTTTTCTGCGACGGCAGCGCTATATACCAAGCATGATCACATGTACCGGAGCTGGCGTAGGATAGCACAGGGTAGTGTACAGACTAAGGCGGACCATCTCAATTCAATTTATGAATTCTTCAAAACTGTGGCAAACGCAACCCGTCCGAACATTAAATGAGCGGTGCTGTATCTCAAACCATGATGCGCCATGCAATCTGGGGTCCATGTTAAACTTTTACCACCACGCCACTGTACAAGAGTAGACCCTGACCGAACTCAGCTCAAAACTCCATTTCTCTTTGATGATGTGGCAACAATAGGTGAGGTGAATAAACCATCCAAAGCTATGCTTTTCAGGTGTGCAATGCCGATTCTCGGCCTGTGCGTCGTACGAGCAGGAGCAGAGACCATTCACCTGGCCTCCAACGACAGATCGGCCACGTCCGATTCACGACCTCACGTAACATCACACCAAGAAGCACAAAAGCAACTGTCATTTCCACCGAACCTTGCGATTTGCTCCCTGCTCCCTTCTCCGTCCTGATTCTCGAGAGAGAATGGAGGAAAGAAAAAAAAGCCTAGGCCGGCGCCCCCTTCTCACTGAACCCTGAAGCATCACCCGCCCCAGGCGCAACCCGGGCCGAGAGCGTGCCGCTGGCGGCCATCATGGCGTGCTTGTGGTCCTCGCGGTCGAAAGAGAAGGTCCGCTGGGGGCGGGGCGCGGAGCCAGATGACGAACTGGGCGGGTGCCATTCTGAGGTGCGGCGCATGGCCTCGGCGGCGGACTTCTCTGTGGTGGGGGACACGGGGGCGGCGAGGCGGGCGGCGAGGTCAGCGTCAGGGCTGGTGTTGATGGAGGGGTTCTGCTGGTGCTGCGTGGCGGACATGGTGTTGGTTGGACCAGCTGGTGGCGGTGGTGGTGAGGTGGTTGTGGCAATAGGAGTGCGTGTGTGGAAGGGTAGGGAGGAGTGTGCGGACGCCAGTTTGTATGTGTGTGTGTGTGTGTAGTCGGGAATCGTGATGCTGTGATAGGAGGGGGAGGATTGATGTGTGGAAGAAATGACCTCAGAGTTTCTGCTTGGTTTTATGCTCTTTTCGTAGGTTAATATAGATAGCCTGGTTTTCCTGAGATGAGTTTGGTTGATCACCTGAAGGAGGCAAGGTTTGGGGAAGAAGGAATCATTGACAACAACGCAAGCTCATGCCACAACCTCAAAGCTACCTCACCACCTCACCAAGCTCACTACAACTAACACCACCAGCACCCTGGCAACGTGCAGGATGGGATCATTTAGTGCTGCAGCTTGCCACCAGCCAGCCGCCAATCCCGCTGCTGGACCCTGAACAGCATGAAAGAAGGGCTGCCCAGGGATGACCTGTCACCCTATCAAAGCACCTGCGGCAGTGGCAATGAGGTCATGTGTGCTGCGGGGTAGCTAGCTAGCTGTTTGCCTCCTATGGGCAGCAGTCACACCTGCTATAACACTCGGGTCGAGCTGATGCGACTTGCTGCATCCTTCCCATAGTACGCACAAGATTTTTGCTGCTACTGCTTGCCAGTTAGCCAAGTCCCTTAGGGTGAGAATCAACATGTTCTCATCAGGCAATGTACTTCCTGACCTTCTCCTGTGCCCCTGCAGCCCTGGATAGTACTCACAAATACCGTTTTCCAATCTTCCGTTTTCCAGTCTTACATGCACAGCACAATACGGTTGCATGCTCAATTCTCATTATGAGCACTCAGTAATAGCTCGCTGCAACGCACTGGCTGGTCCCGTAGCTCAGCTGGTTAGAGCGTCGTACTAATATTTCCTCAATTGAGGAAATATCTGTGATGCGAAGGTCGCGAGTTCGATCCTCTCCGGGACCATTTTCCTTTTTCGTTATTTTTCCCTCTTTTGGGACCAATCTCTCTTTTGGTCTCTTGTCTTCTCTTTCTCTTTTTTTCCTTCCTTTTCTTTCCTTTCCCTCTCCTCTCTCTCTTACGTCTAGCAGTGCGATATCAGATATAGACACTAGGAGATCGGCTGTTCTTCTATCTCTTGTTTCCTGTTTTTCGACATCATCATAGAGTGAGGGCAGAGAAGAGGAAATTGGAAACGGGAAACAGAGAATTCTTAAGAGGGGTCAAGATGCCAACCAAGTACCTTGCAAGGGTTTTTGATGTACCTTCTCTCATCAAAAGACTCCACTTCAAAGTATTCCCCCTTCCGTCTCATGAGTATTGAACTAGCTTTCATTTGCCACAGGCCACTCTAGACTGCGACGCGTGCGCGACGACGTGGGACCTACGTCTGAATGTCACCCATCGCCAGGTCCCATTTCCACTCTGCCAGCTTCACCCTGCCCTTGCCGGCCTTTTCGCTGTCGTAGTCTTGGCCCATGAATCCCCGCTCGAGCTTTCTTTCCATGTCGAGCCCCCTCCACGACCGATTCAGGTGGACGACCACGGAGCGCAGCTGCCCGTGAGCTGAAGATGCGAGGGACCGCAGGGCGCGCAGTACGCTTACTGTGCGGTCATATTCATGCTCGTTTGGTCGGATGATGAACCTGTTGGACGAAAAGAAAAGGCAGGATGCCTCGGCACCGATGGCGCGCGATACATTGAAATAGGACGAAAACGGATCCCAAGTTGGTGAATGTCTTGTTTTTCTAGACGTGTGTGACAGTGTATTCATCCAGTATGTTGAAAGAGATTCTCTGGGACAGGATGTCGATGTCTGTGCTGCTTACCAGGCTGGCTGCGTTGTATATCCGCTGCCGGATATCGCGAGGAAGCTCGAGGATATTCATGGTGTCTGAGCGCTGAAGTTGACGAGAACAGAGAGAGATACTCCCCAGGTGGCATCGAGTTCTGCCGATCCGTCTTTTTTTTTTTTTTTTGGCGCCTCGCAGGCGTACGAGGTAAGATCGTGATCGACCCGCTCTCTTGTCGTTACGTGCTTGATGTTTTTGGTCTTACAAGCTGGGAGGCGAAGGAGTAAAAGTCCTTTGATGACCAGAGGCGCGCGGCGCGTGTGTGCTTATGGACGAGCCAGCTGCTAGGGATACTTCTGACTAAGACGCTGGAGGGAAACACGATTTCGTTCCAGAGTACTTACAGGTGAGACCTGCTCCCAACTTTATCTAGCAATTTCAACATTGTTAAGGGCTCTCTTGACAAGAAGCGTAGCACTTCCGCTGAAGGCTTTTCTGCACGTCCGAAAGTAGCAAATGCTGGCTTCAGAGCTTCGAGCAACAGTTTGGTTTATTTTGAGCTCGAGCGGGACTGGCCTCTTTGGTTCCAATAGCGATGGTTCCGGAGCAGGATCAAGGACGGTTCAGCAGGCCATCAACGGCCACGCCACGCCGCCTGTTCTGTCGTTGGCTGCTACCTGCGTAATTAGGTGCGCACCGAGAGCGTGTCTGTCGCAGATGGCCCTCGCAAGAGAACGTAAGCCATGGATTTGTGACCAACACCATGGAATTCTGCGGGGATGGTTGGCGAGAAAATCACATAAAAGGGTTGCATCGTCATGCCACATGAAGGCGGTTGAATGTGCGAAAGCCAAGAAAGCCAACAATATAGATCACTGAGCACCTATATCACTATCTTGCACCGAAGTATCATAGCGATCGGCGTCAAGCGGTTCTTCCATTTACTCTTCTACATCGGTCTTTACGATGTTTTTGTTTGCGCCGCCCCTGGGCTGGTGACGTCCGAGCTCGTGGAAATGATTAGTTGGGGTTCCAACACAGGTCGACTAACATGGTATTTCAATACGGACCGCACCGACAACCCTCTTGTCAATTTCAATCAACTCATTGGAATTGCAAATGCACACTGGAATTGGGACATAAGATAGAAGAATTCCCGCTCAGATCAAGGCACTTGCCTCGTGGCGTCCCTGTGGGATCTTACGAGTAAGACTGTCTTCTTCTCAACAGTCCCGAGGGGCGATCTCAAACTCTAGATGTACAACGAGGGGTCTACTGTCGCGCCGGCGTGGTGGGGTCAGGTGAAATCGATGACACTCAAGGACTACTGGTATGCCGAGAATGGTTGCTACTTCAATTATGAGCGCGCATACAAGGCCCAGGTGAACAACGGGATCTACAACACGTACAGCGGCACCGATACGGCGGGAAGGCTGATCAATCTTTGCGGCTCTACCAATGAGAAACGGGATCCATCCTGTATGGACGTGGCAGACGCTCTTGGAGTGTGGTACTATGGAAAGAGAAGTGCGGCCATTCTGGCGCAGCTGGCTCCGGACCAGGACGACCCTTCAATGTATGATGATCCAGAGCTCGAAGCCATGATTCAGGAGGGGTGTTTTGACAACCCAGCCCAAAGAGTCATGCATATCCAGGGTGACAGCAAGGCGCGGCGTTCTGACAGTGGATCTTCGGTCTCGTCAACAACTTCGAACTCGTCGTCAACTTCTTACTCGTCGGTAGCTTGCCCTGTCTCTTCTGCCCTGGTGCTGCCTTCGACGTCCCCAGCTGTCTCCATCACCCTGTCCTACCTTTCTCAATTTACCGGCACCTCCACCGCTACGGAACCAACCACCCTATCGTCAACAGACACGTCGTCTTCTTCAGCGGCCCCCGCGGTCACTGGCTTCCGCTGCTCGATGCAGGAACCCGATCCAAGCGAGGGCGAGCCCAGTGCCCTCTGTGTCTGTGAAGACGCAAAAACCACGATATCCGCCCCCTTGCTCAAAGTTCCCTCGTCAGCGCTGACGTCTACTCGCAAAGCTGTGAGTACAGTACACGGCCATCTGCCACGGAAACCAATGATCTCAGCGGCCTCACGACGAATATCAAGATGTGTCAGATCTGCACGCCGTATGCCATCAATGGGGACAACTGCCAGACCATCTCGGGCTGCACTCAACAACTCGCAGCAGCCACCATGATCATGGGCAGCAAGCCAGTCCACGTCGGAATCCTGACAGGCAAGGATCTCTACACATCCGTCTCCGATGCTCTGGTTTCCCTCTGCCCGACACCTTCTCAGACCAAGTCAGCCACCCAATGCGACGAGACTGGGTCGGCATCGATCCGTGGGATCGATTATGTTGTTGACGGGTCGCTGGGGACAGGCTCGCTCGAGGTTCAGGTCCCCACAAGCAGCTATAATGACTCGAAAATTCTTTAGGCCATGATCGATTCGATTGCAACGTCTATCCGGAATAGTGCAAGCTCGGCGTCTGGAAATAATTGCTTTACAGTTGAATACACGGTCGATGAACTGAAGCGCGGCCTTACATTCCGCGATCTATCCCAGGCTGCTCTAGAATATGTCGGCCTGGGTGAGTTTGTCCGTAGGGACCACGCTTATTCCATTCAAGAGTCTATGGAGATGTGCAACGGAGCATGGTTCCATACTGCCGAGTACTACGATCCGTTTTGGAGGACTGCGCCCAAGAGGGGCGCGACGGACTTATCAACGCTGAGGTGACGTTTCACACCTCCAACAGTGACAATTTCGTTTGCGATTTCTTAGATGCCCTTGTGGATGACTTGGCCGTGGTAGCACCAGAGTTCGTCGCTGAAGATTTTGAGCTGGAAGAGGGCATCAATGCCCTGTGTTGTATTGAAGATGGATCCTGCAGTATGGGTAACACGGGTTGAAGCACCTGCTGGCTAGGTCTTCGATTTTGTCTAAAACATTGATTGGTTCATGTATTTGGTGGTTTCTTTTTCCTGGTTTTTTTTTTCCTGTTGTCAAATGAATTATTTTGCCCCATATTATTCCCAATGTGTTGTGTTTCTTTTTTTCTTCTTTTTTTTCTGCCTCTTTCTTTTCAGCTTTATACCATTTGAGATCTCAACACCTGATCCAAATCACTTTGAAAGCTTCTAGAATGGATCCGTCTACAAATTGCCAACAGCATTAAAGTGCTTTTTCTACCTGGGTAAGTAGGGAAAGAGGAAGAAAAGCAAAGAGATCACTGGAGCCATCTAATACATGATACAACACAAAAACGATTGCTGCCTTAGTAAAAGCTGCTGCGAGGCATGAGATTCTCTCTCAAACCACTCTCAGCATGATGAACCATGAACAAGGTGAGAATATGTCTGACAAGTTTAAGACGCTCCCTGTGGTGTGTGAAAAGCAATTTCAGACCGCATACTCCGGCCGGGAGCACTACCTAGGTAAGTTACGCTTCCACGTCAGCAATCCTGTGTATCCAATTCCTTATCAAAACTGATTCATTTGTGAAGATGCTCAGCTGCTTTGCCCACCCTTGACCCGATTTTCTGATGAGTGCCCTTATCAAATCATGAGACCCATCGGCCCATCTTGCCCATTTTGCAAGTCACAATAAGCCCTCAGAGACATTCGTGCCTGGCTCTTGTAGAAAGTTGGGCCCCAAACAGGTTGTGTTGGTTGATATGTTTTCTTTTGATTCTACCCTACTGTCTTGCACTCCTCATCGCAATCACAAGCCACTCGAACGCATGGCAAAACAAATGACACATTATCCGTCACATCTGCCGCGAGTCTTATAGTTATAAATATCACTGATATAGAGGACTCCGTGAACTCCTCCTTTTCCTTCATTCAGCCCGCTGACAAAATTTTGAATATTTTTCGCCAGAACAACCTGCCTGGCGACGACAAATTGGTCATTGAATAAAGGCATAGATTGAGGCAACGGAGTAGGCGCTCACTGCGCATGCCGTAAGCAGCCGAGGACTTCCCAATCCAACGCTATATACTTTCGGCCAAGATTCAAGGCTTGTATTGCCCGCTGTTGTAGCCTGACGGTGCAATCAAATATCGTGATGGGGGCCTACTTATTGGGCCAGCCTATGAGTAGCGTCCAATAGGCATTATAGTCATGGTATTGATCCAAGCGACTTCGTATAAGGCTAGTAGCTACCTAGGATGCTGGCAAAAACTTTTGAGTTCGAGCAGCTGTTGATATGCTTCCTACTTGGAACATTAATGAGTATCTGAAACTTGATACTTGCTGATGGAGCAAAGTACGCCTTTCTTTCCTCGAGTTACGAGCAAGTCCGTGAGCTCGATGAAAAAAACAAATATTTCGGTCTCCTGGAGGCAGTGTAGGACCAGGAGCGCCAGGAAGCCGATCATAACGAAGCATAGTGACCACCTTAGAGATAAAAAATTGCAACTTGGACAGCAACCGTCGACTCGTTCGAGCCGAAGCAATTACTGCCCCTGGGCCAATCCAGTGGAAACAACCCGCAAGCGAATTGAGACCAAGGATTAGCAACAGCAATAGAGATCAGCTCGACCGCACCAGCAAGCCAGTGCAGACGGCCAATCAAACAGAAGCAGGAAGAAAAAAAAAAGAAGTAAAGAGAAAACGGGAACTAACCTGGGAGGCGAAAGAGCTATAAAGGAGAGACTGCGCATGGGCCTCTACCTGCATTGCACTTGCCTGTTGTCTACGTTTACGGCGCATATCATACTATTTGGAAAGAGCGAGTTTCTGGACGGGTTGCCAAGCGAAACATGTTGCACTGCCAGTTGGCCATCGCATCTCGACTGTACAGGAAGGTGCAAATGCTGCACGCCATTCTCAAACTCGCAACTGCTTCTCGAAGAATGCAATGAAAGCAAGCGCGTCCCGACCGTACAGGGAGGTTCAATTGCTGCATGTCGTTCTCAAGCTCGCGACAGCCTTTGGGAGACTGCAAAATAATAGCTAGCACTGATCATAAACTTTAAAGCAGCATATAAGCAACAGAAAATTGGATCATAGTTCTTAGAAAGAAAGAAGAAAAAAAGATAGCAAAAATAGTGCTTTAATACGACTCGAACTTGAGCCTCCGGCAACAAAAAGAAGCTTCTTTTCGATTGACCGTCAGTATGACTCGGCCAAGCATGGATGCCCGGAGGCAATATATCAATTTAAAGTTTAGCTTATATAGCCTAAACTCTAGCCACTCGCTTCCAGCTTACAAAGCGAAATGCTACTATGAGCGGCCCAAACTTTGCTTCCTAGCAAACTGTTATGATGCGCTCCATTTCAACTCTTGTTTTGTCGCTCCAAGGCAACAAGTTCTACTTTAAGCTGGACTGATAGCGTATCATAAGAGAGAGGAGAGAGGGGCGTCTGGGATGTACGAGTACTCTTCAATGATTGATTTCATAGCAATAACGCCAGCTCAGAATGCAGCGACCAGCTCCTAATTAGTATGAAACGTGCTCCAATCGCCGTCAATCGATGCATTCTTACCACTGAAAAGCACCATTCCTTGAATTTCAATCGCAATTTTTTCTAACCAGCCGTCAGCACGTCTTGCAACGGAATTACCCTGCATGCAGGCACATCCCTTCTGCCTCCTGGACTTCCTCTTCTTTCTTCTTCTTCTTCTTCTTCTTCTTCTTCTTCCTCCTCCTTGCCTCTCTCCTTCGTAATTATTATCGCTTGCTGCTGAGAAACAGGCAATGATAAATAGAGATCAAATTTGTCCCTAGCTAATGGGTGAGGATCGAGTTTCTCCCACCGCGAAAATTAATAAAGAGTAAAGAGTTTAGGATCTCATTTTCCTCTCCTGACCTAGCTATTTCACGTTAAGCCTGAATCTAACGCACATAAACCAATTTATTTAATCAATGTACTGGTTGGCGTTTAGGTATATAATGTAAATTCATACCAATGTACAAAAGAGAAGACTAAGCATATTCTGAATCTGATGCTCTAGCTGTGCAGGCTCGATCGATCTTTTCGCAGTGAATGAAGGCTCAGTCAAAGCCTTTCACAAATCCAGTCAACAGTCATAATAGAGCCGCTCTCGCTTTCCACAATATATAGAACCTTTTTATCATCACCTCACGAAAGATTGATTGTTCCATATCCGATATGTCCCGTGGTAATGCATATCATGAGGGTTCCGTCCTTTTGATGCACAAAAACGGTGCCTAGTGTGGAGTGTGCGACGAAGATGTTGCCTTCGCTGTCCGTAGTCATACCGTCAGGGCCACCTACACCGAAATAGGTTGAGAAACGACCAGTGCGCTGCACACTACCATCGGGATATAGAGGTCCGAGCCAGACGCTATTATCTCCGGTCATGGCGACAAATAGGCTGGTCTGAAGAGCGTCCAGGACCAATCCATTTGGCGAAGGGCAGTTTCGCAAAAGGATGTCGATACGACCGTCGGCGCCGATTCGGTAGACCCTCCCCGAAGGGTCCTGAGTCACACGAATGCAACAAGGCCTCTAAGCTCCAGTGGTGAGATATTTATTTTTATTTTTGAAACGCAATGCCAATTCCCAATGCTGACTGTAATGACCTCCCAACTTTTGCGACAGTCACATTGTATGCTGCCCTAGCTTCTGACAAACCAACAAACAAATCTCAGGACCAACCTTCAGCATCAGAGCATAAAATACTTGTCAGAGACTACACCTTGAACAGCTGCCCTGTATTGCCTCATTCTCTTTGCATCCTTTTAGTACTCTTACTCTTTATTGAATCAATCCAATTTCACACCTTTCACCACCAGTACTAGAGCATTCACTATGTCTATCACTCTTCAAGTCTTGATTCTCAAAAGCAACTCTGAATTTGATAAGCCCGCCACTACGGATGGCGAGAAGTGGAAGGGGGCCATGGGCTATCTCTCAAGTTGTCCCTACTGGTTCAGCTCTAGCTGGGGCCGTCATCACGAGGCGCTGGACTACGTGACCCTACTCGTCGAATGGCAAAGCGACGGCGCCACGCACGAGTTCCTCCGCAACTATTACACGAAATTCGCCGCTCTCCTAGACCCATTGCTTGGTGTGCTATCCAGCCTGCCTCAGGTGGTTGACCTCCACCAGAGCATCGTGAAACCTTACGTCGTGCCCGGAGGCTATGCATTGGGCTCGACGATTGTGAGGAAGCTGATCTATGATTCCCTCAATGATAGCCAACGCTTGGGGATGAAAACAGCATTCAGCCTATACGATCAGAGTCTAGCTCAGGCGGCGGATGGTGATGCAGCTGGATATATTGCTGGAACGGCAGCATGGGCACTGGATACAAACAAGAATCCAACCTCCACTTTGTGGGTGTTAGTAAGCTGGGAGAGTCTCGATGCAGAGTTGAGGTGCGAAAGGTCTTTGCGAGCTAATTCTGGGGAGAAGCTTCAAGAGATATTTCATCGAGAAGTGGTGGCGCCAGCGGATGCTGGCGGAGAGATATATCACGTTGCTTGGCAGTCCTATGCCACAGCTTCTATAGTCGTAGAAATGGTCGGAAAGACCGAGGGCTCTGAAAGAGACTATACTATGAGGATCCCAAGTTGAAGATTTTTATACAAGTGATAGCGGCTATAGAGAATTTAGAGTTTGCCTTATCTTTTTTATATATTATATAATTTTCTATATGTTGAATAGCTTTCCAAAGCACTGTTATGCTGCTCCTCTTGCTTCGCTCACCCTGGTAGAACTTCCACTTCGGTTCTATCCGGCCTTACGTTCCTTGGTCGATTTCCGTGCACTGGTCCAACTCCGTCCTTCAGCCAGCTACATTGTAGGATAGCCCGCCACTGGGTCCGCCAACCTCCTCGCCATGTCCGGTATCACCAGAGAACAGCGGTCGAGGGGATGGAACGTCAAGTTCTTTATCGGCAAGGACGCGTCCGCCGGCATCTACCAACGCGACAACCTCCTCACGATCGGCGACGTAGCCCGCGATCTCGAACTCTGCATCGTCTTCTCGAATCTGCCAAACGACACCGACGACTGGCAGGCGGTGCTTTTGCCGCGGCGTGTGGACGCAACACCAACGGACATGCATATACATATCGCCCTCGACAAAGCCAACATGGAGCCATTCCCCGGGCCGACCATTGTCATGCAATACACCTACCTTTTCCACTCCAGCAGCCGCTGCGCTCTTCCAAGCGGGCAGCCACACAGCCCCACCAGTCCCTGCTACCATAAGCCCCTACCACCAACACGGCGATACAATCCGCGCCACGCTGCCATCAGCAAGCCGTAAACCAATGGCAAGCTTGTCATGGCACCGCTCCGGAACGCGAGGGCTATGAAGCGTCCAAACAGCTCCTCCACCTCGCGTTCTCGGCATCCGAGCACGTCGTCCACCCCGAGCGAGATCGAGAACGAAGAGATCCCGGTCTCGATCATCACACCAGAGACAGCGCGTGGTTTCATGGGCGCCTTTCGGTCGAATCTCTTGGGAACAAACCCTGTCTGCGCCATCAGCGGCAAGGGCAAATCCTGGGTCGATGGCTTGCCCGGCACGGGCATCGAAGCCGCGCATATTGTTCCCCAGATCCACTGGGCTGTCTACCCGCTCGACGCTGTGAATAGTGCTGGTCTCGAGGAACGCCCCAGTGTCGAGGACCGGCCGAGGCTAGAGATGGCGTGGCGGCGGACGTGGATGTAAGTACTGCGCAATGGCTGGCAAGGCTGCCCAGCCCGTCTAAGAGATATCATAGGTCCTCCAATGGGCTACCTCTGCTCAGTCACCTGCACAAGTGCTTCGAAGCCCGACTCGTCTCGATCCACCCGTCGACCCGCCGAGTCCGCGCCTTCGTCGAGTACGATATCCTTACCGAACACAACGGGCAACAAGCCCATCTGCCGCCAGCCATCGATACCGACGCTGAGGCATTGCAGTACCATTACGATATGTGTTGTATCGAGAATATGATTGCCGCATGGATCCCCGATGCAACCGCCCTGCTGGATCGTCGCGAAGCACCCTTGGTAGCACCGCAACAAAATGCCCCCGCAGGGTCTACCAGTGGGCAAGGAACAATAGACAACAGTCGCGACGCTTCGGGCCAGGAAACATCGACTCGTCAAACATCCGTCTCCCAAGATATCCCTCCCGCGTCTGGCCACACCACCCACCCACCCTCCCCGCCCCCTAGTAACGTGGGCGGGCCCAGGTGGATGTGCGGGGCCGAGGTGATAGACGACCTACAAGAAGCTGCGGAGCTACTGAAGCACGGCTGGATCCTTCAGGAAGTTGGCGCCGGAGAAGAGGAACGCGGTCGGTCCTCCAAGAGACGGCGATGTACTACGACGGACGCGGACAGCGGCGGTGACAACGAGCAGCCAAGCAAGAAACAGCGGCTTGCTGTTACAGGCTTGTCGCCGGATAGCAGCAATGATTGAGAGTGACAATCTGGCTGGTCACGTTCTGCATGAGCGCGATCCAAATCGCTCCTCACTGAGCTGCACGCCCTCGCCCTGGTCCAGGTGTCGTCAGAGCCGGGTCCAGGTCTATATCCCCCCCCCCCCCCCGGTCAAGTCGGCTGCACTTCGACGGTGCCCATCATTCGTAGCCCCCAGCAACAGGTAAAGTGGGCTTGTAAGGTGTACCGACCGACCCTGGTACTCGGAGCACATACCAGGGAGCTCTGTTCCTATCAATAGCAGTTTCTTGCATAGACGGCCTCAGCTCTACACTGTTCGTACATAGCTGTTCCACCCCCTTGTCACGTTTTCCGTGAGGTGCACCAGACATCCGATTATAGACGAATCCATCTTAGGTAAATGGGCGGCGATATGCCTGCATGTGCACATGTTCGAGCACCGTGATAATATGCGTAGGGACGAGGCCGAGAAACCTCGCTGTGGTGGCGCTGATGGCCTCGTTCCGAAGGCTGGGGGTAGGCAAGAGGCGCCAACTAAGATGTGTTTCAGTGGGAACTGAAGGAGATACGGCTGGAGGAAACAGGCAGAGCCCGAAAATATCAGATTTTGACATGCAGATGCATAAGCCGGCCGCCAGTTAGTATATCTTGCACCTAGATTACCCTGCATGCAGGTGCATGCATGTGTATATATGCTGCAGCATGTAAGCAGTTTTGTATCCGCCATCTTGGCCCCCCGTGCCTTGTGAAGATTCTCAGTGACACGAGATTGAGAGAAATAATGAACGAAGCCCTGAAGCCGGGAATCTTCCTGTCGTATGGGGGAAATCGATTGAGGAAATAGGCTGATGACATCGCCTTGATTGAATACACAGATTTGAACACAGCCAGAAAGGCGATGGTTTATGCGCGACGAGAAGACCGGGAAATCGAAACGCAGTGCAAAGGGGGGCACTCGTGCCAGCAGAGATCAATGTTAAGACACCACAGGGGCTGAGCTGAACGGAAATGCCATGCCTTTTATCAAAGCTGCACCAACCCAGTTGAATGATAGCCACACACACCTTTGTCTTCATGCAAGATTGATGTACTATGTACGTAGAAAACCATGGTATACTTTGTTAATTGCCCCGTAAGCTGGCCAGAGACATGCAAACTTTCGAAAAGAGGCTCGCGGATCGCATGCACGCCTTCACGTAGCCTTGGAGCCCTACTATGGCGAACAATTCCGAGCTCCAGCCCATCCCTTCGTACTTGTCAAGTAGATGGTTGCCCGCTCAGCATTCAACGCGCCGCCCTACCGAAGATATGCCATGGCCCCCAATCTCGGCCCCAATTCTAACGCGGCACCCATTGACATACGGTTTTAATATGCGTTGTTGCAAGCCTGAATATACTCTTGCTGGGGCTCCTTCAAGGCACTCAAAACGCTAAGAGCTGCCGTTGATCTGCATTTCCATTCCATTCTTGAATTCTGCTCTATGCCTTGTACTGAGACGATACAGGTTGTTTCTCTATCTGCAGTAAGTACACTCTTGGAAACTCTCTCAGACTTTACGGCAGCTTGGGAAGCCTCCACTGCATTCACATGCATCTTTTCATAACAACACCATCGAGGAGCCATAGTCCAAGCAAGCATAGTGTATTCTGTATACTGACGGTACCCGGTAGTGAGCGAAAAGCACAATTCCCCAGTCCAAACTCTACGCTTGCCCTGGGGTCGATGCTACATTATCAATGATCGATCCCTAATCCCATGAATCGACCATCAAATCTGGACCCTCGCATTCGCGTCCATAGGAGCAAAAACAACTGCTGGAGCTCTGGGTACTACTCCCGCCACTACTGAGGTTTTGAGACATGACCCGACAAGCGAGACCAGACACTTCGTTACGAATCACAAGGCTGTACGCCCGGCTTTGTCCCTGGACCGGGACTGGATATAGGAATGACTGTGAGCGCTTCTGAAAAGAAGGAAGAAGAAAGAATAACGGAGAGGGGAAAAGCAGTTGGCTAACTGAGGCTATAGACAGAGGGTGCCTGGCGATAGTGGGGCCAGTGACTCACCAGGCCTCGCACACTGAACGCTATGCTGAGCAGGTCTATTGCGGTGCATGAGCAATCAGTCCATAGTCTGAAACAATCGGACAGTATCAAGTTGTTCCATTGGGTTCGCCATGAGGTCAGAATTGCTACCGCAGAAGGTGATTACGGCCCGGCGAACCCTTTCCGAGATCCCAAATTCGAAGAGGCATGGTAGTCAGTAGCTGAGCATTTCATCAATATCTCATGTCTCATGCATGAAAACTAGTTCGATAGATCAGCAAATTCCTTCCAGAAGTACCCCTCCTGGTGACCTGGTTTTCATGGAAGTTGATAGCAAAGAGGAGCCTTGAAGCCTGTGAATATCTCGCCGAACGGTATGAGCGATATTTTCAACAAGACAGCCATCTTCAAGGCTTGGCAGCTCTCCTAGATCGAATTCAGCATTGTGACACAACAGGGTTGCGAGCATCTGATCAGGCGAAGGGTGAGGTTGGTACTTGCATGGCCTTTCACAATAACACTGTGCCAGGAGCTTTTTGGTTGACCTACCATACTTTCTCGGATCTTCCAATTCTTCAAGAATGCCTGCTGGAGTTGCAACAGGCTCAGCGGGTTAAAGATGGAGGAGTATCAACGATTAACTACACCTCTACTGCACCCCTCTGTCCAGTCCTGCTCTCCACTCTATATGAGGTACTCGGGTGCTAGATCACTCAGCATGCATGTACATGCATTGCTTCATCGGTTTCCCGCTCCTAAAGAAATGAATCAGATCATATTTGTCCGGAACAAAGGGGACAGCGTTCTTTCTGCCCCATTTTAAAGCTTCTCCCAGGTTCTTAACAAGCTCTCGCTTTTACCTCTAAATATACTTTCTCAAGTCTGGAAGATGTGCTTTCAAGTTTGAGGAGCGGCTATATGCTAGCTATTTTCTACTTCGCAAAAGTATTGTGAATTCTGATGAAGACTGGTCTGCCAGATGTGAAGATTGAGACTTAATGTATATGATGGTCTGGAGAGTTTCTTTACAGCAGCCTTTTCGGCAGCTGATATTTGAGTATTGCATCAGAAGTCTTTTGTATATTCAGTATTAGGTGGGAGACTTCTTTTTCTTGCCTCGGAGCTATCTTATTGTAGTGGATGTGTGTGAGGGCAAAAGGATTGCATTGCAGTGCGCTGAAGAGAAAAGAGAAAAGAAGAGAAACACCACGAGGCCAGCTATCTGAGGCTATCAACAGGTCTGGCTGTTGGCTGGCTGGAGGGGCCGTGAGTCACTGGCCCACACACAGGATGAGCATGTTGCTGAATTAATCGCTGATCTTTTTCGAGGATCTGCGGAATCCTAACTTCTGAGGAGGCTATGCGTGACTATCAGCATCGATATCCTCCTTGCTACTAATTAGTCACTCTCTTCCCTTCCCAGTGCATGAGAGCAGTGCAACAGGATGATATATCTGGTAGGTCAATTAGTCTGATTTCCTGGGATTGGAATTAATATCATCACCTCTGCTTTCCTAAAGGCTCAAGAGTAGTATTGGTGTTCAGACATCTCTTATATCAAGCTGCTATCAGCCTTGGCGGTCCATTCGATGCCCGGCATCGTATTTATATGTGTAAAGTAGTGCTCTGCTCCTTAAATAATTATTGCCGAGCTCGACATGATAGATTTTGGCGAGTCTTCCACGGCAAGTTGTCCCCACCGGTCTCAAGTAAATTCTCCTTCGCCGGCGATCCGGTTACCGTCGGCTCATTTCTACGAGATGTGGTTGCTTTTCTAGTCCTTCCATTTCAGTATCATTCCTTTGCCTATTTCGCTTCAACTTCGAGCGCTTTTCTGGAGACTACCCGCAGCTCTGCATGGCCGTCTTTCGCGGCCTCCTTTCCTTTTCCGTTTTCAGCGACAGCCTCCTCTCCACTGGGCAAACCGAGCTCCATTGCCTCACTGACCTTGAGATGCCCTTTCATCCGAGACATTTCCGGATATGTCGTGGCATCTGTCGACCTCTATCCACAGTAGTGGTCGGACCATGTGTATAGCTCCTCCAGCATACTCTTGCATCTGTCCGGCAGCGATGAAAATGTTAGATCGTTGGTACTCCCTGCTATGTGCGTGGACTATTCCGGTCGGCAACGTAGACCTGGCGATCCTCTACCCAGGCTGTCACTTTGCTGTTTCGTGATCTGCATGTGGGTGGGTCATAACACACCTGTGTGAGAGTGTGGGTGTACATCATGGCTGAGAAGTGGAGTGTTGTTACTTTTGTGTTGTTCATCTACCCGAATAGGTGAGTAAATTCGTCAGCTTCGTGACAATATATCTTTTAGCTCTTACCAGCTCCCTGCAGCTCAGCTTCGCGTAGATAGCCTTATTGGTTGCAACTGACATGACTGAACGTCAGCTCTAGGCAGTTCTGGGAAAAGAGAAGGAGGAAGAAGAAAGAAAGGTAGTCGGCATGGACTTCAATTGCACGAGGCTTTCAAGCCTCAATGTGGTGGGCAGACTGACTCGTTCCGCTACTTACCGAGCTTCTTACAGCCAGCCACTGAATTGATAGTTCATGCGTATCCCCACGCAGTAGGTCAGCCGGGGTGTTGTCACCCTTCTTTCGCCTAACTCCGGTCAGCCGGTATTATAAACATATCACTCTCTGCCAGAACACGGTAATTATCTTGGGCATCTAATTTGGATCCTGCTCATTGCCTCAAGTTTGCTGGATCACGGCTCCATCATACAGTCCCATTGAACCCCCCCCCCCCTTTCTACTGTGCAAAGATCAGCTCTGCTCACATATTCGTCATTCTGTCCATCTGGGCACCGGAATCATGGCTGAAGAACCGGATGCATCGTTGAGTGAGATGGAAGGTATCCAATCCAACGATGGCACAGAAAATGATAGCTCTAAATGGATGTGGGGAGACTTGCCTCCTGAGGATGATCCTGCATTTCAGGAATTTCTACGCGTTTCTGGTAACTTCACTCCAAGTACACCTATCAAATCAAGAGGCGTCTAACTTACAATTCTCCAAAGCGACCAGGAAGCCCCCCTCGCTGGAAGACCTTGAGAATTGCTGTGGCATATGGCCCGTACCGCCAGAAAAAGGCTTTTCAAACCACGCTTCTTTCGGTCAGGACGGAACCACGGCGAGCGTCTCGCGCTCGGGAGACATCGTACAGATCACCCGGTTCTTAGGCGCGGGCAAATCTGGCATTTTCTCCATGGACCACAAAGACGTCAGCCAGCCATACCTCGTCGTTTCGCGAGCTGCTGAACTCGAGAAACTCTCATTCGCGCCAACTAATATCTACTCGTTTGGCATTACCCTGGATTTTGATGTATGGCCTGCTCCGGAAAGCAGGAGCGTCAAATGGGTTAACTGGAAATGGCCACGCTACGAATGGCAGACGAATGGGATGAAGATCATTTTCCAGTATATGGTACGAGATGGGGTTGTTCTACATCAACTGCTTTTTAAGAATCTCACCTCTGGCTTGAAGGATCTTTGGGAGCTTCGTATCGATGGCAAACCGTACATAAGAGACCTCGACTACTTGCGCTACAATTCTGACGACTCCTCCAACGTCCACGGATCAGGACCTCATCAGTACGGCCGTGTGACAGTAAAAGAGAGCATGGAATACCAGGTAGCAGCCGTGCTCAATGTGTTCGTCGATGGCAAGAGAGCAAAACTGGATGAACATGGATACTATAATCTGCAAACCCTATCCGCTGCGGGCGGTGACGGCAACAGTCATATCAGGGAGATTGTTCTTGCATACAAACTAAGTTATCATCCCAAGAAAAAACCATTTTGTTGGAAAGATTCCATGATACCCGCCGAACAAGTCGATGTCAACCAATTTCTCGAGGAGGAAACTCGCGAAGGTTACAAGAAGACAATGGACCCAGGTCTGTTCAAGGATGTCTTGGACTTGCATAATCTCGCACCGGCTACGCAGGACAAAGATCAGACAAGTCAAGAGAAAAGCACAATCGTGGCACGGAGCAATATGGAAACCTGTTCACAGGCCGAACCGAGATCGACAAGCCCTGGTGGGAGTCACACAGAGCCGACATGGGCAGAACGGATCGGGAAGATTGGATACTTGACGTGGCGACATTTGGAACATATTCTATCCGTCTGTGCTATACCCTTCTCGCCAAGCCCAGCCCTTACTCTGTCGGAAGGGCAGAACACCTCTGACGCGCATGACACACCATCACTTGTGGCTTTGACCTGTGGAGACATGTCAGGTCATCGCATTTCTACATCAGCAAGCTTGTAAGTTTCAAGCAACCATGGCACAGATTTAGTTGAAAGGGATACTGACAGTTAGATATATCTTCAGCTACTCTTTTACTTTCCTAATCCACATCGAAGATCGACTGAAAAAGTACGGCGGGAACGAGGAATACATTTCTCAACTTCGGGCTAGAATCAAAGACACTTGCGACGGACATATCAGGTGGCTTGAGCACTTGTTTGAGCATCCAGGCGAGAGACACTGTAATTCTGGCTGCTTCGCGGCGAATTACTGGGTCACGGGTTGCGAAATGCCCTTGGACAGTACTACATGGCAACCCGACAATGCTGTAACGGATACAGCATTCCAGATTCTGAAGATCACTGAGTATATCAGTACCTTTTGCAACGATAATCCACCCAAAGAAGTCGAATCACTGTTGACCAAGCTGTTCGTATCTTGGCTGCACACCCTTGAGAGGCTGGATCCAAGAGCTAGATTCGCATGGCCTCACAATAAAGAAGACGGAGTCAACAAATTTCGACTTGAGGACAATCTCTGGATTTGGAAGGCGCTCCAAGCCATGGATAAAAGGAAAATGTACTCACAGCTTCCATTCTTCAGAACAGTCACTGGAAAACGCGACAAGCAGCGACGCGAAACAGTGTCAGAGGAGAACAAAAAAATGAACAGATTTCTTGATCTAGTTGGACAGAAAGAAGACTTTCGCAAGATATCACTATCTGCTGACCCGGAAAGGTCCTCTGAGAAAACATTTGAGGAACTCTACGAGCGCTTTTATCTCATTCAGAAGCGGCTCGCTCCAAGCGACGTCCTCCGAGGCATATTGCAGCGCTTTACGATCATGAATGATGTCTTGGGCAAGGTGAGTTGACTTTTCTACAAACAGGCAAACTGAGTACCACGGTACTCATACGAGTATCTGAATCCCTTCAGAGACATGATCAAAAGGTCACTGCGTGCTAATTCAAGATCGCTAGCGTATGCTGGCCGTGAGTCGATCACCAAGAGAGACACGGTTTCTGCTTCACAATCGTGACACGATACTAGTCCATGAACTGACTAAAAAAAATATCCCCTCGCTCGATGACTCTTTCCAGCAACTATGGGATGACACAGTCAATTCTCAGCCATACCATCCTGACAATGAGGAATACAGCTCCAAATGGCTCAGTATCATGCGATATGCTTTGAGCATTATGATGGGCAGCCAAGACAAATCTCTTAACAGCAAGAAGCCAACTGATGCGCAACGGGACTCGGTTGACACGCTACTAAGATTCTTCGGCCACAATGGCTTCCTTGGCGGGCAGCTAGGCGAGCAAACTCGACAACCGGTACTTTTTGACGCTGTGGAGGATAGAGATCCCTACTATCATGCCAGCTTTGAAATCCTATACGTTCTGCTTATCTATGCTGAGCGTCTTGGGCTGGAACCAGGTATGAAGAAATCAGCTGGTAGAGAGCAGGACAGCGAAATATCCGATGTCCTTCAACATGATCAAGGTTTCTCGTCATACTTTGCCGAGCGGCCAAAAATACAGAAAGAACTTCAGCGCAATTGGATCAACAGCGTGTTGAAGGAGTCAATGCCGTTCAACAACTTGATCGATACGAGTAACATTTGCTCAATCGACGAGGAATGGCTGCTAAATTACCCGGAGTTCCTATCAGGCCTGAAAGTCAATTTCGAAGACGTCGAGCAAAGAGAAGCCGCAGATATCAACACATGGATAACCGATGCGAAGAAACAGAAACAGTATGGCAAGCCACGCAAGCTTAATCGAGAACCATGGGACGAGTCCCCTGTCCAACATTGCACCAACCAACGGCTAGAAGAAATACTCGGATCACCTCGAACAGCACGAAGCTCCAAAAAGAGGTTTATCTGGCTGCACAATGCCAACTCTGTGGCGAAATCACTTTGCCAGGCTGCGACTGCTCCGGAATTAGAGAAGCAGGCAATGGTAGTTTTCTTTGATCGCCACTTACAGGACGAGGCAATTGTTTGGGATGATACGACATTTGCTCTGAATACATGGCAGACCGAGGTGCATCTCAATTTCCACTTGCTAGTATGTTATTAATGTTGCCTGCCACCTTACGATTTTCGATGAGAAGTTAACACGGCTTGTTATTTCAGTGCGAAGAACACCTTCCCACGAGTCTATGCCGCGCTTCAATGAGTTATCGATTTCACGGTGACCTTGTTGACCGTCATTGGACCTGTCACTTCATCGAGTCTAAGTCTTGTGATGGAATGGTTCAGGATCCGACGTCGGAATTTTTGCGGGACGATATTTTCGACTCCTATGAGAAGAGTAGAGACAATTTCAAGGAATGGTGGCAAAGAAAAATCCTTGAAATTCTTCTGCTTCATCGAATATTGGACAAGTTCCTCACGAGCACTGACGACATCTTGAACAAGATGGAGAAGATCTCTCAGGCCAACGAGAACACAGGCTTCCGGATACCGACCGAAAAGACAAAGCTTCCCTCACATGTACTCAGACTTCACGACGTGGATATACTCGAGAAAGTCGAAAACGATTTGACATCCACACTGGAGAGTCTTGAGAGATGGAACAACAGGGAAAAGGACCGTGGCCAAGAGAAGCCCCGATGGACACTCAACGACGAGAGAAAATACCGGAAAAGAATCCGAGAACTGCAAAGGTTGATCGGACAAGATCACAGTCACCTTCGAAAACAGAGAGAAGAAGTATTGAAGCTGCAGAAACGACTCGAGCACAAAAAGGAGAAGCGGCGCATTGAAAGGAATTCACATTCTGAGAGGAACATTCGATGGTTCACTTATATTACCATTGTTTTCGCGCCTCTTTCATTCGCAGAGGGATTTTACAGCATGAACGGAGCTCCGAGCCACCCACTGATTGCGTCACTGGCCAAATTCTCCTTCGCTGCTCTCACCGTCACCGGCATGATGATTGTTGTCGTTATCAACATTGTACCTATCCTGAAGATATGGAAGAACAGTTTCCTGGAATATGATGACAAGATGGATGGGAAATCTTTGGACAAGCTCGCAGATTCAGTCCTGAAGCCTCTCGCCCGTGGTATTTCATACTCGGTGAGTCTTCAGGGACATGGGGCGCTCTCCGGGAAGGTCGTAATACGTTACACCTTTCGTCTCGTCTTTGGCGCGATACTTGTGCTCCTGTTCATCATCTCTTGGTTGACACTGTGCTTCGTGCTCACTGCTCAAGATCTATATCTCTTCTTCAGTAAGCATTACAATCGCTCATAAGTCACACTTCCCAATAGGAGCACGCCAGACTAATTTGGAAAATTGCTAGGATCGAAGTGGTCTCGGTCACCACCTTCCACGAAGCATGAAGAGACCGAAAGCGTGGAGGGTGCTCAAGGAACTACGGCGCGTTCCTCCATTGTTACGTTCCAACCAAGGTTGTTGAAGTTCTTACATAATGGCAGCAAACAGCAGGACCATGCTACTTCAAAGGAAACAGCTGATCAGTCACGCAACCAGACACCAGCGGGAATGGTTTAAGCGCTTGGAGTCCCGCGGGCATTTCTTTTTTAATCAACTGGATCAGCATTATGAGAAGCAAAATAGAGACTATTCATATTGTCCTGTCCCCAATACACTTTCTGGTGATTTTATCGTATGATTTTCGAGCAATCCTAGTTTGACCATATGCTCCGCGCCCGCCGAAGCTCAAACTTCGCTTACGCCCGGCATCCAGTCCATGATATACAAAATAAGGGACTTACATGGCTTGCCATACAGTCTGAAACCATATGCGAACTGAACGAGTATATAGGTACTTTCCTTATGCATGCAGGAAGCAGTACTGATTCAGGTTGTATACATGACCAGCTACGAACTGCCATTTTGATATCAATTCGGGTGAGGTCCTTCACGGTCCCTTTATGTCAGCACGTGACCCAACATCCCTTCTGTATTTTGCACGTAAGGAAGCAAGGAGACAAAGGCGCTAAAGAACCTATTTCAGCGTACGATGAGTATACCATTGTAGCCTGGTGCCATTAAACCGCCTTGCCAGACGATCCACACCTGGTAATGGTGACCGAGGCGAGGGGCACAGGAGGGGGCTGAGATCCACATGTAGGAAAACAGAACCAACCGCCTTGTTTCACACACAAAAGTTCCTTGCATCTTACCTTAACGTAGTGCCAATCGCCTGTAGGCTATTCCGATGGCTATTCAGATCAAACCCGCCTGAGCAACTTGATAAGTCTTTAGCTACTCGCGTGGCCACAACGACTGCAAATCTACGCTACAAACCATAGTTATGTCACATTGCATACTGCTGGCCCAGGCTACTTCGGTACGAACGCCGGCCTGGCCTCGAGCCCCTGAATGATGCCGATGTCTACTTCTTCTGCGCCATCTTTCACAATTGGTCCGATACATATACTGTGCGCATCTTGCGGAATCTCATCCCGGTGCTCAAGCCTGGCGTCAAGATCGTCCTCGATGCTGTTGTCACGGTAGCACCAGATGAGGTCCTAGAGCAATAGGAAGGTATCTTACGAGCCGGAATTACGAATACGAACGTGTTGTTCAACTTCAGGGGATCGCGAAATGGGCGAGTGGGCCAAGTTGTTCGAGGAGGCTGACCCCGGCTTCCATTTTAAGGGGGGAAACAGCCCGCGGGATCAGGCTTGTGGGTCATGGAGGCCGAATCGAATAGCTCTTTCATCTAGCTGGCTTACCCGTGAGAAGTAGCTTTCGGAATGAGAATGAGAATAATCGCGTGCTGGGGAGCTTCAGTACATCAACTTGCCCTCCGAAGCCATGCCATTTGGCATGTCGTATTCATCGTACGCTTTAAGCACTAGGTTGGGGTAGTTTCAATCTGCATAATCCAAACTTGTCAGGAAACTAAAAAGTTGAGAGGACGTGAAGAGACTTCGCCTTGTACCAGCTTGACTACGCCACAGTTGAAAAGAGCCTATGTGTATCCTGAACGAGGAGGCATATGTGAATGAAGCACCAGATGACAGCCCAGGTTATCTGTTTCTAGCTTTCTTAACATCCTCGTGTTCTGGTTCCCGTCTTGACCCCCCTGCTGCATCATTGTAGAAATCTGTCATTTGATTCGTTGAGGTGTGGCCTGGTTTGGAGGGTTTATATAGAAGTGCATATTGAGAGGCTCCAGCTTGACCAGGGAACTCTTCCTTTTTCGCCTACGAAATATAATACGGCGAACTCCTTTGTGCTATATTAAGATGTATATAACTTCCTAAACTCTGTATTTCACCCCTCGAAAGCAATCACGCTTAACTTGAGACCGAAGGCCAATAAACAGAATTCACAACGTGCCTGTTAGCATGAGTGAAAAAGCCAATCTTACGGCTCCTCATTATGCGAGAAATAGATGACCATCTACAAACTTAGCTCTGGAATTGAACAATGTTCTATCCTTTCCTCTTGCTGAGGAACAAAAAATGCCCGGGTGTTTACTCAATGGAGGGCTTGTTACATCGTATTGGCTAGCAGTTTGCAATTTGTCAAGTCGTACTCCCAAGAGGACTCACAAGTGGAGAATCCTTGGGAAACTTGATCAGATATAGCGACTTGACTTCAAGATTTGAATCATAAGCGATACCTTAGCAAATGGCTATTACTCCCGGAACCCACTGTAAGCGTGGCCGAGAGACACCAAAGTTTGACACTGCGATGTTGCAGTCTCGTATAGGTATTTATGACAGCATCATTGTTCTGATCTAGAGCTTCCTGTCGAGCAGCAAACTGGCATAGGTATTTCGGAATGGTGATGGTAGTATTCCTTTGATGCAAACGAAGGAAATGGATCCAGTCTTGTCTTGAATCATTAGATGAGCTATGGTAGTCTTGGGTTCACCGGGGCATAAAGTGATAGGCCAGAAGTAGATTATTCAATACACAAACATCCATGGCTATTCTGACGCTAAATATCCTGCACGAAGAAAAGGGCCTTCTCAAGCAGCTGGCTTTGGCTGATTCAGAATGACATCAATAACCTTGTGGTCATCGCAGGTAGCAACGGTACGCGCGCACAGGCAGTCGACGCGTTCCTTGGACTGCAGGCCGTCTGGGCAAATCAGCCAGATGACATTGGTCATGAAGGAGCGCTTGTATTCGGTCATGACATCGGGATCGTTGTGGCGATCGAGGTTGGGCCCGCCAAACCGGTGCAGCGCGGTGAGATAGTGGTCAAGAATTTCCATCTCGTGGGCGCGGCGGTCCTCGATGGTCAGCATCGAAGTCATATGGTAGACGATATCGTGGAAACAGGAGCCGAAGTGGAATGCTGACCAGTCCAGGAAGCCGATGCGCTTGTCGGCCGTAAGGTAGATGTTGCCGACGTGCGTGTCGCCGTGCAGCAGGGTGCGGAACTTGGGGTTGCGCTCCGCGTAATAGCGATCCAGCGCTTCGTTGCATCGCGTGCCGTCCATCAGATACTCGGGCAGCTGAGGTCGGCCCGGCTGGCGCACGATCTCGTCCCACGGCGTGCACATGAACTTCATGGCGGGGTCGTAGTTGTTCCAGATCCCTGTTGCTGGGTAAGTACAACGTGGTAGAAGTTCAATGGACGGAGGGAGGGGAAGAAACGAAGGAAGAGAAAAGCTAAAAGCGAATGCCACAGTTTTCACCAAGTGTTAACACACGAGATCCGATTTGCTTACACGGGTGATCTTCCTGGCTCTGGCCCCAATACTGAGCATGGAGTCCGGCCAGCTGCTCGACACCGTTCTTGACCTGTTCGACGGGGAACGAGGCCACCTCGGCAGCAAAGGTACAGCCCTCCTGGGTCAGGTCTGCCATAATCGCAATGCCTTGCTTCTCGTCGGTGCCGCTCCACCAGCCCTTGGGAAATATCATATTCTTGACCTGGGGTGCCACTTTGGAGAAAAAGTCCGCCTCGCGCTGGGCCAGGCTGACTGTCCACGGCTGTGCAGCGATCGTAGCTGGGTCAAACACGCCCTTGATGCAGATCTGCGTGGGTCTCCCGCCGGCTTCATCCTCATTCTCGTACGTGATGGTGTAGAAGAGCTTGCTAGCCGTACCCCATATGGCCTTTGTATGATCGATGGACTTGACCTTATGTCCCAGCTTCGACCCAAGCCACTCTGCTGTGATTTCTGCAGGAACGGCTGGAAGCTTCTCAACCGCCATCTTGGCTGTGGCCGCCATGTTGTGACTTGCTGGGGGCAGAGGTGGGGAGTTTCTTGAGATGCTGACGGACACCGATAAGAAATTTGCGGAGAAGTCAGGCAATTTTTCAGGGCAGCTCTCTCGCCTTGCGCAGGTAAGGATACACGTTTTATATCAGAGTCGTCTGTCAAAGACTTGGCATTGACTGTATGAAGATGTTTGCGTGCTGGGTGTGGGTCTGTTGCTGGATGCATGTGCCAGGTATCCATTCCTTCAACTCCTCTATAAGACATGGGACAAATGTCTGTGGATATTCAACGCAGAGCTATATTATGAAATCTCTGTCCGCGGCTTCAGGCACAAATTTTTATCAACATAAAGACTCCGTAGGATTCGAGTAACATCGCCTTATCGAATTGGTAGCAAGTTGAGAGAAAGGAGCAAGTACTTCATCCAGATAGCTACCGTTGTATTATTGGGTGCTGACTTGAGCAATCTTACTATGATTTCGTAACTTTTGAAAGTCATACCCGTAAGGTATCTGTGGATAATTGGTGTACAGTACGCACGTCGCCTGCTCGCCTGCCAAGTGGTCAATGGTTCCACATGACCAGGACCCCGTTTATTGCCCACTATACCATAATACATTGTACCATCAAGAGGGTAAGGTGGGGGAAATCTCAAAGTGATTTTTCTACGGTCCCCACCTCCGGTCATCTGGGCGCCCTCAATGCCTCTCCAAGTGCTACCCACCTCCATCTGCACCTATGAGTAGATAGATCACATAATCTTCTATCGTCTCTTACAAAGACCGTATCTCGTCCACCGCATCCCGAGGTCTGTCTCGGGGGACTATTGAATGGTCTCACTAAGCGGTGGGACTTTTACCAATCTCGTCGCAGTATATGGCAACGGGCGTGCAATTAGCTGCATAACTCCTTCATACCCAGTAATGCCAGTTCTTCCCTATCCAGAGAACTCTTTGTGATGTCTCCAACGTAAGCTTTGGTACATAGCTGCAAAATCAGTGCCTTTCAGATCTTCCAGTGCATGAAAATATCACGCGCTTGTGCTAAGCCTTCCGGGAACGATTCTAGCTCCTGCTGGCACATCTGCTCTCGTCTCGGTGATGAGCCCTCGGTTTGCTGAGTAGCCTAAGGTCACGCTGGCTTTGGTCGCCTCCTCGCGACAGACTACATCTACACAGATACGGGGTTCGATTCACTTAGGTTGAAGGTATGATTAAACCCCTCCCCTCCCCCCCTTTCATGGGGGAGAGTAAAATGCAAGAGTGCTTGAGGGAACCTTGCTTCACTCAAAGTCAGCTGCGTTTGAATAAATTGAAAGGAATACGGGGTAGATGATGATGAATAAGTTACCTACCCCCGGACAATGTGTAATCATTGAGGTTGCCAATATGTCCCGGCATTGCTCAAGACTCAGTTGCTCAGCAAAACACCTGCTTGTTGCATCTGTGGGTCAAATTTCTTTTGAATGGCATGGGTATAGCATGATAGATTTCGAAGAAGTATTACAAGCAATTGGTTCAAGTTTTTGTGAGCAACAACTTCCTATCACTACTCCCTGTTCTCGTGGCCAATATGGTAGCAGCAGCCCATCTAGAAGGTAGTGTTTGGCGAATAATTAGCTGATAATTCGAAAATCTTGTTTTCTGAAGCAGTTGGATTACTTCTGAGTGCAATATTTGTGCAATACTATGCAGATACAGTTTCGGAATCCCCAGTGCCAGTATGCATGTTGAAGGTAGACATCTATAGCATGTAGCAATCGAAGGATGACAGTGGGCAGGACTATAGTAACAGCTGCTCAAGTTTAGAAATGTGTGTTATGTTTCACATCGCCCACATAGACATCGTGTCTTACGCCTAGCTATTGTGATCCTTGTCATCAACTCACTGTCTTGTGGGCTGTACAAATCATCATCAACCCTGGCCCGTGTTGATATACGCCATCTCTGTGAGTTGATGATTTTTGATTAAAAATTCAAAGTTGCTCACAATGTCTGGTATGTGAGATGAGCCCTGCAAAACTGATTGTGTATGCTTGTTCAACTGGAAATACCACATCATCACGACAACATTTCATCTGCTTGATTTTGTTACAACTCAAATGAGGGCAGCTCGATCCAGGGCTTTGGGGCCTATAAGAGAGGGGTTGGGCTTCTGAGCTTCGACAGGTGCAACTGAATTAGAATGGCAGGAGCGATGAAAAGATGAATGGCAGCTCTGTAGAAGTTGCTGTTGTCGTCTTCATACAGCATACTTTTTCAATCTGTTTCCTCTCAGCCTCTGCCTGCATCTGTGAATTTTGCTCAGAAAAGGGAAGGGACAGCACGAAACTTGATGTCTGACAGCTCCAAACCTTCTACGGGTCTGCTTCGTTTTCTCCTCGTGAAAATGGGAAACAAGCCACTTCAAAAGGGCTCAAGGGCAAAAGGACCCCAGAAAGGAAGCTTCAACCCACACTATGATGACAGGAACAAAAAGCATGGAGTCTTGTCAGACTTCAGAGCCCAGCAGCTTGGACCATTAATCATTCTCAGGTTTCATTCGCCAAAGGCTCAGCACCAGGCACTTGCCAGATTAGAAGCATTTTATGAGTCCAAGGATGCTGTTGGGACATACATCAGCCTGGCCAATCCCCAGACCAGAAGACTCTGCCCCAATTACAAGGCCTTCAATTTGCCCACTAGTGCAATCTATGACTGGCTGGTTGCCATGCGGACTGCAGAGTTGGGCGCATCTCAGAGTATCGCCGGAAAATTTGAGGCAGCATTCCAGGGATGGTGGGGTCCTTTCGTCAACACTGAGGAATCTCGTCTCTTAGCCCACCTCGCCCAGGCCGGTTGTTTCGGCCGGCTATCAGCACGCGGTGAAGTGCCGAGCTACCTCATCTCCGTCTCTGAGCAGTCTGCCATCCTTCACGAGGCCTTGCACGCTCTTTACTTCCTGCACTCGGATTACAGGGATCGGGCACAGGAGGTATGGGACAGGCTGTCGAAACGATGTCAGTTGACGATACAACAGGGCATGGTGCTGAGGGGCTATGGGAGCCATGTCTGGGTCGATGAGTTCCAGGCATATGTCAGTGAAAATGTGGGGGAGTTCGGAAACAAGACGAAAGAAGAGTGCACCGAAGTGAAGAAGCTGCTCCTGTCAGCACAGGAGGTCGCATGGAAAGAACTCGGTATGAACATCAGCGCAATTCATCAGGGTCCTTAAGCTTGGTGCTCAGACATCTTTTCCCTTGAGCAAGACGTATCGGGCGTTACACGACAAGGTTGACACTTTTTGCCTTGGACGATGCAAAGGTCGATCCTAGCACTGGCCGTGACGAGAGTGGACTGCTAGCTTGGCGTAATTGCAGCCTTGAGATGATAAAGCTGAGAACCTTTTCTTCTTCTTCTTCTTTTTTTTTTTTTTTTTTTTTTTTTGGGGCGAGAAGGATCCCTGATTTCGCGAGAGGAAAGTCGGGCCTACACATCATATTTTAACCGGAAGCTTCACTGCAAATATTCCATACTTTATCTGGCTACGAAACCTGAAAGCGTTACGTGAGTCATTTTGCGTATTAAAATGAATGGCTTTCAAGCAAATATAATTCACGATGCCCAGCCTGTGTACAGCCAGTGGCCTTTTTTTGCAGCGGGAAGACATATTTCCGCGGTGCGCTTATATTCATCCAGAATCGATATGTTAGCACTCACTTGAGTCCTTGTTCGGAATGCCAATTCGGATACGTCAACAAAATGGTAATCACCTGAAGGTTTACGCGGACTGCGCATAGAGTTACCGAGCACGGCCAGTACCGGACAAAGAATTAAGAAGAAGCACGAATAGATGCCGTTAGAGACGCGTGGCCAAGATGCGAAGGGTCATCAATTCAAAGTTGAATAATAATTATCGGGAATTCCGCCCGCCGCACTTGGTATAGTCTCACCCGTCCCGGCCCAGAGTCGCGCGATTCTATCGCCACCTGGTTGCGGAACGGTGGGACGCCGGTAAGTAATCAGGATGCCGAGAAAAATTTTGTCATCATGACATATTATAGCGACCCAGACAGTTTTGATGCTGCTGAATTTCCTTGTCATGAGCATCGATTCAGATCCGCTGCGACCACGGCGTTCAACGCATCCAGGGCCACCACGATGCAGACAACCGTATCGGGCGCACGTCCCCTCCCTCTGCGAGGGCGACCTCTGGTGCTCATCTGCGTGACGACCGTCTCATGGGTCGTCTGTGTCGTGCTTGTTACCCTCAGATTATACCTGCGCTCACGCAGGCGGCGACAGGCCTGGATTTGGGGCTGGGACGATATCATGGCACTTGCTGGACAGGTGAGGGTGAGAAACTCGACGATTCCAAAAACCTAGGACTGACTCAATGGTGTTTGGTCATTGCGCAGATTTCATTCAGTGTTCTCTGTGCTTTTACAAGTAAGTGAATTTCTTCTTCTCACGTCTTAGCAGGAGGATCACCTCTTAAACTGCCACCTTCGAGAGATAGCGATGAAACAAAGCAACGCCCAAGGAAGGCTGCAGATGATACTAACTCCGAGCGGTAGTTGTCAGTTCATGTTATGGCTTAGGTATCCCGGCGGAAGACCTTAGCGCTGCCAACTCAATTGGTGCGCTGAAATACTTGACTTTGTTTGAAGCATGCTATTTCGTTGTCCAGTGTTTCATCAAGACGTCCATCGGCATCACGGTCCTACGAACAATCTGCACCACACGGCGTCAACGATATGTCGTGTACGGTATAATCGCATCGACGGTCCTAGTCCTCTTGACGTTCTTCGTCTGGCTCTTTTCCGCCTGCCGACCCGTCGCAGCTCACTGGGATAGAAGTCTGGGCACCTGCAGCTACAGCGGCTATGTGGTGGCACTCCACCTGATATCTGCCATCGCGGTCTTCACAGATGCGACCTTCACTTTCATGCTCGTCTGGGCAATCTGGAGGACGCACCTGCCTACCAGGAACAAGTACATGCTCATGGGCGTCTTCTCGTTCGGCGCACTGGCCGTTTTGGCATGTATCGTTCGATGGGCGCTCATAGAGTACATTGTATACCGGCTTTCTACACTCTTTCTGTGTAAGCGCCCCTTCCAGAGCTGGCTGTTTGTCGACTGCAGAGCTCTGCACAGCCAAGTACGATGCTAGAGCTAACAGGATGTGACTGTTGGGGGAAACAAACAGACCGGGTTTTTTGGATTGTACTATTGACAATATTGGAGTGTGCGGCGGGCCTCATAGCTGTATCTATGCCATTCCTGGGGAAGCTTTTCCGGCTCTACCAAGCCCCTAAGAAGAGAGACCACGAACAACTCCAGATCGCGAGACACACGATAGGAGGAACACCATTTGTGCCCATGGGAACGACCGACAGCTTGTCATTGGCACTGGTGCCCAGGGGGAAGGGAGAAAGCAGCGCCTTTGTCTCCAGTGATGGACGAGATAGCTGTGCGGGTGACCAAGGACCGAGTGACTCACGCATTAGATTAGAGACGTCTTTCACAGTCTCACGGACAGCTCCAGGATTTTTGTGGAAAGATTCGCGCAGTAGTCAAGATAGTATCTTCTCATAATGCCGCAAACATGTTTCAAAGGCCAAGGGTGAAAATTTAAATGCGCATCTGAAGAGCGACTATACTTGATTATATTGTTACCTTGGGATTACACAAGCAGGTGAGACACGCTTTATGCTACGTACGGTTTCTTGAATCAATAGCAAATACGCATTGACTGTCTAAGTAATCTGCTATCTATTCTACGTGGAAATTTATATGACGGCTGGCACAAACCCAACGCGCAAGAGGGGCACTGACAACCATTCCTCAAGTACCTCGTCCGCTATGTCTAGAGTATCGATAGGATTTGCTTCGTCATAGCCAGCACCTTTTCCTCTTCCAGCCTCCTGGCTACGAGCTGAAGACTAATGGGCATGCCATGGAGAAGATCGGGTTCATCTGGAGAGGGTTTTGAATCAGAGACGACACTTCACTCCCACGTTTAAACATGGATGAGAGAAACTTACATTCAGCGTGAACCGCTTTGCAGATGTCATTCAGCGGTGTGTAGGAGTCCTCTTTGAGAGGCTCATCGACGCTCTTGTCTACAGTCAATCCCGTGGGAAACGATACGCACGAGTAGTCCAGGACGTTGAAAACACCGGTATACCCAACTAGAACTCATGTTGAATTAGCACGAAAGGATTGAAAGAACTCGGTAGTAATTTGTAGACACGCACCATGCTTGAACTGGCCGTTCTTTGCCGAGCTAAAAGGCGTTGTAGGGCAGAGGATTGCGTCGATCCCCGCCGCGTTCCACCTCTCCAGGTATCGCCTTTGGAGATCAGTGCGCTCAAGATGAATCTGCCACATGTCGTACGTGCCCAGCTCGGTCGCAACCTCGTAGAACTTCATCTCGGGCCTCATGGGCTCACCGGACCGCGCCAGCTCCTTTTTGATCGACTTGGCCCCGTCGGCGACAAACATCCGGCCCAAGAGCCTCAGTCCCTGGAGCTGGTCCTTGGGATCCCAGTCCACAATTTCATGGCCAGAAGCTCGCAGCTTGTCCACTGTGTTCTTCAAGGCCCGGGTGACGGGGGGCGTGGGCGTCACTATGCCATCATTGTACATGACGGCAATCTTGAGCTTTTTGGGCAGGCTGACCTCGCGCCAGGGGATCGGCACCATGCGAGGGTCATGAAGCCACGGCTCGGCGTCCACAACCGTCTTGGCCTCGAGCGTGATGTCCTCCAGCGTCCTCGCCAAGGGCCCATTCACGCTCTGGACAGCCTCCTGCCCGCTCATCCCGCTGCGGCACTTGAGAGTGGGAAAGCGGCCAAAGCTGGGCCGCAGGGTGAAGATGCCGGTGCAGGCCGCAGGAATGCGCAGGCTTCCACCGATGTCTGTCCCGATTCCGAGGCAGCTGCCTTTGAAGGCAATCAGTGCAGACTCACCGCCACTGCTGCCGCCCGAGGTCAGCTGCCTGTTGATCGGGTTGACGGTCCGGCCGAAGAGGTTGTTAACGCTCTCGGCGATCATCATGGCGGTGGGCACGTTCGTCTTCACGTAGAACACGGCGCCTGCTTCTTCTAGCATTGTTACAAGTGTGGAGTCATAGGCCGCGGGATCGCCGACGTGGCTTACAAAGCCGACTGTTGCATCGAGGTCCTTCAGGTTGAAGTTGTCCTTGAGAGAAATAGGGAGACCATGCAGAGGGCCCTTGGGCTTGCCTGTACGGGCCAGGTGCTCATCGCAGGCTGTTGCTGTCTCCAGAGCCCGGTCGAAGCACGTCTCAGACAGGCAGTTTGTCTGCGATCAAAAGGTTCAGAAATAATGATTCGCAGTCAAGCAAGTAAAAATAACATACCAGTTGATGAGCGGCGGCTGCCCTCTTGCAGAAAGCTTTGGTAACATTCACAGACTTGAGAGCACCGGAGGAGAGCCTTGCTACCAGCTCCGAGGCGGAGAGGTCAGTGATGGCGAGCTCTTCCTCGGTGAACCACCCAGAAGTTTTGGGCCAGCTCGTCACGTCGTTCTGGGACACCAGAGGCAGCAGATCTCCTGGAATGACCCATTCCTTGGGTATCGAGGCCAAGAGTGCTGCCCTCTTTTTTGCAGCAACTTGTTCCCAAGAGGCTCCTCCTTCTTGCATATCTCCGGCGTTGGTATCAGACATTTTAATGCTGGTAACTGGAAAGTGAAGGATTTGGAAATCGACGAAATTCTGTTTCTCGAGGCCAACTATTTGGTCTTTATATATCTGCGTTTTAATGATGGGTTGAGGCTTGTGTATTGCTAGGTCGTCGGGGTGATATCCCCAAAGGATCGTGTACTAAGCCGTAGAAGGCAGACTACGAACTCGCCAAAGCGTAGGCGAACAAAAGTGCCGCTGCGGCCAAGCCGATGACCGGAATAGAGAGGCAGTTTGTTTATTGCCGTCTATGCCCGCAGTGTTTGGCTCTTAGGCAAAAACGTAGGGCAATGTGGGCAAGATAAGACCCGATCGGCTCCCGCGGTGGCTTTTCTGGACGGTAAAGATAGGAACCCGCCGCACTAGGCATCTAATGAATGATATTCCATCTTTAAATAGAAGCTTTCCATGCTATCTCGAAGAGGAAAATCACACCCTAGTGTACACTGTCCTGGATGTGGACGAGTCTTTACCTTACCTGATCAACTGCGGTGTTTGTGTTTGAAAGGCCAGAACATGTCAGCACAAGACAGCGCTGTTCTTAGTCCTTCATATGTCAATGCCCGATACCAGAGAGGCTTGGCGAACCTTGCTAGAAGCTTGGACTCTTGGACGTGATTGACAATGATTACATCATTTCGAAGCCACGATTAATACGTCCCACAAAAAACAACAAGATTACCATCCACGAAGTCCACGTCACTGCCTAGGACACACAAACAACATCTCGGGACGGATGGGAAATACGACTTCAGACGCCTCTGGCATCAAAAAATCACAATTGCCATGGCCTTGAAAATCGCCACCCTCCTCATATCTACGCTCCTAGCGTCCACAGGGGCGAGCGCATTGCTGCCTCGACCCGAATGGGACCCGCTAAAGCAGCAAGTGCCACTATCACTCGGCGCGCCGGTCAAAGGCGTTGGGCACTTTAGCGAATGGAGCCGCGACACCAAGAAGCGCTTTCTCATCGACTGGCAGGCAGGAAGGGAAGCAGAATGGAGCATCGTGCAGGGCAACGAAGCCGGCGATCTCGACAGCATGACGGCAGCCTTGACCTGGGCCTACCATCTCGAGCACTCGACGGCCAACACATCCGAACCCCTCAAGGTCATCGCGCTGCTGCAGACGCCGACGCATGCTCTTGACCTCCGGCCGGAGAACAAACTGGCCCTGCATCGCTCGCAGATGACGCCTGGCCACGAAGATCTGTTGACGTCCGACGAGCTGCCTGAGGATCCAGAAACCCTGGGGCCAAAGCTGCGCGGGATCGTGTTGGTCGACCACGCCAAGCCGTTGCGGAAATGGCAAGGCGCCAAGATCCTCAGTATCTTTGATCACCATGTCGACACGGGAACCGCTCCGGATGCTGAACCTCGCATCTTTGAGAAAACAGCGAGCTGTACGACGATTGTTGCCAGTCAGATGCTCGACGAGCTAGAGGACCTACCTGAGGAGTACCACATGCCGCACGAACTGCTCGAGTTGGTTCTGCGTGCCATCGCCATTGACTCGAGTGGTCTGACGGATGATATCACCACGGAAGCGGATCGTCGTGTCTCCAAGCGTCTTCTAGAGCGCAGCAATTGGGCCGGAAAGAAGCTGGACAACGTCATGGAACGTCTCAACGATGAGCTCAAGAAGGCCAAGAAAGACCTTGACCATCTAGGCCTTCGAGATCTCCTCCGTCGGGATTGGAAAGGCGATATAGTCGACACGCCCTCGCCACGGACGCCGACCGTCAGTCTCGGCTTTGCTTCCATCCCGTACTCGATGGACGAGCAGATCAAGAAGACAGATTTCCAGGAACTGTTTAACTGGTTTGCGGTCGAGGCTGCCTGGACGGCTGAGGTAGGCGTCGACCTCAGTGTCATTCTGAGCAAGTACAAGATCAAGAAAAAGGGGGAGAAGAAGAAGAAGATCAGGGAGCTCACCCTCATCGTGCGTGACGACGTGCGGATCAACCAGGAACAGGCGGATGCTCTATTTCGGACAGTGAAGAAGGCGCTGGAGGACAACAATGACCTGGATCTAGTACCATGGCATAGAAGTGATGAGCTCTCTCCTCGGCAGATGGTGTGGGTGGAGAAATCTGGCGCCAGCAGAAAGGTTGTCAAGCCGATTGTTGAAGAGGCCGTGATGAACTGGGACGAAATTTGAAAGACGGACGTAAATGAGAGTGCCCATCCACAGAGGATGCCATTCTCAATGTAGACATTATAGAAAGATCATTGCAGTCAAACTGACGATTCCAAAGCAAACCTGGAGCCGAACTTGCAATGCCAAAGTTTCTCATCATCCTAAAAGGGTCAATGGTTGCTCTTGAGAAGCCGTAAATCGAGTTCTGACAAGGGTGTTACAAGTGCCTTCACCCGCCAACCATTCTCCGTATCCAGGTTCGATCGGTCAGTGTCAATGGTAATCAAGATGGATCGACTGGACAGGAAATGCGGGCGCTCGGCATCTCCTCTGCGTATCAGCTGCGTTATATGAACTTGCATGTATCATGTCAGACCCACGACAGATATGCGAAGCAGGACTAATGACTTGTATTATAATTACACAGGCTCCGCTATTTCTTCACATGCGCCGAGGCATGAAAATCGGCCTTGACGGTGGATCCAGTCTCCTGATTATAATATAGCGATTAGAATTAGAGATTACGGTCTTGAGAGGTCACAACATGCAGCAGCATCGGACAGGCTTCGAATAGCACAAATCTTACCGACTTGTTGCTGACTCCGATCCTGAATGTGGCTTGATTGACACTGCAGGATTTAAAGTTTAGCGTTCCCATCCATGTTTCAACAACGCCTTTTCCGTTGTGCGTGGCGGCTTGACCGTTAAGCCTCGGCTCGCTCCACCGAAAAGGAACCACATCGTACTAAAATCTTCCCTTCAACTCCTTTCATGAGGTGACGTCGATAAGGCCTACGGAAACGGAGTTGGACCAACCTCTTCTGCCCGCTCCGTCCCACCACGGACCAAGAAACCCGCCGGGGCGCGAGGCCGAGCCGTAAGCCTGCGTCTATTACTGAAATACTGTGTACTGTTTCCCTTTACTGGCTTTTCCTCCGACACGTCAGAGATTGTCGGGGCGCGGCTCAAGCTGCCAGGCCCCAGGGGGGGTCCGCTTCTGACAGTCAGATGGAGTTGGCCATGCCGAGGAACATTGTATGATGCAGTGGAGCACGGAGAGCCGAAAGGTGCCTACTAGGCCCAGTCGCAGTTTTGACAGATCGAATTCCCGTTGTCTTCGCGTCCGGGAACGTTGGATCAAGTGCGACGGGCGACGTTCGCAGGGTTCCTTTTTTGGGTTTTGCTCGGCGAGGTACCCGCGCGCAGGGGGGCCCAGGATTAGATACGTACGTGTTGCTGTCCTTATTTATATATAACAAATATGTGATCCAACAAAACTTTGCAAAGATTCCCATCCAGGGTACTTACTCATACCGAACTTTATCACCACCACCAACACTCCCTACTGAGAAAAGTCTATCGGCGCAAACCCGCACTGCTAAGTCGACTGAGACACACAACGTATTTGATTTCGGCGCCACCGCCTACACTTTGACGCCAACATTCTCTCCCGGTTTTTTTCTTACACCGCAAAATTCAACCTTCATACAGACATCAACACCATCTCCCTCTCCCACAACCCCTGGACAAGTCATCATGGCAGAGACAGCAGTACCAATCCCGTCCCCTCCGGGGCTGCCTCTCATCGGCAATGTCACAGACATCGACCCCAACTTTCCTCTGGGCTCATTATTGAACATGGCAGAGACTTATGGTACGTCGTCTTGAAAAACCAAAAAAACCCAAAAAAAAAAAAAAAACCCAAAAAAAAAATAATAAATCGAGAGAGTCAAAAGAATTCCCGGGACTGACACACACACTCTCTGTCTCTCATGATCAGGTGAGATATACCGGATGAACCTCGCAGGAAGAAGCGTGGCCGTGGTATCCTCATACGCCCTCATCAATGAGGTCTGCAACGAGAAGCGGTTCAAGAAGGAGATCAAGGGCGTGCTCTCCGAAGTCAGGTCGGGCGTGCACGACGGCCTCTTCACGGCCAAGGGACCCGAGGAGCCCAACTGGGGGATCGCCCACAGGGTGCTGATGCCCGCCTTCGGCCCCATGTCCATCAACGGCATGTTCGAGGACATGCACGACATTGCGAACCAGCTGGCCATGAAGTGGGCGCGGCACGGGCCCAGCCACCCCATCAAGGTCACCGACGACTTCACGCGGCTGGCCTTGGACACGCTGGCCCTGTGCTCCATGGACTACCGGTTCAACTCTTTCTACCACGACGAGATGCATCCTTTTATCGAGGCCATGGGTGGGTTTCTGGTCGAATCGGGCAACCGCTCGCGGCGTGCTCTCCCGTCCATCTTCTACCGGGAAGCAGATCGGAAGTACGAGAAGGACATTGAGATCATGCGCAAGACGGCCGATGATGTGCTCAAGTACAGAAAGGAGAACCCTTCTGATCGCAAAGACCTGTTGAATGCCATGCTTAACGGCAAGGATCCGAAAACAGGCCAGAAAATGACGGATCAGAGCATTACGGATAACCTCATCACATTCTTGATCGCAGGCCACGAGACTACTGGCGGCACGCTGTCGTTTGCCTTTTACAACCTGCTCAAGCACCCCGAGGTGTACCGCAAGGCACAGCAGGAGGTTGACGAGGTTGTGGGCACAGGACCCATCACAGTGGAGCACGTCTCGAAACTGCAGTATATTCAGGCTGTAAGTGACCTCTTTCCTTTGACGTTGACCAGATGACGCCGCACTATGGCAGGATCGGAACTGACATGAGAAACCCGCCTCTGCCCCAAAACAGATCCTGCGTGAAACGTTACGACTCACGCCCACCATTGCCAGTATAGCCGTCAGCCCACGCAAAGATGAGATTATTGGTGGCAAGTACCAGTTGACAACCCAAGACACACTGCTGCTCCTGGTTGCAAAATCACAAGTCGACCCTGCTGTCTTTGGAGAGACGGCACAAGAATTCCAGCCCGAGAGGATGCTGGAGGACAACTTCAACCGCCTCAACAAAGAATTCCCCAACTCCTGGAAGCCCTTTGGCAATGGCGAGAGAGCGTGTATTGGACGGCCTTTTGCCTGGCAGGAAGCAACACTGGCCATCGCCCTCCTCCTGCAGAACTTCAACTTTATGTTTGACGATCCCAGCTACACGCTGACGCTGCAACAAACGCTCACCATCAAGCCGAAAGACTTCCAGATGCGCGCGGTACTCCGCCACGGGCTCACAGCCACTCAGCTGGAACATCGGCTCAACGGTACCACACCCACACCCCTGGAGAACTCGGTTGCCAGCCTGTCGCTTTCGCCGGGCCAGAAAGCCACGGCTAACAAGGGCAAGCCGATGAGCGTCTTCTACGGGTCAAACGCCGGCACCTGTGAATCTCTGGCCAGCCGTCTCGCCACCGACGCAACCAAGCACGGGTTCAATGTCGCCACAATTGATTCTCTAGATGTGGCTCATCAGAATCTCCCCACTGATCAGCCCGTCGTCATCATCACAGCGTCCTACGAAGGCGAGCCCCCAGACAACGCGGCTCTTTTCTGCAACTGGATCCAGGGCCTGAAGGGCAAGGAGCTGGAAAATGTGTCGTTTGCTGTGTTTGGATGTGGTCACCACGACTGGGCGGCGACATTTCACAAGATCCCGAAGATGGTCGATGTCACTCTCGAGAAGCTTGGTGCAGCAAGACTGGCACCATTGGGGGTTGCTGATGCCGCCGAGTCTGACTTGTTCTCGAGGTTCGAGGCGTGGGAGGACGAGATCCTTTGGCCATCTCTGAAGGAGAAGTACGGCGTCGCTGCAGCAGATTCTCAAAATGGAGAGTCTCTCCAGAGCGGCGTTTCGGTCGAGATCTCCACACCTCGATCCTCGACTCTGAGGCAGGATGTGAAGGAGGCTGTTGTTCTGTCGACGAGCGACCTAACTTCCCCCGAGGCTCCCACCAAGAAGCATATGGAGATCCAGCTCCCCAGCGACAGGTCCTACTCTGCTGGTGATTATCTCGCCGTCTTGCCAATCAACCATAAGGATGTCGTCCACCGCGCCCTCCGACGATTCAAGCTACCTTGGGATGCCCACGTCACCATCAAATCCGACAGTGCCACCACTCTGCCTACGGGCTACCCCGTGCCTGCCTCTGATGTCCTGGGCGCATATGTAGAGCTCCTGCAACCGCTGACCAAGCGAAGCATCACCGCACTGAGCGAGGCAGCAGAGGACGAGGTCACGAAGACCGCCCTAGAGCGTCTCTCCGGAGAAGGCTACGCCGACATCGTGAGCAAGCGCGTGTCCCTGCTCGACCTCCTGGAGCAGTTCCCTTCGGTCAACCTCCCCTTTGCAACCTTTCTTTCTCTCCTCCCGCCGATGCGCGTCCGCCAGTACTCCATCTCCTCCTCCCCCCTCGCGGACCCGACGCACTGTACTCTCAGTTACTCCGTCCTCGATGCCCCCGCCCTGTCCGGCACGGGCCAGCGGTACCTGGGCGTCGCCACTTCTTACCTCGCCAGCCTGCAGCCGGGCGATAAGCTGCATGTCGCCATCCGCCCCAGCCACGCGAGCTTCCACCTTCCCATCGACAGCGAAAAGACGCCTGTCGTCATGATCGCGGCAGGGACAGGTCTGGCTCCCTTCCGTGGGTTTATCCAAGAGCGGGCCGCTATGCTCGCCGCGGGGCGCAAACTCGCGCCGGCCATGCTTTTCTTTGGCTGCCGGCATCCGGACCAGGATGACCTGTACCGAAAGGAACTGGAGAGGTGGCAAGAATTGGGGGCAGTGGACGTGCGGCGGAGCTACTCGCGTCTTGCTGAGGCCAGCGAGGGTTGCGCTCATGTGCAGGACCGGCTGTGGCTGGACCGGCGCGATGTGCAGAGCCTTTGGGACGCGGGCGCCAAGGTATACGTCTGTGGGAGTAGGGGCGTATCGGACTCGGTGCGGGAGGTGGCTATTCGGATGTATGTGGACGGGGCCAAGGAGAGGCATGGGAAGGAGTTGAGTGTAGAGGAGGCGACGGAGAGGTTTGATGCTGTGCGGTACGAGAGGTTCGCCACGGATGTTTTTGACTGAGGAAATTAGTGGGAGGATACGTGCTTAGATTTCAGTCCTGGTCTTATTATGAGCACAATATGGTTAGAAGGGTATTTTATGAATGGGATAGAGGGTAATAGATTGGATATTAGATTAGATATAGACATGGTTTTGTCACTGTCGACGGCTTTGAGCTTCCTGGCCTTCGGATTGCTAGACTCGTGACACGATTCCATATTCTCAGGAGATGGAGCAGTACCGTCAGAGCTCTATTGAGGTGTTACATGTTGCACTCTAAAGGAAGGAAGGAAGGAAGCAAGGTTTGGCAGAAAGAAAAGAGGAAGGAAGCCAAGTTTAGCGCAGGCTGGCTGAAGCTCTCTGGGAAACGAAGGGGCAGGTGCCAACCAGGCACGCACGGGGTCGCCTTTGAATTTTTGCACTCGGGCATTAAACCATTCTCAGGGATCGAAGTCACGAATGTATATGTGTTTTATCATCCAATATTTTTCTGGGGAGCCCAGTACTGAAAATATTTCGGTAAACATTACCTTTCATTTTCGTATAGCCTCATGAGTCCTTCAGCTGATTCGGTGTTGCATTTTAAAGGCCATCTGTAGACCACGTACTGCTCCTGGTCTGTACTTGAGGTACTAACAACTCTGGGTCTCGCCCATATACTGTATATCTAATGCACGCTCTCATAGACGATTGTTAGATATGCAAATTGATCTGCGCACGTCATAAGCTCGGTTGGTTGTTTGCCCGGGCTGAGTCGGTGGCTGTCTTGGTTCTGGGCAGCGTGTTTCGGAAACAGTCAAACTCAGAAAGTATATTACCTTGAGCTATTTCAGCTCGTCAAATTCATCATGATTATAACTCGATGACCACGGCACAATCGGAATCATGGCTCACGTCCCTCTTCTAGCTTATCTCCGGCTCATAGCCCTCGTTACCGTCCTCCGCATCGTCACCCGCTGGAAAGCCCGCAGTGTCTTGCGCCACGATCAACTGCTCGCCGACGCTAGATATCCCGTGAGGCGAGAGCGCATCCGAATTCCCACACGCGACTCGGGTCGTTCCATCACCGCCGACCTGTACATTCCGTCCTCGTCCTCGTCCTCATTCGACATTGAGAAGCCCCGGCCTCTCCTCGTGAACTGGCATGGCAGCGGTTTCGTGCTCACCGGCCTGCTACGGACCAACGCACTCTTCTGCGCCCGTGTCGCCCACGAGCTCGGCATCCTCGTCCTCGACGCAGACTATCGTAAAGCACCAGAGCATCCCTTCCCGGCCGCTGTGCACGACGCAGAGGACGTGCTGCGGTGGGTTGCGACGGTGGCCACGACGGACTACTACCACCACACATACCAATTCGACCCCACCCGCGTCGCCGTCTCGGGGTTCAGCTCAGGCGGATCTCTCGCGCTGGGCGCTGCGTCGGTCCTGCGCCGAGGTAGTCTGGGCCTCGACATCTGTGGCGTAGTTGGCGTGTACCCAGGGACAGACATGGTAACCGCTCCTGCGGACAAGAAACCCCCTCGCGAGGGTGTCGCCCCACCCATCGACACGAGGACGATGGAGCTGTTTCGGGACTGCTATGTGCCGGACCCAAGTGTGAGGGCGGACCCTCTTGCTTCGCCAGTGCGGGCAGAGGTGGGCTTGTATCCTAATTTCGTGACCATCTTCACGTGTGAGGGGGATAGGGTTGCTCCTGAGGGCTTGGAGCTTGTTAGGAGGTTAGAGGCCGGGGACGAGGGAACTGACGGGTCGAGGGTGGTGGTGAGTGAGATGATGCTGGATGTTGGGCATGGGTTTGATGCTGGGGCCGAGGAGGGAACAGTTGCCTGGGAGAGGCGGGAGGAGATGTATCAGATGGCTGTGAAGAGCTTGAAGAGAGCATTGACGATCGTGTAGATATCTCTCTCTCGCCATGGGTAATTCATGATTCTCCTTGTCAGCATTTTGGGCACCTTTTAATTGAGATCATCGAGAATGAAGAAGAACGTAAAGTATCTACAGTAGGCCGCGGCCGATGATAAGACTTGATGCAAGCAAGATGAGAGAATCTCAAAATCATGCCATTCGAGCATAATGGATCTTGTTGACGGCCAATTTCTCTGGCTGCATTATCGAAGTGATCGAGAGCGAGGCCTCTTCTAATATCAGATCTCGTCGGAACTGGAGCAAAGTCCCGGCTCAGCCAGGCATTCTCCGATTTACATCATGCTTACAGACAATTCTAAGCAAGCTAAAAAAAAAAATGACATTTTCGGGTTTTTTGACGCTTCTCAGCACATGTCGCTGGTTATTCGAGCTGATAACTGCCCCAAAACACCAGAAGTTGGCCGTCCTGGTTGGCGTGTTGGCGTTGGCAGAGAGACATGATTTACTGCTGGACATGGTAAATTCAGTAGAGGAAATACCCCCTATTTGGCACCACAGTGAACTTCCAGTGACCGGCCCCTTCTAGATTGGCCCCCTGAAGCCTCCCTGTGAAGGCATCTCCAGGTCCTACTTACAATGGACGGTGTGGGCCCACCCACCTTCCCTGCAGGTACCCACAGGGGCTGCTGGACCGTGCCCGCCGAAATTTTGAAATTTTCAATCAAGATGAAAACAAAACAAAAACATAACAGTAAACAAACTAGACTCCAGCGCAACATCTGCTGTTCTCACTCTTACAAACATACAGAGATACACACAAATACACCATGGCACGAGCAAAACATGCCAAGGACGGAAATACGCCTACCAAATCCAGCAAACAAGACCGCAAGATGGACGCCAAATACAGCCCCAAGAAGCAGAACGTCCAGCGCGTAAAAAAGTACAAGCAGGCCAAACGCGCCAAACAAGTCCAGGCCCTCGAGAGCGCCATCAGGGCCGCAGAGAGCCCGGCGTCCAAGAAGGCGCTGGCGGCGCTGGAAGCACAGGTCTTCCAGCCATGGAAGTTCCGGGGCAGCAAAGGGGGCAGCAAGGTGGCGCAGCTCGAGAAGCTGGTCAAGGAGCAGCAGGAGGAGATTCGCGGGCTGCGAAAGATGGTGCTGGTGGGCAAGGGCGGGCCCAAGTTAGAGCCGGTGAGCCCGAACGTGATAAGGGGGGCGGCAGGCAAGGATGATGAGCCGGATTCTTCACCCGTGAAGATCAGGGAACAGCTCGCGAATGACATTGCTCCCTCTAACGAGGAGGAGGACGAAAACGCGCAAGAGGTGGTGCTGGAGACTACTGAGGGTGCTGAGCCGGAGCAGATGGATGTGGAGCCTGCAGTAGTTCCCAGCATTGAGGACGAGGCTGTCGAGTATCCGACACTCCCATCCGTTGAGGTCGACGACGTGCAGGAGACATCCGAGGAAATCAAGTCCGGCGAGAATGGTACAGAACAGCAACAGCAGCAATCCGAGGAGCTAGAGGCCAGCCAACCTCAACAACAAGAATCAACTGCTGCTGTGGACACACCGTCAAAACCGCCCAGGAGGCATACCAGAGCATCTAGTGCGGACTCGCATGCCGGCACACCTCGAAACGTGAGGCGGTCTCCGCGGAAGAGGATGGTGAAAAAGCTGTAAAGAGAGTGTCACGATTTTTCTGGTTTTTTTTTTTTTTTGGGAGGGAAAGTCGACTCAAGAAACCACACGCATGGGCACTGAAGCCGGATGAGCGTGCGGCTACTAAATGCATTTGCTTTATTCGCGTCGGATTTTTATACGCATCTGGCAATGACGGCAAAAATACATCACATCGCACTTAATTCAGCCCAAAAGAAGGTGACAATATAAATGCGTGTCAATTTCAGAGTCCTCACTCTCACCTCGGTTCATGCGATGATATGTATGTTGATTTCTCATCAGCAAAGGGTTTTTTCTTTTCTTCTATTTACCTCCGAGTGACTCACCGGCTGTAAAGTTGGATCGCGGTGGAGCCGAAGAAGGGTCTTTCGGTCAATGCCGGCTCCCGGCAACCGCCCATCGACTGACTGTTATCTCGTCGCTAAGCACGGCGCCCACTATGCTATACAATACGCCCATCCTCTTCGACGCTTTTACAAACTGATATAAAGAGTGAAGCAATCTCCTATTCAAGAAAACGAGAAAAATCTCGACTCAGTTTCTTGTTACACATCTCACGGCAGCCAAACAAAATATCTCTCGGTCTTGTGATTGGTAACAGGACGACCTCCTCAAGACCGCCATCCAACAGAGCCTCAGCCAAGAGTACACACTTCGCAATGCCTCTGGACCCAACTCTCAAGCTCCGCCCAGGCCGCCCATCTGACGTACCCGCCCTGGCCGACATCTTCCTCGATGCCTTTTCAGGAAACCCCATCGGTCAGAATTTCTTCCCCCGCGACACGCCCTCCGCCCGCAGCTTCTGGACCAACACCCTGACCGAGGAGATCCATGATCCCAAGGTCAACTTCCTCGTCGTTACCGCCACAAAAGACCACGCCAGCCCCTCTTCCGCGGACCAAGATGAGCAGCCCATCATCGCCTTTGCCAAATGGGTTCGGCCGCTCCCGCCAGGCACACCCCAGGCGCCTTGGCCCGCGGATGACGAGTGGCCCGCGGACGGCGATCCGCCGCGCGCAGCCGTCTTCTTCCGGAAGCTGGCGGGTATGCACGAGGAGATCATGGGCGCGCGAGCCCACTGGTATTTGGAGATCATTGTCACGCGGGCGGCGCATCAGGGCCGCGGGGCGGGGGCCATGCTGATGCAGTGGGGTGCGGAACGTGCGGATCGGGAGGGTGTGGAGTGTTATCTGGATGCGACGCCTGCAGGGAAGCCGCTATATGAGAGGTTCGGGTTTCGAGATGCGGTGGAGACATGGCCGTTCTTTGATGAGCAGTATCGGCACTCGTTCATGGTGAGGAAACCGAAGGGGTGGCAGGAAGGTGTGAATGAGTCGTCCTAGGGCAATCTGACGGCGGCCCTTGGATAACGGCAGTTCGTCCTCCGCTCCTAAGTGGAACTTCATATGTAAGGCAAGACAGGGCCCAGAATTGCAAGACGCAAACTGAGGGTCAAGAAAAAAGACCATCGCAACTCCTGCAACCAATATGTAGAATATGCTATTCTTGTAATGGGGCCTTGATAACCAACTTTGAACAGAGAGTACTGAGATAACGTCAACGTGCAGATGTTTCAGAGCAAAATGATTACATGACACCTCGAACACGAAGAAATGATTACAAATAGTCCAATAAACTAAAAGTGGGGGCACAGGGCGGGCGCGTGTATGTGTTTTTGTGTGTGAAGGGTGGAGGAACGAGAAAGGGGCCATCTAGAATAAGAAGTAGCTTCGAAATGGAGACAGGACCATAGATGTGATTGGGAAGAGGAGAGTGCCGCTGGTGTGGTGGGAATAAACAGCAGGCGAGAAGGGTCAAAAAGCGGCAAGAGGAACAGAACAAATTAGGAAGATGCAATGAGTGGGGAACAACATTGAATGCAAGGAAACAGCAAGGGAAAAGCCCAGACACGAGAAGAAAAACAGAAAGTGGAAAGAAGAAAAAGAACTGCTGCTAAAACTTGCCTCCTACAGCAGTTTCCTGCAGCGTTAAGTTCATGCCACAACACCTCCTCATTTCTTAAATGAGAATGGTCATAATATTCCAAAGTTGTCCTGTCGGCCATTTCGTTCAGAAATAGAAGTTGCTATCACCACGTAGTTGAAGGGATATCATTGCAAGAGGCAAAACTAAATTACAATTCAGGCTCAAGTCCTTTGGGATCACCGACCAGAAGAAGTGCAGAAACACGAATTGACCTGTTGATGCCGCTGGGCTCGGTTCAAATAAGGTTTGCGGCTCAGTGGATCAAACTAGGGAGAGGCTTTTGTCCTCCACAATTTCTGGGGAACTGTACCATCCTTCCTGTCTGCGGCTGTGTGCTAATTATGGCATGTATGTAGTAAGTCTTGACTTTAGAGTGTCTAAGGGAGGAGTTGACTTGTTCAGCCTGTATCTGCCGATATTCCCAAATCTATTCTCTGTGGCACAGACAAGATAAACCTGTCCATTTAGTATGGTCAGCCCTTCCCGCACCTGCATTGGTGAGCTGTAGGTGCAGCTTCTAATCTACTTCAAATCCAACTTTTGCATGAAACAAAATCAATATGGTGCAGGGGTAGAACAATAAGCAAATACAAAGTAATGACACCAGATACTACATTTCAATGTACCCTTGTTTTCAGGGCATCTTTTTGGTTGGGGGAAAAGTCATGGGAAGAAAAGTACTGCAGCAGGCAGCAGGCAGCACAGCATACCCATGCTGTAGTAGGCACATGCAGGTAAAGCTCACTATGAGAGTAGTTATCTAACTAGGCATCCCTGGCGATGATGACACACTACTATGGTATGTTCTTGATGTACAGGGACATCATCAATGTGTTTCAAGAATCCATTAGATACTGCGGTCTACCTGAAGATGCCTTCTGGATCCACTTGGTACTGGCGGCCCGCATATGGTATGTGCACTTCCTGTGCAAGCAGACAGGGGGGTCCTTTGGATCCACGTACCCTGCTGTGTTGAATGGTTGAACGGGTTGGATATCGCCTTCTCAGCACTAAGAGCTCCCCCAGGTACGCTCTTGCTTTTTCTTTTCAAATTTCCATTTCTTATCTATTTTCGTTTGTTTTGGTCTCTCGCCTCTCCCACTCAGAGTATTCCCTCGATCTCACTTTCATTCTTGATTCTTTGAATTTTCTTCTTTTTGGAACTTTCTTGTATCTGGCCAACTTTGATTAGCGAAACTGAGGCAGGACTGTTGCTGACACCATTCATCATCATCTTGCTTTCCTCAAGCCCATCCCCAGTTTCTCTGGTGCTTGGGGAAGAAGAAGAGAGCAAACCTAGTTGCATAGGCTGCATCATCAACATTGGCTACCTGCTGCTACCAACCAACAGTGTCAACCCTGTAACAGTAAGCCTCATCTTTCTCCATTTCCCCAACTCGGGGTACTTTGATGACAGGGCGGGCATGGGACCACCTCACTAACTCAACTGCCACAGCCCTCGTTGCTGCTGCAACTTGTTGAGATCCTTCCACCTCTCTCTTCAAACCCTTGCGCATGCCACAGCAGAATCAGGGACGAGAGGTCAGGATCCGCACCAGGCCAGAGTGTCATTGAAATATAGGATAGTTTCACCGGCAGTCAGATCAGGCCGCCCCTAACCAGCAAATCACCCTGCAGCTGACTGGCCGTCTATCAGGTAAGCAATGAATCAACATTCAGCCCCCTCAGACAACCTGACAGCACATACATTCTTATTGTATGCCACAGCTCAGCCTGATAGTGGTTCTTCTTGTTGTTGCTCCCTACAGAGTCCTTTGTCCCTCGTGGTGATCAAATTTATCTGCGGGGCCGACGTCTTGTCTATGGCTGCTGTGGCTGACGGGGATAGCAGTACCCGCATTGTACACCTACCATACCCCTCACCAAACCTGACCAGCTACTGTCACAACTTTCCAGCCTCGCCTTGTCCTGATATTTTTTATTCTATGATTTTCCTTCTACTCAAACCTGAACCTTTCCTCGGAGCATCCTTGAAAAGAATCTGACAACCATTGTTCACTCTTCCAGTCCTGCTGGCACCAGATTCTAAAGTCTGTGTTGAAGACAAACACCTCCAAAGCTGTATTGCTTCTCCCTACTTCTTTGGTAGGGCTGCTAAGCTGTGCCCCGCCATTTCTTGTACATCCTCAACTACCGCCCACCATGGACTCGGTTCCACAACAAGCGACTGCCGTTCTTCGAGAGGGTGGCCCCTCAGGAGCTCGATCCCATAATGCCGAGTTCAAGGCCGACGGGGCTGGCGCTGTCAAAGCAGACGACGACAAGAGCCAAGACGGCTTTGAAGATACGATCAGCAAGCCAAAGAGCGACGAGTCAGAGGAGCAATCTGCTGATGGCAAAACGAGGAACGACAACTCAAAGGGAAGAAAGAAGAAGAAGTCTATTTCAATGGGCGATGACGACTCTTCTTCCTCTTCCACCTCCGACAGTGGAGATGATAAGCCTGACCTACTACCCCAAGATATAGCAGCTCGCGGCCCTAGGAAGGATCTCGATGCCGATAATCCGCAGTTTCGTCCTACCGAGGAGACCGTCGGCTCTTTGGAGGCCAAGTCGCAACTTCTGGAGGCCCCGACGGGAGCTTCTAACGTTTCTACCCCGGCCTTCAAAGCGGAAGACAGGGAAGACGACGAAAACAGGGTAGACGATACAGATCACAAAGATCTTGCCGTCGTTACGAAGACGGATCCGAAAACGTCCAGGACTGAGGTGGATATTAGGGCTCTTATCGCCAGCGAAGTGCAAAAGCAGTTTCAATGGTCCTTTCAGCTACTGGGCAAAGGACCGCCTCCGCCCCCTATCACACAGCCTGCTCAGCACGGCCCTATCGTACCCAAGCCTACAGCAAGTGCGGGTCATAACAATGGCCCGCGAGAATTGATTCCAGACCAATTACAGATGATAAAGCAAGCCGCGACTGCCAACCCAGTCTACCGTGCAGTTGCGGCTCGGATCAGACCGCCCATGCCAGGCGAGACCTCCGGGATGATCAACCTCCTCGATGATGTGGATGATGATGAACTCAACCCAGAAGGTGAGAGCCGACTGGCGCGAGGCCCACAGGTCCAGAAGAAGCAGCCCGCTAAGTCCGTTGACTCGTCGACGAGAAAGAGGCCCAAGAAGTTCGACTACAAGCGGGTTGATCAGGTCTGGAACAATGCCTTGCACAACTTCCAACTTCAAGAGACGGCAGAGCCTGCGAGCCAGACCAAGTACGAGGGCTACTGCTTCCACGTCCGTCGGACATTCGACTGGGAGGGTAAATTCAAGGCTACTTACGTTGACATCAAGAGCAAGATATTGCGGCAATCTCTTCAGGAGGTGATGGGAGACGTCAAGGGCGTCAGTCTGGTGGAAGAGACCCCAAAGCTGGATCCCAACCTGTTGTTCCTATACCTTGAAGACATGCGCACGCACGCCAAAAGCCTGGGCAGGGAGGCCGAGAGCCCTCCAGGGGCCAACGAGGAGGAACGCCAGAAAGCATCTGAGAGTCTGCTGGAGCGGCAGAAACACCTGGAGGTTCTGGTCGAGTATATTGACAAGGACTTTAAGCAGGTCAAGGAATCGCTCTACCCCATGCTCGAACATGGCTTGATTACTTTCGACCTGCTCTGGGCCCTCTGGAAGCCCAACACCTTGGCCTACACAACGACCTATGGTTCGCACGAAGACCCGCGAGTGTTCAGAGTGGACACTGCTGAGAAACATAGTCACATGTCCAAGGGCGAATTCTACTACATTGATGGCAAGTATTTCGAGTACGATGGCAAGCAATTTGGATATGGCCGTATGATTGAAGAGATCAATGAGTTCCATGGGGCCAAAAAGATCACCAGCCTCAATTGCTACCCTCTCAGGTTCCACAAGCGTGAGGAGAAGATCCGCAATGAACTGATTGAGCGCGGGAAGAAATTCGTCTCGCTCAGCGGAGTTCACTACAAGGCCTTCCAGGGCATGGCCTACTACAAGAAGAAGAAAGCAGTCGTCAAGGTGAACGTGAACGGCAGGGTCATGGTCGACACTGCCATTCACCGCCGCATCAATCCCAACTACCCGATCTCTGTTGTCCGACCCAAAGATCACAGCGGTCTCGGGGACGCCGATGACTCGGATGATGACGGTGATGGCAGGGGAGGCGATGATAACGATGACACCAGAATCAAGTACGTCACTAAATTCATCAAGGACGACAAGGGCAGGGTATCGGTGGTCCGGATGACCAAGGAGGAGGCACAAGACTTCGGCAAGGAGAAGCTGGCCAAGGTGGAGAGTCAACTGGATGACAACGACGAAACCAGTGATGACGAAGAGGAAGGAGACGACAAGCCCAAGGAACCAAAGAAGCCAGTTGTGTTCACCGATGACGAGTACCTCACGGCCTCTTCGCTCGTGCTGGGCTTCTCTTTTGGAGAGAAGCTGTGGCTGGAGTTTACCGTGTCAGGCATCAAAGACGTCTCCTGGAATGTGAAAGCGTATGAGTCCTTGGTGTTGGAGGCCAGGACCAAGGACACTGTCAAGGTTTGTGCGGATCAACAGGTGTCGCACGTCTCAGGAAGTACGAGCTAACGACCGAGGAAATCCAGGCTCTCGTAGAGTCTCACAAATACCATGCAGCAGAGTCCATTGATGATGTGATTCAGGGCAAGGGCAAAGGACTGGTCGGTATGTCACTAGAAAACCGCCCCCCCCCCCCGGCCCCCCTTCCCCTCACAAAGCTTGTACGATGGTCCGTCTGACTGACTTTGTTTGATGAAAGCGGTCCTACACGGACCACCCGGCACGGGCAAAACCCTCACGGCGGAAGGCATCAGCGAGCTGCTTGAGTGCCCACTGTACATGGTCTCTGCAGGCGAGCTGGGTACAGACTCGCGCATCCTCGAGACGGAGCTGCAGCGAATCCTCGATATCTGCCACGCCTGGGGCGCCATCCTACTCCTGGACGAGGCCGACGTCTTCCTGGAGAAGCGCAACATGCACGAGATCCACCGCAACGCGCTCGTCAGCATCTTTCTGCGCCAGCTGGAGTATTTCCAGGGGATCCTGTTCCTGACCACCAACAGGGTGGAGACCTTTGACGACGCCTTCCAGTCTCGGATCCACATTGCTCTGCGGTACGACCCTCTGGACCTGCGCGCCAAAAAGACCGTCTTCAAGATGTTTGTGGATCGGGCCCGGGCGCAGCAGAAGACCATGCAGGACAAGATCTGCTTCACGGACGAGGACTACGACAGCCTAGCCCGACATGACCTCAACGGCCGACAGATCAAGAATACGGTCATCCGTGCCCAGGCTCTGGCGGTCAACAAGGGCGAGCCACTTGCCATGAAGCATGTCCGACAGATTTGTGAGTCGTCTCCCCTTACCCCTCGTTCTTGTTTTGCTTGTTCGTGCGCCCAGCTTCTAACACTGTGCCAGTGGATGTACAGGTCAGCTTTGACAGGGACCTCAAGGGCGGCACTGGATATCAGGATGCCATGAGGAGCTACTTCTGAGCGTGCCTTATCTCTCGCCTCCTGACACAGCCCCTTTCCTGCAGTCTCACTTGCACCTTGGGTCGGACTATTAATCCAATATTATGTCCTGTTCCCTTTATACAGAGGGCTCAGAGTTCTGTCATGATCACAGAGCAGACATTATACAGTGACAAGAGGATGACAAGACCGTTTGTTAGAGGTAGCGAAGCATGCGGCTTGATAACTATCCTGAGTGGGCTGGTATCATTTTGTCGAGGGAATGTCGGCTCACTTTAGTTTCTTGCCTTTGGATTCTTGTGGATGTTTTCTGGTTCTTTTATGCACCAGCGAAAAGTCTCGACTGTATAGCGATTGCCGTATCAATGAATAATTGCACAGGTCTGAAATACATGATGAATTGATTCGTCGGTTGAGAGGACGTCTTACTGATTGATCTGCTCAGGGTTAGGGGCCACTGAAGATCATGCAAGGATCACCCAGACATGCAATTCAATTGAATCATTTACCACGGCAACTCTTCAAGGCCAAGTCGCGTCGCGTCCCAGCTTCAGTTCAACGCCGCTGCAGCATCACGTGTAGAGCTTCTCGACCAGCCGCCAGCATATATTCGACACGGCTTGGTTGTCCAAGATACCTCTGCCCTACCGTTCTTTTGTCTCGATGTCATGACAATCTGCTCCAACAGCACAATATGGCCCACCCACTTCCACCGGGCCTCACACCCTCCGAGGTGTCGTTTCTATGCGAGATGGAAATGGTGACAGTCGTGCCAAGAGGGCGTCTCGACAGTATAGACCTTCTCAGTGTATGCCTCCGTCCCTGCGCAGTCTTTGGGCTTCTATTCTCCTCTCCTCTCCTGTCTTTTTTCTTTTTCTGCTGGGGAAAAGGAAAAAGAAAGCAAGGACTACCAAAACCCAGCTGACACTTCTTCTTCTCCTCCTTGTTCCTTCTCTACAGGGCACGACCCCGCCTCTCAAACCACCCCACCGCGCAGAGCTTCCCCTCTGGCTCGCCCTCCTCCTCAAAAAACAGCGCCGCGCCAACATCCTGCCCCCAGCCTGGCTACTCCCATCCTCCCTCGCCGAGATCATCCGTCAGGAGACCCGTGAGGACCCCCAGGCCTTCAGCAAACCCCCACCGCCGCCCGCCCGCGCCGACGGCCAAAGCGGCCTCGCGCACCGCATCAACACAGCCCCGCTTGGCGACAACGACGACGTGGTCCTCTCTCCGCCGTTCCTGCAAGGGTGTGTGGCCGGAGCACCGTCGGGCTACCTGCCATACCACTGGCTCGAGATGGCCGAGGTGCTTCTCGCGCATGCGGCCGACGACATGCCGGCGCCGGCGGGCGTGGTCAGGGGTCTACTGCGGGACCTAGTGGAGGCGCGCGCCGCCAAGATGCGGGCGAGCACCACGCAGCTGGAGGCGTTTGGGGGCGGCGTGATCAACCTGCGGGGCGTAGGCGCCATGGAGCTGGCGGAGAACAGGGGGTTCGTGCTGGGCGTGGTGGACGGCGTGCGCAAGCTTGGGGCCAGCGCCGAGGCGACGCGCAGGGAGGAAGAGGAGGAAGGTGGTGGGGTGGGCGAGGATGAGGAGAGCGATGAGGATATGGGGATATGATGACAAGAGCATGGGATGGGCTTTTACATGATCATATGGTGTTGTTGATCTCTTCACATTTACACTGGTCTGGTTGACCATACAAAGGGAAGGGGAAGAGGAAGAAGGAAGAAAAAGAATAAGGGAATAGAGGTGGCCATATCATATTCAGGACTGCATGGGACAGGCGTTGTTGGGATGGGGCTCATAAGCATGGCTACAGGTCGAAATATCGAGGATTTGAAAAGGTCCTCGAGGAGAAGAAGAAGAAAAAGGAGAAGAAAAGGCGTTTTCGCGTCAATTACATGCTAATTTTTGAGACCTACCAGTTCTCCCACGCCCACACACTTTGCGATCGATGTGTAAGTCCCATAAAGAGAGCGCGAGCGTGAGGACCAGTATGGGTCCCCAAGGTCAATAAATCAGGCTGTCCTCATCATACTGCTCGACGCAGCACTGCTCATCTGCACAGATCCCACTCCACGACCTTCCATTACACGGCCACTCGGCGAATATGGGCTTGTGGTACGGACAGACTGTGTCCTGCGACGACACCTCATGCGGCTGTCGAGCATTACCTGGAAAGTTATGGGCTGGTTCCGTCTCATGGGACCCGTCACATATCACTGGCCCATCGTCACCGCCAAGAGATAGTGCTGGCGGTGGTGGCGGTGGTGGTGTTGAAGGCTCTGGAACCGAGTCGTGTACTTCAGCAGTCTCAGATGCTCTCTTTCCTGAGGCAGCGCTGCTGTCACTTTCTACGAGCTTCGGGAAGTAGTCTTCAGATGAGTCGGAAGAGCTAGTTCGTCCTGCGACGGCAGAAACTGGCTTGAACACTTCTTCGACAAGATCTTCGGTGGTATAAACCACGACCATAGGCTCGAAGGTGGCTTGGGCCTGGACCTCATTCTTGATCGGCTCATCGTTGCAGCCGTTGAGGGAGAGTGAGTGCGTACTCTGTCTGATCTCCGGGGCCACCATAGTCTTCTCGGATATCTCCTCGGCCTGTTCAGAGAGGTGCGGATCCAGATCGCCGCGTCCCGACACCGACCACATCTGCTTAAATCTCCCAACCACATCCGCGTCCCAGCACGGTTTTCGGACCGGAAGAGAAGGTCTTCTTAGACTTGAAGATGCACCCTGTAGCTGTGGCAGATTAACACACACGGGGCTCGGCAGAGTATCTGGAGGAACAGCTGCAATAGAATCCGACAGGTGCATAGGCTGTTCTACCTGATCCCACACAGGACCGCTGAAAGGCGGTAACCGTGTGTGCGCACAAAGACCTTCCCACTCTTCGGGCGTCAAATTATCCAAGCTAGGTCCCATGTATGCAATCGGTGCTGAATCCTGTATGCCAACTGCTGGCGGTTCCATGGAGGCTATGGTAGTATCCTCGACGACCTCATACTGCTTTGACACAAGACTCATCCCTACATTAGCAGCAGCAGCAGCAGCAGCCTCTTGGCTTCCTGGTGTTCTGCTTGCATCCATGGTGATCGGAACATGAAACTCCTTACCATCCGGCGTGACGCCTGTAGCATACACCACAGTGGTGAAGCTCCGCCTGCCCGTGTCATCCTCCCCGTCCTCTACTCCCGCCAAATAACACAACCCAGCCTGCTTGGCCGTGTCAAACGAACGCTCCGTCTCCGCCGACGTGGCAGACCCCGCTGCATCATCCAAGCTGCCCGGCCTACTAGCGGCATCATCGTCGATCTCCATCGGGATACGGACCTGCGCGCCCCCTGCCGTCACGCCCAGCGCAAGGTCGACGGTGGGAGGTTGAGGCGACGAGACATCCTTACAGGATGCTACGGTGGTCGCCGCTGGCTGAGACTGCTGCTGTTTTCTGCGTCGGCGGGTCTCCATGGGCAGACCCTGTTCGAGTTTGGCCGTCTTCTCGCCTGCCTGGTTGAGTTTTTTGTAGGCTGAGCGGGTCATCCGTGTAGTTGGTGCTGCGACGGAGGCGCCAGCTCCAGCTCGTCGCTTATTCGCAGTATTGGCGGTGGGCTCCGCCTGGCGCTTCTTGTTTGTTGGCATTGTGAGTCACGTCTGGGTTTTCCAATGTAGTTACAGCGCTATTGGGTTTCCTTTTGTCGGTATTGGTGTTGCGTATATGTGTCAACTTGTTTCTTTCAAAAAGTTTACAGTCCTGCTGTCGGGCACGGTGTTCACTTGTTGCAATTGTTGACTTGGAAGAGGAATTTCAAAGGCATCTTGAGCACTCAACAGCAATCTCCAGACAGGGTCTTAAAGTAATATCGACAAGACCGTTCGATGTTGATTGTGGAATGGTGTTTTCTATGTGTGCTCTTTGTGTTGAAGTGGACGAGTTTAAAATACTGTAGACAATGGCAGCATGTGTGCTATTTCTGACGTGGTGACGGCACATGGACAAAGAATCTTTTCAGTCAAGCTGTGAATAGACATCAATGAGAGGTCCATCACAATGTCTTGGTCTTGAAGGGTACTACCTAGGTAGTAAGCTCTCCCACCCCGCGCTCCTTACAGAATAGATACTCCTTTCGAATTCAGGATGAGGAATATCTTTGCCTTGCGATTTTTCAACGCTACGTTACTTTGAAGTATAAAATTAGACTCTCTTTATGGCAAACACATAATTCCAATGAAAACAATGAAGCCTCCCCTTAGACTATCGCTCATACAATAAGAGAATTCGCTTCTTTTCTCATCCGTTGTGAAAGGCATTGTTTGACGGGAAAAGATCCAGCATCTCCACTCCATTATTCAGGAAAACATCTCACCCGTCAGGCAAGCGCAAATGCACGTATAAAGCAATAATTGCACTTCATGTACAACCAGACTTGATTAATTGTTCTCCATGACTCGATAGAATGAAAATATCAATCTAGTGATCAACTTTAGTGGTTCTTACAGGCCATATTAGGAGCAATGAGCAATCTAATGGTTGTGCATATTGACAGAGTGGTTGGTTAAGACTTGAGTTGTGGAAACACGCCATATCTCCAGGACAAAATTGGGAATTACAAAGAGATGAGTTAGAAGTATAACCAGATTGGAGGTAGTCTGATGACCTGTTGTCTTCTAAACCATTGGTACTCCGGCCCGAGGTGATAGTCCTTGAGTCCATCTTCAACGCACAAGCAACCTTCCACAGCAATTCTCTTCTGATATCCAAGAACCCTCGTTGCTAGCCTACATTAGTGATTGGTCTGAACAAGACGTTGTAATCCGATGTCAAAGCCAATACTCTCCAGTCTGTGCCTGATTGATTGCGTCTTAAAACGTTTTTGAGGCCACACTCTTTGAGTGACTGATGAAGACTCGCTATGGGGTTCTTATTACTACGCAATTTCATGCAGTACTGTGTGCTCATGTGTGATGCCTGTATAGCTTGGTGTCTATACGGTCATCTAAGTTGTTTGTCTTTGACTTACATGTCAGATAATGAATGATCAGGGCTTGGGAGTGTTGAACACAGCTCTGAGCTGAAACTAGGCCCCTCGCAAAGCCCTGGTACCGTCATAGAGGCAGGCTTGAGACCTACTTGTCCCATTTGGACGAAGTGACAAGATATACGGATGCCTTATTGGCCTGGCATTGAGATCCTAGGCACTATTATTCGCTCCAGGCAGTACCTATGCATCTCATTGCTCGCTGTTCTTACTCTTTGATCGGTGTACAATTGCGATTGAGAGCTAAGTTATTTGACCATCCCTCTCCTATAGAGACAAGATCAGTACTGTCAGAATTCTTATAGTTCTCGCCTCAACGCCATCAATATCGACCACCAAGGGTGGCGAAGGCCGTGGAGAGCTTCTATGCATTCTACTTCAACGCCGTCATCCTACCCTTTTCAACGATCTTCACGATGGCTTATCATCATTCTATTTCTCTTCCACCTGTTCCATCGGTAGGCAATGCCAACAACGACGGTGATGCCGCGTGCCACACTGGCATTCGTGGAGATAATGCTGGTTTTGTCCGAAGACTCCCTCCCGTTCCTACGAATGGTGGTAATGGGCAAACTCCAGCCACTACCCAGTTTGTAATGGCTGCTGGTGGCTATGTGAAAAACTCTCCCTCACGCTGTTCTGATAATGTTACTGCCGCTGTCGATGGGAGATCGACCAGTCGCAACCAGATCCGGGTTCAAGGTTCCACCGAAGGTCCATCCAATGCAACGGCTGCCGAGGCTCTGGGACAGACCAGACACAGTCTCTTGCTCTCAGCACGCGCGCCTCGAGTCCCTGAACAGACGGTGCTTTTCGGTGCCTCTACTCATCCCTCGTCGATCCTACGCCAGGAGCCATGGAACTGCCCTGTCTTGTTTGCGCCCATGGGTGCAGGCAATGAGAGTCTAAGCAATACACGCCCAGCCACAGCTCCCTCCAACAAGAATGTAGATCACGCGACCATGGTCGCCCTAGGTCACAGCCCTAGCTACCGTGGCGACCCATTTCTCGTTGCCAACCGAAGTGCCAACATCCCTCACGCCCTCAATTGTTCGGTCTTCATCGTCAACCTTCCTGCTACCCTGACGGTCCATCGGCTCATCATAGCCCTTCACGGCATGGGCCCCTTGGGCCGCGTCTTTGCAATTCATATCAACGCCCCTGAGCATGCCCGGGGCCATCACGGCTGCGCGGCCAAGGTGGTCTTCTTCGAGCGGGACGCCGCACACCACTTCATGCTCCTATGCCGACAGCGCGGCTTCTTCGTCGATGGCCAACAGGCGCACGTCATGTGGAACCGCGTCAAGACCGCCGAGAACCCGACGCTCGTCCACTCGGATGCCAGCCGTGTCCTACTCATCGGGGGTCCTCCCGCTTTTGTCAACCCGCGCACCCTGACCGAGTTCTTCAAGACCAAACTGGATTTCCAGGTCGACGAGATCATTACTCGGATTTATGGAGGCGCCAGCGGAACCAGTGTCCTGGAGTACCGCTTTGGCAGCTACCGGTGTCAGGCGCAGGCGGCCAAGATGGCCTTGGACCGCGAGTTTCCTCACATTCAGTGTTTCTTCACGGCGGACCCTCTGGAATCGGGTGTTTGGAACGCACTCGAGTACCACAAATTCCCCAAGGCCTTGCCGGTGCCGTGAAGGCTGTCCTTGGAAGACGACCACATAGTGCATGAGATGCAAGAAAGATCACAAAGGTAAATCTTTGGCGGGTCCTTAGTCCTGTACATTCTTTCTCTAAACAGATAAAACTGCTTGGGAAATCATTTCTTGAATTTGACCGTGCTGATTTCTCTGCTGCCAGTACCGTGTCTTGGCGCGGAAACAGACCAGTATCACCTCTCCTGAAGGTCATGTTCACATTGATCAATCTTTTGGAAGGCGGGAAGAGTGGAGAAGAAGAGTATGACACGTGATGGAGAGGGAAACTTCAGTTGCCTTGATTGTAGGAGGCATGTTGGGAATCGCCTTGTGTTGTGGCACTTTGCAAGAATTTTCGACTATGGATGATGCTTGTCCCTTGTAGGGTTACAATAACCTTGTCCACAGAGCAAAAGCTTGATTCGTCAAAGAATAAGTTTTGATTGGTTGTCCACGGGCTTCCTCGAGATACATTAACTACATTGGAAAGCATCGTGAAGTCAATTTGCATTCATGTGATGGGTTATGAATAACTTAACAAATGAGCCTCAATAGATGTTGGACCTCATCTTAGTCTATTCTCATCGCCGAGTACTCATCACACTACTCAGCTAACTAGATCGCTACTCTATAAGACAACACTTACAAAAGGCCGAAAGAATACATCAACTTAGGAGCTCAAACATTTCCGTTGCTTGTCGTACGTAGTGCCTGCGACTATGTGTCTTTGTAGTGCTGAGTGAAGTCATATCTCACGTCAAAACCATCCATGAGCAATTTTTTCAAAAACATTTTGTCCGTCTCCCCCTTGGTCAAAAGGTGCATAAACTCATCCCTTTCATATCTTGTGCTCGGTTCTTTGTCAGAAACCCGACGGAAGTTCTCCTGGGAGATCTGATTGATGATGGTCTGGTACTTCTCGATCCGTTTCTCGCTGTACAGGTCGAGGATGGACTCATCCGCTTTCCCGTCCCAGATGCCTGCAAGACAGTCATAAAGACCGCCGCAGTCGACGAAGCCGCCCGTGATGCCTAGACCTCCCCAGGGGTTACAGAGGTGGGCTGCGTCAGCGGCAAGCATAACCCGGCCCACTCGGAACTTGGGCGCACAGCGCTGATGCATCTTGTACGGTGCCCAGTTGATCATCTTGTACTCGTGTGGTTTTGGATGGCCGGGGAGGATTGTTTCGAACTTCCAAGGCTGTCTCTTCTTGTATTCTTCCACTGACAGTCCTGGTGTTTCGCCGTACGTAATGCGATACAAGCCGTCCGCAGTCAATTTGGCGGCCATCTGGGTGATATGTTAATAAAAGCTGTCTATGAACATGATCTCTAGAACGTGAGGGGGCTTACAAAGAAGTGTTCTGGGTGTATGATGAAGTTTGCATCGTGAAACCCAAACTTGGTGAAATCGTAATAGGTCTGAAATCGTTTGTTCAGCAAAAGAGAGACTGCTATTCCTAAAGTGTCGACCTGGACTCACGTTTGTTGCAATGATCTGGGCATCCCAAGTGAAGCCAGGATACTCGTCGCCAAATAAGGCCTTTCGAACGCCGCTGCCTGCACCGTCACAGCCCACCACATAATCTGCCTCGAGTCGTTTCCGGCCGTCCGGCGTCTCAAGGTCAACCCAAGCCTTGTCAACATCCTGACCCACATCAACGACTTTCTGCTGCCACTTGATGTTGCCGTTGTACTCCTTCAGGAAGCGATCCAGCATGAGCTGGTTGAGATCCTGCAGCGGGTAGCTCACGGTTCTCCAGTCGTTGCCGTCCACATCCGCAAGAACATGGGCGTCGAACCCGGAGATGTAGCTATGATCCTCAGAGCGGCGCCAGCACATGGTGTTTAGGCTCAGACCCTTGGCACGAAGCTCGTCTAGGATGCCTGCTCGCTGGAGATCAGGTGTCGCCGCTGGGCCGTAGTGTGCCGCTCGTGGCTGCTGGTCCAGCTGATCGGACATCTCCACGATGGTGACTGGTATCCCGTGTTTGGAGAGGAGGAGGGCCAACAAGAGGCCTGCTGGCCCAGCACCTACAATAAGGACTTGCTTGAAGGGACGTTCGGCCATATTCGGTATTAAGATGAAACTAGGTGCGATGATTCGTGTCACAGCGAGAGTCTTGACTACCTGGTTTGATGTTGAGGTGACGAGCAGTCGACAGGACGAACGAGTTATTTATCATGTCAAGTGAGGCTCCATTAATATGTAGCGAGTCCTCGATGGATTCGGTCTCTATTATTACCGAGCGGGCCCATTCATTTTCCCTCTCGGGTACGTTTCCCCAGATTTTATGTGTTGCGGGGAAATGTATCCATCATCTTTTTCTCCCGGGTCTAGTTAATTCTTTAGCCTCATCAAGAGTCAGGACGCTAAAGACGAGCGAGTCCATCGTGATGATCAAGTTCTTTGATTTTTTTTTTCTTCTTCTTTCTTTTCAATGTGGGCCATTGACCAGTATTTCTTTTCTTGGGGAGAGGGGGGGGGGGGGTTAAAGACGGGCAATATCACAACCGAAGTCTTGTGGTTATTCTAGTTATGCGGCTGAGAAAACCACCGAGAGTAGTAACTCCACAAGACAGACTTCTTTATATACTTCATCAGTGGAGAACTGCTAAGGGTCGTGCCCGGGGAATAGCAGATTTGATAGATCCATCACAATCAGCCTACTTTACGGAGGCACTTAGTCGACCGGGAGTAAAGGACTGGATTTTCGACTAATATAGATTGTATCACTTACCTAAGTGCTTAATAAGTCAGGACTTAAAGTACTTGCGTAGACTTAGTCTTTCAACCTCCCCTCCGTTTCTTTTAAAAAAAAAAAACAATCATGACGACTTTGGCTCCTGTAGGCTGTGCGTAGCTACACAAAAAATAGTCCGGGTCACACGCGAACTAATATGACCCATAGGCATAACTCAAGTCTCAGCCATACTTCATCCTTCAATTTTCACCAAAACTGTCGTTTGCTACCCCCCTCACATCTCATTTTTAAACAATCATTATTAATCCCCGCTACTATAGAACTAAGGGCGATGTTAGCCTCGTGCTGATTACACACAAGGAAGGTTATACACGGCCACCAACTAGCAAGTCAAGCTTGTCCTACGTCGAACAAAATTCTCACCATGCCAGAGAGAGGTCTTTTTTCAAATGTGTTTCCATTTTTACTCGTCGCAAACTGATGCCTGGGCGCTGATCAATTGCCTAAACTCAAATACACTGGCGCCGCAACACAAACCAAACACCAGCGCGGAGAAGGCGGGGAGGTGAGATGGATGTTATTAGAGGGTGTTATACGTCAGCTTTGGGGAAGAGGGGAGGGGTGCAAGAAGGTTACTCTGGTGTGCGTGGCAAAGGAATCTCCCCAGCATCCTGGATTTCTTTTTTCGCGTCAGCACTGTGCAACCCCCCCGGGCTGACGGGAGACTGGCGGTGGACTTTCGCATGAGGAGGATTGGAGGGAGGGTAGCCTTAGAGCGCGCTGCTATCATGCGCGTAAGCCTACGCACCGGCGTCTTGCTGGTCTTTGTTTGATTGATGGCGTCCGCTCCCAATGCTGAAGATCTCTCAGCTCAAACCATGTTTATGGTGTGCACAACTTGGAGAAGAATCCTAATCCTTCGCAGTCCTCCCTGCGTCAGTAAGGCTCATGCAGCCCTATTGTATAAAAAGGAGACCGACTTGCCACTAGAAGGATTACAATTTGTCCTTCTCTTACCTCTTTCTCCCGTTTTCGATAATTTTCCACATGGCCACACAACAGCATCGCGTCACATAGACGACGTCTCACCACCAAAAATTCACACACCTGATAAGTCATCATGAGTCCGTTATATGGTGATGGGCTGCTGCTACCGAGGACAATTCCTGGCAGCGACCCCCCTTCGGGCCGTGGGTCTATTGTGTTAGAAGGCTGGGCCGAAGGCTTCAGGTAAGTCGTGTCTTGTGGTGAAGGCCACAGAACTCACTCGCACAACAACCATCTCATGTTCCTTCTTAACCTCAACACTAACGAACCTTTGTGTCATGCTTAGTATGCCCGAGCTTGTCGACCACTACTATGTGGCCGTAGACAGAAAGACCAGAGTATGGCTGACAAATCTACAGTGATTGGTGGACTCGTCATCATGGCAGGTATCACCGTCGCCAACATGAAGAAAGGCGTCCTGCTACATAAACTTATCCTTCTCGAAGTACACCGTCCCTCTGCCTTCCTTTTCCCTGTTATTTCTTTCCTTCTTTCCTCAGTCTTTGTCCTCTACCAAGTCTGAACTAACTGACTCAAGATCTTGAGTACGCAGCTCGTCATAGGGGGATGGCAGTCCTTCAATCTCTTCTGGCAGAGACCAATATACGGATGGTGGCTGTCGACGGCAGCCGTGGGGCTGCACATTTCGACGCAGCTGCACAGCGTTATCGCGTGGATGAAGCTCCGGCCGTTCCTGACGCCGCGATCTAGCGCTATCTTCATCGGCACCGTGGCCCTGGTGCAGCCGTACTGGATCCTAGAGATCTATGCGACGTTTGTCTATTTCAACAACACCAACGAGGTGCTCTTCACCAAGACGAGACCCCTCGAGGTCCTGTTCCGCGATCCGTGGTGGGTGGCGTCCTGCGCCAAGCTGCTGTGGGTGATCAAGATGTACTGCGAGATGACCCTGCGCGAGGTGGTCACCATCTCGCCTCGGTTCGCCGTCATGCTGGTTGCCATGTTCCTCAGCATCGCCTTCGTCATTCTCGACATCCTTTCCGTCACCGGAGTGTTTTCAGATGCGCTGCCCGTGGGTGTCAACCCCTTTTGGAAGCTGGCGCTGGTCTTCAAGTGCTGTACCGACACCGTCATCCTGGATGACTTCAAGACGGCGCTCGACAAGATCCGGATGTACAAGAAGTTGGGTATGGGTCCCGACGGCCTGCCTCGGAACCTGCGATATGTACACCAGCCGAGCGACGCTGGGATTGGGGGTCCGTGGAAGAGGAGCACCAATAGCGAGCACGCCGAGCATGTCAGGTTTGAGCAGTCCCCCAGGCTCGACTTTGATTTTGCTCAATTCGAAATGTACCCACCAGCGTCAGCGAGGGTGTAGAAGAAAGTGAAAACAAATCAGGTATTGTAGCAGCAAAAATATAAAGAAAAGACATTATAATTTCGCACCCTGAGGCTCTCATTTTGGCGCGAGCACAAGGAATGTCCCTGAAACACATGGAAACAATAATGGTGTTGCTTTTTGTAGCTTCGCATGCCCAAACAGGCAAAAATCAAGGTTGGCGATGATGTCATCCTGGGTCCATCCCGGCCACTCTCAATTGCCAAGTGCCAAGAACCAAGGGGAAAGAGGGAGAGAGCGAACCACATCTATTTACTATCGAAATCTTGTTCGTCCCCTGGGTTGCCTCTCTCCCTCTCTTTCTCCCTCTTTATTTCCCAAAGCCTACCATCAATCCCACTGCTACCGCATCAGCCGTCGACAAATACAAACCACCCAAAAATTCCCAAAAAGACCCAACAATGTCGCCAGCCGAGTCTCAAGCCTACAACCTCCCGGCCATCATGATCAATGGCCAGGCGCTCCCCAGTGTGCCAGAAAATGTCCACGCAAACCAGCCCAAGGTGATGGAGCCCATGGGTATGTTGAATTCTGCCTTTTCCTTTTCTGCCCCTTCTTGCTCGTGTCGACCATTTCCCCCATCTTCTACACCAATAGCTCAGCAGCTTGGAAGGAGAGAGATCCATTGACTGACTGGCTGGTGGCTTGGGCCCCCATTCTTCGTACAGACCCTGAGCGTCCCCATCCCAAGGACACCACAGATCTGCGAGGCGGCGAACGAAGCGAGATGTGCCCTGGTCGATTCTGCTTCATCATCCCGTGCCCACTGCCCTGCGACTTTTGCATCTGCTAGACGAGGAGAACGGACGGCCCCGCTTGTACGAGAGAAAGAAATATAGGTTCGCATGGCGTTTCGGGATTACAACGGCATGGATGGCTTGCATGTGTCTTCACTTTTTCTCGGATGATTCTAAGTACACGGCTGGCATAGGGTACTACTGTTCCAGGAATTATTGTCTTATAATATAACTTAAATTTGCTCCAGAAGTCCTTTGTCAGCCATCACAGCTTGAAGTCAGCGTTGGACTTCTCCCAACCCCTTGTCGTGGCCTCCATCCCGGCCATCTTTTCAGCAAGCTTGGCCTTTAGACTCCGTGACCTGTCGGTGCAAAGCTCGTAGATGGTTGCAATGTTGAAGAGCAGGGTGTGTGATGAGTAGCCACTCTCGATCAGACCCTCCAGCACTACCCTTCCCTGTGTGAAACTCGTCAGTCCATGTCACAGGGCAATTTCTCCTGGTATCGTGCTTACCTCTTCCATCTTGCCCGTATAGAGGAGGCAGACAGCCAGGTTGATGGCCACCATCTCGTCCCCGGCTGTCTCCCCCTCCTCCTCCGCCGCCAGCCCCCTCCACACGGTCAGGGCAGCCTCGTAGTCACCGTCCGCCATATCGCAGAGTGCCGAGATGGTCTTGTCTCCAGCCTCACCCTGCCTGACACACCGCCTGGCGGCATCAGTATCGCCCAGCTGCAGCCACAGAAGCGCCTTGGACATGGCTGACTTCCCGTCCCCCCTGTCCCGCAACGACGCGAGCTGGGCCGCTGCGCCGGGAAGGTCGTCCATCTCCACCAGCGCGCCTGCAACCTTGATCCCCAGCTCCGACAGCCGGGCTTTCCACATCTCGCTGGCCGAGTTGTCATGCACGGCCATAGCCTCTGCGATCCGGCCCCTTGCCTCCCTCGCCATGTCGTAGTAGCTCATGACGGCCCGCCTAGGGTCGCCAAAGCCCATGGCCTGCAGGCGCACGACGAGCAGGCGCAGGTCCCACGGCATGAGGTGCAACCCCGAGATCTCATCGGTGTAGAGCGCACTGTTAATATCCTCGAGGGCGCGCGCCTCCTGGGCGGCTGTCTGCGTGGCGTCGATGAGCGTCAGGCACGACAGCCGCGTGTACAGCAGGTCAAAGATGCGTGCATGGTCCGTCGGGGCGGGGGCGTGACCGCCGCCTTCCCCTTCTGGCCCTGTGCCCGTCAGCGCATGGACGGCTGCGATGGCTGCGGCGCGGAAGTGGCCCTGGGCGAGGAGGTCCGGGATGGGCGTGCCTGGTGGGGGCTGCTGGGCTGAGCTGCGGAACGAGGCGGGGATGGTCTGGGCGGCGTTGAGAGGGTGGTAGATCTCGGGCTTGAGCAGATAGGCAAAGTCCCTTGGCGGGGCCAGAGGGGAGCGGCCTGGTGGTGCTGGAGAGCGGGGGGACTGGTGGCGTGACCGGTCAGAGGAGAGACGCGGGCTGCCTTGTCGCGAGAGTGGCCGTGTAGGCAGAAGACGGCTGTGCTGAGGCGAGAGCGGGGATGACGACGCCAGGGGGTCGCTACGGTCTATGGTTCAGCATGGCATTGAAGAGCGTGTTGTGAGCTGGAGATTTGTGAGACGAACTCATCTATATCCAGAGGGCCTTTCGTCGAGGACCTTGGACGAGAGGCTGCGCGGAAAGTTAGCTAGGCTGTGTCTTGTTTTGAGACAACGACGGGGTGTGAAGAAGCTGTGTTGAGGCCAAACTGAGGACACTTTATCAGTGGGTCTCAGACGCTTCTGCTTTGCTGATATACATACATCTCGCCGATGATGATTTATTTCGCACATGGCCCTGTACTGGCAAGTTTTGTGATTGCTCCATCGTATATCTGGTCTGGTCTGGTAGTTGAAGTGAGTAAATCCATGTGTTTGACAGTGACGGCGGACCAGCACTTGCCGTCCACGGGGCCTGTCCGGGATAGCTCAACGACAGGGATGCCAGCTGGGCCACAGCCGCCAGTAAGGTGGGTCAAGTCTTACCTTTGGTCAAGCCTTCCCAACTTGGCCCCCTTCGAGGAAAAACAGAGCAAAAACCCCGTTCAAAGTTCTTGACATCCCACTTCCAATCAGAAGAATATTGAAAATAGGCAAGTGATATAATCATTATGGAATATTTCTAATGTGCAAATAATTTCTCATGTTTTGACCAATTTACTTCTAGAGGAATCACACAGTTACCAAGTAATTGTCAATGTATGCGCGAGACGGCAATGACATGACAGCTGGTGACTTCTTTAGAGAATTTGTCTCCCTGATCTCAGACAGATTACCACATTGGCTGATCTTTTCTTCGTCTTCTTCTCGCACCATAGTAGCTCTTTTAAGCTTCGCTTAACAGAGTTGCAACTCTAGGCCCCATTTCTTGATTGTTTCCCACAGCATATCATTGCTTGGAAATCCTTCCTTTTTTTTTTTTTTTTTTAACGAAAGCGTGCATAAGTGTAACGTCGTCGTACCTCGGTGAAAGCACAAGAGCTTGCCAATTACATCTTATCATATTTAGAGGGGGGGGGGGGGGTTCGGGACTTGAAATGACAATTGATACAAAATGTTGTATCATTTAATTACGATTTCAAAGACATACGAGAGAGCAAGGCACAAAACCAACACTGCTCTGACAATCGATAGACCACGAATCCTGAACGTGGTGAGACTTGAGTTCAATTTAGAATTTTTTTTTTTTTTGGGATATCTGTAAATATAGTTTTGGTCTCTCTTTGGAACCCCATGGTCGGTTCGGACGGCCGCCACGGGGTTCATGAGCTTGTCCTCGCCCCGAGGATCCCCCTCACACACGGCGGCCGTGTGGGCTGGTACGGCATGAGCCGAAGGTCGCGGCGGGCGTCACTGGAAAGAATGTGCACCCTATTTGAGGGAAGTGGCGAGGACTCTTCGTCGCAACTTGAGCGCGGGCTCTCGTCACTGAAATCTTCGAGCGGGATGCCGCCATCGACACCGACACAGCTTTCTTCGTCGTTGCGCAGCAGTGCGTAGGACTCTTCTTTGTGGTGTTGTATCTCCCGCATCGGCGTTTTTGTTCGTCGCTCGAGCGCCGCCATGCAAAGTGCGTCTGCTTGCCTGGCTATCAAGACACAGATGGTGATCGGCCAGAAGACGGAGACGATGATGAAAACGAGAGGACACAGTGGCTGTGAGAGCCAAGTCAGCACGGGAACTTTGATCCCAGGTTTCACGGAAACGTACTATCATGCATGTATCTCGACGGAGCACATCGGGTACCCAAGTTGCCTCACCTCCTCCGTCCGGCAGGGTATAGATGGTCCAGCATAATACCAATGTGAAGCCGAGAAACCAAAATATTGCAAGAGTCACAGTACATCTCATCGGGTCGTCGGGAAGCATCATCTTGGCGGGTAGGATATTTAGGGTTCGTCGGTTAAGAGGGGGGAGTCTGTTTTGTTTTGTTTCTTTCGCTGATGGAGAGGGTTCGAATCCTGGGATCAAGGTATGAGCCAGCTCCATGCAGAACAAGTATATATAATGGCCGAAAGCTTGGCTGTAAGTGATTGGGCTTTGGCGGGGTCAATCTTAAAAAGATCCGTAGAGATTGGTTGCCCATCTGGGGAAAAGGGGAATGCGTGAAGCGAAACTAGAACAAGAAACCTCGATGATTGCTATATGTATCCAGTTGAACGACCAAACGTGTCGACGCCCGGTGGGTTCGATCGGCGGGCCCCGCGACGATATAACCGCGTCCTGGTATAAATTACCACGGCACATGAATGACTCCACATTATGCGTCCGGGTCATTGTCATCTTTTGTGTCTTTTCCTCTCTGTTTTTCTTTTGAGCCTGCGCAACATGGCCCGTTTTGAAGAGGAAAGTATGCTCAGAAATCCTTGTTGCTGTGTGGCAGTGTAGTAATTCTACCAACGCCCATTTTGAGGGTCGCAGAACTCGTCCAGGTGGCCGCGCGGCGCTCTCATAAGCGGCCGAGGGGCTCCTTTTGTGGCGCCCCCCCCCCTCCCAAACTGAAGGGGAGTCCCTGCCCCCAGGGCTTTTGTGTATGCACGGGTGATCGGCATGGCTGCATGAGCGGCATTTTGGCATGTCGGGGAAGTTCAAGGAGTGACATACTATTCTCAGCCGCTCGCCAATCGGATGTCTGGTATGAGGAGTGGTGTTTTGTTTTCTCATCCAGAGATGGGCAAGGTCAAAGCAATGTCAAAGCGCCATTCTGGAATGTTCATGGAACGCTCATCTCGCTGACGACCCTCACGATGACCCCTGATCCGAAGAAAAGAGAGGGGGCGGGCCGTGCGAACCCTTAGATTGCTGGGCTGGCATGTGCTGACCTCTAAAGCGCCTCGTGGGGCTTCGGTGTCATCGTTATGCCTTGTTGTGCGTTAAGTTACAGGTCTGTGGTAATGTCTGGACGAGCGCATTAGGTAACAGATTTACCTACGTGAGTGTCAGACGCTTGAGAGAGTGCGTGGAAGGGGCTCGGTAAATATCTTGTGGGCTTCCTACTATACGATCCACAACGGACCGGGCCCAGTGGAGCCTTCACGGGTCCTCCCCCCTATACACTCCATTTATTAAGTAGCATACAAAACCGACCGCCATCTCTCTTGTCAAAGGGGAAAATATGGAACTCGATAGCCGCGTAGTATTAGATTGCAGTGTGGATTGTACAAACCGAAGGCTCAAGGGGCGTGTCAGGTGACGGCTTCAAATCTCACAAGTCGGCTCTGGAGTCATGGGTACTATGTAAAGGAGCAAAGATGATCGTCCTTCAAGAGAATTCGATACTACCTTTTGGTCTTGTTTGGCCCGGCCACAGCACTGTCTGGAATGTGCGTTGGCTGACAGGAGAGATTTGTTGCAGCTCATGGCCTAAGCGCTGCTTATTGTGAGGAACTGCTTACGAGCGGGCTGCGAGGCCTGGCTATTTATGACTCGAAAAGCATTCATCAGCCGCTAGTGACACGTACAAAACTTCCCTGTACTTCCTAGGGGGGAAAGAACACATTCAGGCGATTCAAGGTATTCCTGAGGGTTGGTACTGGTATGACCTAGTAATGAAACTACTGTGGTCAGGCACTGTTCTCCTGAGGCTTGCTTTTGTCCCCCTTCCCCTTAAGGGACCGGAGCCAGAGAAAAAGGCAAACTCCACAAACCATTCATGCCAATCACGCTTCGTGTTCTCCCTATGATAATACAATTGAAACACCCCTTCGTGTACATCATTCATGCATTGCGCTTCGTTTACACGTGGTTCGGTGTGCGACCGGGCGTTGGGACAGCGAACTCTCTACCTCTGAGTACTTAAGTATTTACTTACGTATTTGCGAAGAGCCTAGCAAGATTGGGGGCAAGCGGCATATTCAGTAATATTTCTATGCAAAAGTCATCCTCCCTGGACTCTGACATCTCATAGGTGACACTGTCTTTATTTTTACAATGATATTAATGAATAGACCTATCTTAATGCATGTCGGGGATGCTCATCTGACATTGCCAAATCTGAAGCAGGTAATCTTCAAAGACTGGGCGGGCGCCCATGAATATCTAACAATTGGACTACGAGCGCAAACTTGAATTTTTAAAAGAATTTAAGATAAGTACTTAAGTCTGGTCTCTAGGTCTACAAGTCTCTTGTGGCGTTATATGTCTACGACGCCGACACAACGAATGACCCACAGGTTTTGGATCAGCGTGCACCTACTCGGTCAACTCGAGTGCTCGTAATCGATGGACAGGTGTTAGTTTTTCACCTAGAAGCACTTTCATCAGCACACACACACACACACACACACACACACATCTTTCACGTTGAAATTCCCTGGTCGGATTGCAAGGCCATTGTCAGGGTAGTGGCAGCACGAGCCTTATGGATCGTCATAGAGGATACTTAGATCTGGTCAGCTTCAGATCTGTGTCCTGGCAGTGCACAGCGTACGATTTATAATGCCCGTGGACGCTAGTATTCACTTTATACCCGAAAATCCACATGTAGCGTTGCATGATGTTCCCTCCATCCTTCAAAAAAAAACCAAAAAAACCAAAAAACCCTTCGAACTTATTGCGCTTCAAATGTTCAACCTCTCTCAAAGCGAGAAAAATAACACCATGCCACTGCATCTTTGAGTTCCTCTGCTTACGACCTCGGCAGGTGGCATCTCAGTCGGCGCGGCTCTGCATCAGAACTAGCAGAGTAGCTAAGTCCTCATCAGCGAGCGGCCTCGTCGTATTCATGCTTGCTGTTCTGATCTTTGTCGCCATCCAAGAGCTCGTACTCTCCCCGCTTACCACGTCTGCGGATCTAAATCAAGCTGGTGGCGGGGTTGATCAGCAGCAGCAGCAGCGCTCGGGCAGACAGCGATGGCAGAGAGAAGAGCTGCGGCTTGGAGAGAGTTGCGCGAAACGCCCAGGTAGCTAGATTTTGGAGAGCCACGACAAACTAGTCAACATGGACCCGTTGTTCTTACCTGGTTGAAGGAGGAGGGCAGGAAGGGATTTCTAGGGTGGTCCCGTATGAGCGAAGGTAGATATGAAACCAGTTCAGTCGTGCACTATACAATTTGCTGACACAAATTTATAGTCACCTTCAAATCTGTTGCTAACGGGTCGGTTTCGTGAGGATATCGAAGCCTGTGATTAAGTTAATGTAGGCGGCTTGGAAAGGGGCACTAAAGGACTATTCCAAAAGACACAGTATTGACACCATATTTGCAAGTAAACAAGTGGCAGGCCCTCGGGATTTATCTTTGCACAGCCGCCACGGTTGGTTTCAAGACACATGAATTGTTAGTAGTGGAGAGATTTGACGACAGATTGATTTGACTCGAGCTTTACATGCGTCTTACACTGGTAGCATGTGGATTCGTGTTCTCCTGCTCTCTCTTCCGTCAATGTGTGTCATTTGGCGCTCCAGTACTCTGTAATGACTGGTCAGGGCCTCCTGCTGCGCACAAAGTCCGAATGTTCGTATGCGGCGATCACTCTCAAGAACTCTGCTGCCCCTTGCCTCGCGGTCTCCGCTCATTCATTCCGCGGAAAGAGACCCTCGTACTTGACAAAGTTCTCCTGATAGCTCAACGCCTTCCTCCCTGTCAGCTTCTCCACCGTATCGTGCACCTCAGCCAGATACCCTTCCCGAACCATGGAGCCACAGCACAGCAGGTCGTCCTGGCACAGCTTCAGCGGCAGGTCGCTCTCAAACGCCTTGAGCGCGTCCGTTCCCATTCCCCGCTCTGCCCACCATGCCCGCAGCTCCTCGTCGTCAACGTCCACAAACTCAGCCTTGTAGCCCGATTTTCCATTCATGTACTCAAACACCTCCTTGTCCGTGATGGCCGCCGGCCCGCTGACATGGTATGCCGTGTTCGGCTCCCCCTTTCCCAGAAGGAGCGCACCAAAGACGCGCCCGCAGTCCTCCCTCGCGACGTAGGCGGCGCCCCGGCCCCCGCTGTTGTTTAACCAGCGATCGCCGCAGTACTTCCATGCACCGGAGAACAGGCCTGGAATGTTGTCCTGGTACAGGTAGTTGCGCTGGACGTTCCAGACCAGGCCAGAGGCGCGGATGAGGCGCTCGGTGAGGGCGTGATCCTGTGGGAGGAAGGGAAGCTCGGCGCGCACATCACGAGCCAGGGCCTCAGGGCTGCCGACTGCGAGCCCCGCACCGACAAAGGATGAGTATAGCACGCGGTGCACACCGGCAGCGCGGGCGGCGGCTAGGATGTTGGCGCCCTGGTCTGGGCGGTGGTAGATGGCCCAGGTGGAGATCCAGGCGATGGCTTCAGCGCCCTGGAAGACGGGGATGAGAGAGTTGACGTCTTCGTAGGTAGCCTCGACGACCTCGACGCCTTGGCTGCGCCACTCTTCTACCTTGCCGGCGGGGAGCTTTGCTAGGGAAGTCGTGGAGAAAACCAGCTGCTGGTCGGGCTGCCGGATGGAGATGGCGTAGTCCGCCGCGACGGAGCCTATGCCGCCACCGACGCCGGTCAGGACGTATTTCTTGGACATGCTGCTGGAAGAATCGAGTTGCTAGAGAATGGCGACGTTGTGTGCAATTTTTTAAGGTCCCTTTGGCCTGATGATGAGTTTAGAAGCTGGACAACCGAGGAGTGAGGTGTGTCTTATGATAGAAGAATCCCACGCAGACAACAATAGGACGCCGTTTTTCTTCCACCCGCGATCACACCATTTTCCCACTTTGCTTCTCTCATTTCTTTTTTTAAACTTCAATAATAACAAGAAAAAAACGGTGCAGGGCCAACCGCAGGTTCAACCCCGCATGTGTAGAGAGATCCACGGTCCACCATGAACCTTCACCCTTGCCATCGACATCCTCCTAGGCGTGCCGGGGTATTCATAGGCTGGGTAACCAGGCGAATTTGGCTGTTGGGAGGCGTATGTGAGTGACCTTGGCGATAAGAGCGTATTTTTCTCGGTCGCGAGACCGAGATAGTCAAGGTGAGGGGGACAATGCCTCGGCGGTGGAGATCCCACGAATTAACCGCGACAAGCAGGCCACATATTTGATGTCTCGCACAACCATATCAAGGTGTGGTTGTTGGAAGCGGCCCGGATCCCAATCCCACACCGCTATCATGTGATCACCCAGAGTGGATCCATCTCTTTAGTTGCACCGTTCATTTTCTGCCTCTCAGGACCACGATCTAGACCTGGGGGGCGTGGGGGGGGGGGCGGAGGGGTAGCAATCAATCACTTTGTCCGCGCTTTGGATGCATTCGGGTCCTCTCAAGAGTCCTACTTCGGTGATGGTGCAGGATGTGAAGATTCTCGAATTATCAACGAGAGTCAAGTGATTCAGACCGCTTTAAACATTATTCCTATCTGTGGCAGGGTAAGCTGTATACATAAGCACGCACCGTAAGAGGGGGACGTCAGACCCGGAAACCTCTTTCAATATATACCTGCACAGCTGCAGTGATTCTTCCCACTTTTTCTCCAGCGGCTACCAATGAAGGTAAAAGCGTGCCAGTAGTCAAGGCCTGGACATCATCACAAGTGTTGATCGTCACTTCTGACCCATACTTGGCACCTCCGTGTCCAATCGAGGCTGATCACGAGCAGCCAAGCCAGGCTATCGCAAGGTGCACGACCGCACGCCTTTCACGGGCCACATGTTTCGTACTTCCCGCTGCCCCTCACATGAGTGCGATGCCTGCTCCGGCAGCTGCCAGCCCCAGCATCTCCATGCCCATGGCAGCCGTCTGTCTTGGGGCCCAAGCCTGTGCGGCGCTCCCGCTGGTCGCACTGGAAGAGGCGGCAGTTCCGGACGTGGAGCTGGCGGTCGCAGCAGAGCCGGTGGTCTCCGTGGCGGTAGCGGCGGCGGTCCCCTGGGTGTTTGCAGCGGTGGCGCAGCTTACGACAGTGGGGACGGTGACGCCCTGAGCAGAGCAAATTTGGGTGGCAAAGGCGATGGCGCTGGTCTGGTCGGCGGCGTCGCACGCGCCGACGAGGCAACAGGCGATATTGGAGAGGAAGTCCTGATTGGAGCAGATGCACTTGGGGTCGGTGCCGCAGCCGGCGTAGGAGCCCCCCGAGAATTGGTCGGAGGCGCAGTCTTGCTGTGAGAGGGGTGCAGAGAGAATGGTTAGATCAATCGTGGGTGGTAGTAACCAGATGGGTTTGAGCAGGAGCGTGTGCCAGAAAGGACTAGACTCTGGTTGGAGAGGACTTACAGCACAGGTTGGCAGACCTGAGAACTGGGCGAAACTGAGGCCGGCGAAGAGAGCCGCGGAGAAGAAGGAGAGCTGCATGGTGGGCGGTGGGTTCGGTCGAGATGGGGATGTCGATAGACTGTGCTGTGAAATGCTGTAGTGTAGAGATTGGAGGAAGTATACCAAATTATTGATTTTCAAGCTACGCACGGGATGGATAAGGTGAACGAGGCCAAGTTATTACGAGTCACTGTTCCATCCGGGGAGGAGGAGAATGGAGGCGGACGGAGGCAGGAAGGAACCGCGGCCGAGCCATTGGGGAAGTAATAGCATACTCGAATGCAGGGCAGGGCAGGGCAGGACCTGTTGAGCCGTTCCTGGTTCTGGACAAGCTTCGGCATGTGGCTTCATATTGGATCTTGCAGGAAGGAGCCACCACCCAATGAGGAGAGAAAACCAAGAACCCGAGAAGGGAAGGGACATTCATGCAAGGACGGCCTGATCGCTGCCGAGCGAGAACAGCAGGGCCCACCAGAGTAGTACCATAGTACGCACTATCGTGTTGTCATAGGGAAATATGATCTGTGCAACCCTAGGAGAGAAGGCAGAAGCTGAAAACTTGATCTGCCAATCCAATGATTGCGACTCGAGAGGAGCCGGTCTCTCCTCTTCCCATGTTAACACGCATGAAAATTCCCTTGTAATCATATATGAGAGGAGTGCAGAAGGGACAGATGGAAGTAGAGACAGAGAGACAGTGGGAAGAGAGTATGTGACCTTTGGGGGAGGGACGGCTGAGAGAGGGAGACAAGAGAAAAGGAGCATAGCAACAACAACCTTATCCGGTGGCCGGCCATGTGTTGCTGGGGCCACCCCAACACTCATATGGCTCGATCTTGGAGGGATCCACTGTTTAGACTTACTAACAAACTATGAGAGGTTAAACCACCGCCACACTTGGGTTGAGCTTGAAATTCCAAGAGGCTAGTCTGAACTCTGAACAAAAACCAAGCATGGAAATAGAAGGAAAAACCCCAGGGAAAAAGGAAGAAAGGGCAAAAATGGAGGAGTCGTATTGCCAAAGCGACATCAGGAACGAAACAAGTCAGCCGCAGTAAATCCTCTCGTTGACAGATCAGATGAGGAAAAAGAGGGAAGAGAAACGAAAAGGAAAACAAACCGGTGGAGATTTCCCCAGGCGGATTTGGTGGGCCACTGCAGGTGCTGGGTTCTGGCGTGGCATCTAACTCCACCCTAGCATGACTACTACTACGTTTATGGTATAGCACGGCTAACACCTCCCATGTCGTCGGGTGATCACACTGCACCGCGCTGCCATAAATCACCCCCTCGTCACCCGAGACCCAACTCGATGAACCTGCAGCCAGCGCTTGACAGAGGATGGACAACGGGACCTGCCAAGAGTATATGATGACGGCGTGGAACATATTTACCTAAGAAAAAGGACGAAAAGGATGAAGAAGAAAACGAGGGACGAAAACACATTCATCAATGACTTATACGTCACTGTTGTAGATGTTCACATGGCGGGAAGCTCATTCCGTACTCACTCATCGGTGGATCAAGTTCGTATAATTTACACATAGTAATACTGTGTGAAGATCTTCTCCAGATTTTAGAGTCTAAATGCTGTGCACGCATGGCTCGGTATCACGGCATTGATGAGCCCAATACAACCTTCCAGTAAAGGTTTGCCCTGGCATTTGTAAAGGGGGAAAGAGGGGGGTGAGGGTTGAGGGGTAGTAGTACTTGCCTCCTAAATGGCTGGTCAATCAATCAGTAGGCCGTCGAGTCGCATCTCGGAAGCCGCGCGCGGGAGCTAAGGTTTGGCCCCCCATAAACACGCCTCCAGACCCAAAAGACGGTTCCCTTGCACTGAAGAAAACTTCGCGAAGATCACATCCCCATGCCCACAGCATGCGGGCCTTCTCGCTCACGATCTCCATTTGATTTATGATGATGCTTTAATCTGAATCGTCTTCATGCTATACAGATATCCTTTACGTCGCTTCTCGGTATAGATAGTAGACAGCTCTTTCGCGCGCGCTGCTGATCACTGTCGCCATGGGTTTGGGAATCCTCGAGGACCGGGCTCTGGACCACGTTCCTGGTATGTTCAGGCGCGCTTGACAGCAATCATATGGATCAAACCAATTGACCATCAATCCGCTAGGGACAACCCGCTATTTCGATGACCCCGAACGGACGCAGTACGCCGATGACGACGGCGGCATTGCTGCTACTCGACACAGAAATCTCAAGGTCCTGAATGGCATCATTCTCGTGCCCCAGCCGTCCGACGACCCTAATGACCCTTTGAACTGGCCGCTGTGGCGCCGCGATCTCATCACCTTCATCCTCTCCATATCCGCCATCTTTGCTACCTGCCTCGGCCCCATTCTTGCCGCCAACACCGTCACCATCTCCCTCTACATTAGCAAAGACTTCACCGATGTCGCCCTGTTGACCGGCTACTTTCTTTTGGGCACCGGGTTCGCCGCCGCCTTCTTCGTTCCCTCCAGCCGCGTCTGGGGCAAGCGCCATGCCTTCCTCCTCGGCATGATCATCCTCATCTTCAGCAGTGTGTGGGGCGGCGTCGTGGGCCACCACAAGAACTACAACAGCTTCCTCTGGGCCCGCATCATCCAGGGCGTCGGCTGCGCCCCCTTCGAGGCCCTCGTCAATGCCGCCGTCGGCGATCTGTATTTTGTCCACCAGCGCGGCAGCAGGATGGCCTTTACCAACCTCGCTGTCTTTGGCGGCGCCTTCTTCACCCCCATCCTCGTCGGCAAGATTACCCACACCCTTGAGTGGTGGTGGACCTTCTGGCTCGTCGCCATCTTCTGCGGGGCCTGTCTCCCCGCCCTGATCTTTCTGTGCCCAGAGACATCGTACAGGCGGGACACCAGGCTCAACACGGACATGCTGGCCGAGGACGAGACCACCGCCGTCACCAAGGAGGCTGAAGCCCCCACGCCCCCAGAGGCGGAAAGCAGTCACGATCCCGCCAAGCCGGTCAATTATTGGAAGTCGATCGCGCTTTTCAACGGCCGCAAGACGGACGAGGCCATTTGGAAGCTCGCGCTGCGGCCGTTTCCGCTGTTCCTGCAGCCGGCCTTCTTATGGGCTTGCCTCATTCAGGGGACCCTTATCGGCTGGACCGTGTTCATTGGTGTCATCCTCGGCGCCTATTTTATCGGTTATCCGCTATGGTGGAACGAGGTCAAGACCGGCTACGCCTACGTTGGGCCTTTTGTTGGCGCTCTCCTGGGCTTCATCATCGCCGGCCTCCTGTCCGACTGGTCCGCCCGCGCTATGACTCGTTGGAACAAGGGCGTTTACGAACCCGAGTTCCGTATTCTGCTCGTCATACCTCAGCTAGTCTTCGGCGTTATGGGCGTCTTCGGCTGGGGTATCACCGTCGACGGCCTGCTCGACGGCAAGTGGAGTTACGTCGTTCCCCTAATGTTCTTCGGCTTCGAGGTCTGCGGCATGGTCATAGGCGCTGTAGCTAGCAGCTTGTACATCGTGGATGCCTATCGTGAGTTTGAAGTGTTTTTTTTTCTTTCTTTTCTTTCTCTTTCCCCCCCTATCTCCATGTCCCTGTCGGGTCCTTGAACATGTGCTGACTCAGTCATCGGTAGGCGACCTGGCCATCGAGGGCTTCACGTGTATGATCATATTTAAGAATATGTTTGCCTTCGGTCTGACCTTCAAGGCCTACGACTGGCTGATTATCAACGGCACCAAGGCGACGCCCGTTTTCAATGCTCTGGGGGCGGTTCAGGTCGTCATCTGCATGCTGAGCGTACCCATGTGTATGTTGTTCCCCATTCCCTTTCACTTGTTCAAGCACTACACGAAATGATTCACTGACAGCAATTATTTGCAGACATCTTTGGCAAGCGGATTCGGAGCTTTTACTACCGTCATGATATCTTGAAGATATTGAACCTCCGATAGGGGCATGGATTTCGTGGTCCTTGGGACATAATCCTGGGATTCCTTCCCAGCACGTTCATCATACCCCAGTTATTCTGGCCTGGACGAGGAGCCGGCCTCTTTGTCAACATAATCTTCGTTAATGTGATAAGCTTACAGAGGTCACATAAAACTCTGAATAATAAACCAATTTGTAGATGAGCTTTGCATGCCTCTCTAATCAGCTGACCAGAGGGCAAAAGGCACCAAGGTACCAATGCATGCCGCTGTTTTCTTTACAAATATTACTTGTGTGACATAGCAGCATGTAGGCTAGTAAGACAATGCAAATATGAACATCTAATAAGTGTCAATTTCCTCTTCGATCGCCAAATGAAGGAAAGACACAACCTAAACTTAACCCCACGTTCCACCACCACCACCACCCCGGCCACCCCGCCTCTGCGCGCTGAGTCTCCAGTCGTCCTCGCCCTGGAACTTGTTGTACAGCGGCTGGATCCGTTCCGTCTTCTTCCTCTTGGACAGCCTGTCGGTGGGGGCAACCTTGAAAAAGGTCGGGGCCGCCTCGACCAGCCACTTGGGCTCGATGGCCGTGGTGATGTGCATGTACTCCTTGCTGGTCATGACCAGGCTGTGGTAGATGACCCATTCGGCGTTCTTGCCGAAGAGGGCCGACGAAGGGTGCAGGTAGACGTTGGTCCCCTCGATGAGCGTCTTGTAGCCCTCCTGCGGGTCTTTGCGCGCCGAGCTGCGGAAGAAGCCGGAGCACAGCGCACGCCGGACCTTCTCCGTGTCGCGCGGCCCCGCGGACACGATTGGGTGGCGGTAGCGCTGCATCATCCGGGTGAGCTGGTCGCGAACGTCCTTGGCGCGCTTCACGCCGCGATTCTGGATGAAGTTCTCGAAGCACCACGCGTTGGAGTAGCCCGAGTTCTTCCAGGCGTTGAAGACGTTGAGGAGGGTGAGGTGGTCGCCGTGGGGGTCGTGGAACTTGGCCTTCTTCTGGTCAGCCTGCGACTGCTTCTCCTTGGGCCGGTAGAAGACAGTCTGTATGTTGAGCATGGATACGATGGTCAGCATCTCGTCGGAACAGCCGAGGTCGACGCTATACACGAGAGCCTTGGCGAGAGAGGGATCCACGGGGAAATCGGCCATCTTGCGGCCGAGGCGAGTGAGCAGTCCTTCGTCGTCAAGTGCCGAGAGGGCGTAGAGCTCCTCGAGCGCCGTGAGCATTGTGTTCATGGGTGGTGGGTCCATGAAGCCGAAGTGCAAGAGGTCGTTAATGCCAGAGGCCTTGAGCATGAGAATAGTATGGGCCAGATTCTGCCGTTGAATTTCGGGAATCGTTGTCGGAAGCATCTCTGTCTCGAACGCTTGTTGTGTGTAGAGTCGGAAGCATTTGCCTGGACCTGTCCTGCCTGCTCGTCCGGCACGCTGTTGTGCACTGGCTCGGGAGATGGGCACCACCACTAGCGAATCCATACCAAGCTTCGGGTCATACGCATTCTGCTTGACGAAGCCTGGGTCGACCACGTAATAAATGCCATCGATGGTGATAGATGTTTCGGCGATATTGGTAGCAAGAACAACCTTCCGGCTGCCCGGAGGCGCGGGATCAAAAATACGACTCTGCATCTCGCTCGGTAGCGCTGAGTACACAGGCAGGATAAGAAGTTCAGGCACATTAGGGCCTAGTGCTTTCATTCGCTCGTAAAGCACCTCGCAAGCCGTGTCGATCTCTTCTTGACCCGTGAGGAATACGAGGATATCACCTGCTGGTTCTGCGAGATGTATTTCCATCACTGTCACTAGCGCTGCGTCGAGGTAGTCGCTCTCTGGCTCTTTTGAGTAGAGAACTTCAACAGGATATGTCCTTCCGGGAATGGTGAAGATTGGCGCTTCGTTGAAGTAAGACGAAAACTTGTCGGCATCGAGCGTGGCAGAGGTGACGATGATCTTGAGGTCTGGTCTCCGCTTGACTGTTCGTTTCAGCAGACCAAACAACACATCGGTCGCGATCGTACGTTCGTGTGCTTCGTCCAACATGATGACAGAATACCTCTTCATATCGGGGTCCATGATGACTTCCCGCTGAAAATGGCCGTCGGTCATGTATTTAATCACAGTGTTCCGGCTGGTCACGTCGTCAAATCGGACGGCATAGCCAACCTCAGCACCGAGTTCGCAACCGACTTCCTCAGACACACGCTTTGCAACGCTGATAGCGGCGACACGACGAGGTTGTGTACACCCTATCATGCCTTGGTTTCCAAATCCAGCCTCAGCCAAATATTGGGTAAGCTGTGTGGTTTTGCCTGAACCCGTCTCTCCCACCACGATCATGATTTGATTGTCCCGGACAGCTTGAATGAGCTGGTCTCGGAATGCGAACACGGGCAATGACTCTCGTTGCTGCTTAATGGTCATGTTCGTCCGCTTTCCTTTGGGTGCATCCATCGGCGCAATAGCTTTCCTCCACTCTGGTGCCGCATCTGTCTTCTGGCGCATGGCGGCGTGCCTCAGATCACTAGCGAATTGTCGCTTGTCAGGGTCCGCCATGGGATCCTGCCACTGAGACTGCAGATCAACTTTTGCCTCTGATTCCTTCGCATCTGCTTCATGCTGCCGCAGTTCTTTCCTTTCCTTGGTGAGATTTGTGCCGGCCATGGCCGCTCGATTGAGAGATCCATCGGGAGCTTTAACGATCCGGATGGGCGACAGCTCGAGACTCTGCTTCGTTTGACCGGCAAGGAACGGTGGCTCCTCGTCTCGAATTTCAATATCCACATCCTGCTCTAGTTCCAGCTGACCCTCGCCAGTCAATGTGGACTGATAATCATCCTCCAGGTCAGGGTAGTCGGACGCCTTGGCGACTCCAGATGCGATCAGTTGACGTATCTCCCATCTTTCAGGGGAAGTCATTCGCTTCTTCTGCCGCTTTTGAACGAAACGACTCTGGGGCGGCTCAGCAATAACATGATGGCCGCCGCCCAGAGCCTCGGAATTGGCTCCTGACTGTATTCTCGCTTGTGGATGGAGGTCGTCTCCCGTCTCCTGATCTACCTCCTTCATGGACAGACCGATGCGGCTGCCTTCGATTTTGACGACCTTGACCTTCACATTCTGCCCCTTTGCCACAAGGTCGGAAGGGTGGTTTACCCTCTGTCCCTCGGCGAGCTGCGATACGTGTACGAGGCCGTCGACCTTGCCCTTGATCCCGTGCAGATTGACAAAAGCACCGAAATCCTTGACGCCAGTAACGTGTCCATCGTATATCCTTTGAAGCTGTGGCGAGTCGTCAAGCTCGCGTGGCAGAGGTCGTCGGAATTGATCTTTGTCTTCGTCTTCGTCAAAGCGGCCCCTGATACTCCTGTGTTTCTTACGGCTATCCCCATTCGTGTAGTCATCGTCGTGCCTGCCATTCCGCCCTCTCTTGTAATCTTCTTGGTCGTCATTGTCGTAGTATTGACGCTTGCGATCGCGATCGCGACTGTGGCTTCGGCTGCGATCTCGATAGCGGTCTTTCCTCCGCCACCGCGAATCCTCCTCGGCCTCTGGGCTCCGGCTGCGTTTCCTCCCATTCTGCGCCTTCTCTTTCTTGGCTTTTCCCTCCAGTCCTTCCAGCAGAGCCAGGGTATCGTCAATTTCGTCCACGCCGTCATCGCCTGCGGGCTCCTTGTCCGGTATGCTGAGGCCTCGGAATATCTGCTCCTTCTCGTGTATGCTCCGGTGCGGCCGATCGTCGTCCTCGACAAAGCCTGCCTGTTTCTTTTTGTTCTTGAGCTTGGGGTGTAGTGTACAGACGAGTCGGTCTATGCTCTCGACGAGGGAGTTCGGCAGGGTGGATGCGCCCATGGCGGGCAGCATCTTCTTGAAGTCATCGAGGCTGTCGCATTCTAACCGTTTCGCGATAACGAACTCGGCGAGGGTCTTGCGAGCATCTTGATCAGGGATGCCCAGATGGTTCTGCAGCTCGGAGGAGATCTTGGATACGAGGGAGAGGAGCTCCAGCGACTCGAGGGACTCCAGTTCATCCATTTTTTTTATTTTTATTTTTGCTGTAGAGAGTGTGATATGTGATGGCCAACGGCGAAGTCCAAGAAGGGCTTGCTGTATGGACTGTCAGCCTAAAGAAGTTCAAGTGTAGCTTTGCGGCAGGCAAGGCAAGTGGCTAATCCCGGACCACAGTGGCAATTGCCCACCACGAAGCAGCCCAAACCCCCCCCTCTCCCACCGCTCCCTCTTCTCTCCCCTTTTGCTACTTAAGTAACCGTGGTCACCAAAGGATGGAAAGAAAAAAGAGGTATTAAGAAAGGGAAGGGGAGTATATTCATGCAAGAGCCTATAGATCACGTGCATACAATGCCCATTTTTTGGAAGAGACAAAAAAAAAAAAAAAAAAAAAGGAATCCAATCACTTGATAAGCAACAGATCAAAGCACTGGATGTTTTCGAACGTGTTTCATGCTAAGAACTTCCCTCAAGCCAATGTTTTAGGCTCCCCAGGCTCTTCTCTCCTGCACAGTGAAGTTCCTATTGTATGTGCACCAATTCCAAGTATTCTTTTCCCTCCTATGCACCAGGATTTCAAGCTACACAGTAGAGTATTTTACTTGTACAGGGTATCCTGTGTGGGTGAGATACTCAATGTGCAGCATAACCACCTAATGTACCTAAGTATAACAAAGATGGCATTCCAATCATGCCATGAATGCATCTTGACAGCTGCATCTGGAATCTCCAGAAGGCTCTAATGCTGCCAGCAATTAATAGCACAGGAAGGGTTGGGGGGTCACCACTTAGGGAGTCTTGGGCCCCACAGCCCCCGTCGAGCCTCTTAGGGGTTCTCCCACTCTGGTGCACTAAACTGCCTTATGTAAGCACTGCATTACGCAACCTCACAGGGCTGTGTGAGACGCCATAGAAACCTTGAATCCTTACGTTCGATCATACCTTGGAAACAACTCCGCCTGACCCATCTTTCATCCTGGACCAAGGGCCGCTTTTATCTTGTCTCCCTACAGTACAGTTTCTTATTCTTACTTAGACAACACCACTACGACAGCAACAGTGTCCGAACTCGCAAACCTAAACACTCGAGTCCTATCCTACTACACACAAGATTCTGAAGACGACAAGCCTATCATGTGTTCCTCAGACATCTTCTTGGGCCTCCTGGCTCTTCTCTTCCCACCTCTGCCTGGTGAGTTTCTTTGTGTCTACTTTTGCCTCCACCCCTTCTCTGCACTCCATCCTCAATGGCTGTCTTTTATGGGCCTTTATTGAGTGTGGACGTCGCTTTGCTATCCTGCTCTTGGTGCTGACAGTTTCATCTTCTAGTCTGGGTGAAGTGTGGTATCTGTTCTGCTGACTCCGTCATCAACATTCTGCTCTGCGTCCTTGGCTACGTCAGTATCTTGCTCTCAGGCTCACGCGCGCCCCCGTTCGTGTGTCTATACGGCCCCCTTTACTAACCATCTCTCCCCCCTCGATACAGATTCCCGGTCTCCTCCATGCATGGTACATCATCGCAAAATTTCCCGAACCAAATTACAATGACTACGAGCGTGTCGGCGACTCGGAACGCGGCGGTCGCGTGGCGTATGTTGTTGTGCAAGAAGGTGGCGATGAGCGACGGTCACAGCGGCCCGCCGGTCGCGGCCCTGCGAAACCACCTGGCCAGCAAGCGAACATGACCTATGGCACAAACACGCGAGAGAACGCCGAACCCTCGTCGCAGGCACATGGACACCAGGAGGCGAGCGCCGGACCGAGTGATGGCGCACCTCCGCCCAGTTACGCCCAGGTCGTTGCTGGCGATAACAAGATCCAGGATCATAGCTAGTGGGCTGAGGATCACCACTTGAACCCGGGCCCACGCAGGTGGAAGGACTGGGGCAACAGTCAGCGGTATTGGCGGCGAGAGTGACAGGAGATGGTGGTAGGGGACGGTGTCAGGCTACAACGAGATGGGCTTGGAAAAGGGCGCGGCAAGGCTTCGGCGGCTTCGGAGTTCGTTTTGGTTTTGGGTTTTTGGAAGCCTGAAATGGCTATGACGGTTTACAGGAAAACATGAGTCACTCGTTTATGACACACACACCTCACGGTACCAAAGGGCAGGGCGTTCACAGGGTCTTGTCTGGATGTGAAGGGGAGTTCTGGGCATGGTTCATCTTCAATACACGACACAAATCGCAGCTTCGTTTTCCAGCCATTTTTTTTTTTGGCATTTCCCATTCATCCGGGGGTTGCCCCCTCCCCCTTTCCCTTTCCAATGTTGCAAGTTGTACAACCTTCTGCCGCCGTAATAAATTGTCTGTATCGCTGCAGGTCCAGATGCAGGTTAGATCTGTCACAATCACGACCCAATCCAGGATGTACAAGCCTGGGTCAGATGTGAGTGTACGTAGCCACTACTTTCATCATCTCCGCTGCTAGATATCATGTAAGTTTTGTCACGGGGTGTCAATATATTGACAATGTATCCGCCCCTTGCAGGAGGACGTAGGTGATAGATAGCCTGGAGTGCGGAGTCCTGCTACATTATAACTGACTTCTGCTGGTTGTCTAGTGGTTTGACTTGCCTCTGGCTCACCTTGATCTAACTGTGCTACACGCTGAGTATCCTCTTCTCGAGTTGAGCAAGCGAGTTGCTCATCCACATCATACACCTCCTGCGCTTGTGGGCAGACGAACAAATCTTACGTATTCCACCTCGATGCGCTGGCGGAGCTTCTGGTGTTGCTCACTGCCCCTATACCCATGAAACGCCCCGATTCGTGAACATGGCCCCTCTGGGGCCGCGCCCTCCTGAATAGTATCTCGTCCAGAGGGCGGCCTCGCCTGGATGTGGATCAACCCGCTGTCCTTCCCCACGTAAAGATGCCACATGTTCTTGAACTCCTGCGGTTTGCCAGGGACATCTCGTCGGTGTGCAGCTGGCACATCGTCCAAGTCGTCGATATAGACACTCATCCCCAGCGTGAATCTTTCGGACGCCAGATCGTCAGCTGTGTGTCTGTCACGAGTACGCCACTCCTCTGTCCCCATCGTGCAACAACGAAGGAGGTCCAAGTGGTCCAGCCGGTCCTGAAGGAGCAAGAATTTATCAACGATCTTCATCGACTCCATTCGCCCATCGATCTCGTCTCCAAAGAGGAACGTGATCTTCGTGTCAACCGACGCCGCCCAGGACCAGGTCGGCGCTCTGAACGTCTTCTGTCAGCCACCGCGGGGCTGTCACCAGGGCATCATGTCGAAACATAACCACATCCGATGAGAAGGGCGTCAGAAAATACCATAGTAGTATTTGAAATCAAGTTCGCTCACCACGACGTCTGCAAGCCCGCTTACGGCTGCGAGCTTGTCCGACAGGTACATAAGGTCCCTATGACTGAACGCATTGATAAGTGATTGCCATTCATTGATTCAACGCTCCGCCTGTCGTTTCCGGCCCACCTCGGTCATCGGGAGGGCAATATGGGGTCTGGACTTCAAGTAATATTCCTCTCGTGAGCCACAAGAGCACTGCCATGAGAGCCTGACTACCCCGAAGCTGATGATGCGGCACGAGAAAATCATCTCCTGGAACGCCCAGCTTCGCTGGTCGAGTGGCCTCGCCTCCGGTGTTTGTGAGGAGCCTAACAAGCGGTTCCACACGTAGCAGACCTCATTACCACCCTGCATGGCCTTCACGGACGGCAGTCCTTCCGGGATGTATAACCGTTCCTGGAACAGTCCGTCCTGAGCATCTTCGGTCGCAGTTGCAGAGATCGTCAGTCGTGCTCGACTGTAGATCTGTTCCATTAGGACGGCCTCTCGTTCCCAGTCGGTCCTCGCAGGAGCATCCTGCCCCTGGATTATGCAGAGAGTCTCGGCCCAGAGATACTTGATGCTAGGCGCCGCGTGACACGCACAGCCTCTCGGACCGTCGCGGGGAGCTCGTCTACAGGCACCCCCGCCGCAGTACTGGACTTGTTCACTGAAGTGAGCTTTCGGCCTGTGGGATCCTTGCCCCAGCAGTAGCTCAGCGCCATGTATGCGCAGGTCTCGCCGGCTGTCGTGTCCAGTCGCGGCTCTTCCTCTTCCTTCAGACCAACATCAACGAGACGGGTGGGCAGTGCTGAGACCTTATTCTGCGGGCATTTGGCCGAGTTTTCTTCGGAGCAATCGGCGAGCCAGTTCTTGAATCAGCTTTAAAGATGCGGCGGAGCCAGCGTTACTCTTAACCAGCCGGTAAACAAAAGCCCCCCTGACGGCGATTTAACGTCGGTATCGGATACTGCACCCCGTGTGTTAGTGGCAATGAAGAGAATACGCAGCTTTGTGTGTCCAGAAGGCAGGCGAACGAGAACCAGGACGACGACCTACATGGGCCATAGTACACCGAAAGTCTACCAACGTGATAAGGTACCTTTTCACCACCCTGGGGCTCCAGAACTCAGCTTCCCTCCTTGCTGCTTTGGGGGCTCAGCCGCCAATAGAGTTTTCCGGCATTCCTCGGGCGCCACAGCCACAACATCGATCGCCATGATCGGCTCGCCGCTTGCCCGGGGTGGTCATCGATACACCCGGACCTGAAGTCCATCCAAACCCATGTTCTGCGACCTATTGGCGCCCCAACCGCGGTTACTCGTGGAGGTCCAGAGCATGGAACACGAATCGCAGCCTGTCTCCAGGGGCGCCACGGCTCCAGTCGAGTGCATCGGGGTGCAGCACATGTCCTGTGTCAGGAATGTCGCAGACTGAGAAAATTATTGCAGGACTCGCAGTGCGGGGGTGCCATTGGGCCCGTTTTCGGGTTTCTGCGGTCGGGCTTTGTGTCTGTAGCAACTCTCTAATAGGTCATGAATAGACTGGGATGCTCATCATCATGCTCTACATAGATCCCATTCTTGGTTCCATCTCGGGCTTCTAGACTGCTGACAGTCTGCTGCGAGTAAGTGGCAGTCTCACTCAGCTGCATAGAGGAGGCTGAGCGGCGGAGGCACTAAGCCTTGACGAGGTTACGGCAATACGCACTGCAAAGTTCTCAGCGCAAGCAACTTGTTTACCTTGTACCATGACAATTACTGACTAGATTGTGCAGAGGTAATGGACTGGAACTCGTCGGAGACGTATGCAGTAGCTCGGAAGACAGCTTCCCCTCGTCAAGTGATCCCGTCCCCAAATCGACGTCGCCTGCACAACGAAGGAAGCTTACCAACGCCAGACGAACCGCCTTCATGAAAGGAGAGTCTTCCTCCAACTCCAAAGAAAAAAATAAGCCACGATAAAACACAAGGATATCAGATCCTGGCCCTCTCCATGGCTTTCTGCAGTGCCTGTGCATCCTCCACCTCTCTCATTTGCTGATCAAGATCGGGATCCACCTTCCTCTGTTCCTTCACCGTCTCGCGCTCCTCCCTCTCTAGACCCTCTTGCTCTCGCCTGTCTGCGACATCAGGGTCATCTGCCGACGGCGGTGGGCGTGTTTCGGGGCGGGGCGGCTTCCAATCCAGCATTAGGCTCTGCGGCAGGAATACGTAGAAAGAGGGCAAAACGTCGATGACATCCTTGATAAACTGGATTCCGATGTCCAGCTCGCAGATTGCCAGCCGCATCTTCATACCCACGGTCAGGTGTTCCAGGACCACATGCTCCATGTACACAGATACTGGTTTTTCAGAATTACTGGCCCGCCCAGACGCGTGTGTTGGGCGCTTGTCCCAGCCATCCTCAATGATGATGGGATGCAGTACCATGTAACCGGTAGGAGTGATGGGCCGGGTACTGCTGCTGTGTGCTGGGAGGCCCCCGTATAGATTAGCAATCGAGGGATCGGCAAACACGATGTCTCTCACTTCGTAGGAATTCTGAAAGGTGTCAATCAGATGCAGTGGCTTCGTATCCATCTCGAGCACACGGCCGACGAGATCGGGCTCGTGCAGCACAACGGTTGTCTTGAAAACTGACTCGGCATCAAAGTCTGCAGGGGCAAAAACCATGTTGTTAATGGACCCCGGCAGTTTGACCATTTCGCCTGAGCTTCTGACGAACTTCTTGTCCTCATACATGACGAGACTTTGGTCTTCCAGCCCGATGTTTTCGTGTTTGTTGATGGGCTTGCCAGAGGAGTAGAAGAGGATGCGACAGGCGAGATTGAAGTCACCGGGCATCTTGTAGCCGGCTGCGGCGATGTGTGGGAGCTCGGTAAGGGCGAGCTCGCAGATGTGAGTGGCCTCGGCTAGATTCTCGTCGTACTCAGGGCAGACATCATGGTGGCGGACGTATTTTAGGAAGTTGAGGACGGTGTCGGCAGCCAGAGAAATCTGTGGAGTATTGGGACCACCCTGCTCGGGGAGGTAGGAGCCACTGTAGATGACACTGAGGTCAGTCCTCTGCTCGGTAACGGTAGCATCTAGAAGGAAAGGTAAACGATCTCGACGAGAGGTCAGGCAATGGTGGAAAAAATACTTACAGGAATCCCGCAACAACACCCGCGAAGTCTACATCCCAGTGCTCTGGATAGTAGGGATCGAACCACTTGCCCTTGGCGCCACTGTCATCGGAAACGAAGTTGTTGGCGGTGAAAGCACGAATCTCGTCGGCGGTGTAGTCATCGTTCTTCCATTCTTTGACCAGATCAGCCGTGCCGGTAAACTGCCGCTGTGCGCTCTCGATGCCGCCAAGGGCGAGATATTTCTGGAAGAGAACATTTCGGTCCTGCGTCAGGCGTCGGCGCGCAACGAATCGCTGGATGCACTCTTCGATTCTCCTGTCCAGAGTTTAGGAGGCGAGAACGTGCTACCTGGTCTTTATTAGGCATAACTTACTCGTGGAATGGTCTGGCACTGCTGAAAGATTAACGATTGTGCCGAGCGCTGCGTTCGGGGCTCGGTACTCACGGGTCATAGATCTCCTTCTCGATGGCATATTCAGCCGGTGTCATGGGAGGGTCGGCGAAGCCATCTGCGCGGATTCTCGTCAACAAGAATCGGTATCCGTAGACAGCGCAGCGTTGAGGGAGAATGCAAACCTTCAAACCCTGAACCACGATTTTTGACCAAAGCAGTCTCGCCTCGCTTGAGCGTGGGTTGAGGGGCCATGTTGATGGGCAAGCCTGTATGCGAAGAAAAGGAGGGGTTGGTGTGCAAAAAAGGAAGTTTCGATACAGCAGGAAGGCGCTTTCTATGTTGGGAGGATATGAAGTCTGCGGCTGCTTGTGGGGTTTGAGACGGTTGGAATATTTCAAGAATATCGAGCATAGGAGAAGCGGAAGAAAGAAGGTGAATCAAGTACAAATTGTTTGCTAATTGCAGAAAGGCAATTGAGCAAAGCAGCACCACCTGGAAGCCTCTCTGCAGCATTCACTATTGCTTCACTTACTTGCAAGACCTGCACCTGGAACACCACAGGCACTAAGCTTTAATGGACCTGGACACCTGGTCAATGATCATTGATCACAGATCTTTTGAGGCTGCTGGAATCATCCTCGATATTGCCAAGAAGTTCTTCGATGATTAACCGAGTATCTTTACAATGCTAGTGCTTCGGTGTAGGAATACTTTCCTATTATCTCTGCTGCAGCCAAATCCGACGATCATTCTGAGAAAGAGACGATTTTCAGCGAACGTTTGCACTGAGTTCTCTGAGCTTCTGAGCTTGGTTTCCATTCAGGTGGTCCAATCATGCTGAAGACAATCTCAACCGCCACTGACTACTTTGGAGGCGGGTGTGATAATTGTTACAGTGAAAGAACTTGTTGAAAGGACACACACTAAGCACAAGAAAGAACAGGAGAAAAGAGAACAAAAGAGGAGAAGGAGTCGAAGAGGAAGGACAATACACAAGCAAGTCTTGACTTCTATCACTGCTGTAACACTTAGAGCAACTGTGCTCCGAATGGTGTGCAGCTACCCAGGACTTTCCCACCCACCAACCACATGCATCCATCGTCCCCTACCAAGGAGAAAACAAGGCTGCTTAATGTTATACTTACGGTTTAATGAATAATTCAGTGGAAGTGTTCATGGTGGACGAGGGAGAAAAAAAGAACATGCTATTGACAAGAGCATGGCCCAACGTAACCCCACAGGTGAGGCTCATCCCTAACTGCGGTATTGTGCATACTGCAGGCGGTAATGCAGTCAGACGCTGAGTCCGTCCAAGATATAGTAACTCGTTGACACAGCTGACACTCGACCCTCCTTCTTCAGGTAGCCATGAATGTTGGGCGGAGCCTGTATATCTTGACGGATCCGAACCGTGTCGAAGTTTGCTCTCTCGCGGTGGGTAGTGTAACATTTGGGGAGGACTGGGGACGAGAGCTTGTTTCCGGCAGGCCTCCACTGACACGGCGAAGGCACAGCCCATGACCTGCATATGCCCGTCCGGCCCGCCTAACAAATCGTGCATCGACCCGAGATGGCCCCCTCCTTAGGGTCTAGATCGCTTGTGGATGAAGCAAGCCCGGTCCCCCAAGATATGATCCGTCCTTGCTGGCTGGCGCCGCCATCCACATCTGTCAGGAACGGGCCATGCTCGAAATCGTCTGTGATCTGCGGCGAACCTTGTGAATCGAGATGTCATAATGGCCACTGATGATTCAATGTTTGCACGGTGGCACTTGTGCCTGCGCAGCTGAACCGCGGTCGAGACCGAGAGTGAACCCTCTTTTCCTTCACCGTCTGCTAGTTGGGCATGCGACCTGATCAGCTGGGCTGCGCTGAACTGTCTCACCGGCTTCTTCGATGCTTCTGATTCGAAAAAGACCCAATTATCGGCCTGGTCGCCTTGTACGATCAGGTCTCACCGCATTGGTTCAGTGAATAGACGGCAGTCACCGCAAGACATCCGTCCAGACGATATCAGGCACGCATGACTAACTGTTGTGGTTCAGCTTTTTTCATTCAGTGCCTTTTGTCATTGATTAGAGGGAGATTCGGTCTCACTGGAGACGATGGCGATAAAGTGAGCAGGGGGGGAAGCAGAGCAGAGGGCTGTGTCCCTCTTAGCGAGCGAGGGCTCCCGGGCCGCGATCCAACAGGAGAGCCAAGAGGTCGCATCAGCCACCCAAAACAGGGCCTACAGAAGGGCCTTGTCTGCCCACCACAGCCGCCACTGTCAAATAGGGGATTTACGCGTAAGCGCTTGGAACGTCGGCGCATCGCTGCTGCGTCCCATTGACGGGTCTATGAGAGACTTTTGGTTAGTCGGTGGCAGCATTCAGGTGGTCGAATGATGGAACTTAACTCATCGTAATATATAGCTCGAGGGTTGGATTGTGACTCAAATAGGGCGTTACTGAAGCAGAAGAGAATCTCCAATGAATCCAGGGGCTTGGGTCACGGTGGGGGCGTCCACTGTTTTGCCTCAAGGATACCCTGCATTTGCACCTGTCAGAAGATCGAGGGCCCCTTTATCGGCCCTGAAGATGGTGCGCCGGTCACCAAAAACCGCGGATCACACTTCGCCAACAGCGCTCACCCGCCCCAACATATGCAGCATGACAAAGGCGTGCTGCTGCGGAAGTAAGACATTAGGTCACTCCACTGAAGCGCGCCTGTACCTCCAGTGTTTGCCCAAAATTGATCTATCGCATCCACTATTTCTTGACCTGCGCCTTCTGTAATTTTTTCTACTTTTCTCTAGTACCAATCCTCTGATCCTTGTAAGGCATGCACGGTCCCTCTCACTCCCCATCATCCATCACTTTTCGTTAACGCTCACCCACACAGCACTACCCCCAAGGTCTAAGCCATTGCCTTCGCGCAAGGACCGATCCTCGAGCTGTCTCGTCCTTGTCTCCTTGTTATTTTCTCTTCATAACTCTCCTTTTGTCCCGCTCTTTTCTCTTCTCCGAATCTTTTTGATCTTTTTTTTATTATTCTGCAGTGACCGACCTTTTTGCCCTTGGACGCCCCCCAATTCCAGGCGCGACTCTCTTTACCGTTTTCGTGTCTCGGTCGTTTGGTGCATCTCCGACCACATACATCGCCGCTCCTCGATTCATTTCCGGTCCCCCTTTCAATCCCTTCTCCTAGACAACACAATTGTGTGGGCTTCAACCCTGGATGCGCCAGACCCGAGCGCGCCCATTCTCCTCCCTTTTCACAACACCAGACTCGTCTCCTGTCCAGGAACGAACAACTCCCAGACCAAGATGCCTTCGCAAAAAGTGATACCTCACTATTCCGAACTCGTCGAGTACAATTACGCCGTCGCCGGACAGTGAGTGTGCCAGACCACGAGGAATGCAGCTTGTGGGCCTGCGCGGTGATACTAATTCCTCCTTTTTAGCGATGGAACAATGTGCAATACGGGCGGCGAGCTGTTCATCAAGCCGTGCACCAAGTCCGAGATCGATTTCTACCAGTCGCTGCAGGAGCCTGACCACACGCGCATGGCCGAGATCGTCCCTCTCTTTATCGGCAGCCTATCACTCAACGATGGGGCCGACCTGAAATCAATCAACGAGCAGCTTCCCGTCGTGGCCGATAATATCATTCCGGAGATCAAGGAGCACATACAGGAACTCGTGGGAGAACACCGCGAGGCGAAGGAGGCAGCCATACCTACTGCAGTGGTGGCAGTGCCACCGCAGGATACCTCTTCAACAGCAGCAGCAGCCCCAGTGGACAATGTGACCTGGATACCGAACCTGAACCGCAAGATACCTACCAACACCGCCGTAGCGCTGGACAACGTCGCGTTTGGATTCAAGCGGCCGAATATTATGGACGTGAAGCTGGGCCGGAGGCTGTGGGCAGACGATGCGCCACTCGAAAAGAAACGCCGGTTCGACAAGATCAGCGCCGAGACCACACACCACGACCTGGGCTTCCGCATTGCTGGCATGCGCGTGTACAAAGGCTCCGATAACCCCGACGACTTGGATGAGGAGGACTACAAAATCTATGACAAGGACTTCGGTCGCAATGATGTTAACAAAAATAATGTGGTGGATGCATTCCGGCAATTCATCTACAACGCTGGCGCCGGCATTGACGATGACTACGCGCGCGCTGTCGCAGAAGCATTCCGCAGGGACCTCGAGCATGTGCGCGACGTCCTTGAGGGTGAAGAGAGCCGCATGTACTCCTCCAGCCTACTGTTTATCTTTGAGGGCGACGGCGATGCCCTCAAGGCTGCCATCGACGAGAGCAGCGGCAGCACGGTCAACTCTGTCAAAGGCAAGAAGGAAGGCAGCCTCCCCGGACGTACCACGAGCCGTATTGATAGTGGCATTGGCTTGGACGACGATGGCGAGATCATCTCCTATGGCGCTTGCCCTACCGATACGGCGTCCGAGTCTGACTCTGATATGGAACTTGAGCCAAAGATCTGGAACCTGAAGCTCATCGACTTTGCGCACGCCACGTGGACCCCAGGCCAGGGTCCTGACGACAACATTCTATTGGGCGTCAGGAGTTTGATCAGCATTTTCGAGGAGCTGTCACAGTGATGTCTTCCCCCGCGCATCCGAGCGGCTACTGGGAAGAAAATAGCGGCAGTCTATACGGCCACAGTACAACGGGCATCTAGGGGGGGCGGGGGGCGGGACTGGGGAATAGGGGGTTCTGGCGTTTTGAGGGACAATGCTTTTTCAGAAAGACACAGATAGACCTTAACAACTGTCATCGCATGGCAATATGGGGCAAGACAAAATTATCCGTACCAAAAACGGAGGCGGCGGTTAGCATCAGATGGCAACGGTTCTGGGACATGATGATCGGGCATCTCACAAAGAACCGCACGAGGACGCATTCTCCATTGGCGCTCATGACGACTTCCATAATACCCAATACAAATATGGTCTAGGAGTACAAATGATTATCTTTTTTTTCCCTTCTACTTTTCGAGCCTACTGCTACGCCATCAATGTTCTCTAGAAGATGGGTGAGGCTGCCTTTAGTTAAGTCGAGCATTGCAAATCCTAGCCTGCCTACTAAGTACTTTGGCTTGAGAGTTGCGTTTACGTGCGCACATTGCAACTCAGTAAACAGACCTCTTTGCGGCTATAACCAGTAAAGAATTCATCAAAAGTGCCAAGATTGGTCAATTCGCCTGAATACCTTTCAAAGTGCCTGAACTTGTGACATCCTCAAGCATTGTCTTCCTTGAAGGTAGCACAAGAAGGGGTTTCTTTCCTTAGCTTTCCTAGGAGGTTGACTTTTGGGGAACCTTGGAAGATTGGGTATGGCATCTGCTTTATTTTTATTTTTTTTCAACCAAATCTGTCTCTCCTTGTCTTATCGTGATGCCTACCCCTATCATTGATGAAAGCTGCAGCAAGTACCACTTCCAGCCTACCAGCCCGACGGCTGCACCCGCTGTCCCCACCCATCCCCATCTCCATCCCTCCCCGCAAGCCTGTAGTGACCAAACCCTGCGCCCCGGACAGAGCTTAGAGCTCCAAGCTATCCCAACTTCACCTTTCCACCCACATACAAACTCACGCACGCACCCCACCCCACATCACACCTTCAACACAGCCTACACTCTCGTACCTTGATCTTGAGCTCATTTCTTTTCACAGTGCTAAAGAAGCCATAATTATGTCCATTCCAGGATTGGGCCAGCTGCCCATCAAGGTGAGCTTTGTTGGCAGTCCTTCCCTCCTTCCCAGCATCTCCAGCCTTGTTCTTTGAGGAGCCACTCTTCCGAGAGAAGTCATGCATGTGTATCACTCGCAAGCAGGAGCTCCTTTCTCCTGCCTCCACGAGGTCAGCAGCCTTTCACTGTGGATCCCACAATCTCTTCGCTTCATCAGAGCCTTCTCAGATGGCCTCTGCGAGGGTCCTTGGTCACTGGCATTTATGTTCCTTGCCAACATGCTCATTGTTGAAAGGGCAGCATGACCATTGTGGGTCACTGCATGGCCCACTGGAGATGCATTTGAGCTACGAGCTAGCTGTCATCGCATTCAACGTCTCTGCGTCCACTGTGGACCTCTGATCACTCGCACTTCGATGAGATGCTTGTTGCTTTCCTGGGCCGGAGACATGAGTCCTTCCAAAGCAAGTGGATTCTCAATATTTCAACTCCAGAGCACCTCCAGTCACGAACACTGGGTGATGAGCTTGCAGTCAAACCTGGGATCTTATCATCATCTCTTAAGAATCAGCAGACACCACGAAAAGCATTTGCCCAAGTTCTTTCCACCCAAGGATATCAACGGCCTTGCCAGGACAGGTCTGACGGTTGGACCATTGTAATGTGCCACCTAGATCTGTCTTGAAGAGGCTCACTGCCTTCTGTGCCACTTAGTATGAGCCACTCACAAAGATGGGCTCCTCGTCGGCCAGTCATATGTCTTTCTCTGCTGTGATGGGCTTACATTTGGGATCTACTTCTCCAGTGCCTGGTTGCTTGTGGAAACCTGGATCTGAATCACACCCAAGAGAAAGAGGAACACGTTCTCCCATCGAGAAAGGCTTCCTTTCATTGGTATATCTTAGAAAGCTGAACTTTCTACCTGCCACCCCTTGAAGTAGCTGTCTAACCTATGGAGCTGCAGAGGGATCTGTTGTGGTTAGAGAGACCTGCTTTTAACCTCTTTGATGTTTACTTCATTATTCTATATCACCACACAGCTCTACAATGAAGTAAACACGCATGATTGATGTCTTTCCTGGTTGTGGACCTTGCTGCTTTTTTCTTTGCGTGGCATCCTCATTATGAACACTGGCTACCCACACATGATTGCTTCTCTCCACAAAAACCTCGTTTACCCTGAGTTTTGACCAAGTTTGCTGACAAGATGTCCACCCTCCAGGCCAATCCCAGCTCTTTACGCCAAACTGTGAGCCTCTATCCATTTTGGGAGTGGCGGTTTGAGGTCTCGCACACCGACACCGTCTCCGTCCGACTCGTTTACGGTATCGCCGATAGAGATGGTACCGAACTTGCCCTGAACAAGTGGTATCGTTTCAGCGGCACCCGATCCAAGATTAGCACTGCTCGTGGCTGTACGATGGAGATTGAGGGGAGCTGCGATCGCCAGAGGGTTGCCGAGCTGACACCAGCTACGAGCGCCTCAACAGTGCATATGAACTTGCACGTCCTTCTGGACCGTCTGCGTCATGAGGCGGTGGGGGCCAAGCCTCCCACCACAGGTCCGCGTGTCATGATCGTTGGCCCTAACAGCGTCGGCAAGACGACAATGGCACGAACACTTACAGCATACGCAGTGAAGACGGGCTTCCAACCCATCGTTGTCAACATGAACCCGCGAGAGGGTATGCTGCCCCTGCCTGGCACCCTCACGGCCGCGACTTTCGCGACCATGATGACCATCGAGAGCGAGGGCACCGGCGCCTGGAGTGGTACCCCTACAAGTGGTCCCGCCGAGGTACAGCCAAAGCTGCCGCTCGTCTACTACTACGGCCGCGAGCACGCCACGGATGACCTTCAGCTTTACAAAGAGGTCGCCTCAAAGCTTGCAGGCGCCGTCACCAGCCGGATGAGCGAGGACAACGACGCCAAGACTGCAGGCCTGATCATCGACACACCGGGTGTCGGCTTGGTAGGAAAGTTGGGCGATGCGGAGATGGAAATCATGGCCCACGTGATAGAGGAGTTCTCGGTGAATGCCATCATCGTGCTAGGCTCGCATGCCGGCAGTGAGGCTCTGCGGAAGCGATTCCACGGCGAGAAGACAACGTTAGGCGATGTGATCAATGTCGTGAGCCTCGACGAGAAACCCGATGGTGTGGTGGAGAATGACCAGGCGTGGCTGCTGGCTTGTCAACATGCAGCAATTAAGGAGTACTTTTACGGAGACAGCAAGACGACCCTGAGCGCCCCAAAGCAGATGGTAGATTTCGACAGCGTCACGATCTACCGGGTTCCTGATCGTAAGTCTACTACTAATTTCCTTATCCTCCCTTCTGTATGTCTGGTGTGGTCTTCAAGAACACGGACAGGAAAGAAAGAGAACAAAAAGAAGGCACAAGATTATTGACCTTTGATGCGCAGCTACCGATTCACCCGAGCTCCGTGGTCTCGAGAGGCTTGACCCAAGTCCAGCTCTCTCACACTGGACCATGCCCGTCATGAACGCCAAGGCGAATGAGTCTCCAGAGTCCATCCGCACGGCCTCGGTCCAGGGCTTTGTCTACATCACCGACGTCAATAAGGATCGCCGCAAGATTAGTATTCTAGCACCCGCAAGTGGTCGTGATCCACAGAAGCCCCTACTTCTGGGCTCTTGGCCTGAGCAGTTCATCAATCTCGTCGGCTGAACGGGAGGTCATGGGGGTGTTGTTGTCCATTCAGGCTTAGGTGTATTTCTAGAGCATTTGTGCGTCGCCTTGGCGGTGCTGGGTCCGGGTGTCTTTTGAAGGTGGCTCGGAGGGCGAGCATAGCAGTTGGCGTTACTGGTCAATGTGAATAAAAACGAATAGCATATTAAATGCCCTACACCCTTCAAAGGACGAGGAGGTTCAAGTGCTTGCCTGATCAACATATTTTCTTCCTTCAACAATTTGGCTCAGTGTCAGGATATTTCTCCTGTTTCCTAAGCAAAGAACTCACTCGACGTCATATTACCATCCTGTCCAGGCATATATGTAACCAGTCCCATTCACCCTTCAACTGAACACTCTTACGCAACGATAATACTGAATAGGTCGCCATAGACATTTCAAGTCTTGGTTGTATTTATCTATGCATTCTACAGCGCTAGGTCCTATCCAAGCTGACCCCTCATGAACTTCAAGAACACCCGCGCTATCCTCTCGCCGTCATGCTCGTTGCCGACCCGGTCCATACCTGACTGGTACATGTCGTCGCTGAAGATCTTGGTGTCATGGCGCAGACCCAGGATCTCGGACACAATGGTCTCGGTAAACTCTGGGTGGCCCTGTACCGTGATGGCCTTGCCCGGCAGCAGGTAGCCCTGCTGGGAGCAGACGTCGGTGGCCGCCAGATCCTCGGCGCCTTCTGGGGTGCCGAAGACGATGTCACGGTGCATCTGGTGGATTTTCTGGGGAAAAGGACGGCGTGAGTAAAGATGTATATATTTTACATTGGGAAAAAGGGGGAAGGGGACGCGTGGAAGGAAAGAAAGGATCTTGGCGACTCACCAGGGTGTCTGATCCGAATAGCTCCCTCCCCTTCTCACTCAGTTTCAGGTTGGTCACGCTAACCTCCCAGCCCTTCTCATTGACGGCGACCCGAGTGCCCAGTGCGCGGGAGACGATCTGGTGACCAAAGCACACACCGACGACCTTGACGCGCCCATTCGTGGCGAGAGCCTTGCGGGTGAAGTCGATCAGCCTGTTGATCCAGGGCTCGTCGAGGTAGGCGCTGTGCTTGGAGCCGGAGACGAGGATGGCGTCCAGGTCGGCCAGGTCTGGGTACGCGGCAGCAGCGTCAGCGTCGCCCCCTGGGCCGTCGGCGACGATGTGGTGCGTGGTGATGCGCAGATGCGTCTCCAGCGGGTCCGGAGCAACGGCGCGGCGGAAGAGGTCGGTGAAGACGCCGCCGTAGCCATGGAACTTGGCCTTGGTGTTGGGTAGTGGCGTGTCAGCCTCTAAGATGGCGAGGCGGAGTGGTGTTGTTGAAGAGCCCATTCTTCCCCTTCCTTTTTGTTTGTTGGCAAAGACTTGTGGGAGGAATCACAGAGAGAGGAAGAGAGATAGAAAGGGAACGTCTTTTGGATCACGATTCAAGGAGAATGGAGGACCAACTCGGGCAGTCCCCTCAAGTCAATAGTCACACCGTATGGGGATTTGGCCTTTGTCCCTGATTGCGAGCGAGGTGCGAGTTAGACCAATCGTGAGTTGCTGATACTGTATAGGAAGGAGGGGGGTGGGACCGCAAAGAGAGGGAAGGAGGGGCAGGAAGCTAGCTGGTCTCTAAAAAAAAAAAAGGTTTTGGCTACTAATTCTGATAGAGTAAAAGAAAGAGAAAAAGGCAACCAAAGAAGGAAAATCGAACAAGAAACAAAGATTCAAAGGATCAGATAATCTGCCGCCTCGCAACGTCCCTTACTTGACTCGTAGAAACAGGCCCAAGAGAGGGTCCAGCTCCTCCTTGCTGCCACTATCACGATGATCCGGCAGCACATTCCTAAACAGGGGGCCAAACATGACTTGAGTACGGTATTGGAGAATTCCGGTAGGTACAAAGAATAACGGCCGGTAGGAGACGGAGCCTCGGCGCAACGATAAGAGATAAGTAAATGCCGATGCTCGGAGGCCCGGATTGGCAATTGCAGGAGGGACCAGGGGGGCAGTGCACGTGCCTCATACGTCCAGCGGCTGCCCACAGTCTGAAGCTGCTAGCAACTAGCTACAGACGTAGAGCCAATCAATGCCTCGCTCGCTTCGAAAGCCCGTCTCAACCTCATGCAGACGACACGTTCTCTCGACATCTACCACACAAAACACGCAGTGCTACATGGCACTATATGCTATGGGCTGCAGAGCACGGGGCTCGCATATGCTGTGCCCCATCTCGGCAGAATACACGGCTTGAAATAATACAACTAAATTCTAGCACGGCAACAGTTTGCGAACCTCTCCTCTCGTAACCCTATATTTATGCTATTAATTGATAGAGAACCCATCCATTACGGGATCCTCCGTCGTTCTATTCCCACGATGAGCTTGTTCCCCTTGATCATCTCGGCTTCGGCGTTTTACAAAAGGCCACACACGTCTCCAACATACCTCCACCACGTTGACTCGCTCCTGACCGCCATGTCCTTGTGAGCGGTCGGTGACGATCTTCCTTTTATAGTTCCTTGTGCATGCTAGCAGCTCGGTGCAGATGGCCATTCCTTCATCTCCTTGGATTTGTCTGGAAAGAAGGGGGTGGCATGACCGTGTCGCCGGCGGATGTCGCTATGCCCATAGCCATGGAGACTGATTCTCCACACAGATACGTCAGCCTGGACCCCCTAAGCTTTACTTGGATCTCGTGGGAGAAGTGCTCCGGGATGGTCTGCCTGGGTCTGATGTCGAGGCCAGGTCAGGAGGTTGCGTGCGAGCCTAGCTGCAGGAGGAAGAGAGGGAAACCGAGCAGCTTCTCCTCGATGGTCGCCCTGGTTGAGATGGTCTGCGGGCGAGAACCGGATGACAACGACTTCTTCAAAGGTTTAGCGGTAAGCTTGATGAGGGCTCGGTAATGTTTGACGTGTCGACGATCGTGCTTGGAAGAATCCACGGTATGTTCTACCGCTGGACGGGATAGTCATCTTCCGCAGGCGATCACTTTTGCTTCATCTCAACAGAACAATTCACTTCGATCTAGTGGCTGTTTGCATTGCAACCGTATCTTTTTACACCCTTGAGCAATATGCATTCACAAGTCTGACCCTAAGAAACCTTCGGGCATATGACTGTCAGTTGTCAAATGTCTCGAACAAAGCATATTCTCAACTGTTAGCCCAAAGTGGCAGGAGATTTATTCATTAATGAAGCCTTTTACCAATCTCCAAACTGAGCTATCAATTATATCACACAATGAAAGTGAGTTTTGGCATTGGTAATGCCCCCCCGCCCCCTTCCCGAGCTGGTTCGTGAAATAGCTTTCGACACAATGACAGGTGCCGTTTGAGACTGATACTGCTGATCCTCTTGCCCATCCTACAGGCCCCATGCTGACATTGCAGAGCTAGTCCACTTACCAATGGCTCCCACGGTCATCAGAACCAGGTGACCCAACCCCCAACCCCCCCTTCCAATCTTAATACCGAGACTAGCCCTGATCTTCTAGCAGGCCGATCGCTTCGTAGATGTCGCCGACGTCATCGTCTATCGTTCTGGGCAGCCGCCATCCATTGATGAGTCCTCGTTCCTTGGTGCGAAGCATGAGCACTTTGGCGAGAGGGCGCTCCGGAGTAGTGGAAACGTCCGTGTCTATGGCCCTTTTCTCCCAGTCTTTTCGGACAATGAATCCGTTCTCACCGGCAGCGTTGACCATGGGGACGTCATGGGGCTCCTTGCCGAACGTATGCACGCGCAGCTGGTAGTCCTCTTGGAGCTTCTTGACAAAGGCTGCCTTGGCGGCGGGCGTAAAGAGGGGCTTCTTCTCCTCGGCAGAAACGACCCCATGGACGACCATGGGATTCATCAGGTACGACTTCTTGGACAGGACCAGCTCCAGGACCATATCCCAAACCAGCTGAGAGCCAGAGGTCAGGAAGACGGCCAGGAAGCTCTCCTGCAACTTGATCTGCCACAACAAACGCTCGAACTCGGGAGGGAGACGAGCGGCTATCCGACGGGCGATGTTGTAGCAAGCCATCGCGTATACGTCACCAGTGTTATTGCTCACCAGATAGCACAGCTGACGGAGAACCTCGAAGTCGCCTCTCTTGGCCGGGTCGAATATGACTGGGTGGGCGTGGTCCCTGTTGACCAGCGGCTGGCGCGGCTCGCCTCGCAACAGGGCCATCTCGTCAGACAAAGCCTGCCAGGTGTTCAGGTCTGTCAAGATGTGGTCAGCGTCCATGACCACGATTCTTCCGTTCGAGCGCTGGGACGCTCCGATCTGATCAGCCAGCGACAGCACATCGGCGAGGTTGGTCTCCTCGGTCGTGCTAAAGAACCGGCAGATGTTGGCGGCGACGAGGCCGACCCTGTGGGCATAGTCTGGCATGCCTGCGACCTTCAACTCCTTAATGGGCACCCCATTCTCGTGCGCCAACGTCTTGGCAACGAGGTCGTCGTTCTTCCACCACGCCCATAGGTCCTGCACGGGGATGGGGAGGCGCGGCCGAGCATCCTGGCCACGGTATTGGGCAACGAGTTGCAGGTCCTCATTCACATACAGGACGAGCGCACAGTCGCGGATGCGCACCAACTCGGCCGTGTAGAACGCGGGGACACCGCCGCGGCCAGGCTCACCGGTATACTATATCCGGGTGATGCCGCTCGCCACGATGCACGGCTTTCCATTCCGTGCGAGAATGCCTTGAATAGTGGTTCGGACCTGGTGGCCGAGCCTCTCGATACGCTCGTCGCTTGAGGGGTCGTGAATGGTATTCCCATGCTGCCACAAGGCCGTCTCATACTCGGAGATATCGAAATAGGTGAACTCCTCTTGGCCCAGCTGGGCCTGCAGGTCGGCGAGCAGCCGAGACTTGCCACAGCCACCGATGCCAGTAATGAGGATGATCTCTGGCTTCTTCGGCTCTGGAGCGGGTGTGGCCGAGCTGGCGCTGGCGGGATCCTCGATGGTAGGGAGAGGCGTGTCCATTGTCGTCTGGGGCGGGAGTCTTGTCGTGAGTGTGGGTGGGAGCGCGCTGCCGCTCCCCGTTGGGCTAGTCTCGTCTGGCATTACCAAGTCCATGTTGCGATATATGGCGCCAACGAAGGCAGTTTGTGGATCTGAAATTGAGGATATGATCGGCTAGTGATAACAGTGAGTGATCTTGCAAACACCAGCCTGGCGCTGCCACCGATATGAACTGTTGTGATTGAAGATGAGCTTGAGTTTGGATGTTGTAGATGTCAAGCGTGTCGGCGGATCTCTTGCAATGGTACTGCTTGCCTTGACTTGACGCCTCAGTAATGGGTTGTCTCTCTCGGAAACTCAACTCATCTGTTTGGATAACTGTGTCAACACGGTGGATAAACAGCTGCTTCGGGGCGGCCGGCTCACCAGTTCCGCAAGAAAGCGGAGAAGAGTATACTTGTTAGACTCTCAGCGCCTTGTTTGGTTCAAGACACATTGGCGGTGCGCTCAGAGAAGGAAAACATCACAATGCTGAGGGGAGAGTGGAAATTTGGTGAAGGAAGAGCTGGCAGTGCTGCATAGTAGGATAGCAGCTTCGAGAGGTAGCATCCATGGGTTGGCAGGGCAGAGCAGAAGGGGTAGGTGATCCAAGGGGAGTGGGCGGACAATGACATCGTCCAGTGGGGGTATTGGGGAGAGTGAGTCGTCAGGGAGAGAAGGAGATGGAAAGGTAGAGGTTGTTGTGAGAAAGGAGAGGTTCAGACTGTAATAAATCAATTCCAAGGACAAACCTGCCTTCCACGTCACAAATGGAAGTGTTTTGACGTCTAAGACAAGTCAACAACAAAGGTGGGTACAGTATGGGGGTGCTGCTTCTTCACTGCCTAATTCTGAGGAAATATCTTGCTGGGCTTGATGAAGGGCAGCCCTGGCTCTTTCACAAATCGAACTACTTCCAAGTGTTGTGAGGTCTCATCGAATGTGGGATGAATGCTATTTACTACTTTAATTGTAGCAAGTGCATTTGTGTATTTTCAGCTCCAGCATCGTCTTGATATTTTTGGTCCGGACTTCAAGACGTACCTTTCAGAATTATGGGAATGTTTCGTCTGGAAAGTCTTACAGTGTTCTCTGTCTTGGAGCTCTCCTTTATATTAATAACATCTGATCAGATAGCAAAGAGACGAGATTGCGTTGCTGCGGATTGATAGGTGCTGGGGAAGCCTAATCTCTGATATGAATTGAGAGCTGTTCCCCTATGCGCTCGGAATACACCCTGCCTACTCCAGCGGTGACAAAATGGGGTGTAGCCCGTCTAGTATATAATTGTTGATCTCTACGGCATTGTAGATGGCCTGAACCTATAGCACATATCAGCTTATGTACTCTGTTGCTTAATATACATGCTCGAAGTTACAGAAAGGCTTTACAAAACCATAGTTCTGTACCAATGAAGTGTTTCATCTAGGCTTGTAATTAATCATAATGCCCACAGAATTCTAGCATATTAGCACACTGATTTGAAAGTTGCTTAGCATTGTTAATCAGCGTGTTGACTCATGAGAAAAGGACATCAGGGTTAGAGGCTGTTGTTTATGGAAACCTTGATGAAGCTGAATAAAGAGTTTTACAACCGGCTCTGCACAAGCCATAGATCTTCTGTCGACCATAACATCCCCACAATCCCTTGCCAGATGGTGTGGATGACAATCCTGATCAAGGTGACGGGCACAGTGAGCCCTACTCTAAATCATTATAATAAGAACTCTCAGAGGTAGAGCTATTCTCTCCAATTCTTACATCAGAACCAGCCATAGATGCTCCTGGCGTCTCCTCAAATTCAGGTCCAAACTCGAGTCTGACAAGAATTAGGCACTGCCCCTGGATCTCAGCCCAATTTTCAGGCACCAACCACCTGCAAGTACACCTTGTGCTGCGTCGTTTTTCGTCTTCTGGAAATACGCCACTCAGCGCAAATCATACTCACATCTTTCTGGAACGGGACCCCTAAAACCTCGAGCCGGCTGCAAGCCACTTGCAGATGAGAGCTACTGCTAGTGGAGCGCAGAGCTGCTGCTGTTTGGAAAGGTTAGTCACCCTTTCGCTTGAGACTCCTTTGTTTCTCTCATTCTTGTTAGTCCAGAATACATTACTTGAAGTTTCAGTGTCGCGAAATCTATTACTCCGAACCAATGGCTATTTTTATGCTGTGATGCTTCGTCAGGGTTCACCGAAGCACACTGACCACCCTTTCGGCTCCTTGCCGGCGCTTTAGCAACAATGTTACGTTCCCTACTCTATTGTTATTCCTCATGTACCTAAGTCATTTCCGATTTCCTAGCTCTCCCCTTTACAGCGTCTTTGTTTCCGTTGATTAATCTCGATGACGCCGGCACTCTCCCAACCTCATGACACGATCTGTTCAAAAATGATATGGCTTTTGAACTATTCAAAGATCCCGTGCAGGGTGCCTGTTTCATAATCCTGATAGTCTTCACATTGTTAAGCATTCTGTGCGTTGGGTTGAAATTCCTGGCGTCTCGACGTGTTGCTGGTAGGACTGGGGTTGAAGACTGGTTCGCACTGGGTGCTCTGCTCTGCTATGTTGGCTGGGTTGTGAGTATTTCCATAGGTGAGCTAGCCTCTAATTATATTACTCTTCGGCATCCGAGCGTTCTTGTAACTAATCAACGTCACTTACTTTGCCAGCCTTGCATTTTTACAATGGGAAGTCAGACGAAGAAAGCGTGCCCATCGAGAACATCATGGCCGGCCTCAAGGTACGCGCCCTAAACATGAAGGAGGAGAAGAACTGATTACGCTAATCATATTGGGAAGATCTTCTGGGTCTCGGGATTTTTCTTCGGGCCAAACCAGCTTTGCGCAAAGATGAGCATTCTGTTCCTTTACCATCGGATCTTTGGCAAGAACGCAGCATACGCACGCTGGACACTGTTCCTTGGCCTCGTCCAGATCGCCTGCACCATCGTGGAGGTTCTCGTCAACACATTCCAGTGCGCTCCCGTGCGCAAGTTCTGGGATCTGAAGGAGAAAGACGGCCATTGCATTGATACAGGTGTGTATTTGGTCACCATGGAATCAGTCAACTCGACCGTGGACTTTGCAATGGCTATTCTGGCCATGTATATGCTCCGCGACCTTCAGATGAGTCTTCGAGCAAAAATCAGGGTAGGCCTTGTGTTTGTTGCCGCTGCGTGGTGAGTGAAAGTGGTCTCTTGGTATCGCAATAACTCAGGGCAACATAATGATGGGCTAACACAATGGCAGGGCTGGAATCGTTGGGTTTGTTACAATTCATTATGCATTCTTTCGTGGCAGCCTCGGTAAGTCCTGTTCCTTCTGATTGACTTCTTAACCCTGATGTCAAAACCATTTGTTCACATGTATGGTAGGGTCAACATTTATGTGGGGTATCTGGGCCACGTTGCAAATGTCTTTCAGTATCATTTGTTGCAGTGTGATCACTCTGAAGCCTCTATTTACAGGAAGAGGTCTGTTCAGTCGGTTTTCAAAGGAATGGTCAACAGACGCCGAAAATACGAGCGCTGGCCAAAGAATCCACTCCAGGACCAAAACCATTGGTATGCGTTCGGGGGCTTGGATAAACTTGGGGACTACCCAAAAGGCAACAAGGGCTCCTGCGCTGGTCAGCTCGCCTTCGAGGACCTACGCAGTCTACATCACAGGTGGTGAGAGGGAAGCGGAGCATGCTGACGCAGGGCACGAGTTACGAATTCTGCGAGCCGGTCATCAAAGTCCATAACAATGAATATATCTACCAGTCCTCTCAAAACATAGAAGGACTTGCAGTAGTACTGCTATAATGATGAGTAGCTCTAGGTTTACAGAATTCTGGTCCTGGTAGGTACGATGATTGCCTACGGAGTTCGAAGTCCTTATGAACAGTTCCTCTCATTTTGCTGAAGAAACATTCATCATCGTGAATGGCATCGGGACACAGCATTGGCGACACCTCAGCTGAATACAAGTTATGCGGCCCCTCAAAACCTCACATAACAGCAGCAATCGTTCACTTCCCGAACATGAGATATACGCAGCAATATCGTAGTGATTTGGACAATTATGCTTGGCTCTTTTGAACGGAAAGAAGTCTCCACCTTCCACCATCACATTCAGAGAGCGCGGAGGTACGCCTAGATGCTCTTATATTGCGAAGTTGATGCTGTTCGTGTTCCTCAGATAGACAAAGCATGACAGAGCTTATTACAATTAAAAGATATGGTCTGACTAAGTATATGTCCATACGATACCTAGGGTGCGCAACGCAGCCCTGGAAAGCTTTTTGTCTCTCTCTTTCATTCCATTGTGTCTGTTGTTTGACCTAGGTTTCAATAGTATAATTCTCATTCGAATTGTTTGGCCAAAGGGTTTTGCAATACTCCCTCGGGAAACTCCTCTTCGCCCAATGTAGTGGTGTGCGCCCACGGCTTTAAGCCGTTCTCTTCTCGGATTGTCGCAGCAAAGCACTGACTCCAGTGAAGCCGAGGAAAGGCCTCATTGACGTCAGCTGTGGTATCTGGGTGCACTAAATCGGCATGGCCGCCCATGTTATCGTAGATCGTGGCTAGTTGGAGGAGCTGGCCTAGAAATGTGATCTTGCCCCTCTCTCCCAGCTCCTGGTGACGAAAGATGGCTTCTGCGACGGCCTCGGCTTGCTCTTGCGGCGCCCCGAGTTCTTTGCCGACCAGATCAAGGGCAATCATGCCGCCGTAATACTCAAATGAGAGTTGTGTAGCGCGCAAGTTGTCATGTGTCGTGCCGATGTCATGGAGCAAGGCTGTGGTTGCCAAGGTTGACCGTGACAGGGACTTGGCAAAGCCAGGGAATTGTTGTTGCAGGATAGCAGTAGCTTCACATGGTCAGGTTCATTGCTTCGCTTATTTGATAGTGAATTACCAGGAGACGACGTGGCCGCCTGAACTGAACTCACCAAAGTAGTAGACGCGCATGGAATGATGATATGTCGGGAGAGGTAATTTTTCTTTGGCATATTGTTGAACTTTGGTGACAAGGTGATCATCTGAAGGAAAATGTATATCCTTGACCAAGAGGCTTTCTGGTTTATAGATATAAGGCTCACCTGCGAGCAGGTCTTTGGGGCTGAGCGGGACCGCCGTCCATCCGTGGACGGCAGAAGGGGAGTGACTGGCAGAGTTTGACATGTTCGAGAGAGGCGAATTGTTTGGGGACCTGCAGCAAATACATTAGACTCTATCATGGTCTTGTTTCGCGTCTTGGAATGAAATGATGCCAGCTTTTATACGCGAAAATTTGTAAGATTCCTGATGCAAAAGATTAATAATCGTGATTGTGACAAGTTGTGTCTTGAGCTCATGTGGTATGTGTCACACTTGAATTAGAAAGCAGAATCGAGCATTTCCTCGGAGGTCAATACGACGCCTTTTGATGCATGTCGTTGGGCTGTCTCGTGTCAACGTCATACTGGCTATGCCATTCGCCCGCTACCTACAACAGAAGCCTCAAACTTCGGTAGGTGATTCGATACTTGAGGGCGTTTTAAGCGTGATGGTGGCAGAAACAGTGTTGCCAATAATTCTTATTGATTCATGAAAAGGATGTGAGAGGGAAGAACTCAGGCTCGTAGGAGCTTTAAACGGTAAGCATGGTAAAGGAGGCCTAGGGTCCAAGGGCTAAAATGGCCCGCTTCTGCACAGTAGCCCTGCAGTAGAGACCCTTGGGAAACGTACGATATTCAGTCGTTCAACTCTGACCAGCTCAAACAGCTTCAAGACACCCACCCACCCACAGCTACACCACACATACACACTTACTGTATGAGAGCCCCGACTTATATAGAGAGATGTGTTGAAATTTTTATGAAATTAACAACCTATTCGGACGGTATAGCCCCAACATCGGTCGGCCGCGGGCCTCCGGGTCGCGAGACAGCCTACAGGCATGTCGAGGGAAGGATCCGGAGCCCAGTCAGTGACAACTCAGGAATAATGTGCTCGTGGAACGGAACGGGGTCTGCGAAAGCACCGACGGCCTGACTGAACCCGGGTCCCACTTCAGCTTATTTACAGCACAACGTGATTTTTATAAGAACATGATCCTGCGGGTGCGCAGTCTTATCACAATGTCATATATTTCAAAGCGTGAGCCGCGGTCTCTCACTCGACGTTCTTAAAATGGCTAACTTGAGCCGGATCGGCATCGTCATCATTGTTTTCGTTGCTCTGTTGCTCCAACTACCTATCGTCCAGAACTTCGTAACGCTCCTGCGATTAGGCCTCGGTTTTGGGAAGACTATTCAGCCCATCGGAGACTTTCAACACCAATGTCGTCGGATCAACCATGTACATCTGCAAGCTTGCGAGGACATGTGGCTGTCAGAGGCCACGAGACAACTGTTTCTCGGGTGTTCCGATGCCGGATCTCGTAGTCAATGGGTGCCTGGGTATGCATGATCTTCACCAGATGCATCATTTATCGCGCGTGAAGGAAAGCTAATGTGGTTTCAGAGAAGGTGAATTCAACGTGACAGGACGGCCTACCCAAGATGCGATCATCATCATGAATATGGACACCTTGGATATCAGAAAGCTCCCTGCTGTCGGCTTCACAGGAACGGCAGGTGACGGCATCATGAATATCTTTGGCTTTACTGGACTTGACAAGGATGACGGCTCCATTGAGCTCTTCGTCACCAACTTCAGACCGTCTGTTGATCATGCGACTGGCCAAGTTCTGTCCGACCAAGCCGCGGTCGGGGCCAATGGCACGATTGAGGTCTTCAGATTTGGCCCGCACGCTGAAACGCTGGAACATGTGCGAACTCTGGCGGACCCTGTCATCACATCACCCAATCGAGTTGCTGCCGTCGAGGGCACCGGGCTGTACATTACAAACGACCATGGTCAGCAAAAGACTGGACTCAGAAGTCAACTGTCTGTTCTTTTACAAACTGGCGAAGTCGCTTTCTGCCCTATCGGATCATCGAGTCCCTGCGAGATCGTATCCAGTGGACATGGCTACCCCAACGGTCTGATTTATAGCAGTGTCGATCAGCACATATACTTACCTTGCTCTGCTGAAGGCCGGCTCAAAGTCTTGAAGGCCGGCGTAAACAACTCGCTAGAGGTCATTGATAAGCTAGATCCGCCGTATGCCCTCGACAACCTCTCTGAGGATAAAGACGGCGTCATCTGGGCTGCCGCAATACCGCGGGGCCTCGATATTATGCGGCAGTCAAAAGCTCCGTTTACACTTTTTCCAGCAGCAACTGTCCTCAGAATCTCACGAGCGAGCAATGGCACCTACGAGGTTAAAAAGGTCTTGGAAGATCGCGATGGCGAAGTCCTACCAGGGGCAACTACTGTCGTTCACGATGTTTCGAGTAGGAGGCTTATACTGAGCGGTAGGTCTAAACAGCATTCATGATTAAACACGTTCCTAGCTGACATCACTCAGGAATGTTCTCACCCTTCATCACCGTGTGTGACGGAGTCGATTAAAGTCTATAGATTACTTCCGCCAATGACCAGTTACTTCGGTGTTCGGACGCTCTTGGGTGAAGTGCGCGGTCAAGGTGTTGATTGATTCAAAGCATGGAAATCTGGAAATGTCGCCCTGGTAGGCTGATTGCGAGAACCAATGTCGATTATCAGTAGGACTGAGCTGGGAACGTGTTCAATAACCCACCTCAATCTTCAATGTATTCTTATGTATGCTTACTAAGTAGGTTATATTGTGGCATGTATCCCCTCTCCCCCCACTTGTGTGATATTGGAGTATTCATTACAAATTCTTGACAGGAGCATCTCCTTTCTGTTCCCCACTCCCGTACGCCCGCCTCTTCTCCTTTCCAGCGTCCTTGTCGGCTTCAAAAGCTTTGAGTTCAGGCGCACTCATCAGTTTCGGCACGTTATCAGTCTGGAACTTCTTGATGGCAGCGCCAATCCCTTCATTGGAGTACTCTTTCTCGTTGGCCTGATCCTTGTGATACTTCACCCGGATGAAATCAGTATCGGTGGTCGCCGGATCCAAAGACAGGCTCACGAGGGCGTTCACGACTGCCGTCTTGGGAATGACCTTGAACGTCCATTCCTGGGAGGGAAAGAAAAACGTGATGTCAATACCAAGTAATCAAAGAGGGCATCCCATTCTTCTCACTGACCTCTTCATGCCGAAACTGGATCAGGTCCCGGTCGTTGGTCACCACCTGATACCCGTGGCTCTTCGCGCCCGCGAATAGCTTCGGAAGGGCAAACCATTGGGCAGCCATCTTGTAGCGGTCATTGGCATAAACGAACTGATCGTTGTAGACACAGTCTGGCGTGTAACGTTTCACCCGCTCCACCGTAGGCTTCATCTCGTACAGCGCGATGATATCGTCAAGCAGCGCCTGACGTGCCGGCGACAACGGGATGGACTTTAAGGGATCTGGTTTGTAATTTCCGGTGGGGTGCGTCTGACGCACCTCGAAATATTCTCCGGGAAGTGAGGCATCTGTTGGGAAGTTCACCTTGCCACAATCCTTGGGGGGCTTTGAGAGATTCTTTGTAGGGTCCATGGCAATAGATGCACGATAGTCACAAAGGCTTGTAGCAGCTGGTACCGAGATCTTCTGTGTTGGTGCACCCAGAACTTATGTGACCTGCCAGGAGGAATACTTCTCTTATTATAGCACAGGAGTTTCATACTCCTGGAATCACTGATGTCATGAACACCTGTTGATGAATGACGGCTGCTTGCTCTTAAGGGTGGCCCCCTCTTGTTATAATGATGATGTAGCCGGCGTTAGCGGCTAACCTTGTTGATCTATAGTAACCACAAGCCACGAAGAGTACTGCACGTAAGCCAACGGTAGACTGTGGTTATGCACCTTTTCGGCGAACTTAGCCCTTGTGCGTTGTCTCTTTGTTTCTTCCCGTCTCCATTAGGTCAATCTATCGAAACCTCGACCGGTAACTGGAAATTGACGTGCCTACTTAGAAACAAAAAGAAAAAGGTCGACCTACATTTCTTCTACAAGTATTCCATCGATTCCGTTTGCAGCGCTGCATTGGTCTGGTGTAAGGTTAAGTTCATCTGTAGCTTGAAAAGCCTGGCTGGTAGAACAATAGCCTCAAAGTAAATAATCAGTCATCAATGGACCTACCGCAGCAGTTGAGTAGGTCCCAGATACATGAGGAATATGAATCTCCTAATCTGCTAACATCCAATAAGCCAAGTAATGCTGATTTTCCAAACACTTCGTAAATTAAAGACTGCAGGACACTACATACGTGACATTTGCTATAAGAGCTACGCATGCTATCTACGTCTAGAACACGAGTATCAGAATCATGTTATGGCCCAGTTTGCAGGGCTGCCAGAAGGTCAACAAATTACATAGTATCATCATGTTATGAGTACTATTGCCATATTCACAGTGCCACTGTTCTCGGGTTATGCTGTGAACTGTAGTTTTCATTGATGAGACTGTGGCCATTGATCCAAACGCGCTACGAGTCTTGAAGGATAGTTGTGCCGAATACAAACAACATTTCAGAGCAATTCGTTCCGCAATGCCTATCACCAGCTCAAGGTGAAAATAGGCAGGACCTTCGGTGACAATAAGACTGGCATTATTACCATTAATGTTGAAAGAATTATTTTTAATCGCCTAAAGGACTGAACCATGCTATGCGCTACAGCAGGAAAGAAGGGTCACATATATTTAAGAACTAGGGGTTTTTATTTCTTATCTTTTTTTTTGTTTTGAAAAGAAACAAGATAAATACAACAAAATAAACAAGAAAAGCTATTCTGCAGGGAGAAAGATAAGAAGAAAACAAAAAAGGAATGAAGGGGAGAACATCATTTTTCAATAATGACAGACGTACTATCCTGGAGTGTCTTTCTACTAGAGGAGGAGCTTGAATTCTTTCCCAGACGAGTGAAGGGTTAGGATTCGAGGTATCCAAGAATAGTTGCAATAGTAGAATATTTGAAAGCAGGTAATACGGAAGGGGAAAGGGGGGGGGGGTGATTAATGAAAGCAAGACGGGCCAAAGAAGAACTTACAAGGAGGCTTGCTGATGTACCATGGGACCACACTCATCTACCAACAACGTATCCTTAGTGTTAGCGGAGGACTTATTCCATTAATCAATATCCCAGGCATATTGAATGCTGCGCTCAACTTTGAACCATGAGCTGGAAGATGGAGAAAGCATGACAAGCAATAGAGAAGGTGACCAACCAGAGTCAACATCACCAATAAATATGGTGTCCTATGTTGAGTTCCAGGTTAACGCACAACGGCAGGGCGTCGACTCGATGGGGTAACGTTTCGCTAATTCAGGACAGCCTGTTCTTGATGAACAGCCTCTTTGCTTCTCCGCTGAGGTGTAGGGTGCGGTTGGACCCCAGATCCGCCCGCCCCCGCCCCCGCCCCCGCCCCCGCCCCCGCCCCCAAATCCTGCGCTTTTGCATACAACAATCTGCTACTCAAGGCATGACCTTCTGCAACCTTCCTGCTTCGCAAATTTGTCCATCCCGGAGGATTGAACTATTGGCCAAGGGAGATGATCCTTGGGGCGTATTTGCATGCTGCTCTTGATGCTGTGTTGTTCAATGATTTCGATTTCAGCTTGGCTGCTCCAGAGGTGTAATTAAAGGGAGCCGTCAAGCTGCATCGAAGTGTGAGAACCACCCACGAGACAATTCATAAAGTGAAGACATTGCGCAACTTAAATCTTGACGAGCACATCCATCACGACCTATGCTCTCCATCACTAGAACGTGCTTAGTTTAAAGCTCCCAGCGGTATAATACCAAGATGCTGTTTCGATCTGCCTTATGCCTTCTCGGCCTGGCGGCCAGCGCTCTCGCGAGCACTCGCTCAGTCGTACCGCGCTCCACTACACCAACCGCCCCAGACACGGAATACCTATTCACCGTGAATCTCGTTGTCGGCACGTCCTACGTCCTAGGCCAGACCCCGCTCGGCCAGCGCGTCTTTGAACCCGTCGTAGGTGGGAATTTTACAGGGCCGTTACATGGTACGCAAAAGTCCCGGTAGAGAGCCCCAAGTCCAAAGTCAATGCGTGCCCGCCTTAACCGAGTCCTTCTCTATTTAGGTACGGTCCTCGGCGGCCTCGACGACGGCCTTATTGACACCGACGGAACCTTCGACCCAAACTCGGCATTCCTTCTCCAAACATGGGATGGGTGCCAGATCCTATGCACGGCAACTGGTCATGAACCGAATGTGATTGCGACTTTCGACACGGCATGTCCAGCTTATGACTGGTTGAACAAGGTGGTTGCGTACGGATCTTTGGTGAAGACTGGTACTGGGATTCAGGCAGATGTTTGGCAGGTGAGTACAAATACCGGTGGTTGTACTCGATCCAAGAAGAAGGTGAGGAGAGACTGATTGGCTGTCTACAAGATCGGAAACTATACTAGTTAGAAAGAGACAGGAAACTCGGTAATGAGAGCGGCTTGTTTAGTCAGGTGAAGGGATGTGTAATTGATAGGTAGTCTCAAAGTGAAGAAAGTAACCTGCCGCAACGACTATTTCCTATTTCCCAGCTTGAACTCTGAAGTGGACAGAATTAAGGTACCAATCAATTGATGCAGAAGACAACAACAACAACCAAAGGGACCAGTAGACAGACGAATGGGTCCATAACGAAAAATAACGAAAAATGACAGCGGTAATCGCTCGCTGACGAGCTCCGATTACAAGTCCAGGGTAGAGTCGACGATACACTGTGGAGTCAATAATGGAGCTGGGCGAATGGAGGAAAGATTCATTGAGCAGAGTTCAAGCTTGTGTGGGTTTCAGGAAGCGGGCGCCGGAAGAAAAAAGGGAGAGAAAAAGAAGATAAAAAGCGCATCCTAATAACTATGTCGAGCTCATAGATTGTTCATTGACGTAGCAGAGGAATGGGAGGTACACGAAAACCCCATGCATTTTGCCACACAAGTTGTTCTAATAGTGGTACAAAGTTATTAGGTTGAGATCTTCGGTTGCAGCTCGGGTGATCCGAGCTGTTCCCGTACACTTGAAAATTGACACTCCACAGATGGGAAAATTGGAAGACAAGTAAATCATCAAGGCAACAAGTTAAAAAACTGGGAAGAAAGGGAAGGGGGGGGGGGGGGAACACCAGGAACGGCCATGGACTCAGGGTCAGGGTTGGCTATAGTAATCACCGGCAGCGTTCGGCAAGATCTACGGCAGCAATCATCCAAGTTGACGACAAACTCACCGCAACGACCAAGACTATCAGTGCACGACATCTCCGTTCAAGGGAGTAGCGGAGTGCACGAGCGTCTTACAAAACTATCTACACAGAACTCAATTACTTCAAACCCCTATTCCTTCATATCGGGCTCAAGATGCTGTCAAATTGGCCCGCAATTCGCACACGTCTTGCCCGTAGCGTGTGCTGCCCGCGGCAGTGGGGGTATCATGGCAACCTGACGCCGGCGCCATTGAGGTCATCAACGAGATGTTTCAGCAGCACGAAGCCAGCATCCCTAAGGACCTTGGATTTGACGGAGACTAGCCTGAAGGCAATTAAAGTCGACCAGAATAGGTTGATGGACACACTGCACCATACCTGCGCTTTCGGAACGGGGCTGAGATGGGGAAGGCAAGATCTAATCCTCTCATCCATCTTCAACGCTCCCTTGTTTTCTTCTGCTCTTTTTCAGTGAGAAAGGAAATCTTGTATTGCTGTATGAAAGGCTAACTTGAACCTGGTAATCTGCAATAGTGCGCCCACGGAGACGGGCATGTCTCGCCTCGCCTTGTCAGACACAGACAAGCAGGCACGGGACTGGTTTGTCGATACGACCCGCTCACTAGGCTGCGAAGTCGTTATTGACGCCATGGGCAACACTTTTGCGGTGCGTCCTGGCCGACGGAAGAATGTTCCGCCCATCTATGCCGGATCGCATCTGGATACACAGCCTGCTGCTGGGCGCTACGATGGCATCCTGGGTATCCTGGCCGGAGTGGAGATGCTGCATCTGCTGCGTGATCATCAGATCGAGACAGAGCATCCGATAGGTGTAGTAAATTGGACAAAGTATGTTGGCTTGGCATTGTAGAAATCTCTCCGGGTTTTGCCTGGCGCAGGTTCCCAGACATCATGACAGACAAGTATTCGTATGCTAACAGAGGCATGGAAAACGGCAGCGAGGAGGGCGCGAGATTTCCAATCTCAATGGTTTCATCTGGAGTATGGGCTGGAGACATCACCCTCGAAAGGGCGCACAATGTACAGGAAGTTGGTGGAGGTTCAGCGACCATGAAGTCCGAGTTAGAGCGCATCGGCTACCTGGGCATTTTCCCTGCTAGTTACCAGTTGACTCCCATGGCGGCTCATTTCGAGCTGCACATCGAGCAGGGACCAATACTCGAGGCGGAGAAGCAAAAGATTGGTATTGTCCAAGGCGTCCAAGCATATAAATGGTTCACGATAGATGTCCAAGGTAGAGGTGAGCAGCATGACCACACACAGAGGATCGACAGTTTCTTTTTGGGCATTACTGATGCTTCTTTTCTTCTTTATTTTTCCCCTTTCTTCACAGCTTCTCATACTGGGACAACTCCCTTCTCTGCCCGCGCAGATGCTCTTCTGCTCGCATCCCGCATGATCACCCACTCCAACCGCGTCGCAACTCAACACTCTGCCCTGGCCTCGACCGGCATTCTCACCCTCTCTCCAGGTAGTGTCAACACTGTCCCGGGCGATGTCCGCTTCAGCCTCGACGTCCGTGCCGCAGCAGACGAGACGGTTGAGGCCGTTGAAGCCCAGCTAAAGCGCGACTTTGCCACTATGGCCGGCGGTGGGTCCGTCGAGGGCGAAGACATCACGCCCCAGCGCTTACCTCTCTCTGTCCATTGGACCACCGATTTCGTGAGTCCAGCTGTTCTATTCCATGAGGATTGTATTTCGGCTGTGCGAGCTGCGGCACAATCCGTCCTGGGCGATGAAGGGCTATATCGGGACATGACCAGTGGCGCGGGCCATGATAGCGTGTACACGAGCAGGCGATGTCCGACCTCCATGATCTTTGTTCCGAGCAGAAATGGAGTGAGTCACCATCCTGAAGAATGGACGAGTGATGAGGATTGTACCTTGGGTGCGGAGGTTTTATTCCAGAGCGTTTTGAGATACGACCGTGGTATGGCAAAGGGGGCTATATTCAAAGGAGACTTTAACATGGTTTCGTAGTGATTACTTAACAAGCCTTGCCAGCGCTCATGCTTGACCAAGCTTTGATGAATCAACTAGAGAGAGAGAGCTTGCACGAATCCGAGACACTTCCTCCTTTCCGTTTTCTTTGTCTTCTTCTTTTGTTCTCCCCCAGTCTACGTGTCCTTTGGTATCCCGCACCCAACAGATAGCACGTTCCTTTTCTTTGACGCGTCAGCCCTGGGGATGGCAAAAGTTCCCTAGACAACATCGCTTACGCTTTAGTGTGCATACTACAGCTCTGGTCACTATGCAAAATTTCCTAAGGGGGAACACGCAAATGGTGCCTGAAACCTGGAAAAAAACAAAAACTTGGTGTCTCCTTCGGAAACAAAGGGACAAAGGAGGTGCTTGCTCGTGTTAGGCCTTCTTAACGCCTGGAAGGCTGATGCCTACGATTATATTTATTGAACCCGAGTCAAAACATCACATTCACCAAAACAAAGGTCTTTTCAATGTGACTGCTTGTTTCCCCAGCCAGCCACACTCCTGTCAACCCCCGCTCCCCATCAAAGAAACAGAAAAAAGAAAAAGAGAGCAATCACTTGTTATGTGCGGTGTTTCATACTGAGAAGAACTCCTACAAGTCTTGACGTGAAACTGAGGCTCTCGTAACCCTTTCCAACGACCAGCTTCAGCACCAATCCAAATTTCGTCCTTCCTTCACCCCTCCACCTAGAACATTATTCATCATGGCAGAGCAATTTTTCAACCGGCGCATTCATCAGCCTCGTCGACAGCCTTCCGAGCCCTCACAGGCACAGCAGATTGGTACTATTGCAAATAAGTATGATAAATACCTGTCAATAGAGGAAGAGCTGACCTTGTCATTCACAGAGCCTTTGCCAGACCAAGGAGCCCGGTCACCAGCGAGCGGAGGTCTTGCGCGAGATACAGCGGCCTTGCCCAGGAAGCAAGCACGTAGCTCGGCACGTGCCAAGACTCGGTCCAGTTCTAAAGCGACGAGATCTTCGCAAACAAACACACAAACGAGTAAGCATTGATCAAGTATACCGCAAAACGGAAGGGTTATGCTAATTACACCAGGTCCAGCCATTTTGAGGCGTAGTGTGAGGTTTCAGAAACAACAACAATCAACAGGTGCTGGGCACTCCATTGGTATTGCACCGGCCGGGCGTCGCGAAGCACTGATAGGAGCAAGCCCAGAGAAATCACCATCAAAGCGACCCAGGTCCACGGAGGAGAACACACAGTCCGGCGCGAAGAGCCAACAGACGGAGCTGGCAGTCCAGGTAAGTTAATACATTCTCCTTCATGTCAAGTCCATTTAGTAATGTCTCGCTCGATTGTACAGCATCCGAAGCCTCTCGGTTATCCTTATTACAACTCGCGTCCTCGGTCCGAGTTCGAGAGGCAGCTTAAGCGAGCGCGGCTCACAAGGGAGAACGTAGACCTGGTCAACGCTCAGGGCGCTCGGGCAAATGCGCCCACACCCACAACTTCAGCATCCACAGATTGTTTGTCAACAACCAAGACCGACTCCACGATGCCGGTAAACTTGGGAACTCTGGCCCAAGACAATGGCATTCTCCTGCCCCAGCAATCAAAACCGCCCGCGAATCTGAAAGAGATCCAAGAACAACACGCCCGGCCCCGTACAAGCATCAGCCCACCCGCGTCAAGTTTCGAGCTCTACGTCGATAAAGTCCATGGAGCCGGTAATGAAGCAACGCTGACGGGCACCATCACCAGTCACTTGCTCAAAGATACCTGGGGTGATCGGGGCTATAACGCATCTTTTAACCGTCGATTCACAGCATTGCCCAAGGATGTCGGCTTCAACAAAGGCCTGTCTCCCCCACAGCCTGACTATGTCCAAGGACTGGAGAAGGCCGCATTCCGTCCGTTGCAAGTCGACAGGCAGATCAGCGGGGCTGTTCTTTACGATGGAGATCCCCGTTCCATGGTACTGCCGCATGTGGCGGGAGAGATGAAAGGCCCTGATGGGAACATGAACACGGCGACGATACAAAGTGCCTACAGTGGAGCGGCTCTCGTCTACGCTCGAAACCAGGCGCTTTCTTTGGTCGGAAACCCTGACCCTGCTGGCCACGCAGAGATCAGAACCTTTACCACGGACGGCCATCGGATTGATTTCTTTGCCCATTATGCTGCTCCGTCTGAGTGGGACGGCACGCCTGAGTACCACCAGTATCGATATGCGTCGACACTCCTAACAGGCACCTATGAAGGATACAAGGATGGACGTAAGAACCTGAGGAACATGCAGGACCACGCAAGGGATCAGTCGTACGCGTTAAGAGACCAGATACGCGAGTACTGTAAACAGCGTCGAGGTGCTAATCAGCCTATTACCGAACATGCTTCTCTGCCTGCTCCTTCCGGAACTTCTAGGGTGTGAAAGAAAGAAAGGTTTCAAGAGAGATGCAAGGAAAGGCAGTCAGAGCAAATAAAAGACGAATAAAAGGGGCGGATGATTGATAGAGACCGGTCAAACGGGGTATAAAGCGGGAGGAAAAGGGGGGGGGGGTGTCTTCTAGATCTTCTTCTATGTACATCAATACAAATACAAAAAATTGCGATGTGAAATTATTTCGTTGAGTTTTGTGAAACAGGGAGATAAACGCAGGCGAGGTTGACTCCGTCATGACCTGATCAAGGCAACGGGGCTAGCCCTGGAGATTTTCTCCTGCATTAACAAAATCAACAGTAATAATCAGTTCATCCTTCCTGCTGGAGGTAGTAATGCCATCTTCAACTTTCAAGGTTCCCAGGATGACCATGTACGCTTTCAATCCCACATCTGTTAAACTCCCGAAATGCTCCAGGTTGAAGATGCTGACCGAGGTGGACTCAGCGATTGCGCGGCGGATAGCGGCTGTTTGACCTGGTCAACAGTTGGTTCTAGACCTAAGACCTGTAGACTTCGACTTGGTTTCGTTCTGAGCTGCTCAATCAAACTCTTACTTTGCCTTTGACTCGTCCAGACCTGACAGGAAATTTTGTTGAACCCAGGGCACCAAGTAAATGCCGGAACTAGCAGCAGGGTAGCTGAAAGGAAGCCCGGTGGAAGCCGAAACTAGATGAAATATAGTATAGCTCGTACCCTCCCGAGTAATCCGAGTGGCTAAGACTGTCTGAAAGGTGGAACGCGGAAGGTAAACAAACAGTTCGGGAGATTCCTGCAGGAGATATATTTGAAGTTCGGTAAATTTTTCGACCTGCATATACTGCTCGGCAACTCAATATGTATATATGCACACTCTGGTCCAAGGAAAAAGGGAAAAAACCACCAAGAGCACACTGCGAACATTCAGGTCGTTACCAAATACAACCCGCTGTCGAATATTGAATCTAGATTCTTAGCATTGTAATGGCATCATAATGGAAGTATAAATGTCTGTACCTGTTGTTTGAGTCTTTCGGGATTTTTCCCCCGAATGCCACGACTTTTCCTTTCTGAGTTACATTGTCGAGATCTTTCTGGGGCCACTCTTTTTTTTTTTTTTGCCGGAACTTTAGTGATTATGGTTTCATCTACCAGGCCATGATCATCAGATATGACTGAGGTTGTTGCCTGAAGTCAGACTCACTGCATGCAGGATACAGCGCCTGTGGGGGTTAGCGGAGAAGCAGGATAGCGCTGGAAGATGATCAACATGCAGGAAGCCACGGATTAACGTCCGATGGGCAGAGATCCGTCTGACATCATCTACAATATTGCTGGGCATCTGGATATACATATGATGTGCTTGATGCGATTTCCGATCTATAAAGGCAGCCCTACAACTTCGAGCGGGGGGTTCTTCACGGAACCACTTAGATACTCAAGCTTCAACTGTGGCTACGTTGTAAGTTCGCCAAAGAGTCCTTCGCCATTTTGGGCCTGTGTTGTCCTATTTATCCTACAAATTGAACTGTTTGTGGTTTTATCCATCATGGATAGGATGGGGGCCTGGGGGGCTCGGCTCGGAGCTCATCCGCTCGAGGTGACAGATCCTCTGGTATCTCGACTCATTTTGGCCTTATTCTGTCTGATCTCCGCAATCGTTATTCTGCGGAAATTCACCAAATCGGGCTCGAAAGAACCCCCTTCCTTGGGAGGAACTATCATATCCAATACATATCAGTACATGACTGGTATGCACAATTTTATCCAAAGAGTCGCGTAGGGTTGGAATCAGCAATCCCTTATATTATTTTTGTCACAAAAATTGATCATAGCGATCAACAGTCTTGCGCAGCGCACCAGCCCCATCATCAAGTTCCGCCTGGGTCCCAAGAAAATCTATATGGTTTCGGGCGAGAAAAACATCCGAATCATCAATCAGCCATCGCACAGTATCAGTCCGGACACCTTCTTCCTCGAGGTTATGCGGAACGTCTGGGGCGCTTCTGCGGCCGAATTGGCCAAATTCGAGCAGGACAAGTCCGGACGGGCCAAGAACCCTGTGCCGGGTCACGATGTGAAGCCAGGTCAGCCGCGGCTCTGGCACGGCCAGCATCATGTGTATTCGGAATTCCTCCAGAGCACCAAGCACTCCGGTCACCTGGCTGATAAGTACTTTGAGCTCTTCTCGGACCGCCTGGCCAGGCAACCCCTCGGTGAATGGACGGAGCTGAGTCTGAGCGGATTCTTCGAGAGCGAAATGGCCGAGGCGGCGCTCGTGGCATTGATGGGATCGCAAATTGTCGAGCTGAATCCGGGATTTTGGCCTGCCATGGTAAGTACAGCATATGTCTGGTCGAGTCAAATTAGAGGACAGCACGACTGAATGGTTACACAAAAGTGGGAGTTTGCCCGTCTCGCGCCACAGCTCATGTGGGGGCTCCCGAGGTGGATGAATTCGGCACCCTGGAAAATTCGTCAAGAATTCCACGCCATGTGTCGACGTTATGTCGATGCCGCCGTGAAGGAGATCAATTGGGATGGCCCCGATGCTCTTGCAGAGTGGGATCCTCGCTTTGGCTCTAGGATGGCTCGCGAGCTCATCAAATGGGCAATGAACCATCTGTCGCCCGAGACGACGGCTGGCATGGCTGCCACTTTTATCTTTGGGTCAGTCTTTATCATTGCCCCTTTGGTTTGTGTCAGCTAATCCTAACAATTATTGTTCTTTTCCCTTTTCATACAGCACCAACGCAAACTCAGTCCCCATGTCTACATGGGCCATGATGGAAGTAATTGCAGATCCACAGTTGTATCGAGCTGTGCGAGAAGAGTGTTTAGCCGCAAGCTCGGTCGACCCTGTCACTGGGAAGCGTACTTTCGATGCCCAAAAGCTGCTCGCAATGCCGGTCTTGCAATCCGTCTACATTGAGACCCTTCGCTTGCACGTGTCTATCAATGTCACACGCGAGGTCACCCAGCCCATCACTCTGGATGGATATCGTCTGACCGCCGGTTCCCTGATTCAAGCACCAAGCCAGATTGGTCAGTATAATGAGGCAGTATGGGGTTCTCCTGGACATCCCGCAAGCGAGTTTTGGGCGGGTCGAAACTTGAAGCATGACGCGGGTAAAGCGGAGTTCACAATGGCTGGGAGAACCAGCTCTTTCTTCCCATTTGGTAAGTTCATTCTCAATCAGAGCCCTCCCCTGCTTCTGCGTACTACTGCAAGAGACTGAACAAGGCCATTCACAGGCGGTGGTACTTCAATTTGCCCCGGGCGTGTCTTCGCCAAGCAGGAAATCCTCATGACTTTGGCTGCGCTCATTACCAGGTTTGATATCGAGTTTGTGGAGTGGACACACCCAGACGGGTCCAAGTCTGATCGGCCGGCACAGAACGATGAATCGTACATCGGCGCTGTAGGGATACCACCCGATCGAGACATGAGAGTCCGCTGGAAAAGACTTTGGTAGCGGATATTACCGAATGCGAAAGGTGATAGGGAGAAAAACTTAACCAACAAACTGCTTCTTTTATGTTATGCCACGGAGTATCATTGCCTAACACTGTCTCCATACTACCTGAGGAGGCTCTACGATATGCTCTACCATAGTACTTTGTTAATCAGAGCACCTTGAAACAGACGAGAACTTGGGTGGGTTGACGTGGTCTCCAATGTGGATACTTTGGTCTAGTGTGTACCGTAGTAGGTTGTACTGGAGAATGACACATGCGGGGATCAATTTAAGTGTTGCTTCAGACACCTGAGCCGAGCTGTCAACGTTGTAAGATACCATTCCATTGCTCCTCTATTATTCTTCAGACCCACATGTGGGCTCTTCGTCGAAACACATGTTTTCAGGTCACATGTTAAGGCTTAACCACTGCAATCCTGCCACGTCGTCTCGACACAACAGAAATCCTTATCATACATTCCCCATACTATAGTACACGTTTTCTATCTCATTGGTCCAGTCCTGACCATTTCGGTATGGCAATGGTCAATCCTCCTAGAACTCCACAGGAAGATTATACCGCACCCACCCCCTGGATGCCAGCCAAAACAGCTAGATTTTGCTCAGCAGTGGAACTGAGTACAGGACTGGCAACCATACCAATGTATGGTAATGGAAACTCTTCCGATCATCCGCCACATTCCTGTGCCTCAGGATTCTTGCGGCTATCATACCTCCCACCAGAACGGGCGGCACATAGGCAGCACTAATGCGAGTTCCAGCCCAGTAAAAAGGGCATGCAACAGACCAGAACAGGATGAAAAAAGCCGTGAGCCAACGGCAAGGCCCATCGCCGATTGCCAAGGGCATAGTCTTCCTCCCGCGCGCACCATCACCCTCCTGGTCTCGCAGGTCCTGAATCTGTACCGTCGTCAGGGTCATCAGACAAAGCAGGGCGCACCACTCGAGCCCAGCCCGGGTGATCTCGCATCCCATACCAAACTGAGCCGCCACACGTGTTGCGCCCAGTTGACCCGTGGAGTAGAAAAGTGCGTTGATGATGTTTTTGGCCCACCAGGAGCTCGCCCCAGCAGCCGAGTCATACACCCACGTCTCAACCATGAATGCCAGTGCTTCGGGGAAACCGCCCAGCCAGGTCCCTGTGGCTATGAGCAACAATGCCGTTGCCACCAAGTACCATTTCTCAGCGTCTTCGACAGTCAGTCGACCTGAGGGAATAGCACGCCACGGCTTATTCATGCGGTCCTCCTCGATAGACTCTGGTGATTTCTGGTTGCTGAGGTCAAAGTGGAACACGTAGAGCCACACATATAGCGTGACAGGGGGAAATGCCATGACCAAGTAAGCGAGGCTTGCATGACTCTTGTCTTGGTTGCCGCAATTGGTCACCCCGCCCGAAGCAACACTAAGCATTGCGAAGAGGACGCATGGCTGGACATAGGCTTTGATGTTGCTTTCCGTGATGAGATGGGCTAGGCTCAAGGTGTTCCCGAGACGCTGGAATAGCTGTCAAGATTGTTAGCATATTAGACGAGGCCTTACACAGTTGAAGCTATCCTTACCTTATTCGACAAACGCACTCGGTCGTCCATCTCTATTTCACGACCGCAGCTCTTCCCAGGCCGCGCCATTCTTTCGTTCAACGAGGAATTGGATCTCCGGGACATTGTGTACTCTGCTGGATAACAACCTAGACTGGGTGTTGAGGGAGATAGCATTCAAATAACACGACTGATGCTGTACTCAGCCTTCAAGAAAAGAGTAGTATAATGGCATGCAGACTCGATCTCTCTAATACTATTTATGATTTCTTTTGAACTGGGAGAGGGCTCCTTAACTACGAGGCTGTCCCTCCTCCGTGATCCTCTATCATGTACACACACACACACACACATACACACACATATCACATTCATCAGACACTGACTACGATCCTATGCTGAGGACCGAAGACGAGAAAGATGCTCTCATCTTAGCATATGGATCTGATCCTCTGCAATTGCTGATCGTCACCAAACCTTGAAGGCTTCGCTTAAAAGAAAATGTAAGGGGTTTTTCTGGGTCTCTATCGAAGACGTTGAGGGTCCAGATTGACCCACCGATCCAGCAGGATCACGACAACTGCCCATTGACATGGGTAATAGCAGGAGTTTAGGCGCTACGGGGCATGGTAGTTATCAACTAGTAACCGCAGGGATGGAGCTAGATATCAGTCGATGTAAGTGGTTAAGACAGGATTCTCGAAGTAGTTAACAAAGGTGTCTGGAAACGACGTACACCGGATATGAAAATTAAAAAAATTAAAAAAATAACAAACAGCTACGTAACAAGTGATCATTCGTTTCCTTCGTAAAGTGATTAGTATTTATTTGCATAGTCATTGTATTGTGTGTCATAATTATCATACTGTGCGTAATGATTTGCAGTATGCGTTGTTCTTGTCCCCGTCAATATGACCCCATCAAGCACTTGGGATCTCTCCAAGGAATCTTCAAACCGACGGGGTTTCCGAACGTACCATAGTCGATGGCAAATCAAATTTCAAGGATTTGATGTTGCGGTGTGTGTTCTCTATAGGACAAACTTGGAAGAACTGACTCCGCTTCTTGCAAGCGACATTCATATTTCATCTGTTTGATCTCACCTCATCATAATTCTATTCACCCAAATCATTCTCTTGGCAACTCGGATTTGTGAACGTTCGTGCTTCCGTATTCACAATTGACAATACTGTTTCAATCATCAACCATGTCTTTCGACGTCAAGGGAAAGTTTGCCATTGTTACTGGCGCTGGAAGTGGTGAGTATCGGCGTCGCATTCCTTCCCTCGCTTACGAGTCGCAGCCCGTCTAAGTACTCATTTCTTTGTACCCAGGTATCAATCTCGCTTTTGCTGAGCAACTCCTTCTTGCCGGATGCTCTGTCATCTTTGCGGACATTGCGTTGCGAGATGAAGCAAAGGCCCTCATCGCCAAGTTCCCACACCCGGCCAAGGAAGGCGGACCTTCAGCCTTGTACCATGTGTACGACCAGTCCAACTGGACTTCTATCTCCCAGACTTGGGAGTTCGCCTTGAAGACTTTCCCCAGAATTGATATTCTCTGCCCTGGTGCTGGTATCTGGTACGGTTTTTTTTTCTTTCTTTCTTGACCTATCTCCCCTCCAGGGTTATGGACTCTTTGCTAAGCGAAGGATGCAAAACTGTGCAGGGAGCCTCCGAGTTCCGCCTTTTGGCATCCCCCTGGCATCTCGCCGCTTGCGAAGGATGACCCTAACGGTTCATCGTACCACATTCTGGCGGTCAACCTGATGGGTCCCATCCGGTTCGCCCAGATCGCTCTCGACTACTGGATGTCAAACAAGATCGCCGGTAATCTCCTCCTCGTCGCTTCCATGAGCGCTTATCTTCCTACCATCGGCACGCCCTTGTACAACACGTCCAAGGGCGGACTCGCCTCCTTCACCCTGTCCCTGGCACAGATGAAGGCCCGCCTCGGCATCCGGGTGGCGTGTATGTGCCCGGCCACCACGTTCACCCCAGCCGTCGTGGCTGATTACTGCAAGGGTAAGGTGAGGGAGCAGGATATGAACATGACAGCTACCGAGTGTGCCGAGATCATGCTCCGCCTGGTTACCGAGGAGCAGTATGGAAACGGAGAAGTTGTCGAGGGCATGCAGTTTGCCGAGTCGGGGAGCGGGAAGTCTGATGTGCGCACTCGGACTGTTCCGTATCAGTCTCTTCTGCCGCCCCTTAACTTTGAGGGTGATTTCAGTGGCAAGAACATCTTGGCCGAGGAGGAGAAGCTGTGGGAGCAACTCAAGACGAAGGGTATGCGCCTGGCATGAGAAACTGCGCCTGTATTCGCACATAGGGCAAAGGCCCGTTCTGCCTCCATGTTTCTAGATAATCATCTATACGAATTGATCGTCTAATTTTCCTCTCAACACTCGTTACTGGAGATTTTTGATTATGGGAACTTGTCTCAATACAGTTTTTCGATTCCCAACTTTCTCTACTGTGTCCTGCAACACTGATGTGATGCCTCGCTTACCATTTCACGCCACTTGGAAGTATCGGCTCGCTCCTATACCGGATTGTCAAGGCCACTTCCTGCCCCACTAGATCTGCACGCGGCGCAGCCTTGTTGGAAGCAGGGGGTTGGTATACGTATTTGGTGGAGAGTGGATATGCCACGACTCAACGTCGCCAAACGAGGAAACTGCTCAAATCCTTCAAACCCAAAAGGATACTCCAAGCTCTGACCACAAATGCGCAAGCACTTGCTTCTGCCAGTCAGAAGCCATGGACGCGAGGATCTCTGGGTCAAAGATCATATGATTTGCACATGAAATGTTCTAGAATAAGAAGAAACAGGAGAAATTGGGACCCATGAGCCTCCTGAATACGGCCCATGAAGCAAAAAGTCTTTTCCGGCCCATGACATTCGACGTATCACTTGCAGTAAGTCGGTCTGAGAGTTGTTGGCAGCGGCGCAGCCGAGTTCAACACACCCTGGTTTGTTTGATAAAGTACGTAGATTCGCTTGCCTGCAAGCCCCTTTTTGCATCTCAGAGAACTTTTTGACTTAGAAATGAAGCACATTAGCTCAATGGCTTGGTGATTCTGTTCTGAAAAGCACAGAGTTTGCCGAGTCTATAGTTTCAAAGCTGTTATGATTTCCAGTGGTGATTGATCGGAATGACATGGCTCAACACCAAGAAGTTTCACACACTTCTCGGGATTACATGCTTTAATTGTACCAAAGTTCTCGGCATCAAAGCTTTGGTAGCATTGAACGAGCTCTGAGAACCTCGGGTACCACATGATCTTCTTGCTAATTTATTGGAGATGAAATCTTTGTATGGTATGGGATGATTGTAAGTAAATACTGGCTGATTTGACTTTTAAAGTTTCATGGCCACCCAGCCTTTTCACTCCCTATTGGATTACACATCGCAAGGGTGGGAAGCTCGCCTAGAAAAAGAGAAACATGGTATCAGAAAGAGGAAGGCATGGTCAATAATGCTTCAAGTCTTAAACCATGGCCAAGACTACAGCCTGCTGCACGACCCATCTTATGAGCCCTCCACCCCAGCCCCTGCAGCGACACCAGGGCTTGAGGAGGCCTTGATGGGACCGTCACTGTTTTGGGGCCTGGACTGGACTAGGATTGGATTCCCGTTCTGGAATCACCGTAATTTGATAGACGAGGAACCTGGATCGACGCCGTATTCTAAATGACAAAGGTTTGTATACCCCTTACCATCTTTCTGGCGTCTCTGGTCTGCTTCAAGTCTGGCTTTATTATTTCTTCATTCTTCTGTTTTGACGCCTCTGGTCAGGAAGTCACCACGTTATTGCTTCGAGCCCGCTCTTACCTGACCTCACTCTCCTTTACGTCCAGTCAACTCACCTGCAAAGATGGCGCCAGCAGGGTGGCACCCGATTACACCAACCGGCCTAGCGGCAGACATTTATGGAGTCACACTGGCCTTCTCTATACTTTCGACGATTGTTCTTGGTCTTCGAGTGACGGCGCGAATTCAGTCCATGAAGTTTGCAATAGAGGATGCCCTCATGTGTGTCGGCTGGGTAGGTACAAGCTATCACCGGCATATGATCCGAGATTGCCTGGTCTCTTGAGAGCGAGAGCTCGGATGCTAACAGTATACAAATGCAAGCTCATCAACATGGTTCATAATGCGGTCATAATCTACGGTGCGCATACTGGACTAGGCACTCCAGACTCGGGAATCCCAGGCGGGCCCACGGGGGTTGTTTATATGGAAGGCTTGAAGGTAACTATCAATATTAACTACTTACTGAAAGGCCATCTGATCGCTCTTTGATCTAACACATGCTTTGCGATCAGACTATTTTCCTCTGGCAATGTTTTTTCCTCAGTGGCTACGTTTTTATCAAGTGCAGTATCTGCATAACATTGTTGCGAATTGCGGTCAACAAACGGCACCGACTCATCCTCTGGATTCTCATAGGAGTTTCAGTCGTCTCAACGGTCTTCGTACAACTCTATGTCCTCTTACAATGCCGGCCCATTGCAGCCTCGTGGGGAGAAGTGCCGGGTACTTGCGTTACTAGCATGATCACCGTTGCTATCACATTCATCATCTCCGGCTTCAACCTCATCACGGATGTCACGACGGCCGTCTTGCCTTTCATCATTATTAAAGACATCCAGATGGGCAAGGAGAAGAAGCGGGCTGTCATTGTCGTCTTGTCACTTGGTGTGCTCGCCTCCGTTGCAACCATTGTCAGACTGCCCTATGCCACGGCTTACTTCGCGACGTCAGATTACATGGGTAAGAGTGGCTCCCATAGGACGAGAATTGAGCAGCAGAGATAAGCTGACTGGGTGCGAACCATATAGTGGGAATGGGTGACATCATCATGTGGACCGTCGTCGAGTGCGACACAGCTCTCATCGCTGGGTCGCTACCTATGGTCCGGACCCTGTTCAAAATGTTTCAAGATCACCAACAGAACAAGTCGGCAAGCAAGTCGAACTCAACCGAGCTCCGTGCCATGGGCCTCGACTCCAGCCGAAAGGGCTATATGCGCCAGGCCGATGCTCAGAGCGCCAGCTCGTCCTCACGCGCGGTCACCGTCACGCAGGCATACTCAGTCACCTCCGAGGGCTGGTCTTCGTCTGAAGGTGCAGAGATTTCAACCTCAAAATACGAATATAGTGCAAAGAGTTTTGCCTAAGGGAAAAAGGGGGCTGGAGAAGACGGGTTGCGTCGTTGTATGTGGGAGAGCATGTGCTGGGTATCTATTCCCATCAATCACTCTTACAAGTCAAGTTCATTCACATTAAGCATGGGCGGCTGAGAGGGGCCTTGGGCAGCCAGGTGGTAATAGCCTCGTATATATATAATTAACATGATATCCCTTCTACAGGTTTAGTAACGAGCTGGAACCTGGAAAAGACGAATGGAATCGAAAAGGTGTTGGGTCTCGTGACATTACTGCAGCAGTAAAGAACGATATGTTGCAATCAAATTCAGTGTCGTACACAACAATCCTATGCTTTGGTAGGCCTTTAGAGCCCCCTTTTGATGGGCGCTGCAATGGCGAGGGTCTGCTAGATTCTGACTGATCGTTTGTCATCATCGCGAACGCCTCGTGGCTTGAAGAACCTTGGCACTAAATCCAGGGTGGGTCCGTAACGTGTAAGATGATTTGCCAGTCTACAGAAGAGAGTCGGATCAAGGCGCTTACCTGTTCATGAACAGCGCTGGCAAATTATTTGCAGGCTTGAATTCTACTGAAGGCTTGAACGACCGCAGGAAACGCTGAAGAGATTTTGCCGGAGCTGGACGTCTGACACTACCGCCGATACGGGGAAGACTCCTGTATGATCCTTGGTTATGCTGAAAGCCCACTCAGATTGAAACTGAGTGTCATCAGGAGGGACATCTTTGCCATCACTTGTAAAACATCTTCTCGTCCAAGTTTGAGGTCAGGAGTGAAATCATGATGCACGGAACTTGAAGCGTGACCTTCTTCTTCGATCCTGACAGCCCGTGTACTGTAACGTACATGTGTCAAGGCTCAAATAGTCATCAAATACTTATCTTACACCTCTTCCCTATTTTTGATTCTTTGACTCGCAAAGACAGATGACATAGAACGACTATTGAATTTCCCTTTTATATCCTCAAGTTTATAACTCTAACTAGCAGCCGTCTTGTTTGCAGCATCCTCATCGGTATCCGGGCTCGACCCCCTCTTGCTGTGGCGCGCATGGCTGCCAGGGTCAGGCACATAATTATCCGGACGATTGTTCTCCTGCGACTTCTGCGCCGAGTTATATTTACGAAACGCGCTCTCGACCAGCACCCCAATATCCCTCCTGTCCTTCCCGATGACCCCCGTGACCAGCAGCGCCTCCGTCTCCTCGATCCACTCCTGCAGCCTGCGAAACTCCGTCTCGTCCTTGTGTAACCTCTCAGGCAGGCCCTGGCCCTTCATGAGAGCCAGCACGCCCGCTATGACGGTGTTGATGGCGCCCAGCACGGTGATAGGCACGGTATACCGCGATGCGTTGGGGCCCAGGGCCGTCAAGGTTGCGCCGATGACAATCTGCGCGAAGTGGATAAAATAGAGCAGCCACGACATGACAAAGTGCTGAGCCTTGCGCCGCCTCTTTTCGCGCAGGACATTCTTGTAGACGCCTGTCGGCTCGCGCAGGCCCAACTCTGTGGCGCCTGGCCGTGCCGACTTGGGCGCCAGGTCGCTGTTGATCCCTATCGCGCGCCGGAACACCATGAGCGGCTCGTCGCTATTCGCACGAATGTGCATGCCGATCGGTTGGCTCCATTGGATGTTGGTGCTGGCCTTGGGAAGCCTGGGCTGGGTGGGCGTGGGGTTGTCGGCAGAGTGGCTCAGGGCATTGAGCCCGGATGTCGTCAGCTTAGTGCTGGTGGCTCCTGTGTCTCCTGCGGGTCTCGTTTGTGCTGGTTGTGGTGGTGATGCTGGAGGAGTTTGTGGTCTGCCGGGCGCCGCGCCGTTGGCTGAGGACGGAGCCGTGCCTTTCTCCATGGTGGTTTTATTTCACTTGATCAAAAACATACAGGTATGTACTTTGAATGTTGCTCGAAATCTGTCGCAAGTCTCGAAGGATGAAACTGACATGAGTTCGAGCCGCGAATCGCGAGCCCGCGCGTATGCGACGCGTCTGAAAGAGGCGAGAGGTTTCTGAACGAAACCGAAAGAAAAGAAGTCGCAAGGGTAAGCTTATTATATATGCGCGTTTCCCTGGGACTTTAGGAGCTGAAAGCCCCCCACCTCACTAATAAGTCAGCCAGATGAGGTGAGAAGACGACCAACATCTCGCAGAAACAGCAGCTAGACGGAAAGGGAAAGCTGCCGCAGCCGCATATCTGCTCAGCCCTTCACAGAGTGGTCAGTACACGCGTAGAAAGTTGATATATTACTCTGCCCGCCATTAAGCGCAAACGACCGCTGGAGGAGCACAAAATCCGAAGCGCGCGAATGCGGGTCTTATGGTATCGTCACCAACGGGCTGACCAGTCGACCACTCAGAAGGATTCTGCACCTACGGCTTGGGCAGATTTTCAGCCGCCGGGCATGCTGAATCCTGACACTATTTAGTCCCTGTATCGTGCAGGGCACGGGATTCGTCGGGTTCCACAAGCAATGCTCCGCCACGAGGATTGTATGTCTGCTATTGCGCCGTTGGAGAGGGGGGGGGAGGAGGGCGGCAGCAGCAGATAAGCCTAAGAGACGTGAGTTAGTTTGTAAGCTTGTTGGGAAACCAGATTATTGGTTATTTGGTAAATGCAGATTTTCTACTCATTCTAACGTTGTTAAACCTGCCCCCCCCCCCCTTCCCGGGCAATGCAGCAAGCCTACTTGATTCTTTGAAGACCATGTCGGAAAGACCGTACCTTTCTGCGCCCCAACTAAGTATTCCAACAAGAACCGATTCCGATTTGTGTATCTCGATGCCCTATATAGCTCTTGGCTCGATTTCTTGTTATATCATTATTGGAAGCAGGCATAAATAATGATCTATCATAGGGTCGAATAATGTCTCGTACTGCCACTGATATCCCACAACCGTTTTACAAATGAACAATGTACTAGACTAACGATTACTTCAAATCCAGCGATCAATATGTCGAAAAGCAAAGTAATGGCTTTCCTCGAGAAGCAACAAATAGAAGCAAGATCGACCAAGCTACTGCGCCTATCCAGCTGGACTGCAGAGTCTTCAAGGCCATACTCGGTACTGCCGTGGACCCAATCAAGCAATATAGAAGACGTGTTTAGCAACATCTCGGAGGCCATGACTTCTATATCAGGACGGCGAAGGCAACTACCTTTCCGTCAAGGCCTGCCATGAGGGAAATGTATTGTGCTCTTGACACCTCGTTCTGGAATTCGGGTCCGAGTAACTGTTACGTCTTTGAAAGAATTATCCTTCTCCTCACCTAGGATCCTTACACTCAATATTTAAGCGTTGACCGTCTACGCAAATTTTAGTACACTTGACATTAAATAAGCCTGTCCGCGTGCATATTTTCCAGCTTCAAATTAATTTGCATAGGTCTCTCATCATTGACGTCGTGATTTTTGTGTGGCTTGACCTCTTCCAAGTGAAAAGCTGAGCCCAGTTACTCAACACCGTGACGGAAATTACAATGGTAGGGGTTTGACTGTTATTACTCCTGCAGTTGGTTCTGTTCATGCACGTCTTGGACCACCATCACTTTTGACCTGCCCGAGTGGGCGAAAAGAAGGGGGTGAGGGGGGAATCCTTCGGTCCGTGGGTCAACCCCATGTCATGATTTGAACCGACTGTGCGGTCCGATGCCCCATGATTGACTCTTGAGGCGGACAAAACATCAGTTTAATGGGTAGGAAATCTTTGAAAGAGCCAAAGCAGTTATAAAAAATACATACGCTTCTTTGTGAGATGCGGCCGAAATGGAGGACAGGCGTGGATAAAGAGTGGCAGGCGCTGCTGTTTACTTGTGGATATGATCATTGGCCGGTGGACAAAATATCCAGGGGTCACTCCTGACTAGTATCCCTGATCAGTATACAGGCTTGGACATTGTCCCCACAGCACGATGGCATCGGCGCTTAAGGGTGGGTTCATGTACAGTGCCCTCTGCAGTGCTACGCTCCGCGGCTGTATTGCTTAGAGATCCTCCATGCGAGTCGCACTCGAAATTGCCTAGATACGAACATCAACTGCGCAGACAAGTTCCATTGCCGAGAATCGTGCTCTCCTCACTCTCTACAGGCCTCGCTTCAGTCGAGATCCCCATAATACGAATAATCACTCGCCTTTCAGACAAGATGTGCTCTGGCATAAATTTGCATTCATAACATGACCTGCCCGCTTCCTCCTAAGCCGACGAAGCTTGCACCTGAGATAGACCAAGATCGACAAAACACCTGGCTCTCCTCCTGATCCTTCTCCTCACAACAGAAAAGGTCTGGTCCTTCTCGCACCGACGAACTGTATACTTGCTGAGGCCGGGTACAACCGTCAACACGACCATCGAGCCGGGCTGCAGACTGTCCTGTTCAGGGGGCAGAGCGACTTCTGTCCTCGCGTGAACCCTCACGGCTCCCTCCGCCGCCCGGCTCCCGGCAGTAGGGATGAAAGGGCTCCACACGCCGTCTGGTGACCGCCTCATCTTTACTGCCAAGTTCGCGGCCGTGGTTACAAGCCGAGTCGTCCGGAGCACCAAGGTATCCCAAGCTGTCGCGTCTCCGGTCATGAATGTCGGTTTGAGTGCATCCAGCCATGTCCACAGAATGTGGAAAATGCTCTCGTTGGCCATTTGCTCGCACGACGCGTGGCTGATGAGGGTCTCAAACACAAAGTCCACGGCGTTCTTGCGCCACTCGAAAAACCTCAGCCGCTTGCTGTAAAGCTTCGTTTCGTCCTTTGTGGATGTACCCCACACGCCTACAAACATCAAATTCACAGGTCAGCTCCTTTCCCATTTACAAGTGAGATGCTTCCTTGGTATCATGCTGCTTTTCAATGAGATACTTACGTGTGAGATTGTTGATCACCCTCGCAAGCCCTCCACTTTCGGAGAAGGTGTGCGTCTCATGATTGAAATTTTCGTACGCCCAAGTGACCGAGTTGCGGGCGAAGAACGTCTTGTCCAAGATGTTCCATATCGCCAGCTCGAACAAATACGGCGCATATAAGGGGTTCTGACACATAGGCTCTGCCAGAGGTGTCAGATTCTGCAGAGTCTCATATGGAAAACCTCCCGAGTTTGCATTGACAGGCAAATGATCAGCGAGGATCTCTCGTACGTAAGCTGCAATCATGCCTTCCAGCAGTGCCCACTCACGCAGGATCTCCTCATCCTCTGTGAATCGCATAGTTTTCCCATCGCTCGACCGGAAGAGCAGCCCTGTTCTATCGCTGTCGAGATCTTCCTCCTTGTTCAGAAAAGTGGAAGGGACTTTCGATGCCTGTGGACGCCCCTTGGTCTGACCACGAGTCGGCTGGGAACGATGATCATCGCCTTCAGCACTTGATTTGTCGGGTATGTTCAGGCGAGGAGTGGACACCGATGGAACGTCTTGGTTACCAGTCTGTGTCGCGCCGGGCAGCGTCTGCAATTCTGAGGTGTTTATGGCGGTCGTCGCAGTCACCTCGACTGGAGCGGGCGGGGAGTTGGAGCGCTTCACTGCGTGATCAGAAGGAGCTGGAGGACTTGGCAACGATGGTACGCGTGCGGGCGCATCCTCAGACCCTGCCTTGACTTGTTGTGCTTTCGCCCCTCCCTGACTGAACCCCGTGGCTGAAGAAGCTCGTGGCTGTGACGTAGCAGCCGTGAGGTTTGCTGCTGGCCCTGGCTTTCTCATGTTATTTTCCCGCACGCGTCCACGTCCACGTCCCCGGCTACGACCACGGCCACGACCTGCTCTTGGTTCACGCGAAGCAGGGATCCGATTTTCCACAGCCCGGTCGCCCGGCTCGGCCTTTCCGTTGTGTCCTTGCAGCTCATTCGGCTCTTCTGTGAATACTTCTTCGATGGGAGACAGCAAACGCGCTCTCTTGGGGTTATTCTTTGTATTCTCGGAACGGCTGCGCTTTCGGCTGATTGGCCTGCCGCTCGTCGAAGGTGATGCAACGACCATGACGAAGTGTCTTCGGTTTCTTCTCTTCGGGTGTCTTGAATACGTACAAAATTACTCTGCAATGTGCAAATCTAGGCTGGATCTTGAAAATATGCAAGAGGGAGTTGTACATACTTGACTGGTCATTCCATCTCTGAATGACATTATTTATAGCAGCTCAAAGAAAAGTCATACATGATCTTTAACCGCATCCGGTGCGGACATGCTGCAATCCTGCCTCGCCAACAAAGACTGTCGGGCCTGCCGTCCACAAAGAGCCATTCTTCAAAGCTTCAGCGTCAATGCCAATGTCAAAGTCCTCAAATACTTTGGCGTGGCTTGTGCTCCGTAGCTCTGGTCCGGGGTCAAACGTTGCATTCGAATTTGACCCCTTCCAAGACTCTGGTTGTGAGGGTTAGGGGCTTAGTGTTGTCCACAGCCGTGTCTGCGAGGCTGAAGATCTCCCCAGTGTGCTTGGCAACTCGACTGGAGGTGACTATGATTTAGTTTGCGTGTACTTTTTGCATCAAGATTGAAACTTGCAAGACCTGTGCATTAAATTCCAACATTCTTGTTCATTTACAAAATCTCTTAGGCAGAGTCCGTAAAGGGTTGACATCAAATTATTCCTTCTGCCAAATCAATTATATCGGTGTCGACTCCGAAGATCTTACCAGGTTGCCGTTCTCCAAAAAGTCACGTCACCTCCCCCCCCCCCACGTAAACTCAGAGAAAAACATTCTTGTGGCCTCTAAGAACTTTCCTTCCTTGTTCTCCTACACTTACATTTCCCACAAACACATCACCTGGCCGCCTCGGGCTCCCACTCAACCCTTTCCTCAACTCTATTACACGTTCTCCCCCTCTCACGTACTTCCACTACTGCCACTTGGTAATTGTCCACCCTCAGCCAGTCTCTATCTGACATTTCTGCAACATCACCTTTGACAGACCCTCAGCATTCCATACGAAGCATCGATCAACCTGCTCCTCGATTCTTGATTCCTTTCATTAGGCATTGGCAGTTTCTCAAATACGCCTGACTTGTGTCTCGTCCCAATCTGGCACCCCTCTTTGTTATCCCTTCCACTGTCTCGCAGTTTCCCACTGCTGGCCCTGTTCAGCATCATCGCCTCGACCCTCCCTACGACCGATCAAACTTCCTGTGTCGCTGGAGAGCATTTGAACCATGCCGTCGAAGAGGAATGAGCCAAGGCCTGAGGCCTGCATTAACATTGGCATCGATTTCGGAACCACGTGAGTTTTTTGTGTTTGGTCACTCTTCCCTCAGCCGTGGGCCAGCTGAGAAATGTGATTAGGTATTCTGGTGTTGCGCATGCATCTTCGTCGAAGCCCAACGATATCGAGAACATCATGCGTTGGGAGTCAGTTAACCAAAACAACGAGGATCTCGAGAAGGTACCCACGGTCATTCATTTTAACACCAGCACCAGGTGGGCCCCGAGGGAGACAACGTGGGGTCTGGCTGTTCCCGATGACAAGAAAGCCATCGAGTGGTTCAAGCTGCTCCTTGTTGACGAACAGAACCTGCCAGACAATCTTCGAGACTCGGAGCGCCTCAGGGATGTTCAAAAGCAAGTGCAGGAGCTGGGAATGCAGCCAGTCGATGTCATCGCGGCCTACCTGAAACGCCTCTGGGAGTGGACACTGGCACGGCTCCAGACGCGATACAGTCAGGCCATGGTCAATATCTGTCGTTTCAATGTCGTCATCACGGTCCCCGCTATGTGGTCACTGGAGGCTCAGATGAAAATGCGAACTGCTGCCAAGATGGCTGGCATTCTCAGCCGACGACTCGCCGGTGAGACGACGCTGACATTAGTCGCTGAGCCCGAGGCCGCGGCCCTCGCTACTCTGGCGGACATGGGAGGAGAGAAGAGCATCGAGAAGGATGACATCCTGGTCATCGCAGACTGCGGAGGTGGCACGTGTGACTTGGTCAGTTACCAAGTCATCAGTGAGAGTCCGATGAAGGTCAAGGAGTGTGTTGAGGGAACAGGTCAGTATGCTTCCAGACCACACGCTTGTTCAGAACCTCCAGGCTAATATTTATGTGTTGTTTTGGCTCTAGGTGGACTATGCGGCGCGATCACCCTGGAGGATGCCTTCAAAACGTTTCTGCGACGAAAAATGGGCCCGTCAACCTTCGATCAAATCCCTTCCAAGCGGCTCAAGATCATTCTCAGGGAGCAGTGGGAGAATGGTATTCGTAACCAGTTCACCGGTCACTTTCAAGTGTGGACTATTGATGTTCCCTTTGAGGCCATTCCCGCCAAAGATCGTGCTAACCTAACTTCCCTACCTACGGTCAAATTCAACGCCGATGAGCTGAAAGAGGAGGTATTTAAGCCAGTTTTCACCAACATTTTGGCCTTGATACGAGATCAGATCAAAGCTGTCGGTACACTTGGACGAAATATAGGACGGCCAAAGGTAAGCAGTCCAGTCTACTTGCCCAATTGATGCTAACACAATTTAGTACATCATGCTGGTAGGCGGGTTTGGTCGTTGCCCCTATCTATACCGGGTTGTGACGCAGAAATTCGGAATCGAGGTCCTCCAGAGCACTGGAGCCAAGCCGTGAGTCCATCATTTATGGTCAAAAGCTTCGAGGATACGCGAGGGCATGCTAACCTGCTATGCAGTTGGACCGCCGTGAGCCGTGGTGCCGTCATTCATGCAATTGCGTCCCAAAACATCCGAGGCGGTGTCGCAGCTAAAGTTGAGTCTCGAATTGCCCGCGCCAGCTACGGTTACAATTACCACGACAAGTTCGAACCGGGAAAGCATCGTGAGGAGGACAAAATTTGGTCTGAGGTCTTCCAGCACTACCGTGCTGATCAACTGATGACTTGGTTTCTACAAAAGGTCCGTACCATTCGGGTTCTAAGATCACAGCCAAGACCATTGCGCTGACTCTGATGGGCTGCAGGGGCAAGTCATCAAGAACTCCAACAAGTCATTCAAGACTCGTTACTTGCACCACTTTTCGACCATGCCAGAGTTCATCGAGGACTACATTCTGACGTCCAAAGCGACTCCCGTTCCGGATCGCAACAACGATCAGGTAGAGATCCTGTGCACCATCAAGTGGCAGTCTGACCTCGGACCGGAGCAGGTGCCCAAATTTGTCAACAAAGAGGGAGACGTGTTCTACGAGGTAGAATATGAGCTGGATATGACATATGATGGAGCGACCGTCGAATTTGCCATTTGGCACAATGGCAAGAAGCAGGGTGCTGAGAAGGTTGGCCTGGAATTCCAACAGTCGACCATCCTCCCCAGTGCCTGAGCAGGTACGTTGATAGATGACCGATGTTGGTGGGTCACGATCAAAGGCATTTTGAGGTTGTTGCCTGATCGCTATACCGCTGAAAGTCTCGTGGTTTCTACTGTTCTCTACCAGCAGGTAGAATTAAGTAGCACTTGGCGTTCAGAACTCTAGCTCAGCAAGCAAAGACTACCAGACGATAGAATCCTCTAGATTCTTCTTTCTTGAATTTGACAAACTCCCCATTTATTCTTGTGCAGGCTCTCGATTTCGATCGCGCCCCCGAGTTTGATTTATGGCTGTTACTTAGCTTTCAACTTCTCTTCACCCTGGTTTTGCTTCTGACCAACGGCCCACAAACCTTTGACCTGCAAACTTTCGGCTTTGTCAAACTGCTGTCATCTCGAGATTACTTGGCCTCCTATTGTATCAACCCCGGGTCATTTATTAGCAACAAGAACAAAGAGTGAGATACCCATCTCGAGACTGGCTTCCTTTCTTCACCTCAACAGATCCTCGAACGTACGAGACCAGCAGCCGCTTTCCACGCACGATTCTTTCCACGTTCTTCGATCTTTAATTGACGATCATTCCATCGTCTTTCGGTGTGCTCTCCCTCTTGCATCAACTTCCAGTCCCTACTCGTCTTTCTCGCCAACTATTATCCCCCGTACTTTACTCGACCTTGTATTCTTCGACGTCATCAAATCACTTTCTCACCATTGCCACACCCTTGAATGATCCAAGCGCCATCCTTTGAAGTTCACCGAAGTTCAATTTTTGAGACACAATTCAGTTCGATTGGGTGTCTTTCCCTACACACGAGTCTAAACTCACGACCCTCCGTCAAATCGCTCCCAAGAAATGGTCAGAAACATGCCTTCCGTCAATTACAACGAGATCAAGCTTGAAAAAGAAGGAAATGGCAAAAGTCTCTTGCCCATTCCGCTTGCGCCAGATTCAGCGCAGAAACGCAAGAAAGAAGACTCCAAAAAGCAACGCCCGATGATTACCAATTCCCAATCGTCGCCCTCAGGAGAAACAGGGAGCAGCCAAGACGATGTGGACGAGCTGCAAGGGGATCACGAAGTTATCGGGCAGAAACGTCAACACGATCGGGAACGCGAGATTGGGCATGTGAAGAAGAAAAGGAAAGCAAGCCCAGCCATGATGTCTGAGCCAATCAATGAGGCTTTGAAGCGAAATTATGAAGAACTGAGGTCCGACATGGGTGCCCTCATTGAGGAGGTCCAAGATCTCAGGACGAAGCTATATGGGACTGGTGCCGTGGCCTCTGATGCTACAATTCGTGAGGAGTTCCTGAGTATCGCTTTCGATATAAGGCAATTCGCTTGCAGATTTGCTTCGAACTTACGAGAGAATCTCGATCCTGAGGCTGTGAAAAAACTCCGTCATATCCATACCATCACCGACAAAATCGAACATTTCCTCGCGCAGCCATATTTGCGCCAAAAGCTCTTAGAGTCATGGATCTGGTTGTCCATACTCAAAGCAGTGGCTCCAACCGATGCTCTGGTCTGGGGAGGCGACATTGGAAGCTCTGTGTATCGAACGGTGGTGCTGTCAAAGAGTAAGTCACTTCCAGCAGCTGACTGTGTTACTTCTTCTAAGCTGTACTAGGTCGTATAAATGACGATTCTTCCCCGTTATACGCTGAGCTCCAAGCATGGAGATCAAGATCTGTGATCCTATTTGAAAGCATCCACCGAGGCAACAGAGACACCCAGATCAAGAAATTGGCAACTGAAATTGCCATTGATCTGTTTGAGGTTCTTGGAGATAAAAATAATCAGATTCCTGGCGTCCGAGATGATCTGTATTGCTTGGTCAAGAAGGTCGTGGACTTGGACGTAGTGCTGCGCAAGTCCAAGGCAAGCTTCCACTGGATTATGCGATTCCGCGGTACACCTGTGAATCGAAGATTTGGAGACCCCATTGTGCCCAGATATATGGAATACGATGAGAATGCTGAATCTCTCGGCCTCACGTATACAGACTCTGAGTTCATCGTCGATCTGATCGCTTCTCCTGCACTTATCAAGTCTGGCAACTCTGATGGTGTTGACTATCAAAAGAGAACCGTCATTTGCAAGCAGCAAGTCATCTGCAACGTCAAAACAGAGGATTCAAGCACCGAGTAACACTCGCCAACGGAACATATCAGACGGAAAGCGAGGAAGTAACAGTTCATGGGCACCGAACGCTTGTGACTTCATCCATGGGTTTTGAGGAATTAACCATGGCTTCGGCTTCAATCCAAGACAAAATGCATGAATGAGAACTTGGGAAGGGGTGAGCTAGGTTTTGTAGCAGTGGAAATATGTCTGTCAGGACATATTGGATCACGCAGGAGACTTGATCAGCTGGAAATGGCTTCAGGATTGGAGCGCATGGACAGGATGAACGATAATGCAAAACTACGAAGAGGTAGAAGCATTGGTGAGATCTTCAATCATCCGGGCAGAAGAAGCTGCCCTCCTAAAGTAGTACAAATTCTCTCGAGAAGTTTCTTTCACCTTGACATCAATCTGAGAACATATTCACTGGCGTTCCTTGAATCTCACATCGGGGTCCTTGATTGTAGCACCAGAAAACCGCAGAGAAGGACGTTAATCCAATACTTGAACATCAGCAGCGCGACATCTCGCCTCACGTTTCCTCCAAGCACGAGATTTTAATAACTAATTACTTAAGTAATGCAGGTAACCCATTATCACCGCTTGTCACTGTGATCCGTACAAGTACGATGGCCTTGTACGCTTGCCAAATTTACAGAGGCTGCCAAAACGCGTGTTCCCTTCTGTTTGTTTTTCAGCCTACCTTGCCTCGCTCGTCCTTCAACACCATCCCCAAACTTACTTTACCTTCGCAGCCTTTCTCCCACCACGTTTTGAGATCACCCCCGCGAAGCCTTAGCAGCATAATCTCAACTGACCCTGATCTGTTCCTACCCCCGCAGGTATGGAACAGCACGTGCTGCATTCAAAATTTGAATACACTGCATCCATTCTTTCGTTTTCCTCAAACCGACACCCTTCATCGCTTCCTCTGCTCGAAACAAACACCAGGTGCTTTTCCATAGTAGTTCCTGCCGTGTGACTACGTTCTTCTTCCAACGATTGTATGTGCCTTGATACCATCGGCGAACAACATTCACCCAAACCTGGATGCCTACCCCGTGCGCAAGCTTGAGCTTTCGCGTCTGCATCCACAGCCTCCAGTCCCTCCTTCCGTTCTTGAGCATTCGTTGCACCCATCTCTTCCAATCTCCCGAGGCAATCTTCTCGTGGCAAATCTTGCCCGGCCAAGATCATGGACGACAAACTTCGAGACCGTGTTGGGAAACTCGACAACTACGTGTCAGCCTCACAGCTCAAGGCTAACGCAGTCACGACGCCACGCAAGCGCCGTGGCGGCAAGTCGACTGCTTCTAGCAGCCCTGCCAAAAAGGCAACACCTGGCTCGGCGAAACGAAACAGATCTGATCTCAAGATGAAGACAAGCAAGAATGAGCCCAAGATCATCTGCGGTCTCGAGTTCGGCACTACGTAAGTTCTTGTCTATTGACTCGCCTCTACTTTGTTAGCAAGCTCCTCACGTTGTACAGCTTCTCTGGAGTAGCCTTTACTTGGGCCGACAACATTGACCAGATCAAAGTCATCATTGATCTCGACCACAGTGGCCAAGACAACCCGAAGATCCCCACCGCTATCAAATTCAATCATCAGGATGGTTCGACTACCTGGGGTAATAACGCCAAGGGACATGCAAAGGCCTTGGAGTGGTTCAAACTGCTGCTCGTCGATGAAGAGGATCTCCCCGAAGACATTCGCAACTCTGCTCGTGTTCAAAAAGCACGTGATCTTGCACAGGACTTGGGCATGAATGCTGAAGAACTCATCAGTATCTTCCTCGAGGGCCTATGGGCCAATTCCATGGAGAAGATGAAGGCTCAGGTCTCGCAGGCCACGGTTGACAACTCTCGCTTTCACGTTGTGGTCACTCTTCCAGCTATTTGTATTCCCATCCCCCTTTTAACCGCTCGAGCTGCTTTGATAAATCTTCTAATTCCTGGAACTCGCATAGGGCCTGACTATGCTCGACAACGCATGCACAACGCTGTTCAAAGTGCTGGAATACTCGAGAAACGCGCTGGAGTTGGAGACACGATACTCACATTCGTCTCCGAGCCTGAGGCCGCTGCCGTGGCAACGTTGAAGGCAGTGGATGGTCGGTATGATATCGAGGTCAGTCCACTGCTCTTTTGCATACTAACGATTATTTTCCCTATCTAAAAATATACCAGGCTGATGACATCTTCATTGTCTGTGACTGCGGTGGCGGGACTGTGGACATCATCAGCTACGAGATCACCAGTACCGACCCCATGGCTGTCAAGGAGGTTGTCAAGGGTGCAGGTGGGTCCTATCACTTGTTTCCTAATAGAAAGAAAAACTCCTTGGCGAGCAATCTCACTAAATCCATCGCAGGTGCTCTCTGTGGTTCAATCTTTGTCGGCGAAAAATTTGAAGAGCTCCTCAGACGCAAGGTCGACGAGGTCTCCCCCGGCTCCTGGGGCAAAATTGGTCCCGTTGACTTGCATGACATACTAACTGATCAGTGGGAGAAGATTCGGAATTAATTCGTCGGCGGTAATCAAAGCTTCACTGTCCGTTATCCATGGAGCCTTATAAACCGTTTCAGCGGTGATCAAGGCTCTAGCAATGGCTTTCCTACATTCAAAATCACCCCTGATGAGCTGAAGAGTGTCTTCGAGCCCGCGGTTGAAAGGATCAAATCTTTGATTCACGGCCAGACCGACTCGATTGCCAACGAGAAGTCCAAGTCTCCCAAAGTGAGGCCAATCACTCTCAAACTGTTCAAGAAATATGCTAATGCCGGAAATCTAGTACATCATGCTTGTTGGAGGGTTCGGCCGCTGCAAATACCTCTATGAGTATCTTAAGGACAAAGTCAATAATGTGGAGGTGCTCCAGTCCCAAGATGCAGACCCGTAAGTGATTACTCCACAGGCTCCCGCACGTATAAATAATCTGCTTATTCATGTAATCACAGATGGACTGCGATTGCGCGAGGCGCTGTCATTCACGGCATGACCGCAGAGAAGATCGACCCTCAGTTCACGGTTCAGATTCGATCGAGGATTTCTCGTGCTTCATACGGCATCGTGTGTCAGGAGGACTGGGATGAGGAAGAGCATCGGCCCGAAGACAAGATTTGGGATGACGAACAGCAAAAGTACAGGGCAACAATGCAAATGAAGTGTGAGAACATATCTACCTACCCTGCCCACGATGCACGAGGGTGTCCTTCGACCTGAGGGACCCCCTTAGTATGATTAAATTGTACTTGAATATTAACAATACGCTGACATGGGTATTGATAGGGCTTGTCAAGGAGGTAGGAACATGCTTTTGATTTCATCAGGCAGGGAACTTGACATGTGCTAACACTCCCTTATCAGGGTCAAGATGTGATGTCTAACCGGAGACCCCGTCACAACTTCTTCATGATTTTCGATAAGCCGCCCAAGACCTTTTCCACTACGATCTGGATGTCAAAGGCCTCACCTCCCCCATCGCGGATGGACGAAACCGTCATCATGCACTCCGAGGTCAAGTGGACTGCGAAGATCGACATGGGTCGTCTACCTGTCTTCATCAACAATCGAGGTGAGGAGTTCTATCAGCTAGATTATGCTACAGAGATGAGGTGCAGTGGAGGATCTACCGAATTTGCTATCTTCCACAATGGCAAGCGTCAGGGCGCCAAGAACGTCTCGGTCGATTTCTACGACCATGCAGACATCTGAGCAAGCCAAGGCACTTGTCCTTGAGTGAGTTACTCAGCATGGGTTGTTGGAGAACTGCCGTCCTCAGACCCGCGTTTCTGAGTCTCCTCTCTTCTTTTCCCCTTCGTTATTTTCAGCAGAAAGTATCAACCCCAACGCCGTCAATTTCTAACATTCAGCAATTATCGCATGTGAATGGTGGAATAGGAAATGATTGGCTAGGTCCACGATAGCCTTTGATTCTTGATGGAAATGACACAAACATATTTCAATTAACACTTAGCCTTGTAAAAGTGACCTTGCCGTGTCTTTTCTCTTTGAAAATGAATGAAAAGTGACCCATGTTGATCATACGTGGACATTGATAGGCGTTGTGGCTCTTGGAATAGCTTCATCGAAATTTCTGATTTCCTACCGCGCTGAATTACTTGATCAGGAAGCAGCAGCCTCAAGTCCTGGTCTCAGTGCATAGAAACGTAAACTGGAGCTGAAACCGTCTGTTCGGCTTTCTCGAGAGCCTATCATCGATAGAATCGGATCACCCTCTGGCTGCTCTCACCAGGACATCAAGTACAATTCTATTCAAGCAGACCGAGACCGAGGACATGAACTTCGGAGGAAGTGCGAGACAGAGCTGGAGAAAGTTAAAGTGAGGGCGGAGCAAGCGGAAGAGAAGGTGGATGATTTCCTCACTGTGGAGCACGCTTTTGAAACGACCAATGAGCACTTGACTACCAAGCTCCGCAAGTCTACGCAGGCCATCGAGACGAGAAAGAAGAAGTTAAACGAACTCAAAAAGAGTCTCAAGGCCGCAGAAAAGGGTTCGTCTAATCTTAGGGCCTGGAACTGATTATCTCGATACTGATGGAAGCTGGTGTCAGACCATCATACAGAAAAGTCTCAACTGGAGGCACGCATCGACGAGCTGACAGCATCTTTTGAGGCGTACAGGGAAGACTGCGACAATACCAAATCCAATTTACTCCAACAACTTCAAGACAGCCAAGGACTAGGCCAACGATACAACTTCAGGATATCAGACAACGAACTCAAGAGCATGTGGAGAGGTCTGAGATACAAGATCCGTCAGTTCGTGGACAATTTCACTCCCACAAACTTTGGAATGGAAAACGGTCTCGACTACATATGGAGCAAACTGTCATCCAGAGCCGCAGATCTTCTCTCATCGCCAGCATTATACAACTTGATGATTGAAGCATACATCTGGCAGTGGCTGGAAGATGCGGTATTTGAGGAGAACTCCCGTCTTTGGGCTGGTGAGCTCGGTCAGGCTTTCACCGGAATACACAGGCTGGCCCGCCGTGAGTTAAGATTTCGCACAATCTTTCCAACTCTTCTTTAGAAAAGCGACTGATCACTGAAATGGCACCACAGGTCACCTGAATGTCGACGATGATGAGTTCCTATCCGAATTCCATGATTGGCGAGCGAACTCCAGTAACCTTCTGAGTCGTCTTAACAGCCGGACGCAAAGTCTTCAGCCTTATGACGGAGAAGTCAGTCAAATGATCGAGGCCATCAAGCGAGTGTATCCGCAAAACGATTTCTTGAACCACGGAGATGCCGAATCGGATGCACTCTCAATATTCGCTGATGCTCGCTCTTTCGACATCTCGCGCCGCAAGCTAAAGGCTGATGTTCTACTCATCTTCGCGGCGACGACCGAGGATGGCGCCACCACTCACAAATTCGACATGCCCATGAATCCCAGGTGCATGGACAATATTACTGAACGGATCGGGCTACAAACGGCCGGTTCCATACCAAACATCAACTTGATCATATCCCCGGCGCTGGCGCGGTACGGCAACAGCGAGGGAATAGGCTACAACGAGATGACTGTTCTTGTCAAAATGGATGTCCTATGCGATGTCCCTGATTCATCGCAACTACACGAGATTCTGACATCGGTGAATGCCCACCATACTCCTTCACCTGCAGTCAAGAAAGACATTCCTATGCTCAAAAATGATGTTGCTGCCATGAATGACGAGCCACAGGAAGAGAAATCAGACATCGAGTCGAAAATTAGAGCCTGCCAGGTTATCCAGGTCGAGGTCGAGGTCGAACCATCTATGCATGAAAGGGCCGGGCGGCCTAGCCGCCCAGCCAGGCACGCTGCCCAAGAAGCAGCTCGTGTGACAGCATCACATATCGGTATCTTCAACGCAAGTGATGAAGACAGTGATGACGACAAGAGCCGGCATGGAGGAGAATCCAAGTCAAAACAGCAGGACCATCAAGACGCCAACTGGAAGGGATACTAGGCCTGGAAGAATGGTCCGCTCGCATGTGCAGGACATGACGACACCTTAAAGGGCCAGAAATGGCAAGATCACTGGCACGGAATGCAGCTGGACCGTAGTCCTTGTTGCAGAGAGCTATGTGGGAAATGTGGAAAAGAACAAGGTGGGGCCATGAAATGCGTGATCAGCCTCCGTTGCACGCTTGTGGTGCTTCACAACAATTGGTGAATAAGAAAATTCATGGCAGTTTTCGTACTTTGGGCAGGCGCGTGATAATGAGGCCATTTTTGACGGATTCACATATTACATGGCAGGCCTCCAAGCGGTCCATGACCCACACACAGCGGCTCTCGTCTGAAGTATGCAGGGTGCTTAAGAACTTAGACACAATGCCAGATGACATTTGAAGAATAGCACTCTGAGTCAGTGAGCCTACGACACAGGTGTTGAAATCCCAAATTCCAAATTCCATGTTGCTGATGTATTAATGGCTATAAAGTGCATCGCAATGTCATGTTTCATAATCTCGGCCACGCACTGAAGTATTTCTTGGCCTGGGTCTCATCCCGCTCTCAAGGATTCGCGCGTGCGTATCCTTACCTTCCACCCAAAATTCAGAGACCGTGTTCCAGAAGGTATGTACTGGAGATCACCTTGAACGACCGTCCATCATGAAGGCACTTGTAAACAAGGCCCTCGCCCTTTCGCTGCATCGCGCGTTTCTTCAGCTCGTGATGGCTGTCAGCGATCTCACGGATCTTGACATAGCCAAGGACGGGCACGTGCTTGAGGCCAAGCTGCTGGGCAATACCGACAACGATTTTTGGATTCATGTACTTCTGCGTTGTGACGTCGTAGATGGAGAAGACGAAGAAGTCAACTTGGCCACCACGGATCTTCTCACGGTTCTGGTTGATGTTATGTCCACAGAACTCGCCATGAATGGCGACGCTCCGCCCCTTTGCTGCCAGCTTCTTGGGCAGGTCATAGCGGAGTGCGATCTTCCAGTAGCCGAATTGGCAGTCACTGAGCTCGTTGATGTCCATGTTCTTGGAACAGACGCCGAAGCGTCCGTTCGGGTGAACCGTGTTCGGACCGACTTTCTCGGGAAGAGGGTTGAGGTTGGCAAAGAGAGGAAGATTGGAGTTGACAAAATATATCGTCATGGACGTGCCATCCATTTTGACGCTCTCCTGGTACAAGTACTTGTGGTACTTTGCCTTGGTGAAGAGATTTGGACAGTCCTCGACGCGGGTAACGTCTGTCTTCTTGAAGAGGCGCGTCGGGACCGTACCAAGCTTGAGGTGTGGCAGCTGCTTTGGCTCGAATTTCTGCTCCTCCCACTTCATTATGCCGAGCTTCTCTGCCCAATTCTTCTTTCGGTATATTGCCAAGATGATCAAGTTAATGAGGTCCTCACTGGGCTTCTGTTTCTCGGCACCGCCTATCCGCAGAACCTCTCGAATCATCTCGACCTCTCCGTTGACTTCGGAGAACTTCTCTACCGGAAAGACGTAGCCTTGAGCTACGATTCTAGCGTCCTCGCTGCAAAACTTGGTGGTCTGCACGCGGTGTCCGAGTTTGCCGTTAATCGTGGAGACAGGAAGCAACTCTCCAAAGCGCTTGTCTGAGGCAGGGACGAAGGCATCGATTCCCAAGTACAAAATGAGATCGCCGTTTTTGTAGGCGGCACCAGGAGGCACGATGCAAGTCCAGCCGTCAACCTCCGCCAATGTTAGGTAGTTGTTAGCAACTTTGACGTCGCGGATATTTTTAATGAATCGCAGGCTCGCTAGACGGAGAGTGTCGGTGGAATCGATGGTCTCAGCTGGGAACGAGGACTTCTTGGTTGGCTGGTCGATGATCGGGAATTGGGATCGGGCTGCTGCTACATCTTTGAAGCAGGTGAACTTGATAGTAGGTTTCGAGGGCTCAATCTTGACAAAGCTGCCTGTCGTTGGCACAGCCACCGTGGCATCATTGCCGGGTGCCTCGATAGTCGGTGCTGAGGTCTTCGGGGTGTTGAAGTCGCCCTTGGGCGCTGAACTGCATGTGGTCTGTCCGCCGCCAAAACCAACAGCGCGGATTGTAGATTTGTGTCTAAAATTGTTCTGGTCGGAACTGGGATCCAGCTTCAGAAAACCCGGAGCACTGGTTTCGTGACCCTTCTCAGAGGCGTGAGGTGCCTCAAGTGTGGGCCTAGTCCTTGAAGAGTCAGGCTTCGATCTGTTCTGGGTACTGGTTGGCTGCTCAGGATGGTTTGCTGGGCGCATGCTGCTGTATTTGGATCGGTCGAAGGCGAGCTTGACCTCTTCGAAGGTGGCGAGCCGGGGAGCCATTGTGAAGGTCAGGGTGCAACTCTTCCACAAATGATATTCTATAGATCTCATCTATTAACTCAGGTCCTGAGGGCATTGTGCAAGTAGAACCTGAAGCACCGTTGTGTACACACCTGCAAACCAGGTGGACAGGTTTGATTAGCGCTTGCCAACCGTATCTTCAACTGCTCGTATCTTGGTCAAGGTGGTCTAGGAAGTAGTGGCAGGTGCTGATTGACTAGCCTCCAGGATGAAGATCGAATTGATTGAACTTGTTGGGTGAGCTAGAAGGGAAAAGAGAGGGGAGGGGGGGGGGGGATTTGTAACACCGTTGTGTTCTCGTCTGCAAACAGCGCAAGCAAAGAAAATATCAGTTACTGAGACACCAGAATGTCCAAACAGGGCTTTCCTGGCTCGATTTTACGTGTCTGCCACTTTCGATTTGTGTTCTTGTTGATTTCAGGGCTCTGAACAGAAAAGAAAATTTTAAGATCAATAAAGTGGTTTAGTGTGAATGTGCTGAGGTCGTAGATGGTGAATGTAGGAGGTGGAGATTGGACAAGGGAAATCAGAGGGAAGACTGAAGAGCATGGCATCATTCATTCAGAAAACCCGTCACTAGTTTGTCAAGGCATCAAGGACCAAGTGATCAGGTGTGAGAGGCTGTGATCATGGTCAAACGTTGGCCAGAAACCTGAAGAAGTTTGGGCAAGGCATCATGCTGAAAGAACAGAGGGATTGGCTTCCGAAAGGAGTTGGCCCTCTAAGATTAGGCAAAGACTTGATGGGGTTGGGGAAGAACTATTGAGAGGAAGGCATGAGGACGATGTGGAAAAGGGAATGTATGCTTCAATCTTATGACAATAGGGGCTGGTCTTACCTGATGAAAACTGTTCTCAACACTTGAAAGAAGTGAAAATTTGGAACAAAACCCTGGAAGTTTGGGGACAGGCATAATCAGCCTTGAGGAAGGAAGTTGTACAGACGGCTTTTGACGATATTGGTATTGACGGTGGATTGGCTTTGTTGGCTGGCCTTACCCATCACCATTCACTGCTAGCTACTTACAGTGATTCCAAAGGTAAATCACACTCAATCAACAATCACAGTCTGGTCAGATACCGAGACCACTATGTGGGTGGATTTGCAAGGTGTCAGGAATGATCAGCCTGACAGTGATTTGGGAACTTATTGAAAGCACTAAACCTTGGACGATAGTGAGGCAGTTGTGGATTGAGATGGACAAATTGACTTTTGTTTTCTACTCAGGCAGGTCGCAACAAAGCACTGCAGAGCTTCAGGTATCCCGCCCTCTAGAAATCAATTAGTCCATTTCTCTTTGTGGGTTTCCTCGGTAGCTCGCCTCTCAACCTGAAAGAACAGGCCCAAAATAGAATCAGACTGGGCCTTTCACTCTGAAGGAACAGTATATGAATATGAAGATTATCCTGTCAGGTAAAGATGGGCTGACAGAATCAAGTAGAATGTCAGTCTCAATCGAAAGTCAGAGGCAGATCTGGCGAGACCACGCCGCAACTACAGAATGCTGTCCAAATTTACCCAAATTTTCAGGTCTCGCGAGCCAATTCTCCCAGTCTATCAAAGGTCTACAGAGGCTTCCGGTGTAGTCACGCTCAACGCTGTCGAAATTTACGAAGCATCACCACAAGTTCACAACACAATGGGACGGCAAATACAGGCGAACGAGAACTTGAGCACGAATGTATCCGACTACAATGCCTCTACTTCTTCTAACGGCATGTCTCCCCATTCCAAGGCAACACATGCTACGTGTAAAGATATGATGACAACGAGATTAGTGATTTTTACACTAGCCTTGTCTCTGTTCACCATTACATGCATCATTGTGGTCCTGGCTATAATTCTGTCTATGAAAAAGCCAAACTTATTTTGAAATTAGCACATGGATTTTGGGTGCAAATGTATAGACCAGAGCATGGGCGAGCATAAGGATAACTAGCATTGAGGGGTATCATTACTTATGTTAGGGTAAGCATGTCGACCGACGGTCTAACAAAATTGAAACTTTTGGGATGATAAAAGCTATTTCTTGTATTAATATTGGTAGTTACTCATGCTTGATTTGAACTTTACAACGTGACTTTGCTATGTGCATGTCTTAAGAAGATGCATTAGCATTCGCCCAACTGTAACATGAAATGAACCTTCCGGACATTATGATGAGTCGATCGCTCATTGATCCTATGTATCCAGACCATCTGTTATAGCCGAGAAGAGTATGAGCTGGCACAGAGGATCTTCTGCATCTGCTCGTTACTGATATACAAAGTCTGTCTCGCCACAAACCAGCGGACCCCCTCATCGCATAGAGGGCTAGTCCGGCTCCCTTCGTATGTCCAGAACTCTCAAAAGTCAGATGCCGCATTAATGGCGTCGCCAATATTCATAGGGACCTCGACGTCTTTTCCGGGTCGTTGCTGTTGTATTTGATCAGCTCATCCGGGAACTGGCTGATGAATGTGTCATTCTCATGGCCCGGTTCTATGAGAATGCTCAGAATGGCTCGGTCGTTTCTGCAAGAGTCTTGGTGCACCAAATGAAGCTCAGCACGTGCTTGCATACCATTCACTATGTGATCAGCTGGCGTATGCATGTGCCAGCCAGCCAGATGTACCGTTTCGTTGTCAAAGGTCAAGGTCGGGGCTTTTATCTTCATTGCCTCTTCATACTTCACGTCGAACGCCGGGCCTGCTTTCACATTCAGCACGATTTTAACTTCGATGTTCATTATGTGAGTATAGAATTACCAAAGCGCTAGTTCTTGAATCTGCCCGTTATCTTGCCTGAATAGTTCATCGTTGGAATATGACTCTATGACATGCCATTATGAAAACTAAGCGCAATAGGTGATTACTGCGTTCCGTTCCGACAATGACGCCAAGGAGCATGGTCTCCCCATTCTAATGCTTCGCCATATGTGCAGCTGTTGAGCTCTGGCTGCGGATCGCCTAGACTGTGCAACACGGACCGCCCGCTATTACATTTTTTTTTTTTGTGGCACAAGCAAGTGTGGAACGCCCAAACATGATAGCACAAAGAAAGATGTGTAGGAAAATCATCGCGAGTAGAAAGCAAGTAGGATTGAGATTGACAATAGGATCTTCGTATGCTCAAGTCAAAACTTGTAGGAAGGATCATAGGAAACCTGGGTTTGGTGTAGGAGGACTAGAGCTTTGAAGGCGGAGGTTGAGTTGAATCGAGTCTCTAGCAACAAAAACGAAGCCCCGTGAAATTTAGTTGAGTGCACTGGCATGCCCATGGGGGCTCGCAGGATGCACTTGCTACTTCACTTGGATTTGGTTCACGGCTTGGATCCTTAAGGCAACTCTGTCAACACAGAATGTAACCACCTGCAAAAATCACCTGTACATGGTGCAATCTGATCCAGCGTCGGATGTGCCATCCAGAAGGTCTCGCGATAGCGCAAATACAGGGCGAGTTCTCAGGAGTTGTGCAGTTCCTCGATCGGGACTTAGAATGACTGGTCTGTATTAGAAGATTGGGTTGGGCTGCAAAATCTGAGTCTATTCCCCATGTTGCTGATCAAGGTATGGTTGCCTTCAGTATTGTTTCGATCTAAGTTGAGCCTCCAATTGCGCGGAACTCTCTCCATCTGTACCTGAAGGTTCTGGGGCTATAGCGGGCCGTTTCCAGTGTTTTAAGTTCCCTGCTTGCAGTTAACTAGCTGTTACTACAGTGGCAGGGGTCACTAAATTGGCGGGCCTGAGGCGCTGTACCGACACATTCCAACCATATTTACTGGGAACTTCCGATACCCCTTACCCTGCACTCCAGGGCTTGCAACTTGCCAATCAATTTTTCGTCCACTCAGCAGCAGCGATCCCTTTCACATCCTGAAGTGAGGCACCTATCGACCGGCATGCTCGTCTTTCACTCATACATCTCAACAATAATATTGTGATGAATACATCACAATGCGCACAAGAAAGGCAAACAAATCCAAGCGCTTCAGCTACACAGAGGCATACTCTGATGAGAGTGAGGATGAGAGCGACACCCAAGAGGCCCAAGAGGCAGGCGAAGATGTCGACTTCCAGGAGCCGGAACCTGATGGGGGAAGCCAGGATGCCAGCGATGAAGATGTGGTTGATGAAGGTGTCGAGAATAACAAAGTGGCGGGAGATGATTTGTCGGTGGGCTCGGGTGAAGCTGTCAACGACGAGCTGGTAGATGTCGAGTCAGATGGCGAAGGCGAAGTCGATCTTGATGAGGTAGAGAGCCCGCCTGGGAAAGCGGGCCCTAGAAGAGGCAGGCTGAGAAGGAAGTTGCTCAAGCGAGGCGTCGTCCACGCCATCCCAGCATATCCGACGGAATTGCGCAACACACGCGTCTACGAGGGGCCTCTCCAGCGATCGACACGAGGCATGAAGCTGCTCGAGGTCCTTTACGGTCCAGACCCCGGCCATATCAAGGTCGCCCAGGGCATGTTGAATAAATGGTTCAACCACCAGGTCTTGCCGGTTCGAGGCTCCGACGACGGCGGTCTGATGCAGAGCCCGTGGCTCGCGGACGATTACGAAGAGAAACAGAGAAATTGGACCAGGTCGTGGTATGACAGGTACAGGGCGGGAGATGGCAAACTGCAGCGGTTGAGGAAGATTAGACAGGATCACGTCGATATCTTCAAGCCTCCAATGACTGAGCTCGTATGCCTGGTCGGCCGGTTCAACAATCAGAAACAGATACGTACACGATATGGATCTGCTCATCCTGTCTCAGAGACCGGCGAGCTCTGGCAGGCGGCCGAGGCCACATCACAAAACTCCACCCCACCGCCACCACCACCGAAAGGCTGGCTGTTTGACACGGGCGGAATCCCTCTCGCCATTGGCTGGGCACCCCTGATAGGTCATAGAGAACAATTTCTGGCCGTGTGTACAGTACCATTCTCAGACCAAGATCGTAAGGACGCCGACTCGCCCGAGGACGATCCTGAGGAGAAGAAGAAGGGCAGTGTCCAGATTTGGTCTATCCCTTGTCACAAAGAGGGGGCCAGCGATGCTCGCCTAGTCCATTCACTTTCGTTCGACTGGGGCCGGCCCAAACGATTACAATGGTGCCCAGTTCCTTTATTAGACGACTCGAAAATAGGCATGCTCGCCATCATCTGCGCTGATGGACAGGCTAGGGTCATTGAGGTGTCCAAATCAACTCCAGGTCAAGAGAACTACGGTAAGCAGGCCATTTAGCGTCCTAATGATGCTGAATTCTTTCATACTAACAAATTTCTGCCAGATTGGATCACCTCCCCGGTAGCAACCTTCGGGATCACGGACGAGTACGCCGTACACGCTACTTGCCTTACCTGGGTCAACACGAACCGCCTCTGCCTTGGGCACTCCGACGGCTCCATCACTCTCTGGTCCATCTATCCACAGCGGCTCCTCACTCGCCACGCCGCACATACCAGCCAAATACTCGACATTGCAAGCGGCTTCCCGTCGCACCCCTACCATATTGCCACCGTCCCCATCGGCGGCAGTCCCACCCTCACGGACCTCAACCTCCCCAGCGCCGAGACCACATACATCCCGCTCTCCAACTGTGTCAACTTCCAGCCAAACCTTCTTGACTGGAACGACCACCTACAAGGCTATTTAGGCATCTCCCCCAGTGGAATGCCGCACAACATCTCCATCGGTTTTACTCATATACGCCACTTCGTGCAGAGCCGCACGCTGATGACCACGCCGAGCTTGCCAATGTGTCTGGCGGGCGGGCGGACGCACCCGTTTACGCTGGTCGGCTGTGCAGACGGGAGCCTCTGGGCGTTCAATCCGCTGCGTGTGCTCACTAAAGAGCGCGGCGATAGGGTGCACAAACTCAAGGTCCTCCAACATGAGTTCCGCCCTCCCCCACAGACAGGCACCGCTACCGCCGCCAGGGCCGCCCAAGACATCCGTGGTGCCGCGCGTATCCTACAAGGCTTCCGCCCGGAGTTCAACAGCAACCCCCGCGCATCGGAATTGACGCGAGAACTCAACAGGAGGGAGGCCGCCGCCAAGGCTAAGAGGCCGAAGAGCAAGAACCCGAGGAGGAGAGCGGCGGGCCAGCAGGAGGAATTCGAGCAGGGAGATAATGGGCTCAGACTGGAGGAAGAGCTGGCGTTGCTGAAAGAGACAGAGAAGACTAAGGTCGTGGTACATGAGGCTCTGACGAGAATCACGGCGGCGGCGTGGAACCCAAATGTCGAGCACGGCTGGTGGGCGGCTGCCGCGATGGGGAGCGGGCTAGTCAAGATCATGGATTTGGGTCTCAAGGGATGGAACCTTGAGGAAGGCTCAACAGGAACCGTGTAGAAACAGAATATCTTGACACTGGCCGTGAATGAATGAATGCGACGAGAATGTCAACACAGAGGAACCAGAAGTGTATGTGCTGTCGCAGATGAGCGTGAGTCAACGTTGACACCCACAAGCGCAGGAAATCGAATCATCAAATTCTATTAATACACACATATCTACCTCTAGAATATACGTCTACGGTGCTTCTTCCACCCTCTATGCGTCCTGCAGTGTAGAGTCCACAATCTAACAACGTGCACCAAGGGCACCGTGATGGAAATCGAACGCCTGTGTCATGCCATAGAGATGCGACGCAGCAGCGAACAGAATCAAAACGTGAAAGATCTGGTGCGAACTGCCCCAGATGTCGAAGGTCTTGGGAAACATTCTCTCGGGCCAGCGTATCTGTATGTTCGCACGTTAGACTCCTGGGCGTGAACAGTCACCCTCGTAGCAGCACACCGATGTTCACTTACAGCGTAGAGGAACGCGCCAGAGATGTACAGCGCGCCCTGCAGCACAACCCAGCTGAGCCCCATCCTTTCATCAAGCTCGCTCCATCCGTACATTTTCAGGCCGTGGATGACGGGAACGAAACTGGAGATACCCAGCCCGACGAACATGAGGGCACGGTATGGTCTCCAGGCGGGCGTCCGGAATGTTTCGACCCAGGAGACTGCCAGACAGCCCAAGCCGAGGGTAGAGATCTGTGAGATTATAGAGTCAGAACCAAGATATCACTTTGTGTTTTGTTGAAGGAGTAAGACCCTACCCCAGAAAGATAGACCTCCAGCAGCCTCGGATGGCAGTAGAACCCATAGTACAGCGCAGGCACATAGCTGCCCATAATCAAGAACACGATCCCGCTATAATCCAACTTGTTCCCCCACTTGGCCACCTCCGGGCTATGGTTACAGAGCGCATGATATGTCGCGCTCATACCCAGGCAAGAAAAGGCCCCCGCGAAGAAGCAGCCAAAAGCCAGCACATCCGTCGCGGAGGCAGTCGAGTACCGCGGGATGATGATGGTCTCAAAGAGGTACAGCGCGGTCACGCCTAGGATGGTGAAGAGAATTGACCCGAGTAGATGGGTCCAGATGTTGACGGACTCGTTGTGCAGGGCAAAGAGCGACTGCAGGGAGCGCCGGTAACTGTTGCTCGTGGGTCGGTATCCCGTGTAGATGAAGCCATTGTCGCGTCGCCAGTCGGGAAGGTCGTCCCATGCCCAGAGCAGGGCCGACTCGATCTTCTCCTCGACGGCCTTGACAGCGTCAAGAAGACCAGCAGAAGAGTGGCTGTTCGATGACGAGAGTGAGGAGCCGCGGCGCCTGCGGAGGTTTGACTGGGCGTCGTCGAGAGCCATGATTTTTGCTTTACTATCAGGGCTGGCTGTCGTGCACTAACAATGGAAATAATTCAAAACTTAATAGCATGATGTCATTGTCATTTTATATATATGGTGAAAAAGGCGATGGGGTGGTTTGTTGGGATTTACACATGCGATTGGATGTCGAACCGCACCATCCGAGGTCAACAATATCTACGGTTGTAGGCATGTCAGTCAGCATAAGTCGTTCAAATAACATTTGAGTTGGCACTGTGTCTGGTAGGCACTCGGTGCCCAGACTTGTGGCGGCCCCGGGTGGCTGAATCCATATTGCTAAGAGAAGTACAGTGTGATACAGTGCTTGACACCGTATGGGCCAAGATCATCCGACTCTGTGTTTTGTGCAGAATTTCGATACGTAAAGTGAAGCCTTTTTGCATGGATGGCATGCATAAGTAGTCGTCACAAATTGAAAAGCCCAGTAACACGTCAAGGGGGGATTTTGAGCGTCCAAAGGCGTCTCGCTTTGATATCGTCGTGTCCACAGTCCCATCCGACAGTCCAGTCAGAGGATATGCGGTCCAGTTTTACCCACGAGTATGTTCACCGACACATTTGTTGGCTGCCGCATCAAGATTGTAGGCCAACGATCTTGCTCTCTTGTCTTGAAATTCAGTGTGCCCAGCGCCTTGCTTCCTATCATTCCACAATATAAATCTGCGCGTCATGAAACGTGTCTCGCTTCCGCTTCAAAGGTTCGCAAAGACGTCTTAGGAGGCATGTCCGTTTATTTCTTGCCGCTCTTCTTAATGCCCTGACCGCCAGTGTTCAGCGGCCCCTTCTTTCCACCAGCCGCTGCGGCCAACTCCTTCCGGGCCTTCTCCTCTGTAATTGCCATGTATTATTAGTCGTTGTGTTTGGGACGCATGGGAGTTGCGGCCACTGAGGCCAAGGGGGATCGTACCAGCCTTCTTCTTCTCGAGGAAGGCCTTATCTTCGTCGTCGAGGTCCTTGTTCTGCTTCTTGGGCGCCTTCAAGGGCTTGGCCTTGCCACCTGTGTGCCATTGTCGTCAGCACAGTTGTACGTTTTGTGTCGCCGAGACAGGAATACACTGACCTTGCCTGTCGGAGCCACCCATCGTAATGTATGTTTGGTATTGTACCAAGTTCGTCACGTGGATCAGAGAGACGTCAGAGTGGACAAAGTTGAGGAGAGATGAGTAGGATCTTGCGGTGAGGAGGATGATTCGAAAGAGAAAGAAACGGCCTCTGCGGCCTAGAATCCCATGGCCCTTTCACCTGTCAAAGAATCGTTGCCCCACTGCAACTCCCAGGCGGCATAATGCCTTATCGATAAGTGCTGAGTCAGACATCAGAACCGGCGCGGGTCGATGAGCCCAGCGCGCAAGCTTGACGTCGACTTGTTGCCTCGCCATCACTTTCCCCCTCTCACTAATTCAACTTTTCTTGCCGTATCAGTCACCTTCGTGATCATCGCCACCATCAACTTTGCTCATTAACCACTCTAACCACCTCAAGACATCTCCTCTGAAGAACTCTGAAGAAGAGCCATCGACGACGACCTGCTCCGGACCATGTCCTGAGTCTACGAAGAGTTGACAGGATTGATCCGGTTGGCCTCTATTTCTCCTGCTTGCTACTCGGCAAAAGCACTCGAACTTGACTGACGCGTCCATCTTTTCCCCAAAAAAAGTTAGAGGATCATCCTTACCTGCTCCACGCGACACGACATCATGTCGAGCAGCTCCGACGAAGGCGAGATCAGGGAGAACGGAGTTGAGGATTCCAAGGCATCTACACTGCCTCGTGTTGATGGAAACGGTGTTGACCGTCAGGACAGGAGGGCTAGACCCGCACGCTCCCCCGACCGGGCCGAACACCAATCTCGACGACCCCGTTCACCTCGCGGCTACAAGAGATCTCGCGATGACGACGCCGACTCCTATCGCCGAGGTGGCAGACGTGGGGGTCCCGACCCGCGACGATTTCGCGTCCACTACGAAGATGCGCCGTCCCCTCGCGATAGGCATGCCTACGAAGATCCAGACCGTCCGGTCTCTCGAGGCACCTACGACGACCACCTAGACCGCCCCTCCAACCAACGCTTCCGCGACTCTCGAGACTACCCGTCGTCCAACTCTCGGTACGACGATCGCGACCGCGACTATGGCCGATCTGAGAAGCGAACACGCACCCGAAGTCCTTCGCCGTCTCGAGGCGGCCGCAGCAATGGAAAGGGAAGGCCCAATCGGAACCGATGGGATGCCGAAGGCGCTGCCAGGTCTTATCAAGGCCAGCAGGCTGCATCTATCAAGTACAGTTCCCAGACTGCCAAACAAGTACGGGATGATACCGCCAACCGGCGGCCTCCTGCGGCTGAAGCTAGAGATTTTTCCAAAGACGTTGCTAAATCTGATCAAGGTGCTACGGATGAGCGCATGGCTAAGAAGACCTCACATTTGCATTTGAAGTATGACGCGCCCCATCAGCGTGACCGAACGCACGGTAGCTAACACGTCAAACAGCGACTCGCCCAGCACTTCCAAGAAGACGACGGAAGAGCCAGACCATGATTGGGAGGAACCGAAGCCCCTTGACGAAGAAGCCGAGATTGAGCGGCGCAGACGTCGTCGGGAGGCACTCCTCAGAAAGTCTCGTGCTTCGACCCCTCTGCTTGTTCAGGCTGTCCAAGCTAACAAGAATGACTCGAAATCCGAGCCTCTCTCCGTGATCACCTCCCCACAGAGGACTCCCCAAACTCCTGTTTCGGGTAAGCACCACACCATGCCTCTGCAGCATTTAGAAGCACATTGCTGACGATTCAGACATGCTTTCACCTACCGGACGCGCTGAGGCGAGCATGTCTCCAGAATCCCTTGACATCGCCAACGACGGCGACCTGATCAACCATCATGCCAAGGCGAAAGCTGCCGAGGAAAATGGTCCATCGGCGGCTGACTACGATCCGACAGTCGACATGCGTGAGGATGAGCGCCGCGATGAGATGCGCAATGGCGTAGTTGGCCTGCACGGTGAGGATCGTCGAGAATCCCTAACTTCCAATGGTCAGGACAAAGACGAGCCCATGGAGACGACCGAAGCAAGCAAAGCAGAGGACGACGATGACTTCGATATGTTTGCCGAAGATTTCGACGAGGAGAAGCTTGCAGCACCCAAGTCAGCCCCCAAGGCCAAGGCACCCACGGAGGACCCGGTTGCGCTGCAAGGAAACAAGGCCGGCGGCATTCTTGAGGACGACGACAAGGACGGATATTACAAACTTCGTCCGAGTGAGATAGTAAACGGCCGCTACCAGATCCAGTCCAGCCTTGGAAAGGGAATGTTCTCGGGTGTGGCGCGCGCCACAGACATTACTACCAGGAAGCTGGTCGCCATCAAGATCATGAGGAACAACGATGCCCTGAAAAAGGGCGGTTTCACGGAAATCGCTATTCTTCAGAAGCTCAACTCGGCCGACCCGGACAATAGGAAGCATATCGTCAAGTTCGAGCGGTCATTTGAACACAAGGGCCATCTATGTATGGCATTTGAGAATCTGAGCCTGAACTTACGAGAAGTGCTGAAGAAGTTTGGCAACAATGTTGGTATCAACCTTGTGGCGACGAAGGCATATGCGCACCAGATCTTTCTGGCCCTGGGTCACATGCGCAAATGCAGCATCATTCACGCCGACTTGAAACCCGACAATATCCTGGTGAGTTTGCTTCCTATTTCATGCAAACTGACATGCTCGGGCTGACAAGGCTTCGCAGGTAAATGAACAGCGGAATGTCCTCAAGATTTGCGATCTGGGAACCGCTATTGATCGATCAGACGCGGCCACAGCTCACAACGAGGTTACCCCCTACCTCGTCAGTAGATTCTATCGAGCTCCCGAGATCATTCTGGGCATGCCCTACGACTACGCCATCGATATGTGGTCCATCGGGTGTACCTTATATGAGCTCTACACCGGCAAGATACTGTTCACAGGTGATAGTAACAACCAGATGCTACGGGCCATCATCGAAATCAGGGGCAAGATGAGCACCAAGCTCTATCGCCGGGGCTCGCTCTGGACAATGCATTTCGACGAAATGGGAAATTTTATTAGTCAGGAAAGAGACAAGATCCTAGGCAAGGTACGTCGCATCAATTTGGTCTTTTTTCCACATAGTCTTCTCCAGTCCAGAAGCGTCAACGCTGGCGACAACCCGGAGGAAGCGAGTTGGCTGCTCGGTGGCGGATCATTCTATTCTGGACGATTTGGACTTCCCTTTGGTTCGGTCAGAACGGCAATGCAGAGCAAGTGCACGAAATTCATGCAAGCGAGCGCAGTGGCTTTTCAGCAACAATGTCCAGGTACCAATCTTATGGCTTGTCACTGGAAGCCCTGTACCACGCGCATGGAGTCTGTAGGCGCTGAGCCCTGGGCTCACCGATGTGGCTACGGAGCATGGCAAGTGTCCGGTATTACCACCACCACCACCACCACCATTCATCCTTCTTCGCTGCTGCGGCCTGTTCAGGTAGCCTGGTGAGCTTATGGCGCTCATCCTGCATCGCCCTCTCTCCAATCACTTATGCTGTACCAACTCCCTTAACATTTCGGCGATTTGAACCACGCACGAAAGAGAACGAGAGTCCGCTAACACGCTCCTCACCAATGCAGACAACGGTCAGGATTTTACCTGTAGTGAAACCCACTCGCGACCTCCGCACCCGCCTCATGGCTGCCTCCAGTGGCATGGACGAGGCAGAGGCTAGGCACCTCAATCATTTCTACGATCTACTGGATCGCTGTCTGGCTGTGAACCCCGATAAGAGGATCACGCCCTCGGAGGCTCTGCGTCATCCGTTCTTTCAGGAAAAGATTGGTGCGTCCTCACGGCGATGAATGCGATTGGGGCATTTAGCTAGAGGTGGGTTTTGCATAGCTTCGCGTTGTGGGTTGGTTCAAAATGGAGAGAACACACATTATTATCTTTAGATGCCTCGGGAAGCGAGAAATGTTTGTTGACAATCGGGATTTCTTGGCAGACTTAGAAACGCAGACAGGAACCCGAATACATGTGTTGATTGGTTCCATACTATGGTGTTGTGCTGAAATGTCATGTCTTGGGAAGATGAATGACTATCTCAGCATATCAACTGGCGCGACTTGGATCACACATCTCATGTCAAAGCTGTGAACATGCATTCCCATCTCGGCGACGACGAGTCATCCGGACCGACAAGGTGGACTTTCTATCCTCGTGGTATTCCCCAGTGGAGGTTGTACCACCTGGTCAAATTGGCCGTGGTGCATAACCTGTCCACGGAAACCAACAGCAGGGCTGGAGCAGAGCAACATAGTTCGTCACGCCGGGGTAGTACCGCAGCGGCAAGTCACTTATGCCTACAGGCAAGCTAACGTCAGAGGAGTCTATTGAGTCAGGCTCTCACAACAAAGCTACGATGACACGCGGAATATTGACCACCCTCTCTCTGGTCCGACGGCTACGAGCAGTCAGTCAACTGACTGGCGGCGTTCACCTTCCTTGATTACGGTGCGCCGGCGTGTGGGAGAGGACCTGTGGCGGGCATAAGTGCACGTCGTGTGATTCCGAAATGGATGTGCGCTGCCGCCTGTGGGTAGGCTCACCATCCAGCACATTCGGTTCGCATCGGCAGGTGCCCGATCCAACCATGCCAGCAGGTCCTTCAACGATCGGGCGACAACGTGCAGCTGCCAGGAACGGCCGAGATGAGAGCCAAGATCTGAAAGGCGAGTGAACAGGATGTGCACGTCATGAGGCTGGGAAAGTGTTGATTCCGACTCCGTCATCATCTCTCTTTTTGCCATGGGGTAGGGGGAGTACTATTGAGCCTCGTGGACCATCATCGTCTGCAAAGGGATCCGCCCGGCTGGAACGCAAACAAAGCTGAGACGCCGCAGCGACGATTGGTCACGAGACTGCCAACGTCCGCCCCCCCAGCTCTAAAATCAGCATGTAATCTGCACATTTGCTATTACCAACTACAAAGATCTGGGTCCTTTTTTTCTTCTCTCTTTTGTTCCCCTACCTCCGTCGTCATCAGTCGACGGATCCGTTGGAATCAGCTTATGGGAAAACTATGCCTCTGTCTGCATAAATATGGAGCACGCTATGGACCCGGACCCCATCTCACGGATATCAAGTATAGAAAATGACCAGGTACACACACACAACACGCTCACACACGCTCACACACGCTCACACACACACACACACACCGACCGAAGGAAAACAGCTGGCTAGGTGGTTGGATCGTGTGGAAGTGGCGCGTTGTGTGCCGTTTTACACATGTGTGACCGATTCGAAGATGAGGCGAAAAAGCTGTCGTTACACGGCTCGGGATGGATTTTCGTTGTCTTTGAAAGACACTTGCACACACCATCGGGACACATGGGACGGAAGGACAAGGAAGATATGACGATAGCACCACCACGATGTCTTTGTCGGCCTTTCTCTCGCCAAATGATGCGCAAGAACTCCAGTCTAGCCTCGCGTCACTCCCGCTCCATCAACCTTATCCTGCACCAGCGGCAGGCTGTGATCCCCAGTAGAACCGCAAGCTGCCAGGCGGGATGTTGAGCCGCAGACAATGCTCGGTATGCACCCACGGCATGGTAGTGCAAAATGAAGGGCCTGCGAGGCTGGGGCACACCACAACGGACGAGATGAGACGGGAGGCACAAAGGGGTAGGAAGGGGGTGACACATCACGAGACCTGTCCAACGGCATCTCTTCGCTTCACAGCTCGCCTGCAGCGACCGTACTACCAGCGAACAATCCAGCTCCCCACTTGACGGACATTTGACAACAGCACACCTGCCTTATTGGTCGGCACTACAACGACGGGGGGTCACAGGTGGAGGACGTAGGCATGTGGTAATTGTGGCTGCTTACCAACGTCTGCAACCGTCGAACGAAGCTCGGCGAAGCGCAGCAGTGTCTATGAGTAGGCCATTGCGTTTTTCTTTTTCTTCTTGCCTTCATCCTCTCTCTTTCCTTTTGATTCTACGTATGACCAAGACACGAGGGAGGCAACGGCCCAGGCTAATAATGGCCCGGAACGCGCGCAAGCGGTTAACAACAGTCAGGTGAGAAGTGACGAGAAAGGAGAGCGGGACCTAGTTTTCAAAGTGTCATATTGCTATTGCGGCTTGCGTCCGGTTTGAGACAGAGACATGTGGACGAGGCTGGTTCGTCGGTTCCGTTGTGGCCCTTTCACTTCAGTAGATCTCATTGGTCGCAGGTCGCTAGGGAAGTTATTGAGGGAAAACAAGAGAGGCTGAAAGGTTGCACTTTGTCTCGGGCCCTCTCTACACCGCCGCTGAAGGGAGGGGGAACTGCTGGTGCGTGCAGGGCGCCAAGGAAGTGTTCTTTCTTGGACGCCCAAAAGGTCAATGCGCAAGGAATGCGCATGAAGGAAGGAGGAAAAAGAACGAAAAAAGTCTAAATGCATGACACGGCGTTCAGTTTATCAGCCGCTTGGGAGCAGCGTCGATCGGAGCTGAGCTGGCCTGGTGACATGAAGTCATCCAAGCCTTCTGATACGAAGTGAACGCGTCCGTGTCCACGTCTCTATCTGTGTCTCTGCCTCGGTCTCGTCTCCCAAAGCGTCCGAGGCGGTTTCGCACAGATGAAGTCAAATCACATTTTAGTTTTCTCTCAGACGCCTCATCAATCGGTCGAACTTTTTAGCTGCGCCGGGTAGGGGGACAGTCCCCCGGGTTACCCGTACCCATGGCGCCATTCAGGTGAGCGTTCATCTTTCTTCCCGCGCTATTACTTTACATACTACTACTATAGACTATGTATGCTCACTAACACTATACTCCATCCATACACTCTGGTAAGCGCAGGACGCCTCTCCTTACTAGGTGCAGAACTAGTGTCTGCTGGTTCCAACGCTTCACCACGCTGCCACGCTTGCCAAACCGCTCTAAGCCCATAGCAGCCACCACTACGAGATGGTGGTGTTAACGTTGGCGTGATGGGTCGGCCGCCATCGAGATTCGAGGCCACGGGAGCCGCTTCACTCGGCCCCCTGGCACTTCATTCCCATTTGAACAGAGAGCAGAGAGAGAGAGAGAGAGAGAGAGAAAGAGAGGGCCTGTGCTGAACGCTTTCGTGCTGCTGCTGCTGCTGCTGATCATGATGAAGATAGCGACGGGCCAGCCCACCCACCAAGCTACGCTACTCCATTTCTCCAGCTCGCAGCACGCCGAGCCATTTCTCTTTTTGCTTAGCCTTCCAACCTCCCAGCCAACCAGAGACAAAAAGTGCGGTACTACCATGACCATGAATGCAGCAGAGCGCCAGAAACCCGCTCGGACCACATCTAAAAATCGATGCTAGGATTCGGGATCATCAGAATCCTTCTGTTCTGAGCTCGGAAACGAAACGCTGCCACGGCACGGGTTGCTGGTGATGGGTGGAGCCTTGGTTGAAAGGGTTGGTGGACTAGGATAGATGGATGGGTGGGGTGCCTTCTTTTTTTCTCACGAAGGCGCAGCCATGCAGGAAACCTTTGGGAAGACAATCGAGATTCTCGGGCTCCTACCTCCCCCCACGATCCCGTCCGTCTAGCTTAGTAGAGATGTCACACACTTGACCAGCTCGGTCGTGATGGCATGACCTCTAAATTGCAGAACTGCGTGATGGTGAGAGAAAAACAGCCCCATGTGCATTTCTTTTTTTTTCTTTTCTTCTTCCCTCCTAGGTAGTAGTATTGCCTGCGAACGTCAGCAGTGAATATTGTGAGGTCGCTTAATACGATCTATAAGCCCCCCCCCCCGTTCTTCTGTTCCCTGCCACGCCCAGATGGAGCCCTGGCCTTGACATCATTCCCGCCAACCCGCCCAGCCGCCCTGCGCCTCATCTTGAGAGCTGGAGATCTCACGGGGGGAAAGAGACCCCACTGAGGCGACAAAAAGTCGAGCACGGAGCTCTCCAAGATCTGTTCATAGAAATTGTGCATCAAAACATGGAAGGATCTGCTTGTACCACTATACTCTGGAACAGGGAGATCGGAATTCCAGCTCTTGTTCCGACACATTGGTTGTCGACTGCCGACTCGACGGAAAAACGAAAGCTCTTCCTACAATACTACTACTATTATGGTAAGCAGAACGCCACTGTCTGGTCCTCTGACATGCTGTTCTTTATGCGGCGCCCTACCGCTCACTGCCCTCTGTCTTCTTGATTGGATGGTTCTTGTCGCTTTCGTTGGCGGCAGTGATGATCAGCAAGGAACGCAAGCAAGGGTGGGCAAAGCAATCAACATTATGCGTTGGAAGCATGAATTTTGGAGGGGGCGGGGGAGGATAATCATCCCATCCACTTCAAGGGTCTGTTTCAACCTCAAAAATGCGGAGGACCTTTTATATCGATAACAAAGGACCGAGACGCCTAGAACGGGACCTCTCCCCCGATTCACGCGCATGGTCAGGACATATGGAGTCCCCCCTCCCTCCCAAAAACAAAGAAGAAGAATAAAGAGAAAAAGAGAAGAAAATCTGGGTTCCTCGGAATAATAGAACGTCGTTGTGGTAGTATTGGCAACCTCGAATAGAGTGCCTGGCACCTCGTGTCTACAAAGGTCAAGGCTGAGCAGGGTGGAGCCAGGGTGGCTTGCTGGCCCGTGGGTCTGTCACATATAGTATATAGATCGTTTACTACTATTACTATTACCTTGAATTGTGGAGACATGAAGGGGGGGGGAGTTGAGGAAAGATAGAGAAAAGAAAGAGGACTCTATGTAAGTATGTAGCGCAGTGCAACAAGAGTCCCGTCTGCGACCGGCCTCCCTTGGCAGGAAGAGCCGAGTCTCTGTAGCATGACGCAGCGCGGAAAAAGCCAAGACGGGCACCATTGTAGTGCCATGACTATCACCCAGCGCTGCGGGCCTTCCCTGGGGGAACACACACGGTCAGTGCGCTGTGAGCAAGGGCCCCGCCGGCGGGACAGAGTACCCTTTGCGTCACAGATCGGTGTCATTTCTGCCTTTTTGTGATGCTCTGCTGGGGTCGTCAGCATAGAAGAGAGGAAGCAGAGATCCCCCCTCGAGGCATGGTGGGATGGGACCATCAGACGAAGCTCGCCCGAAATTCTGAGGCGCAATCCTAACCAACCATCACACCTGCCCTGTAGGGACTGTCTGTCTTGTCCTGTCTGGTGGTCATCTGATGATCGTCTCTTTTTTTACATCCCGGGGGGAGGGGGAATTTAAACGAAGAAAATGGCCGTGTGCTGTTGTTAGAGAACAGAGGCCCTGGTCCCAGCTCCGCGACGAACCAAGAGCGGAGGTTTAGGGTTCCGAGTCGTCCGAAGAAAAGTATACCATACTAGTAGTGTCGACGGAAACAGGTGTTGCGATTCTCGTCGCCAACGAACCTTGGTTCTTCGCTGGCTTGAACCCTCGTTCAAATTTGACTTCATTCAGTAGTGATAACGATCCACCTACACGAGAGCCAGCCAACCGCAGCAGGCTTTGGGCTGTCACACGGGAAAAGACAAAGAAATTGTAATAGATCCACCCCCGACTTGTTCGGTTCAAAACAGGCAGTTCGAGTTTAAACCATGGCAAGCTCTCTGGCTCACACTCTATCTCAGGGCCCCCAAGTCGCGAAACAAGTTGCTGCACGATCTTCCTTGTGCGAGGTGTGTGGAAATAGATACAACAATTTGGGGGCCCCGAATCTGTGAAAACCATACTTGGGGCTTCAAAATTGTTGGCGCGATGTGCGCCCCCCCCCCCCCCCCTCCGCTCAGCGCTCCAGATCGTCAAAACCTCATACGTTGAAAAGCTCGAGCTTCCTTACAGAAGCATGATCATCCTTCCTCTTTTTCCTCTTTGCAGCCTGCAAAGCTTCTGCATACAGGTCACGAGGGGGGGGGGGCCGTGAGATTATGCTTTGCGGTCGCGGCATTGGCGCCGTCTGGCCCCTCCAGGTCCAAGACGTCAGCGGCGGTTGTCGTCTCGTCCTCGAAGGGGTGCAACGACGAATCAGATAGGCCAGTTTCAGCCCTTCCAGCCTGCTCCATATGGACCTGGGGCAGCGACCTGCCGCCGCTCCAGCGCGACCACTATACGTATAATTTTGCCACTCGATATTGATCGTCCCCTTCGTCATCATCGCGGAGAAATTATACGTAGTACGTAGCGCACGCACAGTAAGAACTACTACTGTATGCAATATCATCTTTCGAAACCACTTATTGTGACCTGAAGAAATAGGAGTGATTGGCCAGGAGCGATCGGGGAATGATGCGCCCTTTGGAACGTGAAGCTCGTGATTCTGGATCGCCACGAGACCCCACCACAGCTGCACTGGCGGATGAGAAAAGAACACTCCAAAAATATTAATGCAGCCCGAAGATGGTCTCGATGATTCCAGATTGGCGGTTGCAATTTCATTAGTAAATTACAAGGTGGTGTTAGTGGCTTAGCGAATTTAGACTACCACAGCGACTATTGTATGCAAATGAACGGCCTCTGGCGCCCTGAGGGGGTGAGTCGTGTGAGGTTGCAACGAGGTAATTCCGGACGTAGCCTTCTGAAAACGCACGACCCTCCGAGATTGCGACAACCAGTTCAACCCTCCCCCCTGGGGGCCAAATTTTGGTGCAAGAACGCCACAGCAATGTTTGTGGCTGAGAACAGCCCTTCCCCCAAAAACGACACTCATAGTGTGGCTCGACTGCCCTACGAGCTTCATAACTGGAGCGGCGGGTCATTAGCACGGGTGTAGTAATGGACCCGTGGAGGAGGAAAGACCCAGATCCCTAGCTCACAGAATGCTCCTTCCTACCCCAATTGGAAAATAAACAGTGGTTGGGGAAAGAGAGCAAGAAAAAGATGATGGCACTCTTTTCCTCAACACCACCTATCCTGTCAAAATTTCTTTCTTTGGCGAGATCAACCATCACAATAACTCACCATTTTTGACCAGCCACCTGGTTCTTTCTCTGCCATTCGCCCTCCCAAGGAAGATTGGGCTATCATCTCCAGATCTCTGACCTGTTCTCCACATTTGTTCCCACCAGCGGACGAACTTGCAATGCTGGCAATGCTATATGAGGCGGGGATGCAACCCTCGGACAAATTGCTGGATGCGACCCACTCTTCCTCCTCATAGTTCATTGGCCACCCTTACCACACCGTCAGAACCGTGCACCTCTCGTGGCACATCATGAAATAGAAAGGCAACAAGAGTCCTTGCCGAAAAGAGCGAGAGGTGTGGACGGAGAGGGAGGGGGAGACCATCTCGACAACCTGTGTGGACGCAACGACACCGAGTGGCGGCAGCTTAGTGCTGTTTTGTCCTGCAGCCTCCTGCAGGCTCTACTGCAGCGCCAAAGAATCCGCTTCATCCAACTGGACGGTATTCTCTTAGCCATCAGTTTCCTCGATTCATTGACTCACAGGCTTGTCGAATCGACGAGCTCTCCGTTGGACCCACTCACACCCTTTCGCCGTGACACGAGGCGGTCGTGGCGACCAAGACACGGGGTTGGTGCCCTTCCCTCTGTGTGCCGGGGTCCCAGTGAGCAAATAGCCCGTCTAATTAAGATGGGCAGACGCATGATTGATTGGCACACCAGCCAGCCGTGCCAGCGTCACTCGAAACTCCCTCAAGCAGGGGAGGGGGGCCCGCGGCCCTGTTGTGTCCCCACCCATCTTCTTCTTTTCTCGCCTGTCTAGATGTGGGCCCCAGACAGTGCCAGCACCCAACACACACCAAGACAGCCTCAGTTCTCGGTCTTCCCCTGCTTCCTCACCCCACCCTTCTCTTTCGGCATCCTGCGGGACTAGGATACTCCTGGCCCTTCTTGCTCATCACGAGGCTGCTACGCGAGCATTGGCTGCTTTGGCATCTGGCGCTGGTACTGGTCTGGCGACTCTTTAGCCAAACTTCAAGAGTCCCCAATATTGTCTGATTGCGATGAATAAGATTGATTGGCGACAGACTACTCCCAGATGACCCACAGCTGTTTTCCAGAACCAGGCCGTTGGACACTATCCCAAATTCGGCTCCAGAACCTATTGTGTATGGTACAGGATGTTCCGGAAGCATTATGGTGCACAGGCCGTCCTGCGTCTCTCTCAAGCGACAACACCACGAGAACTCCAGCGCGTCGCAGGCAGAAGGACATGGCTACACGTCTCCCATGACCACGCTGTCACGGTCTTCAAAGCCTTAGGGCCCGAGACGCGCGGGATCCCCGGAGAGCAAGAAGCAGAGAGGCCACTTTTGGCCACTTGTCATCACCAGCCGACGACGGTGGCCTGGGCAACTGGCCACGTCTCTGTCGTCTGGCCTTCGCTTTCTGTGTCATAACAATTTCATGTCATAACAAATACCCACCCGTTTGGCATGCCGCTTTGATAGCTGTGTCAGCGGTCTGAGATTTTGGGGCAGAAACAATCATGTCCAACCAATTGTCTCACCGGGGGGGCGAGACCTGGGCTCTGGAGCATTCCCCGAGACCCTCTTTCTCGCCTTGCCTTGCGACAAAAACAGGAGACCATAGGTCATCTTTTGCCCCGCGCGTCATTCTGTTCTAAACAGCACGGCCAGTTAGCGGCTGCAGCAAAAGCTGACCACACGCGGGCCCCAGGTTGCAACAGCAGCATTAGTTTAGTGGTAGGCCAGCATGCCAGGGCGACGACTCACCTTGGGGCTTCGTTGCCAAACCAGACCACTAGCAGGGCGGCAAAGAAGGGCGCATATCAGCTGGTTGTCAAAGAATTAGCCCATTACCCAGTGAGCACAGGCAACCGAGGAGCCCGTCTCAGAGGCCACGAGGCTGCCTCTGCAACAAACCCGGATGCAGCCCAGAGAGTTGCTCTCTGCGATCGCCACCTTCATGCTCGTGGGGCGGGCCTTGGACGAGAGGGAACGAAGGGACCGTCTGGGATACATTCCGTTTTCGTGCACAACACATGAGGAACGGGGGGAGGGGGATCTTGCACTTCTGGATTGTTCCTTACCTAAAGAAGATGACGACGCCAGCACCCTCCCGGGAGGTACTCCTGGTGCTGTTTGTGCCGATCCCCTGGTGTAGGAATTTTCGGCAAAGACACCACACCTCGTGTGCATAGTACTATTCTAAGTCCCCATCATCATGGGTTCACACCCTGACAAGGGGGTGTGGGTCCGAGAGTACCCACCCTGAGCAACATAACAGGCCCCACGCAACACACCCACTCAGCATTCCTGAAGGACTTTCGTTATGTACGGAGCAGGCCAGGTATCCATGCCGCATGCGACATGGGCCACGCACGGCGGCGAGATGTGGTACGTACCTGCTCTGCCAAGTACCATTGTACCATGGTTGCTGGCTGTCTGTTCTTGTGTTCTTGCCATGCTCCCCCCCCCCCCAAGAAGCTGGACCAGATATGTATCAGCGAGGCCCTTCATCTTCAAGTCTTTACGTCCAGCTTTCTCTTGTACGATCCATCTGGACGACTTCCTCGCGCCACCTCATCAACATCCACCTCTCACTGCAAGCAGTTCTCTCTCTCAAACACACATCGATTTACAGAACTGTCTGCTTCTTTCTTCATTGGACTTGATCTTTCTCCTCTGCACAGGATTGTCGCCTACCGTGGTTCGCAAGTCGCCTCTACGGACCTTCCATTGGAAACTGGACATACGTTACAGGTTATCGCCAACACCCTCTCCAAGTTTTGGTCTCCACAGGTTTTTCTCTCCTTCCAGGACCTTAGGATCTATCTCTCTATATGGTTCCATCCCCTTGGATCTGATTTCCTTTTTCTTCTGTTGAGTTTGGTCTTGTCCGAACCGACCCGTTCACGACCCACAGGGAAAAGGAAACCATTTCGGACCTCCGACCCGTCAACATGAGCTATGCACAACCTACCTACTTTCAAGCATACACTCCCCCCCAAACTCCGGCCCCTTACTACCAGCCGCCCCAGGTAGCTGCCGCTCCGCTGCAGCCAGGACCATATCAACAGCAACCTTTGACACCTCCTGCATCACCACCACCACCAACAACAACAACAACACGTTTTAGGCCTGCCGTTCCTGAGGACAGACTGGGTTGTGTCGTGGGTGGAAGGTTCCGTCTGGAAGAGGTTCTCGGAAGTGGTGCCTATGGTGTCGTCTACACAGCTACTGATGTTATCACAAATACTCAGTATGCTGTGAAGACGCTTCCCAACTTCAACCCCGATGGCTCCCCCTTGGACCAGCGACAGATTGCCTTTAAGACCAGGGAAATTCGCCTACACTGGATGGCCTCTTCCCACCCCAACGTCGTCTCCATGTTGAAGATCATCGACGACTATGATTGCACCTACGTCATTCTGGAGTACTGTCCTGAGGGCGACCTGTTCTACAACATCACGGACTGTGAACGCTACATTGGCGACGATGTCCTGGCCAAGCGGGTTTTCCTTCAACTCCTGGATGCTGTAGACCATTGCCATAACCTTGAGATTTACCACCGGGACCTGAAACCTGAGAATATCCTCGTGACGGACCAGGGAAACACAGTTAAGCTTGCAGACTTCGGGCTTGCAACGTCTTCAAGAGTATCTGAAGATTACGGTTGTGGTTCGACATTTTACATGTCGCCAGGTAAGCTCACTCGAAGCAGGCCAAAAAGCGAACGACTGCGACAGTCACCTGCAAACTCGGCCCGAACTCACCACCATCACACCATCACTACTATTCTCCCCCTACCCAAAGCCAACTAACATCTCACCTCGTTGTACAGAATGCCTAGATCTCTCAGGCCAAAGGGATTCATACTACTGCGCCCCCAATGATGTATGGAGCCTTGGAGTTATCCTGGTGAACCTCACTTGCGGAAGGAACCCGTGGAAGCAAGCCTCGTCCGAGGATTCGACCTACCGGGAGTACACACGCAATCCAGAGTTTCTAAAGACCATCCTCCCAGTATCTGATGAGCTGAACGACATCTTGGGTACTATCTTTACCCGCGATCCGGCCAAGAGGACCACGCTGCCCATCCTGCGACAAGCCATCCTGAGTTGCTCCCAATTCACCAGGCCACCACCATCTCTGTCATCTCATCAACAACCCTCGGCGCAGTTTGTTCCTCAGGACGCCATCCGGGAGGATGCTGTATGCGAAATGGAGGACTTCCCTGCCTCTCCTGCTTCCGATTCTTCCTCTGATGCGTCCTCTGATTCTGCCTCGGATGTGTACTCGGACTCGTCATCTGATGCGTCCGAAGATGATGTCGGTAGCACTTGGGATCTGTCAGCACGCCCCTCCCAACAGTCGAGCTTGGATGGCATGGACTACGATGACCGGGCTGTATGCAATAACAGCCCTGCCATCCCGCCCCAGCCTGTGCCATCTCAACCATCCGGCCCACTTGATCACCTCCAGCATTTCCCACAACCGGTTCCTGTTCAACAACATTGGCCAGTTCCTCAACCCATAGGTCCCATCACACTAGGCCACTGCGCACCACCACCGGTGGTTGGGTTGCCACAGCAGATCTGGGGTATGGTGGGAGGCATGATGAGGCCGTTCCTCCAGGCATCCCACTCCACAGCCATCCATTACCAGGTGTCTTTGCACTCTCAAGTCTCCATACCGGTTCCTGGTCTAGGTTTCTAGGTGCCAAAACTACTTCACTTCGCCTTGTATCAGTGTTTTGCTCGACTGGTACAGAAGAGTTGCCTCGTTGCAGCGGTATACATATACCATAACGGATTTAATTTTTTCTTGGTCGACTGAGGAAGTATTTGAACAAAATGATATAAAAAGGCGTGGCTTGGGGGAATCGAGTGTACAAAGCTTTCATTCTCTGTTTTGGGTCGGCTCAAGAATTCATTTTGGGGTTTTTTCCTTTTTTTTTTCTTTCAATCTTGTTCAGCATGGAGTTTCAGGATCTCTCGTCGGGAGGAGTTAGGAAAGGTCGGTTAAGGGAGTCTGCCGGCACAGGAACCATCACCAACAGAACTGGAGGCCATTTGAACTACGAATTTGTTCCGGCGCAAAGGATATGACCAGGATTCAGTCAGCTATTATGGACCGCGGGACTGGAGGCTGTCCCCCGCTTCCACCCCTCATGGAGGTACATTTTGATCCCAAAACTTGGCCGAGTTTTCAAAAAAAAAAAAAAAAAAAAAAAAAAAAAAAACCGATCGATGCAATTTCCAAGGGAGGACAATAGAGAAAGGGCTTATGGTGTGTCAAGGACAAAGACAGCTTTGTGCCTGGATTTTTTTTGGGGAGATACCACTTTCGTTTTGCGCACAGCCGAGAGCTGCATTTGGGAATTTGGGTGTGCAGGACAAAACCTTTCAAGAATTGATGAGCTATGGAATTTCGATGACGGGATTAGACATACACCGGTTAATTGGAAACTGGCAAGGCTGCTCACGCAGATTACCTATCGAATATACGTTTCACCGAACATACCCTCAAATGCCCCAGTAAATGTGGCTTTGATGATATACATTGAGAAAGTTGGAAGGCTCGAGGACCTGAACCTTGAGGTAGAAAAAGAAAAAATACATAATACACCTAACCTACCCACTGAACAATTTGTATGCTGCACGATTGAGACCTCTGGATGACACGTTAGTGTCAGTGGACTTGTGTGAAATGCGATGGTTTCGTCTAGATCATGGCCTGCCTACCTACCCCAATACCTTTCTACATATCTCAAAGATGGACGAAGGAACCGCGTTCACCCTGTCAGACCGCCAGACTGCTATCATGGCCTCTACCTCCCAATCGAAATTTCAACAATCATTGCACAGAGCTCTCTCTGCCCGTCTCACCACACACCCTCCCGGGTCCTCGGGACTCGCCAATTCGGACTCGCCAGCACTTCCTTTCATTATTTTTTTTTTATTTACTTTTTTTTGGCCTTGCAGTAGAAAAGAGTAAATCATGTCTTATTACGTCTCCTGATTTTACTTACCCAATGAAAATGCCAATCACCTACGTACACAGGCGTCATGCTCGTCCATCTCTATCTGCCGGGGCGACCAACAAAAAGTTGCACTTTTTTCTCTAAAACAACCAGCGATCCGCCCGTACCCTGCACATCGCACACCCTCACAACATGTACGCCAAACTTCCTTCCCCGAAAGAGGACAAGTCACCAGAGCGATTTATTTCAGCTGTGGCCAGTCCCGTGGGAGGGCCACACACCATCTTTCCGGACCGTTGATGTGCAGGAATGTGAAGAGAGAAAGAAAAATGGGCAGGGCGATCTCTGGGAGGGTGTGTGGCGGGTTTGATTGGCTGGAGACTTTTCGCCCTGCTTTTTTCTAGAGTCACATCGAGGGAAACGCTGGGCGTTGCTAGCGGGGTGGGAAGAAAAGGGTAAGCGAGTGAGTGGATTTTGGTGGTGGTGGGCTTGCTCTTTTGGCTGGCTGTCATACAGTGGTATTAGTGATCGCCCCCTATGCGCACACGGGCGCTCCCCCCCCCCCCCTTCTTCTCCTCCAGGGTAGACCAATAATATCAAAAGGCCATTGGCTCAGATGATTGTCTGGTAGGGCAGGAAAAGGGAGGCTGGCCTGTGGGGGTGAAAATTGTGTCATTATTTTATCACTACTGCCACCCTCTGGCGAGGGTTTTCTGCATTTCCTATTTGCTCGGGCATAGAAACAGGAGAAGAAAAAAAAGGGGGGGCTTTGTTTGTGCAGACCTGCAACCCAAGCTGCATGATGATTACAGGAAACGTGCATGAGAAGAGGAGCGCTTCTTTCGGCAAGAGTGGAAAATGAATGAGAAGTGAAGGGGGAAGATGTGAGTGGAAACCTCTATTCTGAGGTTAGGATTTCACTAATACGGCAAACAGAATAACAGATAACATTTGTGAGGCAAGCTAATTGCTATAGTAACATTCTAGGGAACAAGCGAGCCTCAGCCCGACTGGGGAACTAGCACGGCTAGCTGTTAGTGCCCGTGGGAGGAAAAGAAATAGCGTCCATGTGAATGAATTCACAACGACATGTCATCTGAAAGTGCAGTTTTGTCACACCAGACTCAAGCATATTCTCGTGACTATTCAGCCATAGACCGAGAGCTTGGCATATACACATGCATTTTGATTCACTCATGTATCAGCATCACCAGACAATAATGCTCATTTTCAATCTATGTATACTTTCTTTTCTCTCTCAGCTCACCCACTCATCAGACATCATCATGTTGGCCACCCGGTCCACAGCCTACCTGCCTTTTGAATGTGTTTCTGAACAACCACAAGATTGCCTCTACTATAGCATCGTGCGACGACTGCGGCATGTATCGGCAAGACCTATTGACTCAACAAGTAGGTTGCATTACAGCCCGAAGTCAACGGTGACCCACCTTTGCACAAGTTGTGTCAATAACCAACCAAACCACCCAAGGCGGACACGAGGAGAAGGGGGGGGAAAAGCAAGTTGGGTTCCGCGACATGCAGCCGCCACCGACGTCTCATGCAACACTTGCATGCATGCACCTTTTCTTTTTTTTTTTTTCTCTTCCTCTTCTACTAGTAAACCACGCGCATGGCTGTCGCATGGACCGAGGGGCTGAAAGAAAAAAAAAAGAAAGAAAGAAAAAAAAAAAAAGAGAGACCAATAATCTAATTCATTCCCTCCGACGTTGCTTTCTTGGTCTCGAGGTCGGGTATACTTTTTCTCGCCCTTTCTGCTCTTCCCACCCTCTTTCCCTTCCTCTGTCTCACCCCGGTGTCAGCGATAGACCACCATCGGACCACTATAGTATTCTTTCTCCATGCATGAAGTGCAAGCCACACAACCAGACTTTTCGGCCTGCACAAGACGCCTAGTGGGTGGTCGTACACACTGGGTAGTGAGACCCTCCCAGAAGCACTCTTTAATTTTCTTGTTTCTTTTTGTCGCCACCTCCCCCAAGGTGGGAGGAGACCTGTATCCCCCCTTCTGCATTGCTATCTTACGGTTTTGCTGGTTCGCGGCCCGCTTAGCTTACCCCCAGGGGAACTCAGGCCGCTAGACAACGATGCACTCTAGGATGCATGTCGTGGTCCGCAAGACTGCATGGACTGCTTCAGGCGAATCGGACCAATGCCTGGCTCTTCTCCAAGACCTTGGCCTTTTCTTCTGTGAGCTGTCGGACGACCCCTCGGAAAAGATGTCTTGAGCACTACTATGTTAGTATCATAAAACAACTGGGGCCTGGAGGATCATCTGAGAGGGTTCCAGAGGAAATTAATGGCTGGAACTGGTGCGCTCTCTCCTCTCTACCCAAAAGCCCCGCTTGACGTGCTCCCAGTGGAGCAGAGCCAGACGAGGTGGAGCCCCCAAACCTGCACGGCGCTGGATTGAGAAATGGATGCATTGCCTTTTTTTTCCACCTCCGACTTTAAGAGAGAAAGGGAGAGCGGGAGGGGGGGGGGGGCTTGTAGCCACTGGTGGGAGGGCCCCTCCAAGATAGTAGGGGTGCCGCAACAGCCAACGCCACGGGTTCACTGAGGAGAGGTGAGGGGGGGGGGGGCTGTGATCTTTTTTGCAGTGGCGGTGAGTGGTGAAAGGTGACGCCCCTCAGGTCAACGTTCCCAGAGAAGCGCCCAGACGCTTCGTTGTGACTTGTCAACAGCGCCAGAAGTCGTGGCCAAAGGTAGGCCCACATCTCTGAAGGAAGGAAAAGGGTCCTACTATGTACGGCACCTGCAGAGGCATGGAGTCTGCCTAGATGCGACGCCCATGGTGGATGTGCGTTGCTGTGGAGTTTGCTGGGCCAGGCGAGTCGATATTAAGCTTACTGTGCAGTGACTGTGTGGGCTGCTGCTTGTCTCGGGGGTTGCTTTCGTTTGCTCGTGTACGTTGTGGGTTGGGTGAAGTGCTGCTTTTGGTGTGTGGGAATTGTTCCACTTTCTTGGGCACCTGTTGCCCGACCTGACACGAGGGCCCCCGGCCCATGACCCTTTTTTTTGGGGGGGGAGGGGGGGGAGTTGTAATTGTTTTGTGCCTCACCGTCCAGACTTGGGCAGACTTGAGCCACTGTCTAGGATCCTGGGGCGGGCCTCTTCTCGTGCGTGGCGTGTACTTTTCTGCACGAGGCAAAGATGCCTCGTTATGCAAATTGTGACACCAGTTGAACGTTTGGAGCCACAAGATCCTATTCCGAAGGATGGAGACAGGCATGGCACTTCCTAGCTGTGCACCGAAAAGGCCAGCCCGTCGGAGGGCCCGGTAAGCGGCGGTTACTTTTGACAACAGGCCCGGACTCCGCAGCGTCCCTCGGACCATCCCGCCAACTGCGCGCCGGGATTTGCCTTTCTCCAGGATCCGCTTGGTGTTTAGTCGAGCCCGCCAACGACACCGCCGGGGCTCTCATTTAGCAGCCGGGGTCGGTGTGCCGGCCTCTAGCCTCTGTGTCTAAAGTACTGTTTCCTCGGCCAAGCAGCTTGGTAGGGATCCAGCTGAGGCTGAGCCTGGTGTTCAAGCCACTGGTGGTTTTTTTTTATTTTTTATTTTTTTGTTATTTGGCGTCGAGATGGTGGTTGTCATGGTTAGGAAGAGACTTGAGCAAAAGTTCTAGCTCGTCAGGGTTCTCGTCATGGCTCTCGGCGTGGCTGATGGTTGCTGGCCTGATATGGCCCGGACAAGGCAAGGCTGCGAGGGACCAGCTGGTTATTGATCAGCTGCGCAGGGTCAGGTGGTCTGCTAATTGGCTTGGGTGACGCAAGGCCGACGCGTTGACTGTATGGAAATACACGTCAAGGGTTCTCGGGTTCCCTGTTAGAGACATGAGCTGAGATGAGGTTTTCACTGCTGTATGATGGCCCGTGATGGCGATTGACCCTTATTTCTGGATGATGTAGTTGTTCTCGTCATTGCCAATTTATGATCTTGGTATGATCATGTAGCCGTGGTATAGTGAGCCAGTAGATCAGAACTAAAGGCTTTATTGATCACGACCACTTAGCGTTTTCATCTACGCGGTACTTAGTGATGACTACTTACGCGGATCTTGATTACTTCATTGTTCTCTCTCCTTCTAAATCAGCAAGACCGCTAGTCAAATAACGGCGGGCAAGCATCATGCTTTAAATCGAGGCTGAACTCTAAAGAGCTTCATATTGTGAGCGCATGAAACTTGTGGACTGATGAGTAGCGTGAGGCGTTCGTTGGCCAGCAATGTTACTCAACATGCTAAGTTTCTGCCCGATCAAAATGGATTGAAAGATACATCTAAAGGACCAAAACGTGAGCCAGTCTTGATACGTGTTGTTTCTTTCCTTCCGTCATGCCAGAACATGGCGCGATAATCACGGTTGTATGATCGCGGGATTCATCGTCAGTCATGTGAAGAAAAGCTGACGTGTCTTCGCTTGGATTTTGGTAAGACTCGCTTCAGTTGATGATGAATAAACACGCGGTCTTCTTCATCCGGCATCTACCAACGTCTAGTTCTCGTGATAGTGACACTTTCATGCCTGGTCAGAGGATCGGGCGTCATAAAGCGCGCTTGTCCTTCGTCCGTGTGATGGTAATCATCATAAAAATCATAATGCTCATTTCACAGCTGATGAAGACTGAGATTACGATTTATGGAAAGACTGTGACTCATTGATTGACGGGCGCTGTCAGTACTCGATGGCCCAAAGAAGAAACTTGAACGTTTGGAGGCGTGATGAAACTATGATAACCAATCTATGATTTTCCAAAGCCGGGTACTGATGCTAACAATTCATGGAAAGGAGCCCCTTGAATTCGATAGGCGAAGAAGCAGAATAATTCAGCTGCGACAGAAATCCTCTGTGCTCAAAGAAGGCTCTCAGACAGATCGAACAGGTAAAAAAGTCGTCAGCCTGTCAGTGTGCGCGTTCATATTTACCCTGGAGAAAATAGACGAGGATGAGTTCAAGGCCGGGTCCTTTTGGAGAAGTGCCTGGTCGGGTCACTCAACAGCGTTTGAATTACACTGAAGGCCGTCTGCGTATTGTAATCAACAGACATCCAGATCCCCAAGGAGCGAGAGACAATCGGCCAACAGAACAATGAGGTCTATGAAACGAATATATTACAAGGGTGTCTCAGCTATGCTCAAATGAAATAATTACACTGTGGATGGCAATCATCATGCTGGTCATATCGCCGTCGAAAAGGACGGCAAGGCGGTTGCCTCCAAGAGGATTGACCAAACTTGCTGTAGAACTGACGCCCGAAACGAAAGAGGACTATCGCCAACCTTCAGCAGAGGCACACCAGCTGTCGGGTGAGAGCAAACATGTATGACGAGCAGAACTTCGTTGTCTTTCTCGTAAGAGCAAAAGGGAACCGACGAGCAGAACTTTATCTTCAAAATCAAAAGCCAATACCCAAGAGTCTCTTGTACACGCGCACAACGCATATATATTTCTGAAGAGGGGTGCCCCGTAGGTACTGTGCGAAAATGCGACGGAAACCTCCATGTCGTACAAATATGTGAAAATGTAAGGGTACGGCCGGTGCAACAGCACTGATGGTTAATTTTGCGACAAGATCCTGCAAGGCTGGCTCAGCCTTGTTTGTACAGACTAGACAGAATAAGGACGTTGACAGCCAGCAAGGGGCTGCAATGGCTGATTGATTAGCTCATGACAGCATTCGGGGAGGACTTGTAGGAGACTAAAGGAAGAAAGATCTTCGTGGTCTTAGACAAGTCGCATGAGTGTGTTGCTTCAAACAGGGGCACCATTAAATTCTTCGTAATGAGCGTGGATAAATGAGAGTGGGAAAAGACCCGACCTTTCTCCGGTCTAGCCATTCTCCGTCTGCGGACTGTAGGCCGCATGAAACAATTGAGGAGAAGAAAAGAATTTGGAATTATGATACGAGAGACGGAGAGAAGAGGGTAGTTATACCTGCGCCGTTCTACTGTAACTAGCCCTCAGTCTGGTACTTATAGTAGTCTTGACGTCTACTATTTCTGGGGTTGACGGCGACTTTATGCACATGCATATCAAAAACGTGGCGGCGGACAAGATGGGCTGTTGTTAGTGTCCTCCTTAAAAGCCGGTCATAACCAATGTCATGTTCTGACATGTCGGAATAGAAATGTAAATATCGCTTAAAAAGGTTGAAAAATTGTCCAAATCACTGGAATAAAGGCTTATTGATAGCTTCGACATGGCGAAGATATTGTTGATCAGATTAGCAAATGATCATTGTTGTTTTTTTCTGTGAACCTTGATGGGCTTGCGAGTTCAAATATTTGGGTTCCCAGAAGTTCTCTCAAACCTTACTACGCAACAATGTGATTAGCTTATTTGTGTTTTGTAAGTCAGAGCAGCTATACTTCTTTGGACACTGCTAATTTAGGGCTTTGCCATTGATGGCCTCCGTCGCACGACCTACTTACTCGATAATTACGAACAGGACGGGTTGCTTGTCTAGGTGATCATGATACCAGAGCCGTATATATAAGCATCTCGTCCATCAACACTAGCCGGATGAGTGAATTATATTTTATGAGACGGAGGGATATCCTAATCGTCTCGTCATGTAGATCATGTGTATAGCCTCACACACAATACGCTGCCCGTGGCATACAGGCTCGATCATGACGATAATGTGACTATCCCAGAAGGTTTCTTGGTCTGACTTCTTTACATCCTCCTCTATTCTCACATCAAAAAGAAGATCTGGTAGTAACCAATATAATTCAGTGCTACTACAGTTTTGACAGTAATAGGCTGTTTGTTGATGATTATCGGAAGTCATAAATACGTATACACGCAGACAAGCCATGATAGCATTGGCCGACAATGGCGGGCTATACAAGAAACAAACACTTATACATGAATTATCAGCAGAGCCTGGATTTACGGAGACCCTATGTGGTCCAATACCGTAATTACAGCAATTTGACTTGAGTTTTTAGGGGTCCTAGATCATGTAATCACTGGCAACCCAACCACTATAGCCGCCACCAAGATAGGTGAGTCATTGATGCTGGCAGACGCTAAAGCACATTAGGCTTATAATAACTCGAGACTTCTCAGATGATTTTAGGATAATTTCCTTTGTTTCGCAGGTACCTTGTTGTCCTTCTGAACCCTACTTTCGAGGGTGCTCATGCCTGGCTTTCGTTAGTCATAGAACCGGCGTCGCACAGATACTAGTTAACATGAAAAGACTTTGACGCTGCTGATAGGGAGATTTGGCATGATATTATCTCTGGTTGAGAACATAAGTACCGGAGTCCAAGGTGTTGAAAGAAAGTCTAGCTATAGCAGTGATGGTGCGTCCACGATCAGCACGGTCTGCTGCTCCCTCAGAGCCGTTTGCAACCAAAGGCTGAAATCACACGTAAGGCTTTGTGCTTCCACGGCCTCTGACGCTTCCTCTGTTGTGAGGACAGCCGACGCCCAACATTGACTGCGTCTGACGCGTCATGAATACGCTTGTAGGCCCGCGTAAGCCGGTGAGAAATGTCATGTGCAGGCATTGGTGCCTGGAAACAATGGGCCAGAGGGGGCGAGAACTCGACCGACTTGATGTCAAGCTCTGCAGCTTTTCTCAAGCCATACTCAGCCTCCTCGACCTTACCAATACGAGGATATGGCCTGGCGACATGAATCAGAGACTTTAGTTGAGGTCGACAACGGTATAGTCGCCCATGGCTCAGTATAGATACCCTCACACCCCCCCTTCTCGGACCAAGGAACACTCCTCCTGTGTGACAAATATCGACACCGGTCTTTGTAGCTGGATGCTAAGGCAGGGAGTACTCTTGGATGAGATGGGCCGCAGATGTGAACGTCTAATGCCTTGGGAAGAAATGCTGGACCAGTCGGGTTGGGGCTAAAGGGAGAGAGGGAGAGATGGTGAGGGGGGACAAGAACTCGGCTTGCAAGACCAAAGCTGATGCGTCTGGTTCAAAAACATGAAGAAGAGAAGTAAACTCTCACATGTACACAGATACGACGTGAGGTGGACCATGCCTGCTCGAAATGAAGGCTTTTTCTAGCTTCACGGTCTTAAAAACCAGCAATGATGATGACAGTAAGAGAAAGGGAACCGTATCTTCTTCAAAAATGTTGTCCTTGCGCTTCTCAAGATTCACCTTCTCTCTTCCTTCCATCCTTGCCTTGTCCATAGCCATCTTGGCTTGGCCGTCCTCATCGTGCTCGCCGTCCTGTGTACACGCTCGACACGAAGGTTCTAGGAGAGATGACCTTGGTAGGGGGTAAAGGGGCCAACGCTACGCAAGGTGACGCCTCGATAGTCTGAAGGAGACAACCAGGAGCGAATGTGCTGAGGGTTTGAAGCTCGAATAAAATATAACGACACCTAGAACAGGGGAGGAAGAGGAAGGTTGGGGCGGGGTGTGTAAATTCCTTCGTCACCTTCATGTAGCATCTGGCTTTATCGTTGCAAGGTCTGAGGCACCAACCTTAGATCCGACTCTTCTTGAGTTCACTGTCGCATCTCAATGGCCCCAGCGTCATGGATAGTCATCTCTGGGTTCGAAATATCTGGAAAACTTGAATAAGACTGACTTGAATATGTGAAGTGCTATAGTTGCTTTAAGCGGCGCCTGAGAAAAGCATGCGTGGAAAGATGAGTGAGCTGTGGTATATTCTTGCTGCACTCTGCATCGTCTGAGATCGTGTTGCTGCGAGGGCAGGTCCTGTCTCGGGGGCAGTCGAGAATGGGCTTGTGGGAATATTGTTCTTCGTTGTTGGAAGCACTCCCTCACTTGCTGGTCTCTTGCAAAACATTGACCACTTAGCCTGCTTGCATTAGCGGAGTGATTGATGCCTTTCACTCCATCGTAGCAGGGGAAGACCGTCGCGTACGACGTGTCGCTAAATCATCGTCATGTTGAGCATGTGCCTGTCCAATCTTTAGTATGCCTGATCTTTGAGAATTGTTGCAGATAGTAATCTTACCCATTACCATGTCAGTAGTACGTTGACCCGTGAGTGGACAGCGGTCTGAAAAGACCCAGATATTGCGCTTGACAATGGTCGGTAAAGCTGCTCTGAGGAATGATGAAGTTAATATGGGAGGCTGCGCACATAGCCTTGAAGCAGGAACATGAGGGACGAGTAGAATTGGAAAGGTAGCGAGGGCAGCACCGTATTGTGGGCGGGAGCGATCAGAGCCTGGGCCGTCGCAGTGGGCTAGAGGATGGTCATCCAAGAAAGAAAGACGGATGGGTGCGTGGCGTGCTGGAATGGCACAAGGAGTGTGGACACCGAAGAGTTGAAGGTGGGATTTGTTTGGCAGCAGTATCATCTATAGAGCACAGCTATAGCTCAGGGTAACACATGGCTGTCATACCCTTTTTTCATTAATGTTTGGGGAAGGACTTACCAGCAGCCGATGCTCGTCCCGTGTGTGGCCTTCATTCACGCCGCACGTCCCTTGATGCTGCGAATGACGACCTTGGTTCCGTCCAAGTGCCAGCCAACGCCCTCTTGCTGAACCAATTGCGAGAAAGCAGATCCCGTGGCCAGCTCGAGGAAGTCCAGGTCGACAGAAAGGTAAGCACGACCGAAGCATTTGAGAGTGTGCCGGCGCATAGTGTCCTCGCAGAACTCGAGAAACTTGGCCTTGTGGCCGTCGATACTCTTCCGCAGACGGCCAAAGGCGATGTAGTCGTCGCGCGCCAGGGCGCGGAGGATGCTGTCAATCTTGGGATCATGAAGCCTACAGCGGCTGCGAATGGCCATGGCCTCAGCCAGGTCTCCACGCCGGCATGCGGCGTCTAAGACTAGGTAGCCGGTGACCTCGCGCAGTTCGAAGGTGGTCAGGGGATGACGGGGGTGTATAGTGCGCAGAAGATGAAGGATAGCAGGGTGGTAACTCTCGGTATGCTTGACGAGAATGGCAGTGCGAACGCAGAAAAGGTATGCCTGGGTCGAGAAGTCGTCAATCCGGTTGGAGGCGACGATGCCTTCACGCAGCTTGCGAAGGGCCATCAAGACGGTGGATAGGTCCTTATTGGAGGTCTGCAAGAGCAAAGGGGTTGGGAAGGAAGCCGTGGTGGAGGTACTGGCCGTGGAGACTGAGGCAGTAGATACTGCAGAGTCTGTTCCTGATGAACTACCCCGCTCCTTGGTGATGGAAAGGGCAGCGAACTTGTCGAGGAGGGCAGCCCGATCGCTGGCGTCGGAGCAGAAGCTCAGGTAACGCTCAACAATCTTGGTATAGTAGTGCTCCTGGACCTTGTAATCGAGCAACCTGAGGCGGTGCCGTCAGCTGCTGCAGCATATCGGGTAATCTCGAAGGAGGACCGCCTGATGGAATTGCATTACCTGGTCTCGCCTTTGGAGGGGAGTCCCATGGACTCGAGGGGATCCATATCAACAGGCTTGAGCCGTTGCCATCGAGCTGATGGGCCTCTTGGGGGCATCTTGAGATGTTACAGATCCCACGAAGGTGGCTGCTGTGCTGGTGTTTTTCTCTCTCTCTTGTAATTACGGGGTCCTCATGGATTGTGTGTGTATGCGTGTGTGTTTGTGCGCGGTTGTTGTTGTTGTTGTCGTCGTTGTGGAACACTGTAAAGCGAACGTAGAGGCCGCTACAGCGTAAGACATGGGAGCTCTGCCAGGGGTCCTAAGCCCTTCCCTGCACAGAAGGCGGATACCCCCGTCCTGTTAGTAACTGTAGCGTATGTTATAGTTAGTGCGGTCTGTGACCACTGAAAGCCCTGCAGGACATACTGGATCCAAGGGCTAAGTACCCTGCTGCCTAAGCAGAATTACAGTAGATCCCATCGACAGCAACATATAATTAACGTCCAAGACACTGACCAAGTGCCAAGAGAGGGAGGAGCACCCTTCCAAACATGGACCAATGGACTATCTGACTTTCACGCTCTTATACGATACGCCAGGCAGCAAAATGCTTTGGTAAATTCGTAGGTTCATTACTACTGAATCCAGGTCGTCTGTTGTGCTGCTGTACCGCTCGATGCGGGGAAAGACAAGCAATTCCAGGGCCTTACCACCTTACCTCGGTCCAATTCTGAACGTCCTTAAAGGTATATAGATGGTCACTCCTAGCCAGCCATCTCGGCCGGAAAAAGAAAAAGAAGTTCCCATGCGGATCCTCCAGTAATTGACTGACTTCTCTTGCTGTGTTTACTTGCCAGTGTTATCAAGATGGCCGCCTCTCGCATCTCCCAGATCGCCTCCCACCTGAAGCATCCCCTGCTCGCCGGGCAAGTCGCCATCATCACCGGCTCAGGCCAGGGCATAGGCGCCGAGGCTGCTCGTCTCTTCGCCAGCGAGGGCGCCCAGGTGATAGTCAGCGATATCGACGAAGCCAAGGCGCGCGCCGTAGCCGATGAAATCAACAGCAGCAGCAGCGCAACAGGCGGCGGGCGGGCGCTCGCCGTGGCAGGAGACATGCTGGACCAGGCGTACATCGACCGGCTGGTCCAGGAGGCGGCAGCGTTTGGAGGCGGCAAGATCCATATCATCGTGAACAACGCCGGCTACACGTACGACGGGGTGATCCACAAGATGACGGACGCGCAGTGGGACACCATCATGGACCTGCACACCAAGGCCCCCTTCCGGCTGGTGCGGGCGGCCGCACCCTACTTCCGCGTGCGCGACGGCGAACCCCGCTGCGTGGTCAACATCTCGAGCACGTCGGGCGTGCACGGCAACGCGGGGCAGGCCAACTACGCCGCGGCCAAGGCGGCCGTGACAGGGCTGACCAAAACCATTGCTAAGGAGTGGGGGCCCAACTTTGGTGTGAGGGCTAATACCGTCGCGTTTGGGCATATCCTGACGAGGCTCACGCAGGCCAAGGAGGAGGGCGCCTTTGTCACAGGGCCCGGTGGCGAGAAGATCGCGCTGGGCATCCCGAAGGCACAGCAGGCACAAAGGGACCAGCACCTGGACATCCCACTGAGGAGGCCTGGCACGGCGTCTGAGGCGGCCTCCGCTGTGCTGGCTGTCTGTAGCCCCATGTTCAGTTATGTGTCAGGACAGACCATTATGGTGACGGGCGGGAGGAATATGTAATTTAACTGGCTTGTCTGGATTATTTCTCAGGATACAATTCACAGGGCATGTTCGATCCTGTTGCAATCTTCCCCTCTTCTCTCCCAAGCTGTACCCTGCCTGCCCTACCAGTATGCTGTTTTGTGTGCCCTTGTGGCATGATGCCTTTTGCATTCCGAGAATTATGTTTCGAGAATTATTACGAATCAGCGTTGCACGGCTCCCTAACTCCCAGAATCCTGCCCAACTCCAAAGATGTGCCGACCAAGTCAGATGACTGACGGGGGGTGCATCCACCCTCCTTGTGTAAGTGTATGCGCGTCGGTGACGCGAATGCGAACCTAGTCTCTTCCCCTCAGACTTTAGCCCACAGCGACAACACGCCCTTGGCATACTCCAGTATCTCCTCGGTTCCCAGTTTCGAATCTCCGTAGACGCGATCGACGAAAGTGATGGGAACTTCTCCGATCGTGTAGCCCATGGCCTTGGCCGTCACGGCCAGCGCCATCTGCATGCTGAACCCGCGGACGTCGGTGGTCTCAAACAGCTTCTCCAGTACGGGACGCTTGTACAGACGGAAGCTGCCCGTCAGGTCGCTGACGCCGGGGCGCAGCACAGTGTCGGCAAAGATGTTGGCGCCCTTGCTCGTGAACTTGCGCTTCAGGTCCCAGCCGAAGACGCCGCCGCCGGCCGCGTAGCGAGTGCCCGTAATGATGTCGTAGTCCTGCGACCGCTGCAGCGCAATCATCTGCGGGATGAACTTGGGGTGATGGCTGAAGTCGGCGTCCATGATGATGATGCGGTTGCCCTTGGCGAATTGCAGGCCGTGCACGTACGCGGTGCCCAGGCCCAGCTTTCCGGTGCGCGTCTTCAGGATCACGTGTGGGCTGTATGCTTTGACGAGCTCGTTCGCAACGTCTTGCGTGCCGTCGGGGGAGCCGTCGTCGACGATGACGAGTTCCCAGTCGATATCACTGCAAAGAAGGGGGGGGGGGAAAGAGTGGTCAGTTTTGCGTAATCAGGAGCTCATCAAAGATAACTCGACTGCCAGAAAAGGGATGACTTTATTCTGGTCATATGCACATACTTCTCCTTGAAGGTGCGTGCCAGCAGCCAGGTGATGATGGGCAGGTTCTGGCGCTCGTTGAAGGTGGGCAGGATCACCGAGTAGGTCTCCTTGACCTCTGACTTCTTGGCCGCCATTGCGACAGGATATTATGGAGTCGTCGTCGTTGTGGAGGAAGCAGTAGTAAATTGGCGGAAGACTGGTGTAGAAAAAGGCTCGATGCTCTAGTGAATGGCCGAGAAAAAGGAGTGTCGAGAAGAGGAATATGTCAATGGCAGGCCAAGGGAGCTTGTGATGGGCAATGGAAAGATAGATGCTCGTGTCCTTTGGCTAACATGTGGTCATTGGTAGTCTGCAGGGAGCTCTAATCCCTGCCAGGGACTACCCTAGAGAGCCTAGACCCTCCAGCTGATGACTAAAGCCTGCCCCTGAACTTTTGCCCCCAGCCCCAAACAACAACCCCATTTATCCTCAAAATAATTTCCTGAAGAAGTCTCATGAAATCATCAGAACCATTGGGAAAAATTCCAGCCTAGAAGGGAATTGCATAAGAAAAAAAAAACCTTTTAGAAAGGTAATCATTGTTATTTATTTAATACATTATTCTATCATGAGCTTCTTTCTCCCTCTCATATACCTTGAGGCTGCTGCCCGTCACCGAAGCTAAACATAAGCACTTGGATCTCGATGCAGTCTATTTCCTTTCTTGAAGAAGCTACAAACAGATACGGATGTATGTATGAGCAGATAATTGAAAATAACGTGTTACTAGATGCTATGGATACAAAGTCTACCTTCTCAAAGCATGCCCCTCGCCAGAGTACGCTGTGTCACCGGTATCCTTCCTCCTGAAACTCCCCCATTGCCTCAGGCTCGAAAAGCTCATCACCGACGATATGGTTCGTCCTTCGACGCTGCCCTGGCTGAAGGAGCCGTGCACGACGGCATGATCATCCAGGATCCCATAGATCCGCTTGACAGCCTTCCACGTCTCGACGCCGGTCACGTAGAGCACGGTGAAGCCCACAACCAGCGACCATTCCCAGGTGATGGGCGCATGCTTGAAGACATTTGTGTTGAGCTGAGGCACGTTGACAGTCACAAACACCGACATGGCGCCAGCGAACACCGCCCAGAAGAGGAACCTATTGTCGTACATGTCACGCAAGAACTGCACGATGCCTGCCTTCTCAGGGTACAGGACGAACATGGACCGACGGAGGTGCTTGAACTCCCACGCCGAGATGAGAATCAGCCACGTCAGCTCCGCAAAGACCGCCGCCCGCGCGCGAAAGACAGGCCTGCACGCTTCAGAAAAGGCGCGGTTGCAATCCAAGCCCAAGTTCCCGCTGTTGGCACCGTAGATGACGATGATGAAGGTCGCGAGACAGCAGGCCCCCATCAGCGTGCCGTAGACGATCATGTCCACGATCACCTGCCAGGTAAAGATTCCCTTGGAATGCGGTGGCTTGCGCATGATGTCGGACGAGGCCTTCTCGCGGCCGAGCCCAAACGCCGGGCAGGACGACGTGATCATATTGATCCAGAGGATGGACAGCGGGCTGACGGGAAACACGGACAGCCCAGACGCGTCCTTGAACGCCAGGCCAACAATCAGGAGCACCACCTCCCCCACATTCGAGGCAAGTAGGTGCAGGATGAACTTCTGAATATTGTCAAACATCCTGCGCCCCTCTCTGATGGCCGCAACGATCGAGTTGAACTTGTCGTCTGTGAGCACAATCTTGGCTGCCGACTTGGCCACGTCCGAGCCACTGCCCATGGCGATACCGACGTCTGCGTTGGAAAGGCTTGGTGCGTCGTTCACACCGTCGCCCGTCATGGCTGCAAAGGCTCTGCGCCTTCTCAATGCCTCTATCATTCGCGTCTTGGTATCCGGGGCGCAGCGCGCGATCACCAGCGGCAGCTCGTCCAGAGCATCAACCTCTGCATCAGAAAGCTTGTCGAAGTCTGTCGCCTTGAAGACGATTGAATTGGCCACTGCAGGCGGCAGGATCGACAAGTTCCGGGGAATGATGCCCACCTCTTTAGCAATCGCCGTAGCTGTGGCAGGATGATCGCCGGTCAGCATGTGGACTTTGATTCCAGCACTGGCGCACTCTGCAAGGGCGGGCGTGGTCTCTCTTCTCGGTGGGTCATAGATACCAGCGAGACCCAGGAGAGTCAACTCGCTCTCGATTTGGCTGCGCATCGTATCATCATTCGCCTGCGTGTTGGCAGTGATGGACTTGAAGCGCCCATCCCACGCCCGGCTTGCGATAGCAAGAACCCTGAGTCCCTGGGAGGCAAGACTGTCCATCTGCGCCAGGACCTTATCTTTCAGGTCATCAGTCAAAGGGCATTGGTCTTCGCCAACTCCAACGGTAGAGCAGAGATCCAGGACCCGCTCTACAGCGCCTTTGGTATAGACTAGGCTGTGGGAAGAGCTGACGCCGAAAGGATTCCCCTCGGGGGCGTTGTATATGACTGACATGCGCTTAATACTGCTGTCGAAGGGGAACTCTGCCGCCTGGCTCCAACCAGCGGATTCAAGCTGCTTCTTCCGTACCTCGAAGCGGTGCGAGAACACCTGCAAAGCGATCTCTGTCGGCTCACCTGTTGTGTGCCATTGGGATTGATGCTCATCGTAGCGGACGGTCGCCAGATTGCAGAGGGAGGCAGCAAGGAGAAATGCATGTAGGGCTGGGTTTGGCTCGGCCTCTGCCTCCTCGGCGTCCTCCGTCTTTCGCGAACCAGCCTTCTCGTCTGGAACGTCGAACTTGAGCGCAGGAGCACTTCTTTCATGATCAAAGTCTCTGTCGCCACCTGGCGGCTTGGGGGCTTCAAGAGGGACTTTGCGATATGTGACCCGCCCAACTGTTGGGTTATTAGGATCCTCCGAGTCTCGAACAGAGTACACGTTCGAGAGGGGGAGCCACACTTTGCGCACAATCATCGCCCCCTGCGTGAGAGTTCCCGTCTTATCAGAGCAGATGTTTGTGACGCCACCTAGGGCTTCCAACGCACTGAGGTCTCTATTACAAAAACTGTGTGAGCGTGGTAGAGGTCTAGAAGACGGGGGGAGACAAGTGGCCACTTACCTGACTACTACATTAGACTTGGTCATCACGGTGGTTGCCACCACCATGGTGAGAGTCAGGACTGCGACCAGGCTTTCAGGGATAATAGCTATTCCAAGGGATATGGCGTATATGATGACTTCGTTGGACATTGTGAAGCGATTCACGCCAAATACAATGACTGCCAAGATCAGAGCGAAGAGGAACAGGAGATAGGCAAGCTGGCTTAGGCGCTTTTGAAGTGGTGTTCCTTCAGTAAGGCCAAGGAACTTGCCGAAGAAGTCATAGATTCGCCTGCTGGCACCTTTGACGGGGGCGGCTCTTCCATACTTCCTCCAGTTCATGGACCTGCCTGGCTTCCTTCGTTTCTTGGTGGTGGATGCAGCGATTTTGCCTACCTCGGTCTTCATGCCAGTGGCAATCACAACTCCCCTGCCACGACCTTTTTGAACGCAAGTTGTCGCATACGCAATGTTGATTCGATCGCCGATACCGACTTCTTCTTCTGATGTGGCAGGTTTTTCCGTGCCGGGCACGAAAATCTCATTTTCAGTCATCTTCTCCACGGGAGCGGCCTCGCCAGTAAGACTTTGTTCGTCGCAAGAAAGGTTCATGACCTCGAACATTCTCAAGTCGGCTGGAACTGTGTCGCCCATCTTGAGGATGACTACGTCTCCCGGGACCACTTCAGGACTGCGCAGTGTTAGTCAGCGAAATAGACTGTGTGCTTGGTCAAGTGCGTCCAGCAGTAAGTGACCAAGCCTTGCCGACCAGAGGGACTGTCGAGTACGTACTTTGCGACAACCTTTAACTTTCCATCTCGGAGGACAGTTGCAGAGGGAGATGATAGAGCTCGGAGCGCGTCCATTTTCTTCTCAGCCCGGTATTCCTGGACAAATCCGATCGAGACATTGAGGCAGATGACGAAGGCCAGGACACCGCCTTCGACCCAGTCTTGGATGGCAAAGCTCACAATAGTAGCAACGATGAGAACCTGCAGATGCTTGTGGTGAGAACAGAACCCATGATTTGTCTTCTAAATGTGGACCCCGAAGGTAGATGAAGAATCCAAGGGGAGAGGGGACGACGTACCAATATCATGGCGTTGCACAACTGTTTGATGAAGATGGTGTGCCAGGCTATAGCGCCTTCGACGATGAGCTCATTGCGAGGATATTCCTGCTGTCTGTGAGCAACCTGTGTTGAGCTGAGGCCATGATCGATGCTGGTTTCTAGAGCGGCTATCACTTCTGCTGCGGGAAGAAGGAACGGGTGCCGGGCAAATTGGCCAGACATTGTGCAATCACTTGATGACCATAGAAGATGACAAGAGTAAGCTTGCAATCTTTGGCATGGATAATAATAGAAGGTCTGTCAGCTAAAGGCGTAGCTGTTGGACGAAGAAATCGAGATGGCGTGTTGTGTGACCTCTAGATGCCTTCTTCGAATTGTAAATAAGCTTCAACCTATCATTCCATGGCAAGCGTCCGCATGAGAGGTAGCGACTTATATATCTGAATACTGAAATGTACACAGAAGACCAACACGCAGAAAGCTCTGAGGAGTCCTTGATATCCTGGCCAAGAAGAAATCGACACGAGCGATGACGGTAAGCTCCACGGCGCCGAGGCGAGGCCAAGACGTCCATTGTCTTTTTGATGAGCCGCCATGTCCAACTTTGGAAGTATCTCGCCTGCTAAACCTTATCGCCTGGCGTGTTCGAGATCCCGAGAGGCTTGGTATTCTTACCAACTGTCTTCACCCAGGCTGCTATATAGATGGTGATACGGTACACCAAAGTCAGGTGATCCATCGGCGCCGTTCTTGGCGGGAGGCAAAGAGCCGTGGCGGGACTCGGCGCGAGCCTTGGCGGCACCATCGTCTCCGATAACATTCCGAGCCAGTCCATTCGCGAGGCTGGGCAAGATGACGAGTTTTTGAAAACCAAACGTTGGAAACTGAGTTGTTGGCACATCTTGGACATCATCGATGCCATGTGAAGACGTGCTTGTGGTAGCGTGCCCGTTCAGCTGAACGCAGACCACAGCAATCAAAACCACCAATGGAATACTTGAGGGGCTGCATGGGTCAGGAATAAGTGTTGTTTGTGGAGTGATTCCCCGCAAAAAAAGTGCCGAGACCCTTAAAACGTTTCCGGGGAAGAGAGCCTGCAAGTTTTACATAGATCGTCTCGTTTCCTTGACATTCGGCCAAGCCTTCCACCGTGAAAGATCTTCCACATATGGTCCCTATATTTCTGCGCACGCCTCCATTTTGTATATCTGAGCGAGCAGCGTGGTTTCGCATGCCAGGCATTCAATGGACCACGGCATGAGACGATTCAGGTCGCGGTGGGCTTAGCTCTCTGCCCAGGTGCCGAACCCCGCCCTTCTGCATGAGACCCTGCAGGAGGGACACTTCTACTGTACAGTACATGCCCTGAGATAGAGTTCCATTGTAGTCACGAATGTGTAAAGCAAGATTGGTAGGTTCCCTGCTGCAAATTGTGTACATACCTATAGCGACATGATTTCCTCTTCACACAAGCCCGGTGTCTGGTCTCTTTTACATGTATGGATTAGTAGTCAGCGGCTACAGGCAGAGAGGTGGGAGAAGTCTAAGAACTGATGGACGAAGAGAGAATGTCCATTCCCAAAGCCGGACATCTTCGCATTTAGAGGAAGAGGTAGCCACGATCAGGGCTAAATCGAGCTTTAGACTGCTTGTCTTATAACGTCACGTCGATGACCGTGAGTAGGCTGTGCGAAACTTCTAGACTATGGTAGTGGTGGGTCTCTTGCGGATCTTAGTGACCATTTAGATCTGGAACTCCCATTGGAAGTGGGGATGAAGTATCTGAACAAATTCATGAGGCATGGCAGGCACTGTGTCAAGAGGTCTCAATTGAAAGTTGTAAATTTGTAGCTGACGATGTATGTGTGAAATTGGTGTTGTGTTCGTTCGGAATTCCGAGGGATGCCATGAGCAATGTGGCGTGGCAGGCTGTATGGCAGGGCGGATATACAGCAGGTCACATACGTCTGGACTTCTTTTTCCACCTTTCCCTTAGGTCGTTAACTTCTTGTTGTCACCTATAGTATTTGTAACTCTCTTGTTATTTATAGATTACTAAGGAGGTTATGCTAAGAAGAAGAAGAGTGAAGATCCCACGGAGGCGATGACCTAATGAGTGACGGACTCTGGGCGACGGCGACAGATTTTGTTTTTCCTTTCTTCCCTCAATTTCCTTTTCTTTTACGCCAATTGGATTTGTCATAACACCATATCATCCATATAGTATTCAGGAAAGAGTACTGTCAAAGGATGTAATGTGACCCAATTTGCTCAGGATAACTTGCATGGTACCTGTGCAGACGAGCTTATGCGGCCTTTGTGTGCTTATAAGTAATGGTTACGCGCAGCAGGGCATAGCGCTAGCCCTATCTGAGGCTCATTGCCCAACGTTAGGAACATGGTTATCACATTTACATTAGACGTAGCCGTCTGCTTCTGGGCCCTGTGGTGTTGCTGTTGTTGTGACTCTGTTATTTCAAATCTTGTACATTGATGTTTTCCCTCTCAGCGAAACTGTTGTCTGCCGTCTCAGCACCCCGCACTCTCTGCCGCCTCGCCATGGTGACAACGTTCAGCCGTAGGCCGCCGCAGAGACCAGCATCAGGACGGTCTATGAGCTCGCCTCTCCATTGACACCTGGCTAGAGAACCTCGTCGTTTGCTCCAATGATATCAGTCTGACTACATAAGCCGGCCCGCCAGCGAGTCTATTGACCAGACCCAGACCAATGCCACCACGTACGATGCTGTGACGGCCAGTGCCGCCGATTTCATCGCCACAGGTGAGAGCGGCATGAACTTTGACGCCGATGGCGCACTCCTTGTGATCACTGTCGTTTGAAGAACTGGGGGAGTCATGAGTTGCTGTGAGGTGATGCATAAGGATTTGGTTGGGGGGGGGAGGGGCAGCAATTGCCAATGAATATGTTTTTGGTGTCAAGATTGCGCTGAATCTCTCTTCTTGTCACACATTTCACTAGCGAGGAGGCCCCCCCCTCCCCCATTACTACACACGCGTGTGTTTTTTTGCGGCTGTGTCGAATTTGCACCATCTACAGGCTCTCGTATGAAAAGGTGGTTCTTGTTTACAGCGACTCCTCAGCGACTCTTTTTTGACATCTGCTATTAAAACTCTTCAAAACTTGTCACGCTGAGCGGAGATGGGGGCGAGACAAGATGGAGAAGGCCAGGCGGAGCCTGCAGTTCGATGTATTATGTACATTTTGGAGGTACTCGGCGAGAGTTTGTTGTTGGCAGCACGTGTTTCTGTACACCCTTGGCCCGTGATCGCCTGGTGCTAGTCCCCATCGTACAGTATATATACATGTCATATTAGTACCACAGTATCTTGGTGGTACAGGAATACACAGTCTTCCGTCGCCAGGAACCGCCCCAACAGAGACACACCGAAAGTAGGTGTGCAAGTGCTAGTCAGTACACACACCCTCTCATTCCTGCGCAACCAGGACCAGCCTTCCAACCCAAGACCCAGCCAGTTACCACGGTACCAGTTTAACCTCACTCACCTTTCCCTTCAATCCCCCCCCCCCCCCCAGCCCAGCTTCGGCCGTTTGCATTTCTCCTTTTCCAACCCTTCGCTCGCCTCTCAGCTCTTCTGCTCTGCTCGTCCTCCACCACCCATCCAACCTCAATCAACCCCCTTCATCTCCATCTCCGTCTCCAAGCAGCAGCAGCTCCAATCGCTTGCCACCCTGTACTGCGTCCTGCACATCAACTGCAATCCGATCTCGCTCTCTGCCCGTTTCGCATCTAGCTCTCTCGGGCATTACGTCATCGCCATGGCCGACAGCTCAGCTCCCGTCAACAGCGCAGGTGAGTTTGCTTCACCTGTGACAGCAATATCGCGGCCAACAATGGCAGACTGGCCTCTTGCTTCCGACAGTGGCTTCAATTGAGCTCAAGCGAGCTCGTGTGGTCTTTGCGCCGCACCTGTCGGCTGTTCACCGCCACCACTAGCGATGCGCGCAATCCGCTTCCCATCTGACCGCCACCGCTGACGTGCCATTGACAACGTGCAGCTCCGGCTAACCCGCTCGCTGCCGCATCGACCGGCCCCAATGCTGTGCCTAAGAATCCTTTCGCCGAGGCGCGGAGCGGCAAGCCCTCCGAGTCGGCTCCCTCGAGCGTCACCCAGCCACTGTCAGTGACCCCAGACGTTCACAAGCCGGCCGACACGCCAGCTGCGACTGCCAATGGCGACGCTGCGGCTGTTGAAAAGAACGGCACCGGCGTTAACGGCGTCGGAGGCAAGATTGAGCCCTTGGTGCCCGAGGAAAACAAACAGGCGAGTGCGCCTGCTCCTGAGGCTGCCGCCGAGAAGCCGGCATCCTCGACCCTGGCAGCGCCTTCCGCAGAAGCCTCAGCCGACCCACCTGTTATGACTGGGGCGCTTCCAGAGACGTCTGCGCCCAAACCCAGCGAGTCGACCCAGCACGACGGTGTGAGCGATGTACCGGCCACGGCTGCGGCCCCACAGCAAGCCGGTCTCACACAGACTGATGGTATTCGGGATGACCCAGCTATATCTACTCTGTCTACCGATGCTAAGCCTTTGTCGGACACTGCGCCTCCAGCGGTGAACGGGGAGGAGAAGAAGAGTGCCGGAATCGAGGACGCGGCACCTGCGAGCCTCTTGACTGGGGCTGCTACCTCGACAGACGTTGCGCCTGGTGGAGTTTCAGCGGAGACGCCAGAGAACAAGACAGAGAGCAAGGACGTCGAGAAGAATAATGTTGCCCCTCCAGTAGTCTCGGCTGCTACCATCCCAGCTGCGACACCAGCCGCCGCGGAGGACGTTGAGATGAAGGATGCCACTCCTGCCACGGCTTCGGAGCTGCCTGCTAAGCCGTCCACGGCCGACACCACCTCCACGCCGCTGGCCCCAGCTTCCACCCTACATGCGGAGAAACCAGCCGAGCCTGCACCGACCCCGGTTACAGGCGCGGAGGACAAAGCCCCCGCTCCCCTTGCTGGAACGAGCACCACTGCTGCCCCTGCTTCTGACACAGCAACTTCTGCGGGCACCTCGTCTGCGACTGGAGGTGGCATTCCCGCATCCCGAAAGCGCAAGGCCGAGGCAGATTCTGAGGAGCCTGCGGGGGCTGATGAGCCCACTGCCAAGAAGCGCAAAGGTCCGTTTGCCAAGGCTGTCGCCAAGGCTAAAGGCGTGGTTGATGATATGAAGGAGAAGCGCAAGAACAAGAAGAAGGAGCCAGCTCCCGTGGGACGTACCGAGCGGAAGACGCGGAGCCAAGGCCGTGTGGACTAGGTGAGCGGTTGAGTTTCCGGGTAATTTTTCTCGAACGACGGGTCAGCAAAGCGGCCCTGTTCTTCTGACAGGATGATCTGTGAACAGATCAAGGACAAAACAAAGCAACACCAGGCGCAAGTTCTTTCTTTCTTTTTTTCTTCTTTTCCTTCTTTCTTTCTTCCTCATTCTCGCTCGGTTTGGGAATGATTTTCTACGTTCAAGTTTGGGTTGTGGGCCGGAAAAGGTGTTGGTGCTTCTGTGCCACACGGCGTTATGCGGTCTGAATGGCTTCCTCGAAACGTCGCAGTGAATATTCCGCTTTGGAAAACACTGGAATAGGCCTCGTATTTTGACAGACCTTTTGTATATACGATCTAAAAGGCAAGAAATCAAAGGCTGCTGCTTTCCTCTCTTCCTGATCCATACAGATGCTGATGCCCTTGTGACATGGTGTTGATAGTGACTGCTTTTCAACAGTGCCTCCTGCTAAAGACTTCGAGAAATATTGATGTCTAATTTGCTATCGCATCCTTGTCCACACAAACAGACGCCATTCCAAGTCGCTAGCCCAGCTTTCCACTCTTCTTTGACATTCAGGCAGAGTGAACTGGAGCCGGGGGTATTAAATCAAAGGCTGAAGCTGACCCAACGTTCTGGGACCTGGCGCTGGCGCCGGGGTTTCTTGTCCCTTGACAGATGCGTCCGTTGCGGGTCGGGCCCAGCGGGCCGGGTCCAGACTAGAAAAAGGCGAGCGAGTGATGGCAAGGCAAAAAAAAAAAAAAACCCCAAAAAAAAGGTGAGAGGCGGACAAGATTTTGGAAGAACTCTTTATTTTGTAATGTGTCTGCGTGCATGTACTTGTGCACCACGGCTCAATATGCAAACTTATATCATTTTAACTTACTTTGCCTGGCTGCCCAGGTGGTCCGGGTCTACCTCAAGAATTCAATGTGCCATCTAGGCTTGAAATACAAGTTTTATTCATTAGGGGTTCGGTGCTGTTCGGATAATTCACGTAGTTGTCGAACTCAGATCGAAAATAGTGTGTTAAATCAAGCAAAATACGATGTGGTGATATGAAGGACCTGATGGATTTCATTGCAAAGTCGTCTCCAAAATCAAACAATTTGGAGATCCTGATTTGGGCCTCATGTACTTATAGAGCAAGATACGGCAGGTATTTCACAAAGTAGAAAGCAGATATGTTGAACACACTATCAACACAATGAGACTTCATCATGCTGTGGACATGCAGCTATTCTTGCTAAATACTTACACCTGATCCCCGCCAATATAGTCCTGAGACTAAGATGATAGTGGCTGAGGCCAAACTCAGCACAGCACCACAACGTAACGTTGTCCATAGAGCAGCTGTAATGTGCTGTCTGTTTTGATCGTCTGCTCAGCGGTGAGAATAGGTGGATGACAGCTTACAAAGGGGTCTCTAGTGGTAGCAGGTGCGAGAAACAGTAAGAATAGGAAGAGCTAGCACTTAGTCCTTGTCGGCGAACAAGTAATCATCAGGTGGGTGGGTGTATATGTGTAATCAGTAACGATGGGCAATGTGGCAGTGATTCTTGGCTCGATTCCGTGGTAATTAAGATTAGGTTTCCTGTTGAATATTTTCGCCTTACGAGAGGAAGATAAAAAGAAAAACACGAAATTCGAAAAGTGATGAAAATCTTGTGTTTGAATGTTAGATTCTGTACCTGACCTGAGTAAGTAGATAGATCTACGCGCTACTGGTGTGGTACATTCCATGCAAGGGACAGATCTTGCGCGTCACTCTTAGTCGAAAAGAAGGTTTAGCAGATCGAATCGCGAACCGATTTTGACACAGCCACGCTCACCCATCCACCATTCTGCCGTGCTGCCATGCTGCTGGGGAGCCGTGTTCCGACAAGATTCTTTCCCTCCGCAGTGGGTCATCCTGGGGCACAGGTCAGCATTATCTGGAGGAAACGTTTCGTCCAGGAAGCTCGAAACAAGACGTGATGATGATCTTGGCCAGTATGTAAGTCAGTCTAGGGGAAGAGGATACGAGAAGTGGTGCAGCCATGCTAAGAGACTAGAGTGCTGCTGGGCTCTTTTTTCTTTTCAAAAATAGCAACTGACTACGCTTGTAGTGGCCTTTGACACCAATCAGGGCCATGGCGGAAGGAGGATGGACTGCTGGTCTGGCCGTGTTAGGGCCCCAAACAGGGTCCCCTGGAATTGACCCCACCACTTCCCACCTCGTGCCGTGACCCTGTGAGGTCATCGGGGGGCCTTAGGACCCGTGCTACAGTGATGATACCTTGTTATTTTGTGGCAGCGGGGCAGGTCAATCTCAAGGGCATGAGGACGTTGAGATCATTATTCATTCTCAGGAGATCAGTACGGCATTATCTAGAGAGAGAGAGACACAGGAAAAAGAAGAAAAACAGAACATGGACTGAGAAAGATAAAGAGAGAACTACTACACAAGTGCATAACCTTATTTCATCAAAGACTAGTCGTCCATCTTTTTCTTAAAGTGGAGTCTTCAAACGAGGCTGTGCTTGCCAACCTTGTAGTTGGCCCTGCTGGCTGCAGAGGGGCTGACGCCCATCATGGTCTCGTCTAGTAATCAGTAGTTTCTTTCCCTGTTGCGCAAAAAGAAACCCAAGGGTCTCTCAGCCTGTAGGGAAAATGGCGTCTGATGTTGGTGGTAGAGGCGCTACTGGGGTGGTGCATGTGCCTTCCTCTCTCTCCGGAGATCTCCATTTTAGTTCATCCCTTGCCTGCGTGTCGTGTTTGCATGGCTGACTTGCCCGCAAAGACGAGGAAAATTTGCATTTATTCACTCACTCGAGCATGAAACATTAACTAACACAAAAGGAAAAAGAAGAAAAAAGTTTCCCACATGGATTGTGTGGGCCTTCACCCGCCCCCCCCCCTTCCCTAAACAGTGCACCCTGGCCATTTAACCTTGTCAGTTCTCCGTCCGATCTGCTTGTCTATTGTCGTCATTGTATTGTCCAAGTCATCCTTTCACCCCTACCTGGGACTCTTGTTTGCATTTCCCTTCTTCCTTTGATCACTTCCCGTCCACCGACTTTGCCGACTCTCCTCTCGTTCATCCTGACCACGATCGAGGACGCCACGACTCGAATAATCCCCGCCTCAATCCGCTCGTTCTGATACCGATACGAGCAGACCTTGTCCTGGGTAAATCTCACCCGTCAGAAGCAAGAGGAATCAAGGACCGGCCGCGGCCACCTTCTTTTCTCCTTTCGCTGCCCGTGCGACCACCGGCCACTCAACCCGCGACACGGCCAGTCTCTCGGGGCAGACCGCGCTTCCTGGCCCCAGCTTCAAGAGAGGATATCTTTGGCCCGACGATCCAGACACCGACCGCCCTTGAGGTGTGCATCGCCATACAAGGTCTTTGAACTCCTCGACGTGGGACGGCCTGATAAACACATTTCCTCTCAAGTCTTCCTCACCCTTCCCACCTTGGTAATCACCACTACCACCACCATCACCAGCCACGAGGTCGTGTTGCACAAAGGCTATTTTGGATTGATTGGGTTCAACGAGCCTGCTGCCCTTGAGGGCACTAAACCGACCTTTCACCATGGACTCCATATCGAAGACGATATCGGCGATTTATCCCAGGAATAGCGACGCCGGCACGACTCTACTCGATCTTCTGCAGGATCCCTTCAAGAGCGAGGTGCGCCTGCCCCTCCATGACTATGACAAACAGGACCAAGGGGCTTTACGTGTAGACTGACGTTCTTTCTCCTCAACTCACAGGTTCAATCCGCCTCCATCTTGGCCTCCTTGGCCTCGTCTCTCGGCGTCACAGTTGCTGTCGTCCTTCTGTTCTCCTTCTTCCGTCCCTACCACACCGTTGTCTACGCACCGAAGCTTAAACATGCCGATGAGTCCAAGGCACCACCACCACTTGGCAAGGGGCCCTTTGCTTGGGTCAAGCCCTTGTGGGCGACCAACGAGAAGGAGCTGATCCGACTTGCTGGATTGGATGCTGCTGTGTTCATGCGCTTCAGCGAGATGTGTCGTAACATGTTCACAGTCATGGCAATCGCCGCTTGTGCCATCCTGATCCCCGTCAACTGGACACTCTCCATCATGACCACCAATGTGAACTGGGCCATCCGGCTCACGCCCCAGAATGCGTGGAACAATGCCCAGTGGGCAACCGTGGTGTGCGCCTGGATCTACAACATTACAGTGCTGGGAGGTCTGTGGTGGAATTACAGAAAGCTCTTGCACTTACGTCGCGCGTATTTCGAGAGTCCAGAATACCAGTCTAGCCTGCATGCGAGGACGCTGATGGTAAGTGGTTCTTGGGGTTAGAGACGAACCAATGGCGAGTCTCAAGTGCTGATTCAAAATTTTCTAGCTCTATGACATACCCAAGAAATTATGCTCCGATGAGGGTATCGCCAGGATGATCGACGTTATCGCGCCGAGCTCCTCGTTTTCTAGAACTGCGATTGCTCGAGACGTGAAGGACCTTCCCGATCTTGTTGCTGAGCATGACAGGGTGGTTCGCAAGCTGGAGAAGGTCCTGGCCAGGTACCTCAGGGATCCTCACAATATTCCCGCCGCGAGGCCAACCTGCCTGCCTTCCAAAAAGGACCGGGCCTACGCGACCTACCCCAAGGGCCAGAAGCTCGACGCTATCGAATATTTGACGCAACGGATCAAGACGCTCGAGTTCGATATCAAGGAAGCTAGGGGCAGCGTGGACAGAAGGAACACCAAACCGTTTGGATTCGCTTCCTACGCGGACATAAGCGAGACCCATGCCATAGCCTACATGGGCAGGAAAAAGAAGCCCGAGGGCGCCACTATGAAGCTGGCTCCGCGACCAAGCGACATTATCTGGGACAACATGTCCCTCTCACCAGCAACCCGGTGGCGGAAGAGGCTTATCATCAACCTCTGGATCGTGTTGCTGACGCTCGTGTGGATCGCGCCCAACGCCATGATTGCGATTTTCCTGGTCAGCTTCAGCAATCTCGGGCTTCTCTGGAAGGGTTTCCAGACGTCTCTGGACGCACAGCCGATCTTGTGGGCTATCATCCAGGGTATTGCTTCGCCAGCGATCACATCCGCCATTTATATCCTGCTTCCGATCATTTTCCGACGGCTGTCCATCAGGAGTGGCGACAAGACCAAGTCTGGTCGGGAGCGGCATGTCATTGCAAAGCTCTACAGCTTCTTTATCTTCAACAACCTGGTGGTTTTCTCCCTTTTCAGTGGACTATGGACGTTTGTCGCGGCCGTCGTTCAATCCACCAACTCGGGCAAAGATGCGTGGAGCGCGATCGTGGCACAGAACTTTGGAAGCTCCATCATGGTTGCCCTGTGCTCCGTGTCTCCGTACTGGATCACCTATCTGTTGCAGCGACAGCTCAGCACGGCCGTTGACCTGGCACAGGTCTGGCAGCTGCTTGTGGCCCTGTTCAAGCGGAAGCTGGGTTCTCCAACCCCCCGTGAGATGATTGAGCTCAGCGCCCCGCAACCCTTCGACTATGCCAGCCACTACAACTACGCCCTCTTCTACAGCACCGTGGCCCTCTGTTATGGAACTATCCAACCCCTTGTGCTGCCAGCGGTGGCACTTTTCTTCATCATCGACTGCGTGCTGAAGAAATACCTGCTGATGTACGTTTTTATTACCAAGAACGAAAGCGGGGGCATGTCATGGCGTGTCCTGGTCAACCGTATGCTCTTTGCCCTCTTCTTTTCCAACCTGGTCGTGTTCCTGGTGGTCTTCGAGAGGGGTTGGGGAACCTACATCCAGGTCTATGCGATCGCGCCGCTGCCATTTATCGTTATCGGTTTCAAGGTCTTCTTCGCCAAGACCTTCGACGACAAGATTCACTACTATAGCACGCGCTTTGTTCCTCACGGTCCGCAGGCCGAGGTTGGTATTGCACATAAGGAGAATCTGAGGAGCGATCGCCTTGCTGCCAAGTTTGGACACCCAGTCCTGTATAGGCCGCTCATCACGCCCATGGTGCATGCCAAGGCGCAGAACATCCTTGCCAGTGTATACCGAGGTCGGCTTAGCGATGGCCGGGAAGCCGGTTCGGGAGACGGTACAAGTGTGTCTGGATACAGCGATACGTACGCGCTCGATCCTATGAATTCGGGCCGACCGGGCAAGGCTGCCGGGAGCGGCCTTTCTGGGTTTGAAATTGTGCCTGAGGGACGGCTCGATTTCGAATACTACAAGAATCGCCAAGAATTCGCCGACGAGCTCGGCACGGGCATGGACATTTACAGACCAGGGACACCGTCAAGCAACTGGGCCGGATCGGACACGGAGTCGAGGCCATCCACACCTGTGGGCGGCATGTTGCACAATACACACAAGGGCGGGTACGCACCTGCGGGCGGCGATGTCGGACACGGTTCCCCATTTGCACCTCCTAACAGGACTGCTTCCCCTCGTGCATACGGCTCTCCTACGACAGAGTATCCTTCACGCACGCGATCGCCTTACGGCCTCGTGTCGGCGAGCGAGTCGACCTCGAACCTCGTGCGCTCGGCCGCGCCCATGCCTGGGCCTTATGGGGATTCTCATGGCAACTCGGAGCCATCTGTCGCAGATGGCCGGACGCCAGGTCAGTTTGGCGGACTCGGAGGTGGCGTAGGTGGTTATGGGAACCTACCCCAGAACGAGCCTGACTATGACGTGGACCCAATGAGTTATAACTACTTCAGAGGAGGCACAGGAAGAAGAAATAATAGTGGCGTGTAGGGGGGGTCTGCGGATCTGTACGACAATGGCCCCTACACGATGACAGTACTGGTCAGACCTCGGATGGCATACGACAAGAGACTACAGCACCAACCTGTCTGTAGCTCGCCTCTCAATGATTGAATGTACTTAGAACATGCATCGCCTGGCAAGGCTCTGGCGTAATGGATCATGATATGAAAGAATATCTTGAGAATCGGGGGCCGTGGGCATCCTGGCTGGGATTATGGATGGATAAACAATCCGGCTCTGTGAGCCCAGAAAAGGGGGAAATTTAATAGACCAACGTGACCCATGATCAACCTTCATGTACGTGCAATTATTCTTCGAATGCTTTGTCCACTTGAAGCCTTGTATGTTTATGTAGTACCCACGTACATTATTGTCTGGGAGAGAGAGAGAGAGTTGACGTGGTTCCAAATTGTTGTCACCCTCTTGTTATTGGTTATGGATCGTCCAAGCTGGCTTAACATATTGTATGTTCCCTCGTTGATGTATCAACTCTTCTGGGTATTCTCGGTAATCAAATTACGTCTCACTAGACATTGCTCCCACCACCGGCCCATCCAGGCGCAGTCGGCGAATCACCATACGCAGCCGGTCCGTCTCCTTCCAACTCACAAACCGGCGTGGCCACAACCTTCCTCACCACTTCTGTAGGATGCATCTTCTCTTTAATCCCCTCCTTCCTGGCCCCCTTAAGTGCCCTCCCCGTCTCCATCTCCACCGGCACCATGGCAGCCAGCTCCGCCCGCCGCGGCGCAGGCGTGCTCGAAAGTTCCGCCCGCCTCCGCAGCAACAACCCCAGCACGCTCCTATTCGAATCCGTGCTCTCCCTCCACCCCCGCTGCGGCCGCGGGCCGTTTGTAGATAGGTTGTCGGGCTGGCCCTCGCCCAGCTCGGCGGCCACCACTACTGTCGTCGTTGGTCCGCCAGGCGTCCTGCCGCGCCCGAGCCTCCAGAAGACGAAGGCCACGGCGCACAGGATGGCGAGGGCGCCTAGTGTTGCGCCTATGCCGACTCCGATCTTGGCGGTGGGGGTGAGGCCGCTGCTGCTGCTGCTGGCTGCGGCGGCGCTGCTGCTGCTGCTGTTGCTGCTGCCTTGTGATACTGCTGGAGAGTTCGTAGTCTCGACCGCCGTTACTACGGTTGCTGTGCTGGATGATTGGGAAGAGGGGTGGGCGACACTGCTGGCGGCAGCGGCAGCGGTGGTGGTGGTGGTGCTGGCCGTGCTGCTGGCGTCGATGTCGCCTGTGAAGTCGAGAGGGTTGAGATACCCGCAGTTGTTTCCATAAGTTCCGGTGCAGTAGGCTTTTCCTGCGGTGCTCGTGTTTACTTCTAGACAGTTGGAGAAGTTTGTGTCGCATGCGAAACTGGGCACCGTGTCTGTGAATGTTATTCGGTTGCTGTCAGTCGCGGATCGGAGAGAGGGAGAGAAAGATATTATACAGAAGAGCTGGCTGTGGGAAACGGAAACCTAACGCTTGAGAGGAACCATTTTGTAATCTCTGCTGAAGACATGGTGATCTCTAGTATTTTGGAATTGCCTTTTGATGAGAATGGTAACAACTGGAATACGCACCAAAGTAGTATATTAGCCCAGGTGACGTGCCATTGCTGCAGGTGCACGTCCAGTCCAGCGTGTCCTGTTCCAAGAGCATCTGGTGAGTACGCAGAGAAATAGGATTCGCGATATGACTGTTCAGTCACTCACAGAGTCGCAGGTGTTGGCAGTCACCTGGCTGCTACAGAGAATCTGGCAGGTGTTTTCCTGGTCATTACACCATGTCTCTTTGCATGTCATTAACCGAGTCAGCGTTTTGTTTGTCGGCTTTATTCGTGGCATTCACAGTCTGACTGCTTTTCCATAGCTCGGCCTACCTCGTTCTGAGTCCGAGACGGAAGCTGGGTCGATAGTATAAGCGGACATCTTGTGCCCTCTTGGATCATCGTCCTGTCCGCCAGTGTGGGAACCCGGTATCCAGTATTAAATCGACTTAGACTTGGTCACAATCTTTCTCTTTAGGTAGAATTAGATATGTCAGGATGAGTAGAAACACTCCGTTACAATCAATGAGGTTGGTGTAGACAGGAGGACATGGCTGCATCTGAGGCACTGGGTGGTGAAGTCGCAAAATTTGGCGCTTGGGATCAGCGAAACTCAATGTCAACCAGGAACGAACTGAAAGGAACAACAACGTTAGAGACAGAGATATATCAGCGAGAACAAGATGAAGAGAGAGAATGCAATAAGACAAGAGGTATGTCCCTCCAGCAAAGATGTCAGGCATCTGTATTAGCTAACTAGAAGAAGGGCGGGAGGATTCTAATTCCTGCACATTTTGAAACCGCAAGCGAACACCATCATACCTGCTTAGGAACGCTTAGACACTCGGGGGCCACTTGTCTGGAGTGTGACACTAGCTGAGATGGAAATAAACTCGTCAAGGTTTCCTGCTGGATACCTAGTAGGTATGAGGTAGGCACCCGGGGAGGCTTTGCTCCTCTTCTTCCTTTTCACTGCTTCGAGAAATTAGCACACTTATGTTGTTTTTGGTCTTGAGCAAGGATGCATGCATGCATGAAATCTCGGTTCAGGGTTTGGATGGGTTCTGACCGTCGGGCGAAGGTGTTCTTGGTGGCTAACGAGGTCACTTCGTATTTTAATTTGAAGGAACAGAGGTATCTGGGGTGCCTTTTGCGCCGCAGGCAGTGCCTTCTACGCAGCGCCCACTGTAATTATGTAACAAAAGGTCGTTTGAAGGAATGACTTCAAGAGTCTAAATTGTCTGTAGACCATGTCCATCTAATCTGTGTCCCTTTGGGTGATTGATTTCTGTTTACGGCGTCGACCATCGTTATCATTCCCTTGGTTGCCAATTCCTTTGGATCCGTGCGGTCTATCTACTTGAATCTCCCTTCACCATTTCATGTGGAAGCACATTTGGTCTCGAAGTCAACCTGATTTGCCACCAAGCCACTGTTTCCGCTATCAGAATACGTCGTTTTGGTACCATATCAACTTCCGCAATGTGCTTTCATCTGCTGCTGTTGAGAAGAGGGGGTGTGATTTCCGGAACTTTACGCCTCAGACTCTATAATCTAGGCTTGCAGTCTCATTGTCTCGAATCTCCTAAGCGGAATTTCGAAACTAAGGCTCCAATACTTGAGTATCACGGGAACAAACTTCGAAGATTCAATGTTACCAATGTTATGGTATTCTCACACATAGCCAATATAATTATTGCCACTGTTGGCTTCCATCTACGCCCTATGTTACAAGCCTGTGGCTCTGCATCACACACCCCAGCAATAAACTTTCTCTGTGTCTCCAAGACCAAGATAACCTATGGAGATGTCCACACTAGTCCCATATCTTCGTGATAGATCGCAACATCGATAGCCATCCTACCACCGAATAGTAATTGTTAGGGGACTGGTAACACCTTGATTCTCACTAACCCACTTCTCCGCCTTTCCCTCAGAAAGTGTATGTATCGTATAACCCCGTTCCGTAACAAGGTATCAAGAGTAGATGGCACAAGACCAGTCATCGATAAGATACAAGTATCGATCATGCGCTCGTCTCCCAATAACATAAACCATGAACCACAGGCACCAAGGGACACAAGGCCACCATAGGGTTATGAACCTTGAATGTGATCTGTGGTGGGAATGATTTCCCCCCGGTACAACACAGACTCGCCAGACTCGGCTGACCAGCTGAGTTAAGAATTCATAGCTCAAAGATTGTTCTTACCAGTTCACATAGTATTTAAATGCAATGATCAAGGATGATATTGTTTAGAGCATTCGTTTTGTATGAGAGCTAGCGAAAGTCCTCAAACATCCTAAAGTCGGTCGTTGTTCATTATAAGAATAAGTGCTGGAGGTCTGGCTTGGTATGGCCATATTCTTACATCACTTCTGCAAAATCAGTCAAGATCACCTACCTCAAGACCCCCTCAAATAGAAACCATAAAGAAGCGGGCGATGACCGAGTCGAAGACGCTTTCCTTTGTGCCGGAGCTCGACAACCTATAACCATGGAAAACATATGATGCGAGGAATTGTTCCAAGGATGCCTCTTGACAAGATCTTCATCCAGAAGCGGGTGACAGGAATAGGCAAAAAGCACACACTGACACTGTCAGGCGTGCGGTACGTACGGATGTCCGGTCTCTCCTGGGTCATTAGACGTTCCCCAGCGTGGTCGGGGGGTCACACAAAAACCCCAACGGGGACCCGTCAGCTGAGATGATCACACCTTTTACTAGAACTGGCTTTTAACATAAGATGGAAATCGAAAGGAAGAATAAAGAAAAACAGAAAGAGGAGAGAGAAAACCCCACATTTACACAAACGAACGAGCAAGGTAAATCATCATTGGGGCCTTCCGCGACAGCAGAGGCACACATCGGAACTCGGTATGTTGCATGCATCAGGAACCAGGAACCGTGCATAAATGGTTATTTCCCCGGCCTGTTACTTATTATATGGCGACCAGCCCGCGCGTCTGCAATTGCGTCCGTGTCCAATAGTTCCAGGAGCCAGCACCAATAAAACCTGCATCCAGGTCGCACACACCCTCCGTCAGAAGATGGTGAAGGTCGCATTTCCGGTACCGAGCACAATAAACACCCGGGAAGACTTTTTTTGCGCGAGACGCCGGCAGTCCTGATTAGACACTGCGGCACACTTTTGCCAGTCTCCCTGCTAAAATCGGTAACGTGCAGTAAATTATACACAAGGCTAAGGTGGTACGCGCCGTTGTTGGTTGACAATGTTTGGATGGATTGGAGGCAAGACGAAAATGGTCGTTAATAATTACCCACATTTATACATCATGTGAGAGGTAGAAAGTCGGAACCACGGCGCATTGATGGTAATTTGACCTTCACCGAGCATGACTATGTCACGGTCAGTATGGTCAGGGACTTAGGGAGACCGTGACGCCTTATCATATGTTTGTCTTCGCTGCTATCTTGCCGGAGTCCAGGAAATTAAAGCCAAGCCCATAAATACCAGACCCTTTCCGAGTGGACGATATATTCCTCAGCACGCCATTCCACAGGAAACTCATCTCAGTCGTATCCCTTGCCAGCTCAGGGAAGTCGAATCGCAGCAAACATGGTGCAACTTACGTCTCTCGTTATACTGGCAACGGCGTGTTGTCTACAGGGTGGTCATGCCTTGCAGATACCAGCTTCCGGCGACGAAGTCGTCAAGAGAAACGAGTCAGGGAGCGATGTCACACCTCACCAGATCGCAGCCTCTATCAATGCCATGAACAAAGCATGGTTCGTCCACCAGACAGATTCTCAGTCAACTTGTGTGGGAAAGCGCTGACGGAGAGATAGGTATAACGAGACAGACGGGCGATGGGTACGTGAAGCAGCATTTGTTTATCAAGTTTGAGTTAATCAATGAGCGAGGCTAATCTACAGCACAGAACTCGACGACTGCTTGGTGGCTCACTGGAAACGCTCTTCAGTCTGTTTGTGACTACAGTACGTTTACGTTTCGATGCAACGGCTTTCCCCTTCTTCTCTTACTTTTTCTCTCTTTCTTATGAGAGATATTGACGACTTTTCAATAGTGTTCACCACCAAGGATAATCAGTATCTCTCCTTGGTAGAGGGGACCACTCAGAAACAGTCTGGCCCCCTCGCGTGGTGGCCTGAGGGAGGCGGTGACTTTCGCGCTGATAGCACCGATGACACTGGCTGGTGGGCGCTGGCCATGGTACGATTGTACGACATTACAGCCAACAGCACCTATCTTGAGTACGCAAAGCTGGACGAGGCCTATATCTACAGCTACTGGAACAGCACCTGCGGAGGGGGCGTGATCTGGGACATCCCGGAGTTGACGTACAAGAACGCCATCAGCAACGAGCTGTACATGAAACTGGCAGCCTCGTTGCACAACCGAGTCCCAGGAGACACTCAGTATCTGTCCAGAGCCCTTGAAGCTTGGAACTGGTTCAACCAGTCCGGTATGATCAACTCGCAGAACCTGATCAACGATGGCCTGACCGACGACTGTGTCAACAACAACGAGACCGAGTGGACGTATAACCAAGGCGTGATCCTGGGGGCTTTATCAGAACTGTACCTGGCGACCGAGGACTCCGCGTACATCGACGCAGCAACGACCATCGCAGACGCTGTCATTGCAAGCGACATACTGTCGCCAGATGGCATCCTGACAGAGTACGGATGCGAGCCCGAAGACGACTGCGACGAGAACGAACAGGCCTTCAAGGGGATCTTCACGCGGAATCTTGCTGAGCTCAACGTTCTGATCGCAGACAAGCCTTATAGCTCATACCTTGCCGAGAACGCGCAGTCTGCTTGGACAAACGATCGGAGTGGACGTTCAGACCTATTTGGAATATCATGGGCCGGTCCCTACTCGCCCGCGTCAGTTGGCACACAAGCATCTGTAATTAGCCTTTTGGTCGCAAACATCTGGCAGTGACAGCAGCCGTTTCGTAATTACTAGAGGAAGATTTACTAGCTAAGTAGATAGATAGATGTATGCTTGTTGTAATTTGATCTAATACGCAGATGCTCTCGTTGATACTGGCTATGCTACGAGCTATCACTCATGACGACCTTCCATCGTCAAAACATGCCGGGGTCTTGAAGGGGTCCTCCGATAACAGAATAATATAGTAACATGACCGGAGCAAATGCCTGGCGTTGAAATCTAAGCTAGCAGTAAAAAACCACCACTGTCGTTGAAGATTGTTTTTCTTCTTCTTCTTCTTTTTCTTCTTTGGACGTTATTTCTCAAGTGGCATGACAGGACGGACAATAGAAAGTCTTTTACCACCCGCGACCAGCAAGTCTCTCCTCCTTCTTCATACTGTCACAGTTGATACCAACCATGGCCTCCCCAAGACCGGTACTGCACTCAGCCAGCACCTTGGGGTCTTTGTAGTGCGTAGTCGCCTTGACGATAGCCTTGGCCCGCTTGGCTGCATCGCCCGACTTGAAAATGCCACTGCCGACAAAAACGCCATCACAGCCAAGCTGCATCATCAGAGCGGCATCAGCAGGGGTGGCAACACCTCCCGCGGCAAAGTTGACGACAGGAAGACGGCCGAGCTGGGCCGTCTGCCTCAACAGGGCGGCGTCGCAGCCCAGCTCCTTCGCAAGCGCCCGAATGCCCACCTCGCCCTCGGCAGCCAGCGTCGCCTTGGCCTTGGCAATATCGGCACTCACAGTGCGCATGTGCCTGACGGCCTCGACGACGTCGCCGGTGCCGGCCTCGCCCTTGGTGCGGATCATGGCGGCGCCCTCTGCGATGCGCCTGAGGGCCTCGCCCAGGTTGCGGCACCCACACACAAAGGGCACGCCGAAGCCGCCCTTCTCGACGTGGTAGGCGTTGTCGGCCGGGGTGAGCACCTCGGACTCGTCAATGTAGTCGACGCCCAGGGCCTCGAGGATCTGGCACTCGACAAAGTGGCCGATGCGGGCTTTGGCCATGACGGGGATCGTCACGGCGTCCTGGATCTCCTTGATGACGGCTGGGTCCGACATGCGCGCCACGCCGCCGTCCTTGCGGATGTCGGCGGGCACGCGCTCCAGGGCCATGACGGCGCACGCACCGGCCTCCTCGGCGATACGGGCTTGTTGTGCGTTGGTGACGTCCATGATCACGCCGCCCTTGAGCATCTGGGCGAGGCCGGCCTTGACAGCAAATGATGTCCTGGAGGACGAGTTGCCATTGTTGTTGTTGCTGTTATTGTTGGTAGCCGGTGTGGCCAGGTTGGCGGTCGTGTGATTAATTCCGTTGATTGTCGCCATTGTGAAGAAAGAAACAAGTTTCTGTGTCAAAGATCTATTACCACCAGGGCTTAAGGATTTTTGTGTAATTTGCAGAGAGATGGTTTGTCTGCTTGGAGTGAAGGAAGGGAGTGAGTTGATGATGTCTAATGAGTAATAACTACTTTATAGTTTACCACTTGTGGCCGAAGGCGGGATTGAACCCTTTTATGCCGAAATTCGACGACTGACTGTAGTAGCAGGGGGATGACCAGGAGCTTCTAGAAGGCTTCGATGCAAAGAGGAGCCCTGAACCGTTTTTTCCTTTCTTTCTTTCGAGATAGTATGCAGAGCTAAGTAAGGGTGCGCCGTATGCAATGCTGCACAAGGTTTTCTAGTCTGGCCACTATTTCCGCCGAGACCTTGGTTGAAAAATACGGGATGATTGGAGCCAGCATGCAAGCCCGGTCAAGGTCACGCTGCTGATCTTGAGAGGTCAGGGCAGGGCACGAGTCGAAAGTCATACCACAGTAAGACAAGAACTGGTCGATCAGATGCAGACCTGTTGATAGTTTGATATGTTGCAGTCGTCCCTACGCTGCGAGTAAGAATGCCACATGCACGTGCGCATCTTTAATGCAATGCCCCGAGTAATCACTGAGGCTGTTTGTGACTCAAGTCTGATTTGCGCAAGAAACACCCGATGTCGGTTCCCAAGGGGGAATCATTATGTCTAGGACGTCATATGACTACAATGTTAAAACCTCAGCCGTCCATTATTACCTAAATACTTTCTACGCTTGTTGGAATCTACTATGTAATAAATAGGTTCTGTCGGGGTTCCGCGGCATCTTTCTCGCACCAAAGTTTGCCTCGCCATGAGGAACCGAACCCCTGGCTCTTTCGTGGCTTCTTCCAACCAGGAAACTAAAGTGAATCAAATCAGCGAGCGCCTCATTTGTTTCATTCTTCTAAATACCCTTTGCTTCTTTAGTGGTACGCATTTTATCTGACTCGGCGGCATGTTGCCAGACAACCCCAGATATAAATTCAAGCGTTGACGCTCTTAAATCATTACGAGCGCACGGTATTACCTTCTGACTCGTTGTCTGTCTGAGCGAATTATAAGCTCGTCGTCGAAGCATCCTTTCTATTCTCTGTGTGAAATTCTCGGTCTCGTTTTACTCACTTACTGCAGAGTGCAGACAAAGCCCCAGCCGATCATAGCCGCAGATGGCCGTCACTATCGGCGTTCTAGCCCTTCAAGGGGGTTTTCTCGAACATCTATCACTCCTCCAGAGATCAGCACAGCACCTTGCGAGCTCACCAGAATATGCAAAGAAATTCACCTTTGAGCTCATCGAGGTCAGGAACCCTCAAGACCTTGCAAAATGCGATGCCCTCGTCATCCCTGGCGGTGAGAGCACAACTATTGCCCTCATTGCAGCACAATCCGGGCTCCTCGAGCCCTTGAGAGAATTTGTCAAGTCAGTTTTTTGGTTGTTCTTTCTGGGCCAAGTATCCCTTTGCCCCTTTGCCCTTTCCCCTCCCAATCTCCTCCCCCTTGGCTGTGGTGATCCGCAGGATCATTGTGTTGGATCACGCTAAATCAGGCGGTGCAGGACCTCTCAGAAGCCAACCTGGGGCACATGTGCAGGGCTCATCCTACTCGCAGAGCAAGCGAATGCTACCAAGAAGGGGGGCCAGGAGCTCATTGGCGGCCTGGACGTCAGGGTACACCGGAACCACTTTGGTCGACAGATCGAGAGCTTTGTGGCCGACGTCCAGCTTCCCTTTCTGGCGCAGTCGGGGGTTCTCTCTGAGGCGGATTGCACGGCTCCCTTCCCGGGGGTCTTCATCCGGGCGCCTATCGTGGAGGAGCTGCTGGTCAGCATGCAGCAGGAGGAGAAGGCGACGGCGGCGGCGATAGTAATCGACGCTGTGGAGCCAGGCGTCGAGGTGTCGAGCGGCGATCCTGAGAAGGCCAAGGTTGAGATCCTAGGTGTGCTGCCCGATCGGACCAAGAGAGTAAAGGGAGGGCCTGTGGAGAATTCGCTCGAGGTGCATGGAGGTGACCTCAACAACATTGTTGCTGTCAGACAGGGCAATATCATGGGGACCAGCTTCCACCCGGAGCTGACGGATGATATTCGCATACATGTCTGGTGGCTCGAGCAAGTGTTGAAGACACTATGAGCACTTGGAGTACACCGCATGCCTTTTGAGTTTTCGTATTCGTAAAGACTTGGGATCAGGGGGAGGATTTAAGGCGTTGTAGACGTTTACTTTGCTCACGTATCTAGATTCGTGTTTTCACGTATAGACTGTTAGCATCCTATAGCCTCGGCAGCGACCTGTGACACATGCACTGAAGCACTCAGAAAGCTGGGGCTACCACAGAAGGATAATTTGGAATGCAGGAACCGTATCCTATTCACAGCCTCTTGCCTCTTCAGTATTGGTTGGAAGTGGTGACGCCCTAATCTCTTGCAATTGATCTACATTCATGGGTACCCCTCACCCTCCTATTCGCTTGGTGTTAACTCTGATAACTACTCCATGACCACATCAGGATTGTCGGTCTGACAAATATCAGGTCAAAAACTGAGACAGACTTGGACTATGTCTGTGAGGTGTTCTCAATAGAATCATCTTGACTAGGTGAGACCGTTGATCATCTCAATTTGGAACACAAAGATCTACGAGTCTGTCTGCCTACTGCATGTGTATTGTAGCATGTTCACTTGACCGAGTCTGGAATATGGTCATGGAATCTTAGCTACTAATTATTGAAAAGTATACCGCTACTCAATTTCCCTGAATGAATCATGCCTAAAACTCCCAAAGACTTATTTGAATCAAGAACTGAGTGGCATGCCGGACGTTTGTCCTCTAAAAGACGAGACGGCTGATCTCGTCGACTCATGTGCACCTCAAAAACTCGTCCCCTGGTCATGATTAGTACGACCACTCGTCGGCCGTCCCAGTCCGTTCCGGATCCTATCCTCAACCTCTACCAGCCTCTTAGGCAAGGCGATGCCCAGGCCGAAGAACACAAAGAGCGCCCACTTCCATCGGAACGGGTTGAACACCACACAGAATGTGAACCACCACACCAGCTCGAGGTACGTGAAGAAGTCAAAGGCTCCTGTCGGGCTGTTCGCCTTGAGAAGCTTGGTCATGTCGATCCAGCGCTCCATCCAGAAGGCACTCGGTCGTGTGAGCGGGTCCACCAGGAACATCAGGAGGATGCGCGTGTATATGCCAATATGCCAGTTGCCGACAGAGCCTATTCCGGCCAGGTAGGTGCAGTTGATGGCGGAGACGGACGGGTGTGTTGGTGGGAAGGTCTGCAGGTACCAGTTGGGTGCGCCGTACGGCTCCTCGAAGCTGTTCTGCGGGAGGAAGGACAGCGAGGGCCGCGAGAAGCCTGTAGCGAGAACGATCAGGTCCGCCTCGATAACATCCTCACGACCAGGACCGCCTGCGGGTACACCCTTAGCCCGACGATTGACCTTGATTCCGTTCTCTTGGATTTCTTCAATGTCGCAACGGACCCATTCAGCTGCGCCGCTGCGGATCTTGTCCATCACATCAGAGTTGACCATGGGCGTATCCTGGAACACACCCTTGTCGGCAGGAGCAATGTCCTCAAGGTCGCGGTAGAAGAACTTTTTCAGCAGTGTCTCTGGGATCCATGAGAAAATGGTCTCCTGGCCGAAGATGTTGAAAGCAAACAGCGTGTCAATGACAGCATTCCTAGGGATGATCCACTTGTCGCTCCGGGCCAGGATTGAAATCTTGGAAGCCTCTTCCGCTGCAGCGAACTCAAGTGCCTCGACAGCGCTGGCTCCTCCACCGATGACGGCAATCTTCTTTCCCTTGGCGTTCTTCCCGGTCAGCTCGCTAGAGTGGTAGATCTGGCCGCGGAACTTGTCCATGCCCGGAATGTGCGGTCCTGGCGGTCGTGTCAGTTACTGTTCTGCCGCAATTGCTGTGCCTTGAGAAAGCTTCACTCACGCTTGGCCTCCCCACAAGTGCCCACCGCAGCAATGAGACCATCAAATCTCCCATTGGATGGGTCGTTGATGATCCACCGTCCCTTCTCATCTTGATAGACCTTGTTGACCTTGGTGTTGAATTGAGTCTTCTGGTCTAGACCGTACCTCTTCCACAGCTGATTGAGCTGGCTGAGAATTTGTTGTCTGTCGGGATATCCGCGCTCCCACTGAACAGACGGGTGAAACCGATACATCAGGGAGTGTATCTGAAGACTTGAGGTGTTGTTGACCCTCTGCACAAGCCCAAAAGAGTCAGTCAGTCACTGTCTTCTGGAGAGACCTTCAGGCGCGCAGGTGAGGTTGATGAGCCCAACGACTTACGCTCCAAATGCCTCCGAGGTGCTCCTTGCCTCCAGCTTCAAAGATCTGGACGTCGAATCCATGGCCAACACAATGAGCTGCAGCCGAAACCCCGGTGATTCCAGCACCAATGATGGCAACATTGGGCCTGCCCAGAGGTTGGTCGGAGCTGGGAAGGTTGGGCGATATGATCTTGTCGGTGATAAACTGGCCGACTTGGTAGGTGAAAAGGAAGGGGTGGAGGATGGGGTTCTCAACCCTCGATTCGGAAGGCATCGTGCAGAGAGCTCTGTCTGTTGGCTGTTCTTGCGAGAAAACTATGATAGCCTAGGAAAGAATTTTCCCTCTAAGGACGACTAGTAAATCAATTGAGCGATCCACGCAAATCAATGAATTGAACAACGATGAAACTCCGCTCGAAAGACTGTACCATGGAGAGAGCAGGACCAGCTTATATTGGTTTTGCATTGGTCTCTAAGCTTGGGTCTTTGATCCGAATTGCCTAACCACGACGTCATAAAGCCCCACGCCTGCGCGCTGATGCAATTTGACATGTGAAGGCTGGCGCCCCTGAGAAACAGGGATTCGTCCAAAGCTCAAACCTCAGAAAATTGCCCAGGACCAACACCCACCACTCAAGCCATGTCCATAACGACAGTAATACAGCCTGCGTAATCCGTATTACCTAGGTAAACATCTTGACTGGATCGCATTTGAGATTCTTCCCTCTGATTACATGTTGGGGAAGACAGCATCATGGAAGCATAAAGCTCATCTTGACAGCGATATATTTTTTCGGGTTGTCAAGAGAATAGTTTCACGCGGAGAGGCGGATGACCATTGTCCTCGCATCTTGCGGTATAGTGGAAACCAGAAGCGCCTACTCAAGCAACATTGATTTTGCAACTGGCCTCGGTCAAGACCTTCGGCCTTTGCCTCTATCCCTGCGACCGCTGTCCAGCACCTTAAGCCGCTTCTGATATCTATCGCCCATATTATCGCCGCTGCCCCTGGGGCCATCAACGGTCTCGGGACCTCTCTTGCGGCTCTTTTCTAGCAGCGCCCTCGTTCCGCTGCCGCCATCCTTTTTCTTCGTCAACCTGTTGATCCTGTCAACGCCCATGCTGAGATCCCTGAACTCTTCACCACCGTAGTTCATGCGGCCCCTACGGCTTTCCACTGCTGCTGCCTTTGCACGATCCTTCTTGTTCGCCAGAGGCAGGCGCACAAAGTTACGCTCTTCGTAGTCGCGGCGCTCATCCTCCTCCTTTCGCTCAGATGCCGTCTTCATTCTCCGCCCGAATTGCACAATGTTTGTACCAATGCTGGGTTGTGCAAGAGGGGCACTGGACATCTCGTCTGCAACGAACTCGTCCATCGTCGCCGATTTGATGGGTCCTCGTTCCCGAGTTTCCCGTCTCTCGGTTGTCGGCATTGCCGTGGGAGCGACCTTGGGTGGTCGGTATATACCATTGGCATCCTTCTTGGATTTCGCAGCAGCTTGAATGGTGGATCGAGAGACGGCGCTCATACTGGGCCGGAACGCCAGGTCAGCCACATTGGGTCCACTTTCTCCATCATCCTTGTCGTCCTCGTCGTCCTCGTCGGAATCCTCGTCACTTCCAGTGCCGGATTTTGAGCCGTGATCGGAGTCTGCAGCAGCTTGTGCGGCCTTCTCGTTTCGCGCTGCATCGTCGGCTGCGCGCAGGACTTTTTCGATTTGGTAACGCAGTTTGTCTTCGAGGGGCCGAACGCCTTTCTCAAGATAGAGCCTCAGCTCGACGAGCTTCTTGACAACTCCATCGTCGATACTTGACCTGTTGTCTGAGTCGGCTGCATCGTGCAGCTTTCCTTTCCGCAGCTTAACCAGGATCAGGAAGACCAAGTTCTGGAGGTAGGCTAGGAGTAACTCGTTCTTGACGTCGAGTAGTGATATGCCGTCTTTTGGTGACTCGACTGAGGGTATTTTCACAGAAGCCTCGAAAGTAGAGGAGAGAGACTGCGTCAGGGAATCCAGGAGGCCCAGAAGTGTTGTTGCAGCCATGTTATCTGGGGACTGGTTATGTGCAGGAAGAACGTGCAGAGGAATAATTTCTGCTGTTCCTGGAAATTGGGAACTTTTTTTTTTTTTTTACTGGGCCGCCCTGCCTGCCCCAAAGAAAAGGCAAGGGTGTACCCACACCATTGGTTCAGGATCAAAGTGACTAAGCTGCTTTTTTTATGAAACAGGCAAGCCTGCCCAGGTTCCGGCCCCCTTGTGATTGGAATGCTCGACGGGCCGGGGAGTGACGACTGTCCCTTCTTACACATACGCGTGCTTATTTCCCTTTGTAACTGGAAGTAGCCAGCTGGCGCAATAAAAATAACTTCGCACGGCGCCGCCTCTGAAATCGGCGCCATCACCAATTCCGAAGGTGATATCTCAAGTCTTTGCGATCATCCATCTCAAGTCTACGACACCATAGATGTGATGCTTGACGGTAGCTGTCATTCCCTCAGCGTCTTCCGAAGAGCTATCTGATCAGAGCCTCAAGCACCTGTTTGACCCAAGCACGTTCGTTGCCACCCCACGAAGACCCCCCCCCCCCCCCTTCGATTCCTCCTTGTGCGAGAAAACGTTGCCCTGTGGGCAGGCAGGCGATGCAGACTAGTATACTGATCAAATTCTTCGTTATGTAGAAAAGTACATCCTAAAATGCAAATACCGAGCCAGGCGTCGCCCTCGAGGGCGGCGCTCTTCGCATCCCTTCTCCTCCCCCAGCTCACGTCTGCCTTCTACCTGCCCGGCGTCGCACCGAGCTCCTACAAGAAAGGCGACAAGGTTCCTGTCTATGTTAACACCATCAAGCCCGTCGCCGCCCCCGGCGACCAGATGCTGCACTCTGTTGTGGCCTACGACTACTACCTGCCCATATTCAAGCTATGTCAACCAGATGGAGGAGCGCAGCCCGTCAGCGAGAGCCTGGGAAGCATTCTCTTCGGCGACAGGATCATGACCTCGCCCTTTGAGCTGAAGATGGCCACCAACGAGTCTTGTAAAGCTCTATGCGACGTTGACTATACGCCGAGCGCGTCAAAGTTCGTGAACGAGAAGATCGACTTGGGCTACAGCCTGAACTGGCTGGTGGATGGGCTTCCGGCAGGACAGGACATCACCGACGAGCTCACCGGGACGGACTTTTACAGCCCGGGTTTCCTTATTGGCGAGACAATAGAAGACAAACAGATCTTCAACAACCACTACGACATCATCATTGACTACCACGAAGTCGGCGGGAACCCCGATCAGCTGCGCGTGGTGGGCGTTCTTGTTCAACCTCGGTCGCTCGACTACGGCGAAAAGGATCCAGACTGTGCCGACAAGACATATCCTAATGTGCACCTATCTGTAGACGGCCAGACTCGTGTCAAGTTCTCATACGGGGTGTACTGGATCAAATCACCAACGGCCTGGGCGACGCGATGGGATAAGTACCTCCATGTCTTCGACCCGAAGATTCACTGGTTCTCCCTTGTCAACTCGGCTATCATTGTGGTTTTCCTGGTCATGACCGTCATGTCGGTCCTGGTGCGCACGCTCAAGAAAGATATTGCTAGGTACAATCGCCTGGACTCGATCAATCTCGAGGATCTGAATGGGACTTCAGTGGTCGAAGATGGAGTGCAGGAGGATTCGGGCTGGAAGCTGGTGCATGGTGATGTGTTCCGCACTCCCTCGCACCCTCTGCTGCTGTCTGTCCTGCTCGGAAACGGTGCACAGCTCTTCGTCATGACTGGTTTCACCATCTGTTTCGCGTTGTTGGGATTCCTGTCGCCCTCGAACCGTGGCGCGTTGGGCACGATTATGGTTCTGCTCTACACCCTGCTAGGTTTTGTCGGTGGCTACGTCTCAGCGCGTGTGTACAAGTCACTTGACGGCGAGAAGTGGAAGCTGAACATCGCCTTAACGCCGCTTCTCGTGCCGAGCATCGTCTTCTCCATGTTCTTCCTGCTCAACCTGTTCCTCTGGGCCAAGCAGTCTGCCGGTGCTGTACCTTTCACGACCATGCTCGTGTTGGTCCTCATCTGGTTTGTCATCTCGGTGCCTCTGTCTGGAGCTGGTTCGTGGGTAGGCTTCAAGTCGCCCGCCATCGAGGCCCCTGTCCGCACCAACCAGATCCCGCGCCAGATCCCGCCGCCGACAACCTACCTCAAGCCGATTCCCAGTATGCTGCTGGTGGGCATGCTACCATTCGGCGCCATCTTCGTTGAACTGTACTTCATCATGAGCTCCATCTGGTTCAGCAAGATCTACTACATGTTTGGATTCCTCTTCTTGTGTTACGGCCTGATGATCATCACTTGTGCGGCCGTCACTGTCCTGATGGTCTACTTTCTCCTCTGCGCAGAAAATTATCATTGGCAGTGGCGGTCTTTCCTGGCCGCAGGCATGTGTGCCGGCTATATCTTCCTCAATGCACTGGTTTACTGGGTCTCGAAGCTTTCGCTGGGTGGCCTGGTAGGCAGTGCGCTTTACATTGGCTACAGCGCCCTCATTTCTTTCCTATTCTTCATTTTGACTGGTGAGTTTATCCTTGCAACTTCCTGCTCGCATTATGCTGCTGACTAACAGCATCACAGGATCTATCGGCTTCTTTTCGAGTTGGTGGTTCGTGCGGAAGATCTACGGCTCCATCAAGATCGACTAAGGGTCAGGAACCTACATAGTAGTCGTGGAAAAAAGAGATGTGGTCCAGCACGGGCCGGGAAAAGCATCTGTATATTGTTACGCTGTATCATCAACGCATATGAAATCTCCTTAAGGAATCCTGCTTAGACCCGGTATTCCATTGGATTTGAATGATCGGACAGTGGAGGGGGAAAAGGTGGATTCGCAAAAGACAGCTTGGCGTCCAGGTTAAATGGAAATGACTTTCAACCCTCTTCAGCAAATCGCTCACCATGCCCATATACTGTTGAGATTATGACTGCCAAGCCCAGAACACCTACCTAGGCTTCTTGCGGCCCTATCAATCATCCTCGTCATCATCCAACCCCATGAACTGGAATTGGCTCCGTCCAGGCTGTGTTGTCGTAGGACTTGGGCCACTTCCTCCATATGACATGGTTCCCTGACCAATAACGCTCCCCCTCCGCATAGCCTCCTCCTGCGCCCGTTCTCGCTCGCGATGCCTCTCGCGCGCGATCCGCGCCTCCTCCTCCCGCAGCCTGCGCAGGTTCTCCTCCCGCTCTTGCATCTCCTTCTCTTCTTGCACCCGCCGCGCCTCCTCCTCGCGCTTCCGCTTGGCCTCCTCCTCCGCCGGGTCGTACCCCCGGGGATCAATCCCCTGCGCCATCAGCCCTTCGAGCGACGCCAGAGCGCTGCGCCGTATGGTGTGCTCTGTCGGCCACGGCTGGAACGTCTGGTCTGTCAGCGGATCGAGGAATCGGTTCCACTCCTCGGGCAGCGCAGTACCGCTCGCCGCCTGCTGTTGTGCTGCCACCTGACCGACGACAGGAGCAGGCGACCTCGCCGCGCCGTTGGCGCCAGCTGGTGTCTGTGCCCCAGTGGCAGGTGTCTGTGCTGCTGTTGTGTTGGGCGTGCCCGCCGCGTCGCCGGTGCTGGCCTCGCTCTCCTCACCACTCGCGCCGGCACCCACACCAGCCGTCGCAGATGCTGCGGCCGTAGCAGCCGCCGCTGCAGAGGCGAGCACACTCGACGCCGGCATGGTGGTCTTGCTGATCCTGCTCGCGTACTGCAGCAGGTCCTGCCAGCTGACATCGTAGCGCGGCCCTTCGGCGGGCATCGTGGTGATGTTGGTGGAGCTCATATCGTGGCGGGTGTTCCATAGGAGGCGCATCGTGTCGCGGATCTGGGCGTCAAGGGCAGAGGAGGCTGCTTTGAGGCTAGCGAGGAGGGTGTGGTTGGTCTGGTGCGCCTGGAGCAGCTGCAGGCCCTCGGCCAGGGCGCGGTCGGCAGCGGCAAGCTCGTGGGCTGCGGCGGACTGGGGCGTGTACTTTGCGATGGACTCTGTGAGGGTCACGAGGGCGCGCTCGACGCGCTCAAACCGTGCATCTATGTAGGTGTCCATTATGGTGACTGCCTGGTGATGCCAATGGAGCCCTCACGGTGTCTAGTTTATACAGGCTTAGTACAGCACCTCTGGGCGCCTTGGAAAGGAAGGAGCAAGAAGAAAAAAGAGCAAGGAATCAATGCTGCATTTTGAGGTTGGGTTGGAAGAAACTCACATCGGAAAAGTACTATGGTACAATGGTTCAGTACTATGAACTTAGTATGGTAGAGCTGGAAGCAGGGGTTGGCACCTACATACTTACTGTCTGATGTGCAGGGGACAGGGAGGGAAACTTAAGGCTGCAGGGGTTAGAGAGAGCTGTACTGCAGTACAGCCCAAAAATTCAGGCACTAAAAATCCCAATCCCGGCTGAATCCGGCCTGAGCAACTCCCCAAGTCGCGCATCATTGTTTCGAGCCAGTAGCCATCACTACATTTCCAACCTTGCTGTCGACAGATTCTAGGAGCTACATCGCACCTGCTCACCACCCACCACATCAAGATGTTCCCTGTCAGTCACCTCTCCTCCCATCAGAGGCCTTACAAACAATCAATTGGGCCTCTCAACAGCCTCAACCCTCCCGAATACGCTGTAGCTGACAGTCCCTCCGATGCAGACTCAGATCCGCCGGGCAGAGCCCTACCCTCAGTACAAGAGCCCCTATGGCCCTAAGTAAGACTGCATTCCACCTTCCGATCGACCGCGATAGTAGCCGAAGCTTCGAGAACTCCATACCTGATGTACTTGCCGGCACATACGATGCTACCAAAGTCTCGACGTCTCTTCGGGTTGCGGCGGGGATGAGGCCATTGGCTGACAGCGAGGTTTTTTCTTCTTCTGCAGGTACAACTTCCAGCCACATGCCGCTGGACTTACCGCCAAGCAGGCCTTCGGACTGTACGTGCTCACCATTCCAACCCCCTGCGCGCGACTTCATGATGGCGGGACCGACATTGGTGCTAGAGGAAGAGGGGGGAAACAGGTAGTGAGATGCATGACGACGTTGGGGTCTTGCTTTTCACTATGTTGCTTGTCGGAGATAAAGGCCAAGAAAGACGGCAGATGATTCAGATGGCTCGAATGGTGATGAGCCTGATACTGCTCGGGCGTCATGGTCTGGTAACATGTCATAGCGATCAAGGCTGACACGGATATGTCTACAGGGGCGTGAAGACTGCAGGCCTCGGCGGTGTTGCCCTGTTCGCAGTCATCTTTTATGCTTCAGGCATCCCCAGGGTACAGCGTGACATCCTCCAGGTAGGCAGTCCCTCCTCACTAGGAATGTGTGTGCTGTTCATATCATACTCACATGATCATATAGAAAGTTCCTTTCCTCGGCAGCTACTTCGTCAACGAGATCCCTCCAGAGGACAACGTAAGTGTTCCATCCCTTACTTTGAAATGTTACCCTTGACGTTTCCGAACTTTGGCTAATACCATCATAGCCATTCTAAATCTTTATTTGATGGACTATATACATGGCACAGAAGTAGACTGGGGAGCACAAAAACAGTGTGGGGAAGGAAAGGGAAAACAAAGGCTTGCATAAAGTCTGGCATGCCAGGTCTTGTGTGTGTGTATAGAAGAGCCAAGAACATTCACAATAGATTTGACCATTCAAAATGGTTGCCTCCTAAAGCTAAACCAAGTTCTTGCCTCATGAACATGCACATCTCTGAGGCAGTCAATGTCCAAGTCGAGCCAGACAAGACATCGACTTTAAAACCCCAGTGATACTATGATCAACTCAGTAATTCATAACCTGCTCCAGCTGAATCACAAACACAACCCCTGCGCAAGGGTTGGCTCAAGCCTAGGTTGTACTGGCACGCAATTACCCCCAGGCTGATGGGCCGTGCTAACCCTCCCTAACCCTAGGACCACGTCAATAAGTTCATCAAGAAAGGCTGTCCATATGAATGAGACTGAACAGATTGCAAACAAAACAACTTCCACAATATGCACGCCAGGCTTGATCTGACAGATTTCGACATTTGACCACAATCGAGCAGAAAAAACATCAGGAACACGAAACTTGCTGTTTACTAACTGGGGAATTGGAGGAGCGCAATGATATGACTACCTCTTTTCATCCTCGACCAGCTGCCCACTCCTCTTACTCCCCTTACAGAGCCTCACGATGATGCGCCTCGTTGGGCTAGTACACAAGTTTGATCCAATTCTTGTCTGTGTTATAGTCCTTGGCTTGCTGCAACTCCTCCTCAGGGTTCAGTCCAATCAGCAGTCTCACGGATGGAGACTGTCGACAGTGTGGCATCCTCTCTTGTGCTTGGCCATCGCTGGGTTGTGCTGGCATGCTGTCGTGACGATATGGGTCCCAGAACCATACCTTGATGAGGTCTTCCACATTCCACAGGCACAAAAGTACTGCCAGGGAAGATTTCTAGAATGGGATGACAAGATCACCACTCCTCCTGGCCTGTGAGCCACCCCTCCCCCCGGGCTTGGTGTCATGCATTCCACAAGTAGCTGCAAACACTTCAGTTGGACTGACTGCTTTTCTCTTCTCTAGATACATACTCAGCTATGTCCTCCTACGCATGGGCTTCATCTTCAAGAATTGTTCCGCTGAGGCCCTGCGACTCACCAACTGGCTCGCAATCATCTTCACGCCGTTCGTCGCGCTTCAGTGCCGCCGCCTGATCGAGGCTCGTCTGGCTGAGCGCGCCTCAGATGGTCGGAAGTCCCGCCCGTTTGAGCTCAGTGCCTATGCCCTTCACACGGGGCTCAACATCGCGCTCTTCCCACTCCTGTTCTTCTTCTCAGGCCTATACTACACGGATGTCTTCTCGACCTTTGTTGTGCTACTTGCGTACCAGAACCACCTGGCGCGGGTGAGCACTGGGCCCATCTCGCCGTGGAGCGATGCTCTTGTGGTTCTGCTGGGCGTTGGGGCACTGTTCATGAGGCAGACTAATGTCTTTTGGGTTGTTGTCTTCATGGGTGGCCTCGAGGCTGTCCACAAAGTCAAGCTGCTGCGCCCGCCACCCACAAGCTTTGGGCATTCTGATCGTGAGACCAGGCTCAAATTCTTCCTTTGGAGATACTCTCAGGGCGAGGTACACGACCCCCCACTGAATGAAGCTGGATTGGAAGGTAAGCTCTTCTTCAAAAATAAAACACAGATCAGCGTTGAGACCTGGTTGCTGACAGCAGTCTTGGGACAGATGTGTTCCTCTGTGGGTTGAGCATTGGCATTGCAGTCTGTTGTAATGTCTTTCGGGTTCTCAGGCAGATCTGGGCCCATATTGTAGTGATGGCTCTATTTGTGGGCTTTGTGGCATGGAATGGCAGTGTTGTACTTGGTATGATACTACTCTTTCACCTCTCAAACAGGGACGCGTCGTTCAGGAGGTAGGCTAATGAACTCTCTATGCAGGTGACAAAACCAATCACGTCGCAACCATCCATCTGGCTCAAATGCTCTATATATGGCCTCTGTTCGCCTTCTTCTCAGCACCGCTCCTCTTTCCACGGATCCTGCAGCCAGTCCTCAGCTTCTTTGAGGAGTCACCATCCACTGTCCACGACACATCCAAACAGCCTACCTCCACCTCTGTCATCACCCTCCTGAATCTTGTAGGCTATGCCTCCCTGGCACCTCTATTCCTGGCCATCGTTCAATACAACACCGTCATTCACCCCTTTACCCTGGCAGACAACAGGCACTACATGTTCTACATCTTCAGATACAGCATCCTCCGTGCGGGCTGGGTGCGCTATGCTTTGGTGCCAGCATACATCTCCTGTGTCCTCCTCTGCTGGAAGGTCCTGGGCGGGCTGATCCGTCCCTCGCCCGGACCAGCCGCCACCAGCTCACCTAGTATGGAGAAAGAGAGCAGACCAGCAGCCAAGGGCAAGGACAAGGAGAACGAGAAAGAGGACAAAGCTGGCAGCAACGAGGAGGAGGATGGTCAAGCCAGCAAGGACAGCGATAACAACACCAACTCCCCATCATCATCCGTTGTCCATTCAGCCACCGACCCCGACGCCCACGATGACCTCTCGAGCCCCACAGCCACCTCCTATCTGGGCCCATCCCTTTCGACGGCCCTCATCTGGCTCCTCACCACTGCCCTCTCCCTCATCACCGCCCCGCTCGTCGAACCGCGGTACTTCATCCTCCCCTGGGTCTTCTGGCGCCTCCTCGTGCCGTCCTGGTCTGTGCCCCGCGGCCTGCAGAAGGGCTGGCCCCTCCGGTTCGGCGGGCGGTATGACGTGCGGCTGTGGGCCGAGACGGCGTGGTTCGTGCTGGTCAACATGGTGACCATGTACATATTCATCACGAGGCCTTTCTTTTGGCGGAATGAGGACGGTTCGTTGGCGGATGGTGGACGGGTGCAGAGATTCATGTGGTGATGAGGATGGCATGAGTGGACAACGCGATAGAGAAGTATTCTGTGTGCTTGGGAATAGCATGTTTGCGGCCATATCAACCTCTCATTCTTCCTTTGCAAATGACTGAAGTGGTCGTCTTGTACTCTACCAGGAGCCGAAAACAGGCCAAGGGAGCAATGTGGAATCGTCCGTCTGGCGTAAAGGACAACAAACCTAACATCGAGCATGATAAAAAGATAGCAGCTCAAAACAAATGATGCTTTTCTTCATCTGACGAGTGGTGGTTCTTGAATAGTTAATCTGCCATAAGAGCAAGTGACAGCTGACAAGATGTGGCAATGCTGTCCTCCTCTCCCATATGTCCAGCCAATATCATATATGCAAACAGAACCAACATGATAGTGATATACATAATCAAGTATGCAACCTTCCTTCCCTTTCCATCCCGCCCAGAACGCCAAAAATCTCAAACCCATACCTGATTCAACTCTTGCGGCCCATATCACCCAAGGCTTTGGCCAGCGCTGATTTTATCCGTCCCAGCTTTTCATCTATCAGCCCCACCCTGTATCGTTGTTGTTGTTGTTGTTGTTGTTGTTGTTGTTGTCGTTTTTACTGTTGGAACCTCTCTTATCGCCGGACTCATAAGCTCATCCGGTCCAGGCTCAACCTGTCCCCGCTCTTGACCCTCCTCACTACACCCAGCTTGAAGAACTTCTCCTCGCCACCAGCCGTCCTCCCACCGATGTACATTCTGTCAGCGCCCAGTACCTCCCGGAAACCTTCAGAGCTGGAGTCGCTGCCCCGCCGCCGCGGATGTTGCGGGATGGGTATGCCCCTCGGTGAGTGTAGCCTGGCGGCGGCGGCGGCGGCAGCCTGTGCAGCGGTCGCGGAGGTCGCTGTGGAGGTGGAGTGGCTGCGAGAGGAGCTGGATGGTGGGGTGGACACCGAGTAGGACGTCGTGGTTGTGGTGGACGCGGACGTAGCCGCCGAGGTTGTGGATTGGGGTTTGTTTGCCGAGGTGGGGAGGGCTGATGCTGGCTGTTGCCGAAAGGCTGCGAAGAAGCTGGAGAGGAAGAATGGTCGTTGGGGCGCCATCGTGATGATAAAATGGCTGTGTGCCCAGTATGTGTCTTGAGGTGAGTGCGGGATTTGTCGGATGGGCGACGAGAGTTCGTTCGCCTGTCCGGGGAAGAGGTGCTCAGGGCCAAGGCACGCGAACAGCAGGTGTGATAATATGTATATATCCCCGCAAACGGAAACTGTGTTGGTTTATGGTTTGACGATATCCTTAATCCGTCTTAAGTGTTTGTGTCGAGTGACTGCGGTTCGGGGAGAAGGGTCGGATATTCGTCGCTCGAAAGGAGAGGAGGATCACACGTCTGATTTGAGGTTGTGATATTGTGATGCGTGTCCCACGGAGAGAAGAAGAGCAGATACACCGCCCAGCCAGATAAAGTTTGTTGGACAGGCAGGGAGGTAGGAAAGGATCGGTTGAGCCTCCCAAGTCTTTGGAAGACTCAGAGTCGGAACCGAAATGTCGTCGCTCCAACACAATGCTACTGTGGTATTCAGTTGTATCGCGCAGACCGGATGTCGTATGCAGGTGGAAGACGAGGGCGAGGAAAAGGGCGAGAGGCGGTAGCAGGGTAGGGTAGGATGGCAGAGTTTTTGTCCTTGTTCTGATCTCGCAGGTGACTTCGATCTAGGGAACTTGATGGTGTACTATGTAAAGGGCTAGAGATGGGGTTGACGTACTGCCTGTGCTACGGTACTATGTACACACTTTCCAGCACGACCACCTGCAGCGACTTATGCTCTGGTCGTAGTAGTACCGCAGTACGTACCTGCAAGCGTCACAGCCCAGGGGAGTCCTTGGCCATCTGGGTTCTCCTTCTCTCTCGGCCAATGTCGGAACGCGCATTTCGATCTTCGGCCAGGAGGAAGCAACGGGTTGGCTGTTAGTGGCCGGCTACCACCCTGTGTGGTGGGTCTTGATTAGGCGGGTAGGGGGGGAGGGGGGGCTTGCGGGGAAACAATACCACTGAAGGGCACTGAAGTCCAGTGGAGGGATGGCAGCTTGGTGGACGCCTGACGGGTCCTTGGACCCAGCGTCTCTGCGGGGTTCTTTGCGGTGGGTTCTCGCGGGGAAGAGTGGGGAGAAGACGTACCATGGTACTTGATGCTATGTACTGCATGCTACGTACTTCAGGACGCACTGCACTGCAACACATTCAAGACCTACGTACAGACAGTGCATCATTCATATTGATGAGGCTCTAGTATGGTAGCATGGCATCCATGACGTTGCTGTACTACTTGAGAAAGTTGAACACCATGTCATGTTATGCATACATTTCCTCGTGAGTCAGCTTCCTATACACCTTCAACCGAGTTCCGGGGAATGCGTCTATGTCCTCTCCCCTCTCTCTCTATCCGACGCTGTCCCCATGAAAGTACTCGGATAGGACAACACTCGCTGGTCAGACACAAGACAGGAGGATCATATCTGCATGCACCTCATCACATTTGAACCCCCAAATAGGGTAGGCAGGGTGAACAGTGGGCGAGAATGATCAGGCCACCTCTGCTTACTACCACGGCCTCATTGGGAATTGCAATCCCCGCATTTTCACCACCATCACGTTGTCTCGGCTCAGAAATTTCATGGCTCGGCTCGCCCTGGCGCAGCGGCTACTCTGGGCGGGCGGCCTCACCGAAAAGGGAGGAATGTAGGCTCGCCTGATCTCTCGCGAGATATCTCCGCAGCCGCTAAACCATACGATATCCTTTTGATACATGCCGAAGATGTTCGGCCCAATGGAAATTTCTTCTCAGTGTGATATCCAAATCTCTTGAAGAGGACTCTGAGCAGAGGAGAAGGGGTGGTTTTCGCATCGGAAAATCCAGTCTAGACCTAATAGCTGCATCCTCATCACAACGACCAAGTGAAATTGCATGAGATTCCATGTCTTGTTTGTCGATCATTCATCGCCCACTAAACAGTTACTATATTCTGTGCCCTGAGATGTCTTCAACCTTACTTTACCAGGAGAGAGATGGTTTGCAGGGCCCATCTCTTGCCGGGTCCGATCCACTGGGAACGAATTGTCCTGCGTTTGGTTCTCTTACTACGTCCACGACGACTCTCAAAGAGTCTGACCTGAAGGTACAAGCAAGGTGTTCGGTTTCAATATCTCGTCATCAAGTCTCTTGCCAAGTTCCGTGGATTCTATGCTTCGCGTTCGATGTTTCGTTGTATGCTGAGCTCAGTAGTCAGCTTGCGTGCTGCATTGTATCAGTATCAAGTGATGCCTTTATTCTTCTCACATCTTACTATCTAGTGATTTTGCCGTATTGTCTCGACCAGACAAGCTCCTCATATACATGTCCCGCTCTTGTGGCAACCCGGAGGAGAGTACGATGGAATCATGAGCTTCCTGGACGGTAGCGGGGCCAATAAGTTTTGAACTCTGGGCATTCGTCAGTGGGCTGTGGTCCCTGAGACACAACGCATCATGTTGTGAAAATTATCATTGACAAGCAAGAGGTCTGTCAACCTGAGTCTTGTGCCTAGTCGATCAAAGCTAGTGCTGATTATAGATCTAAGTGTGTTTTCCAAAAGAAATAGAAAACCATGCCATCCAAAAAGCCTTTCCTCGTTCCCACCCCCGAAATCTAGAGCAGACCAGCAAGGGCATTGCAACCCATCGAAACGTCAATGAGTCCACTCTACGCGTTCGGTCAACAATTGCTTCCTCGACGAGCCTTGGTGCCTAAGAGTCTTACCTGGTCCACGTTGCCGCTGGAGCAGCAGGCAGCAGTCTGTGAGCATTGGCTTCCCAGGATATCACTGAGGTCTAGGTCGGGCCGATCAGCTTCTATACAGACAACAAGAAAGAAAGACAAGAATGAAAAGGAAAAGAAAAAGGAAGAAAGACATAGTCAGTTCCGATACCTCGGAAAATGGGAAGGAGAAACGCACCACCTAGGATGGAAATCTTGGAGCATCCACTGAGCAGCCCTAGGCCGGCATCGCCGTCGAGGATGCCCCCGAGCAGCCCGGAGAGGAGTCCAGAGGCCTCTGTGTTGGTGTCGCCAGACTCTGTCTCTTGGTTGCAGCAGCTGAGGACGCTATCATCGCCGCACGCCTGCTGGGCCTGGCCGAGAGTCGTACCGCCGGGGACGCTGCCCGAGCCTGAGCCTACACTGGAGGGCGGGGTAGAGGTGGCAGAGGAGCCGCCGTTCTCAGATCCGGGCGAGCGCGATTGGTAGCCAGAGGTGCCATCCGGACTGGTGCCGACGGGCTCGCCGCTGATCGGAATGTACCCAGCAACAGCCGTAGTGGCAAATAGGGCGAGGACGAGCTTGTACTGCATTTCTTTGAGAGATCGAGGACTAATATTGAGAAAGAATAGTTGAAGTTTATAGGTAATGTACTGCCAGGATACGGATGCAAAGTGCTGCTGTTGGTGGGAAGTATTCGAGTTGTCTTCACCGACGAGATCTAGGCTTCTTATATAGATGGCCATGATGCTGTCTTCGACTCTTAGGTTGCCCCTCATTGGCCTTGATAGACGAGTGTCTCCGTTCAGGTCCGGAGAAAGAAGCCATGCCGTCAGATAAGTTTCAGCAGATGGGCCATTATCACCTCGCATTGATATTGTAATCTTCATCATTTCTTCATCATCGGATCGTAGAAGGCGGTAGCAACTTCCATTGGAAAGACATTGTTCTAAGAAGGGTAACACCCTCGAAGGCTTCGTTAATGTGTGAGCTGGAGCTCGGAAAGATTAGTTGACGACCCGAAACATGATCTAGTAGATCGGACGCCCGAGCCTCTTTGTTGGGTGTTTGTCTCTCGTTTTGCACTCTCTTGAGGGAGCACATGGAGAGACATCTACACATTTTCGGGTCTACGGCAATTTAGTGTAGCTACAAAATCCCCATATTGGACATTGGAATAGACTGTTATCTTTCAGAGGACACCAGACTCGATCGTGATACATCATTACCTTGGGAACATCCCACTCAGCCACGGGCTGGAAGCTGATCTAGTGTTGTCTTTCTCAGGTGCAAGGTCACGATCGACATCGTTCTTTGGAGGGATGCCTGCTACTTCCCACTACCTTGGGCCTGAAGCCTGGTATGGTAGGAAGCGCCTAGATAAGTAATAGCAGAACATCCCATAAAAGTTGCAGTCATAATTTTTAACAAGGGCCATATGAAATGACTATATCTGATGTTTCGCGAGGCCAATGCACGAAATCTCGCTGCCTGGTTTCCCGGAGCTTGGCTGGATCTACTTGCATACTAGAAAGTCAGCAATGCTTTCCTTGGCACGTAATATGAGATGTTACTTAGGTTGATCAAAGAGACAGACACCCCAAATTCGCCCCTAGCAATGCGTAATATTACAAGGCAACAAGAAAAGTCCTCCATTTTACTTATGTGGGTGCCGCGTATATAGTCCAAGAAGAGGTTGGTTCAGCTTACTGGATGTGAATGCTTGTAATCGCCTCGTCATCTCGGCCAAACAACCTCCATGCAGACAATTACATGGCTAGGTCCGTCGGTTATCTGTGAGCAGTACCATGAGCAATTGATGCCAAATGTGACAGTCAAAATTGAGTTAGTTCTGTTGGGTTGAAGCTATTTGCGAAATAGATATAAATTACCTACATGCCCGGCGTCAAGCTTCCCTGCTTTGACTAGACAGATGTTCCAAGCAGAACAAATCGGACATTACTTCGACTGGGCTGAAAATGTATTCACTTGTTTGCCCTTCCCCATGGTGGGAGAAGGGCCATTTTTCAAACTGCGTGGAAGAGACTTATTTTGATACGCTCATCTCACTGGCGATGATTGCGTTCTCAGTGTTTATGATTTTTATTAGCGCTTTTATACGTCAACGACAACGTGTTCGAGGTAGTTCTGTGCCCAATCACGCAACCGAAAGCGAAGACGAGACATTGACATCGTGCAATGAAGATGTCCAACGGTGCAACACCACAACCCGCCGCGCTCAGCTTCTTGAAGCCGTTGTCCTTATTACAGACATCGTCATCAGCTGTATCTTCATTACGACTAGCCAGGATCCAGGAAAAGCTCTCGGAATTCTACTCCTGTCTCTGTATCTAGTGGCGCTCGTGGGAGCGAGGCGCCTTGGTTGGCAACTACAAGCTAGTCTATACGCACACTCTGAGGCCATATACTATGCGCAATGGATTTGCTTCTTCCTCACCATACCATCGCATCTCGCCATTGCACCTATCAGCACGACCTGGGTCTTCTCCTTGGCGCATATGGTTCTGTTCAGCGGACTGATATGCGTTTTTTGGGCCGCTCCACAGCTTCCACAGGACAGCAAGCATGCGGCTCGAAGCGAGACAGCCACCCGCATATCGCAATTATCCTTCTCATGGATGGACGAGCTTTTATGGAAAGTTTTCAGAGCAGGCCCGCTCCAGCAAATCGACCTATATCCTCTCAGTCCGAAGCTCGCCGCCGCCGCCGTCATACCTGACTTCCGCGACAACACGACTACTTCGCTGTCTTTACTCTTACGGCTTTTTCAATACTTTGAGATCGACTTCCTCCAACAAGTCGCCTGGGCCACGGTCACTGATGTGGCTGTCTTTGTGCCTCCACTTCTCATCAAGCTCATCCTGGAGCACCTTCAGTCTCCGGACCATGGCCCAGCAAGCACACCGTGGCTGTACGTGTCTTGCTTGCTCATAGCAAGTCTTGTCACTGGCGCATCACGATGTCAATGTGAATGGATGGGTGATCAAATTTCTTCCCGAACAAGAACCGTCCTTCTGGATGAGATCTACGCCAAGATTCTCCGAAGGCGGATGGAGAGGCCGTCTTCAGGAGAGGAAAAGGTGGGAAAGGAGGACCAACACACCTCCGACGGCACTATCTTCAACTTTGTTGCGGCAGATGTGCATTTCATCAGTTTCATAAGTGGCTTCCTCTATCTCATCTGGGTGACATTCCCGGTCCAGATTACCATCGGGACTTGGCTCCTCTATCAGATCCTAGGCGTCAGCGGCATACTCGGCATGGCCTTCATGGTCGCTCTGCTGCCTCTGAACATATTCTTGTCAAGGCGCCTTGGCGCGGTGCAGGCCAAAGTCATGCAAGCTGGTGATTCACGGATCCAGGCCAGCAATGAGCTTCTCAACGCGATCCGTACGATCAAATTTAATGCGTGGGAGGTCTCTTTCAAAGAGCGTGTACTGGAGAAAAGACATCTGGAGATAAGAACGATGCGCACTTACTTCATCTGGTGGTCGATCGCCCGGACACTCTTTTACTCGATTCCCTCCATCATCACGATTATTACCTTGCTCTTTTATACGGTTGTCTTTGGCCAGACGCTTACGACGTCCGTTGCTTTCCCGGCCTTGGCCACTTTCGCAGTGGTGCGAGCCCCCCTGAGTAAAGGTTCGTAACCTCCCATCCGTCTTTATTCTTGCCTACTGAGGAGCCTTTCATAGCTGACTCTTGATAATCCTTTCAGTGGCCGACTCAATCACTTTTCTAATCAAAGCCTATATGTCGCTCTGCCGCATTGGTCAATTCCTGCAGACGAATGAGACGGCCAAATACACGCAGGCTGCCGCTACGCAGTCAACATTTGTTGGCTTCAGTCATGCCACCCTGACATGGCCCACTAGCGGAGCTGCTGAAGAATCCCTAGAATCTGGTGAAGAGACGGCACTGCTGGCGAATGAACAACCGCCAGTCAAGTTCAGACTTGAAAATCTGGATATGATATTCCGGGAAAACGCTCTGAATATTGTGTGTGGGCCAAGCGGCTCGGGAAAGTCATCCTTGCTTCTTGCTTTGATGGGAGAAATGCAGCTCGAGGCCGGCCAGGTCTTCTCTCCATCCGTAAGTGGCACCAGGATGGCCCGGAGGAGCACTTATGGCCCAAACAGTGACTTCCCGACTGAACTAGACAACACAACTGCATATTGCCCTCACGAGCCCTGGATCCTGAATCAAAGCATACGCGCCAATATCCTGCTCGGCCTACCTTTCAACGGCACGCGATACGAAGAGGTGCTGCACTCTGTCGCCCTGCACGCGGACCTGGCCAGTTTGAAACGTGGCGACCAGACCGTGGCGGGAGAGAATGGAAGCCGGCTGTCTGGTGGGCAACAGCAACGCGTGTCTCTTGCCCGAGCACTGTATAGCACCTCGAAATATATGTTTTTGGATGACTGCCTGAGTGCCTTGGACTCTCACACTGCTCGGCATGTCTTTTTTCAAGCGATCAAAGGGCCTCTGATGGATGGGCGCACATGCGTGCTTGCTACTCACCACACGCACTTGGCTGTACCGAACTCTGACTTTGTGGTCAAGCTTGAGGCTGGGAGGGTTTCTGCGCAAGGTGCTCCTGGAGAGGTTGACAACAAAGACACGTATGAAGCGAAGATATCGAAAAGTAACGAACGTTTGGGGGAAAATATCGAGTCTCAGAATGAGGCTTGGGGTGCTTCTGATCCTATGGAAGCCTCACAAGTTGGAAAGCCGCCCGACGCACAAGAAGAAGATGATGAAGAAGGTGATGATGATGAGAGCAAGGCAGAAGGCTCAGTGTCGTGGTCCGTTATGAAAGATTACCTCAAGTCCATGGGACACACGATCTTTTGGATCACGGTTGCCGTTGCATTTGGCGTGCAGCAGTTGAGCGGCTTGAGTATGAATCTCTGGGTCCAAGAATGGGCATCCCAGTACGGTAATCTGGGCCGAAAACGAGACCAAGTGAGTTCTCACAGCTCGCAGGTTGCCGAGAAGGTACCAGCCTGGTACTACCTCTCTATCTACACTGTTCTATGCCTCGGCTTTGCGGTCATCACATTCTTGCGTGACATCCTCACATTCTCGGCGTCACTCAAAGCATCCTCAGCCATTTACGAACGTCTGCTCGACTCGGTGCTTTTCGCCAAACTGGCCTTCTTCGACCGCCCTATCGGCCAGATCATCAATCGTCTGTCCAAAGACATATCCGCCGTGGACCAGTCGCTGGCCTCCTTCACACTTACTGCGGTGCAGCTTACAGCAACAGTGTTGATGATTGTCCTTCTTATGGTCTGGGTTCTACCTGGAAAGCTGGTCCTGATCCTCTTGCTTGCAGGCATTTTTGCCTTGTACTACCTTATCACGGCCGTATACATCCGTGGAGCACAGGACCTCAAGCGAATAGAGGCCATCTCCCGATCGCCCCTGTACCAGCATGTAGGCGAGACCATTGCTGGCTATGTGAGCATCCGCGGCTACGGGCGAGAAGCCATGTTTACCAAGAAGCACGGCACCTTGGTCGACGGCCTCAACCAGCCAACCCTGCTCCTTCAGGCCAGCCAGCAGTGGCTCTTGGTGCGTGTCGACATGCTCAGCAGCATCGTCATCTTCGTGGTTGGCGTTTTCATCATCTGGAGCGCCCGGTCGATCGATGCTGGTGCTGCTGGTTTGATCTTGACGTACGCTGCGACGTTCACCGAGCACATGCAGTGGCTTGTGCAGATTTACGGGTTGGTACAGCAGCATTTGACATCTGTCGAGAGGATAGCTGAGTACATTTCCATCGAGAAAGAGACTTCCGGTCCAGTGCAAGGACATGATCGTCATAGTTCGCAGACTGTGCCGGAGAATTGGCCAACACAACAACAAGGTGGCGTGCGATTCCACAGCTTTACCGCTCGCTATGACGAGCATCTTGAGCCTGTTCTTCGTGGGATCAACTTACAGGCCAAGCCAGGCGAGAGACTTGCCATAGTCGGTCGTACAGGCGCCGGTAAGTCGTCCATGGCACTGGCACTCCTCCGAGTCTTGGAGGCCGACCGGAACGACGGAGGCCGCATCGAGATAGACGGAGTTGACATTGCCAACGTCAACCTCTCCAGACTCCGAGGCCAGGCTGTCACCATGGTCTCTCAAGAGCCACAGCTCTTCAACGGCAGCGTGCGCACCAACCTGGACCCTCTGGGACAACACAGCGACGCCGAGATAGCGGACGTGCTGCGCTCCATGCATCCACCACGTCAGAAGCACGACCCTGGCAGCAGCCCAGACCTGCTCCGTGACCTCCTACAGCCCGAAAACGCTCTCTCGCGCGGCCAGCGCCAGCTCCTGTGCGTTGCGCGTGCCATACTCAGGCGGTCCGGCGTTCTGATCCTCGACGAGGCCACAGCCAACGTCGACCACGCTGCAGACGCCGCCATCCAGGCAGGCCTGCGGAGTCAGGTCGCTGCTGGGACGACAGTGATCACCATCGCCCATCGGCTGTTGACAATCGCAGACTATGATCGCGTCGTGGTTCTCGATGCTGGGCGGGTGGTGGAGGAGGGTTCTGTCCGGGAGCTGCTTGGGCGGGATGGAGGTGAGGGGGTGTTTCGGCGGCTGTGCGAGGAGTCGGGGCATTTGATGGAAATTTTGCAAGCAGCTAAATGACGGGACTGAAGGAGTGAGCAAGTGATTCGTGGATGGGCTGACGGTGTACTGCGGTGTAAATTCATTAAGTTTTGTCAGACTAATTGCCTTGTCCAACATCAGTTTCTCGGACCGTGAACGTATGTGTCTAGGTTATTGCATTTGGTCAAGGGACTCCTGAAGGCACGAGCATGGAGTACATGAAATTACATATATGCTCGCTTTCTTAAGTGACCGAAAGGGGCCATCATTGTTTGTAGCTTCTCTAGTCCCCAAGCTGCGATCTAAAATGCTTTTTCTATTGATTACCTGTCTAACCAATAACCCTTCATGCTTCCTGAGCCTTGACGAAGGCAACCAAAGAAGAGCCATGTGGCAGGACGACGCCTACCTTGGACACAGCCCACAGTATTAGAATCAACCCAACCCAGTGCAACATGCCCCTCGCAATGATAAATCGCTTGACCATCTTCATGTTCTTCTGGTCGTTCATCCTCGGGTATTCCTTTTCCTGTGGCACCTTGCTCCTCCCCAGAAACCCACAGAGTGACAGCCACCCATCCTCCGCCACGAATTCCAGCACCTGCCGGCCCCTCTTCTTGGCTTCCTCCCTCACCCATTCATTATGCCTCTCATAGATCTCCTCATCGCGAAAGGTATACCCCCATCGCTGCATGAACAGATCGTCCGTTGCCTTCATCATCCGCATCATCGCCCGGTCGCTCTGCACGAGGAACGTCGCCACCCAGAAGCCCCAGCTGTCGAAGAAGCGCAGCCCCTCCCCGAAGCTCCGGTGCCAGCTTGCGGCGCCGCCCTTGCGCGTGTTGAGGATGATGGCCGCGTCGGGATACATGTCCATCAGATCGTCTGCAAAGACGATGCTGGGGAAGTCTGCAACGGCCCCGAAGCCCGTGAACAGTTGCGCGAGGATCTTGTGGCGCTTGGCGGTGTCGTGCTCGAGGATGGCGGCCGTGACGAGGCGCTGACGCTCGGCGGATGGTTGGACGTGCGCCATATGCATGCATGGTGTGTAGCCCAAAGTCTCGAGGGCGGACTGGAGGGACGAGGTGGCACATCGGGGGAGGCCGAGGGCGAGGACGCGGGGGTGGAGAGTGGTGTCGACGTCCTGAGGGACGAGGGTTTCGTGAACGAAGCGAACCATGGTCGCATAAAGAAACACAAAATAGCAAAATGCTGTGTAGTTTGTTGTCTGCTGCAAGACGGCGTGAGAAAGTTGATGGTGGTTTTGTGGGATGTGTCTGAGACTCGAATCCAAGGAGGCAAAAACAAGACAGCCACTCCAATTCAGTGGGCTTATTTCTATAGTCGAACAGACACTCGCTTAAAGAAACATTGTTGGTAGTCCAGTCTATTTTATATCTTGTTGGTCTAGTAATTCAAGACTGGCGTCGGTTTTCCCCCATGCAGTGATTATACACCATGTCGAATCCTCGGCCTCAGGATGTTCGGTCCCGAGCAGTCGGCCGGGGTGCTGGTCGCAGAGACAGCTGAAGCGGCCGAGACCCCCGCAGGATCCTAATAGCTCTCATTTTTCTTCAAAGAGGGGCGGTACCGACATGACCATACAAGCACGTGGTAATCCTCTGAATTTGTCCAATGGGATGTTTCCGCATCGACGCCCTGTGTACTTTCGGCACCGGTACGCTCTTCCACCTCACAAGGGTTGAGATCTCGTGAGCTTCAAGGAAACGAGCCCGTGGGATTGTCGGGACTAGCATGAAAGATCAGACAGCCATAAGAGGAAGATGTGACCATGTGCACGCCTTGTAGGAATTCGTAGATGCCCTTTCGGACTCGACGAGCTCCGTAGGGACAATATTGCAAGATGCCGCACCGAGGAACCTCGGATCCCTGGCTGAGCCAACAAGCATGGGGAAACCCGTTCCTTTCCCAGATCGCCTCCGAATGCGTTGAGGATTGTGAAGGATCCATGACGAGTCTTGTTGGCCGAAGAGGAAACGGGCAAAGAGAATGACTCCTCGGCCGCAGATGAGCCAAATTTCAAGCTGACAAGAGACACTCTGCGCGGAGTCCGTACCTGGCAGGAGGCCGACACCCGAGCAGCATCTCCGCAGCTTCACAGGAGTTGAGGCGTCCAATCGAAAGCTGCACTATGGAGCTGCCAAGCTGCACATGTGCTGCTAGGTGCCGTCGTGGGACGTGAAGTGGCTCTGACATGCCTCGTACAAGCCTTGCCTGCTGGATGGTGAAACCCGACACATGACAGACCGTCCGGTAGGCATTTGTCGAAGCACAAATTCCTTTCTCAACGAAGCCAACAAGGCCGGATGTATTCTGTCCTGTCATCTCCTAGCACGTTCTCTCACTTCCTCATTCAGCCCACAAGGCATTCAGTTGTTCCAGTACTTTTGAAGATTCATTCCATCTTCGATGTGTCCAGCAAGGGCAGCCGTACCATGTGAGAGTCAGTACTGGAGATGTCCGTCTCCTCACAGCGACACTTGGGTCAAGACCGTGAACTCTTCCGGTCGACACATGGTACGTCGAAGCGGACAGTACAGCCTTTGTTCACTGCTTGCCGCAGTGGTTGGCGACTTGTGTCCAAGGAGAAGAAAAGAGAAAGGCTTCCCAAGAGTTGGTCAAGGGTCTGTGGCAGAGACATCAGACCCGTGCCCCGAGTGTCGGATATCTTTGCAGTGACCTAGTACTTTATCTTCTGGCATCGCGGCCTTCGTTTTGAAGTCTTCGGTCAGAGTGGGCGATTTTGCTTCTCCTGGTGTGACGCGCTGGAGGGCGGAGAAAACGGCGGGCGATAGCTGAGCTGAGGACGACATCAGAGTGGCAAGGCCATAGTTCTGAACCGGAAGATCTGTCACGACCCGTGGGCGCGGTCTCGTCGTACCTGCTGACGAGCCCTCACTCGCGGCGCTCGGCTCAGCAACAGCCTGTCCCTGCTGGGTTATCGTCTCCTCGAGAGATCCTAAGCGCTGCAAATATTCCCTCCGAAGTTTGAGCTTCTCATGTTTGTAATACACAAAGTAATAATATAACCACATGAGGAAGAAGATGGCGGACGCAGAGCCGACTGCAAGTCCCACGATACTAGCCGTCGTGAAACCACCGTGATCGCTGTTGTTATCATCTTCTGAGGTCGTAGTGGTGGGACAAGCATTTAATGAGCAACGGCGGAGTATGTCGAGAAGTGGGCGTGCTCCAGCTGCTGCGAATTGCGTGCAGAAGATGAGCAGTCTGGAGGCCGGGGAGCCCGGAACCCGCCTGCGGGCCATCGCTGGTGATCGTGTCGATGAGCACAGCAAGTCTGCGAGAGCGCCCGAGGATGTCGAGAGAGCAACAGCTCAGAGAAAAGTGACCTTAACCAACATGACACTTGCTATGGACGAGCCGTGGAGAAGCGCAGAAGAATGCCATCTGTCAAGAGAAGGATGGTTTCCAAGGTTTCCACGGAGAAGATGATGATCAGGAGTCGACACAAGCTTGATTTCCCGAAGAGGTGTAGGCCCAGCTTTGTCAATTGGGAATATGGAGTTCCTTCAGCCCTATCTGCAGAGGACGAGAGCGAGGCGGTAAAGTATATGAAACTTAATTCTTCATCTCACTACTGTAAGACCAAGAGGAAGAAGGATGTAACGAAAACAATATCACCACATGTCAGTTGTGGATACGAACTTGTAGTTCCGACTCGAGAGGGTGATGAGGGGTGTGACCTGCCAGAAACAGGATAGACAGGAGAAGAGCATGCCTGCACACCTTTCCCAAAACTCCTACCAATCGATAGGGATCGGTAAGAATTGGAAGCATACCAAATACTTCTAGAAGGATGTTAGTCTGGTAGGATTTGCATAGCACACTTCCGCGCAGGTTGTGCAGGGGGCATGATCAAGGAACGTGTGCAAGCCCCCTTCCACCCTCCAATTGAACTCGTGAACCGAAGAAGGGACAGACGTGACTGGTTGAAGGGTATGTGATGAAGCACCTGCCTCGTCAGGTGGCATACCTTAGATATACAGGAAGTCCAAACAATCCATCCAGATTGTCTTCAGTCAGTCAGTCAGACAGTCAGTACTACACATCCGAGCATTGGGGGCTTCTCGAGTCCCTCTGAGGGGGGTGTTTGGGGACCAGGAAGAGGTCACGTCACTGCCTCCATGAAGCTCTCTTTTGATCTTTGGTCTATCATATCAGCCGGGGAGATAACCTGCTAATGGTACCGGAGACTGATAGTGTTAGATGCCAAATTGGGTCCAACCTGCAGGTCGATCGATGGCAGCGCCTCTCGTGATGGGGGGACTGAACGACGCCATCGCAGAAATAACAGAATTGATGGAATCCGTTCAAAAGTGACAATTAGTGGGACATGGTGATTGTCATTTTTCCAGAAAGTTTGAGAGAAAGAAAAAAAGAAATATGAAGATAACAATGACCAACAACGGAATCAGAGCAAGGTGGAAGCTTTTGCGACGAAGCTATCCGCACCTTCAATCTCTCCGATGAGGTTGAGGGAGGCTGTCCAGGGCCTGGCTGCCCTGAGCTGGGGTAACCTGGACCATCCTCCTTAACACGTCAGGGGGTGCCAGCGCAGAGGCTCAGTTAGGTGGCTCCTTTCCCATACTCTTTCTCTCGCCACAGTCAATACTGGCGGCCTTTTTACCCACTGGACCCTCAGGTTGCGTGGCACAGCCTCTTCTTATTCAGCGACAGGCGGTCGCATAAGCCGCCCGCGTAATGCGACACATCTCACACCAACGTAACCCCCCTCCACCTCCTCACACTTCCTTTCAGGCAGAACATCTTCCTTCTCTCTTGCTCCTCCTTCTCCTCCATCCACCACCACCATCACATAATCGCCGTTAGACCTCCAGTTTCGGGAAACACGAGGTAGAACTCCGTTGTTGCTCATGCTGTCGACACCCCCGTTCAGTCGAACTGGTCTCTAATCTCCAAGCAGATTGACATCTGAGGGATCCGCCGTCGGGTGGACCGTATCCTGTTTAGCGGCAATAAGCACAACCAAAGCCCCCGGAATAGCACTGGCCCGGACGTCATATCTCACTGCTGTGCAGCCTGGACAGAGGGTCGATAAGGGACGAGAACAGAATCATCACCGAGACAACCCATCCAGCCTAAAGCATCATCATCATCTATAAACTTTTTTCCTTCTTTTCCTCTTCTTTCTCCTTGTCGCAATCATGACCTGGGAACTTACACGCCGTCGCTTTACTCGAGCGATCAACAGCAAATACATCTATGATCGCATCGTAAGTCTACTGTGTCCTCCAGCCTCAGTCTGACTCGCCTGGCAATTGCAGTCCGAGTGTCCCTAACGCCTCCTGTGTGGACCACCACGAGCTCCCACCGACCACATTCCTTGTCTTGGTGTCGTCATGTCCTCTTCCAACTCTTTACCTCGACGACGATCAACCACAAACACACATCCAACCATCTTTTACTCACCCGCTCACAACCCTAATCTGAAGCACATTTGCTAATTCTTCTATTGCTACCTCTTTTAGCCACTTCTGCACGCCATCATTTTCCTAATTGAAATGACTATCGTCGCACGGCTCGTGTCTAGGTACAATGCCTACTACAGCGAACGTCCAGGTATGCTATATTGGGAGCCCAGATGACGATGGCGTCGAATCGATGCGTTATTCATGGTTCGCAGTGCAATACTGATGCTCGCAATACACAGTCCTCACCATGATGGTGACCAACGCCGTCCTGGGTGGCATAGCTGACACCGTCGCCCAGTCCATCACTGCCATCCGCGAGCGCTCCCTCAGAAAGCGATCCCCCAGCGCCCGCGACGACAACATGGCCTTCGAGCTGGACGCCAAGGATCCCTTCACTGAGCGCGAGCTCATTCCCGAGTCCAAGCAGCTGCCTCCGCCCTTCGATTTCGAGCGGCTGACAAGGTTCATGGCCTATGGTTTCGGCATGGCGCCCATACAGTTCAAGTGGTTCAAATTTCTGGAGAAAACATTCCCCATCACAAAATCTGCCGCTTTCGCCCAGGCCATGAAGAGGGTTGCCTTTGACCAGCTCATCTTTGCTCCTCTGGGCCTGGTCTGGTTCTATACCGCCATGACTGTTGCCGAGGGCGGTGGTCGACGGGCTGTCTATACGAAGCTCCGGGACATGTACGTCCCGACGCTCAAGGCCAACTACGCTGTGTGGCCTGCGGTGCAGGTCATCAACTTCCGTTTGATGCCCGTCCAGTTCCAGCTTGTGAGTTCACACCTTGAAACGGTGGTCGACGTCGCAGGAATTCGCTCTACTGACCTTTCAAATTTTTGTGCAGCCCTTCGTTTCCACCGTCGGTATTGCATGGACTGCCTACCTCTCCCTCACCAATGCTGCTGAGGACGTGGCCCAGCCTATTGCTGCTTCGAACAACCCCAACATCCGCCTGGAGTAGATGTGTTGTTGTAAGCGCATGGACACTGGTACATATTCTTGTGTCACTGTTACTGGCTACGATCGGCAATGAACCTAGACTTCCTCTTGTCTCTCGGGCATCATCAAGGCGCTGGTATGAACCTCTGGTTCCTGTAAATGGTCTTGTATATACGCAGAGTCTGCTTGGGTCACACGGCGTTGGTACACTGTCCTTCTTGGGTCTGACTGGGTTGGACGGTCTCAATTTCATATGGTACATTCTACTTGGTTTTCAATGGATCAATGATGGTACTGACCCGTCAGAAACTTCGAATCTCTCTCAAATGCAAGAGAACTACAGTATTGACTGCCTCGGCAGGCTGCAATGACTATTCGACCAGTATACTAAGTACGGCCGTATAATCCCTCTTATCAGACGTGTCCGCCGCGGCCTTGTTCCACATTGTCGAAGTTTGCATATGCATTTTGGCGTCTGTAGGAATGACGATGATGCATAGTTCGACATTTTGGCGAGAGTCCAACAAAAGGGTTCATGCTCTCAGTACTTAAGTCAATGGCCAGTGAACATGTCGAACAGGGTACTCAATTTGAGTTCTCCAAGCAACCTAAACCACTTCATTCTCCCTCCTACCACTATGGTAAGTCTCTGGTATTCAATAAGCCAGGCTTCTGAGCATAGGCATTCGAGAGTTGAATGGAGCCAAAGCATGCAATGAGTCGCTCACCGGAAGGATAGGATAATAATATCAATGCTATCGATGATGATGGAAAGGGGAAAGGGGAGAAAGAAAAATGCCGACAGGCTTGTTGACAGGTGATTCTGACATCGGCATCTTTCCGGCCCCTTCGAGAGCGAGAGTCAAGGATCGATCGATAGCCCATTCTTTTCCAAAAATTTTATGAAACGGTTCACTCGGCTGAACACGAGATCGGAGAGGGCCAAGTCTCGAAACCTCTGTACCAAAACCTCCTGATTCTGAACTATCAACGCCGAGAAATACCGCGGCGAGAGAATCAGCTGAGGACTGCAGCCCACCACCCACTCACTTCTGGCGCGCTCCGAACCCGACGTCACTAGGGGAGAGACTCCACTGGGCATCGACCCCGCCCCCACTATACATACTAATAAACCTCTCTCCTGCGCTTTTTCTGCCCCAGTGCTGCAGCTATCTAAACACCTCCCGTCACTGATTCTCTCCTCCTAGAGACATACGTACAAGTCAAACTCGCCTACATTTCCAATACCACAAGTTCTCCCTTTTTCTCAATTGATACCCTTGCGAACCTCGCCAAGATGTCTCTGGCCAGCAAGCTTTCCATCACTGATGTTGACCTCAAGGGCAAGCGAGTCCTTATCCGGGTGAGTTGCATCGGCTGATTCCAGCTGTCCCATTTGGCCGAGAGACTTCTACCCTCTATGCGTTGCACCTGCCCGGTCCTCCTTCCCAGAGATACGAGTGTCGAGATTTTCGCTCTCTACAGCCCTCCTTGAGCTTTCTTGACACATCGTGCAGCTGTGCTTATGGATGTTGAAAGGATGGAGGGCTCGTGAGTTAAGAAGATGGATTGCTTGTGTCGAGAGCTATCTAGACATCCAAAGATTCCCTACAGATTAAGGTCGCTAACAATAATCTCTGAATAGGTCGACTTCAATGTGCCCCTCGATGCGGACAAGAAGGTGACCAACAACCAGCGTATCGCGGGTGCTATCCCGACCATCAAGTATGCAGTCGACAACGGCGCCAAGGCCGTGATCCTCATGTCCCATCTCGGCCGGCCCAATGGCAGCGTGAACGCCAAGTACAGCCTGAAGCCCGTCGTGCCCGAGCTGGAGAAGCTGCTGGGCAAGTCTGTCACCTTCGCCCCCGACTGCGTCGGCTCGGAGGTCGAGGAGATTGTCAACAAGACACAGGGCGGCGGCGTGGTCCTGCTGGAGAACCTACGCTTCCACATCGAGGAGGAGGGCTCTGCCAAGGACAAGGAGGGCAACAAGACCAAGGCGGACAAGGAGAAGGTCGCAGAGTTCAGGAAGGGCCTGACTGCTCTGGGTGATGTCTACATCAGTAAGTAGAAGACTCTGGGCTCCAGACCACTTCCCTTGGGATCTCTGATCAATGTGCTAATGATAAATCCCTGTGCAGACGACGCCTTCGGCACCGCCCACCGTGCTCACTCCTCCATGGTTGGTGTGGATCTCCCACAAAAGGCAGCCGGTTTCCTCATGAAGAAGGAGCTCGACTACTTCGCAAAGGCCCTGGAGTCGCCCCAGCGGCCCTTCCTCGCCATCCTCGGCGGCGCCAAGGTTTCGGACAAGATCCAGCTGATCGACAACCTGCTGGACAAGGTGAACACGCTGGTGGTGTGCGGCGGTATGGCCTTCACTTTCAAGAAGACCCTGTACAACGTCCCCATCGGCACCTCTCTCTTCGACGAGGCCGGCGCCAAGACGGTGCCCCAGCTGATCGAGAAGGCCAAGAAGAACGGCGTCAAGGTCGTTCTGCCCGTCGACTACATCACCGCCGACAAGTTCGACGCCAACGCCGCCACCGGCAAGGCCACGGATGCCGACGGTATCCCCGACGGCTGGATGGGTCTGGACTGCGGCGAGGAGTCCATCAAGCTGTACAAGGAGGCCATCGATGAGGCCAAGACCATTCTGTGGAACGGCCCGGCGGGCGTGTTCGAGTTCGAAAAGTTTGCCAACGGCACCAAGGCTACTCTCGATGCCGCTGTGGCTGCGGCGCAGAGCGGCAAGATTGTCATTATCGGCGGTGGTGATACCGCCACCGTTGCTGCCAAGTATGGTGTTGAGGACAAGCTGTCTCACGTCTCCACTGGTGGTGGTGCCAGCCTGGAGCTTCTCGAGGGTAAGGAGCTCCCTGGCGTGACGGCGCTGTCGAGCAAGTAAGTCTGGGTATTTTCAAGACGAGCGGCTAGGGAAGTCCTGCGGGATGGGATTGCTGATGATACTCGTTCGAGTGGAAAGGTTGGGAAAAGCCATTGCTAGTCTTTAGCTTGCACGTCATAGAGAAAGTACGAGAATGCAAAATAAAAAAAAGATACTTCAAAAGAACTATTGCATGTCCTCCCCCCCTTTTTGTTGAGAAAGCACTACGAGAAACGACCGCGATAAGTCATCTGTGGGATATTTCAGATTCATTTCTCATTAATGTAGTCTATGCCGTAGTCAACCGGCCCGTCTCGCTCTAGCATCCTCCCTAGAGCATCTGCCTGTTTTGGTCTCGGATGCATGTTGTACACGAGGCTGACATTTAGAAACGCATGGCTCATCCTCATGGAAGTTTTGTCGATAGGATGTAGCGTGGTATCAATATCCATCTGCCCTCGTGAGGTGTTCCTGCATATCCAGCCCTTACGAAGCCTCCTCAAGACCCGTTACACTGGGGCTCGATATCGCTAGATCCAGGCGCTATGGAGCCCATGCTGGAGCTATATTCCGTAGTATGTACGGACACAGACCCGTCGGTGTCGTGGCCGTGACCGTGGCCATCCTACCGGCGCTTTGAGGACTCGACTTTCTTGTGCTCCTCCCTATGCGTTCAAAAGAGGGTCAGCCAACCGCATATACCTCTTAGGTAGTTATAGGGTGAAAGTGAATGTTGTTGTCCCCCCTGCCCACCAAGGAGGGGGGGGGGGGGCGGGGAGTGGAGGATGTTGCCCGAGCTTGGCTATCGTGCACCCAGCCGACGAGGGGGCCTGCGTGGGCTATGGTGTGGTGTGTACATACTGGAGCTGCTTCGAGAAATCATCGCTCGTGTCGTCGTCATCCCAAGACTCCTCCCACAGGTGCTTCGTCGTCTCGCCGCTGTTAGCAGCCTCTGTCTCCTCTGCTGGCCAATCTATGATGTTTGAGCACGGCGTCAGCCAGGAAGTCCCATGTCTCTGTCCTAGGAGAGAAGCGGTCGGTCGCCAAAAGTCTTCTTTATCAGAGAGCGTACGTACCCTCGACGGGGAAATCCTCGAACTCGTCGTCTTCCTCCAGCGCGATGTTCTTGGTGGCGTCATCGGGCTTGCCTGCTTCGTTAGAAGCGGCGGGTTGATTCTCTTTTTGGGGGGCGGCAGAGGCCATATTGTTGAGATACGCTGGGTGGTTAGGACTGGGTGGAAAACAAGTTTTGAGTATTCGTTGTATGGAGTAGTAGTATGAAGGTGTCTTTTTGTATGGTTGGTTGTTAAGACTCTTGTTGCTTGAAGTTGAGCCTGTGAAGCAATCGAGCGTGGGCAAGCTATGAGTGGTAGTAGTAGGAGGTCTTCGAGCTCCAGCGGCAGGCACCAAGCTGCTGACGGATACTTTGGGGCCTGGGAGCAACCCCCCCCCCCCCCTCTCCCCAAAATTGGTATTTGCGCCCCTCCTTGTGGCTTGTTCCTTTCGCCGTGGCTAGTGCTCAACGCCCCAATTCCAGGCTCAAGCCCAGCCCGCCCCCCCCCTACCTTGAATCCCACCCTCTGGCCTTTCATCCAGGCCTTTCTGTCATCTCGCTGATGACGGGTACCTCGCTAATCCAGCTCCACTAACTTACGGCTGACCCTGCCGACTAGATGAATAACTCAGCATAGTGCCGGAGATACCGGCGTCTCACAGCATCAATGCAGTATGGAAGGGAATATGCTGCGGAGTAGGATTTTTGTATCATTTATGGTAGGGCTGGATCTTGGTTGGTAGTACTACGATTGGATTGCACGGCAAGGCAGATGGGTTCCCTTCAGCCTACTTGTGGATGTCACCCCCAAGTCAGCCTTTCTCCTTCTACTCTCTGCCTCGTCTTCTATCTCCAGCCCTCGCCCTCACCCCCTCGAGGCAGTGCTGACGTGCCTGGTCTTCGGTGACGGACCTTGGGAACTGCAAGCGTTTTTCCTTTCTTTTCTTTCGAGACGTCGCAGCCTTTTTTTCTCTGCGGCATATATATACTAACTAGCCCGTCGCGTACGTCATCTTTTCAATTCTGTTTCTCTAGACGAGGCTAGAACGAAGACTTGCTCCGTATAGAAAAAGAGAGAGCGAGGTCTTTCCTACAAGTCACTGCCAGCCAAGAACACGAATACGAACAAGCCCACAGTTCGTTCAACAACTGTCTGTGATCGAGCAGCGACAGCATACATACAACCGCTTCTGTTTTTTTCGATTGTTGCCATTGCATCCTGTATCTTTTGAGCTTTGCATTCCTGAGGGACATGGCTGGTTTGTAATGGTCGAGTACTCAGCTTGTCCTGCAGCAAAAGATCATCGTCATCATCCCGAACGCCGGATACACACCCAACCCGCTTAGAGTGTCTCACAGTTCTCGTCGAGTCTCACAAGAAAGAAAAAGACGTGGACTCATCAGGCGTAGAAGTCATCAATCACCATGCGCTCCTGGTTCAAATCCAGCGGCTCCGGGTCTTCGAAGCCCGGCAGCATCCTCTCCTCCAGCCGCAACACCAGTACCAACCAAGTCGCTGACGCGCGTGATGTGGAGATCTCCGATCTGCACGATGCGATGGAAGCCACGAGCCGGATTCTCAACGATGATATCCAGGGTGCGGAGGCGCAGCTACGGGCTCGACAGGACTCGTCCGCGTTTCACCAGCTCGGCCTCGGCATAGCCGTGTTCATGCGGTCCATCCTCGGCTTTGAGAAGGACATCATGACCGAGGCTTCGGCCCGGCTGGCTGAGTGTGAGAGCCGTGCCTGGAGTGAAATGAAGAAGGCCCAGAAGCAGGCTGACGGCGGTGGCGGCGGCGGCTGGTTCAGAGGTGGGGCCAGCGGCGGCGGAACGTCTGTCTCTGCAAAGGGCTGCGAGATGTATCCGCCTGGCACCGAGTACCAGCTGGTGAATGCCGAGGCACAGATCATGGGGGCTATCGTCTCTGTCATGCACGAAAGCCTGACTGAGGGCATCAAGGGATTCTATAAGCTGCGGAAGGCTTTCATCGCGCTCGACGCCATTATGGAAACAGAGGCCAAGATATTGGCGGCACAACAGGGCAATGGCGCCGCGAAAGGACCGAATGCGCCGCCGACTCTGGATCAAGGAGCTGTTGGCTCTCAGAAGAACACCGACTCTGACAGCGATCTTGAGTTTGTGGATGCTGCAGAGGAAGAACCGCGAACATCAGCCACCTACGGGGGCCACCTCGAGGGAATCAACGGCTCGATCCTCGAGAAGGACTTAAACGGACTCACTCTCGACACGCCAGTAGCGTCTTCCGTACCGTCAACAAGACCAGACACACCCGCCGCCCAAGAGCAGTCCGGGTCTCCCTTACCGAGCCCACCTAGGACGACACTCCGTGCCAACGCCGGTCCAGACTCTTCACTCTTCACGAACCCCGTCGATATCTTCGTACACTCTGGGGCTAACATGTGCTTCGGCACACTCTTGCTCATCATCTCCATGGTCCCGCCTGCGTTCTCCCGCCTGCTGTACATCATTGGGTTCAAAGGTGATCGCAATCGTGGCGTACAGGTAAGTCAACCCATCAATGTGGCTGGTGTTCTAGCAAATCATGGCTAGTTTACCTCACGCCATTCTTGAGAACCTTTCGAATAAGAATACAAATAACTGACGACTGTTATTGCTCAGATGCTCTGGCAGTCGACCAAGTTCTCAAATGTCAACGCTGGTGTCGCGGGCCTTATGCTTCTCTCATATTACAATGGCCTGCTTGCCTTCACAGACATCTTGCCTTCGGAGGCTGACACGGCTGAGCTCGCTGAGGAGGACGAGATTGTGGGGTATCCTAAGGAGCAATGCACCGCCTTGCTCGAGCGCATGTGTGCGCAGTACCCCGATAGCCGCATATGGAAGGTTGAGGAGGCGCGTGTCCTCGCCAATGCACGAAAGCTGCCCGAAGCGATCGAGGTGCTCAAGGCCAACGGCGACAGCAAGATGCGGCAGGTGACGGCGCTTAACGAATTCGAGCTGTCCGTCAATGCTCTGTTCATGATGGACTGGCAGACGATGAAAGAGGGCTTTCTGAGGTGTATCGAGCTGAATGACTGGAGCCACAGCCTGTATTACTACTTTGTCGGGTGTGCGGAGCTAGAAATGTACCGGGATGCAGTGCAGGCTTTGAAGAAGGAGGGCATCAGCGAGCAGGAGAAGTCGACCCTCGAAACGGAAGCGAAGAGGCACAAGAAAACTGCGGAGGAATACTTCCGCAAGAGCCCTGCGGCGGCCGGACGGAAGAAGTTCCTGGCGAGGCAGATGCCCCTCGAGATGTTTGCTCAAAGAAAAGTCGCGAAATGGGAGTCGAGAGCCAAGGAATGGGGTCTCGACCTTGCCGATGCGGCGGGAGTAAGTCCTGGCCAGGAAATGACGTACCTGTGGACAGGGTCGAAAAGAATGACAGATGATGCTCTCGAAAACGCTCTCGGGTGCCTGGCCTGGGAGAGGTGTACAGCGGGTAAAGAGAATATCGAGAAGCTGAAGGCCATTCCGGACGAGGCAGCCATCAAAGCCGTTGCGGAGGCGGCCCTGTTGAGTAATCTCGGTCGGTATGCGGAAGCCAGAGAGAAAGTAGAGCCTGTTTCTAAGCAAGATCGGTACGAGGGAAAAGCCAACTCCCTTCCCCCCCCCCCCCCCCCCAAGCTTCCGCTTCCAAATCGTCTAGACTAACGGCCATTTCTTTCATAAAGAGCACTATTCAGGGGAGAGTTTCGAGACGACTGGCCAGCACCCTGCGCGCACTACGAGCTTGGCGTCCTGGCCTGGAAAGAGGGCTGCGACAGCAAGTGCTGGCCGCAGGAGGCAGACGAGCAGCAGATCGAGACATTCAGGCGTGATAGAATCAAGGAATGTGAGGAATATCTGGAACACGTCAAGACATGGGAGGCATTCGTACTCGACGCACGCGTGGGCATGAAGGTGCAGTCGGGTATTGACACGATCGCCTGGTTGAAGGGTAAGAAGGGGTGGGCTTAACGGAAGGCCCGGGCGAGCCTCATAGCTATGGCGTGATCATGTGTCTTGATCTCCTTGGCATAAAGCACATATGTCGAGCCAGCGCTGTGCACATCAGGTTTTTGCGCAGATTGCTCATGGGCCTGTTATCTATTTATATATACGGAAGGTTGTGAAGGTCCGCTGGGATTTCCGGAGTACATCGTAGAAAGACTATGCCAGGCGTTGAAAGAGGCTGTATGGATAGAATAGTATGGTTTGGTATTTGCATATGCGCTGTTTGCTCTTCTTTTCCTGGTGGTGTCTCAGATTATAGTAAATCAATTGTCATGAGGCTCAAGGAGAAAAAAAAGAAAGAAAAAAAGGAGAAAAAAACAAGCCAGCCAAACATATTTTGAAGCCGAAGCGCTGAGCGATGACGTCGCGAGATGGCCTCGGAAGGAAATGAAGTTGTGGTGGGCTGCGCACCCACCTCGTTGTCGAAGCCAATCGGAGAATAATAATGCGATGGTATTCCACAGTAAGGCGGGAACACTCAGGAGCAATTACAGGGTCCAAAGGTAAGGTACGGGAATAGCGAGAGCATTTCGATGAGAAGAGGACAAACACGTGTGGAAACGAACTGTTTCTAAGGGGGGGAGAAAACGGGAACAGACTTTTTGTAATTTCCGGGCGTCGTCACTACTGTAAGGTGTCGACTCCACGCTTAAACTTGGCTATTGTGCATATATTATCCAACATATCTACCACGATTGGGAAGGAGAGGTAGCAAGCCTACTGAGTACCTTTCTGATAGATAATAGGCTGATGAAGGCATAAAAAACTATCGTATAATGAGCTGCATGGTCAGGGTTTCGTATAGTATATACGGTACATCTTTATTTGGTCGTATTATCACCTAGTACGTAGCGCGTGCGTTCCTTTCATCATTATTAAGCTCAACGCATCCTGGGCTTAGCACTGAGACACTGACCATAGAGTATATCGGACTGTACTACTATTAGATATAATAGTATATTATATATCATAAGATAGAACATAGAGCTTCAAACTCTATGCCAAGTTTTGCTGTCTAGATGTTGGATGGTCTCGGCAGTGAACGTATTGTGACTGCCGCGCTCCATTCTTTTTTCTTCCTCTAGACTATGCATACCTGATTTCCCCCTATCGGTTATACCACTCATTTACTTTCAGTACTACAATATGACTTTTTGAGTCTCAAAACAGCACGTACCTGTTGAACACACTTACGCAGACATTCGACCAGTTCGTGGCCAGACACTAGTTTGGTGATCAACATCATCTTCTTCGTCCTCGTTTACGCTGTCTCACCATGTCTCATGTTTTGTACATACATACAACCTGCGTGTGTGTGTGGTGTTCCACGGGCCGTGGCAGGACTACCTTCGTACAGTGTTTTGGCTAAGACACCCAGGTTGTTGAGACTAAGACCAGCTGTTGTCCTCGCCGAAACAAGACGACCCCTTGCAGTTAACTGTCGGTATAGCAGCAAATATAAACAAAACAAAAACTAAACAGTTCCTTTACCCCATAGTCTGAAATTGGTGTTCGAGACATGACGAGTATCATACAAGCAAAGAAGATCGTTTCAATGCCAGGATCGCCCGAGTCCAATTTCCACAACCTTGAGGTGCATTTCGTTGTTGTGTTTTCTGGGCCGGGTTTGAATCCCGTTCTCTTTAGGGTCTTAGTAGAGGTCCTAGGCTACTGGGGTCCTCCCTCATTGAGCCTAGCCAACCATCCACCCCCACCACGGCCCTTCTGAAACTGGCAATCCTTAGGGGCTCACTGATGTTTTGGTGAGTGTACAACATAAACAAACCTCAAAATGCACCACAGCCCAACCTTGATCACATCCCATCACATTTAACCCTCCCTCCCCCCTGACAATTGAAAGGGACTCTGTCATTTCTTTCAGTTTTCTTTTCTGGTGGTCCACACACCCACACACGCGCACACACACACACACACACACACACACACGCTACAAGTTATATAGTATACTTAATTACCCTGCAATTAATCCATCCTCCCCTGAGACTTTCGGCTGGCCATTGCATCGTGGGCTAAACCCTTTTCCCTCATAATTGAACCCCATCCATCATCTCTCATTTTTTCTTTGCTTTCCGACTGCCCACCACACCTGCAGGATCTCCTCGAAGCTGCAGGTGCAAATTACACATACACACACACACACACACGCCCAGGACGCACGCAACAAGATACCGAGTACACCTCCTCGAGCCTAACCCGTCAGCGCTGTACCACCACTGCACCTGCATGTGCCCCTGAACATCCACAGGACACCAAAAGCTGCATATTGGTGCGACCATTGGAAACAGTAACATTGTCGCAACCCGCGCGCCCGCCCACACGCCGGTGCCTCACTGCAACCGCAACTGCAGCAGCACATTACATCCTCCATCCCATCTTGGCTGGCCTCAATTTCGCCCCGTCTCCCGTCGCCGCCTCGTGCAGGCTGCTCTTGCTCCTGCTCCTCCTCCTCCAGGCGCGATGGATGCCGTGCCACCATCAATTCCCAGACATAGTCGACATGCTCGATACGGACAGTGGGATAGCCCGTCCACAATCGGTATGGATGCCACCACCAAATCGGGAGACCCTTTGTTTGCCCTTCGTCTCTCTTTTTTTTATTGGGGTCTTTTTTCTTTCGGGTCTTTTTTTCTTTTTCTTTTCTTCCCTCCTCCTCCTCGACATTGACCTTCCCCTTTCCTCTGGCCCTTCCCTGTTCTTTTCCCCGCTAGACACGAACAAATCTTAATATTTTCTCCCCTCTCTTCCTAAGCAGACACAGTATCCGGCAACTACAATCAACCAAGTCGGCCACACGCCAGAAACGAGTCTGTCGCACATGCCTCTCCCGAGGTCATCTCCTCCCTGATCACGAGCCTTTCTGTCATCTCGCGCCCCGCAGCAGACCACTTCGACGTCCCCATCGACGCCATCCACACCTCGCCCGATTCCCCTGCCGCCGCTGCGTCTCCCAACGTCCCAAGGCGCAACGGCTCCTTCGGCGTCGATTACGGCGCCTTCTCAAAGCTTTCTTCGACCGACCTGCGCGACAACGACGCAGGTGCCGACCTCGACGAGCTGGCCGCCGCGCCCCCCGTCATCAAGACCGCCAAACCCCCAAGCGGCTTCTCCTCTCTCACAGCCCCGAAGTCTCCTTCTGTCCGAGAAGGCGGTGGCCTCCGCAGCTTCCTCAGCAGTAGGACCACATCACGACCGTCTTCACGGGGCTCAGTGGCGTCCAAGGATGCCGACATAGTCAGCGTGGGCAACATCTCCGTCGAGCGCGGCCTATCTCCCGTCGCGTCGCCAGGAGAGGTGAGGAGGCAGCACTCGGGCGACAGCTGGGGCAGGAAGGCAGGCCGAGACCACACACGGTTGCTGTACATGACCTCCAAGGAGAAACTGAGAGACAGCGACGACCGGAAGCGTGGGATCCGTGAGGGTGTGGAAGAAGGGAACAACAGCACCGTCACCAGCAGCAGTAACAACTCGGCCGGTCTCGCGGCCAGCGCCATGGCTCGGAACGCGTCCCCACTATCAGAACTTTCCCTGAGCGAGACGCCCATCTCTGAGGAGCTACAGTCCTTTGACGAGGTACTTGCTGCTGCTGGCTATAGCCACAGCCAGAGCGCAGACGGTCCCATGTCACCACGAGCAATACCGCAACGAGACTCGAGCCTGCGAAGGACAGGCTCCAACGCAAAGCGGTCGTCTGGCAGGATGAGCCGCACGTCGAAGCGCGACAGTTCACACGGGGCCATTCCCGAGGAGAGCTACTTTACCACAGTTAGTAGCACCATGTCGGAGGACGGCCGGCTGTCTTTGTCGAACAAGCGGAGCTCCTATAGGGAGGGAGAGGGCAGCGCTGCCGCCAGGACCAACAAGAGGGACAGCAGGAATGGGCGGAACGGGGACGGGCTGCTCGACCCATCTTGGGCCACCACGAGCAAGGCGAACCACTACATTGACCACTACGTGACCGACACCGAGGTCGACCTGGACGACGGCGCCCCGTCGCCGAATATTTCACAGGGAAAGAGGCGAGATCGGGAGCTCAGTCGTGACCGGAGCAGCCGGAGACGGTCAGGCCGTAGCACCCCTGAGCTGCGGATGAAGCGCAGCAGCTCGAGGTTAAAGCGCCTCTCTGGACCGCTCTCGCCGCGCGAGGAGAAGCCTAGGGACGAGGTCAGCACGCTCAGCGTGGCATACGAGCGACCGCCCTCCGCAGACAGCATAGATGATGCCGTCGAGGCGTACATGCGCTCTCCACGGCTGAGCCAGAGGATCACGCACCCCCAGACAGGGAGAGTCATCAGCTTTAGCGAGGTTGGTGACCCCGAGGGGAGCGCAGTGTTCTGCTGCGTCGGCATGGGCCTCACGAGATACATCACTGCCTTTTACGACGAGCTCGCCCTGACGCTGAGGCTACGGCTGATCACTCCAGACCGTCCAGGCGTGGGCGACAGCGAGGCGTACGCAGAAGGCACTGCGACGCCTCTCAGCTGGCCGGGTAAGCATCCTTTATATATATATTTTTTTCATCTGCGCCAAATCGAGAAAGAATGTCCAAGAAAGAAAGAGAAAATCCATGCTAACTAATTTCCCTTTTCTTAGATGATGTGTACGCAATCTGCCAGGCCCTCAAGATTACGAAATTCTCCATCCTCGCCCACTCTGCCGGTGCCATCTACGCGCTCGCAACAGCGCTGCGCATGCCACAACATATACGCGGCCGAATGCACCTCCTGGCGCCATGGATTCCGCCGTCTCAGATGTCTGTCTTTGGTGCCTCGGCCCAAGCCCCTCTACCGCCCTCGAACGCCATCCCCACGTCGCAGAAGATCCTCCGGGCGCTACCCACGCCCATCCTCAAGGCCGCCAACTCGAGCTTCATGAACGCCACCAGCAGCAGCATCACGAGCAGTTTGCCCAGGCAGAAGCGCACGAAGCGCAAGGCAAGCGGCAAGGGCCCGCCCAACAACAACAACAACAACAGCAGCAACCACAGCGACCGCCCCGGCGCGGCGGACAAAGAGGCCCAGCACGGCGGCGCCAAGGTCCAAGCCGATATGCCGACACTGGCACGGGGCATGATAGCGACCGAGGAGATGGACCTGATCCGGCCGCAGGGCTCCCTGTCGCCCACCACGGCGGCGGCGACAGGAGAGAACCGGTTTGGCGGGATTGGCTCTGGGATGGGCCCACACGGCGGACCGGCCAGCCACGAGGACGCCATCATCGCAGCGGCTCAGTCCACATTGGCCGAGAAGGAGCGGCAGGCGACATATGACGTGCGGCTGACACAGGCGATCTGGGAGCTCGCGACGCGAGGGGCGAACCCAGCCGTCGACCTGCTCGTGTGTCTGGAGAGGCGGCACACCATCGGCTTCCGGTACGTGGACATTACGAGGCCGGTGGTCATCCACCACGGCAGCAGGGACACCAGGGTACCCGTCGAGAACGTCAAGTGGCTCGGCAAGACGATGCGGAGGTGCGAGGTGCGCGTCCTGGAGGGCGAGGGCCACGGGCTCATGGCCAGCGCCACGGTTATGGGCACCGTGCTGATGGAGATTAGCAAGGAGTGGGAGGACTGGAACAAGGCAACTGGGCAGACGAGGAAGACGGGTGCGAAGTGAAAGAAGAAGAGAAAGAAAAAAAGGAGAGCGAAGAGCGAAGAGGGAGCGCTCGTCTCAGGTCACACGAACGACGAAGTAATGAACACCACCCTATATTATATTTATCTCTCTCTTAATACTCGACTGATCTGAATGAAGACAATGGTCGCTGCCTCCCGTTTACTAAGTGGGTTTTTTTTTTTTGGGTTTTTTTTTTAATGATCACGTTGGCCATTGTGTGACCCAACAGTGTTGTTGTATTTTGCTCTTCTCTCCGTGTCAAGCAGTCGAGCCTCGGTCCTAATTCCTTCGGCCCGTTTTCGGCAATGCGGTGCCGACGTCGGTACACAGTAGCTCTGGTATTGGTTATAAAGCGAAGGGCTCCGTGAAACCACGGTATGTATGGTCCAAGAGGAGGCTTCGTAGACGTTGTAGGATCTCCAAACAAGAGGGGAAATATTTACTAACAAAAGGCGTGCAAAGTAAAGGACCAGCCATCATGACGACGAGCTTGACGATGAACGATGGGGTTTCCATCCCACTTGTAAGGCTGAGCCAGATCACACATTCTTCCTTTTCCTCTTCTTTTTTTCTTTTCGTCTTTCTATGTGGACAGTCCCATTGAACTCTCAGTGCGTCACTCAGCTAGGAAACAACCAAGCATGACTGACCAAGCCGACCAACTCACAGCTCGCCTTCGGCACTGGCACAGCCCTCCTCCGCACCAAACTCATGTCTTCCGGCCGCGATCCCAAGACCGCCCGTCTCGACACCGACGAGCGTGTGGACCGCGAGGTTGTCGAGCTGATCAAGACGGCCGTTCGCGTCGGGTACCGCCATCTCGACACCGCCGAGATGTACCAGACGGAGCCGGAGCTGGGGGCTGCGATCCGCGAGGTGATTGCCGAGGGCGTGGTGAGACGGGAGGATTTGTTTGTGACGACCAAGATCTCTTCCGAGTATGCGCGGGCTGGGGACAAGATTGATGTTAGTTTGAGGAAGTTGGGGCTGGATTATGTGGACTTGTGAGTTTCTATGTTTCCTTTGTAATGACCCTTTTTTCTTTCTTTTCTTTCTTTCCTTTTCCGTCCTTTTTCTTCATCCTTCCACTTGGCTCGGATAAATATATATCTCATCAGAATCTCCCAGTATCAAGCATCCACCAAATATCCTCCTGACTAACCAATGATGCCTCGCATCCTTTCTTTCCTCCTCCATCAACAGGTATCTCATCCACACCCCCCTCCTCAGAGGTCCAGACGGCGACCTCCCCGCCGCCTGGGCCGCCCTCCAAGCCGTCAAGGCCAGCGGCAAGGCTCGCTCCATCGGCGTGTCTGGCTACCAACCAGAACACCTCCTCACCACCCTCGCCGCCCCGACAACCACCACGCCGCCGAGCATCAACCAGGTCGAGCTGCACCCGTACCTGCCGGGCCGCGAGCTGCTGGCCCTGTCCCGCGAGCGAGGCATCGCCGTGGCCGCGTACGGCGCCCTGCACCCGCTCACGCGCAACCCCAACCCGGGCGGGCCGCTGGACGCGGTGCTGGAGCGAATTGCTGCGCGCCATGGGGTCTCGGTGGCGCTGGTCTGTCTGCGGTGGTGTGTGGAGCTGGGGCTCGTGGTGGTGACGACCTCGAGGCGGGTCGAGAGGATGCGCGAGTATTTTGGGGTGTTTGACTTCAGGCTGGACGAGGACGAGGTGCGGCAGATCTCGGAGGCGGGGCGGGCCAGTTTGCCTGGGGGGAAGGAGTTGGTTCCTCGGCAGGTGGCTTATCAGCGGGCCTTGGACGCGCAGGCTCAGGCTGAGGCTGAGGCTGAAGCTGAGGATAGAAAGGCGAAGGGGATATACGAGTAAGGGGAAGGATGGATATGAAGGGCCTGGGGCGAAGACAGAAACCAGCGCTCCGTCTCCATCTTCTCTTTTCACCACCTTGTTGTAGAAAGAGACGATACTCAAAGTCGAACACTCGCCTTCATTATCCTCGCACTTGCGTTAGACTTATCAAGAGAAGTAGAAGAAACAGTACATGTTTGTAGGTTAAGTAATGAGATCAAGGAGGTAACCTTTTAGCAAAGTCCTGCAGCATTGCTATTTCGTTCAAGCAAACATACGTCCCTTCATCACTGGGTCTACAAATAACAATCTCTTCGTCCATTCTTCCTCCATCCCTTCTTAGCATGGGTAGAGAGAACAGTCACTACAATTTACAAAAGTCAAGCGCTGTTCACAACATGTTGGGATAAGTTCCGGACCGAATTATGGAAATCATTCTCCTGCTTCTACTGCAATTGGAAATGGCACTTATCTGGTCTTCGTCGACTACCAAAATCTTGTAACATATCGCTCTCATTGTGGCACACGAGAGTCAATGATCCCCAGATTCTCTGCAAACACTCAGCAGCATCCTACTGAGCATGCGCAAAGTATCAGTGGCCACATATATACAAAGAGCCTCACATGCTCGCGGCTCATGGTCGAGTCTGGGCTGCAGACATGACCAAAAAGTATTCATTATAAGGAAGAAATTTGACACGTAATTCTTCCGGAGGTGGCATGTGCGCACTACAGCCATCATTCAAGTGGTGAGCCACACCGTTCTTTTAGCAAGACGCCATTCAAGCATTGTGGCCAAAGTATTCCATAATTGTCTCAGAGAGATCTGACATAAGACGGAGCAAATCCGCGAATGGGGCAATTGTTTTGACCCTCAAGATCATCGATATTGTGGCAGACGGCCATTCTCAAATATCCACTCATCGCCACTCATTGATCAGGATGTTCACCAATTACAATGATTACTTTCCATCCTCCGTGACGGGATCTACACACGAGTAATTTGATTTCGGTGCCTTTCGGAAGCGCCGTCAAGCAACCAATCCATAAATATTTGCGATTTCAATTCTCCATTAGGAGCACATTGACTCGGCGCCCTCTCACATGACCATTCAGGGTCAAGTGATCTAACGTTACCATTGAAGGGATGTGGCAGGACCTGAGGCGGTAGACATCATTATTGTTTTTGCACATAGTAAAAAAGAACATGACTCCCGGCCATTAATAAAAAGTACCGACGGAGATGGGACCATCTTTCTATCAAAATTTGGGTGTATGGTGTCACGTTGGCCAAAATCTAAGAGTATCAGAGGTTCCAACTCTTGGCCGGTCACACGACAAGTCTACTAGGACTCTCTTCCTCTACCATTGGCCATCCAACCTCCCATCCACACGCAAACATACTAGTACTGGTGCCAAGCCTTCCCACGCCACCGGAGCTTTCTATGCAGGAACCCTCTCCCCTTCGATTGGGCCTGGAATAACCGTTGCTTTTCTTCATCTTCTCCTGGCCGAGGTACTGGGTTGAGGGGTAAGAATTTAGCCCACTTGACCATCTTGACAACTTGATCATGCCTTTGAGACCTAGGACGAGTCACGCTGGGTGATATAACTTCGAGATGATGTCTCCGGAAATTACTCGGAGAGACAAGACGGGGCAATTTGTGAACGCCTTGAACGTTTACACACTTGTATTCAGTTGGCCAAGTATCTGATGGCTTCTGACATCGGACGAGTGCAGCAAAGGGGGGTTGTAGGCCATGACTCTTTATTCAATCTCATGTTCTCCTATTACACACAAACTTAGGTAGCATCTCAACCCTCATTGGCTAAAGGGCTGCTGCTGTGGAAATAGGCTACCGCATGATCATGACTCTCTGTTTGCCTGTCGCGTGGCTTGTCCGCTCGGCGCTTTCTCCAAGGGATATCACTTTTATTGGCACTTTTGGTTGAAATATGATGAATATTCTGGTTACGATGTCACCCTCCTCTTGACATTTGATGCTGAAAGCACGTGTATTAATCGCCTGCAAAGGGAGTAACTGATGTCAGGGAGCACCTGGGCAGGACTCTGCTAGCAGCAATGCATGGGTAGAAAACCCCATTTTGGGCTTTGAGGGAAATGCGAGTCAACCGCAGCATGATAGTTCCGTGAGACAGGATGCCATCCTTGGTCAAAGCCATCTGTCGAAAGCGGCGGCGTGCCGGTGGCATACGGAGTTATCACGTCTGGAAGTTTTGCTTGGCAGTCAAGACTTGATTTGAGGGTGACGGTGACGATGGTGGCTTTACAAAATTTCTTTTTCCAAGTATATAAGGCGTTGCTAGTCTGCGCCTGGTCAGAATTTGAAAATTACAACCAACATCGCATTCCTTTTCTTCTCTGCTTTTGTCCCTGTATATATATACATTGGCTTAACGATCTGGCAATCGTACATGATCCTGAATTTCCTTCATCTTTGGAGCCCCTTCTGTATATAACTCCGAATCACATAAAATGGCTCGTCCTTCAACGGCGCTGGTTCTCGCTCTGGTCTCCCTCGTCGCGGGCTGGGCGCCACCGGGTTATTCCGGCTTCACTGAAGTATGGGGCGCTGATTTCCCTTATGCAGCCGGCGTTGCTCCTGACGCCAACAACTGGAACATCATAACCGGCTACCTGAACGTCAATGGCGAGTGGGAAGAATACACGTCCTCTTCCGCCAATGTACAGTGCTCCGGTGGACAGACACTGCAGCTGGTTCCATGGAAGGACTCATCTACCCAGAACGGGTGGACTTCTGGGAGGATCGAGTCCAAATACACCTTTACGCCCACCGCAAGAAAAGTCACGAGGGCCGAGGCCGAGATCCGCTTTGGCACCAACGACATCAGCACCAAGCAGGGCATCTGGCCGGCGTTCTGGATGCTGGGCGACTCGCTGCGACACGGTGGGAGCTGGCCGGCCTGTGGAGAACTGGACGTCCTGGAAACTGTCGATGGCATCCTCACTGGCTACGGAACTGCGCATTGTGGTACCTACCCAGGAGGTGTCTGTAACGAGGGCACCGGGATTGGGAGCCACATCGCCATCCCTGACCAGAGCTGGCATGTCTGGAGGGTCGAGTGGGATCGCACGTCCAACAATTGGGAGACTGAGACCATCAAGTGGTCGATGGACGGGATCGTCTTCCAGACCCTGACCGGAAGCCAGCTCACCCAGGCCATCTGGACTTCTCTGTGCCACTCACCCCTCTACTTCATCCTCAATGTTGCTGTGGGCGGAAGTTGGGTAAGCATAGTTTGAATCTGTGTTTTCTTGTTCCTTTCCAATCTCGACGCCTGTGTCTTGGTTCAGGGAGAAGAGCATTGTAAGCTGACAGTCTTGGCAGCCTGGATATCCAAACTCTGCAACCCTCGATGGATATGGAGCCATGATGGAAGTCGGTTATGTTGCTCAGTACATCTCGAACTGATTGACTTGTACTATCAACACATAATTGGCGTTGTGGGGATCATACCTATATCTAGATGTAGCAGTGAGAAAGGGCAGCAGGAGGGAATAGGTTTGGGGTTTTTGAATGCACACTATGCTATGTAGCCACCGCTTTGCAGATACGAGACGAGTTTTTGAGGGGGGTTTTCTTCTTGTATTTATTTTGTCCAAATTGGACTATAAGATGCACTTACAATCTCCAAGTCTTGCCTTACCATTTTTGCGTTTCACTCTACTGACAAGTTGCTCTCGCTGAGGGCGCCCGAATATCGACTCGATCTGAGGTCGATACCGTGATGACGAGGTTTGAGGTGGAGGGACCAGTATTCAGATGAACCTCATCTAGTTGGTAAGTACCATAGATTGACAGATGCTGTCCTTATGTTCTTCTTTCCTCCTTTCATCTTCATCGTCTTCTTCTTGTTTTCTTTTTCTTTTTTGTTCTTTTCTTGGAAGAAAGAAATAAAACAGGAAGCAATGAACGTAAGTAGTCACTAAAATTGTACTTCCTTGACGAAACCGAATTTCTAGTCAGGTAGAGCTTCTACTTCAGTTACAGGGCCGATATCTAATCTAATATTCATCGCTAGTGATTGTGTGTAGCAACGTCGCCGACAGCTCTTCCGAGCCCTGACATGTTGGAGGCTACAGCTGTCGACAGCATCCCTCAATGACCAGTTAATACGAACTGGCACTCGCACAGAGGAGAAGTCAGGAGCTCGGCTGTTCATTGCTCCTCACGAGGCGGTGCTCAATCTCAGCCTCTTGCGTACTGTTTTCGGGAAAACGATGGATCCATGATTTAGAAGGACAGAGGCAAGTCTAGAGGTGAGTCCCGTCCGTGATGTGAGCGCCAAGAGGTTGAATCCCGGTGCCACATGGTGACATGGCGTCTTAAGGCTGAAAAGAATACGGCATCTCGGTAGGATAAGCGGGCGAATGTTCGTCTCTGACATTGGGTAGGATTTAATATCCATTCAAACGTGGAGGCGACGTTACCATCCGCAAGGGGAGCCCCCCACCAGGATCGTCATCTCGTACCCGCTTGTTAGACTTGCTAGGTAAGCTTATGCATGCATCACCCAACGATCGGCAGTGTCACACGCTTTTGCGCTGTTCTGATGCGCAGCAACTTCAACCCAAACCCCCCCCCCCCCCCAACCCAACAATTCCCAGATTAATTGCTGCTGGGTCTTATGAGCCTTTCTTGATAGTCATTTCCACGGTGTTAGTAAATAATTACATTGTAGGTTGCTTCTGCCCATGGAAGACTTGCTGTTCGATTCTGGGAAAGGATTCTTACCACTGCAGCGGGGAAATTGGGCAAAGTTACACCGCCTACACGTAGGATTCCACTAGAGGCTGGCTGGGATTGGCCAATGTCGGGAGACATTCCGAGGAATCAGTACGGAATACGAAGGGGCCACTGGCATCTGACTTCAGCACTCTCGTAATGTACGGTGGGGTGCCACGTACAGTGTATGATGCCTCAGCCACGAGCCCGAACAGAGGATCGTTGCCTGACAGAACCTTCTCTGCCTCGTGGCTGACAACAATTCGCCTCAAGGCATGAGTATATAAAGCAAAAGGGCCACTTCAATCTCTCTTAAGCTTGCATACAATATCCCCAGTGCTCCGCCAACACACTTCGTTGATTGTCCTCAGCCCACACCTTCGTATCACTTCGGAACCATCCACATTTCCAACAGATCGCCAACATGGTCTCTTTTACCACCTTCGCTACATCCGCCCTGGCTGTCTTGCCTCTAGCCAGCGCTTATGTCACGGGCTTTACTGCCCCGGCTACCGCTGAGGCCGGCAGTACCATCACGGCGACGCTGCAAACAGCGATATATATTGAGAACTGGGAGGACTACTCCATTGTCTGGGTATGGTTTTCTGAGCAACTTCTTCCTTCCTTTCTCAATTTTCCAATGAGCTCCTCTTTGAGCCGAGCCGCTTCAGGTTGACTCCCACTGAGTGGGACTGGGAAATCCAAGTTGGAGCTTTTTGAGATGATATTTTTGTTCCCTCGTCGGCTTTGGCCACCGAAGTCGGCAAAGTCAAAAGCGCTTCGATGTTCCCATCTCAGACCCATCAATTTTCTACGATCCTAAACTGACTCTCATTCCTACAGGGTCTTACGCCATCAGCATGGGATTGCTCGATATGCATCGGAACACAGATTGGCTATGTCGCCCTGACTGGCACAGAGGGTGCGGCGTACCCTTACACATTCACCGAGAGCGTGACGATTCCTTCCGGCACCTCCGCGGGTGACTACTACTTGAAAGCTGCAATTCCTCATCTCGTCGGTGTAAGCGAAGCTCCCTTCACGCGGTCGAAAGTGTAATCTGTAGACTAATTTAAGTGCAGGCTTCTGGTGAGATGGGCTTCAATATTTACGGTGTTAATGTCACTGTTTCATAAAGGGACATCGTTTGCGATGGGTAATTCTTCTAGGCAGAGAAGTTCGCAGAACGTCTGAGTTATACAAGGACGACGAGTACATGATATGACACCAATGATTTGCTCGGGACATGGCGTTGGTCAGACTTGGAGTTCGACTATCTGGAACAAGTGCAATAAGTATATGGTACGAATCCTCTTAATTACATTTTTCAAATAAATGAATGAAGCCATCTGATAATCGACATCAATCCCTCCATTTTTGAAAAAGCATTTGTACTCACGCTCTTGACTTCGAAACGTACCTTGATTTATGATACATTGTACGACCTTCGTGTGATCGATGGCAGTTTAGATAGCATTGTTGCGCCTTACGTGCGCAGAGCAGTGAACATGGACGCGGCGTAAGACGGAGAGATTTCTCCGCCCGCAACACAGGATCGCTAAGCGCGTGCAAGGGGGTCACCGGGGGCGAAGTATGTGGTGGTTGTTATCTCGGACATTTATTAGTGCTTGTGATTAGCTGATTTCATCTTTTTTCACGTCACCTCTCGCGCGCTGGGAATTCAACCCTTCACATGGTATAATCACCCGGACTTCAAAGCCTTCGACAAGCCAAGCAACATATCCAAAAAATGAAGGGCCCTCTTCTCTTGCCATCTTTGCTCCTTACCGTCTTTACTGCCGCCGATGCTTTGATTTTCCCTCAGGAGGCCTACCACGTGCAAGCTCCTCTCTCAGACACAGTTCCATTCACTCTCCGCGATGCCCACATTGATGATGTTGATGAGTTCAACGTTGTCAATTACGAGGCTTTCATACGCAGTGAAGCATGGCAGTATATCTACCAGTTCGCAGACGAGGTTGGGTCTGAGTATACTTTAGCCTGTCAGCGACAATTTGTCGAGAAGCTCATTCGTGACGACACCAAGAGATATAAACTCAGAGTTTTAACGGTGCCCGATTCATCGTCCGACAGAGGGGAGAGAGTCGTTTCAATTTCAGGTTGGGACTACGGAAAGACGGGAACCCCGGACCAGCCATCGCTCTCATCTTCTTCATTGATGATGTCCGAAGGGGCTTTTCTCCTGCGGGGCGGCGACTTCGAATCTGGCACAACCTTCAACTGTTCCGCGCACCTTGATGTCAACACAACCCGTGAGGCAGACTGTAAGTTAATGAAATCCTACAAAGAGAATCTCACCTGCCTGAAGTTAGGTGTCGTCCAGTTCGTCGGGTTTTCCATTCTCCAACCAAGACCCTCCATGAATGTACCATTTTCGGTTCCGATCAAGAAATTTGACATATACTAGATGTGAACAAGATAAATTCCGCGGTTCGCAAGAACATTGTGGAACCTTTCAGTCAATACCTCTACCTCGGATTACTAGCCACGCATCCAGACTGGGACGGGAACGGTTTTGCAGCTGAGCATCTTCACTGGGGCAAGGCCGAGGTCGCCAAGCTCAATCACGAGGGAGAGGGCGGTGACAAGCGGATGCCAATCATGCTGCTGGGAACACCGGCTGGATACCCGTTGTACGTGAGTGAGGGGTTTGAAGGACTGAAAAACGTTACGATCGAGCGACTGGATGGGAAAGACCCCTTGTGGTATGAAGTTATGAAGCTTGATGAAGCAGAATGATTGGACCAGCCAAAGCTTGGGCACACCGGCGGGCACAAGCTGTCTGTGGTCTATGTGGCCCATCTCTTATCTCATGGAACTTCTCAGGCCTGATTAAACCTCAGCCGGCGGCTGCCGGCTGAAAAGACCTTAATGAAGTTGGGAAATACATGTTTGAGCGGATACAGAAGGGTTTCCACAAATGTTATTCACAATAGCGAGGTGCTAGTTATCTGACCTTAGTATCCACAGATACTGGCTTTCATACCGATAATCTACGCCAGCTGACTATTTGTTGCACTGGAAATAATGCACCGAATTTGACCTATCGGTGTGATGACTTCGTGAGGAGTGACTAGACCTCCAGTCAAATAATCGTTGAGAATCTACTATCAACACCTGGACAACCTCTGACCTTGGCAGTTCGAGGTCAACATGTCAATTATCATCCTGTTCGAAACTGATCCTCAAGAGCGGTCTAACCATCGCCATGCAAGTTCTCTGCATTTCAGCTAATATGCAATGCTTACGCAACACGGTCTGCATCTTAGTAAGTCGTGACTTAGCCCATTTCTATTTTCACGGTTTGTTGAAGCAGGATATTATCGGCAAGCTCACAGGGTGTCAGTGATTACTCACCCTGGATGGAAAATCGATCTGTCCAAGAAGCCAAAGTTGTCTGGATTTGTGGTTGCAACTTTGGTCACAATACAAAGGGCAGATTTGTGAACACACTGGACGATCTTCAGAGTTTGTCACTTTAGGTAATATTTAACCTTAATAATTAATGGAGCGGGTTCAAATGGCACCAACGTTTGCACTAAATAAGTAACAAGTACACTAACTTGATAGAATCTCAGCTCTTTAATGTTTTTCAAGACTCTCATGATGATGATTATCTAGGTAGGCTAGTCACCGAAATCAGCGCAAAACCGTAAAATTTTCATTCGTACCTTCGTATGATCTTTGGGAAAGCTGATGCTGGACCTCAGAACGGGGTCTGGTAGGCCCAGGCCAGCTCGTGTGGGTTTACATCTCGAAGACGAGCCATCAAGCCCAATAACATCATCATACGGTCATTAGTACGACACTAAACATATCCAGTCTATCCACAGTTTTTCCGGCTTAGATGGCTCGGGTATGGCCGCTGTGATATAGGAAACAATTCCATAGCTTGACCATAGTGCCGGGCCGCGAAGTTGCCTGTCCCTGGACAGTGGAAGGCCTTGAGCCTGACGGCCGTAGGTTCCGCACTGTGCCCTGGTGAAAACAAGCCCCTCAAATCACAACAAAAGCCTTTCGTCTTGGCTCGCAAAGACATGATTATAGTCTAATATCGAAGATGTTCTTCTTCAAGACCTCACTTTGCTATGCGGGAGCATTGAGCCTTGAGCCGGCCTTGATGATCAATTGGCCGACCAACAGCCCCCACAGGTGGATAGGTTGCGGATGTCTGAAGATTGGAGGTGCATGTAGATCCGGCATAGTTCCCTCTGCAATCATGCTTAATTCTCAACAGCTGACTCGACCGGTTTAGGAAAGAGAGAGACGTAGTGCATTTGCATCGGGACTTTCTTGTAGATCTTGGAATGAGCCCAGGTGCCTCATCATCACCGGCTATCCGAGCCTATCTTCCCACGACGGAGCTTGAATTGTGTACTATACCAGTAGGCAATAGCAGTACGTGAAAAATGGTATAGTTGTGGAGAGATCTGCCTGAGCACCCTGGCTAGTCTGCCGCTCCCAAGATGGGGGAGATCCTCCAAGTCTTGCCAGCGTGACGGCGGTGCTGTTGGATACTTTAGTTCCTCGCTTCAAGAGACAGGCAGTTCTGTTTGCTTCATATCGCAATGCCTTCATGTTTCCCTGATCTTGATGGATGATAAGGCTGGTTTGTTTGAAATGTCTCAGCATTCGCTCTTTGCGCATGGTCGCATATCGACTTCGAAAGATGTAGGATTCGTTCAGCTCATGATGGCTTCCAGCATCCACATTGAGCTTAGTGGCCTTTTCAGTAGACTTGTCTTCGCTTGTTGAGTGGTAGGGGATACAAGCTTGCCGAGGATCTCCCACAGCATGACTCAAAATTGAGTTCATTGTGGAGGCGCGCCCCCTAAATGGCTCGGAGTTTAGGATCCCCCCTTTTGCGAGCTGCGAAATTGCAGGCACCTGGGCATGCTGGGCGACTTACGACTCTCTCAGTTTGTTCAAACCGTATGCTCACACAAATTTTCTCTTTCTCTTTAACTTTTTTTCCCTCACTGGGTCTTTGTACTATTTTGTATGCTCGTTTGAAGTATTGCACAAGGTGTGCGAGCACAAAGTCCACATAACAGCCCCATTGATCACCACCAGGCCTGTTTACCGTCGCCAACGTAACTTCAGCGGAGAATGCTCGGATGCCAAATGTTTGGCCCGAGCAAGAAATACCACCAGGAGACGCACTTCATTGTCATATTGCCTCAAAAGACAGGTCATCCTTATCTTTTGATACTATGGTACGTACGATCATGTGTATCTTAAGGCATGTCGTGCCAGACCGGAAGGCAAACCCGCCACACTGACGAGCCAGGGCACGACCCAGAGATGCAGGTGTGGGCTGTCTTGTGATTTGCTAGAATTGGCCGCTGTATGGCCGTCGGAACATGAGTTGTCACTTGACCATGGCAACAATAGCCAAAGGTTTGCTGGTGTCGTCGCCCTTCTCCATAGAGAAAAGAAGAAAAGAGTGTGAGTATTCAGCGTGATGTCCATCGTCAAGATTATGTAAGTTCTAGCGCGGTCGTGTGGAAAGTAAACGTAACAATAATAATACTACAAAATGCTTGCTTCCTCAGCCTCATTCGTGCACTTCCCTAAGCACTAGAGCTGTCACTGCCGGCAGACTGTCATTCCGCAGTGTCGGAACGAGACGCGAATTTGGTTGACCGTCTCACGCTGCAAGATGCATCAACCCGAGCCGACATGCAGCAGCTTTCCCCTCCTTTTCCCCCCTTTGACACTGTCTGGCTCTGTGCATACTGTGTACGTCGAGGGTACGACGGGCGCTTGGCCATCTTTGGATGTAGATCTCCGACATGGCTTGGTTGAATGCTTGTCGCAGCTCTCGTCTGAAGAAAACAAAAAAAAAAAAAAGGGGGGGGGGGAGGGGGGCGCATCACGCCGGTGGGTTGGGACCAAACCCCTGGGTCCTACATTGTATATACTTTGCCTCGTAAGCCTGACCCTCACAACGCACGACATCTGTGATAATGCGAAGCGAGACGGTGAAGGAGCCCAGGCTGTCGCAAGGCCAAGACAAGAAGGGCGACAAGCGATGAGCGAGCTAGATCTCGGAAGAATGCTCCGAAACCTTCAGACCGTGCGATACCGGTTCGACAGGTCATTTCTCGACTGCCGGGGTTGTCTCGCTCGCCCTCTTTCCTTTTTTCCCCTACTCCCTTACCTCGGCGAGACCTGACGAGATTGGATAGAACCTTCGGTGTGCCAGAGTTTGTTTATGGACACCGTACTCCATCATGTGGCGCGGCCTCCAAGCGGATGCTTGCCGAGATCTGACGTTGCTCCACTCGGAATGGACAGACGTTGGCCGTGACTGGGGCGCTGGAGCCGAGCAAGGTTCGTCTAGCAACATGATATGATAGAAGAGATGGGACGGGCCTTGCCATCCGGCCTTATGTCCAAAACAAGAAGCGATTGGTCTGGAGCAACCAGGTTGCCAAATGCTCCTAAGAATTCCCAGGGGCCTGGCGCAGAAAGCCCATTTCTTTCCCAAGGGGCCCCCAATGGGGGAAGGGGAGGATCCTACGGTTCGTCTCGTCAACTTTCACGACGATCAGTATTTCTCTTCTCCTTGAATGTTCATTTGACCTTGGTCTGGGCTCTGTCAGGTCGGCACGTCGTCGCTCACCTCGGCTACTAAGAACCTATACAACGTCACTGCAGCCGACCACCAGTCGATGACTGGCCTTTTAACTTTTCTCACCCCTGAATCCCAGCTCAAATTCTTGTCAATGCAAGTCGAAACGTCTCGTCGTCACGCTTGACTCGGAACAAACAGACGCCATGTCGACAACATCGGAACGAGCGCCGTTCATTGAACCGCAGTTTCTGGAGGACCTGGACAATGGATCGGCATCAGTGGAAGCCCCTTACTCGGAGGACAAGGTCAAGGAGATCATCGATGCTTACGGCGAGTGCTTCCATGATTCGGCAGTGCAGATACGGTGTGGGAACGTGCCAGGCGCTGCGCTTCTCTTCCGCGTCCTGTTTGCCATTCCAACCGATACGCTGGACATCGCCTTGAAGCACGGCTGGGTCTTACCCAACGACCCGCTGGTGGAAATGCACAAGAACCTGTCGCAGTCTTGCCCCCGTATGATTGACCAGCCCGAGTTCACCGTCGACAAGGGATTCGACGGCACGTGGCAGTTTCTTGGCAAAAGCTACACCCTGGACGAGATTCTGCAGATACCAGCAATGCCGGACGGAATCAAGGCGAATAAGCAGCAACTCCTGGACCTTGGCCTCACTGAGGTTCCCATCACGCACCTCGACTACAAGGAGAAGACGATGGGCTTTTATTTTCTCGCGCAGGGGCCCCTGACCAAAGAGAAACTCACAAAGACCGTCGCCATGGCCGGCGCACCGGAACCTTCGGATGCCGTTTACGACGACATCGTGGGCGTGCTACTGGAGGAGCCTTACTATTGTACCGTTGTGATGGACTACGCCACGGGAAAAGTCCTCAGGATCGAGTATCACCTGCTCTTCCCGGTCAAGCTTCCGGATGACATGAAAATTCCGGATGTGGGCGAGCGCCTGACGACATTTTGGGACATCCCATCTTACGAATATGAAGACATGGACATCCTGTCATTTTGCTTTGGCCATTGTCCTAATGGCGACCTCCTGGCACTCAGGAGCTACTGCGGTGGATTGCGAAATTTGATGAAAGCATGGGGTATTGTTGGAGTGTAGTGCTCAGGGGAGAGAGAAAGGCGAATGGCATGGCATCTGCTGCTACTGTCATGAGGGAGCGACAAGACGATTTGCTGGGAGTGTTCCAACGATAAGCCATCTCTCCAGCCACCATTTTAAAGGGAGACCCGCGGTCTTCCAAGTCAATGATGGAGTCGACAGAAGATGCTGAGCAAGCATCAGCTGTACAGCATGGAAAGAGCCTGTGACAAGACAAGCCAACCACCAAAATTAAGAAGAAAGTCTGTACATTGCTTGCTTGCAATTTGTCTGGTCATAAAGAGCTGGGGTCTACGGCGACACTATTCTCGATAAGGAATTTGCCCGACTTTTGTGCGAGAGAAACGGCTGCGCTGTCCATTGCGTCGCCCCAGGTGCCCAGTCAACCACTGTGCCAGTACCTGCAGCGAGATCATTCAGCAGCCGCGTTATACCGTCGCGTATTTACCCCGGAGGACTCTTTTTTTTTTTTTTTTTTTCTCGAGAAGAATACCAGGCCAATTATTTTGCAAGTACACAGATTGTCTCTTTTAATATTTGTTGTGTTTGAATGCTAGGAGATGGGCAAGAGATCGAAATGTTGTGACGCTGGATAAGCAATAACCGCCTGCGCACATATGTAATTATAAGCCATGGGTAGAGGGATTACCATTAAACGGCGTTATGGAATTAAGTCAACCTCTGAATCGAGTTTAAACCTCATTTATACAATGATTTCTTCCTAAACACAAGTCCTGTAAGCGAGTTTCATGTTTAGATTTTCTGCATGACACCCTCTCCAAGTGGGAATTCATAATCATCTGTCTTTGCTTGAGACTGAAACCCCCAGCAATGAAATGTGAACAATGCTGGATGTCACATCTTGACTTGGAGTTAGGCATGCCATAAGCCCTCGTCCTCTAAGTAGTCATTCGGCGTGCAATGGCAAAGTAAGCCATCTTGGCGCGCTCGAAACCTCCCGGGCATCATTCCCTCATTCATGGTATCAAGAGTGCATGAGACTGCCGAAAGACGGAATCTACCATTGATGGTATCAGAAGAGGGTCTGCAGTATGTTTATGGTCACCTACATAGTGATACCTTGAGAGAATATTATATATGCACTGGAAATCTGCGAAGAAAGAATGAATTTTAGTATTGATGTTCTGTCTCCCCGAACCCCCCAATCAAGAGAATGTTAGTGGAATACTATTAATTATGTTGGCTTTGTGGTGAGCACGGCGGGGAACTTTTGTACTTTGTAGCGTCTATTTTTGGATTGGGAGGGTCAAGTTTCCAAATTGTGTCATGCAGTCTCATTTCCTAAAGTGTCACTATCTGATCTCCTTATCTCAAGGCTTCTTCTCCAGGACCCCTCATCCAGTTTCACTCTAGAAACTCCATCCAGTCGTCATCGCCCTCCCAGTCAGGGTTGGTAGAGCTAGCGAAGCTCTCAGAGGCTGGCTGCCGGCTCGGACCTCCATTGTCAGGCGTGGCATTGTTGTTGTCCCACTGCTCGTCAGCGTCATAAGCCTGCATCGTCCATTCAATCTCATCGTTGTCCCCAGAGGTGTTGCTGGGTCCAGGCTCACCTGCGTTGATGACCGTTCCAGTGTTCGAGCCAAGGGGTTCAGCACAGAAGGATAGCTCTAGCTGTGGTCCAAGGCTGGGCAAGACAGGCGCGGGATACCGGGCAGGCTGTTTGCCCTGGGCCTTGCTGGAGAGATTGTTAGCAGAGTTGGCCAGAGGAGCGGTGCTGGGCAAGGCGTAGCCCAGAGGAGCGGTGCTGGGCAAGGCATAGCCCATAGGAGCGGTGCTGGGCAAGGCATAGCCCATAGGAGCGGTGCTGGGCAAGGCATAGCCCATGGGAATGCCTGGCCAAGCATTGACGGGCGCAGCGTAAAGCTGAGGGTGGAATGGCTGGATCTGCGGTCCAGGAACAGCAGGGGCAGCAGGGGCAGCAGGAGGAGCAGGAGCAGCAGAGGACTCAGCATCGGCAACAAAGTCGAGGTCCGGGTTCTCTCGCTGGACTTTGCTGGCATACTTCAGCTTGCTGTGCTGGAGCTTGTTGCCGCGCTCATTCTGCATCTTGAGCGTTCGCTCGAATCTGGGCCGATCGGCAATCCTGTCGATCCAGAGGTCAGTCTCAAAGGCACTGCGGACAAGCAGCTTGTTTGCAGCGAGGCCCTCTTCGACGTCCCGGAAGCGCTCCATGTAGGTGTCATAGTATCCACGGCTCGTGCTGAACTTGGCAGGAAGGTTGAGGTCGTTCAGCTGGGCCTTGAAAATGGCGCGAAGAAACTTCCAGGCGCACATCTGCATCTCGATCGGCTTCTTGGTCTTGACACAGTGGACCGCAGCGCTGTCTTTGCCGTCTCTGATGGTGGCAGTGTCCTCAATGTCTGTCAGGTTGGACATGGCGGCAACAAGGCGCCGCGCCAGACCAAGCTGCTCTTGGGGATCATCGGGGAAGTCGTAGACTGAACTCAAGTCAGCATTGGTGCTGTCCAGCTTGCGGTAAGCGCGCTCAAACCTATATAGGTCGCCCATGCTAGTGATGTGGTCGATGGAGGCATCGGGTTGCTTCTCGCTGAGAAGTGTCCTCAGGCGAGCAATGTCGGCCACAAGAGTGTCAGCACCCTGCAGCTGAACGGCACCTCGCCGTGGCGGCGCTGGAGCAAAGTTGGCAGGCTGCGGGTCGTTCACAGCCGGGTTGATGATGATGCCCGGCCTCATACTGCCGGGCATGGTTTCTCCGCGGCGGCGCTTGTTGCGCTGGTTCATGTTGTTATCGTTATTGTCGTTAGGCATCGGCACACCACGCTGAGGGTTTGGAGCCTGCATGTTGCGGCCTGTCGGTCCGGGGTTGATGTTGGGCAGTCCTGCCATGTTGTTGCGGCTTGTCGGCACATTGGCCCTGGGGTTGACATTGGGAAGACCAGCCATGTTGTTGGCAATGGGCAAGAGGCCCTGGGCATTTCCCATCGAAGCCCTGCGTCCAGCAGGGCGGGGGTTGTTGGGTGGGTTAATAGAAGAACCCACCCTCTGGCCTGGCAACTGGATCCGTATCTGCTCAGTCATCTGAGAGATTCTGGTCCTGATGTCCCCTGTCATGCAGGAGGCATGACCTTGGTCGGAGTGACCCTGGGAATGATCCATACTGGATGGTTGGGATGAAGGGAAGGGGAAGGGTTACAAGGTGTCTGAGCTGAGGAGTTGGTCCGAAACCAGCGGACCAAAACCACAGGCAGATGTGGATGGTAAGAGCAGAGACCCCTTCAGGGATGTGTGAGCAGTCCAGTAAGGTGGTCCTGTCGTGGATGAAGAGGTGAGTTAGATGTCGAGAGCTGGTGATCTGGACGGGGAATTGCAACGTTCCTTATATAGTAGTTGGGCTCACTTGCTGCCTCCGAATAGAGCAATGAACAATTCATTTGAAAATAAGTAGAGCAATTGTGTTTTAATCAAGCCAGACAACTGTCTGTAACAGCGATTTTGAGCGAAGCCATCATCAATGTTGTAGAATAAGACCTGATCTTGATAGTTGAGATGGCAGAACATACAAGGAGAGTGAGTTAAGACAAAACGGTCAGTGAAACACAATAGACCTGTCACGGTAGTTTTGAAATTATACAGTAGTGCTGTGCGTTATGGTTTATGCATAGTATAGAACTGTAGCATTGTAATAGTGATAATGAATCTTTAGATCAAAAACAAGCTCGGCTCGAAAGCTCTGTGATCAGTCATATGGTGATTGGATCTTGAATTGGAATAGGAACTCGTGAGGACTTGCGATAACTGAGCGCTGCCTAGCATTATTCAAATTCCACTGCAAAGATGGTGGAAAGTTAATACGCATTTCGTCTGGATGTTCTGCTGTGTAATTTCGTATAACGTGTTCGACGCCTTGGCTATCAGGGAGCACTGGTCATCTGTAAACGAGCGCCAAATGGGTTTCGTAGTCCTGCCTAGTAGTCAGATATGAATTTATTATCTCGGTCAGGGACTGTTGCACGAGGGCATGCCTGGTGGTTTAGAAGGAGCCGTCCGCCCAGAATGGTGTCCCATTCCTTGGCTATGTGGCAAAAGAACTATGTCTATGGTTTTGTCGACTGTATTATACTGTTGAGGATGTAGAAAAACGCTGCATTGGAAGTGTGGGCTTCCAAGGTTGGCAAGACCCTCTACAATCTTCTTGCTTTTTATTCAGAGGACATTTACTTGTTCACAGTTTCTGAGCATGGTAGTATTCACAGGGCTGATAGGCCCAGCTATGCAGGTCGACGCAAGCAATTAAATTTGCTTTTATTCTCAAACATGACCGCAAAATGGCAAGATTGTATTAGTGATTCTACAATGCAATCAACCATATCTGAGTACAGAAGCTGACAAACGTGGCTTAGTGACACTTGGAAAGGGCATCAAATTACAAAGCTTGGACTTCAGCAGTGGGCTACTTGGCGTAGCCAGTCCTTGGCCAAACTCCTGATATAATTACTTCTTACAAGCTGCTTGCTATGGAGCAGCGGATTCCTGTCCTGAAATCATTGTCCAGATGAGTTATTGGTATCCAAAGACCTCACTGAGGGAACACTTGTTGTCTGATTCTATACGTGGCACTTGGGAAAAGAAAGTGGATTGTCAAGCAGCAACGAGTTTGGCGCTTTGTACTCGAGGGCATATGATTTTTAAGGGCTTTGTAGCTCATGTACTTCCAGGATCTCCCTTGTACTTAGTTCTTGAAGTACAGACACTACAGCAACGGGCCGCTACAAAGACTAACCGGTAGACCAGTAGCCATTAACAGCCACATATTCTCTGTTTGTATGTAGGAAATTCAAATTGGTTCATGTACTTCTGCTGACATCTGCCAATGTGTTTCTTGGTCTCGTTGAGGACGCTCATCAGTCTAGCTCAATTATTAAGTAGATGAGCCCTAAAAATGGAAGGAAGGGCCAGTGAAGTCAGGGCTGATGTTGGCGAGAAGGAAGGTATGGCTAATGTCCTGTCACACTGTATACCTCTACCAGATGATCCACCTCAAGAGGGATTAGTGAGGGTGAGCCTCAGCAAGATGCCAGAATGCTCATGTATTAAGGCTCATGTACAGTGATCTACTATGTAATATAATATCCCATGGGGTCAAAGTCAGGGGGTCAAGTTTAGGGTCACGGGGCGCAGCTGTGGTCCTCAGCACTTGACCCAGAGGGGCCGTTGGGGCTGTAATTACCAACCAGATCAACCCCGACCCCCTGCAGCCCAATACTGTAATAAGGGCAAGGGTCCATCGGCGCGGGATCGGCTTATTATTTGTCGCAAGACGCAATCAAGTCTCTTTCGGCCCCTCGTTTTAATCACGTCTTTTCGCATACACCCCAAAGCAACACCCACCACCTCCCTCCTTTTCCTTTTTCTAAACAGAAGATGCTGGTCCCCGTGTGATCATCGACCACCCCTCCACTGCTAGAAGACAAAGAAAATGGCAGGCACAGCCATCTTCTACCGCGCCATGCTTCGGCGGCACTTCCAGTCCTTCGCCCGCCAGCAGCAGCAGCAGCAGCAGCAGCAGCAGCAGCGAAGATGGCAGTCCAACAAGCCCGAGACTCCCATCCCCGGCCCAAACAATGTGCCTGCAACGGACGTACCCTTCTGGCTCAAGCTGGGCCCTCTGACCCGTGCGACACAAGCGTACGGCCGGGCGCAGAGGAAGAGGCCCTGGGTCGTCCAGCTGTGCACGTCGCTGACCATCTTTTGCCTCGGCGACGTCTCTGCGCAGCACATGAGCGGGAAGGGCTATGACCCAGAGAGGACGGGCAGGTCCATGATCATCGGCGGCCTGATTTCTATACCAAACTTCGAATGGTAAGGGCTAGAGACAAAAAAGAAGAAGAGTATCCTGCTTTCTGTTGGGCCACTGCTAATCAAAACCAACTTGGCGCTCGCAGGTTCATGTTCCTCTCGCGCAACTTCAACTACTCGTCATGGCTCCTGTCACTGGCCACCAAGATTACGATCAACCAGTGCTTCTTCACACCCCTCTTCAACACCTATTTCTTTGGAATGCAGGCGTTCCTGGCCGGCGACAACCTGGTCGAGATCTGGGAGCGCATAAAACGAACGGTCCCGATCAGCATAGTCAACTCGCTCAAGGTGTGGCCCGCCGTCAGCGCCATCAACTTCACCTTCATTCCTATCGAGTACCGATCCATATTTGCCGGGACGATCGCCGTCGGATGGCAGACATACCTGTCGTGGCTGAACAGGCTGGCAGAGGAGGCAGAAGCAAGAGACAGACCAGCTGGCAGGATACCGCCCTCGTCTTCTGCCGACATGATGACCGCATAGATGAAACCGTAGGGCCCCTTGCATCTAGATATTCTGAATGCACATGAGACGAGAAGAAAAGGTTTAGAATCGGGATAGACGGCGTTTTGGGATATCCAGGTTTAGAAACCAGACATACAGCGAAGACTGCTTTTTGAGATAGACTACATAAATTCATACTGTGCGCTTGGTGCAGCCATGCTGTGTTTATTACAGTGTGCACTAAGCCTTTCGGACTGTATCTAAACCACATGCCGGGGGGGGGGGGGTTGGTTGGCAACTTCGTACCTTCAAGTTTTGGATACTTCTTGTCCTCTCGAATCACGTCACCTTCAACCTTTTCCCTCGTCCACACCACAGAGCCATTGAGTTGCTGGATGCAGTCTGGTGGCCCTTCTACACCATGGCGCATCCGATAACACGAGGTCTGTCGCCTCATCTCGCCACACTCCGCCTCTTCAGATCAACAATTCGACCTCGCCTGTCGCCCATCTTCACGCGACGGACGGCCTCGACGACGGCCTCCTCAACAAGCACCCCTGCCGCCTCTTCCTCGACAGCCTCTGCCCCAGCTGCTGTGCCGCCTCCTCCCCCTCGTCCTCCACGCCGTCCTTTCCGTCTTGGGACACTCGCCCTCACGACCTCCCTCGCCGCGACCCTCACGCTCTCCTACCTCTACGCAACCGACACCCGCGCCTCCTACCATCAGTGGCTGGTCCCTCCTCTCCTCCGCGCCGTCTATCCCGATGCTGAGGAGGCCCACCATGTCGGCACCCGTGCCCTCAAGCTCCTCTACGAGCTCGGCCTCAACCCGCGCGAGCGCCCCACCCGCACCCCAGGCATCGTCCGTGAGCCCTCCGATCTCGCCGTGACCGTCTTCGACACCACCCTGGCGAACCCTATTGGCATCTCCGCCGGGCTTGACAAGGACGCCGAAATTCCTGACGTCCTGTTCGACCTGGGCGCCGGCGTCGTCGAGGTCGGCGGGTGCACGCCGCATCCGCAGGAGGGCAACCCGAAGCCGCGTGTGTGGCGCGTCCCTGCTGTCGAGGGCATGGTCAATAGGTACGGCCTGAACAGCCGTGGCGCCGACGCCATGGCCGCCCGGCTTCGAGAGCGAGTCAGGAAGTTTGCCATGTCGGTCGGGCTCAGCGAGCGGGCTGTCCTCAACGGCGACGGCGTGGACGTGCCTCCTGGCAGCCTGCTGCGGGGCCGACTGCTGTGCGTGCAGGTCGCCAAGCAGAAGGAGACAGACGAGCGGGACCTCGACGCCGTGGCGCGGGACTACGTCTACTGCGTGAACCGCCTCGCCCCGTACGCCGACGTGCTGGTCGTCAACGTCAGCTCCCCCAACACGCCGGGCCTGCGCGACCTGCAGGCCGCCGAGCCCCTGGGCCGCATCCTCGCCGCCGTGGTGGACGAGGCGCAGCGCACACAGAGGAGGACCAAGCCCAAGGTCATGGTCAAGGTGTCGCCTGACGAGGACGAGGCAGCGCAGATGGAGGGGATCGTCCAGGCCGTGTACATGAGCGGCGTCGACGGCGTGATCGTGGGGAACACCACTAAGCGGAGGGCAGGGCTCGTGCCGGAGGGCGTGCGCCTGATGCAGCGCGAGAGGGACGCGCTGATGGAGACGGGGGGGTTCTCGGGCCCTGCCATGTTCGAGAGGACGCTGGACCTGGTGGGGCGGTATCGGAAGATGCTGGACGGGTTCTCGATGCGAGACTCGGAGGAAGGAACAGCCACCCCAGCTGCTGCTACTGCCGCCGCCGTCGCCGCTGTGCCGGCTGTCGATGGGACGGTGGCTGGGCAGGTCGAGAGCGGGAAGCGCAAGGAGACACCCCAGAAGGTCATCTTCGCCACCGGCGGGATCAAGAACGGCGAGCAGGCGTTGAAGGTCCTGAACGCTGGGGCGAGCGTGGCTATGGTGTACACCGGCATGGTGTATGGCGGCGCGGGCACTGTCACGAGGATAAAAGGCGAGATGAGGAAGACGTTGGAAAATGGGAGTGCATAGAGGGGCGGGGATGGCTTTGGCGATTATTATGTCACCTCTCGTGGGGGTGGTAGGGCGGCAATAGACAAAAATGTGTTTTATTGAAGCATCTTTGCAGTATATATATCACTATATACACATGTGTTTTGGCCATATTGATTTGTCTCCTGTTCTATACTTCTCGACTCGACGTTCCATACTCCATTGTGGCGCTCGTTTCTGGATCGGCCTGTAGTTAAGTCTACTTTTTTTCTTCCTTTTTTTCTTCGTCTTGGTTTGAAATTCCAAGTGTCCGCGCCTTGGTGCATTCAGCTAGGGCACGTAGCCACATGATGATGATCTTCTATTGTTGCTTTTTACAGATATTTATGTACACATCAAGCATTTGATGGGCAGACATGACAAGGTTACAGTTACGAGTCTTTGAATCCTCACGAAATTTGGTTCGATTCCTGAAAGAAGGGAAGGGAGTTGCACTGGCCATTGAAAGAGAAAACAAAAGGGAAAAGAAAGGCAAGAGAAGGAAAACGTGATGACATCTCCACATGTATAAGCAGTACTCGCGCACATTCCAAAACAAATTGTGATAACTATAACATGAAGAAGAAAAGAAAAGCTAAGCGATGCATGTTCCCCTCTCGCTTGATCCAGCACCGGAAGCCAGCCCGACAAGAAAGATTGAGTCCTGCTCAACGATACGTTGCCAAAGGTTACAACAGAGTAGACACCACACACACATATCCCATGTCTGTGTTTCCCTCCTTCTTCCTCACACATTCTCTCGATATGAAGCAGTGGCAATGTCCGTATCAGCAGTGTCCATCTTCGCCAGCTTCTCGAAACCCAGAGATTCTGAGAATCTCTGCATCCGAGGCGTCATGACAGCCTCAGCAACCGAAGGATAAAGAATTGTAGCCTCGCTCTCCGTCCACTCGTAGACGTCACGGGCATCCAAAACTGGCCAGCCAGCCCGAGCAAACCTCAATCTCACATTCGGCGACATATCCACAAAGCGAAACTCGACGTCCTTGCCACCATACCGCTGCACCTCCTGCACAAGAGTCCGCAGGTGCGAGACGGCGGTGGTGTCCACATGATTCACCCTTCCGAAATCAAGCACCACGAGGCCCAGAGGTGGTAGGATATCTGGGTTCGAGACACCAGCAGCCTTCCTCAGGCGCGCTATGCGCTTCTCAGCGCTGACGGACCAGTTGCGCTCCCTCTCGGCGCCACGAGAATCGTCGTACGCGGGCTTGTGGTGGGTCTGCACCGAGTCCAGGATGCGCTGCGTGAGGCGGTACGAGTTGAGAAAGAAGAGGGACTCGTTGAAGCGGAAGACATGGACGTCCTGCAGCATGCCATCGGCGACGTTGCTCGGCGGTAAGCCCCGTGCGGCGTCAAGCGACGAGGCGAGCTCAGACCGTGCCGGCACAGGCGAGGCGGTCAACGAGGCAAACGTCTGGCGAAGGATGTTGTAGACGATGTTGAAGGCAATGGGAATGAAGATGCCAAACTCGGTGGAGTAGAACAGGCTCAGCCAAAAGGCCAGCATGGACGTGATGAAATCAGCCAGCGAGGTCTTCCAGAAGCGGTAGAAGGCAGACGGCGGGTAGATGAGCGGCCACACGGCGCAGATGATGATGGCCGCCAGCGTGGTCTTGGGGATCCAGTACAGCGCGCCTGACAGCTCGTAGATGCACACGAGGATCACGCCTGTCGTGAACATGCCCGACAGCGGCGATTTGACCTTGCATGACGAGTTGACTGACGTCCGAGACATGGCACCACCCACGCCCATCGCGTGGAAGAAGCTGTTGAAGAAGTTGACCACGCCAAAGTAGCTGAGCTCCTGGCTCTGGTCGGGGCTGTAGTTGTTCCGTATGCCAAAGGCACGGGCAATGGCGGTGTGCTCGATGGTGGCACCGATGAAGACTGTGATGGAGCCTGAGGCTACCTGGCGCAGAAGATCACCTGAGGGTATAGCAGGTGCTTGTTGGCCGTCCGAGGAAAGCTTGACCACCTCCCAAAGGTAGTCGGCCGAGTTCAGGTTGTGGTTCACCGCGTAGCTGATCCCTGTGAAGAGCACCAGGGCCAGGAAGGCTCTCGTGATGGAAAGTATCCATAAGACTTTGTACTTGTCGCCCCATCTCTTGCCGCCTTCTTCGAGCAACTTGAGGAACACTATGCCAGAGAATCCGATGGCGCATGTGAGGCCACTTGCCTGCGGTAGGAATTGGAACGTCTCACGAATCTGCGTATAGGCTTTTGCAGATGACGAGACATCTGTGCCAAAGAAGGAGCCCATCTGGTTCAGGATGATGGTGATGGCCACAGCAGAGATGAAGCCGGTGGTGATTGGGATAGAGACAAATTCCAAGAGGAATCCGAGCTTCAAAAACCCTATGAACATCCCATATACGCCCATCATGAGGGCCACAGCTGATGCGATCTGCTGAGGAGTATAAATTGTATCTGTGCCGAGAGACAGGATAACCTTTGCGGTGAGGAGGCCGATGAGGGATGTTGGACCGGTGGACAGATCTAGTAGAGAAGGATTGTTAGAAATTTGGTCTCATATTGTTCTTTCCCTTTTCTTTCCTTTTCAGTCACGGGGAGCAAATCAGACACACCTTTCGTGGTTCCCATAAACGTGTATAGGGCACCTGGAAACCAGCTGGACATGAGGCCATACTGCACAGGAATCGTCGCTAAAGTCGCATATGATAGGGCTTGCGGGATAAGCATCAAGCCCACGGTCAGACCCGCGATGATGTCGTTGACGATCCATCGCGGGTTGTAGCGAGGAAGCCATTGTACAATGGGCACCTTATCCAGAAGGTATTGCGTGGAGGCAGTAGGGAAGGATCGAGCGCCCTGAGCCGCGAGACGGCCGACCCTATTCCAGGTCACATCCGTCCGCAAGTCATCCTTGACGCTATCAATGATCTTCATGATGAGTCAAGACGCCCGAAGAATGAGACGCCAGGTCTTAGAAGGCAATAATGTGTAAGGCTGTGATGCTGCAATGTTCCTGATACTAAAGAGTTGTGAGTGTCGTCTCATGGTACAAGTATTCGCTTTTCTTATGAGGCTGACCGCAGCAGTTTATATAGACTCAAGAGTTGGTATGATACTTTGGCTTCGTGCTCTACGTTAATGACCTTCTTTCTCTACGATGAAATCATCCCAATTTGTCTGTCTCTAGCATGCCCCTCACAGCCTCCCTGAGCATCACAAGACGGCATGCCGGTTGCTTGATGCCCGCGCCATGCATGCAAGGAGCTGATCGAATCCCTGATAGTATTCCAGCACTTGATGCACACCATTGTCAGAAGGATCAAGAAAACAAACACGACCACCTTCGGTGTTCGGTATCTCATAGTCCAAACATGGGTCAAGAGCTAAGCTCTCTAGCAACCAAGTACTATAGTAGACAACAGGGTAGGCACCTAGGCAGTTAGGACATCAACAGCATTCATCCCGGCTCTCGCAACTGACATGGAGTGAAGACCTGATGGTCCCTCCAATGGCAACGGCCTTTACTTTGGGAAGGGTGTGTAGTCGGGAAAAGACCAAAAGGTGAGTGAGACGCAGCCAATAGACATGGACTATAATAGCGTGCAGGGCCACTACTGGGGAGAATGCGGGGTGCAGCAGTGACAGGGCACTATAGTCTGAGGAGGAGACTAGTAGACGAGGGTAAAGTCCTAGTTTCTAGAGCTACTTACAAGGGCCTTGGCTCGAAGAGGATGGTGGGTAGTGGTGGACAATCGCCATGACGGCCGGGAGTATTCCCTCTGCAGGACAAGATAGAGGTTGCGGGGGAGTTCGACCCCCTGACAGGCTTGGTTTAGGTCACATCTGGGGCATTTGACAAGGCATCCTGAGACTCATCTGGTCTTCTTACATGCTTCGCTTATATTATTACGCCTGAACAGAACTGGCCTGGTCAGGGTGTATTGCGCTGCCCCCACTCGTTTGTATTACAGTGATCCGTCAAGGCTGCTGTTGACTGAGAGGCATGCTTTGTGGTAATCCTAGCCCTTGGATCTAGTGTGGCTTAAAGGTAATAATAGTTGGACATATGAGCAAACTTAGTATGTTGAGGGAGAGAGTAAGAGAGAAAGAGAGTATGTTACAACGCAGAGAGATGTGATAAAGTGTACGAACACAACAGCATGCCCCTCCGCAGTGGGATATGCCTTCCCACTTCACAGAGCCACAAGGTGTGTGTGTTTTAAGGACCAAGACGGTAACTTCTCCGCAATCCTGCAGTGAAGGGCCATGTTGGAATCATCCAAGAATTGGGGTCTATGTTTAGGAACCAACCGCCGTCGAGTATTCCACTGGCGGGTCTGCAGGTTGACGATCCGCTGGGGTCACATGCGATGACTCGCCAGCACTGGTCACGAATCTAGCCTCCACAAGCGTTGATGAGATGAAGCCCAGGCTCAATGAAGAGCACGGTTCCTTAAGCTTTACCCTATTAGTAGTACAGAACCAGATGATTCGTCTTATGCATGCCTCTGCTCTCAGGTCATCCGCTGTGATTTAGAAGTATCGATCCGGTAGGTTTTCAATCGACCGCCTCGTCGTGGGGGTGAATTGAGCATGGCCATACTCATCCGAAGGCCTCCTTAGAACACGCTCTCAGTGAGCAGACAGCATCCAATGTATGTTCAATAATTCTGAGCGGTTTGCGATGATGCGAGGCTCAAAGCATCATGTCTAATAATAGGTGTATATGATGTGACGATAGAGATAAGATGCGCCGATATGATCCAATGAAACTTGACAAGTACATTCTCAAGAGGAAAAGACTAAACAACCAGGGTGGCATTCGGCGACATGCTCGGAACTTTAAAAGCCTATTATGACATCAAACACGAGTCGGGCGCCAGGTCGCAGCCAGTATTCTGTATCTTGTGAGCACACGCCAGGCTCAGGTGAATCATTTATGATGTTGGTTCAAACACCGAGCTATGCTTAATTTGATATCCTTGCCGTTGCCGATTTACAAAGCCTTGTTTTGCTCGCTGAGGACTAGCTATGGTGTATCTATAACGAAGGCACGACGTCAAGATGGCCTTGTTACACAAACTTCATGTTTCATGCTAAGCCTCGCCAAGCCGATGCATGGCTTGCTTGGCGCAGGAGATTTTTTGCACGGGGCGCAGCAGTAGTGCTCGTTGTATGACTCCACATGTCCCTCATCAACTGATATTCTGATTGACTACGGTGCAGGAGAGCCATGTTGAAGCTGCTGAGGCCGGTGTTAGAGATTGATGATAATCCTACCTCACAAAGCGTCGTGAACAGTGACAACGCGCCGTTTCATTCGCGAGTAAGGTAAATATGAAACATAAAGTTGAAGTACGCACGCATCATTATTGAGGCCGTGCGGCATGACTTCTGCAATAATTTGGAACCTATAACAATGACGACTTAGCACCCTTGGACCACGGAAGCTTAACTCATCCGAACTCAAAGCGCTTGCAGTATCCAGCGCAAGGTTGGCGTACTGACGATCTCAGCCATGCCAATTTGCTACTTCTTTTGTCCTTACTACTCAACCAGAATCGTTGTGGACTTACATTTTGTCTCATGACTGCCGAATATCTGTAGATTCTCTATCACTATTTAAGTAAATCATAGTTGGCAAGGCTGTAGCCGCTCACGAACTCGCCTAGTTAGAAGAGTGGATCCCCAAGCCCTCGACCCACTATCGCAAGCATGGATAAAAATTCGCAAGGATTGTAAACTGTGGCGGAGTACAATTCTTAAGAAGACATTTCACACAGGTTTCGCAGAGTACACAAGGATCCGCCAACATTTGCATCCGTCTTCAGTACCTGACCACCTACAGACAATAGAGGGTCTCATGAGCTTGAGTGGATATGACGAAGCCATCTCAGTGGATCTTGGACTGCATGCTAAGAACAAGGCTGGCAATTCGATATTCCGAGGATCCGTCTGTGTGACACATCGGATGCTGGATTCAACGTTCATCATCAGCCAATTGGGCCGTTTTCTCAACACAGAACCTAGTCATTCCCGGATGTCATCTTCCCTATCTCAGATTTTGTGACCCTTGAACACAAAGGCCCATTGATATTCAGCTATCTTGCATGATTCGCTCGATTTCGCAACTTCAGACGAAGGTCCGTGTTCGGAAATTCCCACTGATTATCTGGTGCGTACATTTTTATCTTTAGATGACACAATTAATCCCAATCAGTCCCAGATTTTCATGACTTGTCCAGTGTATAATCTAGCCGAAGCAGCTAATAAAGCGGAATAATGTGTCAAGATGCCTGAAGATCCCAGAGATACAATTTACAAGCATAATTGGTCTCTGTTCACATGTAGACAGGCACTATTGGATTTAACAATCTGAACAAGATAAGGAGGTGCTTATATACACATATAAAGACAGATTGCGATAAGATGTGCTACTATAGCAAACAGTAGCTGGTAGTGAATTTTCTAATCTTAGCAAACTTTCCAGATCATACCCAACCACCTGGAAACACTTGTCCGTGGATGTTGTGAGTCTATAGAACTAGAGACTAATGGAGAATGCACGTCCATTTCACAAGGCCTCCTCTCCCACTTGTTTCTGTCTTTCATGCCGACGACATCAGTTGTAACCTTAAATAATGGTACATAATGTCGGCTCTGGGACTTTGGATACAAGTCAAGTGGCGAAGTCGCAATGTTCTATCTATGGCATTATTTCTGTAGGGGTTCTCCTCTCTTGAAACCACACCTGCACCAACGAGCTTTTCCAAAATACTACCGCGGATGCCAATCTGCGGCACTGTTGGCAGATATTTGCATCAGAGTTATTGCTCTAAGCCACTATTCTATGCCTCTATACTTGTCAAGCTCCGTTTATCGCGTGGTGGCCCGTATGTATTGCTTGATAGTCATCTGAAGTCAGTTAACCCCGGCCCTCATAATCTCAGATTGACTCGGAGGTAGGTGGCAAGCTCTGTCTATGATACACCATCTATTCACTCATGTCAACCTTGAGTCTAAGAGTGAGGAGGCCCTGATATCAAGACTGCCCAATACTCAACCAGTTTCAAGCCCAAGCAAAGCATGATCCGTGCACGTGGTGAACAACCTGAACGAAGATGATGGAGGAAATAAAGACCGCCAGATTGGCTAGGATACTTAGATTCAGTGACTGCCTAACCTTAATTGTTCTGATATGAATCAGTCATCTTACCTTGTGCTTGAAAGATGAAGAAAGTGCATTATCCACGGGCTCTTCAGCTTCTGCAGTGTTCGAGTGATAGGAAGGCTTGAAGCTGATTTCAGGTTATCGAGAGGTGCTCACCTGTGTGAGAGATATCTGTAGGAAAAGCCGAGATATTGTAAACAGTTATTTGCGCTGTCATCAAGTTTCAAGGCATATCTTTTGTGATTAACTCAAATTAACATTGCCCGATGACCTCCTTCAGAATCTGAGGCGCACTTAACGTTGGTTCTCGGTATCAATTATGAGCGCGTACCTTCGCATCGTTTTCTGCAACAGTCACTGTGTGTTTGGAAGAAGAGAATTATGAAATTAATGCAAGCATGAAGGCTTAGTATTTGTACGCCACCTTGCTGTTAATGAAACGCATGAAAACCTCCGATAGTGCCCCAAAACAACCATTTATAGCCAATGACATCTTGGCAGGGTCGCGCGTGCCTGACATCCGCAAGACAAGGGCAGGAAACCCACGTTCAAAATAATAATTAGCAAGTATCCATTGTTGATATGAACGGAGCCTTGGAAGTTGAACACTGATTAGATCATTACGGCAGTTCTTCTGTCACCTGAGCTTCGTGCGAGTGGTCTCATGAGGGCTCGATCCCGATCAATTAGACCTGGGGTGCACTTTCATTGACCCTGGAAGTTCCTTCTTCAAAAGCACTCCGATACTGATAGTTGATGTCTGTCACATAACCCCTATCAGAGATAAAACCATGGCAATATTATGCTAGTCATCATGCACCTACCTGCACTCATGGCAAGTTGTGCATAGAAAACCACTTTCATATTGCAATCGATGATGTGGACGATGTAATGGACACAGAAACCGAATCAAGGAGACAGATTTCGTGTATGATGATGAGTTATTAATCATCAATTAAGCTACACGTCCAAAACACAAGCATGATTATATTACCCCAATGAGAAGACGCAGAAGAAGAGAAAGGCGCCTTGATGCAGCTCAGAATATTATTCCAGTACATGCCACACTCCAATTGAAGAAAAGAATAGACCCTAGAAGTGCGGAACTTAGAAGGGTGCAATTTTCCGCGTCCCCACGTACTTTTGTTAACTTGTCCTACCTGTCGCATAGCATTTTGACGTCAATTTGCTTTCAAAGCCGGTAGCCGAGGCTGGGCCACTCTTACGACTTGCGGCACTGGAGGCGTATACATGCCTCCAAACTGTGCAAGGCATTGGTGGTTGAAATATCGCAGTAAAGATGATTAGGCGTCATCGTCACCGATGCGAATGCGTCCCTCAGAGGACAGACCATGAGCCCACCATCCACCAATCTCGACGTTGGTCTCGGGTACACTGCGGTGGCTCAGCAACAGCCAAAGACCGAAGATAGGCTTGGCGAGGACGTCGAGGATCGCATAAGCCAAAATCTCGCCATCGACAGATGTCTTGCGGGCACCATCGGCAAAGCCCCAGACACTAAAAGGCGATGTCAGAGAGAGAACATCCTGGAACCGAGAGGGAGGGCAAACAATAAGCTTACATTGGGTACGCTGTCCACAGAATGAAGGTGAACAGAGCGAGGGAGCCAAACAGCTTGGTCACCTTGTTGCCCTTGGCCTTGACTGTCTTGCTTCCATGAAGAGCGACGTGCCAGATGACGAAGATGTATGCAATGCAGGAGATGGCATACCATCCCCACTTCTGTGCCGTGTCTTCAGTGCCGTAGGCGGCGAAGAGGCCTGTCAGGACCATGACCAGATCGGCGCTGACAGCCATGATGGTGTGAGCCCCATCGATTCCGGCCAGGAGGCAGAGATCGACCAGCAAGAAGGGGGTAGTGATGGCCCAGTCGACGTAACGAGCAAAGTAGACCTCGCGGCAGACTTCGTGGTAGGTGTCAGGAACCTTGTCGTGCTCATTCTTGACCTGAATGCAGTGGTAGTTGACGCCATGTCCGCTAGCCATGCTGAAGTAGGCCAGAGAGGCAGTGATGGTGATGATAGTAGTGACATAGTGGTAGAGGCGCTTCGAGACGGGAATGTTCCAGGACAGGAGGGCAAAGAAGCCAGAGGCAACTACCATGATGACGAAGACGACCCATAGGATGCTGTTGCCAGTCTGGGATGAGTGCTCATATTTGGTAGGTGTCGCTGGTTTATTCATATGAAACGAATTAGCAAGTTGTCGCGACCCGAGAAGAAAGCACAGAGGTTGGGAGAAGAAGGGATGACATACGTATCACCGTCGGGATGGGATCAACCTCAAAAATGTTCTGCATCTTGACTGTCACTGAAAAGAATTGGCTAATGTGAGGATGGGAAAGTCGAAGGTTTTCGTCAAGACTGATCACAGGTAAAGTAAGTGAGAACGTCGGACAGAACTTGCAGGACAGAGCAACAAAGAACAGACAGCTGAGAGGGGAAGCTTGGAGACGTGCACTTTAATAAAACTATCCATCTGGCGTGGCTGGGAAGGGGTGGCATTCTCTATGAGCTCCGGCGCTTGAAGCTCAGGTGAGCTTCTGATGCATTCGGATCGACGTCATCAATTACGTTAGCGATCGTACATCGCTGTTTGAGCCTAGCGGTGCATTATGGGTAGGCAGTAGCACAGTAGGGAAGCTCCTGCAAGCCGCCTATTTCTCTATTGGCCTAGTAACTAATAACGTGTTATGCCCCCTTCGCGTGGATGTCACCCTGTGACAACTCCTCCCAACAAAAAAAATTCCAACCTATTCTCCCGTATTACCTGCATATCCTTGAAGGTAGCCGTCGTAGCTGTTTCTTCTGTCGCGGCTTACTCCACTCTTCCATCATCATGCCGGAGCTTTTGCTGCAGACCAGGCAGGCTCTTTGGTCACCCGCCCAGGTGCAGCCCAGCTAGAGCTTACACGGTATTGTATCGATCCTGGTTTTGTCTGGGGGATCGGCGTGGGAATTCCGGTAGATCGGCGAGCGGCTGTGAGGATCTAGACAACCCCCGCGATCTAAACGGTCAAGAGCAATCATTCCAATACCGCTGATATGCGGACAAGGGCGCTTAGCATACTTAGTACCCCAGGCCTGCATGCTGCCTGAAGCAACGTCCTCCTCCAACATTGTCTAGCTGAATCTGGCATCCATCTATTGAGCCACTGGTTGGCACACGAAACCTGTTCGTCAAGGACGCCACTTAGCAGACGAATACCTCTAGCAAAGACGGGCCGTTGGAGATGAGAGAGGCCCGTAAAGCACCGGACCTAGAGGCTGGGACGATGTGGCTTGCACATTCGGTTCTTATGTCTTGTTTAGCGTTGAAGAAAACGCCGCACACCTGAGGATGCTGAGCTCCGACATATGCTGGCTTGGGCTGGAAATTGACATTCTTTGTTATGCCGTCATGTCAAGCCCCATCCTTGCTCAGAACATTCAAAGACCTTGAGCAGGGGAAAGGAACAACCCTCCAATTAGCCAAGGAAAGTGGCGTTCGCCTTCGGGCCAGACAGCTCTCTATCCCGTCACAGACAAAAAGAGCTTCCCCGCAATACTTGCCTTCTCGAAGTCGTATTGAACCGAGAAATGAGACAGAGTCTAGCGTGTTGAACGAGACTACATCCCAGCAAGGTTTCACAGGGTGGTAGCATTCTGAGGAGCTTAGATGTGCAAACCGTCTTTTGACCTTCGGAAGTCAACTTTTACTTGCAATCAGTACTTATTTGAATTTGATGGCAGACTATCATACTTGTTTGAAAGCAGGAAAAGGAAGAACAATATTACTGTGTCGTCAGGTCCTGCGCAGGAGCAGTGGTAAAGAGTGACTCGACAAGCTGCTTGACCTTCACAACATTCTCGTGTCCTGCTTCCTTGGCCGCCTCGTAAGCCAAACGATACACATGCAACGCCTCCGTGAACAAAGGGCGATAGTCCGTCCACCCCGTCACCCGCCGTAACTTTTCCGACCCGGTCCACTGTGGAAAATCGATAATCATCGGCGTCCAGGGATTCTCCTCTGCAGCCAGGCTGGCGGCATCGACATACCTGATGCCCTGGGTAATCTTGTATTCCGCGACGAGAGCCTTGCCGAGCTCGTCCACCGTCTCGTACCTCCGCGCCGAGATGTTAAACACCTGCCCCTCGACATCCGCGCGCCGCGGGTGTGCCGCTATGGCCACATAGGCATCGGCACAATCGTCGACGTGCATGCAGTGGCAGATGCTGTCGGGCTGGGACGTCAATAATAGCTCCTTGCCGGCGTCGGCAGCCTTCTGTGCGATCTGGAAGAAGATGCTATAGAAGCTCGACGAGCGGCCGTGGACGTTGGTAGGCCGCACCAGGACTGGCGAGAAGGCATCGTGGTTCTCGAGTATCTTCTGGCTGTACTCGGCTCGGAGCTTTGCGAAAGCAGGTGGGTTGAGAGGGCTTTCTTCGGTGTGCGGAGCCAGGTTCGGGTCATTTGCAAAGTGAGGTCCGAGCCCGTAGTCCTTGCAGCCAGAGGTGAAGATTACGAGGGGTTTGAGGCCATTGCTGGAGCTGACCGAGCTGACGGCACGGAGGAGGCTAACGATGTTGTTGTAATGGCGCACATAGTCGCTGTGATCTTCGGTTGTGGACACGATGGCATCGAGTGTGGGGGGCAACTGGGCCGATGTTCTGTCGTGGGAATTCACATCATCGATGGCACCGATGACGGGGAGTATCTCCTCACTGGCTAAACCATGAGCACCTGTTTCAGATCTGACGAGGCCGTAGGTGATCCAGCCCGCGCGGACAAACGCTCTGGCGACGGCATTGCCGATGTAGCCGTTCGCCCCGGTGATGAAGGCTGTTCTCAACTTCGATCGATTTTCAGATGTCATCTTCACACAATTCCATAAGCACGTCTGACGGGTTTTCCTTTTCAGGATAATCACAACGTCTTGCTGTGCCAAGCTGTGATATAAATGCTGTTGCTACTGATGATCAATCGCCAGATATGGCCGCTGACAAATCGGACGGTTGATTACATATATTCCATCTACTACGGCATGCATGCAATTATAGACCCATAAAACAAAATTAAGGAGGTCCTGCAGGCCACGAGAATACAAGTTTCCAATGTCTTGATGGATTATTTGCTCATTAGGTTCATGAAAGCCTGGAAGAGTACTTGAGTTACGCCTTGCCAACGCAGTATTTTTGAATATACCTTGCCGCTGCAAACCGCATTTGTTCTACGCCTCGAAGCACCCGTGACAACTTCTCAGGCTTACAATAAGACATTATTTAGATATATAAAGTCTCTGCTGACATGTCAAGAAATTCCATTCCTATTGCTCATAACATCCAGCATCAGCGTCAAGGACAGTAAGAAGAAAATCAATATGGACTGTGTTACGTCGGGCTTTGATATGTCACATCGGAGCTTAGATATCGGAGGAATCTTCGTCCGTTCTATGTCTTCTGAACAAAGTAACAAAGAATTCTAAGAATGAGAATCACTTGTAGACAGTTAATCAGTATACCTCAAGAAGATGGATTGGTTATACTATGAGAGTCTTTGCCGTGGGCCTATTACTCAAGCAAATGGCTGCAAATCTGGTTCAGAATAATTACATCGAAACCTTAAATGGAAGTCAACGACACATGAGTAGCACTCTGCACGTCCTTCGCCGCCTTATTAGAAGAGAAGAGAAGAAGAATAAGAAGAAGAATAGAAGTAGACAAAAAGCATAACATCGAATGAAGAATGAAAGAGTGTAAAGAAGCGAAGAACAGAACAGAAAGAGTCTGCGGGAAACCCCCCCCCCCTTGATTCACCACCTCTCCCACCCGGACTGGGACAATCAACACATCAGTATTATTCCTTGAGTGGAAAACACTCAAACTCCCGAATCATCCTGCTTGAAGATGTCTTTGGAAGGATAGTAAGCATTCCAGCTTTTACACTGGGAATTGAGCTGGTTAACATCATTCGTGTTCAGCCCGGCGACAAAGGCAGAAGGCTGCTCAAGGAAAGTATTTCCAAGGCCAGCAGAGACGTGCCATGCAATGTGGCAATGCCTATAGAACATCTCGAGTCAGTATTTTCTTCTCGCCAGGGAAACGTAGAGGAGGAAAGGCAGAAGGACATACATCAGCCAAGCTCCTGGGTTAGTAGTCTGGAATGCAATGAGAAGCCAGCCCTTGGGAGGGAGCATCACAACGTCACGCCGGATAGGGTTGTTGCCGTTAAGGCTCGACACATCCGACGACGTAAAGGTATAAGGAGTCTGGGCTGTCGGCGACACATTAGGGGAACGTCCAAGCACCACAAAGTCATGGCCGTGCAGGTGGATAGGGTGTGGCAGTGCGTTGCCAGTCGCGGTGGGATCGTTCTCAATCAGCCAGTATGCCCACTGCGGATGTCATGTCAGCAATCATCGATATTTCTCGCCTCGACCGGAGCTGTTGCAACAGATATGCCTACCTGATTCGCCTCCTCTACCAGCCAAACATTGTCAGTTGAGGGCCAGGCGGTCGACTTGTTAATGACATATTGAGTGATGGGGTGACCCCAGTCCACGTCGAGAGTAGAGCCGTTGATAGTCCACTTCCTGGTAGTTGTAGACAGTTGAACATCCAAGGTGTTGTCGCTGGCTGCAACAAAGCCAGAGGTCGGTATAGAGCGGGGGACGACCGGGACGAGGTTGAGGAGGTCCAAGCATTCGTGATCGGCCGGAGCAACGCCTTTGTTAGTTGGGTGGCTGTTGGAAGCACCGTTGTAGTGAATAATAGCAGCCGGGTAAGGGTTGTTAGATTTGCCGCAAAAGCCGCCTCCGCCGAATGTGACGTTCATCCAGTAGTTGTCCGTAGCCTGGCTGGCATCAATCGTCACATCATAGCGCTGACCGATGCCCACAAAGAGGCTATCCGTCGTGAAAGAGTCCACTGGAACAAAATCCGATTCGATGACTGTCATAGAATGGCCCACAATGGACACCTGGAAGTTGTTCTCGACGCCTGTGGAGATATCAGCCGGAGACTCTTGTTGCTGATGTACTTCAACGGAACAACCTACTGGTGTTGATAATTCTCAGGCGATGTCTCTTGCCTGGAGTCAGAGTGATGGTCTTATACTGGCCTTGCGTCGTGTTAGCCGGATTGATGTTGGTTCCATTGAAGCTGTTATATGGTCAGCAAATATATTCCATCTTCCTTATGAATGATAGAAACAAGTGAAATTGGCGAGTTGCCGGAAATTTGCATTTCCAGTCAAACTCTGGTTCGGTTTATTCTTGAAGATGAGCTGTTGATGGAGCGAAATACCGAAGCCGCAGAACAAGGGTGGGACATAGGGTTAGAGACAGAAGAGAGATGATGAAATGGGAATTCGTACAGTACGTTGTCGCTAGCGGGAGGCGCATTGCTCTGGGTGTAGACAACAAGTTCGTCTGCAGTTTTGTAGTAGTAATCCGACAGGACAAGAGGGCCCAGATCAATATCGTAGGGAAGACTGGCAGGACCGTCAATCTGGATGGCGCCGACGATGCCGTTTCCGTATTGTGCCGAGAAGTGAGAGTCTGCTACAAGTCAGGATTGATGAGACCTCTCACTTTATTATATGTGCAAACTTACGATACCAACTAGTTCCGTACTGGTGTGCAATGAATGTGTAGCTGTTTCAAGTTAGAAAATGATTGCGGTAATCGAGACCTCTTCTCAAGGATCTTCTCTCTACACGTGAGGTACGGAGGCTCGTGGGCTATGAGGTCGTAACTACTTACGTCTTGGAGCCGCCGTTAGGTGGAATAGGACATTCCGTAATACCGTTGACTCCATCTTGCAGCTGCGGAAAACGCTTCAGTATTACGGAACCAAAGCTACAGCGACATGATAGCCGCCTTAGGGTTTGAGGAATATCGGAGGTCACTCACGTTGGTGTTGAGCTGTCTGATCCCATGCCAATGGATCGTTGTCCCTGGGTTAATGTTAGAAAACTTGTAGGTTGCCTTTCAAGAGATCGACCAAAATGATCTTACCATTGTACTTGAGGTTGTTCGTGACCGTTACAGAAATTGTATCTCCCCACTGAGCGTGGATGACGGGGCCTGTGATAGGCCAGGGTCAATTACACGCAAATTGTGATACCAAGGCATGTAGGAACTTACCCAGAATGTTACCTAGACGAAGCACAAAGTCAGCTGATACGAAGTACAACGTGCCTCATGCTAGGAATGTATAATGTACCATTTACGAGCATCACATCTTCCTTGACAACACCATCCGGACCCAGCCAGTTCTCAGCTTGAGTCAGAGTCAAGTCATACTGTAAGTACTCTTGTTAGACTTGTGCAAGCCGGTGGTTAATCATAGAGCCTACCTGTCGGACAACACCCGTCAATGGAGTTTTCACTTCCTGGTACATGTCAGTATTTCGCTCCCCAAGATAGAGTACTCGGCACTGATTTCCAGGACATAATGAAGAACATTATCATCTTTGACGAGACACTCACATAGTCAGTGGTGATATCGTACGAGCCGCTGATCCAGCAAGCACGATTGGAGGCCGTGTTACAATTCGGTTGCTGGCGAGGCTCAAGAGGATGGAGAAGCGAGGGTGCAGCCCAGCTCAGCTGAGATGCTATAAGCCCAGAGAACAGGGCTCGAAAGAATGAAGGCATATTGATAATGAAGGACGAAGACTGGCCCGCCACGAAGTTGGAACGAGGTTCAAAGAGAAAGAAAAGGATTGTGATTCGTGCCGTGGGAAACAACACTTCGTAGAGCAGAGGAGGGGGAGGAAGCGTCTTTATATACCTCGAATCGAACCATTGGTATTACACACAACATCCACACCATAGGCAATGTGGATGAACAATATTTCGTAATGGGATACGGCTTGCGCTGAGGACCAGGGAGGCTCACCTTGCCTCTGAGGTCAAAGGCTTACTGAACAGGCAACCGTCCAGGACATGGCCTCATTTCACCTGTTTGACGATACATGTTCCGAAATCAGGGCGCAAAAGTTAGCATGAACGATCCGAAGACCACAAAGCTATGTCCAAGATGGTGTGCAGACTCCAGTGCACTATCAGCACTTGATAATGCCAGTTTAAGCGAGCTATGAGCTTTCCAAAGGTCATGGGAAATGAGATTTCGATAGACTGACACAGCCGGTTGCCCATCATGAATGTGTGCCGCAACTTTGCAGCAAAACTATTTGAGCAGAGAATATATGCCAGTCTTTTTAGAAGGGCTAAAGACAATATTCAATGTATGGGCACATTTTTCCGGCCCGTAAAACACAAGGAAAGTCATAGACGGAGCACGCGAGATGGGTTCAAGATGGACAACTTGCTGGTGCCTCTAGTTATGAAACGCCACGTTCCACAAAATTGGCACACATGGAAATGGCAGAGGCGAGCAATTGCCTGATTAGAGAAGGCAGAAGTCTGTGTTCAGGTTCATCTTATGGTCTCAAGATAAGAGCTGAAATTATGCTTAGTGTCGAACCCGAGCTAAAGCGTAGAGCATGAGGTAGGAAGGTGAGATGTATACAGCTCAGCATCCGTTCATGAGATGAGTTCCATACGAATTCTAAAAATATTGTACTTCGCATGGCCAAACAACTGGAGACACCCTCATACGTAATCATTTATGGGGCCATAGCATTGCCCGCGATGAGTACTTGACTGCGTGCGTTTGGTCCGACCAGGCCGAGGACGTGTAGAGCTTGGTATACGATGATTAGCCTCGACCTTCGCATGAATTTGATTCGCCGTAAGGCGGTTCTGGCGGCACCACATCTGCCGTGTCAGCAAGCCACACTAGTTAAAAGGTGCCTAAATGTGATACGAGTCTTGTGTATTCTGCACGGGTGCTTGACACGAAGTCGTTACGAACCCTGTTAGGGAAAAGGTTGCGCTCGGAAGCCGCCGAAGCTATGACCTTGTCTTCTGGCGTCGGGTATCTTTAAAGTATCCCTCGCCTGATCACAAGAGCAGAGAGACCAGAGTGTGACCACATATGCTCAAGTCGAAAATATGCTTATTGTACCCAGTCTTACATCCCGACATCTGCTGCCAACAAATGTACAACGCATGTACATAGACATAGAACAATCAATAGATAAGTACTTCGACGTACTTGTAGTGAGCGACCATCGTCTCGTATCAGCTAGGATTGTACTGAACGACGAGTTTGTATTGGTGAAGAGTATTGATCACGAGCACTATCAGCTTTGGTCAACGCCCTGCTCGCCATCCATGTCCTTATCCATGTTGCAGTGGATAGCTTCAAGCCACACGGCTTATTGCGTCCATAGGAACTGTCGAATCTCGGTTGACGGCATCTTTCGACCCGGGTCTCTGGTTCTGTTAAGTCTGTGCTGCCTTGGCAGGTACGACACGTCCCAACACTCAAGTTAGCTATATAGTAGGCTTCAGGGTGTATTCCCAATATGACACTAGTTAGAAACTATATCCATTATCTCGGATATACTCTAGCAACTATCTGTCTGTTCAACGGACCACACACTTCAACATATTAATAATAGTTGAGATTATCTCAAAAAGGATAAGAGGTCTGTCAAGAAAACCACAGTCCGTTGTCATGCCGTCATTGACATGACAGAGGAAGAAGAAAAGCTGTTGGAAACCTGGGCATTCGTTTCCCAACCGGTAAACGCTGTCCGTACAACGCTTGTAGAAAAGTACGTGTAAGACCCAACAATGGACCTCGAGCCCTGTCCGTCAATTAGTGCCGAAACAAAGGACGAGCGGGTCATCTTAGTATTTTCGGGTGGCTCATCATGTCAGCCCTTGCAGCTCAGCACACCGGCATCGCATCTGTAGGGCGTAGTGCGAGAATCAATCGGATGAGCATGTGGAGAATTCATCAGACGATAATGCTTGAGCTGTGAGAACAGCACAATCCAATAGTCTTCTGAGGCTTTGGACACAGAGGCTCTTTTCTAGAAGCTCCAATTCGCCATAGGAGCGTCTACTATTGTAATGTCTAATTTCCCCAACTTGAGCGTGTGGTGGGATGCAGCCGGTATAGTTTCATGACTATTCCTGGGCGACCTTTTATGTACATGGCCAGGGCTGTTATCAATGGATAGCAAGCAGTTGAGGCCAACTTGAGACTTTTTTACTGAATTTGCACTTTAAGGTTCTCCAGCGGCAGTCGGCAACAAACGAGATATCCGACCTGCATCCCCTAATCGGCTGCATTCCGCTCATGCAGGTAATACAGCGTAACACTTCGCCAAAGTGATCCTACGGGGATTTTCTGCAGATTGTTTGAGGCATGCTCCAGGCTGTATGTACATCGTGCTTGGAGCCGAATCAATGTGGATTGATGTATCATTGCTCTACAGACCCATGCCCAAGTCTGACATACAGTCCCTATTCCGCAGGGAGAACGATGTGTCGGTGTTGCATCCATATTCCAGCGGGAGCTCGGGCAGCCACGTACGTCATGGCGGCCTCTGATGGTATCAACTTTGAGTGACCGCTTTATGCACATATTTCTGAATACCGATATGATGAGGAACTTGAGGGGTAGGCACGCTACTTTGCAAGCTGTCTCCATTTAAGTCTATCGTCAGATACGATAGCCTTATATGAGACGCTATACGGATGCCTGAACGAGAATTCTCATGGTGCCTACACCACTTCCGTAGGGTCCATGCAAACGATCAAGTACAGACCCTCTGTGCCTGCACCACTGGTTGTAGTTCTCGAATTTAAGACTGAGTCAGATGCTAGGCTGAGATAACAAGAGTCACGAGCGTCCGAAAGATGGTGCGTTGGAGCCCGATGGATTGGTACTAGACAGTACTGTCCACTTTACCAAGCCAATGAATTGAGAATAGTCATGGTCAACCTCCAGCGCATGAATATTATAAGCCGCCGTTGCCCTGATGATCATCCCACCTTGTAAGCCCTAGCAAAACAATCAGGCGCGTGCTCACAGCGCCTAGCATGATAAGCCACAAATGCTTGTGCAAGCCAGGATTTTAAGTCACAGCCACTTGAGCCCAATGTTTGTCGCCCTGCAGGAGTGGCCACGATCCGGACTGATACTTCGCTGTTCCGTGCCGACGTCAATATCGGAGCTAATGTCAAAGTAGGAATGCCGTACCAAAATTCCAAACGTGGCCTACTGCATCAGCACGACTTGGCTATCTATCCTTTAACGAGGCAATTCAGCGATAGGTTCTTGACCAATTCCTATTTTCTCAGCTTCGAAGCTTGGTGCTCACCGTTCGTCTACCTAACAAAGGAGCTTCAGGTTGACAGGCGAAGCCAAGCTCTCATCAATACATCGCGTTTCGAGTCGGCCGCTTCTCACTTCGTAGGATGAGGCACTGGGTATTCAGCTCGCTTCATGTTGTCATCCAATGGACCCCATCTCGACGTGGCCACCTCTTTGTCGAAGAGGATCACTGGAGACTGCGTCTCATGTGGACAATTCAGGTTATTGCGAGGACCATGGACTGGTCGCATAATACGTCGGTCAGACAAAGGTGGCCTGGGCAGCCTGGGCGGCACATCGCTACGCATGACAGCCCGCCAACAAGATGCTGACCAAAACTACTAGTGCGCAGTTCTGCCCTCGAAGTAACGTCGTATCTTGGCGGCTGTTTTGCATGTGAAGGTACTGGATCAGCAAATTGGGCCAATTATTTTGTCCAGCCGTCGTTCGCATTCACGCCGGTCATCATCCCACAAAACCCCGCCCCCACCAGAACAGTGTTTTGTTCATTACCTCAGAGTGACTGCAAATTCTCTTTTTGCCATTGACATGATGGTTTCGCGGAGACAAAATTATCAGTACCCACACACGGATGACACGAAGTCTCACTGCATCTGAAAGTCCAAGCAGAGATACTTTTACGGAACGTCGGGCCGAATTTTTTCACCATCGAAGCTTCCAATGTGGAGCCACCTTTCTGTGAGCAGTACCATAGTACCTTGTGGCGTGCCATAGTACTTGTGTAGTTTACGTACCTTGCTCAATGGAGCCAGCCGAGATTGGTCGTACCCAGAAATTCAAGTGGAAGGAAACGGTATTGTCAGTAGCCACAGGATTGATACCCAGAGACCCAGTTTCTCGGTTGAGAGGGGGTCCGTCTCACAATATGATTGGCAGACGTGGTCATTTCGCAAGTGATAACTCATCTGCAAATGGCCGTTTATGACAAAGCATGTCTCAGCCTTCGGCATCCCATCATTCTGGAAGCCTGCACTTCCGCTTTGGCTTATTTTGCTACAGCTGCGGCTTCAGCCTCGGATTCTAGTTCGGAAAGCCCCGTGAGCATCCTACGAAGGCTTCATAGAGGTTTGCTTTTAATTAACGAAGCCACCCCCGCCCCCCGGTTTTGACTCTCTCAAATGTTTAGCTCACAAGTGGAGGAACGAAGAAAAATAAAAGAACAAGAAGACGAAGAAAACCTCAATAACTTTTTTTCTCTAACATTGACGTTAATAAATGTCTATACTGTATATGTGCACAATTTGGAAAGCTGCAAATGAAATGCCCAGCCAATAGTTCTCCAATAGATATGCCCAGGAATAACAGCCTTCGTTTCTAGCCATTGAGTACTATTTGCGCGTGAATGGTCCCCCGTCCAGGCCCTCTCATTAGACTGAGATCAAACCTTGACAAACAACTTCGACTTGGTCATCATGCGGGCTGCAAAAAAGCAGGCAGAACCCACGACCAAGGATGCACCGCCAAAATAGCCCGGCCCGTTGTAGCTTCCAGGCAGCGTAGGGTCCTGCACCGTGTTCAAGATCGCCCCAGCAATCGGAGGGCCCGTCAGCCCACCACACGCCCAGATGGTCATTGTGAATCCCATCATGGATCCCAGGTACTTGGGATCGGGAGTGATCTGGGCGATGATGGCCGCCTGCAGTGAAACGATGCTTCCGATGAAGAGGCCCTCAAAAATGGTCACGACAATGACCCCGGCAGCCGAGTTTGTGCCGGCCCACACGAAGAGAGTGACTGCGCAGAGCAGACCATTCAAAATAACCACGTTGAAGCAGCCCAGTTTGTCTGCCAAGGTGCCCGCGAAAACCCTGCCGAAGATGGACACGGCGTTGAAGATTGCCACCGTGTATGGCGCAAGACCTGCGCTCAGCCCAGCCGTCGTCGCGAAGCTCGGAAGGTAGAAAAGTGGCACATACATGCCCCAGTTGAGCAGCCAGCCGCCAGCCGCCACGAGGATGTAGATAGGCCTTCTCATGAGGCTGAAATCCATGGGCTGTTTAGTCGGCGGAAGCCGCGTCTTCATCGTTAGGTTGGCGTAGATAAGGAGAACCAGTATGATGAGCGCACACACGCGGACAGACCCTAAATCACTTTCAGTCAGTACCATCTCTAGCAAGACAACAGAGCAATTATGATAGGGCAATGATGAAAGTTAGTTCATACATCCGAAGCTGAGTCCCACGTTGTTGAGCAATCTGTTCAACGCGACTGGAAAGATGACTCCGCCCAGGGCTGCACCGGCCATCACAACACCCATGGCCAGACCTTGACGCGCGTTAAAGTAGTGACCAACAATAGCGAGCGAGGTACTAAACATTAGGCCAAGACATATGCCTCCGAGAACTGCCTGGGCGAGGAAGAACTGATAGTATTGGTGGCAGAAGCTGGTCAACACCAAGGAGACCACGTAGATCAAAGATGCCGGGATCATCACCTTGAGCGAATATTAGTTTCGTCCTCAAGAATCATCAGGTAATTTACTGGTGGGTGGATATTGCGGTCACATACAATATTTCCGTGCCGATCGAGAATTGGTCCTCCTACCAGACCTCCTGCAAAGTTGAGAAAGATCTGAACCGAGCCGATCCAGCTGATGTCGGACTGGGTATAAGCTTTGAGCTGATTCTCACTGTACCATTGTTGATAGATTCTAGAATGGACTGTTAGGTCGTTTGAAACTCCTTCCTTCCTCATTAGACCGCATTGGAAGGACTCGACTTACCCGAAACCAGTGAGATACCCAAATGTGCAGAACATGACGGCGGCGGCGCCTGATACCACCAGCCAGGCCCTCAAACCGCCTTCTGGATATCCCAAAGTGGCACCCTGACCATCACCACTTTTTGGTGATGAGGGCTCTTCATTATTTACCCGCGAGCCAGCATCATCACTATTCAAGTGGTAGTCCTTCTCGTTAGCCGTCTCCATGATCTGCGATGTGCGCGGGTCCACAGTAGTTCAACAAGTGAGTAATTATGAGAGAAGAGCTTGGGAATTTTGGGATTAAAATGGAAAGCAAGATTGCTCGTGTTGGAGAGATCGATAGAAAGTGATTCAATCCTGTCGCTGGGCAGTTTGGTCAAATGTAGGTTGCGAAATTTATGAAAATAACGTCGCCTTCGAGGTGGTGATATAAGTCGGTAGTGGAGCCGGACTTTTTCCCAATGGGGTTCTATCAAATCCCGTTGGAACGGGGCTTTGAGACAGACCCACATGGGTCACAGCCAAAACAAAAACTTTAATCGAGTTCCCGTTGATCCATTTTCTCCATTCTAGACGGACATCTTTCGGTGATAGTCCTAATCCATTCATATCCGATGGAGGCACAACAGCGGACCAAGACCAACCAGCGCCCCAGACGGCTTCGAGCACATCTGTCCTGTTCGGAATGCCGTCGTCGTAAGATCCGATGCAGCAAGGAAAAACCATGCCTGCAATGTGTCGAGGGCGGTCGTCTCGCTGCATGTCAGTATGACGATGCCCAATCTTCTAGGAGGGTGAAGATCCCAGGCCAGCTTGTTTTTGAGGTTCTCCCGGGACATGGGCAGCCGCCACAATCGGCAACAGCCGGAACAGCTCGACCGGCGAATAGCGGTGACCGGACTCGAGATCGTGAAGGGGTCGAACCCGAAGATGTCATTCCGCCTTTGCGGCAGTTCTGGCATGGGAGCAGGGCGGGAGACAAGTACACCTCGCCCTTCGATGGCCGGACCCTAACGGTGCCCAAGGAGGTCATCTTTGGCGCGGATCATGCTACTGTGTTCTGGGGGAGGACCCACGAGACCAACTTTGTGCCTCGCATCACAGATATGACTACCATGCTGCTCAGGTCAGGCGAAGACAACGACATCACGACGTTGTTAGAAGTAGAGCAACGCACACGGCCGAATGAGCAGCCGGCCCCCGGGATGGATCCAGAGCTGCTGGCACTGGTACCGTCACGCCCGACAGCATACCGTCTGTGGCAGATCTACAAAGAACATTTCAATTCGTATTATCAGGTGCTTCAACTGCCGACTTTTGAACAGGAGTACCTCCACTTCTGGGCGACCCAGACAGGCCCGCGGCACTTCCTCCCTCAGCTTCTCAGCATATGCGCGATAGCATCGTGTTTCACCGACCAGGACCGCCTTCAGAGAGAAGCACAGGTGCGCACATGGATCGAGGCTGTCAGGCTATGGCTGTTCAAGGCGGACCCCAGGGCCCAAATGACGCTTGGGTTCCTGCAGGCTCACCTGCTGATGCTGATCGCTGGTGACGTGCACTGGATGAAAATTGACCGGAGCTGGATCTCGTCTGGAACCCTTGTGCGCAACGCCATCTCGGCCGGTCTACACCGTGAGCCCAGGGACTTCTTTCGTGTCTCGCCCTTTTATGCTGAGCTTCGTCGTAAGCTGTGGTACGCAATCATGGAGTACGACCTCATGACTTGCTTTGCAAAAGGTCGAATTCCTTCTGTCAGGGACGATGAGTATGACTGCGGGCCTCCAGAAGTCGCCTGGGAAGAATTTACTCCAGGCCTCGAGTCAGGTATCAACACCCGTATGACAGTGAAACCTGAACAAGAGACATATCTTCTCCTGGCCAAGTTCCTGCCGCTGCGGACTCGTGTCTGCTATGCTGTCAACAAGATTCAGCTTGAGATTGGATACGACGAGGTCCTCAGGCTCGACGCTGAGCTGAGACTCTTTGTCCGCCGAATGTCCTCTGCAGATCCCAAGAAGCCAAGCAAGTTCAGCCAAACGCTATCTTCGATTCTGAGCCAGCGCGCCATCATCGCCCTGCATGCTCCATTTGTGATTAGAGCCCTCCAGGATCCAAAATGGGCCTACTCGCGGACCCGCTGTCTCGAGACGGCAGCATCCATCCTTTCCTCGGCCCTGTCCCTCCTCGATAATGTTTCCTTGGGCGGAGACTGCGGCCCTTTCGCCACCATCAACAACATATGCAGGTGTGAGGTCTCCAACAGCGTGTTTCTCATCTGTCACGAGCTCCTTGCGCGAGCTGTTGAGCAGCGCGGGCTGGGAAAGTATCCGTCTCCGTCATCTCTTGGCCTGTGGGATCTGCAGGAGGGTCAGAAACTGGCCGACCTGGTGAAAAGGACGTCAGAGGCGCTCGAACGGGTGTCAAAGCCTGACCTTGTGAGCCAGCGGACTTGTGGGTGGGTGCGCCTGTCGGCTGACTTGTGTCGGGCGGCGGTGATTCCTACTGGTGAAGGAGTTCTGCGAGCGATGAAGGAAGCTATTGGGCAGGGTATTCGGGCTTGGAAGTCGAGTGGCCTGGCGCATCATTTTGAAGGGAGCTCCTATACAAATTCTGCCCCGGTAAGTGCAGTACCTCGTGAGGTGCACTCGCAGTAGAGGCTATACTGAGCATTCCTGCTAACTTCTTGGTCCAGCAGATAGCGTCCCATATCAACAGCGAAGCACCTGAGGATGCCGGCGCCCTGGATGAAGATGTAAGTGTGACCGCTAGAGCCATGTAGTTCTCACATGAGCTAATTAGCTCTGCTATAGTACTTTCACCTCTTTTTCGACATGAATGATCTAGGGGCTTTCGATTGAGGGGCACGGAAGGAGGAGAGAGTATGAACACATCGATAACGCGAGACAGGCTAGCTGCTTCCTGAGGCGGGTGGCCGCTCTGAGCGGTGATTGAAAGATACAAGGTACTTCCACTGCATCAACGTTCTCAAGCGTTGAGCGTATTGGGCTGGCAGGGAAACAGCATGGTGTATACAGATGGCAGGCGACCTCCTTCGCTTCTGGGACACCTTCCCAAATGATGACCTTGGGAGCACTTATACTTTTGTATTGCGTGACATCCAAGGAAGTACCATACTGAGAATCTTTGATATCGGATCTGCAGTACTATACTGATCTATCTTCAGCATGGATCCCATGTACACTTTATAGAAGAAGGAGCTGTATAATCATAATTTGGCATCTTATGTCCTTTTGTGCGATTACAATAATACTTTGTCAAGTCCCCGCCCTCGTCACTCTAAAGAATGGCACTAAAAGTCCTCGCTACTTCGAACCTAAAGTTGCTATGAAAGGTATCGCAACAAAAAGTGGTCTTCTGAGTTTACCTGGACCTGCATTACATGTAGGTTGCTAAGTGTTTCCTTGCGGGCCAGAGAGCTGTCTAGGATCAAGACACGTCTTCTCGCGCTAAACTGTGATTCCACTTGCCTGGAAGCTTGAGATCACAACTGAGGAAGGCGCTGGGCTGACAAGTCTCTATCAACATAACGAGACAGGTAGATGTTGCATTCTCGTGTGCATCAGCATTGAATCTTGATTTCTTTCTCATGTGAGCATCTGGAAAACCTGCATTCTATTTGGAATCCCACATTAGGATACTATAGCTGCAGTATTTCATTCATCGACTCTTCTCTTTCCTCTTTCTCAACAGTGGCCAACCATGGAGGAGGACCGACTCGGTGTTGCGTGGTTCACCAACTTTCACGCCTGGCGTCCACCTCAATTCGCCAGGGAGCACGCTTCCTGGAACACAAAGTCTCTAGACTTGAATGATATGGCCCACTTGAAACTGGTCCTCTTCAGGGATCAGGTCCTCATCGTTATCGGCGGCAAAGTCGGTCTGCCTCGAACCGTCTACCAGAGTGAGGATGACCTCCGAAGGTTCTTTGAAGATACATCCACAATCAGATACGACAGAGATATCCAGATGGGCCATGTGGTCGATTATTTCGTCGGCAGAGATGGCGCGGCTGTGTATAATTTCCCTGCAATCGATGCGGCGGAGTCCTTGACGGAGAGGGAGAACGGACTATGCAAAGTTAGCAGAGGCATCAAGGTATCGCAGGATGAACTTGCCAGCCGGGCCGTCAACCTCATAAAGGACCCGATTTTTCAGGTTGCCGATGCTCTTAGTAAGCCTTATTCCCATCAGATCCTCAATGATGTTGCTCAAGATGTGCTGATGCCTCATCTAAACGCTAGTCATCAACCAGGACTTCGCTTTTTCCATCTCGGACGACGCTCCATTCGACTCATTTGTTGAGGACTTGTACAATCGAAGACAACAGTCAACAGACGCAGTGTTAGCGATATGTGACGCTATTCGTGCCCTTCCAAACCGCAGGAGGAAAGATATGAAAATCATTGTTTTGCAGAATTCATCGACTTGGCCCTCACACTCTGGAGCTGAAGCAGCACGTGGCAAGGACGGCCATCTCACACCATCAGCCGAGTCACAGACAAAGGAGGCTGCATATTGTAAGGATGTAAGTATTCGATTGCCCTAGAAGTCATACTTATATCCCATAAGCTGGGCTCTCATCCGGTTCCAGTATATCCCACCAAACAGACGCCCGTTAACAACTACATGTGTGAGCAAATAGCTTCGAGACTCGGTTGGCATCGAGTTGTCCTTCGTCATGAATGCTGTAGTACCGCATATGAAACCTAGTGTTGATGATAATTGGAGGGTTACATTGAACTGTTTCTCCAGGCGCGGTTTCAGCAACTGGGAGAAGAGGCAGATTGGTATAGACCTCGCTCGCCGTGTGGCTTTCGGCGAGAATGGGCCAACGCCAGAGCAAAAAGAAGAACTATACGACAAAGTTTTGGAACAGTTCCTACGATCACGAATGCTTTTCAGACAGTACAGTCTCAGTGAGATACTTCTGTGGAACAGAGAGCAGATGTTGAGGTCCTTTACTAGCTCTAGGAAAGTCAGCTGCCCACCTCAGATCGAAACCCCAGCCAGAATTATTCTCGAGCCTCCTCCTGAGATCGTGGAGGGCACAATAACAGAGCAGGAGATGGGGAATGACGTTGAAAGTGCAATGGAATTGACAGCTAATCCGCCGCCAGCTCTGGCGGGCAAGGTCGCGCTTATATTGGATTCTGGACGGGGGGATGGCGTCACCGAAGCAACCTGCCTGGAGCTCGCGCGCCTTGGCGCCAAAGTCGGTGTTACATATGTTCCAAGTGTCCAAGGATGTGAGATGGCTCTTCGAGTAGTACAGGAGATTCGTAGAAATGGAGGAAAGGCTCAGAAAGTCCCGGGGATTCCCTTTCGCTCTAAAAACTACTCTTACCCGGACGGCGGTGACGATACAAATTACATTCACGAGCTGCTGGGCCTTTTGGTTGATTCTCTGCAGGTCTCTCAGATAGATATAATCGGTGAGTGATCTCAGATACCTCGTCGGACAGTCATGAGCTGACCATTTGTGTTAAATGCAGTCAACAACACAGGCTGGCGCTACGACTTGGCTGGAGACACCCCAGAGCACCACGATGAGATGTTGCATCTCATGAGCAGAGATGGAACTCGCAATCTCCTAGCCCTCACGTACACTGTGGAGCACTGCGTTGAGTATAAGCTCCTTGGCGAGGGGGCACGCATCATCAACATCGCCGGCATGATAGTCAACCCGGCCACGCATATGAACGGCGCTCCACACGGGACATATCTCTTCAGCTTCATGGATCGGTGGTCATATCAGGTAAGATCTGGCCTCTTTCAGCTGTTCAGAGAACTTTCAGTGCTGATGCACGGTCCCCAGCTTCTGAACGCCTCCCCACACATGGACGAGGACGATCCATTCGTTCAATTCAGCACCATTATTCCTGGTTTCGTCATGGACGATGCAATCCGGCCCACCAATGAGAAGGCCCGGGAAGACTGGTGGGCAAACCTAGGCACTATGCACGTGCTGTGGAAAGATCCAGAAACCGTCCAAGAAACAGCCAAAATCATTGGTCTGCTTGCGCTACCAGAGTTTGCCGAGGAGAACATCGCGATCGCGCCGGATCACGAGTTCGTTCCGCCCAGACCTGTTGGTCCCAGCCTGGGTGAGTCGGGAGAAGGTGCCAATGACAGGCATGGTGGCGGGCACGGTCCAAATAGCTGGGTCATGGGCGGTGCAACTTCTGCTAGCAAGACTGTCAGGTTTGCTAATTCATGAAGTGTGTCGATGATGAGGAAATTTGTGGTGGTCTGGGACACTGGATTGCTTAGTGAATGGACTGGACTATCTTCTACTACCCTTGAGAATGTTCCTCGCGCTGATCCTTTCTTCAGGATGGTTCGGAGTCTTCTATAATCACAGGGTCTCCGTGGTCGGATGACTTTGAGAATCGAACGGCTTGTCCTCTTCAGCTCTAATTTTACACGATCACAGTGTTTCAGAAAGGGGCGACAGACTCAGCCTGAAATCATTGCTATTCTCGTTTTCGATGACCTTATTTTACAAGGTCCTGCAAAGATTCATCATCTCAGTGAGAGGAAAAGACTTATTGAGTGCTTGCTCCACAACAAACTAGGCCCCATCACATCTTTCAGACTCGATTCACCCCTGGCTTCGAGGCTTGGTATACCGGGTCGATGTTATAAACCCAGGCGTCCCATCAGCTCCAGGTGAGGACGAACTTGTCGGCCACACAAGCTCCGTGCTCGTCACCACCACTGTCTCCCGTTCTACGGTGGTAAACAACTCGACACTCGTGCTGGGCTTGCCCTTAGACCTCGTCTTTCTCGTCGTCACCGCCGTGGCGTTCAGACCCAAGCTGCTGAGGATGGCACTCGCCACTGCGCTAGGATTCGCTGACACAATATCCGTCACCGTGTGCTTCTCCGTCTCGGTCGTCGTGCCCTCGTAGATAGTCTTGACCGGCTGACCCGTCTCCGATTCCGTAGGCAAGATGGTGTCAGATGAGGGTGACGCCGTGGCATGCCCACATACGGTGCTCGTCCACGTGAATGGGACTTCGGCCGTCACCACATGTCCGTTCAGCGTCTCCATGGGACACCCCCACATCGGCTCGACGACGAACACGGAGGTGCATCCGTGACAGTCGACCGAGGCGTACTCGGTCGTGGTGGCCGTGAACACGGTCAGGACGTGGTCGGTCTTGCAAGGGTTGGTCAGGGCGCCCATGGTGGTCGTCACGCAGCCGTGTCCTGGGGTCACGGTGGGCGTCGGTGTAGTGTACGTGGTTCGTACGGCTGCTGTCTCAGTCGCCCATATCGTTTGCGTCACCGTCGATGTCGTTGCCGCGGTCAGTAGGCTTGCGGGGATCGTGGTCGCTGGGGCCGGGGTGATGGTGATGCCCAAGGTGGAGTTGGAGGGCCGTGGGAGCGAGGACAGCGTGGGGATGGTGAAGCTCGTGTTGAAGAGCTCTGTGGACCAGCTGACGGACAGCGTCGGGATGTCCCATGTTGTGTCTGTAGATGTCACGTCGGGCATGGCTGTCAGGGTGCTGGTGTTGGCGTCTGTGAGCTGCTTGTAGTTGGCGATGTCGCCGTGCAAGGGCTCGGCGATGGATGGGGCGGCAATTGCCAGTGAAGGAGACATTGGGTTTTCGCTGGGAGGAGACATTGGCGGCTGTAATGTCTGCCTGGCCTGGAGAGGTAGCAGTGAGGCGATGGAGGTGGTTGTCATGTTCATAGTCCCACTGGCGACCTCGGAAGCAACCTTTCGAAATTGAAGACGAGAGTCCTCATGCAGCATGTGGCTTAGTTGCGTCATGTTGGCAGCTTTATTCTGATGGTCCAGCAGCTGAGTGTCCGGGTTTCCATATTGTGAATCATTGAGCCGAGTCAGTGGCGACGACGAGGCTGACGCCGGGAGTAAGGTGAAGATTGATAGCAGAGAGAATAACCACATTTTATATGAAAATAGGGAGGAATATTGTATGGAGAGATGGGATACAGACAAGACAACAAGATGAAATGTATGAAAGAAGAGAGAGGCTGACTTAGATTGACCTGAAGTTGCTCAGCCTTGCGTTCTGATGGCCATAACCGACTCGAGAAAAGATCTTTCAACGAAGACCTTATACAATAAGTTACCCCTCAACAGCCTACTGACAGTCTTCACAACTAACTATTGTCACAACCAACCACGGCTGAGGTTGACGACGCCTGGTAGATACTAGGCGTGTTTGCTGCGGAAGAAGTTGCGAGACGGCGATATATCAACGGGAAGCCCGTGAAGCCCAACGAGCGGCATTATAAGTCCCACCCGGTCCGAGGATCCTGTGCCACGGACTCGAGGAATTTGACAGCCACGCGGCCATCGGTTGTGCCTGCGCAACCGAATCAGGCATACTTTGCCGAGGATCTTGTAGAATGCCGAACCAGATGTTCGTGTTGAGTACTACAATACTTGCGGCCGGAATATGCGGTCGAAGATATTCAAAGAGATCACTGATTATGGGTTGCAAAAATGTGCTGTTATTGATCTTTGCCGCAGTTTGGGGAGCATCACACACTCCGAGCAAACAATTCTTTCAGTGAAACAGAAACACCAAGAGGTAATCATACTAAAATGCCTTATGCTATGGTTCTCGGCCGAGACTGGAGCAGGCGGGAACAAAGCCAGACTCGTTCATATTTGTGACAGGTCCTCCAAGACTCGCTCATTTTCTGACCGCTTTGTTCGTGATATCATCTTGCCCTCAAAGACCGCCCGAGACGTATTTGTTCATGCCAAGATACCAAATCAAGTGACCTACCTTTCAGATTGTCGAAAACACCCCGCGTACGTATGCCATAGCTACTGCCAGCCTGATTTTTAACCTAAGAGAAGGAAAGAGAAGAAAGAAGAAGAAAAATAACAGAAACGTCTTCAAGTAGGTATGCTCTCAGCGCTGACTATCCGAGTTTATCGTGAAGAAGAGGTACGGCCGCTCAACGGACCCAGTCTGCTCGTGTCGACTGAAATATCCCATTCAAAGAGCTCCTTGTGAAATTCAGAGGGTGTCATACATGAATTGGTGTTTTTGTTTTTGTTTTTGAAACGGAAGGCTTGATAATCTATCCACACAGTGGTGTGACCCAAGAGCTTTTCCGAGTACGCAAGGGACAGTAGCACAGGCTTGTGCGCCGCCGAGCGTACCATACTAGCCATGAGCTCACTAATATCCAATCCAAATCGTGAGACGGGCTGTGTGTAAGTTCGGCAGCTCAGCGAGAGCAATGTTCATCCATTCATCTACGGGACCCTGAGCCTCGGTGCTATGGGCTGAGCAAAAGAAGGTATCGCTGGATTGAATGGTTTGAGTGGCCCGAGGACCTGAAATTGGTTACCAATGCCCCATTTCGACGTGGAGTTCCCTAGCAGGCTTGTCCCAATCTAGGACTTGGCCACACCAGCATCGGAAGATGGCCCGTGAATGTACAAGCTGATCGATCCGGGGAGTACATGAACCAGCCTTCAATTGAAGGTGGGACGTGATGTGAGGTCAGTCAGCCATGCACAAGTCTACCATGACGCTGAAGTGCAACCGCATGTCTAGTAAGTATCCTGTCTACCTATTGTCTCTATAGCTGGTGCAAAATCAAGGCGTTTTGCTGCCAGCGTCGATGTATTTGCCTGAAAACAATCGCCAAACGCAACAGCCCTGTCAGCAGTCTCCGACAAACGACCCTTTGCAGCCTCTAGGAGCGCAGCCTCCACGGGGATATTTCCGATTATCTTGATACAAACTTGACGTATTTACTAAAATTGACCGGGTAGCAATCGCTTGGTCGAGTCTAGCGAAGTCTGGTGAGACGGCTGAAACTAGTCGGGATCAGGTGTATCTGCTCCCACCAGTGGAAGGTGCATTCAGAACGGAAGGGCCGAAAGGTACCACGCCTTTCTTGTCGCCACTTGTGTCTTTGAGGCGTTCGAAGCAGGCGATCGGATCCACTGTAATAAGTCGTGGTCTAGTCAAGGTGATAGCATTGCGGTTCGTGACAGGAGGCCTGAGGGAAGAGGGTGACCATGAAGGTAGCGCTGCTGGGGCTGTAGTGGCTGCAGTAGCTACGCCAAATACCTTCGAAACGAGGGATGACGATTTCGTTGAGGAAGCCGCAAATTCTTCATGCATGTAGGAAAAACTTCAGACTAAGGACTTGTTGGTGCATACCAGGGAGGAGTTTTGCGGTCATTGATCATCCAACAATCGTAACCAGGGTATTCTTGAGTGGAATAAGTACAATATGCGTCTATCATTCACTTCCAAAAATCAGGTCCATCCCTCCGAGGTTGAGGTTGACGTTAAAGTTGAAACTCGGGTCCTGTAGCTGTACAACACACGAGTTCGTCAGTAAGCAGAAGGTTCAGGTCAATAGGGGGCAATAGATACTGACCACATCCCAATCCCAATCCGTGATCGTCCCACTACTCCCTGTGTCCATGGCCTCGAAGCCTTGGCTATCTTCTGGGTCTGGCATGGGGACTTGGGTCCCATCCATACCCATGTATCTTGGACAGGCCACACTGCCCATGCCTGAAGCAGCACTGCCAGTCGCGCCGACGCCCGACTGCGCTCCTTCTGCAGCGTGCATCTCCTTCAACATGCTTAGCGTCTCAGCTGCGGCCGACTCGCAGGCAGTGCGTACTATCGACTTCAACTGCTCGTCACTTACGCCTTGGAACAGGCCATCCGCCTCGGCAAGCATTGCCAGCCCGAACATATATCCCTTGACATTAACCTCACCAGCTTTGATGCGCATCCGCATCCAGTTTGTAGAGTCGCGAAGGACTTCCAGCATCTCTCCGCTGTTGGCCGCGGGTGAACCGAGGATGCCGAAGCCCATGCCCGGCGTGCTTGTTGGCTCAGTGGTGGAGCTGCCGCCTGTCAGGCTGCGCAGGGCGCGGCGCTGCTCCTCAAGGTTCCAGACCAGCTCGAGGGTCAGCGCCAGGAGGCACTGTGTGCCGATGTAACGGTACCCGCCCGTTGCGCAAATGAGGAGTTTGCCAAACTCGTCGGGCACGGACCCGTTGAAGTCGCTGCCGAGGCCGCCGTGGGCCTTGACCTCCTTCTGGTTGCGCAGGGCTATCTCTACACAGACCTTGCGAGAGAAGAAGTACCGTGGGTTATCCTTGGCGAGGCCCAGCCAGGGGAGATGTAGCGCGAGGAAGTATCTTTGGACAATATGCTCCGTCACGGCCAGCTGGAAGGAACTGAGCCCTGATGACTGGGCCTGGTGCACACGGAGGAGGGCGTCGAGGCTGCGAGATGCCGCGGTAAGATCGGCGTTGAGAGCGAGAGTCTTGTCGTAAGTGGGTACGGACCGGAACTCGTTGAGGTAGGCTGCAATCCGGAGGCGGATCTTGATGGAATTCAGGAGGGCAATTTGGACTGATGTGTCGGTAAAGGTCGTCGCCGGCTGAGGTGATGGCGGTGCTGCAGCGACATTGTCACCGAGGAGGTCCTCGTCGTTGTAATTTCCTGGTGGCTTGCAGTCGAAGTCAGCCGTGGAGATCAGGGGCGGTCCACCTGATTCCATGCTTGATTGCACGAGAATCTCCAGGATGGTGGCCCAGAGGCGTCGTCGCGTTTCTGCTGCGAGGAGCGACATCTTAGGAAGGTGATCTGGATCCCTGTGCAGGCCGGTGTAGAGGGCCATCCTCATCATCGTGCCGGCAGACGTCCACACCAAATCAGACCCAACACCGCACACATCTCGCGCAAGGTGGACGAGACACCACACCTGCAACCCTGGCAAATTGATTCGCGACTTCTCGGATGGCTGCATCAACCATAGGCGAGCTTCATACACCCACCGCACAGACAGCTTTCGGAGACTATACTTCTCGTCCCATACCACTGCGCCCATCGCCATGCAGAGCTGAAGCTGGATCACGAAAGCCTCTCTCGCCAATTGAGGATTCTGCCAGTACCGGCCATATTCCAGACGAAAGGACGGAACGTGGAGGATACGGTAAACAGACTCAAAGGTGCGGAAATATGACTCGAGAAGTTCATCGGCAAGTTCCTTGGACGGGACATGCTTTCCAAATTCCATGGTCATGAGCCGTGGGACTCTTCCAGCCTTGATAGTTCTCCCAATGCTCTTGCTTGTTGCAATGGCTTGGTAGGTTACTGAAGTTTTGTCGGCCTTGAGGCTGTCCAGGAGCACCATAAGAGTGTTGGTACGTGGAAACTGCAGACTGGTTAACAATCTTGATTCCCTACTTATGTATACGCAGACGAATTGAACGACGAGCGAAATGGATATATACTGGTAAAGACGGTGTTTCTCGCAGCTCGTGTTGGGGTACGTATGTATCTGAGTTGATTGTGGTCATGGCTCCTTTCTTGTAGCAGAGTACTTGAAACAGAAGGTATGTTCTTGGGAGTTATGTCAAGCTCTTGGAGATGCAGATACTGAGGGTGGAACGATGTCGTTTCCTCAAGTCTCCAAGCTATGCCTCAATTAGGTGCGGGTGGGTATGGAGATGAGGGTCAAGCAAGGAATGAGGATTTCTGGGAAGACGATGGAAGCCGGGTGTAGGGTTAAAAGGTTGAAAAGTCAAAGGGGGGAAAGTGGAGGATGGAGAAATCCCTATCTTGCCAAGTATATCTGTAAGGCTGTTTGGCAGTAGTTTCTATACAAACATCGTCCATTTCTGGTCTGGGGCTATGAGACACGGGATAGACTTGGCAGGGCTGGAAAAGGTGAAGACTATAGGGAAGAAGATGAGACCCACAAGAGTAATACCATGGATCCAATGGCTACTCCCTAGATACCTCGACTTGGCTAACATGACCCTCGTGCTAGAGCCATCATCTGAAGAATTCAGGTACTGTGCCTTCTCGGCCCCCTCACCAATCTGCCAGTATTCTTCGCCTAGAAACTGCGAGGTGGAGGGCGGATTCGCATGGGGAAGCTGGGGGGCTGCCTTGGCCCCAGCAACCCCCGAGCTCTTCGAGTCCAACACCTGCTGGAGTTGCTGCTCCAGCTGGCGTACTCTCTCTGCCAGGGCTGCAGGGCTGCCGCTGTTCTCACTGGTGGCGTCCTGGCTATTGTGGCCAGCGGGGGTGCCTGTGAATTTCAGGTAAGGGGCGCTCACGACATCGTCCTTGTCATGACTCCGCCCGTTGATGCCATCGTGGAACCCCTGCGTGCCCTCCCGTGGCTCGAGCCTATCATCCGGCACATAGGTGCAGCTAGTCGTTCTGCGTGCTCGAACGCAGTTCTGGCATGGCATTTTTCGATCGCAGCGGACCTTGCGGCGCCGACAGGCGATACATGCCAGTGGCGGTCGGCGTCGGCGTTTCTCGGGGCTCTCGGCCTGTGCTGCGTCTTCCTCCATTTTGGCAAAAAGGGTGCGAAAGGTGGATGATCCAGTTGGTCGTGTGACCAGACAGAGGCTGTCTAGTTATCAGATCAAGCGTCCACGACGGGTATCCATGGGCGAGGATGCGTACAGTCCAAATACCGGTCAGATTCGCCGGAGAGGACCGAGATGCAATTCTCGGCCTTCTCGGGCATTTCTATGACCAGCTTATGTCAGCATGATCCGACCTCACCATTGGTGCAGGGCCCAATAGGCCGACGACACTCGGTGTTTTCCTAGCTGCAGCTCCTTCAGCTGTGTCATCAAAGTCGTAAGCTCGGATGAAAACAAAGAGCGATCCTGTGAAACGTTTAATATTTATAGAGATGATCGGCGAAGCAATCCTGCATGGAATCCATGAGCTGTGCGGTCGAGTTAGTGCGAGCCCTTCATTGGTCATTGCTGGCACCTTCTCGCATTGAATCCTTCCGCCATCGGTTGCATATGCTAAGGCACGCGCGCCAAACGGAAGACAAATGTAGAGGGGAAAGGGGGTGGGTGAAAGAAAAGGGCGAGGGAGAAAAGAAAAAAAAAAAGGAAGACAGAACTAAAGAGTTACGCTTGACTTTTGTATTGAACATTATGATATCAGCGCAATATATAGTGCTTCGATTTATTTGCAGGTCAGCTCAAGCCGAGCTTGAACATGCACCGCAATGTCTTTCTCGATCTTCGATCCGTGAGTAAGATGGACGGCTAGTTTGTAATTAGCCTTGAATTGACATGTGAAGAAAGTTTGCTGCATTGATTTCCTGTGTCTGTGTTGGGTGGGAAAGAAAGGATGCATTTTGGTTTGAACTTGCTCATCCGCGCCTTCTGTGTTCACTTCGACTAGGTTGGAAAGAATGGCTTAGTCTTTCATCTCTAATAGCAAGTCCATAGCGACCATACCATATGTCGTGCCTTCCACATCTCTTCTGATGATTTCATAGGGAGCGCCAGATTGTGGAGGGATTCATGGTTGGTTGTCATGAACAATTACTCAGTTGTGCCTGCCTTCCTCGATTCCCATACTCCCTTCGCGTTGGCTCCCTCATTTGACTTTTATGAGCTCTGTTTATTCTATACATTGTGGCTGCCTCCTTGATATTATATCGTTATTAACATTGAGAAGGTCCATCCAGATGATTCATTTTGGACTGGTTATTTATTAACCTTCCCCAATGCGCACCTTGCCTGTCATCGCCTTCTTAATCTATTCCTTATCTTCCAAGCCGCTCGCCAGTCAACAACATGTCCTCATGTCCCACTGATCTTTGGTGTCATCCCTTGTCATCTCTCCTCAAGCTGTGCAGTCCATCCAGCTTTGGTCGTCAACTGTGTTCCCATTGTCGTCTCCTTGCCTGACCGTCGCCACCCAAGAGCCGTAATGATCGACTCCTTTCCCAAAATACAATGCTGATTATCTTAGCAAGAACGTCTTTCAGGTGGGTTCTCCTTCTAGCTAGCACTTCCAGGTCGTGTCTATGAACGGGACACCCACCCAGCCGCGGGCTGACGGACATCCATTGTCCATATGGACTCCACGATGGATGTACCACAGACCCCAGGGGCAGCGATCTTGACACTGCGCGCTGGTTGAGCATGCCCTCCACCGTAAGTCAAAATCCCCACTTATCGTCCTTCGTCATCGATTACCACCAACGGTCCCACACTGACCAGGACCAGATTACCGATGCAATGAGGCCCTGCAAGAGAGGACGACTGAACAGTGTGCACATCAATGTTCCCGACGGCTTCATTCTCCAATCATTACTCACGCGGTCATAATCCCCTCGTAAGAATGATTCTACCAACATGCCGGCATGTTCGGCCATTGGGTGGACAGCGTATCATGCACCATATGGTACCTGGGTATGGGCATGCCTACCCTTAGGAATTCTCAACCTTTCCCTCTGTAACAATACCGGAGGCCATTGCAGAGACAAGCTCGTTGGCGTCGAAGCGACAGCTCCGTCGCTTGGCGCCAACCTAATCCCAGAGCTTGGGGCACCCAACCTCTTCCTTCTTGGGACCCGCGGACTTCACCCGAAATGAATCCAACAGGCGGTACAGAACTTCGCCTGCCGCCACGACTTCTCTGAGACTTGAATTTTGTTTCTTAAGGACCTTGGCGTTGGCTAAGCATCACTGCAGTTGCGGATGTGGTTGCCACAAGCTGCGTCAATTGTGAGATGTTCTTATCCTCCAGTTCACCAGGGCGATGGCTGTGCTGACTGACGATTCACCGCAGACATCCTTTCTCGCTGTCAAGATGGTCACCAGTGCTTTCTTGTGGAAAACGAGCCTAGTTAGAGCCTAGTTAGAGGGATAGAATAAGGTGGAGGTTAGCCATGAAGGTCTATACAATATCTATATATTCTTAGGTCTCAAATGTAAAATGGGGCCATCTGAGTAGGTGTTTGATTGTTTTGGGCAAGACGTCGGGGAGTTCTTTTGCTTTAGGGCGTCGGGGGATTTACTTAGACTCTGCTGGCAACGTTGTGGAGAAGCTCCTGGTTGTGGATGGACATCGACGAGGTGAAGCGGTGATTGCAGTGGAGGACTTGAGCAGAGGGGTTCTCTCTGCAGCGTTTGTGGGGATGCCAATTCAAGTACGCCCTCGGCGTCGGAAACCACTCCGTTCTCTGCGTTGTTAGCTGGTGTGACTGCTTTGTCGCCCGGCCTGACCACCGATGACATGTGCCATACATATACATATATACACATGTATAATGTCTGTAGGTGTCCCGTGGTTTGTGTCGAAGCACAACCACCGGATTTAAGGGTCGCAATCTTGTCAGCCTCGGGCGCAAGGCTGAGCCAGGGGTAGGATCTAGTTGGAGCGCAATTCGTCTGGAATCCCCGTGCTGAGCTGTATTCATCTTCATGACTCCCATACATACACCCGGAATACTATGAGCAAGAGGGCTAAACCTGGTTGCATCGAGGTGCCGTCTGTTCGTGGTACTTCCAATCTACTGTTTGATTGTCGGTCGCCTCATCCTGAAAGGATCGTCGATAACAAGATTTCGTGTCGGAGAAAAGGTCCTAGGGTTCAAGTCAAGCAATGCTGGGTTTTAAGCGCAGGGCTGTCAACCGATAGGCATGAGAAGGCTGCATGCAGTTGCGCATGAGTGAAGCCAAAATATATGAGTATTTCTTCTTCAATGCACGTGTCCAATCACCAGACCGGAGGAAGCCAAGAAGAAGGAAGAAAAAAAGATGCCGCCGCGAGCAAGTTGATTGTATTAGTACATACGCCCCTGAAATACCTTTACATCTGAGAATCAACATGTGGCTTTGTGGTATTCACTCTATTCTTTTACTCCACGACAATGCTAGCGTGGTATCTCCCCTTTCTCTTTTTCTCCCCCTCGCCTCCTCTTACAGAAGCAGCTCCAGCGGGTTCTCGACGACCTTCTTCAGCTCGCGCATGAACTCAGCGCCGACCGCGCCGTCCACAACCTTGTGATCGAAGCTGGCAGTGATGGTGATCTGGTCGTCCCAGGCGACACCGGTGGTGCCGTCCTCGGTCTCGGCGGGAATGGCCACCTTCTTGGGGGCACCGATGGCCAGTATCGTAGCTTGGGGAGGGTTGATGATGGCGGTGAAGCTGTCGACGGCGGGGTTCATGCCCATGTTGGAGATGGAGATGGTGCCGCCCTGGTACTCCTCGGGCTTGAGCTTGTTGTCGCGGGCGCGCTTGGCCAGCTCCTTGACCTGGGAGGAGATGGTCTCCAGGCCCTTGCCCTCAGCGGCCTTCACAATGGGCGTGATCAGGCCGGCCGGGGTGGCGACGGCCACGGAAACGTCAACGGTGCTGAACTGCCGGATGGCGCCCTCCTGCCAGGATGCGTTGGCGGCGGGGACCTTCTTGGCGGCAGCAGCAATGGCCTTGATCAGGAAGTCGTTGACGCTGAGCTTGTACTTGCCGTCGGCAGAGCTGTTGAGGGCCTGGCGGAGCTTCATGAGCTTGCTGACGGAGATGGCGGAGGAGACAAAGAAGTGAGGGTTCTCGCGCCACGACTGCTGCAGGCGGCTGGCGATGGTCTTGCGCATGCCGGTAAGAGGCACGTCCTCATAGACGGCGCCAGGGGCGGACACAGCAGCGGGGGAGGCGGAGGCCTTCTTGACGTCCTCTTCAGTGATCTTGCCCTTGGGCCCGGTGCCCTTGAGCTCGGCCAGCTTGATACCCTTCTCGATGGCGAGCCTCTTGGCAGCGGGAGAGGCGTTCGGCTCACGGTCGAGGGCGGTCTCGAACTTGCCCTTGAAACCGGTGTCTTCGGACTCGGGCGTAGGCTCGGGGGCCGGTGCGGGCGTAGAGGACGACTCCTCCTTCTTGGGTTCCTCCTTCTTCTCGGCGGGGGCGGCGGCGTCACCACCGGCGTCCTGCAGGCTGAAGCCCTCGAAGGCGGAAACGTCGGTTCCCTCCTCGACAAGGACAGCGATTGGCTGATAGGAGAGACGAACACACAAAAGTCAGCAAGCCCGTACAGCTAAACGAGTTCAGCAACCCAACTCCCCGGTGCCCGGGACATAGGGGGGGGGGGGTGGGAGCTGGTATGTGCGCGAGTAGAAAAAAAAAGATTAAAAAAAGAACCACCTACGTTTCCGACAGGGACATCCTTCTCGCCCGTCTCCTTCAGGACCTTGGCCAGCACACCATCCTCCTGGAACTCAAAGTCCATCTGGGCCTTGTCGGTCTCGATCTCGACCAGCACATCGCCCGGCGCAATAGTATCACCGGGCTTTTTCTGCCATGCGCCAATGTTTCCAGCGGTCATGGTTGGCGACAGGGCGGGCATCTTGACGATGGTGTGCGGTGGGTAGGAGGCGTACCATCTTGCGAGGCTCGAGGTGGAGGGGAGGGCATGTCGGAAGGTCGACCGCGACTGAAGGACTTGCCTTCGGAGTATTGGGCCGAGCATCTTGGGTATTGTGGGAGGTGGTGGTGAGCGACGGGGAAAAATAGCTCTCTGTGCGTCTCTCTTTCTCGGGGATCAACCAAGCTTTTTGCTGTGTCGTCTGGGACGCTGCCCTGGACAAAGTCAGGCAGGCAGGTCGACGATAGACCAGACCTGTAGGTAAGAATGAAAATCTCCTCGAGGGACCCGGCGAGCAATGGACCGAAGGGGGGGAGGGAAGAAGGCAGCGCGGTGGGAAACGGACGAAGCAGGGTGTTGGGAAAGTGGTGAGAAAAAGAACAGGCCGGAGGTTTGGGTTTGATGGAGACTGATCGCTCCGAATTGGCTGCAGTAAGTGGCTAGCTGCGCGGGTTCGGCGTGCGATTTTTTAGTATCGTTCCCCACTGACTAGGGTGGGTCTTTTGTTTTTGCCAGTGGCTCTGCAGTAGTATCGCTGCCATGCCTGTACCTGCTCGGGGGGTTCAGCTCTCAGCTTTCTTCTTCCTTTTTTTTACTTTTTTTTTCTTGTACCTTCCCCCCCCCCCCTCCTCGTGTGGGTGCTGGCCTCTGCACCCGTTGGGAAAACGCAGACTGACCGGGATTATCAGAGCTCTCCTTGCAGCCAGGCCATGCTCAACGACCCCCGAAGCCCCATAGCACTAGTCCCCTCTGAGCCCTAGCTGGTCCCTACAGAAACTGCATCTATCGATTGGGCAGATAGGCGAAGAGGGACATGGCATTCGAGGCGCAGCCGCGATGCTGGAATAAATTTACTGTACTATGTACAACGTCACCGTGGTAAATATATTTGTGTGTGTGTGTCTTGAACAGGGTTGATATATGCAAGGCTGAATGTTATGATTCACTCACAAGGTATGTCGAATTTAGTTTATATGTAATTTTCGTAATTATCTGGTCCTACAAATTCAATTTGCTGTAATGGGATCTTAGTATCCATGTTTATGTCATCACCTAGTTTCTTTCATCCTATTCTCAGTACCACATCCTGGACCCGTTTTCGGCGGTCATAGTGCAGGGTCAGCACGGCCCACCCCTGGAGACTGAGACTTGCTGCAATGGAAAGCTGCGACCTGGTCCCTGAGTGGTGTATGTGTCGTTTCGTGAAGCTGCCGTCAATACTGGCAAACCCCTGGCACCCAAAACACCAACTCCAAACTGTATGCTGACTGACTTTCCTTACGACCTCATTACCACGACGCTCTCTCCTCACATGCAGCACCTCATCTTGAGGACAACTGTTTGCTTGATGCATCTCGCCGACACCTTCCTTGTGGCATAGTCCAGTTCTCACCTTCAAGTCCCTCCTGATTCTCCAATCCCCACTGGCGCAACAGCAAGTGATCCCGTCCCGGCCGCCGTCTTGACCTTCGTCCTCCTCCTAATTCCTCCCCCCTCTACGGCCTGCCACGTCCTGGCCGAGGCCCTCGAATGCCACCGGATCTACCGCCTCTTCCGCAGGTGCGACCATGAGCTCGATCAAATTTGTTGTGTCCTCGCTGGACGCGATAGGGAAGCATGCCGGTACCAGGAATAGGCCATTGATCGATTCCATCCAGAAGGCTCAGGCCGCCCTCAAGGAGGCAGACCCGCAGCTCCCAGATCCCGAAATAATATTCCTACCCTTGTTGTTAGCCTCGAGGTCCGGCAATGTCCAGCTGACGACCACCGCGCTCGATTGCATCGGCAAGCTGACCTCGTCCTCCTACTTCTCCGCCGCTTCCGAACCTCCTCCGGAGCAGCCCCCGGCCGAGGATGATGGTGACGGGAAGGGCAACGAGGCTGCCGATGATGGTGCTGCTGCAGCGCCGCCCAGTCCTGCCGAGCCCAAGGCACCGCTGATCGAGCGGGCCATCGACACAATATGCGACTGTTTCCAGGGCGAGGCCACACCCGTCGAGATACAATTGCAGATTGTCAAGTCGCTCCTGGCTGCTGTCCTCAACGACAAGATCGTGGTGCATGGCGCCGGTCTGCTCAAGGCCGTGCGCCAGGTCTACAATGTCTTCCTGCTCTCGCGAAACACAAACAACCAGCAGATAGCGCAAGGCACCCTGGCGCAGATGGTCGGTACGGTCTTTGAACGGGTTAAACTGAGGTTACACATGAAAGAGACGCGACTAGGCCTGGCAAAGCTCAAGCAGAGCGAGAGCAATGTGGCTCTCGATCACCACGACTCTGTCAGCGAGCGCGATACCAATGGCGGAAGCGACGACGCCGTGGAAACCCCAGACGCGGAGGCATCGGCCACGAGGCAGGAGGCCGACGACGGACCCAAGCTCACGCTGAAGGATCTGGAGCATCGCAAGAGCTTTGACGACTCGAACATGGGTGATGGACCTACCATGGTCACCAAGGTGAAGGGCCCACAGCGCAAGGCTGCCCGGTCTGTCTCGGAGCACAGCGTAGCCGAGACGGTCAACACAGACGGGCCGCAGGACGAGACTCCTGAGTCTCTTGATGCTGAGGACGAGGTCTACGTCCGGGATGCTTATCTCGTCTTCCGCTCCTTCTGCAACCTGTCTACCAAAAATCTCCCACCAGATGTCCTCTACGATCTCCGAGGGCAACCTATGCGCTCTAAGCTCATCTCTCTCCACATCATACATACCCTCATCAACAACCACATTGCCGTCTTCACATCTCCATTGTGTACCATTACCAGCACGAAAAGTAACGAGCCAACGAGTTTCCTTCAAGCGGTCAAGTTCTACCTCTGTCTTAGTATCTCCAGGAACGGAGCCAGCTCCGCCGACCGCGTATTTGAGGTCTGCTGTGATATCTTCTGGCTCATGTTAAAGTTCATGCGAGCTCCTTTTAAGGTTAGTGATGCGTCCATCTACCCATTTCGTCTCGCGTGTCTATATCAAATTTCTGCCTCCCTCTTCTTTGCCGTATCTAATGTTGTCGCCACAGAAAGAGATAGAAGTCTTTCTGAACGAGATCTATCTTGCCCTTCTGTCCAGAAAGAGCGCTCCTCTTTCGCAGAAGCTGCATGTCATCACCATTCTCCAGAGGTTCTGTGGAGATCCCCGGGCACTGGTAGAAGCATATCTGAACTACGACTGTGACTCGCAGATGAACAACATCTTTCAGGCCATTGTGGAGGATATGGCCAAGTTTTCCACGATACCTGTAGCGGTGACACCCGCGCAGGAACTGCAGTATGAGGAGAAGCTGGCGAGGTCCAACCCGGGCGACTGGCAGATCAAGGGCATGATGCCACCCTCCTTGTCCGTGACATCCATGGGACCGCCGCCCGAGACAGAGGCCGAGATACCCAAGGAGTACATGATGAAGCGGGCGGCTCTTGAATCACTTGTCGAATCTTTGCGATCCATGGTCAACTGGTCTCAGCCAACACAGCCCAGCGTGACCACCGACTCCGCTGACGGCGAGAAGAGATCTCTGGACGTACGAGAGTCGATCGACCCTTCGATCCTTGAATCTGCATCGAGACTGGACACCCCTGCGCCGTCCACGCCAACTATAGATGACGATCCAGAGCATCTGGAGAAGGAGAAGGCGCGCAAGACCGCACTGGACCACGCAATCCGAGCTTTCAACTTCAAGCCAAAACGGGGTATGAAGTTGTTGCTGGAGGCGGGCTTCATTCCCAGCGATAGTCCCCGTGATATCGCAAAATTCCTCTTGAGCGAGGATCGCCTAGACAAAGCACAGATCGGCGAGTACCTGGGCGAAGGTGATGCCAAGAACATCGAGACCATGCATGCCTTTGTGGATTTGATGAACTTCACAAAGATGCGATTCGTGGACGCTCTACGGCAATTCTTACAATCTTTCCGGCTGCCCGGCGAGGCCCAGAAGATTGACCGATTCATGCTGCAGTTCGCATCTCGCTATCTGGCAGGAAACCCCAACGCTTTTGCCAGCTCGGATACTGCCTACGTTCTCGCCTATTCCGTCATCCTGCTCAACACCGATCTGCACAGCAGTAAGATCGCTCGTCGTATGACAAAACCGGACTTCATCAAGAACAACAGAGGTATCAATGACAATGCAGATCTGCCGGATGAGTACCTCATCGGCATCTACGAACAGATCGAAAAGGATGAGATCGTGCTCAAGAGCGAGAGAGAGACGGAGGCGGCTAAGAGCACGGCACCTGCTCAATCCGGGGGCCTGGCTTCCGTATTCACGAACGCCAGAGGAGCGCAGCGAGATGCTTTCTGGCAGCAGTCTGAACAGATCGCCCTCCGATCGGAGCAGCTGTTCAAGGATCTATTCCGGAACCAGCGGAAGAACGCGGCGAAGACAGGCATCAAGTTCATCCCAGCCTCCTCGTCCCGCCACGTCGGCCCAATGTTCGACGTCACTTGGATGTCCTATTTTTCTGCACTGTCAAACGAGATGCAGAATGCTCACAACCTCGAGGTCGTCAAGCTGTGCCTTGAAGGCATGAAGCTGGCCACGAGGATCTCATGCTTTTTTGACCTGTCCACGCCGCGGGAAGCCTTCATCTCGGTGTTGAAGAACACGGCAAATTTGAACAACCCGCAAGAGGTGCTGGCCAAGAACGTGGAAGCACTCAAGGTGTTGTTGGATCTCGGTCAGACAGAGGGTAATTTCCTGCGGGAGTCTTGGAAAGATATCTTAATGTGCATCAGCCAGCTTGACCGGCTGCAGCTTATCACTGGCGGCATCGACGAACGATCAGTCCCGGATGTGTCCAAGGCGAGATTTGTCGCCCACAAGAGGGAGGGCTCTACCGACTCTAGGCGATCTACGAAGAAGGGGCGAGGGCGCACTGCCACCGGGCAACAAGGTTTCTCGACGATCCTTGCCCTGGAGGCGAGATCCGACGAGATTGTCAAGACAGTGGACCGCATATTCACCAATACCGCGAATCTTAACGGCGATGCAATTGTACACTTTGCGCGAGCCCTCACGGAAGTGAGCTGGGACGAGATCAAAGTCTCCGGTGCACACGACTCGCCTCGCATGTACAGTCTGCAGAAGATCGTCGAGATTAGCTACTACAATATGACGCGTGTGAGATTCGAGTGGACGCACATCTGGGATGTCCTCGGCGAGCACTTCAACAAGGCTGGCTGCCATGTGAACGAGACAGTGGTCATCTTCTCCATCGACTCCCTGCGGCAGCTATCCATGAGGTTCATGGAGATCGAGGAGCTCCCCGGTTTCAAGTTCCAAAAGGATTTCCTGAAGCCATTTGAGCATGTTGCGTCAAACTCAAACAACTTGCGGGTGAAGGAGCTTATCCTGCGATGTCTGATCCAGATGATCCAGGCGAGGGGCGAGAACATCCGTTCAGGCTGGAGGACGATGTTCGGAATCTTTACCGTTGCCGCTCGCGATCCAAACGAGAGCATTGTCAACATGGCATATGAGAGCGTGCTCAAGGTCTACAAGAGCAGGTTCGGGGTCATCATATCACAGGGAGCCTTCACGGACCTCATCGTCTGCCTCACTGAGTTCTCAAAGAACATGAAATACCAGAAGAAAAGTTTGCAGGCCATGGAGACGCTCAAATCGATCATTCCGCAGATGTTGAGAACACCCGAGTGTCCTCTTTCGCAAAGGTTCGATATCCATGCTGCGCAGGACAGCATGGCGGACATCAACCTCAATGCCCCAGGGCAACAGACACGCACATCAGTGGAAGAGGGGTTCTGGTTCCCAGTTCTGTTCGCCTTCCACGATGTGCTGATGACTGGTGAGGACCTGGAAGTTCGGTCCAATGCTCTCAACTACTTTTTCGAAGCACTTCTCAAATATGGCGGCGACTTCCCACCGGAGTTCTGGGATATCCTCTGGCGGCAACAACTATACCCCATCTTCTTGGTGTTACGTTCCAGGCCAGAGATGACCAACGCCCTGAACCACGAGGAGCTGTCAGTGTGGCTATCGACTACCATGATCCAGGCCCTTCGCAACATGATTACTCTGTTCACACATTACTTTGAGGCTCTGGAGTATATGCTGGATCGCTTCCTCGAGCTTTTGGCGCTCTGCATCTGCCAAGAGAACGATACTATCGCTCGGATAGGGAGCAATTGCTTGCAGCAACTCATCCTGCAGAATGTCAGAAAGTTCACCCCTGAGCATTGGTCCAAGATTGTTGGCTCATTCTGTGAGCTCTTTGAACGGACCACAGCGTACCAGCTCTTCTCGGCATCAACAATCAACAACACAGCCTCCTTGCAACCCGTCTCCAATGGCCTGGATTTCGAGAAACAATTGAGCCCCGGTCTCGAAGCATCTGAAGATGACAAGTCTCTCAAGATCAACGGTGTGGATACGAACGGCCATGCTGAGGATGAGAGACCGTCCACCGCGATGAGCGACGCACCAGGAAGCGATGGCGCGAGGACACCACCAGTGGCAGCAACAGCTCAACTAGAGGAGTTCAAACCGTCCAGCACCCTCCAGACACCAGCCCCACAGATATCGGCTGCCCGGCGTCGCTTCTTTAACCGCATCATTAGTCGTTGCGTGCTTCAGCTGCTCATGATCGAAACAGTCAACGAGCTGTTCAGCAACGACAACGTCTATGCGCAGATCCCCTCCGAGGAACTTTTGCGGTTGATGGCCGTCCTCAAGAAATCGTTCCTCTTTGCACAACGCTTCAACAATGACAAGGAACTGCGCATGCGCCTCTGGCGGGAGGGTTTCATGAAGCAGCCGCCCAACCTCCTGAAGCAAGAATCAGGATCAGCGGCAACCTATATTTCGATTCTCTTCCGCATGTTCGCCGATACGGACCCGCGTAGAGCAGGGTCCAAGGGGGATGTGGAAAACGCACTGGTTCCGCTATGCAAAAGCATCATACGGAGCTACGTGTCGCTCGATGAGGAGAGCCAGCACCGAAATATTGTGGCATGGAGACCTGTGGTTGTCGATGTGCTCGAGGGCTATGCTGCATTTCCCGAAGCCAGCTTCAAGACGCATGTGCAGGCCTTCTACGGGCTCATTATCGAACTGCTTGGCAGCAAAGAGATGACGGGTGAACTACGTGGCGCAATCCTCGGTGCGCTCAGGAGGGTGGGCGAGGTCGAGCTGGGGATCCAAGGAATGACGTCCATGCACAGTGGACAGAACGAGGAGAGCCTGAGGCGTGGTAGTGTGGCCAGCGTGGCGAGAAGCGAATCATCGGTCATGGTGGATCAGGCTGCCGCTGATGCTTCGACAAGAATGCCTCTGAAATAAACAAGGCACAGCTCGAAGAACAAAGAAGATCTTGGCTCTGGACGAGAAGTAGAGATAATAGGAAGGTGTTTCAAGGCGCCTTAGAGAATTCATATATTAGGATTCTTGTATGATACTTTGATATGAGGTCGAAAAGGAGTGGCAAGGGCTACGTCAAAGGGAGTTGTGTAAAATATCTTGGACTTTTCATATGAGATCGGATGTGCAAATACCAAAAGCTTTCTTTGATGGGGTTCTCAATTTTTTATATGTTAATCCTTTTTGGCTCATATCTCGTCTATCATCTGATCTGCCCACAGCCTAGATCAGTGTTGGGGTATCCACCACCACATCTATCTTCGAGGTCATCCTGAACATTCCATCATGATGCTCTCAGCCCACCTCACCTCACCTTTGCATGCCTGCGATCCTCATAGCAGACCGAGGCACGAGATCCCTTAACCAGGCCCTCATCGCATCCCCCTCGCCGATGGGCGTCCAGACCAGGTTGTCCGGCATTGCCCAAAGCGCCTCCCTCAGGCCCTCGTCGTCCGCCTCCCTCACCAACCTCCTGAGGGTCTCCACGCTCAGACGCGCCGTGTCGGCCACGCGCAAGGCACCCACCAGCTTCATGACGTAGTCCGCCCAGGTCAGGCGCATCAGCTCGTCGCCCGCACGGTCGACCATGTGCAGCGTGGCAAAGTCCAGCAGGGAAACGGGGCCGGAGCCAGCCGGGGCGGCGACGGGTGCCGTGCACTGCGTCAGGGCCTGGAAGTCGAGCACGGCCAGCCGCGGCACGAGGCGGAGGAGGCGGCCCTGGGCGTAGCTGCGCTGGGCGACGGCGCGCGGGTCCGTGGACGAGGGGGGTAGGAGGTCGGCGTCGAGCCTGTGGAGGAGAGACCAGCACAGGCTGCTGTCGCCTGGGCCGAACAGGCGACGCCAGACTGCGCCGTGGCCCTGGGCGGTGCGAGAGACGAGGCGGATGTCGAGGCACGCTTTCTGGTCCTCGGTGAACACGGGCTGGGAGAGGGGGCAGTCGACGTCCAGGAGGTCGCCGAGGATGAGCACACCCGAGTGACCGACGGAGACGGAGGGGGACAGGAGCCAGCGCTCAAGGAAGGCCTCGAGGAGGCCTGGGGTGGCGGCTAGGATGGAGGCGTCGGAGGGGGAGGCGGCGGCCTTCTCGAGGATGGCTAGGGCGAGGGCGTTGATGTACTCCTCGGGGGACTGCAGGGCTGTGATGAGATATGAGGGCTGGCAGAGCTCAAGGGCAGCAGTGAAGGGGACAGGCCGGAGCAGCTTGATGGTGAGAGTGATGAGGGGCGGCGGGTAGCCTCTCGTCGACTCTGCCTGGGACTCGGCCTGGGCTGACTCGGCGGCGGCGACTTTCTTGAGGATAAGGCCCAGCCGTGGGAGGAAGCGGGCTGTGAGGTCTGGGTATGAGACGGGACCAAGCTGGTAGTTGATACGGTCGAATAGGTCAGGGTTGAAGTGCTGGGAGGGGTCATCGGCGGCCGTCAGCTCAGCGATGTGGGCGTCGAGCTCGTCGAGCTGTGCATCGAGGGTAGCTGGACGCTGGGCTGGTTCTGGGTCTGCCATGATATGCGCTATAGTGGTGATTGGCAAATCTCTTCTCTGGTCTAATGGGTGTTGAAATGATGCTGTACAGCCGCGTGTGCAGTTGTCGTTAATTCGGTCTTGGGATGGAGGGGTTCCAGTGAGTGTACAGTCGGATTGTGGTAAGGAGAAGAGGGGAAGCCCTAAAAGTTCAGAGGACGTTCTTGGTAGCCCACGATTTCTTCTCCTCTACACAGCCTCTCCTCAAACCTATAGAAGTAGTCTGGAGTCCGAGTAACAGGTGACAAATGCAGGGCGAGTGAGAGGGGTCAAGCGAGGCTGTACGATGTACACATTTAATGCTATGTAGTACTACTGTGTATACGTACCTAGGCAGCCTAGCAGCCAAAGCTGGTGGTTCTCCATACACTAGCAGACGGGCCAGGGGTGATGTGCATGACCCCTGTGGCCGTTATCGATAGCGGTAGAACCCCGCCAAAATTTCCAGCTTGCGCCTACCAGCCAGGCTTCAAATGTGACCTACTACTTTCTGCCCAGGCAAGACTCAATTTGGGTGCTGGCCATTGATTCCTCTTCTCCCTCAACGCAGCACAGGCCAACACAGAATAACACGAGGACACAACAACCAAAGTCGCAATGTCTCGAGGTGGAGGAAGAGGAGGCCGCGGCGGTGGCAGAGGGGGACGCCAGCAGCTCCCATGGACAGAAGACCCCAACCTCAAAGTCGACGGCCGACCAGCTGAGGCCTTCCCAGTAAGTTTCCTTGCCCAAGCCCCAAGGCACGTATACAAATGATCAAGGACTCAAGTCCCCGACCTTATGACGATTCTCATTAACCCATGATTAGCCATACAATGTTCCGATCCCTAACCCGTTAAGCGACCGAGAGAGGTCTCAAGTCCGGTCCTTCCTCCTCTTCCGCGAACAAGTCCACGACGGGCCCTTATACACCGCCGCTCGCTCCTACAAGCCCCCCTCGTCCGGGTCCAGCACACCGCGCGCCTACGGGCAGGACCAGATCAACCAGCGCTACGGTCTCAAGAGCCGTGCGACGCTCGACCCCTTCACGGCCGTCGAGATGCCCTCATCCCGCATGCGACGGCCCGAGCGCGTCCTGCCCGACTTTGGCGAGCGGCCTTTTACCAAGTCACTGTTCCCGGCGGAGCTGCACTCTACTATCGACGACGAGGATGGTCCCACGACGACGACGATCAAGAAGAGACGGAAGAAGCTTATGACCCTGTCTAAGGTCACGAGCCTTCGGACCGCCGAGGAGATCTTTAACATGCCAGACGTCAATGGCGAGGCGCCCGGGGAGGAGAAGGATAACCACCAGAAGGTCCTCGAGGCGCTCGAGCAGCTGGGCGAGGACGGCGGTGAGGACGAACTGGACTTGGACCTGGACGACGAGGAGGGCTTTGAACAGGAGATGGATGAGGAGTATGACGATGAGGACGGTGGCGATTATGATGCCGAGGGATACTTTGACAATGGTGACGATGACGATATGGGGGATGACGGGGATGACGCTGGGATGTACTGAGCGGGTAACCTTGATTTTTTCTTCTTCTTCTTTGGTTTGACTTTCTTTCCCACTTGCATTGGGGAGGCTTCTTTTTTTCTTCATTACTTCGTTGATACTGATACCCTGGGTATACGCCTCTGCGCCCTCTACCTACTTGCAATTCCATTCCAAGCTTCCAATCCTCTATCTAATATGAGCCAATCATGCCCTTCCCTCTGAAATCGTTGATCTGTAGCTCCGTGACGCCCTCCCTGGCAGCGCCCACAACCGTGGCAACCTGCACGATACTCTCTTCAAAGTCCCTCAGCACATGATACAGCTCCATAACCCTATCGTCTTGGGCTCCACCGCCCAGCGTGCCATTGCTCGCCTGTAGCCGCGAGGCCTGGTCACTGATGTTCTGCTCGACACCGCTGAGGTGTGCGTCGATCTCCTTGACAGTCCCTTGCAGCTTCTTGATCTGCTCGTCCATCTCGTCCGTCGCCCGCGAGAAGTAGCCAACCAGATCCTCCGACGCTGTCTGCGACCCATCACCATTCGCATTTGACCCGCTGCCCTGCTGCTCCTGCTGTGCTCGGGATGACGAAGCGAAGAAGCTGGGCGACACGTGATACTGGCTCGGAAGAGCGAGGTTGTTTGCCGCGAGGAAGCTCAGCTTGGCCTCCTCTGCATCCCCCTTCACCTGGTCACGCATCTGCTTGATGGTCTGCAGGTCTGCGCCAAGGGCGGAGTCGACGGCGGCGTACTTGCGCGACACGAAACGCACATCATCTGGTATCGACTCGAGCTGTTTCTCGTGTTGCGGGATGAAGGCATCCACCTGGTCCTTTTGTGCCATGCAGCTCTGGATAAAGGCGTCCATGGCAGCAATCTCCCTCTGCAGGTCCTCCTGGAGGTCGTTGAAGCGTGTGGTGTTTCGGAGGTTCGAGATGTCAATGCGCACGCCAGGGATGACTTGTGGTCCCATGGTCGAGCCTAGGGCAGGCATGGCGGGCTGTTGAGGGATCGCGGGCGGTTGGTTGAGGGAGGAGCTGTGAAAGTCGTCAGTACAGGTAAAGAGACGGGCAAGATCACCAGCCATAGGCACGTGTAGTAGACATACAACAAGCTCTTTGTAGGAGCAGCGGCAGATTGGCCAAACAGACCTCCTCCCGCGGCTGGGGCTGCTTGCTGCTGGCCAAACAAACCACCGTTCATGCCCGTTTGTCCTGCGTTGGCCATCGTCGAACCGCCAAACAGCGAGCCCGCAGGCTTTGGTTGACCAAAGAGTCCGCCGCCTGTGTTTCCTGCTGCAGGCTGCTGTGTTGCAGTCGACCCGAACAACGACGTGCCAGTCTGCGCTGGCTGTTGAGTGGCGTTTGCTGTCTGGCCAAAGAGTCCACCTCCGCCGCCTGTGGCCGTCGTCGAGCCCCCAAACAGGCCACCAGGTTTTGGTGTTGCCATGCTGGACCCAAAAAGGCCGCCACCGCCTGTTTGTTGTTGGGCTGTATTCGTTGAGGTGCCGAAGAGAGAAGTGGCCTGTGCTGGTTGGGAGGTGGTCGTCGTGTTGCCAAAGAGACTATTCGACTGCGCGGTAGGCTGTGTTGCGCTCGCTGCGCCAAAGAGACCGCCAGCTGCTGGAGGCTGACTTGAGGAGTTGCTTCCACTAGGGAAGATTGAACAGAGGCAAAAGTCAGCAAATTCCACCAGAGCGGGCCTAGGTCATGTAGTTCTCATTCTTTATCCCGGAATGCGCTGGAATCGGGCCAGATGGAATGAGGAAAAAAGACACAAAGAAGAAGGGTACCCACAATGTGTTAGCCGCTCCTGTGTTGATGCTCAGACCAGCTGGTCCACTTGCTGATCGTGCAAAAGCCATCCTGACCAAAACCTGTTGTGGTCTGTTGTCTTTGAAAGGGAGCCGATTTGTCTCTGGTGAAAAGGCTCAGAGTCAGGTTTTCGTGGTGCAGTGCAGTTGTTCCAGACGTGTCGCGTCAGTTGGATTTACTTATGGTACAGTCGGCCCCAAGTTGCTGCAGCTACCATAGTGCTAAAATGCAGGGATCCCTGCAGGCCTGTTAGCCTGCCCCGGTGCCTGGCTCTTGTGTCACAGCGCTAACCTTGGAGCTGCCCATGCCTGCCAAAGCATTTAATGGTGCTTGATTTGTGGGCCCAGCAGCTGCCCTTCAATCACTTTCATCATCAACCTCAACCCTCGATTCCCCAACTAAGATCTGCCATTGATCCCCTGTCAATACAGCCCATACACTCCCAGAAGGACTCTTTCAACACCAAGAGACAATATGGATATTGACGATAACGATGATGATTTCTATGCGCCTGAGGAACCGGCTGCTCCGGCTGCTACAGAAGCTCCCCAAGACAGTACGCCTGCTGCCGCGGGCCCTGCACCCTCAGAAGCGAAGCCAGACGCAGATGAGGACTTAGAGGAAGGCGAAGAGGAGGATGAGGGTGGCGCTATGGATGAGGATGACTCCTCTGACGATGTGAGCAAAACTGTATCCCTTTGGGATTTATGCGCAATCTAATACAATCTCAGAGCATGGTCATCATTACGGAGAGGAAGGACGGCACATCAGCTGCACCACCGTCGTAAGTCGCACAGTCTTCTCCCCAGGTTATTGGTCATCACGACCACTGACAGGAACCCCCAGACAATCTCGGTACAGCAGCATCAAAGACATTCCGCAACGATCAATATCAAATAATACCACCACCAAAGCAGCCCCCTCAAAACCCGAAGACCCAAAACAGGGTGCCGAACTCCCCGCCATTAGAACTTCCACGGTCGACATCAACGCGATACCCACCCACAAGGGCACCGGCAAGCTCATCACACAAATCAACATTGACGAAGATCTCCCAGAGAACGACAAGCCTTGGCGGAAACCCGGCACTGATTTGAGCGACTACTTCAACTACGGCTTCGACGAGTTCACGTGGACGCTGTACGCCAACAAGCAGGAGCAGCTGCGCGGCGAGTACAACTCCGATGCGATCGCCAACAACAGCAAGAAGATGTTTGAGGATATGGCCTCCATGATGATGATGGGTGGTATGCCCGGCATGCCGTCTATGCCGGGGATGCCTGGCGGCGGTGCTGGTGGCGCAGGAGGAGGTGCCGCTGGAGCCAGTATGCCCGGTATGGATGGCATGCCCCCGGAAATGCAGCAGATGATGCAACAGATGATGGCCGCCGGCGGGATGGATCCCAGCCAGATGGACCCGTCAGCAATGAGTGCCATGTTTGCGGGCATGCAGAATGCCGGTGGTCCTGGCGGGCAGGGTCCAGGAGGGCAAGGTCAGAACTTTGGCGGTGGCTTCGGGGGCAACCAAGGTCAGGGATTTGGGTATGATCAGGGTAATATGGGCGGCGGCAACCGGGGTGGCTTTGGCAGAGGTCGTGGAGGTCGTCAGCGATATTAGGTACGGAAACCTAGAGTGCCTCGACTTAGTTGTCTCAAGCCAAAGAGTCACGTAGGCACCCGCAGTTGTCAGGCCTCTTTGATGCCTTCTCTCAGAGGCATAATTAAAATGGGAACTTTGTTAGTGAATGGATTGATACCCTGGTCATTCAAGAGATCGCATCAAATACAGAGTATCAACATTTCATGTGTGAATGGTTGGGAGGGCCTGGGGGGGGGGGGGGGGATTGGTTTTTAGAGCTGGTCTCAAATAGCTGGATGACCCTCATTACCCTTTAAGAAAAAGCAAATCGTCCAGCACACCAATAACACGAATCATCGTCTTTCAACATGTACCTTGTCGTGGATGTTCTTGCCCAGTTCCAACTTTTCTTTCAGTCAATCCGATACCCGCAGGTTACTCAGCTGCCCTACTCAGTCGCCAGTATGGCAACAGGTCATAAATCGCGTCATTTGAGGTCAAAGGTGACCCATAATGTCCAGCTCAAGTGTCCTAATTGAGAGACAAAGTGTCTATGACTTTTGACAAGCGTCTCTCTCACCCACTGCAGTGGTGTTTAGGCCGGCCTGCTCACGTATGCGCAGGAGACGGGAGGCCTTGATTGGCCGACGTGTAAGCTACGAGTAAGTTGGATACCTCATCCTGAAAATCACCTGAAACCCATCAAGTAGCTCGTCGACCATTCCAATACACATAGATCTCAAAGATCTCAGGTGCTTCACATGATGATGTTGAAGCTGAGAACAGATGGCTTGTGATATACCATGGTTTGCTGTACGTTGAGGACAGGGGTATATATGCGGATTTGGGGCTGAAACGGCCACTCAGTAGTTCAATAAGATTTTTCATTCATACAAAGATCACTATAAATAGAAAAGTATCGTGTAGAAACGGCAGACAGTGTTGCAGGGGCCGTTCCTCTATACATGATCAAGACACCCCAGCTTCGTGCTCAATGAGCTGAGATTATTGGAAAAGTCTACATATTTCCTCTCGAACAACACAAAACTTCTCGCTTGACAAGTAGTAGATAAAAGACAAGCTACTCGAAAAGGTCCATCCATCTTTGATGCCAAGGCGGTGGCCAGTCTCCGTTGTTCGAAGCGGCTGGCCACGCCGTCCAGAGACGGGCTGCTGGATCATAGATTTGGATCTTTACAAATTGTTCAATACTCAAGTACATAGCCATTGTACGGTGCCTGGATATTCATGTAGCTGTGGGTTCAATCTATCAGTTAGTTAACACCCATTGCTGGATGGTCGCTTACAAGTGATTATACACAATAAGTCAAAGCACCCCCTTCCCGATCACCCTGGTCAACCACACCGTATATATATATATATATATATTTCATATAGATTTACTCATCCTATTCACCCACCACGATGCAATCCTCCTCATCAGTAGGTAATTCAAGGCCGCTCTCTTCATCTAGACTATCCTTATCTCGATTAACTGCGTTTTGAGCCCTCTGTATATCCTCAACCCCTGCAAACTTCGAATTCGGGCTTACATCGACCTTTCTTCTTTTACTAGGCTTCAGCGCCTCAATCTGCTTCCTCAACATCTGATTTTCCTCCAATGCTCTTGCAAACTCGAGATCTCTCTCGTCATAAGCCTTTTTTATCTTCCTGAATAGCATACGGCGGCCTGAGTCTGTTGAAAGATGCTGCCGAGTTTCCTGTAGCTAGTAATATAGCTGTTTAGCCTTGTGAGGCGTTGAAAAAACCACAGGCTGGCTTGATGAGGCTTTTTGGGGAAGCTTAGATGCTGTTGATGGTATTGAGGCTGAATTTGACTGGCTCTGAATGCTTGGTTGACTGTTCTCGAGGAGAAGAGGGCTTAAGAGCGCTTTGGAGGGTCTCAGGGGCCATAGACCAGTTACTTTCCATCCAGATCTGATATTCTGGCTTGAAAGACCTTCCAGACGAGCTAGACGATAGTGCTTGAGGAATAAACGCTTGCCTGCAATAGTTGAATCCTCCCATTGGCTCATATTGCTGACTTCCTTTCTGTATGCTCGTTTAAGGGATGAAAAGATCCCTAGATCGAGGGGTTGAAGTACGTGAGAAGTATGAGGAGGCAAGTAGATCAACAGGATATTGTTTTGATAGCATTGCCACATAAACTCGTCAGTTTTATAGCTGTTGTAGCCATCCAGAACTAATAGTCTGGTCTCTGAGGCATCCGCTGGTAGGCTGCCTGGGATGAAGATCTTTTCTAGCCATTCAAGTGCCATTTTATCATTAGTCCATCCGTTTGGTGTAGCAGTGAACTGCCAGCCCTCAAAAGGCTTCAAACCAACAGGAAATCACTGCTGCTATACAGTTTACCCTTTGAAGATCACCAGAGGAAGGAGGTGAGCTCCCGTAGCTGAGATACACTCGAGGAAAGAGGTCCAGGCTTTTGATCCAGGCTCTTTTCTTTGGATTGAACGTAAAGAGGAGCCTCCAAGAACTAATCCATTCTCTCCTTGGCCCTCCATAAGCCCAGCTTCATCCATATTCCATCGATTAGCTGGCTTGATGGCTTGGATGCGAGGAAGATTAAAAAGATAGAACCAAGGCCGTATTACCTCTGTTGTAGCTCCATTAGTTCGTTCAGAAGCCATCCGGCGAGTCCTTCTAACCTTTATCTCTGGATTCCTCTTCAAAAAACCCTGGGTCCATCTCTTTCCAAGAGATTCAATATCTCCTTTGATGAGGAGGATCTTCCGTGCGAAGAATCTCAACTCTGAATGGCTTGGTGGAAGCCCTAGGCTTTCCTGAACCAGGATCCATTCAGCTAGTTTTCTTTCTTGGATAGAAGAGAGCCTTTGAAAAGATTCAGCACCTATCTGATGAGACTGAACGCCTGTTAAACGGTTCTGAAGTGTTGTATAAGGGATACCCCATTCGATCGAGGCCTTGCGAAGAGAACAGCCTGTCTTGATAGCCTCGAGGGCGGTAACGATTTCAGATTCTGTATACTGCTTCATTGGACTGTATTTACTCTATGCTGAAAGTTTGAAGTGAATTGGAAGAGGATTGATGAAGAAAATTAAAAATATATCGAGGGGTTGAAAAGGCGGTGTGGTTGACCAGGGTGATCGGGAAAGGGGGGGGGGTGCTTTGACTTAGGCCCTACACTCTCACACCGTTTGCGCCTGTTTTTATAGCTATTTCATCAAACCTCAGGGCTTACCTAAGTGCCTGAACACTTCATCTCAGTATAATATTTGTAAGACAAGCACATCTTATAGACTTGACTCAGAGGGCAAGTCTCCGTCCTCCATGATACACACAGCAAGGCTGGTGGCTTCGCTCAGCTGAGGATGGGACTTGCCCAATCTGGCACCGCGCCCTCGGCTGATTGGACCAAACCCATCAAGGCTGGGTGGGACCAGCGGATCATCCACTTCTCCTCTGAATACCGCTGTTGAGCCAGGCCTATTTCTCATGTAGGATCCTTTCCTGAATATCTTGAATCCGCCCTGCTGTTTCAAAAGCCACCAATAAACCAAGCAATTAGCTTCAATGTGGCGATACATCGGGTAGCAAATGGGGGAAAGAGGGGGTTTTCAATTCTACCCAGTGACACAAGAGTGTCAATCGCAACCACAGCTCATAATCCAGATTGGCATGTAATAGCCTGAAGAAGATTCTGGAAGGGGCTACTAAAGCTCTAGTTCAATTAGGGAGAAATCCAGCTGAGAAGATGAAGAAGGACTGGGAAAGAGAGGCAAATGGGTCCTTATCATGAAAACCTTGGAAGCCTTGATCCAGTTAACGCAATTATGAGTCAGATGTCCCATTCATAAGCTGTCCCATGTTATCGGATAAGACTCATCAGAGTAAATGTATCTTCATGCTCAAAAGTATGATCGCCCAAAGTCAGAGCTGCCAGATCTCTTCAAGACGGGCTTAAAGTTTCTCCCGAAGATCCCAATCCGCACAACAACGTTGTCTGACAATAACATTATCTGGACATAGCTGTTTAGTCAAGGCAACGAGGATCATGTACCTGGCTGTGAGGAGCAGCTGTAGGCGGGGCATGATGCGCGCCTCGCGCGACCGGCCAAGTCTGGGTAGGAGACATGGGAGGCCCATGGTTCGTCAGATCGATTCCTGAGAATCCCAGTTGCTGCTCTCCCGTCCTGTCATAGGTTCTCAGAAGATCACGTCGCTCGCCTGGCCGTGCTTGATAGTCTGGCATCCGCATGGCGGACGATGCTGTCGAGGTGTTAATCTGTTGCGGGATCGGGCTGTGCTCTGCGCTCATATTTGAAGCTTTGGCTTGCGCCATCCGCGCCGTGAGTGGGTGCGCAGGCGCGATCTGCTGCCCGGTTGCCGATCTGATGCTGCGATCTTGCTCGTCGATGAGAACGAGACCAGCCGCTCGGGCATACTTACCAGCCTTATTCTCCTCATCCCGCCTCGAGTTCACTTTCTTGTTATCAATCTTCCTCTATAGAAATGTTAGTAGGAGGGCCTTCGATTAACATCGCCTCAAGGTGGCTCTCCAGGGTCGGTAAGCTTGCCTTTACTTCAGCGCTGGGGTTGTAAGCCAGGCGCTTGGTAAAACTGATGCCCAACATCATCTTGACAATGTTTTTGGACGACTACATATTGCAAGCGTTAGTTCTCATCCGGAAGGTCTGGAGTACTTCTTCACATTGATGCCCTACCCTGAGCGCCTCCTCACACTTCTGAATCCTGTGCTCGAACGAGTGAAATCTGGCAGGTTTCTTCGACTTGCCGGGCTTGGGGTTGTCGTACCATGGCGGTATGCAGAATTGACCTTGCTGTCCATACCATGCCTCCTCCTACATATATTGGTGGTCAGGTATAATTTTGTCTCAAAATCTGTATCAAATTCAAAATTACTTACCACGATCTCCCAGCACAGCAGTTCAACCTCCAACGAGTTCAACTGCTTCGTGCGAGCAACTGCAACGCAATCTGTGAACTTGTCTTGCTGAGCCTCGGTCTCTCTATCCGTGATCGTCCGCTTTAAGCTCTTGCACTGTATCTTGAGGCGAGGGTTCTCGATCAGATCATTAACATCCAAGATAGCTGCGTACAAGGTTCGGACCGCATTTAGAATGCGCGGGTTGTCGTTTGGTATCTGTTCGACTGCCCGTTCGTCGTTGTTCTGGCGGTAGTAGGCTGTCTTGTAATTTTGATACTGGTTATAGGTGGTAATAAACCCACGCCAGTGTTGTCCCTTCAGCGTCATGATCTGTGTGACTTCGGCATCGTAGTTGACAAGCCCAGCCTGTTGAGGTACTGAGTGGGAGATCGACGCAGTATGATGCTGAACTGCAGGTGCCCCGCTGTATTTAAGCTGATGAACCGGCTGGTTGATTGGGCTGTTAACATTCCTGGTATACTGAATATAGCGATCAGATCCCACTGTCAGCATCCAGGTGGCAACAGCGCGGTACGCCTTGGCACCATCCCACATGCCCAGGTGTCGAAGACCAGGTTGTTTTGAGAAGTCTATGAGAGGGTTTATGTGAGCCATGACAGGAAACAAAGCATGGAGGTCCTCTACAAGACACTCTTGATTAGCAGTTGTTCTCGTGCAGAATACTGGTAGGACATAGATCCTAAAAACTCACGGATTCTATGAACAGTGACACGCTTCTCCATAGGATCTCCATCAGGACCAAGACTGGTCTCGACGAAATTGATGGCTGGAGTCCACCAGACGGGCTCCGCAAGATTGCCCGCAGTGTTGAGAGACTGCATTGTGTTGAATGCCTATAAGTATTCACATTGGTTAGAAGAAGTGATCATGCATAATGACAGCGCATTGTCTTGACAGCCTCACATACAGTATGATACTCTTCAGCGTGGATATACTGAGAATATAAGGGGAAGACTGCTTTAATAAAGTTCTAGAATGACGAAGAGCTGACAAAGTAACAAAGTATTGTTGAGAAGCTTGGTTGTATGAAGGGAATGGAGAGCCTTAGGCAAAAGGCTGTAGTATAGCAACTAATACTGTTGCTAGAGAAGTGCTGGTTGCTAATAGTCGATTCAAGTTGAGTGCATTGGGTAAGGAAAAGGAAGAGAAGAGCTCTTGTTTCAGTCCAAGATCGGCGTTTTTAAGATACCATAGCCAAAATTATCTTTCACAAAATCCAAGTCAGGTCAATGTGAATCTGGGAGTGAATTAATAGAACAATAGCATCCGAATCACGGCAGACGGTGATTCATTACCAGTAGCAACTCACAGATCGTATCAACTCGAATTTCAAGAAACCCATTACTTAAGTATTTTTCTTCAGTGACGGTACAATACAAGCAAAATCTAAGCATGCTCGCAGCCAACACTTGGTCTTTGAGCTCGAGTCTGAGTAGGTAAGTACTTGAGCAGGTGATATCTATGAGGCTGGGTTAATAAATCTTCACTTAGCTGCAGATTGATTAAGCATTAAATATACAGATACGATTTCCATTGTTTAATACAAAAAGTCGATTATCCCAAATGCATTGATTGTTCTATGCTTTATGTGAATATTGCAACCTCAAAAGCAGGTCTGGTCGGTTTCATAGCAGTAATATTTATCAAGCTGAGTGATGAGGAGCCAATGTATGAGGAGTATGGATGCGTGATTGATACCGTCTCTAATCTTTATCATTCTCAAGCCGAGGGAGGTGAGGGTTAGGGTGGGGTTGCAGAGAAGACGAGGCAGGATGCAGGAAGGCCAAACGGAAATGGCACAAGAGGAAGTAGGTTGTAATCTAGATGAGTTGGTCTGGAGATCAAGGGGGAGATATCGATCAGAATTTCAGCTGTGTCCTTAGCTACAGTCGCATCTGTCTGCATTGCCTCGGGTGACGCGTGCACCAAACAGACCTAAGGATGATTGATATATGAAGGTCGCCTGTTCGATTGCCAAGGAATTCTGGGAATTTTCCGCGAAGAAAGGCATCAAGGAGAGTACGCTCACATGTGGTGGAGCTCCGTGATTGTCAGGTACGCTGGTCATCAAGATTAGGTTTTCGGTCCCCAAGAGCCCTTAAAGGTGTCTTGGACGGATCTTTTTTCTGATATTCTATTATTCCACGTGTATGCAACGGTCGAGCTTCTAGGACAAGACTAGGGCCTGCTCGGCAGTGAGCACGCGTGTGAAGAGCCCTCTATAGTAACAGTGGTCAGGATGTAATAGAATGTAGAACAAAGAGACTGAATCATGATAATTGGTGATTTGATGAGCCGGTGTCGCTACTCAGACAGCGAGAGATTTGTCATCGCAAGCAGTGCAATATGTACGATTTGAAACCTGCAGGTCAACTTTTATCGATTATATACATTTTCATCCCCGTCAAGATCCTGGGCGTAGCTGATATAAGCATCATTATCATTACAATTATTTTTCAGGGATCACACTGAGCCCCAGCCTCCTGATGTTGAGGCTCATGCGTCCAATACCACAGCGATGGACGTCGCATCATCGTCGTTCTTGCCGAGGCTGCCCAGATTCCAGTTGACCTCAGCCGTCTTGGAGAGGCTGTAGTGGCTAAGCTCGGTCGAGTTTGTAGTGCCGACGAGGCTGTCTGGGACGGCGCTGCCTAAGAGCACAGCCATGACCCTGTTCTCGAGCAGGTAGTTCTCGCACTCATCCCAGGTGAGGATGACCAGGGTCTTGTCAATGTTGAAATTCGGGTTGTCTAGGAGAGGCACGAGGAAGTCTCTCGCCCACTGCCCTGCGACTGTGATGGAGCTGTCGTGGCCATTGTCCGCTAGAGATGCGTTTAGAATTTGTACTTCTCTGCGCTGTGAGTTCAGCGGACTTACTCATGTTTGGTGTTATCCACATCCACTGAGGCAGCGTGCCGCTCTCCAGTTCCTCGTAGAACATTGTGAGATTTTTCGCCTTGGCCAGCCTGTCAATATCCCCCGTGGCTGAGTCGTACGACATCATGGGACTGGTAAAATGTCAGCCACACAACCTTCCAGGAGCGACGGTGGTTCGATTGGAGAACTTACTTGTGCTTCCGCACATACATATTCGCCCCGGTCTCCTGGTTCACCCAATCACTCTCGAAACCAGAGAACGGCATGTCCTCCCCGTATATGCTCCAGCTCACGTTTCCCGCCTCGAGCAGATCGATCATGGTCTCAACACTCTCATCAATTTGCACAAAGTCGTCCAGCCACACTCCGTTTGTGTCCGCGCCCAGAGCCGCTACGTAATTGGGCTGCGAGGGATGCGTGATGGACCAGTAGTTGTCGAGGGTGATGCCCAGTGAGGCGAGGTATTGTATGTTGGGGTCGCCAGCGGCTATGTCGTAGTCCTGGTTCTCCAGAAAGATCTGCACGTAGCGGTCGAATGACTGGCCCTGGATGTCGCTGGTCGGGTGGAGGGTGAGAGCTGTTGCCTGAGCGGCGTAGACGGCGGACGTTGCGGTCGACGTGTACATGTCAGACGCCGCCGGCGTCGATTGTGAGGAGCCCATGGTGATGAGGTTGAGCGTATCTACGAAGATTATCCAGAGGTCAAGATAGCCTCCCTCGTCAAGGTCCTCTTCTTCGGTGGATAACAAAGGGTCACACCGCCAAGACGTCGTAGAACCCCAGGAAAACCTGGGTGGGACATGGGCGCTTTACATATCCATCGCCGTCAAGTCATATACCATAGTATTCACCAAAGGGTATAGCCGCCTGAGGCCCTCCGGCTCCGGCTCCACGCAGAGGCAGACATTCTGACATATGGGCTGTCAAGGCCAGGGCAGCCCAGCCCAATGAGAGGCGTGATAATGGAGATCAGCTTGGCTGCAGCAGGGATCACCGTCAATAGCGGCGATGCACGCAGACACACGCCAGGGGGGCGACATGCTTTGTTTGGAAGGACGTTTTTCGGCCGAAATTACACTCCACCTGGAGGATCTTCGCGTTGGCCGGCCTGCCTTGTTCAACAAGGGGCTTGGGAACCACTGGAGAGTGTATTGGACAGGAGAGTGAACGTTGCTCATATGTGTGTCCAATTGTTGTGGTGTGGGCGAAGAGCAAAGACAAGTGAAGAGAGAGAGGGGCGTTGCATTCGTAGAATAAGTTTCTCTCCAGCGACGGTGGAGACGCGTTAAAAGCAATGGCATACTGAAGCGCTAGAATAGTGTCCGTCACTAGCCTGTACAGTAGGCCTGAACTAACGGTGGGGGGCGCTGAAGGAGAATAAAGGTCCGCTAAGCTCTAGAGGTTGACGGCAACGGCAGGGCTTTTCCTAGGCAGGGCTGGCAGGGGTAGTCCCGGAGGATATGCCGGTCCAGGAACCGAGTATGCATGTGCCAATGTCGCATCGTCGAACAATCAATCAGCTTTTGCCATTCTCCACGTTCAGATCACCAACAAGAATGTCCTCCACTTCAAGAGGGGACTTTTATTTCAGGAATCTGTATGCGAAGGAGCCGGACTTCCGCCAGCTTGCACGGCAAGATGCCGACTTCCGGGCGATGTGAGTGATGGGAGAAAGAGGCCCTTTATTGTAGCTACCGCCGGCCGCGCGACGCTGACATCGACGATAGACTCAAGCCCAATGACCAGCTGGACTTCACTGATCCGGCAGCTGTGCAGCAACTCACCAAGACGCTGCTCAAGCTTGACTTTGATCTGAAGCTCGAGGTGCCTGAGGATAGGCTATGTCCGCCTGTGAGTGACAAGAACACTGGTCGGGAGCAGTCTCAGTCTTGACGTGTGGATGAGCCAAGGCTGATTGATGATCGGATTGGGTGGCTCAGGTTCCAAACCGGCACAACTATATTCTATGGCTTAAGCAACTCCTGGACTCCAGCTCATATAATGAGCCTGGAGGCAAGCTGAGCGGCCTTGACATCGGCACAGGCGCAAGCTGCATTTATCCCCTCCTGGGCTGCGCCCAACGGCCGTGGTCCTTCATCGCCACAGGTGAGCAGTTGATCTCTTTCTATCTGCGTCTCATCCAGTGCATCATTGCCTTACTGACACATCCCCCCCCTTCTCACACAGACATCGATGCCGACAACCTCAAACATGCCATCAAAAATGTCGCCCTCAACAGCTTCGAGGACCGCATCAGGATCGTTTCCCGAAAACCCGAGGACCTACTTATCCCGCTAGAAGAGCTCAACCTGAGCCATATTGACTTCGTCATGACCAACCCGCCCTTCTATCAGTCAGAAGCAGAGATGCTTAAATCCGCCGCTAAAAAGTCCCGTCCGCCGCACTCAGCATGCACTGGAGCACCAGTCGAGATGGTATGCGACGGCGGGGAGGTCGCCTTCGTGAGCCGCATCCTGGAGGAGTCCTTGGTCCTCAAGGACAGGGTGCAATGGTATACATCCATGTTTGGGATGGTATCCAGTCTGGAGGTGATGGTGGAGAAGGTGCGCGAGAGGGGCATCAATAATTATGCAGTGATGGAATTCCTGCAGGGAAACAAGACGAGACGGTGGGCCCTGGCGTGGAGCTTTGGGCCGATGAGACCCTGCCAGAAGGCAGGTCGGGGTCTCAAGGCAACACCGTGGAGAAGGATCCTGCCGGCAATCGTCGATGCAGAGATATCTAGGTTCCCGAGCGGCGATGGTGTAGGCGCGAAGGGAGACGCGCTATCTACACTTGTAGGAGGGCTGGACTTGATCTCGTGGCAATGGGACCGGGAGATGCTCAGAGGGGTTGGGCGGGCGAGGGAGAACGTCTGGAGCAGGGCATGGCGGAGGAAGAGGAAACGCGAAGAGGCAGAGGCCGGCCCATCAGTGAAAAGCAAAGAAGAACCGAGCGAGACTTGGATTTTTGGATTCTCGGTTTCCATCACGGTCAATATGTCCGAGGCCATCCTCGAATGTCGCTGGCGTGAGGGTCACGATGAGTCCATCTTTACCAGCTTCTGTGGTTTCCTCAAGACACGACTACAAGCTCAAGTGCCCAAGAAAACATGATAAAAGACAGTCTGAAAATAGAGAGAAGAAAAGTACTTCCAGCCCTTCTACAAATTTGTATGAGCCGTCAGTGATGACCAATAGATCATCATTTCTTCACAGAGGTGGAAGAGAAGAGAGGGAGAGGTCAACTACCCTAACCCTAGCACTAGAATCCCCCAACGCCTGCCGAGCAGCCCTCCTGACATTATGCACCTTTCGCGCTGCCTGCCGCCGCATCTTTTCCTGACGCTCTCACTATCTCCTACAAACCATACCAGCAAGAAGAAAAGGAAAGAAAGGGAAAATCCACCAACAAATATGTCCGACACTCCACCTGCCCAACAACAGTCCCGCTTCAAGGCACCATCGAACCTAACCACCTCCGAACGCCTGTCCACCAACACAGTTGGCCTCGTCGCCCTCTCGGACTTCCGCAAGCGGCGCGCCGAGGTTCTCGAGCAGCAGGAGCGCGAGGCTCGAGAAGCCTTGCGCTCGTCAGGCACCAACACACCTGCGGGACGCTCACGTAGCGGGACGCCGAACGCGAGCGATGGCGGAGAGAAGCAGCAGAAACAGCAGCAGCGAGCTGTGAAAAGGGCAAAGAAGGGCAAGGCCGGAAAGAGGGCGCTGGTTTCGTTTGGAGATGACGGCGAGGAAGAGGAGGAAGAGATGAAGGAGACGGAGAAGGAGAAAGAGAAGGACAAGGAAGCGGACAAGGAGGCACGCGAGGACAGCGCAGACCCCAGCGCCGACAGCGATGCCAGCGGCAAAAAGAAACCTGCCAAGATCACAGCCAATGCCTCCGTGGGCATCGTACCGCGCGCGCTGACAAAGGCGGCGCTGCGGCGTGAGGCTGCGGAGCGGGAGGCGCTGCGGAAAGAGTTCCTCGTACTGCAGGAGGCGGTCAAGAACACCGAGATCGCGATCCCCTTTGTCTTCTACGACGGGACCAACACGCCTGGCGGGACGGTTCGCGTGCGCAAGGGCGAGTTCGTGTGGGTGTTTCTTGACAAGAGTCGCAAGGTGGGCGCCCAGCTGGGCATCGGCAGCGAGAGGAACACCAACGTGAGGAAGGAATGGGCGCGCGTGGGCGTTGACGACCTGTTACTGGTGAGAGGGACGATGATCATACCACATGTAAGTTGCGCCTTCTAGTATGTTTGTGTGGGTGTGATGACAAAGTAGATTGATTGGTTGTACGTATATATATGTGTGTCTAGCTGCTGACTTGACGTGTCTAATCTAGCAATACGAGTTCTATTTCTTCATCATGAACAAGTCTGTTGGCCCAAAAAACGTCCGGCTGTTCAACTACAGCACCGAGCCCCCTCCCCAGGAGAGGGCCTCGATTGATGATTCCGACGATACACCTCCTCCAGCCAACGTCCTCTCGAAGCCCAAGGGCGGGATCAACAAGAACTTGGTGGATATCAAGGATCTCGAGGGCGCAGGCGATGATCCGACCTTCACAAAAGTCGTCGATCGGCGGTGGTATGAGCGGAATAAGCACATATATCCTGCCAGCCTATGGCAGGAGTTCGATCCAGAGAAGGACTATACGAGCGACGTCCGGAAAGATAACGGCGGGAACACTTTTTTCTTCTCGAGGTGAATCTGATTTGTCGATATGCTCTCGTTCGGTGGGTATTTATCGCGACGCAGTCGAATAAATGATGGTAGTTCTTGGTAAGCTCTTTCGGGAGCATGAGGAATCATGCAAAAGTCGACTTTGCCATGATGTGCTCTCAGCCCGTCCATGACCACATCAGGTAGATGAGGTAGGCGAATCCGACGAGCATCCAGCCCGGCCAGAAGATCATGAGGCAGAAGCCATTCCCACACCCCAGGATGAGCACGAAGAATTCAAACTCCAGTTTCTTGCGCAACCGACGGGCCGCTTTGGACTCCCACACGGATCCGGCAGCTTTGTACAAGGCAGTCACAGACGCCATGGCGATTGTCCTGGTGACCAGGAAGGTCTGAAGCGCTGCGACGTTGCAGCCGAAGAGCAGGTATGTCAGGGCGAGACGGTTGATCTTGAAAAACTGCTGGGTAAAATCAAAGAGGACTGGTCTGAGGGCGTTTGAGTAGGGCAGCGCGTGACCGATTTTGAGTGCATATCTGTGGGTGAGGTCGGACTGCTCGCGTATGCGCAGAGAGGAGTAGTTTGAGGTGGGTTGTGTGGTGGTGGTTGTTGAGGTTGTCAGAGGAGCCATCTTGGGTTTTGGTCTTCTTTTTTGAGAAGAGGGGTTTACCCCTAAGCGAACAAGCAGATGCTCAAAGCTGGCCCCAGTATTATCGAAGGACCGTGTGTCAGAATCAATAGCGAAGGTGGATGGGACTATAGTGATCTCGCTTCGCAGTCGTCCAGGAGATAAAACGATAGGCGTACGTTATCTTATATTGCGAAATACAATAATCGATAACACAGCGATCAATCTGCTGCTCTCTTATATATCCAATCCCAACACGTCCAGACACGACAGGAGAGCGAGCGCATGCTTCCTCGAAACTTTCTCTGATTCGAAGGGACGACTTTCCTAGTCCTGCAACCCAAAGATGCAAGCAGTAATCCGGCGAGTATATTTCGAAACGACTCGTCTGGCAGACCTGCATCTACTATTACTATACATATAAGGAGGGCCCCACCTTCCAAGTCGTATGAGGTGGAGACGTTTTGGCCTAAAGGAGAGGGCGTGAGTGGGATGGAAACCTAACGCTACACGTGGGGCCGTCTGCAGGTCTGGGACAAGCACGGATCGTCATGTGAACGGGCATCACTCGATTATCTTGCCTACTACGGTGACAAAGCTTTGCGCAGTTTTCTTGCCTACATTATTTACTACAGGAGGACCCCGCCAGATAAGGAGGTGGCCTTTTGTGTAATCACCACGGTGAAGGGGAGAAGTGAAGGGTAGAAGAAAAGAGGACCAACAGAGGGAAAAAAGAATAAAGAAATACTGACTTTGGCCTACACGCACAGAACAACAAATGAACGCGGCAATGGCGGAACGGACGGAGCTTTCACTACAGCATTTACACGAGACATGTGGTGAAGTGTGGCGACGGGCATACCGATGTGTATGTGCCTCGATCTTTTTTGCTTCTTTGATTTGTTTTCTTTCCCTGCCATACACGAGCGCTTGCTGATAAGAACCTTTTCTTGGAACCGCAAACAGCGGCTACGCTGCTATGCAACATGTATTCCCCGATCTTTGCCTCCCCTTCCGCAGAGCCTCTCAAAAGAAGCCGCAGGACCCTTGTGTGCCAACGGTGTTATACCATTGGCTCGGGACTTGGGTGTGACACAAACTATGGTATACCCGGCGGGCAGCTCCAACATGTGCCCCTCCCGGCTGGGTGATTGGCCTCTCTGCTTGGGCGACAGCAAGCTAAATGCTTTTAACCTTACAGAAGTAGACGAGTCGGAAAGGTTGGGGCATGAGAGAAGGTTAGAGTTTACCCTATTGCTGTTGTTGTTGAGGTGGCGTGATTTGGGAGCGGCTCGTCGGAAGGCAGCCCGAACTGATTGCGAATACCAATCTGTTGAGCGCAGAGTTGCCTTTGGCTAAGATGTTGGCCAGGCCGTAGTATACTAGGTGAGTTCACCATTTCAAGGTCATAGCCCCACGGATGAATAGCTTCGCACTGCTTTGGGTTTACCATTTTCCCCCCCTCTCTCAAGAAGAAGCACGTCATATAACTTGGGAGTCCACAACAATGTAACACCTCCTCAGATCTGACCACTTCAGCAGTTTATAAAGACCATATAGCGTTGACAGCCGTTGCCGAATCTGCCTCACGATTCTTTCGAGGCAATATCTTATGCCATTCGCTTGGACGGCTTCGCATCGACGGGTTCACAACAAACAGCACACACTGTAACACTGATATAGTGGCAAAAGGGAGTCTCTTGGCCTCTACGCTCATCTCTCAGTGCCATATATGGCTGTAGGTCACATCATGCTGCACGCTTTATTACGTAGCATATATTGTTGTCGAACGTCGACTACCACCATATTTTGTAGTATGCCGAGGCTCAAATGAGTTGTTAGGTACTTGAACTATCTAACATTGGGCAACCACTTCACCACAACGTTTGAAGATGACAATTAGTACTTGATCTAGGCACCTAAAAAGTGTTACTCTCTATGTGTAACATAAAGGCCCATCGGTTACAAGACAGAGAGTCTCGTAAGAGCAAACCTCAAAAGAAGAGCCAAGTTCCTCAAAATCTATTCCTATGATTCTAAGTATTGTTTCCTAAGAAGAAAACATGCTTCTTGTCTTGACAATACCAGCATGAAGCGGTCTTGCTTCTCTCTCTCTCTCTCTCTCTGTGTGTGTGTGTGTGTGTATGGAAGAACCCGTTCAAGCATACAGAAGGTAACCGCTCGCCTTGCTCCTCAAACAGACCCCGCTCTCCTAAAACCATACGTTCCCTCCGAGTTCGAGGGTTTCTCTGATTTGACCGACATGGTGACGACCTATCAGACCTGCTGCCCAGACAGCAAGATCGTCCTCATGGGCTATGCGCAGAGCGCCCAGGTGACGGCCGACTTCCTCAGCGGAACGTCCGAGACCGGCTTCACTTCGACACCCGCATACGCGTCTTCTGTTGAGAATGTTCGTGAGTCGACCCCCCCCCCCCCCCACTCCCTTGGTTTCGTTTGTGTTGTTTTAGAGGCGCCTCCTGGCCCTTGACTGACAGGAGTACAATATAGTTGCCGCTGCCGTGCTCATGGGCGACCTTTCCTTCGTCAAAGGTGAATTCCTGGGACCGCGGAAACGCAAGCGACGTCAGTGTGAGTACCTCTCTGGTCTTTGACTCTTCCCGGCATGGCCCCAGTCCCTTTTTTAATGCTAATACCAGAGTAACCAGTATTTTCCCCGTCAGAATAATAGTGCCTGTTCCCTCGTTGTCTCGAACCTGATATTACTGCGACAGCGGTGACGAGTCTTGTAACAAAGGCGCATCGGAGGACGCTTTGCTCATTCACGAGGGCTACGTCACCGAGTATGGCGATGCTGTGACTAGTTATACCGTCAACAAGATCGGAGGATGTTCTGGCTCGGAGGCCAACTTGCTCTGAGTGGGCTAGGACAGCGGACTTCGGTCTGGTGGCAGGGCGGCTTGGGCTGATCTGACTTTTGAAGACTTATTTGCGGATCCACCACCGTACAAGATCGATGTAAGTCGAGAAAAAGGAGATGATATGATGGGGAAGGACCAAAAAAAAAACAAAAAAAAAAAAAGAAAAGAAAAAAAAAAACCGTTCAAGGGGGTGACGTTCACTTCAAAGATGCAGACGTCTCCTAGATGAGTCACACGTGGGACTGGTCTATGGACGGCCCGATTCGATTCTGATGTGTGTATAAATTCATATTTTCATTACTGAACGAACGCTCTCTCATTCATAGGTATTTCGAAGCAGTCATGGCTGCTTTGTACAAGCTGCTGCTCACAGGCTGGAGTACTTCTTGAATGCGCCGATGAGACCACCGGTGGATGCATCGTGGCCAGAGCCATCACTGGACTCATCCAGCTCCTTGAGGATCTTCTTGGCCAGGACCTTGCCCAGCTCAACACCCCACTGGTCAAAAGAGTTGATGTCCCAGACCGCGCCCTCAGTGAAGGTCAGGTGCTCGTAGTAGACAATCAGCGCACCCAGCTCAGCAGGGCCGATGTGTCCGCCGACCAGGATGCTGGTGGTGGGACGGTTACCCAAGAAGACTTTGTGAGGCACTAGGTTCTCGGGAGTGCCTTCAGCCTTGACCTGCTCAGCCGTCTTGCCGACCATCAGGGCCTCTGCCTGGGCCAGGTAGTTAGAGGCAAGCATCTTCTGGTGCAGGTTGTCGGAGATGGGGTTGTGTGACTTGGCTGCCAGAATAAAGTCTGTCGGGATCAACTTGGTACCCTGGTGGACGAGCTGGAAGAAGGAGTGCTGGGCATTGGTGCATGGCTCGCCGAAGAGGATGGGGCCGGTTGTGTACTTGGCAGGGGAGCCGTCCGAGGTGATGGTCTTGCCGTTGGACTCCATGGACAGTTGCTGCAGGTAGGCAGGGAAGCGGTGCAGGTATTGGTCAAAGCTGCATTTGTTGTTGTTCTGTCAGCACACCATATCAACACCAATTCCAAGGGTATGGCTTGACTTACGGAGCGACTAGGTGCGTCTGCGCGCTGTAGAAGTCGCTATACCACACGCTCAGCAGACCGCCAATGGCGGGGATGTTCTCCTTCAGCGCCGCGGTACGGAAGTGCTTGTCCATCTCGTGTGCGCCAGCCAGGAGCTTCTCAAAGTTCTCGTATCCGATGTACAGCGAGACGGACAGGCCAATGGCGCTCCAGACCGAGTAGCGGCCGCCGACCCAGCTCTCGAAACCGAACATGTTCTTGGAGTCGATGCCGAACTTTGTGACCTCGGGTTCGTTGGTGGAAAGGGCCACAAAGTGCTTCGCGATCTCTCCCTTGCCGCCGGTCTTCTCGAGGAACCATGTCTTAGCCGTGTTGGCGTTCGTAGTGGTCTCAGCTGTGGTGAAGGTCTTGGATGCGATGAGGAAGAGGGTGGTCTCCGGGTCGGAGTTGGCAAGGGCCTCTGCCATGTGGGTGCCGTCAATGTTGGAGACGAAGTGAAGGGTCGTGTCCTTGGCACCATAGTGCTTGAGTGCCTCAGTGACCATGACTGGGCCCCTAATTCATGGCTGTCAGTCCCTCCGCAGCCTGTGCAGAATTGTCACCCTACGACGGGTAGGGGAAACCATGGATAATGCGCTCACAAGTCAGAACCACCGATACCAACGTTGATGATGGTGGTCAACTTCTTGCCCGTGAAACCCTTCCATTCGCCGCTGCGGACCTGGGCGCTGAACTCCTTCATGTGCGCCAGCACCTCGTTCACGCCACCCTGGGTACCCATGACGTCGACACCATCAACCTTCATATCCCAGGGCTTACCCTCGAGTCCAACATTTCGCAGGGCAGCATGGTAGACAGCACGGTCCTCGGTGAAGTTGATCTTGTCACCAACGAACATGGCCTCGCGCTTCTTCTCGACACCAGCCTGCTCCGCCAGCTTGACGAGCAGGTCAAGAGTGTCATCGGTAAGGAAGTTCTTGGAGAAGTCAAAGAGAATCTCGGTGGGCTGGCCGGACGACGAGACAGATGCCGGCAGGGTGAAGGTCCGTGTGTACTTTTCGAAGCGTTTGGGGTCGGACGCGAAGGCTTCCTTGAGGACGAAGCTCTTGCCCACGGTGTCGCGGTGCTGCTGGAGCTCGCTCCAGGCAGGGAGGCTGCTGGCTTGAGGCATTGTTGGCTAGTGGTGAGTCTGGAGAGGCAATCGACTGATGGTTCTGTGTGGATTGATTGACAATGTCAGAGATGTGCAACGAGGGATAAAATAGATCGACAGCCGTCCTCAGGAATCGGGTGACTTTGAGGGATGAAGGGCAGCTGTGGTTGGGTGACTGGTCTAGGAGCTATCGAGTCGGCAGATAATAGGAAGGGCGGGCCGTCTTGGAAACATACCTTCAAGAAGGAGGGCCAGTGGCTTGACACAATTGACACAGAAGAGGAGTTGATTGTCCAATAAGTGAACTGTGATGTTAGGTGATCCGCTCTTATGTCTAGAGGAGAGGTTGTTGAAAATCCGCAGCATCCGTATCAGCGTAACCAACAAGTTGGAAGCGGGGTCCCCTCCCATTCCATGCCTTCCCACCACAGCAGAGCCAGCACCATGACAGCTGCCCCGCAGTGGTGTCACATAGCTCCCAGAAAAGAGGGGCACAACGTGCAAGAGCAGCTGCATCCTTGACAGCATTTTACTGTGCATTTTACTGTGTAGAGCACAGACGGACGCACTCACCCTATTCACTTTGATGTAGTGGTTTATGCATCAGATGTTCAAGTCGAGAATAATTGATGGAATAAGGCTCAACTTCAATCCACACCTCAGGTCGATAGAATGGAGGCCTTTCGAAGCTCAACAGATTGTGAAGGCCTATCAGGCAGAACCAGAGTAACACACCTCTCCTCAGTACTGTTTCATTAGACATCTGCGTCACCATGCAGCCAGTCAGAGCCTAGACATGCCCCACATGCCTCTGACAGATCATACTGCAATGCATAAGGTTTGCAAAGCATTGCATTCTTGCATTTTTACATGTTGGGTGTTTACAGATTCACTCAGAGGGCATTGTCACTCAAGCAACCACGGGTGGCCTATACCTGGACAAATGATTCTGAAATGCCGCCTTCCGTCATGTCATCATCTGAATTCCAGGCAAGGAGTGGCCTGATCCAGGAAGATCTGGATAAGGAGAGATGTGGTAGCGTGACCAGCAACTCTGGGGCGCCATTTTATAAATTTTGAAGATACCCGATGTGTATTGTTGTTTATCTGCCTACCGTCTCCTCTAAGGACTGCTTCACTGCAATGTCCATGGGTGATCAAGCATCTCCTCTACCAGACTTTTTCCTTCCCTGAATCTCTCCACTGTGCCAGACAACTTTCAGAAAGCTCGAAGTTTGCAGACCACCAAGATCTGCAAAATTGAGCATCCCTAGTAATGAAATGACAAATCACACCATCTGCAGATCTGTGCCAGTGGAAGAGTGTAAAAATCAGACCAAACTCCAGTATGTGAGGGTGTGGAAAGGGTGATGCTCAACCCAAGATGTGCAGCGGGAAACGGGACAACAAAGGAAGGAGGCTGTGATCAAAGCAGGCCCTTCTCCTCATTCCCCCGTAAAGGATTGATTGTGACATGAGGGCTTCCTCGACTCATCCCATCCAGTATATGCCCTGTCAATTGCAATATGACATCTGTGCCTGCATGCTGCTGTCATGCGCCCTCATAGTTGTACAAATGCAAAATCCATCATCCAAACCTGCTTTCTCTCGTGATTCCGAATCTTGGGGCATCTCTTCATCTCGCTCTTATCGGCCTGTGACACTGCCAATGAATGAAGGGTCCTTGACACTGCCACCACCGTCCGCGAGGCCGGCGATCGGGCGATTGTAGCTGAAGCCCTGGAACTGGTTCTGCATCGTCTCCGAAAGGGGAACACCTCCCACGTATGAATCCTGAGGCGCCTCCCGGGTGAACTCTGGATCGAAATTGTCCGTGTCCATGGCACCAGCCTGAGGAGATGATGTTTTAGTATACACATGGACTCCTGGGTCGCAACGGGATCGCGGGTGATTGTACTTACCACATTGGGCTTGAAGGTGGGCTCATACTTGCGTTGCAGCAACTTACGCCAGTCGATCGCATGGAAGAAGGGGTGTGCCTTGATCTCGGCCGAGCCGTTTGCACCCAGGCGTTGCGCCGGGTCGCGGTTCAGCAGCTTGGTCAAGAGATCCTTGGCCGCGGGCGGCACAATGTCGTGGCTAGGGAAGTGCAGTGGTTCGCCCAAAATCTTGCGGTACATCTCGTTTGTGTTCTCATCGTAGAAGGGGGGAAGCCCCGTCAACATTTCGTAGAGCAAGACACCCAGCGTCCACCAGTCCACGGTCTTGTTGTAACCCTGACCCATGAGGAGCTCGGGGGCTAGATACTCGGGAGTACCACAGAAGGTGTTGGTCCGATCCTCGTCCTTCATGTCCAGCTTGCAGAGGCCAAAGTCACACAGTGCGATGTGGCCCTGATAATCCAGCAGAATGTTCTCGGGCTTCAGGTCTCGGTAGATGACGTTGAACCCGTGCAGGCACTCGAGAGCGCACAACAGCTCTGCGGTGTAGAATCGGGACCGATTGACATCGAACCGCTGCTCCTTCTGTAGGTGATGGAACAGCTCGCCACCGTTGACGAAGGCCAGTACAAAATATAGCTTCTCGGGCGACTGGAAGGTGAACTTGAGGGGGACGATGAACGGATTGTTGATCTGCGCGAGGACGGATCGCTCGGCGAGGGTGTGGGTGACTTCGGATCGGGAGATGATGTGGGCCTTGCGAATCGTCTTGAGCGCGTAGATACGACTCGTATCTTTCTTGCGGACCTGGATGACCTTGCCGAAGCTGCCCTTGCCGACCACCGTGAGGAGGTCGAAATCGTCAATAGTGAGCTTGCCGGCCCTGTTCTCCACATACTCGATGCCGATCTTGAGCTCGCCCTGTCCATAACCGACGGGAACCCACTGAACGCCACTGTGGCCCAACGCCTTCTCCTTCTCGGCAAACTCGGTCGCTGCCTTCTCCCGATCCTTCTTGTTCGCCTTAGGATCCTCGACAAACTGGTGCTTCTCTTCGAAACGGGGCTTGATCTGGACAACGCCAAGGAAGATGTCGTTGGCGCGGCCGACGCTTGGGGGCGCTGTCGGATTTCGGATGTAGAGGTGGACAGTGACATCCGTCACTCGCGACACATCGAACTTGTACTGGGTATTGGAGCCAGCCCACAGTGGATTCTCGGGGTTGCCCTCAACAGAGTTGACAAAGACCTGCACCTTGTCGAAGTCAAGCAGGGCATAGGGCATATACTTGCCAGACACGCGTCCATGGTTGGTGGGCACATTGCCGAAGCCACCAGAGGTATTAGGCCTGTGGCCATTCGGGGCAGTTCGTACAGAGCCAGCGATGCTCGCCCCACCCCCTTGTGATGCAGAGGTGCTGTGACTACTGAAGATGTTCTTGTGCGGTTCGGGCAAGGCAAAACCCCTACCCTCGTGGAGAGTGACGACGAGGATGCCAGGCTTGGGGGCAAATTCAACAGGTGTCTGTGTCAGGGCTTCCGAAGAGGCTGGTCTGAGTCAGTACATGGAGCTGACCCTCAAGCACAGGATATTGTATATGTAGGATGATCGTACCAATGTTGTTGTCAGGAGGGGTTGGTGATGGGGCAGTGCCACTAGGGCCGCTCTGAGGTTGTGCCTTTGCATCCTTGTCGGTGATGGTCGATTGGGATGGCGAACGCCCGAAGCTGCTGAGGGGACTGCTGAGATGCGTCTTCTTCAACTCTGGAGAGGGTGAAAGCAAGGTTAGCAATACAGTCCTGTGCATGCGACAACTGGTAAAGCAGACACATGAGAAGAGCCAGTGACAAGTTGTCTGCTGAGGAGGGGTTGTGCTGCGCAGGAGGCAACCAGGTGTGCTGCTGCTGTGTGTTGCACCAAACTCCGACTTACTCTCGGTGATTTTCCACGAAGACATGGTGGATGAGAGTTATTCTGAAGAGCCTGGGAGAGGAAGTCCAGTGATGCGACAGCTGCTGTGGGAGGGGTGGTCGTGGGATATGCAGCTGGCGACACCAGTGAACGACCAGAAGCAGGAAAGGGGGGGAAGGCGGCGATAGGAGATGGATGGGCAAAGATAAGCACAGATGAGCTGAGGTCGTCACCAGAAAGTGATGTCAATGCCCACGGAATTGAGGGATGGTAGAATGGATGGCCTTGTTCTCCTGGGAATAAAAACCTTGGCAGGCTTGACTGATTTGCTGAGAGAAAAGGAAAGAATGCTGAGAAAAGCAAGGACGTTACGCGTCGATGGGAGAGTTGGAGTTGGAGAAGGTGGTGATGGTCTGGTGAAAGGGTCGGGATGGCTGATGGCTGGTGGCTGTACAGCAGTGGCACAAGACAAGGACCCCAGCAGGCTGCGGTGAGGTGAGGTCAGGTCCTTGTGTCAGGCTGCCTTGGTGGTCTCTGCTTGGTAAGACGGATCAGCACTTGGCCACTGGCCAGCTGCCAGGGGCGAAGGAGGCACGGGAGGGCACCGCCAGTGAACCAGGCCACCCAAACCGGAAATCTGGTCCAGGCCCAGGCTCCAAAAGGTCAAGATGTGGGGTCTACGCTGCAACGGCTCCAGCAGGGAGGCTCCAGTGAGGAGGCCCCAGCTGCTTAGTGCCACAGCGGGGCTGAAAAGGAGAGCCCCTGGAAAGTGTTACCGTGCTTGCTATAGTAGTAGTAACCACTGGACCACACTTGATGAATTATGATAGTTGACTCCCTTTGAAGCTTAACACCAATTTTAAAAGAAGTCTGTTTACTGTAGTATTCCTCTCGCTCTCCTCAATCCACTAGGTATTGGTGTCACTTTCTTTTTCCCCACCCGTCTGTCTCTCTTCAAGAAGCTCCAGATCCGAAGGGTCACTCACTGCCCAGGTGCCGCAATGCCCGTTCACAACGTGCGACCAGCGCCCCAATTGGAGACGGACTGTACACACAAATACAGCGAGTGAGCAAACGATCTCTAAAATTAGACTGAGTTGATCCAAATGGGGTCCGGGGGACAGGTCTACTGTCCATAGACAGGGGAGAATAGGAGATTTGATAAAGGGGCCGGCCGGAGGCGCACACGGCTTGCAAATTGCAGAGGACCTCGACCTGGAGACGAGGGTAGGTAGTGGTTGGGTACTGTTTCCAACCCTCGGAAAAGAGAGAGAGAAAGCCCTTGCCCGCTGGAGATCTCCCTGAATGTCCTGCGCCTCCCCTTCTTTCCCTTGGTCCTTCACAACGCCGTCGCACCCGATTGGCACCGCTAACCCACACTATGTACATATGCATGCAATTGTCATGTGTGGAGCTGCATCATTCTGATGATTTGCGACCTGCGTGAGTGGGGCTCGATGCCTTGGGCTCTTTGCATGGGAATGTATTTCGATCCTCACTTAAGGCAGCAAAAGCGGGTAGGGCTGATACTTGGGTCAAATTATATCAACAACACCTAATGTTTTCTAGATTTTTCCTTCTTTTTTTCCCTCTCCCTTTCCTATTTTCTTCCCGATCTAGACAAATGCCCCGCCGTTCGTATGGAGAACCTGTCCAGCGACCCAGTTACTGTCCTGGCCACACAAGAACGCGACCGCATTGGCGATATCTCCAGGTTGACCAAGCCGATTGAAGGGACTGCTTTTCTTGATGCCCTCCACCAGCGCCTCGCTCTTCCCGTTCATGAACAGTTCTGTCTCCGTGGGCCCAGGTGCGATGGCATTCACGTTGATCCCCTTGCTAGCCAGGTCTTTGGCCATGGTGCGGGTCATTTGGTCAATGGCGCCTTTTGTGGCGGCGTAGAGGGTGTACGGCGGCATCACGGTCGTCGCCCTGTTGATGCCAGTACTGACGAAAATGATCCGACCGCCAGGTCCCATATGAGGAACAGCTTTCTATATGTGCGAGTCAGCAGCGGCCCTCATTCTGTGAACGGATAGCCAAGGAATTGGCAATGTTATGTCACAATACGAACCTGAGCTAGAAAGTAAGGACCCTTGACGTTCAGCGCGAACATCCTGTCAAAGTCGGCCTCCGAGGCGGACGCAACGGTCTTCATCCACATGATGCCGGCATTGGGAACCACAACGTCGACCTTGCCAAACTTGTCGACGGTGGCTTTCACGAGCTTGTCAACCCCGTCCACGGACCCGACGTCGGCCTGCACAGAGTAGGCCTTGTCTGCACCTATCTCCTTTACCGTCTGCTCTGCTGCGGGTGCATCGCTGGAGAAGTTGATCACAACAAAGGCCCCATCGCTAGCCAGCCGTTGAGCAATGGCCTTGCCGATTCCCTTGCTGCCACCTGTGATGATGGCGACCTTGCCTGAGAGAGACATGATGATAGAACCTTTTTCTAGGAGGGTGATAGGTAAGTGAAAGTAATGTAAGATGCCAATACAGCCTCGTTTGTTAATGTAATAGATTTTGTCGTAGCTGAGGAATATGACTACACAATCTTGCTCATTCAGCATTTTTGTCTGCACGACTGACGATTCATATTTATACTTATTCATGTTATTGTCTAGAGTAAATGTCTGAGCAATCTCCGCTTCTCACACTGATTGTCTGGCCACAGTTGTGGATATATAATCAGGTCCTTCGGATATGGACATCTGTGTTAAACAGGATACATCCGTGTCACGCAAGCAATGAACGTGCCGTTGCGGAAACTCGAGTCACTGGCAGTATGTCCCGGCCGGAGCGCCTGGTTCAGGACCAGCCGAGGTGTCGGATTTGGAGTGGAAGGTGATGCTAAAATCCGATAGTGGGCAATCCTGACAAATTCCAGCAGGGCCGGCCCTTGTAGATCAAGGACCTTCCGCTTAAACTTCTGACTAAGCCCATCAACAGCCAACACTTTGACTGAACAAGCCTGTGCTATAGTGAGTACTTCCAGTGTGCCGTGGTTCCTACACGCCAGTAACACCCCCTTTGTAGTGTTTGATCTGAAGCTTTCTATGACGAACGATGTATCCCCTACAAGTCCCTCTCAAATTCTCGTAGTTAGGTTTTACAACTTCAAAGATATCTGCTATCCATCCTGGAAAACTCAGATCCACGCTCATGTAGGCTCGAGCCCTGCTCAATTCTGGCTTGCTGCACCCGGGCGAGAAGTACTCTTCTTATCTGACCCAGGGTCTGAATCCCTTTCACCCTCCAACAACAATGTCTCTGGACAGCCTGTCTTCTTTGGCACGTGGCACAGCTGTTCTCAACACAATCTTCCCATAATGCCACAGAAATCTCCAAGTATGCTGCTGCATGAAAAGTTTAGCAATCCCTTCTCCGTCACTCCTCACCACCAACTTAGTCAATGGTAATACCTCCAGGGCGGGCGAGTCACAGTCATCCATCGATACCACAAACCACTTCTATGGCATCCAATGGGAAGGTCAACGGGCTGGCGTCCTCAGGAGCAGTCCAGTCCATACCGGACACTTCAGACACCACCACAGCAAAACCGAGATCCGCCGACATCATAGCAGCAGGGACTAATGCTGACTTACTCGCCACTCCTGCTGCTGTACCAGGGTCTATGGACATCGAGGACGATGCTCTTGCAAATGCTGCTGTGGTCGCTGGTGGTGAAGCTCCACGGGTGTATCTGACAGGATGGAGGCTCTATCTCCTAACATTCGCGTCCGTGAGCCTCTGTTGCCGTCTGTTCCCTGTTGTGTACCACTTATACTCATATCTGTCCAGTCTGTGCCTGTCTCTGCTTCTCTCGGGTCTAGAGACTACGATCGTCAGCACCTCTCTTGTCTCCATAACAAATGCCTTGGGCGGATTTGATCAGCGAGACTGGGTCGTCGTCTCGTACCTGCTGACCTATACCGGCTTCCTTGTCATCTACGCCAAGTTCAGTGACATCCTCGGGAGGAAGCTCATGCTGCTGATCGGCCTGGGCTTCTTTACTATCTTTTCCATCGTATGCGGCTCTGTCTCGAATATGCTCGAGCTGTGCGTAGTTTGCCTGCCCAAATAGATATCGGTTTTGACTGCTCCGACATGCTGACCAAGTACAGGATCATCTTTCGTGCCTTTCAGGGCATCGGTGGTGCTGGAATATACGCCATGGTAACAGTAATCAACCCGGAGATGGTACCCAAAGAGAAATGGGGCACATATGTCTCTCTCGTCTCTCTAGTGCAGGTCTTCTCCTCTGTACTTGGCCCCATCCTCGGCGGGGTGATCAACGACGGCTCGTCCTGGCGCTGGGTTTTCCTACTCAAGTCCGTTCCCTCCAACACCCACACACCTGTACACCTTTTGCTGACTTTTTTTTCTTTCTCTGCCCATCCAAAGTGCACCAGCAGGTGCTATAGCAACAGCCCTCGTGGCATTCATCATGCCCACGCACTTCCCTCATCAGGGAACCCCAGCAGCAGCCGTCCGCCTCCGTCACAAGTTCACCCGTGCCTCCCTCGCGCGCCTCGACCTCCTAGGCGCGTTCCTCCTCCTCGCCGCCTCGATCCTCATCGCCTTCGGCTTCGAGGAGGCCGGCACGCGCTACGCCTGGTCCAGCGCCCCAATCATCGCCTCCATCGTCGTCGGTGTCATGTCCCTACTCGCCTTCGTCGGGTGGGAGGCGCATGTCGGACGCGACCACGTCGTGTCTGAGCCCGTGTTCCCGCTGCACCTCATGAAGAACCGTCTCTTCATCGGGCTGGTCCTTGCAGGCCTGTTCACCGGCCCACCATTCATGACGGTGCTGATCAATTTGCCGCAGCGGTACCAGGCCGTGAATGGCGTCAGCGCATTCGAGGCGGGCATCCGCCTTCTGCCGCTCCTGCTTTTGTCGCCTGTCGCGACCGCTGTGAGCGGGGTTTTGGTAAGCAAGATGTTCCTGCCGCCGTTCTACCTCGTGGTGACGGGCGCGGCACTACAGCTTCTCGGCGTGGGCCTTGCGAGCTCCGGGCTGGGGGGTGACGTGGCGCTTTACGGGTATGAGGCGATTATGGGGTTCAGTTTCGGCATGACGCTGGTGACGCTGGTCATCTTTGTGCCGCTGGTCGTGAGCAGGGAGAATATGGCTGTCGGGATGGCGGCTGTCACGCAGATCCGTGTGCTTGGTGGGACGATTGGGCTGGCGATCAGGTAAGTCCTCAAGAGCTTTGTTGTAATGATTTTGGAAGACACTCGTTCGTCCAATGCTTTTTTATTTATTTATTTCTAACTCGTTCAACAGTGCCACGGTGCTGAATAACTACACCTCACCACGGCTCGCTCTCATCCTCGATGCGGAACAATTAGCACAGGTCTCTAATTCTGTGGCGTATATCAACCAGCTCCCCGAGTCGACGCGTCAGGCAGTCCGGCAGGTATACGATGAGGGCTACCAGGAGCAGTTCTCGGTCATGCTTTGTTTCTGTGCTGTGACTTTCCTCTGTGCGTTGCTTACATGGGAGAGGAAACCGAGATCTGCTAGGGACGTTGTCGGATATGACTGAATATTCGTCGTATGGGTCTCCACTTTCATACCCCAGTGGATAAAGTAAATGTATGGTCGTATATATAAAGAAAATAATGGAAAGAAAGAGAGAGAGAGAGAGAGAGAAAGAAGAAATACATAATTCAAATTGAAAAGCCTCTCTCTGATGGCTTGCCTGTGGAATGCGTCTCAGGAGCTGTTATCTATTTCCCGGCCATTCCCAGGATCAAGCCCCACGTTGCATGGCAAGGTATCGCGGGGAAGCGACCCCGTCCATCAGTTCCCAAGTCCAGAACCTCTACACCTTCACCCTCCTCAATCCTTGAACTACAAAAAGAGTGGTGAGCAACATGGAGAAGCACACAAGGACAACGACCAAGAGCCGACATCGACATGGCCCCTGGCCTCACCACATCCTTGGCCTGGCCGGCGCAATGTTCACGGTGTGTCTGCTCGCCTTGCTCACTATCCCAGAGAGTCTCCTCCCTCCAGTGCTACAGTATTCCAGCCCATCAGCAGTCGAAAGAGTGCAGAATTGCGCCATAAAGAATCTCCACCAAGACCTGTCCTTTCTCGACGCTGCCAGGCCCATCACGGCACCCGAGTTCATTGAGCGCCGCGATCGTCTAGCACAGGCCCTCGCAGCTTCAGGCGTGGATGCATTTGTACTCGAGCCAGGCTACACCTTTCAGTAAGCATGAGCTCACGGGGGAAAGAAAAAAATTCCTCCGCCGCATTCAAATGAAGCCTTAGGAATGGAAAGCTAACTACTCCCCCCTTCAAAAGATACTACGGCAATATTTCACAAACTGACTGGGAGCCGTGGGAGCCAGAAGAGCGCCCATTTTTGATGATCGTCACGCCCAGCACACCAAGCAATGCCACGACAGACGCCATCAAGGCCAAAACAGCCTTCCTCTCACCACACTTTGAAGAAGGTCGCGTGCGCATGCTCGGAATCCCCAGCCGCGACCCCGAGCTGGACATTGTGGTCTGGGAGGAACACTGGAACCCCTACACCACGCTCCTCGAGTCGCCCCTGTTCCAAGACCTAGGCCACCAGCCCACGCTCATGATGGACGAGGAAATGCGCGACTACATCGTCAGAGGGCTCGAGGGTGCCGGATTCAAGACGGTAGGGCTCAGCCCGGCGGTGGAGCTCGTACGTCAGCAGAAGAGCCCTGCAGAGGTAGAGCTGCTGCGCGCCGTGAACACGGGCACTGTCGAGGCCGTGCGGGCAATGCGGCCCTGCCTCGTCCCAGGGCTGACGGAGAACGAGTTGACGGACATCTTGAACAGTGCGCTGCTGTCGGTCGGCTTCGGCCTGTTCTTCAACATTGTGTTGTTTGAGGAACACGGCGCGCTGCCTCACGGCGGGTTCGTGACCGGGTGGAAGAAGCTGACGCATGAGAGCATGGTCGTGATCGATGTAGGTGCGCACTACCTGGGCTACTCCTCGGATATCTGTCGGAGTTTCTTCATTGATCCGCCTGAGCATCGGCATGCGTGCCAAGGTGGAGGAGACATCCTGTTGATGCTGAAGGGCCTGCTCGGCTTTGGGACAGACCTGGGAGGTGCTGGATGGACACCATCGGACCCAGCTCTACATGCTGAGAAGCTGCGCGTGTGGGATATCGTCCTGGATGCCCAGACCGCAGCAGCGCATGCCTTCATGCCCAACGCTACAGCTGCCAGTGTCGACATTGCAGCGAGGACGGTCATCGAGGATGCTGGCTATGGAGATGGATTCACGCACCGACTAGGACATGGTATAGGAATCAAAGGTCAGACTTTTTTCTTTCGTATTTTCTCTTCGGCTACACACATCTTTCTATGATGATCAGTACTGATATGAACATAGCCCATGAGTCTCCGTACCTCAACAAGTGGAACTCTGATGTCCGTCTCCAGGCTGGTATGACATTCACCAACGAGCCTGGGATCTATCTCGAGAACCGCTTTGGTGTTCGCCACGAGGACATCTATCTCGTGAGGAAGGACGGAGAAGCAGAACTTCTCTCTGGGAGAAGAGCAAAGGGTCCCTATAATCCGTGATTCCTCTAGCTCTCACAACTCATAGCCTCAGCAACTTCAACACCGCCATAATCCCCCATCCCACCGAGAGCACATCCAGAAAGCCAATGACGTCCATGCTTTGGGAGATGGCAGCATTGTACTGGTCCAGCATCGGCATCTTGGCCTTCGTCGCCCAGAAATCCTGCATGTACTTGGCCGACCCAAAGCGGAGGACAACACCCAGCAGGGCCGGCCAGAGGGTCCGCCAGGGAGCAGCCAGCACACCGCTGCCGCCTGGGACAAAGATACAGTACGCCACCGCCGTGGAGAGGGACACCAGACACTTCAATTTTCTCCCCAAAGGGGTTTCGTTAGCATCTCTTACGTCTACTCTCCATTCACATAGGATAAAAATCAACTACTCACAGAGACGAAACCAGTTCCAATGGTGTACCGCGTGTCCCAGAGTCGCTTCTCAGCAGTACCGCTCCACTCCGCCGCCTTCTCTGCCTTTTCTTCGTACTTTTTGATGTTTGCGATCGAGGTGAGGGACTGAGTCAGGGCGTAGCCGCTGACGAGGCTCAATATGACGGCCACGAAGCCCGTGGGAAAGAAGATGGCACCGCCCATAGTTGATGGCCTCGAGCAAGAGATGGCCTTTTCCGGTTAAGGTAAGTAGAGAGTGATGAGGATTAGTGCACACGAGCGCGGCGCTGAGTGAGGAAGAAGAGGCGAAAGGCTTGGGTGTCAAGACAATATTATGGGGTGGATATGATCATCAAGATGCTACCATTTTTGTAGGTAAACGAACTTTCCAAGGTGTGGTTGTAGCGCAGAGACTGCTTTTGGTAGAAATCGAAATGTGGTAATGAAGCTGGGCTACCGTTTCTGAGTGATGTTTACTGTCCGGGGTCTTGCCCTAGCACGGTGACGTCACCTGTTCTCCCACATCCTTATTGGGAAGCCATGAGACAAGTTGTCGCAGAGCAGAGGAAGGGAGCGTACCAGGAAAGGAGCGGAAAACAAATTTGGAAACTGGAAGCGGTTTCTATTCCTTGATCAAATTATCTATTCCCAAATGTCAAGATGCGGACGGCATAGAGACAGAGCCTCTCTTCAGGATGTGGACCATACGCTCCCGAAATATACCCATCCCAAGGTTCAAGGACACTTCAAAATACATGTGAAAATTATCATGTCAAGTGCAGTGAATAAAGATTTATCGTGGATTCATGACCTTTCTTTCCTCCCAACAAAACAAGCAAACTGTACTTGATTAGGGTCCATTCTTTGCACGAAGGTTCAGAAGACTCCCATTTTCTATAGTTTTGTTGACTGAATTCGCTGGTAATTATTGCTATCCCTTGCCCATATTCAAAGCAGCGCCACATGCACCACTCCTCGTCAATATCAGGATGTATTGTCTTTAGCAGACCATAACTCTGACTTAAACGGCTAGTAGCACCTCAATGCTCGTACCATGATTCCCATCTCCCACCTGGCATATCCTCTTGACTTAGACCCAGCATGTTCTCGCACATGTTCCTGATAGCCTCCACGTCCGGCTGTTCAATGGGTGGTGGTGGTGGTGGCGGCGGCGGTTTTCTCTTCCGTTCCTCCTCTCTCAGTTGGTCTCGCGTCCTCCAATTATGACCGTGCTCGTCGATCCCATTCAAGGTATCAGGGGACCGTAGTGGGTTATCGACCCGCTCCATGGCCGGAAGCCCCCCCAGAAGCGACTCGCGAACGTTCAAGTCCCACTGCGTCAAAAGCTTGTCCCATTCCTGGCACGATAGAGGCTGCACCGTGTCGGTAGACGGAGTTGGGTTGGTAAGCTGGATGAAACCGCAGCCGGCCCGTCGAGCGATCTCGAAACGCAGCGCGGTGGAAAGCCATCCTTGAATGTTTGCATGCAGACCTGGAACTCTCTTCCCCTGCAGTCGCTCTATCCGCTGCTCGAGAAAGTCCGGGACGTATGGCCAAGGGAAAAACTCGAGTGTGCGAATCCGAGAGAGACTCGTCCGGCTCAACATGATGGGTCCCATGCTGCCCTCTAGGGTACACTCAGAATCATGCCATGGAGCTTTGAGAATGACTGTGTGTACTCTTGCGCCGGCTAGTTGCAATAATCGCAGTACGTCCATTGCCCGTCGGGGGCCCGCAACCTCGGTACTCAGGTTTGAGCCAGGAGGCGAGGAAGTGAGAACCTCGTCTTTCCTTCGAAGATCCCAAGAGACAGTCAATATCTCAATCGTCTGCAGGTACTTTTGGTTGATGCGCATAAGTTGACTCTCCGCACATGATGACGGGGATAGTTGGATCTCAACGTGGTGGTACAGCAGAGGAATCACCTCTTGTTCCATCTTCCTACAGGCCAGTAGGATGCCCATGCAGTTGGGATTGGCAACGATCCAACCATGATTGTACTCGCCTGCGAAGAAGAGCCGTGAACATGTGGGATCATCATTCATCACCCATGGTGTATTATCCACACGCAAGGCAAATCCGTAGATTCTTGTTCGTGTCTCTGGGGGGAGTTTCTTGAAAAATGGAGAGCCTGTTTGAGGCCTTGCAGCGCTAGATACAGTATCATCGGTAGTCGTGGCATTGGCGGCCATGGTACTGTTGATTCGTAATGAGTGTTGATTGTGATTGTTGTACTATGGGCCCCAGCAGATGGCAAAGATGGACGTCAGGAGCACAAGAGTAATTGTATGTGAGGAGCTGGCGTTGTAGATGCACAAGCGCGGGACTTTGTGCTGTTTGTGCCATGATTCATGATATATCAGGAACAATCTTGGAAAATCCAGTGAAGAAGGAAGGCTCTGCCAGTCAAGGACTCTAGGTCGCTTTCACTCGATAGGGCATGTGGATAAACGTGCCTGCTGGCTTTGAAGCCATCATTGTAAATTTACGGGTGTCAGATCGTCCTCAGTAATCAGAGCTTTGGCCTTTAAGGTCCGACTTGCGATGTCACAAATGTAACCTGTCTTCTTCCGCCTGAGACGGCACCTTTTGAAGGCTGCTAATCACTGTTCATCATCGGTTACGATGAGTGGAGCTAGTTGATAGGTGCAATGAGGATTGTTTTGATGGAAGGTGCTAGCATGATGGCCACTGTGGTTCAGATCGTACTGATTCTCGCTCAGCTCCAGTCCTGCATGGTAAAGGCAGTGAATATCCAAGGCTTCAAGACCTTTGTCGGCTCTCCGGCTGAGTCATCAATCCAGTTTACCTTGTATGGCTGAAGAATAACATCTCGACGGTGTTCCCCACGGCGACGGCTAGCTTTCAATTCTGCAATATCCAATGCTCAGTATGCGGCAAATCAAACAGAGCAGTGATACTATGTCTTATTTGGAAATATAGCACAGGGACAGAATTATGTAGAAGCACCAAGAAAAATCAAACGCGTAGCCATGTTCTGAAGCATTTGAGAGGGGTTCGTTTACGTATCACGAACAACGGGAAAGAAGGGTAAAGGCAAATAGTCAAGCCTTGGGGGAGGGGGCTAGGGAGGTGCTGCCGGGGAAGAAGGGGGGAGAAAACCCAATGCGTCTTTTTTTTTAGAGTACTTGAAGACACAGGAATGATTCTTTTTCTCACAAAAATATCTAATGTCACGATCATGGACCGGCACTTGGCCAGTGTCTGCCTCGCGTTATACTGCTTTATCCGTACTAGGTTAAGCTTTGACAATGTGGAGCTATTCAGCTGACCATTGTGGGGAAACCGTGAACGTTACTTCGCAGCTTCTCCACCCAGTTTTGACATCATGGCGAGCGATGCAGGCGCGATCTGGTCATCAATGTAAGATGAGGGGTCGTACATCGCGAAAAAAGGCGGGCGGCGGGCGAGGTATCCGGCACTCGGTCAAAAGGCTTGATTGAGGGTATTCCCTATCTCCCCAGATAATAATCCTCGATGCTCAATCCTGGCTATGTATGTTCATCCTCGACTTAGCACATCTCTTATTACTGCTACCTAGGTAAGGCCTCGACGTTCTTCAAACTCACCACAACGACACGTTTCAAAGCTTCAGCTGCTTCCCGATCTGGGCAAGTCGCCGATAAAACCATGATCATCAAACCAAACCTCCAGGTGTCCTTGTTGGGCCTTGCACAATTCTCATGCATTTACGAGGTTGCGGCCAGTAACATCGTCGATTTGTCCTACCAAGAATGGAAGGTGTCAAATAATCCCTACAATATCTCCCTTCCCGGGAAGGTCCCATCCCATGTTCATCTGGATCTGTATGCCGGGCAAGTGATTGGAGACCCATACTATGGGCTCAATGACTTCAACCTGCGTTGGGTAGCATGGGCCGACTGGAATTATACCACCAACCTCACAGGCCTTGTACGCGACGGCAGCGCAGATCTCACGACGTACCTCCTCTTCAATGGCCTCGACACCATTGCAAACGTCTGGTTCTGTGGCCAGTTTATTGCTAGCACAGACAACCAATTCAGACAATACTTCTTCGATGTCTCCACGGCCCTCGCCTCGTGCACTACAGACAGCAGTCCTGAGTTGCTAGTCCAATTCTTCAGTGCGCCTGGCACAGCTTACGACCTCGCCGCACAGCCTGGTGCCGAGACTTGGCCATGGCTCGTGGAGGGCCGGTTCGAGTTCCTGCACAGGCCCTTCATTCGCAAGGAGCAGTCCGACTTCGGCTGGGACTGGGGGCCTGCCTTCGCACCGTCTGGCATCTGGCAGAAAGCCTGGGTTCTGCAGCTGCAACCCGACGAGCTAGCCGTGCGAAACTCCATATATGACATTTACCGCGTGGGCCAGCTTCCAAATCTGCCTCCTGCCCAGACTGCCGACTGGATACTCAATGCAAGCGTGGATGTTTTGAACACAGTCCCGGATGGTGCAACGATGAGGTATGCTGTCATTAATCCAGGCACCAATCAGACCGTGAGTAGCGGAGACCTGGTCGACATCCAGAATGCGGGCGATGTCATCACCGGTACGGCAGTGCTTGGTGGACAAGATTATAAGCTGTGGTGGCCATCTGGGCTGGGCGAGCAGAACCTATACAACATCACCGTAGACATTGTCTCAGCATCGGGTGCAGTACTAGCTTCAGTGAACAAGCGGACCGGGTTCAGAACAATTGTGCTGAACGAGGGCGTGATTACCGACGAACAGCTTGCTCAGGGCATCGCTCCGGGTAACAACTGTAGGTCATTTTTTTTTTTTTTGTTCTTTTTTTTGGTGCTCTTGTTCAAGTCCCGGAGGTCTTGGTTGAAGTCCTCGAAACATTCTGACAAGGAATCAGGGCATTTCGAGATCAATGGTCACGAATTCTACGCCAAAGGCTCCAATTTCATCCCGCCAGATGCTTTTTGGCCACGCGTTACACAAGAGAGGATTGAACACCTGTTTTCTTCAGTTATCGCCGGAAATCAGAACATGCTGCGGGTTTGGGCGAGCGGGGCATACTCGCCCGACTTCATGTACGACCTTGCAGATGAAATGGGCATTCTACTATGGAGCGAGTTCGAGTATGGGGACGCTCTATATCCAGTCAACACGGACTTCTTAGAGAATTCGAGACAGGAGGCCAACTATCAAGTCCGACGCATCAATCACCATCCTTCCTTGGCGCTCTGGGCTGGGGGAAACGAGCTGGAGAACCTGGAGCTGGCACTTGTCCTCCTCGAGGCACCAGACGAGTATGACCGGTATCTACACGAGTACGAGACCCTCTTCATCAACACGCTACTCCCAGCCGTCTACGGGAATTCCCACAGCATCACCTACATCCCGTCAAGTACTACCAATGGCTATCTTACTCTGAACTTCAGCAACCCGATACCAATCGTGCAGCGCTATAACAATGTCACAGTAGGCAGTATCTACGGCGATACCGACCACTACAACTACAATGCCTCCCAAGCCTTCGATGTCACCACCTACCCTCAGGGCCGCTTCGCCAACGAGTTTGGCTTTCATAGCATGCCGAGCATTGACACCTGGCGTCCTGTATTGCCCGAAGACCAGCTCTTCTTCAACTCGTCCACGATCCTGTTGCGCAATCACCACTACCCGGCAGGCGGCCTCTTCACCGACAATTACGCCAATTCGACTAAAGGCATGGGTGAGATGACAATCGCAGCGCAAATGTACTACCCGACCCCCAATAAGGCAGATCCTATTGCCAACTTTAGCAGCTGGATCCACACGACCCAGGTATTTCAGGCAGATTTCTACAAAGCTCAGATTGAATTTTACAGGGCTGGCTCAGGACGGCCCGAGAGACAGCTGGGCAGCCTGTACTGGCAACTCGAGGACATCTGGCAAGCGCCGACATGGGCGGGCATCGAGTACGACGGGAGGTGGAAGGTCTTGCATTATGTGGCGAAAGACATCTTTCAGGAGGTAGTCGTCGCGCCGGTGTGGAACGTGAGCTCTGGCCTCCTCAACGTGTATGCTGTGAGCGATCTTTGGACGGAAGTCACCGGGACCATCAGCATGGCTTGGCTGGACTGGTCGGGAAACGATCTTGCGCTATCGACGGGTTCTGGGACCTCCGAATCGAGGACAGCAGACTTCACGATTGGGCCTCTGAACAGCACACTACTGGCGACTATCGACATCAACACAGTCTTTGCAAACAGTTCTGTCAAGACCACCGACGCGGTATTCGTAGCCAATTTAACGACTACTGGCACGCCGATCAACACGAACGCGACAAAGACATTTACACATGAGAATTACTGGACACCCGCTCCCCTTGCTAGCGCGTCTTTGGAAGATCCTGGCCTGAGTGTACACTACGACGACGTGCAGAAACAATTCACCATCACTGCCCAGGCGGGCAACAGCATCTGGACCTGGCTTGCCCTGAATCCCGATGACTCACCAAAAACCATCGTTGCGTTTGATGCAAATGGCTTCTTCTTGCGTAAGGGTGAGTCGAAATCAGTGGGCTATACAGTTATTGGCAAGAGGGAGTCTTCCGGGTGGCAGAGCCGGGTGACAGTGGAGAGCGTTTGGAACAATACCCTTCCATCCTAGATGCACCCGATTACAGCATCGATTGCGAGCATACGTCTTTTGAGGAAATGTTTTGGTTTTTTCCCTCTCTCTCTCTCCTCTCGGCTATAAAGAGATACAATATGCCGAGCTCAAATCATTCATGAGATGGATACACAGCGATTTTGGGGTCAAATTATGCCTGTGCCCTGCAAACCCTGCTCGCCTTGCTAATGGGTTCCTGTTGGCAATATACGTACTCAGGCGGTTGGACGCTCCCACCTCAGGTTCTGAGCCTTATAATATGGGACATTCTCGAATCCTTTCATAACGCAGCCAGTGTTATATGCGGGTTTCACTGGCTAGAAATCAGTTATCATAAAATCTATTACTTATTTCCTTGTTTTATGCAGTCAGTGCGTTTCGCAAAACCGTTGCCCGAGGCACGCAGGTACTATTCGTTCGCAGTATAAAACAGTTTACATACGTAGTACTAATGACTTATGTACTGTAGTATGTAGCAATTCCAGTTCGCCGGCAAGCCCCACACATGCCGGGCAATGTGGAGTTGCTGTATCTCCATTCCTCTCTTCTGCTTTTCTTTCGCAGAATTACCACCCCTAGGCAAATACTTCCTCGGACTTTCGGACTTGGTTATGCTGGTTGGACGACGAGTGTACGTACTGATTTTCTCGCTCAAGAGGTTGGCGGTATTGCAGTCGAACAACTGAGGTCCTACCGTCAAGTCAGCAGACTGGGTATCAGAGTAGACAGGAAAAGAGAGAGGAGGGGCTCGGAATATACCACCACGTACATACCATAGTATGTACTGTGTATGGTATGTACTGTGTAGTCTGCAAGTAATGGGGTTTGACGGCTCGACCCACCGACCGTTGGTTCTAATCATCCAAAAAAGGGCAGATTACGAGATCCGATGATCATCATGGTGTTGGACAAGGGCCCCCCCGGGGATCGGTATCAGACGAACTTGTGGGTCAACCTGCATGGATCGAAGTTGGATATATCTGGTCATGATTTGATGAGACACAAAATTCATGGAACGGCAATCCGTGCTACTTGTTTTTTTCCCCCGCCTTCTTTTCTTCTCTCTTCTATTCGAGACAGTCTAGATTTGCGAGATGTTCGGAGACACGAGGACTGTGATATTGTTTACCAGCGGCACGCTGAGATCAGTTAGGTCTTCCTAGCCCAACAAAGGTCCAAACGGGGTGCGAGTTTGTAGACATCAAGATGAACACACCGTCTCCTTCAAGTAAACATGCTCGAGGCGTTGAACAGCCGCTAGACTCTCGACTGCCGGCCCTAGTATGAGTGTTTTCTTTTAGCACGTAGTGATAGATAGTACTATAAAAGTACAAAGCACAACGCCCTCAGGTTTGCGGCGTGCCTCCGTTCCGATCGCTCGGCTCCGTTGTGCGCGGCCCCTTACATGTGTGGAGAGGAACTACTATAGTACAAAGGTGTGGAGGTGTGGAAAGCCACCCGAGAGTCTCCCCCCTCGCAGACCTGGGGTGTCCTCCACTGATAAGCAAGCATTGTCTGCCGGTTCCCTGCAGTAAGGCGAGCTTGGCATTAGTTATACTGTGGTACTACGTAGTACTCTTGGCCAAGATGAGGGAACAAATGTTCTAGAGACAAGAATGGATTTGGTAACATGTACTGAGCCAGGCCCTAGCGACCCTAGAAATGTGGTGGTATTAGGACGCTAGCTGTGAAAGCAAGGAGGAGATGATCTGCAAGGCATATAATTGGGCGTGTTGTCGTATGGTTTAAATACTTACTGCTTTTCCGTCCTCACCCCTTCTCATCAGCTCATCTGGCAGCCTCTCCTCTCTCCTCCCTCTTCCCCTCACCCTCACACGCCTGCCTAGGCATCCTCTTGTCTAGCAGCCTCCTCCTCCACCAACCTCCGCCATGGCCATCCTTCGTGCTACCGCAGGAGCCCAGCTTCTTCTGCTGGGCCTATCCCAGCTCGTCTCTGCCGTGCCGACAGCCTTCTTCGATGCCAACTCGACCGACATCCCAAAGCTTGGTGCTGTGGCGTCCGAGAGCTCCGTCTGCAGCAAGATCGGCATCGAGCTGCTGGAGCAGGGTGGCAACGCCATCGATGCTCTCGTGGGCACCACTTTCTGCGTCGGCGTCATTGGCATGTACCACTCCGGTATTGGAGGCGGTGGTTTTATGCTGGTTCGCGGGACCAATGGGTCGTATGAGTTCATCGATTTCCGTGAGACGGCCGCCGCATCCTATTATCAGGACATGTATGTCAATGACACGGATCTTAGTCTGTATGGAGGGCTGGCTGCGTAAGTCTTTTCTTTTCTTTCTTAGAATCCCCTGGGTAAACACCTTTGCACCCTCTCAGCATGACAAGGACACAAGATAAATGCTGATAATCGAGTAGTGGTGTACCTGGTGAATTGCGTGGACTGGAATACGTCCACGACAAGTACGGTGTACTGCCCTGGAAGACCGTCATGACCCCGGCTGTCAACGTGGCACGCAATGGTTTCGAGGTCACCGCAGATACGGCGAGATACTTCGCCTCTGTGGACGACGACTTCCTGATCAATGACCCCACATGGGCCATTGACTTTGCACCCAATGGAACGCTGCTTCAGCAGGGTCAGATCATGACCCGCAAGCGCTACGCCGACACTCTCGAGACCATCTCCAACGAGGGTGCCGACGCCTTCTACAAGGGCGCCATTGCTGAGGCGACCATCGCGGCCATCCAGGCCGCCAACGGCACCATGACCGTTGAGGACCTGGCCAACTACACCGTCGAGCTTCGTGACCCCGTCAGCATCGACTATAGAGGCTACAAGCTCACCAGCTGCAGCGCCCCCTCCGGCGGCGAGGTGGCCCTGTCGATCCTGAACATCGTCAACGGCTTCGAGGGCTTTGGCGACCCAGCCCAGATCAACCTGACCACCCACAGGCTGGACGAGGCCATGCGGTGGTCGTACGGGATGCGCACCAACCTGGGAGACCCGTCCTTTGTGGCCAACATGTCGCAGTACCAGGCCGAGATGCTCTCCGAGGCCACCGCCGCCGAGGTCCGGTCCAAGATCTCAGACTACACAACCTACAACATCAGCTACTACGACCCGAGCAACCTCGAGGTGCTCAACGACCACGGCACCAGCCACGTCGTCGCCGCCGACCACAGCGGCCTGTCTGTGTCCATCACCACCACCATCAACACCATCTTCGGCTCACAGGTCATGGTTCCCGAGACGGGTGTGATCCTCAACAACGAGATGAACGACTTCTCCATCCCGGGCGAGACCAACGCCTTCGGCTACGCCCCCAGCACTGCCAACTACATTGTCCCCGGAAAGCGGCCCCTCTCCTCCATCTCCCCCACCATCGTCGAGTACCCGGGAGGCGGCCTCTTCTTCATCTCCGGCTCTGCAGGCGGCTCGCGCATCATCACCGCCACCGCCCAGGTCATCCACCACGCCATCGACCAGAACATGACCTCGCACGAGGCCCTGCTCGCGCCCAGGATGCACGACCAGCTGAGCCCCAACTACGTGTCGTTCGAGTATGCCTATGACAATCAAACCACCGCGTATATGGCCAGCCTGGGCCACGTTGTCGAGTGGGTGGCGCCGGGCCAGTCGACGTCGCAGGCTTTGAGGCTTCTGCCGAATGGCACATTTGAGGCTTCTGGTGAGCCGAGACAACTGGCTTCGGGTGGATATGCCATTTGAAGCGGTAGTACTGGAGAGATTGTATATATGTAAATCTGATCACCATGAGAGAAAAGTTCAGCTCTATGAGGCGCCTGAAAACCTGAAAGAAACCTTCCTAAATAAATCATGACTGCATTAAAAAAACAACTTGATCGTCAATGATAACTCCCATCCTCATCACTTTCCTATCCATGCACCTAGTTCAAAGTAGGGACCTCAATTTCTAGAACTTGGGTCAGTAAAATGTACCTTGACAATGGCTTGTGGGAATACGCAATTACATGTAGAGCTCCAAGTTTGTCATCTGGCCCTTCGCCATCATGTGGAGCGAGCAAAACACCTGCTAGTTGCTTTTTCGTGGCTTGAAGTTCCATGATTTGCTATTCAAGGAAACACAGGTCCATCATCAATGTTTGTCCAGGACTTAGTAGCATATAAGGCATTTACTTACCTTTTCGAAAGAGTCCCTGATGTAGAAACGGATGGTCGTCACTTCTCGGGTTTGACCGAGGCGGTGGACTCTTGCGAGAGCTTGCTCTTCCAGATTTGGGTTCCTTGGGGTTATATTGGTCAACACTCATGGACTCAAGCAACAGGAATCCAGTGGTCAAGAATTGGGATCAAGGTATATACCAGTGAGGCTCTATGAGATAAGCACGTGAAGCGGCAATAAGAGTCAAACTTTGCATCAAACCCGTCAGCCATGAAGACACAAATGCGATAGGCCTAGATCTGAGAGAGGCCATAGATCTGGAACTTACCCGACAGCACCACATGAAAGCGTCAGCAGCATGACCTGGATACTCGGATCCGTCTTGAAACGATGGACGACTCCTTGTCGCTCCTTCTGGGGCACTTTGCCATCGAAGCGAATATTGCCGACAGAACATTGTCTCAGCCCGGCTTCCACCAAGTCAAGAGTCAATCTCCAAGCTGAGAACACAACACTGCTATTTTTTAGTGTGACTGTTGCACAGGTTTGGGTTGCATGGGCACGTTACCACTTAGTCTCCTTCGGGAGACACTTGATGTCAGTCACCAGTGCTTGAATTTTAGACGGTAAGTCGAGTCCCGTTCGGGGATGCAATGTCTGTAAAGACGCAATCTCTTCAACGGCCTGGCCAATAAGAGTCACAGTCGCTCCAGGGCACGGTGGGCTGTGGCTGCACGCAACCTCAGCACGGGATCTCTGAATCTTGCCGACGCACTCGCCACAGCAAAATTGCATGCAGCGGAAGAATTTCCCTTCTCCTTTGCCATCGACAGGGTCCAGTAAGCTCTCTGTAACCTCCAGACTCGACGAGCAATGCAGACAGGAGACCGGGTCCATTTCGCGTTGTGCGTTGAATGTCTGTTGCGCCACGGCTTCCCAGCTGTCATTAAGACGCTTGCTGAGATCGTGTCTGATATAGTAGTGTAGTCCCAGGTTGCAGAAGAGCCTCAGAGACTCGATTTGTTGGAGAACATTGACGTAAGCAACACCCTTCGAGGGATCTGACCCTGATTGCAACGCTTCGTCGATATTCATAATTGCTTGCCCTCGAATCGCTTCATATGCCTCTCTCTCCTGTCTGCTGAACTCGACTGGATATTTCAGGTCTCGTCGACAGGGGAGGGATATCGTGGTTTTCGGCCGTCGAAGCACCAAAGATGCTGATAAATATTTCAATCGCTGGATGCCCTTCTCGTCGTCGCCAGACTTCCACGGGTTGGAAATGTCTGCCTTGGATTGTTTGAGGTCGTGGTAAGGGTATGCTCGTATGAACTTCAGGAGGCTTGCCAGGTCATCGAGACGGTTCTGTACCAGTTTTAGAAATCGGAGCCCCTCCGTGTAGATTGTCAATAGTACGGAAGACCTCACACTTACCTGGATTGGAGTCCCAGTCACAGCCCAACGCGAGGTTGCCGCAAGATCGCAGACAGCGCGAGATATTTGCGAGTGGTCGTTGCGGATGAAATGTGCTGCAAGCCTTGATGAGCTGAGGTTCTCTTCTCAGAGTGACCAGACCGCACGTGAGGCCTTACCTTCATCCAGAATAATTCTTCTCCAATGAAGCGAGAACAACACCGAGTCATTCTTACTTTCCTGCTTCTTCCATTCTGCAGACACTGTATGGTACGTCGTCAAGACAACATTGACTTCATGTGTGTCCCGAACATTGAGCAGTCTGTTCTTCCCATAGTGTAGCCTGAACCTGAATGTGCTCCCGAACATATGGCTGGAAAATCATCAATTCATAGCTTCACGATGATTAGGGACGGTATTAAGCTCTTACTCTGATATTTGTTCTTGCCAAGTACCGAGAACTGATGTTTACGTCAGCAGAAACTTTTGGACTACATCTGAGACGCTGTGATACTCGAAGTTCCAAGATTGGGCCTAGGTTGGGCAATGAATGTGTACTTACGTGGCGGTGGAATGATGATGAGAGTTGCGGGGACGGGCTCTTTACCATCCAGTCCATTCAGAGACGAATGATACCAAGGGTGTTGTGGAACATCAATGTCAGTTGCCGCGAGCGAAATCATGGTGAGTGTTTTGCCGAATCCCATCAGGTCCGCCATAATACCCTCTGAAAGGCGGCGGCTCCTCGAATTCGACCGCGCCAGATATTTTGTTTAGGAAACTTGCTCAAACTTAATTCGTCTCCTTCGCTTAATGGGGGCTCGGAATGCTTACTGTAATCCTCGTGAGGCATCTCTCACCTCCCAGATATCGCCGTCTTCTCGAAATGCCCAACCTTTTTCTCGTTTCATCATAAATGTCAGGGCCTGTCTCTGGTGTCTAATCATAGTCAAGTCAGCAGAAAGTTTTTTTTTTCTCTTTTTTCATAACTTTTCATCTTCAGGCACTTGCTTTTTGAGGCTTGTCCGCGTGGCCGTTGGCTGCGGTGCTTCCTCCAAATGAGCATGGTTGCTCAGAAGATCAAGAAGATCAGGCTGATTTCCAATTTCTTGGAACCCTAGTAGTCTCGAATTCTGTGCTGATACTTCACGAACCAGGGAACAAGAGCCTGGCTGCTCGAAGGATAACCGATGAGGGTTGCAGTACCGAAGCCCGGAATACTGTTCGCTGACGTTCACAGGATCTTGAAGGTAAACATCTAGATACGATTACATTAGCATCGATCCATGGACAATCTCCCGTGATAGAATCAGAAAACTGAAGAGAGTTGTTGAGGCATTGTAATGTAACAACAACGTTGCCACAGGAAAATAGTGACGGGGAAGGCTCAGATATGAACATATCATAAAAAGCATAACTGAGAAAAAGGCCAAGAAAAGGGGATAGAGAAAGAGAGAAAGCCGGGGGGGGGGGGGAGAGACGATAAGAAATATGAATTGAAGAAAGAGCTAACGACAATGCATAGGGAAGATTCTCGATGGGAGCCAAGGGCAAAAGCAAGGGGAGTGGCAATGACTAAATGGATTGACCAGAGTTCACATACCATATTCCTGCAACCAGCTTCCGATTTCCTCGAGAAGATCCAGGGCTCCAAACACAACAATGCTTAGAGAGCATGGGCATTGTGTAAATGCACGGTCTGGTTTGTTTGACGTCGGGGATTCCTCCACGGCGCAAAACACTTGGAGATCCAGTGACTTCTCGTCCAGAAGACCCTGAATCATTTGTTCGTGCTCCGAAATAATGCGGCCCTGAATGTCACAACTTCGGTCCTTGGAGACGAAATGATTCGATGAATCTATGTCAACATCAAAGAGTCGAGGTATACTGAAAGATTGAGATTGGAAGCATCTTCCAGCGATGTTTTGAATCTGTTGCGCTCTGTTTAACTTCCAGTCACACTCTGATTAGAGAATGCTATTTCATACCATTCCGAAGCAAACTCTCTCTTCTACCCATGTTTGACATGGGGCTAGTACGTCACACGATGGCTGAGTCCCAGCTCTCATTCCATATTGAATCGTTGCTTGGTTGGAATGCTGTGGTGTTTGCACAAGTTCTTCAGTCTCCACTGACCTGAAAGGATCCACTTGCAACGAATTCCAAAATGGATCGAAGGCCGGGCCCGGCTGCAATGGTATCTGGCATTGATTCAGTGCGGAATCCTGACTTCGTTCTATGATCAAATGTCGAGCCGTCTGAGGAGTTGAACATGCTATGCTATTGTAGGCTATCATCTCAACAATAATATGGTGCAGTTAGCAGATGTTGGCTGGCGAGGTCTCCATGGTTCCAATATGAGTACATTTAAGCATACCTGTCGAGAATGATTGGGAATATTCTCTTGTCTCCCAATAGCCATTTGACTGACTATAGGATTGCTGGGTATCCTCAATACTGGCAATGAGAGGAGAAACATCGTACCCCTCATCTACGCGGCGACGTTTTGGCTTGTGGTCCGTGGGGTCACGGTCCATTGTTAAGTCTTGGCCTGAATGGCTTCCGAGGCCCAAGAGACTTGAGTGTTGCACACCTTATTGATAGTTTCCGCATCAATCTAGTCTGCCGGTCAAAAAAGATGGCATACGGACTTTTGAGGAGAAGACAAGTCAGACAGGTAGAACCGAAATTTTTGTCGACTGGCTTAGCTAACATAATTACATTTGTTGAATCACTAGCCTTGTGATTTGGGGGCCGAGGGAAGCTTAAATGAGGCTGTACCAGCTCACGCGTATCATTTATGCATGTGCCACATACTTGCATGTAGGCTACCTGAGTGTAGTTTGGTCTGGTATCGAGGATTATGAGGCTCTCCTGTCCTGGAAGTATATTAATGCTCCATGCCTGTGGCGTTCTTACCTTACCCCTCCTCGATGCTGACTTTTTCTGAGTTCTTCTATCAAGTCCCTGATGTTTCTCTGCCATGTCGATTGCACTTCTTTCACCCTGCCATATATTGTGGATTCAAGATGCCTTTGACCAAACCTGTACCGGCCGCTGTGCGGCAGACGATGTGGACTGCTTTCGACAATCTGGAAAAAACGATTGCCCCACATGATTCCAAGGACTTTCATTCTGCAACTTTACAGAGCGTTCGACAGGAAGCCCTTGACATCGAAAATCAATTGGCTGCCAGACAATCACTGCGCAATATGCGACGTCTGATGCCACTGTTTACGGCACTCGAGCATTACTCCAGCGTCGTACACATTCTCTGCAATGGAACACAGTTTTTGCCATGGATATGGGCTCCGATCACCCTCATCTTGCGGATCTCATGCGAATACATTGAGGCCTTTGATATGATTATCAAAGCGTACAGCAGAATTGCAGAATCGATGCCACGATTTCAGATTCTTGGAGACACCTTCTATGGCGATGCGAAGTTCTATGAAGCTCTAGCGGCATTTTACGCAGACATATTGGAATTTCACAAGCATGCCTATAAATTTGTTCGTCGAAGTGGTAAGTGGCACATGCTTATCATCACCCCAAGCGCCTGCTCTGCAACTATGCGATTCTAAATTATATACATCAGGTTGGAAACTCTTGTTTCTTACATCATGGGGCAGATTCCAAAGGCGATTCGACAACATCCTAGATGATATGAAACGACATGAGGACCTCATTGACAAAGAAGCGAATGCAAGAGATATTGCAGAAGCACGCAAGATGCGTCAAGGATTGGATGCGTGGAAGAAAGCTAGCCTTGAGAAGATTGACCACGACACCAAAGAACAGACGGTCAGGGAATTTCATGCCGCACAGTCATGGCTACGCATAGACAACTCCGACCAACTGGCTATCTTTAAGTCCATTGCCGACCATGGCAACAAGTACTCGGGGACCTGTGGATGGATCCTCAAGAATGCTAAAATCCGGTTCTGGTTACAAAGGAAGCTGGAAACCCCCATGCTCAGGTTGTCGGGCACTGCAGGTTCTGGGAAAAGCGTCATATCGACGCAACTGATCAAGTTCATGCAGGCATCTGGGCACATGACAGTGCTCTATCATTTTTGCATGAACACTTCCCCCAAGTCATCAGAATATGACCAGGTCTTAAAGTCTCTGCTTGAACAGCTACTTCGTCGCGACTCGATTTTGACAGGGCACGTCTATGACGACTATATTCTCAAAAAACAGTCAACAACGTTGCCACAACTTGAGCAGCTAGTCCTGACTCTTCTCATAAGCTCTTCAGAGGAAGTGAACCAAGAAAGCTGTAGAAGGCACTCTATGGTGTACTACAAATGGTAAAAGGGAAGATGATTCGTTCTTTACTATCTTAAAAGGCGCTTTGCCAACTGCCTGTCTATATAGAAAGGAACAGTAGGCGCTAGTCCTAATTAGGACAGAAACACCAGTAACTCACAACTTGCCCTAGCCTAGTGAATGGCTAAGGGGTTAGTCACTATTTCCTGTGACTGCCAGCCCAGGGCCCCACTTTTCATTCAAGCCCTATGGCTGCTGCCACAAGTGCCGGCCACAGAGAAACGTTGCTGCTGTCCTCAGCAGCTGCCCCTTGTCTCACGAGATCACGAGCTCTCGTACCAGTCTCGTGCTTCGTCTGAGCTCAGAACCCGCTCCAGGGGCCTTGTTTCCATACTTTTCGGCTTCCTGAGAAGCCTCAGACGCGTCTGCCCACGCGTTATTGTTGCCGGCCGGGGGTGCCAGGTTCTTGCGAGGCCGGCCACGCTTCCGCTTCACGGGGGCAGCCGTGCCTCCATCCACGATGGCCTCGGTGCCGTCGTTCTTGGGGGCCTTGAGGGCCTTGGTGAGGACTTCCGTTGCCTTCTCAGGGTGTGCACGTTCGTAGTCCTCGATGAGTTCAGGGCACCTGAGGCTCCTCAGGTCCTTCCATCGGTCGTGCCGTAAAGACCATCCCTTCCATCGCACCAAGTATCGCACAGTATTCTTGCCGCCTCGTCGCTCGATTTTCTTATCAACGATGCGCTCGACTTCGTAGTAATCCTCGTTGGAAGCCATGGAGTCGTCGCTATTCTCATTATGCTCGATTGGGCCTAGCTCGGGCTGCTAGCAATTGAAGGGATCGTTCGTGGGCTTATACCAGCTCAAGTACTGGATGCTGACCACTGGATGAACTTGAATATCAGCATCATAGTCATCCGTTTTGAAATCAAGCTTGTAAGCCAAAGGCGACATCTTTCTGATGATTGTGAAAGAGCCTTCTCGGAGTGCTTGAATCTTATTGTTTTAGCGCTGTAGCAGCTTGTACGCCTTTCCGAGCTTCAACCAGATCTTGTTGCCCTTCTTGTATTCCTTATATTAGTGCTTAGCATCGTATACGCATTTGTTGCTTGCTGCAACGATATCCATTGCTAGTTGAGCATCCCTTCGCAGATGCTTGCACATAAAGCGGATATCAGAAAGCTGTTTGGTGATATTGATCAATCGGTCGGATGATAACTGGATCTTGAATCCGAACAGATACTCGTAAAGGCTTGCGTTAATTGAGCGCTGGTGAGCATTATTCAGATTCCACTGCAAAGAGGGAATTAGGTTAATCCAAACCTCGTTAGAGTGCTCAGCTGCGTGATATCGAATGGCTAGCTCAACATCCTGGTTCTTTCGTTCAGCCGCTCCATCAGCCTGAGAGTGGTGTGCTGTTGTTATCTGCAGGCGCATGCTAAAGGCTTTCCACAGGCCTGTTCAGTAGTTTGAGGTGAACTTCGCATTGCAGTCTGATATAATCGCTCGAGGGCATGCCCAATCGCTCAACAGGAGATGCTTACCCAGGACTGCTCCTCACTGTTTAGCTGAATAGATTGAGTGGCCAGGGATCAACAGGGTTCTTTTTGAGGTCTTGCAGATAACAGGCATCAGCAAGTTGTACGCCTTGAAGCCTTTGAGTTGCCACGGAGTGCCTGTCAACTCGACTAAGAGCAAACCTAGAATGAAATCGAGCGAGATTGTGTGCATGAGTTCCAAGGGAGCTTGGATTAGCTGAAGAAGGCCTGCAGGCTTCTGGTTATCCTTTTTTTGAGCGCCACACTCGTAGCAGTAGTCGATGTACTGGGAGACTAGAGCTCGCTTCCGTCGGAAGTGAAGGCTATCCAACTCGGCTATCATGCAATCTCTGCCAAAGTGGTGTTTATCATCGTGAGCGTTGCGCAGGAGCTTCTGCACGAGAGGCCAGGGAATAACGAGGCGTTCCTTTCCATTATTATCGCAGTTATATAACAACTGATCCTTCAGACGGAATGGGTAGCCGGGCTTAGAAGCAGAAACAACATCCTCGTTGCAAACCAGAACTGGGGGCTTCTTTCCAGCTGAACCAATCTTCATCAGGTCTGTAATGATATTCCAGTAGACCGAGTCTTCCTTATATGCCTGCCAGAAGCGCTGGCGCATTGAATCAGGCATCTAGGCCTCCGCCAGGGTGAGGAAAACTGTAGGAAGATCATCAACTACCGTATCGAGAGTCGCTGATTTGTCACTCCCGCGTGCCTCCGCGTCCCCATCTGCCAACAGACAGAACAGGGCATCAGGCACATAGTTGAGCTTCCCCGCCAGATGATGAATATCGAACTGGTACTAGCTGAGGTAGATAGAAGCATTGACGAGGCGTTGATTTGCGCAGTCTGTTAACGAGGTATCGAGATGCGTCTGATTGACGATTCTATGCGTAGCATCATAGTCCGTGAGAATAATAATCAGCTGTGCTTGATTTGATTGAATCAGCTTGCACAAACGCTTTGTAGCCCAGATCAGATATACAACCTCCTGCTCTGAGAGACCGTAGTTCATCTCGGCCTTCGTCAGGCAGCAGCTGAGGAATATCACGGGCTTGACAGCATGCGATGGTATTGGCTGGCCTGGCTGCTAGGCATACCCCTTCTTCAGTTGGAAGATCATCACGCTGAAGCTGCGCTGGAGACAGCTATCCACTTGAATAAACAGCTTTTGCTCCGGCTTCATATGATACAAGCGCATCTTCTTGCAAATGGTGCTCTGCAAGTTCTTAAAGGCCATCTTCTCTGCGTCTGTAGGCTTGTAGTACATACAGCATGTGTATACTTGACGCTGCAACTTCTTCCCAGAAGTGATCTTTCCGAGCTTACAGCCCTCTGCAAGGAGCGCTGTTTTTCTCAGCTGAAGTGGCTCCACAAGCTGGGCGTAGTAGGGGATCATTGTTCGAAGGAAACCAGTTGCGCCCAGATACGTCTCGAGGTCCTTGAGATTCCTGGGGAAGGTTATCTTCCGAAAGGCTTCCATACGATTCTTCGTGGTAGACAGACCAAGAGCATCGACATAGAAGCCAAGAAGCTTAACTGAGAGAAAGCTAACATTGCTCTTCGTGAGAGAGATGAATATCCCCTTCTTGTCGAACAGGCCAAGAGCTGTATCGAGATGCTTCAAATGATTCTCAAAGGTGTTCGAAAAGATCACGATATTGTTAATAAAGGCTTTGATGTAGTACCAGTGCTCATGAAGCAGGCGATCTATATACCTCTGAGCATGAGCTGGCGAGTTGCAATAGCCCATCAGAGCCACAGTTAGCCGCTCGAGGCCACAGTGCATAATCATTGTTTGTTGATCCTGATGATCCGGGTATACAAGGAATTGATAGAAGAAAGCTGTAGCATCGATAACCGTGATATAGCTCTTCCCATGAATAGCCTCGATAAGGTCTGACTGCAGTGATAGCAGGTAGTTATTAGGGACAGCTCATTTGTTGATAGCCCTAAGGTCTGCTACAATGCAACCCTTTTCTTGACCGTAGATCGTCCGCCAGACTACGAAGATTAGTAAGGCGAATGAGCAGATATCGTTAGCGAACTCGAGGCAGCCCGTCTTATGCATTCCCTCGTAGACCTGATCGATGAAAAGCTTGTTCTTGCAAGAGACAGGGTAACGGGGATGATTCAGTTTCGCATGCTGCCAGCTATCTATTAAGAGGATCTTTATCATCTGGTCTTCGGGCATATCAAGGGAGGCCTTATGCTTCCATACTGCGGGGTATTTCTCGATGATCCTCTTGAACTTCTGTGCCTTGCTAGAGTTCTGCGAACAAATGCGAATGCTGTTATCGAGGATGATGGCTGGGGCTTCGTTAGGAGTCTTGATGTTAAGCGAGCTCTTGATGAGGGTTGTTAGCTTGCGAAGATCGATATCATGATTATCAGGAGGTACAGTTCCCATGATCGGAGACAGGTTAACGCTATAAGCCATCCCCATATTGCCAAGGAACTGATATATGGCATCGCTATAAGGGATGGAAGATAGGCTATCTTCATATAGGAACTCGCCTACGGAGCGTGTTTCCGTCTCAGCGCCTTGAGCCGTGGCGATGATTTCCGATGTAAGGTTGAACTCGGCGTTGACAGGCATCTAACCCTCTGGGATCTCCATCGAGGGCGTGAACTGTGCATCAAAGGCGCCTATGGCGCTGGTGTTGATCGGTTGACAGACTGAAGTTAGGCCTCCCAGGGCTGCTGCTACAGCCAAGGTCTTCACAGCGCCTTTGAAGGTGGTTTTGAACTATTCAGTATCTTCATACTCGTGGATAGTTCCCATTTGCATTCCCTTAGGGATTTTGATAGCTTCCTTCGTAGCGTTGTGCAGTGCCACAACTGCAGGCGAGGAAGCGTCGATCTGAGCGTTCAGTGCAGCGCTGTGGGTGGATGTAAAGGAAAAGGAGCGATCCTTGGGCAGCTCAGCGTATCTCACCGCCACTTTGGCGGTCTCGCCAGGGCTGATGATATAGGCGTAAGCTATGCTCACCTTTCGAATAGTGGGTAAGAGAGCCTGGCGCTGGACTTCGAACAGCACTCTGAAGTTGCCTTGACCAGGGTATGTGATAGCCTGATTCTTATAGCTGATGATGGCTTTTCGAGCTTTGAGCTATCCGTTGCTGATGAGGGCTCCAGCTGGCAGATCGTCCACGATTCAGGCTCCTACGCGCTGGCGGAGGAGCCCAGGAGTGCTATCGACGCGCTGGCCACAGGCGTAGAAGTCCCATTCAGCATACTTGGACAGCGTAATCATGCCTTTTCCCACTCCTCCGATCTTTTGAGGCTTGCGAACTGTGATATCTGCAGCTGGGAACTGTTGGAGGAATTTTCGGTTAACGAGGTCGTAACTAGTACCTGTATCCTTGCAAAGAGTCATATCTGGACCGCTGGAAGTAGCTCGAATGGTAACTTTCATGTGAGTATAGCCGCTGATGGGCTCGTTTAGCTGCTTTTCAGGCGCAGCCTCCGCAAGGATATCCTTATCGCAGTACTGAACGGGTGGCGAGCTCGTCTTGGGAGAAGGTGTTCCGAATGAAACAGCCTGTTTCAGGCGCTTCTTGATCTCCTTGAAGACATTTGTCTTCTGATCGCACTCCTAGCATCCTCCTACGTGCTGGAACATCTGGCTTCGAGAGTCGAACTCCTTGTTACAGAAGATGCATGTGCAGTTGACCGGATGGTCAACTTCTCTCAGGTTGTAAACCCGTCCGACCGGACTGGACGATCGCGAGTATTCCGATGATGCTGGCGAGGGCGAGCGCTCAGGGCTGTCGATCCAATGTACTTGCCTGTCGCCAGAAGAGGGCAGCCCACCGCTATCGTCTCCTGAGTAGGCCGCCTCATCCTCATTCTCAGTGATATTGTATGCTCGCTTCTTATCAGGGCTTGGAAGCTGGTTCCATTCGCGTTTCCTGCAATCATCAGATTTGCCGTTCCTTCTGGAGCAGTCGTAATCACGGTTACAATCTCGGTCTCGGTTACAATCTCGATCTCGGTTGTGATTGCAGTCTCGATTGCGGGGCTTCTCGCAGTAGGAATCTCGGTTTCGGTGCGAACTGCGGTTTCCAGTCTTGTATCTTGAGAAGCGAGTGCTGCTCTTGTTGCGGTAGCTCGAACGGTTGCCATCCCAGCGATCCCGGTCCCGATCACATCGATGGTCATGGTTCCGATCGTTGCAGCAGCTGCCACCAGAGCGAGAGTTGTATTTGCAGGCTGGCGAACGGTTATGATGGCTGCTTTTTCCCTTGGAGTACTCAGGATACCATTTGTTGGCGATATTAATCAGTATACTTTTGGCCTGCTCAACTTCCTCCATGTATTCGTCCAGGATGTTGAACCGCTGAGAAGGTGCGAGATGATGCTGGATGCGCTTATCCATCTTGCTCCAGATATCGTTCAGCGCACCCTTCCAGTTGAGATTCTCGCGGTCCAGAATGCCCATGCCTCAAGCGTATCAGAGATTCTTCTGGATGAACTTTCGAAGAGCGAATTCGTCCTCCGCGATACTCCTCAAGGTCAGAAAGCTTTCACGGAACTTGCGCGTAGCACGCGTGAGCTCCATAGAGAACCGTTATGCCAGAAGATTGGTAACAACTCTGTAGCCCTCTCAGCAGAGCTTAGCATGCTTGGTGTTGGTCAGCTCGTTTGTTCACCAGTAGATAGCAGCGCCTTGCAATAAGATACTGAACATTCGTAGTATCTCGTATTCGATTTCTTCATCGTTTGCACCATCCTTAAGGGATTCAAGGCAATCCAGGAACGACCAGACATCTGTGAAGATGAGATCTTTGCCAATAGTAATCATGCTAACATTATCAGGGTTATCATACTTGGAGTCGAACACTCCCAGCTCCTTGCATTTCATCTTGATGATATACTGGATGCCTAAGCAACTTGAAAAGGGGGTGTTCTCATGCTGGCTTTGTAGATTGCCTGATCCAGGCCCGAGGGGTCCGCTTAGGAGCTGACAGCCTTCACCACTGCTTCCCTCATCATCAGAATCATCACCTGGATCGCTAGGGTTGCCTCCACCGGCGCCATATCGAACTGTACAGCATTGGGCGCCTCCTGATATCGTGGGGATTGCCGGGCCTTAAGAGGGATCTGGCATTCCCGAGGGCAAGTTCCCGTTGCTAGCCTGGAACCGAATGTCTGAAGCTGTAGCTTCAGGCCCAAGGTTGAAGTGGCGCATCAGTTGGGTTAGCATATTGATCTGTTTGCTGACCAGAGTATCGAGCGCTTCCTGCTTCACAGCTATTGCTGTCTGCTAAGCTTCCAGCCGGGCCACTGCGCTGGCTGTCTTCCTGATTTCCAAGTTCGCGTATACAGCAGCCATCTTCGCATCATCCGCCTGTATCTTGACGTAACGGATATATTCCTTGAAGGCGGAGTCGTTTGAGAAATTGGCTGGTTCCTCAGGATCCTCGTGCTCGAGGGTACCTGTCTCACGCGGTCCAGGGGATTCGAACAGCGCTGAACTATTGCCATGGTACTCTCCTGCCTGGAACGGGTTGTCCTAACTGGCGGTCTCTTCTTCTCGAGAAGCTATCGCGTTTTCACTCGTTGAGCGTCCGTGAAGAAGTTCGGGGTCTTTGCCTAGCTGTATCGCCAGACTGGCAGCCAGGTTGGCTGTGGTAGCACGGTGGATAGGCGGTCGAGTTGGGTTCCTTGAGAAACCGCTTACAGTTAGCTCAGCTTGTCTGATTGTCTTGCTGGGGTCAAAATCAACAGTGAATCGCTGCTAATCAAGCCAATTAGCGATAAGCAACAGATGGATATGAAGGCTAGAGGATGGTTTAGGCTTCTCAGGCAAGCGTGCTGTAACCAGGGTAACTCGTGGCGTCTGCGCAAGGATGTCTATAACCATGCTCGCAAGAATCAGAGTATGCTTGCTAGTTTCAGCTGCCAGAGCTTCTACCAGCAACGGGATAAAAGGAAAAACAGCTTAGCTGTGAATGCTTGTGAATGCCTGTAGGCGTGTTTTTGATGAAAAGGCTTATTCGCAAGATCTCAGGTAAGCGTAACGCATCAGGGAAGTCCGTAGCACAGTCTCAGGTGAGCGTGATGCCAAGGGCTTGTTGTTTTGGTGCCACGATCTTCACGATAGTGGGCTTTTGGTGTTTTTGGGTTGCCAAGGCTGCTGATTTCCAAGTGGGCGTATCTGCGCAATGGCTTCGGGGGGTGAATCCTCAAGGGATTCCTCAATGCAGTGTATGATCGTAGCTACCACTTGTAGAAGGCACTCTATGGTGTACTACAAATGGTAAAAGGGAAGATGATTCGTTCTTTACTATCTTAAAAGGCGCTTTGCCAACTGCCTGTCTATATAGAAAGGAACAGTAGGCGCTAGTCCTAATTAGGACAGAAACACCAGTGACTCACAACTTGCCCTAGCCTAGTGAATGGCTAAGGGGTTAGTCACTATTTCCTGTGACTGCCAGCCCAGGGCCCCACTTTTCATTCAAGCCCTATGGCTGCTGCCACAAAAGCTATATCTGGATAATCCTAGACGGCGTGGATGAGCTTAGAGAAGATTCACCCAACTCTCAGGGTCGATTGTGTAGTCTTCTGAGGCAGCTCGTCTCAAAAACATCTGCATCAGGTGGGGTGGTGTGCAAAGTCCTCATCTCAAGTCGTCCCTCTTCAACCATATCTCGAGCCTTTCGCAGGAGAGCCAATATCTCGCTCACGGAGGAGAAAGAATCATTGAACGCTGCGATCGAGGAGTACTCTATGCAGAGATTGAGGCTTTTGCATAGCAGGTTCGAGCAGCTGGGACTGGACGCTCAAGAGATGCGCGATATAGGCCTTCAAGTCACACGAAAGGCAGACGGTGAGTGACAGGTGCATTTTATTACCACTAAGTCTTCCTTGCACATTCCCTTCCCTTCGGCTTTGCATGCTTTCATATTTGAAGGATAATGGCAAGTACCTGAATATTGAGGCAGCACAGTGACACAGATGTTCTAAATCGGGGTTGGAAATTGACTTCTAACACGCTTCGCTGTATAGGCATGTTTTTATATGCCCGTCTCGTTCTGGACTACATTAGCAATAATGTATTCATCCGAGGCGATGAACTGAAAGAGTCTATACATAAGTTGCCCAAAAAGTTATCTGAGTTGTGAGTCAACCTGTTCTCCTCCTTACTTCCGGGCATCGACTCACTTACAGATAGCTACCAAAGGATCCTGGCGCAAATTTTGGCACCTCTTGATTTGAATTCCAAGAAGCATATTCAATGCATTCTCGGCTGGATCGCTTACGCTAGGCGTCCATTACAAAGATTCGAGCTCCTGTCTGCTCTGGCATTCTCGTCTGGCAAGACTGATGTAGAGCTGCCAGCACCTGAGTACGTCGTCGACATCTGCAGATCATTGGTTGAGGAACGCAGCGACAATACACTGTCCTTCATCCACGTGTCTGTGAAATCGTAAGTCTTTAACTTTCAATGTTGGCCGCTATGACTTGAGCTGATAATACACTTATCTATAATTACTCAGCTTTCTCCAAGGCTCCTTGACGGACCTAGTACTTGACGAAGAAGCTGCATTGCATCAACACTGTCTCGCCTCTGTCACCTGCCTTCTTTCCAGCTTAAGGCTTGTAGAACAAGACCGACAACAGGCGTATCGCCTACTGGTTAAAGGAGTATATGGAATTCAGATTTACTCCGTCGAACACTGGACCGACTACGTTTTGTATGTGGCAAATTCGACATGTGGCCTGCGCATACCATCAACTCTACATGATCAGCTTTGTCTATTATCAGAACGACTCACCAGCATATTCGGACAACCAAGCCAAAATGATGTAGTGGAGGACTCACTGAAAGACCCGAGGCTACAGTATTTGCAGAAATCCGAGGCTGTCTATTTATTAGTTCGGGCGGCGATGAGTTCAAGGTCCCTGAAGCAACTTGAGGAAGACCTCAAACAAGAGCAAGGTCAGTACACGCATAACGCCACCAAGTATATATAGTTGCTGATATTTGGTAGCTTTAGCACAAGCTCAATCAGCTAATAGTCTCGCAGCAGGTGATTATGATATTAAAGCTCTGACCAAAGGTTCTGACTGCGTTTCAACCCTCCTTTCTCACTACCAAGGACTGCTCGACTACGTTCTACACGCACCAGACATATCGAGTATCTCCTCTCAGGAGCTGGAGAAGTTCAGGAATGATTATCGCACTTCTACTTATACATGCAGACTGCGATCCTACTCCCGAGCAACAGCGGGCTTCGAGTCAAAGAAGCTTCGTATTGACCACGAGCTCGGTCATGTCCGGAGGTATCGATGCGACTTCCCCTCATGCCCATACCCTCCATTTCGATCCGACCAGGCACTTCGAACGCATGTACGACAGAAACACGAGTTGGCTGTGCCCCGAAAGTCAATAAGAAGGGACACGGAGCTCTCCAGCACCAAGAATATTGCGACCTTTACGAATGACCGGAAAGGTGCTGATGAATTCACCAAGACAACTGTTCCGTCGATTAATAAATCTAAGATCAATAAATTTGAGAACTTACTCAACCAACAGCCTCCTCCCCAGGCTGTTCAGCTACCAACGGATGCCGATATTACCAGGTTTAGATACTTTTTCACAGAGCCTCCATCCCCAAAGTCTACCACTGTGCAGGAATAGGCCGGGGGATGGGAAAAGGATGTCGAGAATCCATTTCTGGATAAGCAGATGGAGCCTATGCTCTCCCAAACACCACTCTATAGACATTTCTGCACATAAGATGAGTCTTCATGATGAGATTCTTTTGAGAATTGCTGTGAAGTTTAAAGCAGTGCGAACTTCGAGTTATCAACCGCGAGGACCTGATATTAAGGAATCAGTGGTTAAGGCTAAAGCTCAGCGGGCAGCAGCAGGCACGCGCGACAAAAAATTGAATCTTCTTGTACTAAATACCTGAGCATATTTTTCCCGGGTCATCTTTGCTAGAAGAATGACTACAACTGCATAAGGATGAGCTTGAGGTAAGAGATTTCATGGAAGATATATTTCCTGCCTTAATTATGCTACATAGTCAGTCAACGCTGCCCTCTGTCGCTTTATATCGAGGTCTGGGACTCGAGACTTTGTCAAGAAGATTGGGGGATGTAGACTGGAAAGGTAACGGGTGCCTGGTGGATGAACCGGTCCAGGTCGGCCACCCTGTGAGGTTTGGCCTTGACAGTAGAAAATTAGATGCTAGAATGAGATATAGATTTGGTTATGGTTTTTTCTTCTGTCAGACTCAACTCTGTTACTTGTTCATTGCCAACTCAAAACTAGAATCTTCCAGATGACCGTGACCTAATTCATCTTCTTTCTTCTGAAACCTTAACGCAAATATGACATCTCTAGATCACGCATATGAGCGTCCCCCTGCAGATCGAAAATATCTGACACCGGTGCAATCTCACCTTCAACACCAGCCAGGCCTCCCTCGTCCAAAATAGAAGCAAAGACACGCCTCATGGCAGAAACAGCGGTCCGAATAGCATGATTGCCACAGATGATCAGACCGACCTTGTTCAACTCACCAACCTCGCGGAAAGACAACTGTGGGTAACTCGTCGGGACAAGCACCAGCGGCACCTGACTATCAGGCCAGGCCCGGCAGAACGACAAAATCTCCTCTGGTGTCTTTTGTTTGCTATGTATCAGCACCGCGTCGGCACCTGCCTCGGCATATGCCAGTCCACGCCTGATAGCCTCGTCCTGTCCCAGGCCCGCGATGAGCGCCTCAGTTCTCGCGACGACCAGCACGTCGGCCGCGTCCTTTGCCGCCCTGATCTTGCCCTGAAATTCCTCGACCGGCACCAGCACCTGCCGCCCGCCGACGCGGAGGCTGCTGTCCTTGGGGAACGTCTTATCCTCCAGAACAACCGCGGCAGCGCCAGCGACAGCGAATTGCGGGACGGCGTAGGCCACACTCACCGCGTTGCCGAAACCGGTGTCCATGTCAACAATCAGAGGGATGCGGTCCTGCACCGCCTGCCGCATGGCCCGAGTGGCCTCCAGGTGGTGGGTCATGGACAGGATGCTCGCGTCCGGCACGGCGTGCGATGCTGACAGCTCGAAACCGCTGACCCAGACGGCGCCGTATCCTGCTTCGGCGGCAAGCTTGGCTGCGAGCGGATTATGTGCGGCCATGGCGATCGCGGGGTTGGCTCGCTCAAGTCGGCCCCGAAGCGTCTCAACCATGGACTTCAGTACTGGTTTGGATGTAGACATGTTCAACGTGCCCTGAGCGATGCCAAGGCGCAGAGGCTTGGCGAGAAGGCGGCTCATGCTTGGAGAGAGGGAAACTTCTAAGATGCTCTGCTGGATAATGAGTTGTGGGAAACTCTCCAAACAGTTTTCTGGGAGGTTGCGTGATTAATTCCCGGCAAACCCGGGATGACGAAGTTCATATGCATTTGTAGGAGTAGCAGGCAGAAGCGCGATGCTTGGTCCATCTACTCGTTTGCCAGTCGGCTTTCAAGATTGTTCAGAGCTTCCAGAGCTCTGTCTTCTTGTTGCCTTGTGTGTCCAATGATCCAGGAAGCATGTTCCGTTGGGCTCGAGGTCGGGGGCCTGTCCTCGCGATACCGCATCAGTGTTGCTGATCCTCCGACATCCCCCCACTGTGTCTCTTTCACTTCATCATGCCCCGGCACAAAGTCCCACGGCAACGCGGCCTTGCTCCGAACGTTCTTCTCCATCTCAAGCGAGAGTGCAATGTAGCTCATCCATTGTGGGACCTAAATTGATGTTGATGGACGCGCTGCCCGGCCGGTGACGATCGTCCAAGATGTCGTTGAGGTGGCCTCCCAGCCCCTCTTGCAAGTGTCATACATATGTAACAAAGCATAGTGGTGACCTGCTCAGCTCTCATGCGCACAAGGGTCCCATGTGTTTGAATTCAGAGCGTGCTGCGTGTGGAATACGCGTAGAGGGGCATTCCAGACTGTGTTACTTTTTGAAAGGACGTGTTAACGTGGCGATCTTGTCCGAAACCTCGTTGCTTCGGTGACGACATTCGTTATAGCTTGTGCTGCTGATGTCCGAAAAGGGCTGGTACACACGCTCGAGAAGTTCATCTTGTTGAAATATATGGGCTCAGGCAGCTTTTCCGCATCCAAATACCTCAGAATCTCTTCTTGTAGCTCGACAAGAAGGCGCCTTGCCAAAACGTTTCGGGCGGGCATGATAGACACATAACCTTTCTTTTTTTTCTATTCCTCATTTTTCTCTGGCCTTATCAAATTGAGTACAAAGTGCTCCATGCGTCAGGGCATCTGCCATCCCAGGTACCATCAAGCTGTCCAGGAAGCCATTATCCTGTATTAGCGTGGCCAGAAGGGTGCATGGCGCAACATCTGTACTGTACTACGGTGGTATTCATCACCAAAACGTGGCATGCAGGGTACTAGGGAACTACTGACTGACACCACTGTCGTACGTACCAGCGGGGAACTTCAAAGGGGCTCGAGCCATAGTTATATGAACGAGCATCACACAAATGTCAAATTACACGCATGAAAAGAGTCACTGAATTTGCTCAGTTGTGCAAGCATCATTCACTGGCATCTCAGTGAATGAGACTTCTGCAGAATGTGCAGCATCTGTGTGACCACATGGTGTCTTTAAGGGTAGACATTCTAGAATGTTCGCCCAAGTGACAAATCGTAAGCAGGAACTCAACACCCTGTCAGAGGCGGGGTTGACGCCCAGGCCTCGCCCTGCAATAACGAGTGTCTAAGGATCCATGTCCTCGATGTACCGTGTACTTCATATGTGAACTTTACAAGTCGATGTGTCCGAAGAGCGACCACATATCTCGTTTAAACACTCACTTTCGATTCAGTGGCTTTCATTCTTAACCTTTGAAAATAGTTCCATCGTCCTAGCGACTCACAAGTTTTTTTTACGGTCCGCTCTCAGCGTGCTCTGCAAGTCACAGGGCCCGTAATCGGGAATTTTGTACATCCAAGTACAAAAGCACCTCCGAGAACCGGGTACCGTATACGTCTCCAGTGAGTGGTGTGCCAGAACCCACGCCTTCCGAGCAGCGCTACTTTAAGGAAGCGTCCTTGCTTTGCCAACCCAGGAACGCTCATCGTTGACCTCACCTTTCGACTTGTAAAACACCAACCTTTTATCTTTCTACCTAGAACTCGCCCGACTCTTTCTTGCCCCATTATCCTCTCACAGGACTTCGCACCGTATGAACATCATCTAGATCATTTACGCAGCAGAAGGACCAACTACCTGCCGTAGCCTGGTCTAAATCGCGGTCATCTCCAACACCGCTTGATTTGACCCTCATCAGAGGGGCCGTGAAGACAGTCTGAAGGCGTCTGCGGGCGTGGACTGATTCATAGATAAGCGTATTCAACATGGCTGTGCAGGACGCAATACAGTTCAAGGAGCAGGGGAATAAGCTGTTCCTCAAAGGTCAATATGCCGGTGCAGAAGGGCTCTACTCTCAAGCGTAGGTCTGATCATCTCTGCACTTTCGTGATCATCTCATGCTGACACACAGAACGTTCAGAATTGTGGCTGACCCCAAGGACCCGAAACTCTACACCAACCGTGCCATGGCGCGATGCAAGCTCAGGCGGTGGGAGGATGCCATCGCTGACTGCCAGACATGCCTCTCCCTGACCCCCGATAACATGAAAGCCATCTTCTACAAGGCTGAGGCCCAGCTGGAGCTCAAGGACTTCGACAACGCTCTGCAGAGCGCACAGCACGCCTATGAGCTCTACTCCCACTCTGAAGACGGCCTCAAGTCTTTAGGCTCCGTGACCAAACTCGTCTTGCGGTGCAAGAAGGAGCGTTGGGAGGATAAGGAGCGCCGACGCTTACGCGAGAGATCTGAACTGGAGAGGGAGCTTGTCGAGCTGATGGAGAACGAGCGGGGCACCGCTATCCTCCTGGCCACGAATGACGCAGAGCTGCGAGATATCCAGGACGAGTGGGAAGCCAAGATAGAAACGCTGAGGGGCACGTTCCAGCTGGCACGCGGCGAGCAGGGCAAACGACGGGAAGTGCCAGACTGGGCCATTGACGATATCTCATTCGGAATCATGGTCGACCCGGTCATGACCAAGACGGGAAAGTCTTACGAGAGGGCGTCGCTCATGGAACACCTCAAGAGGTCCAAAACAGACCCCATCACGCGCGAGCACCTCGAAGTCTCCGATCTGCGGCCCAACCTCGATCTTCGGGCTGCCTGTGCAGAGTTTCTGGAGGAGAACGGCTGGGCTGTGGATTGGTGAGAGGCTGACCACGACTTTGGCCCCTCCAGCCCGGGCCACGGCCAGAAGCACCAACTCGCAAAGATCGCCTTCCAGCAGTCCATGGCAAGGGGCTGTTTGCCAGGTGTTCATATCACCTCTCAAGTCCGGCGGCGCTGTCTTTTCTGCAAAGGCTGGTGGGGCTTGAAAAGACGCATCATCAACGTGAAATCCCCAGACTGACGGTACGGATTGTCTTATGAAATGATACAAACGCATCTCACGGTGCATGACTTTGGATGCCGTTTTACCAATACGTCTGGCAAACGGTATGCCTTGAAACGATGGTATCATCAGCATGGCGTTTTGAGGCGGCTTGATTCGATATCGTTACCTTTCAACATTCTTTTCTAGACATCAGCCCCAACTCAACCGCAGGGGTGCTGACCTCATTATTGGCATATTAATTTTACCTTTTCACCTTTGCTCCTCACGTTGGCATAATTCGCACCACCAGAGCTGGACTGACTAGCCCTCTCATGCTCACAAAAAAACTTGTTTTCCAACTTACTGTATTCAGCATTCTTCACAAACCCCCAGCTGGAGGCTATCGGCCACGGTCTCCTATCGTGACACAATTGAGGGACTTGCCAGGGCCATTCTTTCGTGGCAGCGCCGCCCAAGCTCATATCTGCAAGTCGAAATCGTCTTCACAATGCACTCATTTAAAGTAGCATACGAAATATGGCCCCAAGAATATCGCTCACAACTGATTTGTTGCATTGCATCCATTTCTTTCCTGAAATGATGTATTATAGCGAGACGCATGCTCTGCATGCAGCAAAGCCTCAGATCTGTTCATCAGAGCTCTCAAGCCTTGCCTATGAATCCCCACGCAACCATGCAATCGAAAATCATGCCACCCTTCCGCGGGTCCACCTTGCAGATCTCCTTCACCTGCTTCTTCTTGAGCAGTCCGTTGCCCTTGGTGGCTTCCCTGATAATCTCGGCCTTCATCATTAGCCACGGCTTCGGCTGCAGGCGACACACCTCACATAACTTGACCTCCTCGGGCGTGAGAAGATGAGCATCGGGCGCGCTCTCCTGACTCATCGGCACAGGGGTAATACCAGAGATGGCCTGCGGCATGTGTTTTGGCTTCGGCTCCATGCCGTTCACCACGATGGCCCCATTCACGCCGTTGGCATGATCGCCATTAGTAAGTTTGGTTTCCCCGTTGACTATGCCGTTCACCCCACCACTCTTGGTCGCCATTCGGATCGGTAGCTCCGGGGCAACTAGCAGAGAGGCTCCGCTTGGTGGATCGGGGGGTGGCTGTGGTTTGTTCCGTTGCTGCACTGCCAGCCGGTCGCGATCCATTGAGCCCATCGGAATCTGTTTTTGTAGCCGCTGTGCCTTCTCGTGTTCATATTTCTCCCCGCTGCGGAGACTGCCAATTCCCAGATTCCGCCACTCCTGCAGCTGTGCAATAGCAGTTCGTAAATTCAGCTCATCAATGAGACCATGGTTCAAATCCTCAAAGTCCTTGTGGTTCATCATCCGTGCGAATGGCTTTGCTTTGTTGAGAATATCCCTTTCTTCCTTCGATCTCTTCTTGTCGAGCTTTGTATTTTCTCGATAGTCAAGCAAATTGTGCTCAAAAATGACCTTCTTTCTCTCGACGCGCTGTGTAAGTCTGGCGTTGTAAATGTCCATGACAGTTAACTTCAAGTCCATCTCGGGCTCGAGCTGGCCGGTGTTGGGGTTGATTCCGTCACCCGGGTCAAACTGCATAAGCTGAACAGCCTCTTCTGCCTCATTTGCGTGTTCTGTCTCGAACTCCAACCGCCCCGGCATATAGCCTTGGATCTCGTGACAGGAAGGAACACTAGCTGTAGGCTTCGTCTTGGGAGGGGGCGCCGGGGCGTTCTTGATGGCCTCTTTTCGTTCCTCGATTCGTCGCTTCTTCCGTGCCTGGAAATCTTCCCTGGTGGTCGCCATGGCTAATGATGTATCTTGCGGACTGCATCGTTCCGGAAGTGGGAATCGTGAAGATTCTATGTAGACCTTCTCGTAGTGATCGCGAACCTCGTCTTTGGTGCGATACCCGCCGATGTGATCTGCGATGTCGGCCCAAGAGCCGAGTCCATATATCTCACAGCCCTCCAGAAGCAGCAGTTCCTCATCTGCACCCCAGTCCTCATCGTATATCGGAAAAGAGTTTTGTTCGATTACACGGTAAGGATGTGAAGCAGGCTGGTGGTTGCCGCTCGCCTCGCCCTTCGCGAAGCACTGGACGCATAGGTCGTACTCGTTGCAGGTGGAATGGGCGCATCGTATCCGAACCTAGCGAGCGAGGTTAGCAATCGGGGACAAAGGGAGGAACCGGTCATCGTTGCGACTGCAGCTGAGGGGACATGGGCCAGGCAGAGGAGGTGGGAGGAGGGGGGTTAAACCAACAGTTGAGGTGATGTCCACTGAACAGACATCACATATATACTTGACGCCCCCTTCACTTCCCCGACCACCAGTCTTCTTCCTTATGACCCCCATAGTTTCAATGCTCAAGCAGCAGCCGCAGCAGCAGCGATCAGATGATATCCAAGAATGTCAGCCCCAGCGCGCAGGACAGCAGGCTTCAGGGACGGTATGACAAATTGCGCGTGCTGTGGCGCTCGGGAAAGGTCCAGTGCGCGCTCTTAACTGTTTCTTTTTGATGCGACGCGTCAACCTTGATGGCTTTACGTCAGCATGGATGGATGCTGGATGTTGACGGATGGTGGTTGAGGTGTAGTCCAGAATCGCGACTCATACTCGTGCACAGGCCAGTTTGGAGATCTGGGGCTGAGCCCATCACTCAGCAGTGGAGAGGCACAGGCATGTGAGAACAAGGGTAGAAGGAGCTAGCTTCCCCCTCCACAATAGGATAGGCGGCAGATATGACATAAGCAGATCCAGGTTCATCCAATGTGCCTGTGCTTGACTGTATACGAGCCGTGAAGAAATAAGCCAAAACTTGGGCCATACATCGTTATGCGCCTGTAACTGATCGGATAAGGAGTGTAACTTAGGATTTTGGACATATTGTATTGTAGTAGGCCACTGCTATTCAGTAACAACAATACTTCTGCAAATTAAAGTAACAGCTCCAGTTCATTTCCGCTTCGGCTCCATCTTACCCGAGTGGACAACAACGGCTTCAGCCGAGTGCAGCCGTTTTGGCGACCAAATAGCTGCAAAGCCTAAAGAACCCCACCAAGGAGCTTGACATGTAGCAGCCTCGGTAGCGGATTGCTTCAGTAACACCACTGTCGTGAGAGGAAGCAGGGAGCCAAAAAGTCGCGCTTCTACCACCTGGTCCTTCCATATTTTCTTTATATATTCTTCCTGTATATATCTAGCGCATTTTAACTCGGACTGCTCATCAGCTGTCTTTCTGATCCTATCATCTCAGCTTCTAGAGACGACCCTGTTTCTGCTCTGTTTCCCGCCTCCTCTCTCCGCGCCTATAACTTAAAACGCAACATGCCAGACAAGATCCTTGACGATATATCTCACCGTAGATTCAATCCCCTGACGAACTCATGGCTACTCGTGTCACCACACCGAACAAAGAGACCTTGGCAGTGAGCAATCCAGCGACGTCGAATACATGAGGCACAGCTCTGACATTGTGTGGTGTAGAGGACAACAGGAGTCTGCGCAGGCCAATACGCTGCCGGACTATGACCCCAAGGTCTGGCTAGTCTTTCCCTCTTCTCGCTTTTGAAGATGCCATAGTCGGAAATTTTTTTTGCTGATCACTGTCCGGTGCATAGTGCTATCTGTGTCCCGGCAATGAACGAGCACAAGGCGGTTCCAACCCACAGTACAAGGACACCTTCGTCTTCGTCAACGATTACAGCGCCGTCAAGGAAGAACAAGCTGCCTACACACCACCGGAACCGACCAGCAGCGATGACCTTTCCGCGCTGCTCCTCCGCGCGCAGCCCGTCACTGGCAAGTGCTTCGTCCTCACCTTTAGCGCCACGCATTCCGTGACCCTGGCAGACATGACACCCGCCGAGATCCTTCCTGTCATCGAGACCTGGACGCGCATCTATGCGAGCCACCTCTCCCCCTCGAACCCTCTCGCCGCCGTTGCTGCGAAGTTGCCCCTCCTTCAGAAAGAGGCTGCCCCTGAGAGCGAGGTCGAGAGACCCAAGGACCAGCTCCGGTACATGCAGATTTTTGAGAACAAGGGCGCAGCAATGGGCTGCTCGAACCCGCACCCGCACTGCCAAATCTGGACCACGTCAACGCTCCCTGAGGAGCCCGGCAAGGAAATCGTTTCCATGACCAAGTACCGCACCGAGCACGGCGGGCGCCACCTACTTGCTGACTACGTCAAGCTTGAAATCGAGAAGGGCGAGCGGCTGGTCTGGCAGAACGATGGCTTCGTCATTGTGTGTCCGTGGTGGGCAATCTGGCCGTTCGAGGTGCTGGTGATCGCGAAGCGGCATGTGCGTGCTCTGGTAGACTTGACGGATGAGGAGAGGCTGTTGTTTGCGGAAGCGGTGCAGGAGGTCACAAGGCGATACGACAACCTCTTTGAATGCAGCTTTCCATACAGTAAGTCTGGCCCAGAGCCCTGGCACTTCCATCCTTGACAGCAGAGTGGTCGGCTGACTGAACATCACAGGCTCGGGAATTCACCAAGCGCCGCTCGAGTGCACCGAGGAGGAGGCTGAGAATAGCTACTTCCATATGCATTTTTATCCACCTCTGCTGCGCTCCGCAACAGTGCGCAAGTTTCTGGTCGGATACGAGTTGATGGCAGAGCCGCAGCGGGACATCACGCCGGAGCAGGCGGCCACAAGGCTGAGAGGGTTGGGAGGCGAGCTTTACCGCAAGAAGCTGGCGCAGTAAATACACTGGCAGTCTGAGACTGTGTACATGAACTATGCGCATTATCTTGTGTCCATCCCTCTTCCTCAAAGGAAAGGAGGAAGAAGCCGTGACAATAGTAGTCTCTGCTTTCCCTCGTTCAGTCACTGCCTCCTAGCTCTGTTTTTCTGCTGACGCGACCGTGTTACCTTCTGGTGTATCTTATGCCTTCACATAGTTTGAATATTGCAGCACCATCCACACAGCTCCACCAAATCCTGCCGAGAGCGGGAAGGCATGCTCCCAACCCACTCGGCATGTCTTAAAAACTAGTATTTCGCTCGCAAAATGGGATGCCGCCAGCACGTACGTGAGCAAGCATAGCTGGTACCAGGCGGGATCGTTCAGTCGATAAGCACCGTACAAACGGATTGCTGCTGCCAGGATCGTGTAGACACCAAACAGACGCGCCGCAAGTGGCGTGACCTGGTCTGCTGCAGTGGGCTTGTCCTTAAGGGTAGCGGCAGAGGTGATGGGTGTAAGCTTTTGGACGGAGTCGGCATTCGCGATGCTAGTATTCGGGACGAAGAGACCGTTATATATGCGCCGTGTGTAATGCAGGGTGAAGAGGTTCTGGATTGAGTTGCCTATGGCTGCGACCGATGCCTAAGGAGATAGAGAAGTTAGACGGTGTCTTGGTGCAGCAAGTTCGAATCAGGAGCGCATTACCACTAGCACGTAGTATGGCAAGATGCCGTCCTCTGCTGAGGGGAGGAAGGTAAGTAGCTTATCCATGTCGACGAGGTCCATACGACTGATCTCAATTATCCGGCGGCCTGTTATCAGTCAATCGAGTGAAGCAATCTAAGAAGTGCAGGAGTCGATATTGTGTGAGTTCGTGGAGTGCTCGCAACTGGGTCCAAGCTCCCGCCCGTCCTTAGCGGTATAGCTCCTATCCAAGGATACCTGCCACACTGCTAGTGCTGTGCCCTACGGGTATGTATTTTAGATAGTAGTAGATCAACCTCGTCCCTTAGAAATCTATTTCGTGATTTGTTGATCTGTTGAGCGGCTCTCCCCTCCTCACCCCTCAAAAATCTTCCATCCTTGGTGATTTGGCAGCTCTCACATTCACTCGAACAGTTTTCCATATGGCTGGCATCGTTGAGATCACCTCTTCCATTCCCCAGCCGGTCCAATGGGCTCTGGCGGGTGTGGGCGCCTTCGTCCTCGCCAGCCGCGTACTGAGCTACATCTGGCTGCTGCTGGAACTTTTCGTGCTCAGCGGGACTAATGTATGTTGCGCCCTCTTCACCACGCCTATTAACAAGCATTGACATCAGGTCTCTGCGCAGCTCCGAAAATATGGCCCCAAAGGCTCATGGGCCGTCGTTACCGGCGCCTCTGACGGTCTCGGCAAGGAGTACGCCAAGCAGCTTGCCTCTAAAGGCTTCAACATCGTCCTCGTATCCCGCACCCAATCCAAGCTAGACGCCCTGGCCAGCGAGCTCTCCGGCGTGCAGACCAAGGTCCTCGCTATGGACTACTCCCAGGACAACGAAGCCGACTACGCCCGTTTGGCCGAGCTGGTTGAAGGCCTCGACGTCGCGATCTTGATCAACAACGTCGGCCAGAGCCACTCCATACCAACCCGCTTCCTCGAGACAGAGAAGAAGGAGTTGCAAGACATTGTCACCATCAACTGCCTTGGCACCCTGAAGACCACCCAGGTCATTGCGCCCGGAATGGTGCAGCGCAAGCGTGGGCTCATTCTGACCATGGGCTCCTTCAGCGGCTGGATGCCAATCCCGTACCTGGCGACGTACAGCGGCAGCAAGGCTTTCCTGCAGCACTGGAGCACGGCGCTGGCTGGTGAGCTCAAGGAAGATAATGTCGATGTCTACATCGTCCTCAGCTGGCTTGTCTGCTCGGCCATGAGCAAGGTTCGGCGCCCAAGCCTGAACGTCCCCAACCCGGGTCCATTTGTCAAGAATACCTTGGGCAAGATCGGAAAGGGCAGGACGCAGAATATTGCTTACACCTACACGCCTTGGTGGACTCATGCTCTCGTGCTTTGGTGGGTCGAGAATACGATCGGATTCGGGAGCAAGATTGGTATCTATTTCAACCTGGTGTCTCACAAAGATATCCGTGCCAGGGCTCTGCGCAAGGCTGCTCGCGAGGCGAAAAAGGCTTAAGCTCTGGCGGGCAGAAGATCGGCGGAATGAATAGCATAATATCACTTTCCCTGGACAGGTGCTCAAGCTGCATAATGTACATCAATTGATGGAGGCCTTAGCTTCATCAAGCATGCTGTTGTACATAGAACTGTCCCGGGTCGAGGCCAGGGCCTGCGAAAAGCAGTTCATATATGTAGTTTCTACATCCTGCAGCTCACATCAAGATACAGATGTAATACCCAATACAACTTCACACTGGAAGAACAATTCTCTTCCATTTAGTACATATGATGCCTATATATATATATAATGAAGCAATTACAATATACTTAGTTTTCGACATCAGCTTTATTGGAAGTGTTGAAACATCTCTCAGAACAGCGCATAGGATGCTACCCAAACAAACCTAGCCTGCCTTGCCTGCCTTCACTCCCACGCGCTGGGCACGCGTTCCCACCCACAACTTAGCTCCACTCAGCTGCCTCTGATCCCTGCAAAGAAATTCAGGTGTTTATGACCTGCTTCAAAGGCAGGCAAGCATCTGTAGCTGCAACTGATCCCGTCTTGGTTGTGCTTTGCAACCTCATTGTCAGAACAGCAGCAGTCTTTTCAAGCGACATTGTCCTTCCATTGATGACTTCTGGCATCTACTTCAGGATTTTTTAATGCCATTACCAAAACACTGACCCGTCGCTGCATGCTGCGAGTCGAGCTTGGACCATTGCATCCTGCCCAGGATCTCTCGACTCCTTTGCGCAGAGACGGATCGCGGCTTTCGTGAGCTGCCTCGCTTCTGCTGCCGTTGCCCGTCGCCGACCGGCCAGTTCGTCTTCGAATCGACCGCGAGGCGTCGTCGGCAACACGGACAGCGACAAGACCGTTCTCGAAAACCGAGCCGCCTCCTCCTGGAAGGACTAAATACATACCTGGCATAACATGGCCACGACTACCCCCGTGCGCCCTGTGCCCGGCGCATTCCTCAACACTCCTGCGCCTGCGGCCGATCCTCTGCGACGAGATCTCTTTGGAGCTGGTGCGGCTGGTACAACGCGACGAGGACCTCTGGGCACCAGCCCGCCGCGACAAACTGCCATGAACAGGCTGACTACACCAGCTGGCCGACAACCATCACCTACTCCTCGTCCTCTACCTCCTGCTGGCCCTCAAGCCGCACCTCTGGTCGCGGCGCAGCCAGCTGCCGACAACACACCCCCGGCTCAGAAAGCTGCCAGGTTCATCAATGACTTGCTCCAACTTGACGGCAGCTTCCCAGATCTGGACTCGTACTGCAGGCGTGAGTAGACCCCATCTCTCCCATCTCACCAGCCCTCCTCATACTGACCGATATCTTCTGGTAGCTGGCGCTTCATCCGACTATGACCTGGCCGTCGTTGACCCAGCCTGGGCACCCTTCCACAAGCCCGCAATCTACCCGATGCCCGACGAGGTCTTCCACCGCTTCCAGGGTGGTCAAATCCACACAAAGATGGGCTTATTCCCTGAGGTACACCTAGCCTACGTTCACATCGACAATGCTCTCTACCTCTGGGACTACACCTCTCCAGAGCCTGAGCTGTTTGGCTATGAGGACTCGCCTCATAGGATCACGGCAGTCGCCCTTGTCCCCCCACGGCCGGGTGTGTTCGTGGATACTATCAAGCACATGCTTGTTGTCGCCACGTCGACGGAGGTGATACTTCTCGGCCTGTCCCAGGACAACGCTGGTCAAGCTCCTAGGATCTTCTCGACCAAGATGTCAGTGCACAAGGGCGGGATGGATGTTAGCTTCATCGTGGGCTCCGCGGATGGACGGATCTTCTTTGGCGGTACGACCGATACGGATGTGCATGAGCTCTACTACCAGCAGGAAGAGCGGTGGTTTTCCAGTAGAGTTGGAAAGATCAATCATACGCACCCGGGATGGTCCTCTGCACTACCCAATCCGGCAGCCATCATTCCTTACCCCAGCGCCCTCTGGACACCCAAGACGAACGAGGCTCTTGCCGACATGGTGATCGACGACAGCCGAAAGCTGCTCTACACGCTGTCTACCAAGTCGACGATTCGTACCTACCACATGGACGGCCAGAACAAGCTAGTCAAGTGTATCGAGAAGGACAAGCTATCTTGCCTTCGTGAGATCACTCACATGATCACGAGATCTCAGCTGCTCACTGACCAGATGAACATTGTATCCATCAGTCCGATCCATTCCAACGAGGCTTCGAAGCTTCACCTCATGGCCTTGACAGACACCGGTTGCCGGATCTTCCTCAGCGCAACCAACACCGCATCTTACATGAGCAGCCTGTCATCGAACGCTGCCCCCCAGAGCATGCAGGTCCAATTTGTCAAGTTTCCGCCAAGGAGCGAGTCTGCAGCAGCCAGACAACTCGGTATGGACAACGGCGAGGTCCTGGACACAAACTCTACGTCGCTGGTTACGAGCAGACTTGGCCAACGCTTTGCGCCTGGCTACTTTTTTGACGCAGTGACCAAGGAGGACAAGCTGAAAGATCGCATCTTCGTCTCAGCACCCGAGTCTGGCCGCATCAGATTAGCCGGCGCTACGCCAGGGGCGCCATTGAGATACCACGAGCACGCGAGCTGGATTGAGATAGGAGCAGCGAGAGTCCTTGCCATTGGCTTAATGACTCCACCCTTCGCTGCTGCTGGGCAGCCCATGGGCTTCGGCAACGAGCTCGCGGTCCAGTTTGACCAGGCACCTCCAGAATTTGCCATCATGACCAGCGAGGGAATCCAAATTCTTCGACGACGGCGCCTCGTCGACATTTTCGCGACGGTCATTCGAAAGGCTCCGGGTGAAGAAGGAATCACGGAGGAGGTGCGCCGATTCATCTACCTGTACGGACGACAAGAGACCATCTCAACTGCTCTTGCAGTGGCCTGCGGTCAAGGCAACGATCTGCGTAACGGCGCTCCTCGTGTGCTCGACCAGGTCACTCAAGACCGAGCACGATCTACATTCATAGACTTCGGCGGCCAGCCGACTGTCGGCGAAACGGATGGGCAACAAATCTCGATAGACTCCGTGAGGCTTTCATACCGATATCATGCCTTGGGCTCATATCTTACTCGCCTCATCCGCCGTCTGTGGAAGGCGAAGGTCATCGTCCAGGGAATCGACGCTGCGAGTGCAGTCGTCGTGACGTCGACCATATCCATGGCCAAGCTCAACTCTGTTCAAGACAGCTTGGACCGCCTCCGAAACTTCCTCCACGCCAACCGTGGTGTCATCCAAGGTCTGTCTGGCCCGCAAGATCTCTCCACGGTCCGCAACCGACACGAGGAGATTGCGATCCAGGCAGAGCACCAGGGCCTCCACGCTCTGCAGCGGCTCATGGAAGGCATCTCGGAGGGCATTTCTTTTGTAGTGATGCTCTTCGACGAGCGAGTCTCCGACATCTTTGTGCGTCTTGACCCGCCCACACAAGACCTACTCCGCAACTTGACGTACGAGCAACTGTTTTCTCAAACGACGGGTCGCGACCTCGCAAAGATTCTTGTCAAGGCTATTGTCAACCGCAACATTGAGAGTGGTGCAAATGTGGAAACAGTAGCGGAAGCTCTGCGACGGCGCTGTGGTAGCTTCTGCAGTCCTGACGACGTGGTGATCTTCAAGGCGCAGGAGCACCTGAAGCGGGCGTCAGAACAGGTCAACAATCCCAATGTCCTCCGCCAGCTTCTCAACGACAGCCTGCGTCTGTTTGAGCGGGTTGCTGGCAACCTCACCTTCGCTAATCTCGAAGGCGCTGTCCAGCAGTATGTTGGGCTGCAATACTACGCGGGCGCTATTGAGCTATGTCTGAAAGTGGCGAGAGAAAAGGATCGTGGCAACTCAGCGCTATCATGGCTCAACGACAACCAACCTGCCAATGATCCTCGGGAAGCGGCTTTCGCCGAGCGCCAACGGTGCTATGATTTCATTCACGAGGTTCTAACGCATCTCGATACTGTCTCAACCCGAGAAGCCGAAATGATGGACGGACGGCCAACCCTCTTTGGTACCAAGCTGAGGGAGGCATACGATGTTGTCAACGGTGCCGGCGACGAGGTGTTTCAATACGATCTCTATGAATGGTACATCGCGCGTGGGTTCACGGAGCGCCTCCTGAATGTCGACTCGCCCCACGTCGTCACCTTCCTCCAGAAGCTTGCCGCGACCCACCGCGAGCATGCCGAGCTGCTCTGCCGCTACTACACAATGCGGCGCAATTTCTACGCAGCCGCCGAGGTTCAGTACAGACTGGCCGAGAGCGAAGAATTCGACATCGGCCTCGAAGACCGCATCAAGTTGCTTGGTCAAGCCAAGGCCAACGCAAGCGTAGCCACGATCGGTGTCAGCCCCCAGCTTCAGCAGGTCCTGAATCACGCAGTCGCGACGATGCTCGAGATAGCCCACATCCAGGACGACCTGCTGCGAAGGCTCTTGGCCGACTCGAGGATACCTGACGAGCGCAAAGACGAGGCCGAGGGAATTCTTAACGGTCCCATCCGTAGTTTGAATGATGTGAGTCTGCTGTGGATGATATGATAATGCATGAGATTTAGGCCATGACTGACAGATGAGCAGCTCTGGAACTCATACGTGAGCCCTGCACAATACTACGACATATCGCTCCTTGTGTTCCATGTTGCCGACCACCACAATCCTCGCGCTATCGCCGACACCTGGCGCAATTTGATTGAGGCCGCGCACGAGGAGGTGGAGGCACAAGAACAGGAATGGGAGGCAGCAGGCCGGCCCCGTGACAATCCCAATGTGATGGAGCCTCCGCTGCCCTACGAACACGTGATGGCCAAGGTTCAGGATATCGCACACCGGACCTCGCTGAACGACCACATCTTCCCCATCGAGTTCATCTTGACATACCTGTGCAGATACTCGATTGAGCACGGGCAGGACGAGCGCATCGGGGCAAACCCGGCATGGCCTGTCCTTCTCTTCCTGAACCTCCACGTTCCATATCCTTCCATCACGCGCGTCCTGGAGCGGATCCTGGACGCACAGGAGGCACCTTTCACGGGGCGCCGGCGCAAGGTGGTCGTGGGGTGGATCGCCGAGGCTCTGCTCCGGTGGGCTCGAGAGGCCGAAACCCAAGGCACCGCCGGGGGCATCGGCCGATGGGTCGAGGATCTTCTGCACCGCTGCCAAGAGGCTCTGGAAGAGATCGCGCACCTCGACGAGAGGAGCGGTAAGCCGCACGCTGCAGACACGCAGAGCCTCTTCGCCCACGTCAGGGAGTTGCAAGGCTGGGTGCAGGAGACGCTGGGTGGACGAGGAACCACTGGGGTGAGGCTGTTTTAATGGGTGGAGAGAAACAAAGAGAGAGAGAGAGAGAGAGAGAGAGAGAGAGACAGAACCAGCGTGGGCCTTGGGAAGGCAGGGAGTGATGAAAGTATTCGTGAGAGCGCGATACGCCTACATATGTCACGGAGTCCAGTGGTCCAAGAAGGATGGTGAGTCGGGGGGAAAGGCGCCCTCGACGAGGGAACATGGGGCGATAGCATCTTGTCGCAATGGATGACAGAAGCGAGTGCCGCCGGGTGGAATCTCTTTAGGCGTGCATGCTATCTGTGGTGTGGCTGACGGCACGCATATGTGGCTCTGGATAAGTCTCGTCCTCATGTGCAATTTGAAACCAGAAAGACAGAAAGAAGAAAAGAGAAGAAAAAAATAATGATATCTGTACGATTCGGGGAAGTCTATGAGCCTAGAGCCTGTTCTCTTCTTATGCGGTATTTGCTAGGATGGTGTGTTTTGATGATGATCATTTTGGCCGTCTACAACAACCAGAACAGCAACAGTTTACGCCTCCCGCCCTACCTCAGCTTATATATACTCCTGCTTCCACGAGCGGCCATCGTACGGGTTCCGGTACCAGTTCTTCCTCTCATCGCCCAGGCACTCCCCAACGGTGACCAGGTCGTACCCCTTCTCCCTGGCCTCGGTGATCATGAACTCGGCAAGCTCGTACACGGTCCTCTCGTGTATATCGTGGGCCAACACCAGCCTACTGGACGAGTCCGGGTCGAGCCCCTCCAGTGCCGTCTCGAAGTTGCGCCGCGCAGCGTCGTAGTCGCCCTCCCAGTCGCGCGTGTCGACGTCCAGGCTGACAACGTGGTATCCCAGCACCGCCATAAGGTCCAGCGTCTCCGGTGCCCACGACAGGTACGGCGGGCGGAAGTACGTGGGCAGCAGGCCCAGGATACCGACCAGAGCCTGCTCATTGCGCCACATCTGGCGGCGTGCCTCACGTTCCCCAGTGGTCGCCAGATCCGGGTGCGCCCAAGTGTGGCTGCCAACTTGGTGGCCCGCAGCGAGCATCCGCCGCAGGAGGCGCGGGTGGCCGTACCCCGTCAGCTGGGCGTCCGCCATGTTCCCGCCGCACACAAAGAAGGTGGCGCGGGCCTCCTCGCGCTCCAGGAGGTCTAGGAGGTCCGACGTGTACCGCCAGGGCCCGTCGTCAAAAGTGAGTGCCACCGTCCCAGGCACGCTGCACGAGGTAATGATCTGGCCGTAAGGGACGGAGCCCAGCTCGGGGCGTGGGAGGGTGGCGAGGTAGTCGAGGGGTGGGAAGGGGGAGTACGGTGTAGTATGGTTTCCAAGGTTCGTAGTCGAGGTTTTAGCTAGGGATGGCTGGCGCTTGCTGGCCTTCTTGGTGTTGTTGTCTGGACTGCTAGGGGGAGGACAACGCAGCTCGCCGTTTACGCTGCCTTGTGTGTCGCAGCCGGTGCTGTATAAGGGCACGCAGTTGTTGGCGCTGCAGGAGGTGCTGTCAGAGCCACATCTTTGCGTCTGGAGTACGCTTGGGTCAGTCGAGAATATTCTTTGGTGAACGCATCTGCCGTTCAGGAAGAGGGAAAAGGAGAAAGAGTCTCTTGTCACACCTTCAATGAGCAGCAGAGACCGTCCCTACAGACTCCACCATCTTTCCATTCAAACCCACATCTCTGTCCTTGGCCAAGCATAACGGTATCACTCGGTGTGTTCAGGAGCCTTACACGTGAAGAGGCATGCTTAGTCCGATAAGCAGCGACGTGTACAAGGAACGGCAATACAGCCAGTTGTGCTGCAAGAACCGGCTTCATCATGAGCCCTTCGAGGGTCGAGTAACGATGCAATAATCAACAGCGAGCAGGAGTGTGTGGCCATTGAAGAGCAGCAGCAGGATAGTCCAGGAGAGAGGGTGTGGGGGATAGAAAGACTTGACCAGAAAAGGCCGAGAAGTGTAAGAGAAGAGGAAAGTCGTTGGGCTCGAGTCCTGTGAGAAGCGTCCACCATTTTCCTCCTTCTGCATCTTGCATTGAAGGAAGGCCTTGACATCATCGTCTTTGAACGAGCCACGGCATTATCAGCCAGGAAGGCACATTGGGATGGCTGTGTAAAGGCCCTGGTGTTGTTGTTCAAACCTTCCATAATATCTACTCAAGGACCTACACAGGCCTCTCTAACAATAAACTCATTCCATTACAAACCAAAAGTTGTTACATTTGCAATCCCATATTTGTATCATTATACAACTATACAAAAAAAGAGGCCTCTGTCTGTCTCCAGTCCTTCTATACATGTATATACCATGAGGACCCAAACGACCCATTTATCCAAAAACCACCAATGCATGTTCCCCCGCCTATCTACATTTAATAACCACCTTGACCATGCTCCTCTCTCTCTCTCTCTCTCTCTCTCTCTCTCTCTCTCTCTCTCTCTCTCTCTCTCTCTCTCGCTGTCCTGGTTCAGCTTCCCCAGAAAACCACCCAGACGCCTCCTGCTCCCTTGTGTATACGCTCGTCTATCCTTTAGTATTGTTGTTTCCGTCCGCGCCGTCGCAACATCAACAGACTGCCTTCCCCCCTCCCCCGAAAAGAAATTTTATCGTTCGTTCATGAGAGAAAAAGCCCAACACACCGCAAACGCCGCGTGAAGAATTCATCGTCATCATGCCAGTATCGTACAGAAGAGCAGCGCGAGCCTATATCTCTTCGATCGTGATGCAAGTTGTATAGCGGTAAGGATCCAGAAAGTTGTAAAATGGAGGCCGGATGTGTCTTGGGCCCCTTTACGGCTCATATCATAAGAACGCACCGGGTCTCCCTTCCCCCTGTGGCGTCCCCCTGCCACTCCCAGGTGTGGCATACCTTGGCGGTGTCCCGTGTGTCGGTGGCCTCGGCGGTGTACTGCCCTGCGCCTCATGGCGTCTTTCGACACCATCGTTCTCCTTGGCACCGCTGATGCCCAGGCCCTTCTCGTCTCCACTGCTGCTGCCGCTTCCCGTCCTTCCCCTCGACGAAGTCCCCGTGATGCCGCGGCCGTACCGGTTCGGACTGTCGTCTGCATAGACCTTCAGGTCGCCGTCGTCGTACTCATAGTCGTCAGGGCTGCCAGTGTCATCATCATCCTCCTCGTAGGATGGAGGGGATCTCCTGGAGCTAGATGCATTGTCGCCACCGTGCACGAGACCAAGGCGTTCCTCTTCTGTTGGGAACTCGTCAGCAAAACAAACAATCGTTATAAAAGAGCAGTAACACGAGAAGAAAAGAAGGGTATCTTGTGCTTACCAGTCGCCGTCTTTACGTGCGGGGCAGAGTATCCTCTGCTCGAGAAGGGCCTGTTGCTCTTAGACGACGTCGGCCGGTCATCCGCCTCGTCATGCTGCTGCTGGTCTCGGTTCCTCTTGAACACATTCTGGAACGAGAACTGCCGTCTCGCCGACACGCGTCCTGGCGTTCCGTGTGGTGGTGGCGTGGGCGCTGCCAGACTACCCGGTGTGTGGCGTGTCTCTCCACCGAACTGAATGTGTCTCTCTGCCGCCCCCGGGTCATACTCGGTGTGGGCGGCCGAGATGCCATAGTTGCTGCTGCCCAGGCTCAGGTTGCTGGCCCCAGTGTGCTGCGCCGGCATGGCAATGTCGGTGAGCTGCACCGGGTGCATGGGGCTCTGCGCCTTGCTATTTTTGCCCGCGCCGAAACCGAAGCCCTGTGCGCTCGCCGTCGTGTCGACGCTGCCCGATCTAAAGTCAGGGTGGCCCGGCAGCACGCTCGTAGCGCGCGAGCGGATGGTGCCGATGACACTGGACAGACCAGCAGAGAAGGGCCTGTCGTCGTCGTGCTCGGCGAGCTCCTCGTCCGTCGGGAAGCGCGACATGCCCAGCGGCGGATGCGGGCTGCCCATGGTGCCGGTATGCTGTGGAGTCGAGAAAGTGGCAGCGTGGACGGGCGTCGACGTGGACCTGCTGCGGTGGCTACCCAGAGTGGTCCTGCGGCGGCGCAGGCCGTCCCATTCAAACTGTGGCACGCCCTCCTCGCTGACGGCCTCGAGCCGCTCCGCCTCCTTCTCCAGGCGCAGCCTCTTGAGCTCCTCCACCTCCATCTTTTCGCGTGCCGTCGAGAACCGGCGAACCAGAGCCGCGGCACCGCGGATCGCGTCGGCCTTGGGCTCTGTCTCGGGCTGCTCTTGCTCGGCGATGGTGTGGATCTGGTTGAGGTCGCCAGCGAACACAGCAGAGTCGGGTACGTCCTTGGCCGACTTGGAGAGCTGCAGCAGGACGACGCCCGAGCAGATCACCAGGAATCCCAGCACAACCGTCACAATGGAAGTGACGGTGCCCTTGAATCCCTGGAAGAGGACCGCCGAGGTGATGATGGTCGTACTGGTGAAGTAGACATAGTATGTAGGTGTGACCATGGCCGCGTTAAAGATATTCAGTGCTTTGTTGAGGAAGATGATCTCGGTCAAGAGCGTGCCGACGACAAACACCAAGAGCACGTAGAGGAACCAGTGGGTGAATTGTGACTCTCCTCCTGCCTGAGCGACAATCGCAGAGCCCAGTCCCTGGGTGGCTACCACGCTCAGCCCTCCGACCCAGCTGCATATCGAAATGTACACCAGCATGTTCTTCTTGCCGTACTTGGGACCAGCCCAGAAAGCAGTCACGGCAGCTCCAACGATGATGACGCCGGCGTAGGACAGAAAGCCAGGCTGAATGACATAGTGCTGCATCTCCTGGATATCTGCAACAGACGACTCCTCGGGAGCGTTCATGACGATGACGACGGAGCCCACGATACACAGGAAGCAGGCAACCTTCCCAACCATGCTCAGGCGCTCCTTGAGGAAGATGGCAGAGAGTATGGTGCAGATGACGACGGACAGGGCGCCGAGCGGGGTGACGAGGATGGCGTCGGTAAAGGCATAGGCGACAAAGTTGAGGATCTCGCCCAGAATCATCAGGGTCATGCCCGTCCACCAGAAGGCGTTCTTGAGGTAGCCATAGCCTTCGCCGGCAGCCTCATTGTACTTCTCATTGGCCTTGAGCAGGCCTACCTTCTTGAGGACGAATGAGGACCCGATGAACAGGCCTGAACCGATGGCAAGACATATGCCGATGACTTTATAGGAGGCTGGTCGCTCGGTGGTGGAGGACGAGTCGGAGGATGTGTCGTTCGCTCGGGTGTATATCTCGTGCGCTGTAGCCAGCACGGCTCCTGCGGCGTCCATGCTGCTTGTCGTTCGGGTGTGGCTCTACCCAGACCCCAAGAAGGAGGGCAGAGAGCGAGGACGAGGACGAGGAGGGGCGGAGTCTGGGAGGGAGGTTGGATAATGAAGGGGTGCCCTATTCCGGTAGCGCAGGCAACGACAGCGCGCTCGCTGCGTTTGAGCAAGGCCTGCACTTCCTGTCGATGGATCGATCAACCCGTTGTGGTTCGTCCCTGAAGAGAGAACAGTGGTAGTTGCTCCAGTCGGGTAGCAAGGAGTGTCGTCGTCTCTTGTGTCAAAGCGCAAGCAATTGTTGTGGGGGAAAGTAAACAATATCGAGACCCGTGGATTTCAGTGACGACATGTACATTCCCATGCAGAATAATTAAACAACCAAACTGACTGATAAAAGGATGTCTGGCAGGACGGTGGAGACGTGCTTGTGTTCTGGGTCCGTTGAAACTGAGCAAGGTGGTTTGTGGGTTGGTGGACCAGGGGAAAGAAACAGTTTTATTCTGGTGGTTGTCGCCGTGGTTGCTTGCTGAAGGTGGCTGCTCCCTCTATCAGGCCGGCAGCAGGGGGGAGGGTGATGTCAGAGGCGGTAAAGCAGGGTAGCACTATTGACAAAGCAGGAATCGAGCAGGTCCAGAACGGAAACAGTATCTGTGTGGGATTCACTTTGGCCAAGCTGCATGAGCACAAGGACAAATTAGTTTCAACCCCCTTCCAAGTGTGTCTTTTTACAACATGTCAAAGCACGTGGGAACGACGAGAAGAAGGAGGAGGACATACTGAAGAAGTGGTAAAAGTAGTAGTAGTAGTAGTAGTAGAAGTACTATGTAGAAGCGCCCAGTGGGAAAATCGTGAGACGGATTGTGTTGGATGTGGGAGGAGGATTGGTGACATGGGAAGGGCCCAGAGTGTTGGCCCAGAACAACACGCCCACTACCCAGTAATTGCTAGCCAATGATCACTGGCCAACTAGTGACCAGAGTTACGCACGCAGGCACTAACGCCAAAAGAGGCCACTCACTCCTTCCCTCTTGCCCTCCTTGCCTCCTTCCTTACCTCCCTCGTCTCCCTACGAAGCGTGGAAAGTATGTACAGGGTACTTGGCTTCAGTTTATCTCTTCCTCCAGTGCGAGAATGCATTGGTGCAGAGTTCCTATCAAAATTTCTAAAATGTATTGAGGAGGCACAAGGGATTTCTAGTCTTGTCTTTCTGGGTCCCGTTTAAAGTTCTCTCTCAGACAGGAAGACCCCAGACAAGACCCCAAACGTTACTATTTATGGGTCCCTGGGAAGGCGCGGTTGTACATACATAGTACTATACACGCGTACATGAAGAAAAGGTAGAAAAAGCTTGAGTCAGTGGAGCATTGGGAATTGTTGGTGGTTGGGAGTCGAGCAGGGCAGGAGGGGAAAAAAAGAGAAAAGACATGGAAAAAGAAATATAGACATAAGAAAGTGTTTAATCCCAGCTTCAGTCAGGAGAAGAGAGGAAGAAAGAACCCCTCCCCCTCCAACCCAACAGGTAACCATGAAAAGGCTGCTTGACAAGACAGTGCAGTGACTGGTACCAGCACACGACCTACCATGTACAACATACGACAAGCCACACCACAAAAAGGCCAAGAGGCTAAGGACCGCAAAGGGCAAAGCACGTCTCGCCCCCCTCATCGAGGCTGTGCTGCGCCAGTGAGCCAGTCAAGTTTCGCTTCGCCTGATGAACTTGAGGATCGACATGCTTTTGAAGCATTCCTGAGCAAAAAGTGTTATGGTGGGTGGCTTCGCGTTGCTCGACCGAGGCAAAAAGAGGGACGTCGAGACCGACCTGCCAAAAATCCCACGTACCCACACCCAAACTTCCCACATGCCCAAGCCCCTGGGTCGGGTTTTGTGGGGGCGAACATTCGGAAACATCAGACCTATTGGCTGCAAGCTACCGGTGGTGCGACGTAAGGGCCGAGCGGTATGGACAGAGGCCCCGTTTCCCGCATCGGCTTCGTTCTTTCTCTTCAGGCCTGCGTCCTACTTTTTTTTTTTTTTTTTTTTTTTTTTTTTTTGGTGGTGTCAGCGTATTTCTCTGCCGATGTTCCGGAACAGCAAGAAACGCAGAGCAGGAGACCACGCCTGCCTTGCGCCGTCTTGCACTCGATGTTACAGCAACGGTGTGATCATCATTAGATCTTCCAAAGAATTGTTTTAGTAGTACCCAGACCAGATCTACAGGATCCGCAAAGATCAGCAGCGCTCAATTACACAGTACCTGTTGTTACCTACAACCCTTCAGCCCTACGAGACCCCTCCGCCCTCATGGCAACTTCTTGACGAGCAGGTGATCTGTGCTTTTGATAACCATGCAACTCAACCAACATCTCTATCGTGTGACACCTGTGACTGATTCTGAGTTACAAATTATGTCTAGAGTAGGGACTCACGGTATAGCAGTCCCCTCTCCCATGTCTCTACCGCTAGCAGCGCACACCTGTAAGGGAAGTGAGGTGAGCTCAGCTTGGTCATGCATACATACGCCCATGGGGGGCGTCCCCCATCGTGTTAATTAGCCCCTGCTGTGCGGACATCGCCCCCTCCCCCTCCACACTGCGATACGAGGTTATAGTAGAGATCGCTCCATGTGAGGCCTCTCAATCACGCGATGGCCTGTTGGGTCTCTTGTCTATGCGTTTTGTCGTAAAGACCAACCATTACGGATCATTCCCAGCGAGGTGACACGCCCTCAATTCTTGCAATGAGGCCTGGCACTGGGGTGCATGTGTCTACACGGCACGGGAATTCGGTGGTCTGCATGTGTAGTGACGGAGATACTGGACCATACTATCTGCTTTTAATTGGAGAGGGCTGAGAGGGTGGAGGAGGCATTGGAAGGGGCGCCGGCCTGCATTCACAAAGCGCCAATCTTCTCTCCCAATGTACGCCCAAGGGGCCTTTAGAACAAGTGGCAGGAGACGTGTATGGAAAAGGCGTGCCTCGAGTGAGGTTGCGCGGGTAAATGATGGAGAAGTACTATGATAGCAATTCGCCGCTCTTGACATTTCCTGTCCGCAAATTCCATATTTCTGCAACTCTTTTTTCATTGAATGAATTCCTACGGCCGAGTGTATACGGGACTTATCTACCTCGGGGCGTGACCATGTATTAACAGCAAAGGGTATGAGGAATTCTACAGCGGAAATTTGAAATCACACAAAAGAGGCGGAACGGCATGGCCACAGGGCTTTACAAAGAGCCTTGTGACAATCCATTCTCGCCGTCAAAATGAATGGCTTCCTTGTCTGCTATTTCCTGTCCTGTAATTACGTCTCCCTTTGTTCCATCACGACTACGCCAGTCCATGGCAAATACCCAAGTTGATGAGGCTCTGTTCTTGACAAACCCACTTCTCATATGAAAGAACCAACAGACACAAAACTGGCCCGGCAGGTTTGTGTCATCTTTCCTCAACGTCATTCCTTCTTCCTAGACATGCAACCTAACAAGTTGTTACTATTGACGGCCGCGGTCTGTTTCTCGACCGTGGTGGGCGCCGAGGAGGATTACTGCGAGGAGCCGACGATATCAGCCGCGCAGACAGGTCTCGTCTTTGCCACTGTATCATCATCATCACCGCCGCCACCGACCTTGGAATCGACGTTTCCAGACAATGAAGCGCAGAAGACCAGCGTCAGCATCGTCTCCCAGTCATGGCTGACAGGAGCAGGGCAGTCCACAACCACTTTCCTGGCGGCAGAAGCAACTTCCTCTTCATCTCGTCAACCCATCTCGGCGCCTCCTTCAAGCGTTAGCCCTGCAGCAAGCACCCAGGATGTTATTTCAGCGGAGGAAATCTCTTCTCCAGCTTCGGCTCACACAACGAGCAGCACATCAGCCGAGGCAGCCCAGACCTCGAGCCGTTCCGCGACTCCACGGCTGACACTTACAGGTCACGCATCCGTGCACTCTGCGCTGGCGCTGTGTGTTCCCCACGGGACGTACTGTCCTCCTGCCTCGGGCAACACAACCTCGACAACTCTGGCTATTCTGTCTGCGACGTCCACCGTTACCTCGACCCACAACACTACAGTTACAATAGCAAAGCATACGACGGCATCCAGCAACTATAAGTCTTCCTCTGTTTCCACTGTCCGCCGTGTGAGGAGGAACTGTGGAGGGAGCACAAGCCAGGGAATTGTGAACCTGTCCTCGACTGCCTCGATGATCATGGCGAGTAGTAGTGGGGGTGCGACGATAATGACATTGGAGACGGCGACTGGGCCACTTGCAACATCAAACGCTGTCCAGAAGACAACAACGGAGACGAGCACACCAGTGTCTTCCGCCTCGGAGACACCTTCGTCAACTTCTCAGTCCTCTGGAGCATGCAGGGGGGCTGTTAGGCCAGTCAAATTTATGATGATACTTCCTGGGGTGCTTGCGATTGTCTATAATTTGGTTGCACTCACATAATACTGGATTAAAGGTTGAGCCCACTTCGCTTAGCAAGTCTGGCTGTATTTCTTTTCCCTGTTGTAAATAATCTTGCAACATTCTATTTATGTAATGTCTCCTATAGAGACATGGTACCTTAATCACTCAGAATGTATAGATTTGTAGCTTGCTATCATAACTACCTTCCTTCCATCATAATTAATGCTCTTTGTGCTGCAAGCTAATTACGCACCGCAAAGAGCAACCCTGATCGGAGTGCCGCCTCTCTAAACAGATTGTGACCATTTCTAGAATATCAATCATAGGGTCTTCGTGATGCCGGTTCCGAGCCTTACTCTTGTTGGCTGCAAGGATGTCGGAGCCAACTGCATAAGTATGCTGGCCTGGTTGCACAAGGCAGTTGGTCCGCATCTCCGGGTTACCCGCCCATGCAACCTTTCAGAACTGCAATGCAAAGTGAATCACATAATTGCAGCAAAAGAACAAATGTAAGTCTATCCTATATATAGCTCACGAAGGCGAGTCGCCGACACCCTAGCCTCTGGCCCCAAAGTTCAATGGTACTGTGCTACTTCGAATTAGAAACAAAGAAGCCCTCCAATACCTACCTAGCCTCAGATTTGGCCAGCATAAATACTTTCCTAAGTGCATGTGAACTTTGGAAAACAAAGAGAACCCCTCAAAAGAAAAAAGAAAACGAGAACATACCTACTCATGCTCACCTCCAAAATGATCCTCGGTCCATCTTGAATATCTGAATGGATAACATCTCCTGCCCCGCCCAGGGGGGCGGCAACCCTCCCACAACAGGCATCCTCTCCCTCCCCGACGAGATCCTAATTGAGATATTCACTCTCGTAAAAACCTACAAGCCAGCCAACCGCGCCACACACATCGGCTTCGCCTCCTCCGCGGCCGACATCGTAAGCACCCGCCTCGTCTGCCGCCGCTTCGCGGCCGCCAGCGCACACCTGCTCGTACATTACATCCGGCTCGAAGGCATCGACGCTCAGTCCCTAGAGAAACTCGAGACTATCTCGCGCCACCCGCTCATCAGCAAGGGCGTGAGAATTGTCAGACTTGAGGCGGTTTGTTATGTGCACCAGTTGGCTAGCAATCTGAACGAGTTCGCGGGCTGGGCTGTGCGGAGGGTGTTGGAACGTGCGCAAAAGTACCAGCGGGCTTGCGAGAGGACGCTGGAGAGGGCAGAGTCTGGGGGATATGGCTATGACCAAGATGTAGTGTTGCAGAGAGCGAAGGTGGCGGCTGTGCTGGAAAGAGTCAAGGCTGTGTTGAAAACATGGAATCTTGTCAGCACGGGGAATGCGCGAGATCTGCTTTGGAACTTGGAGAGGTTCTCAGACACTTCCGTGTCTGAGGAGGACAGACATCGCCACATCGAGTTACTGCGTGCTGCACACAGGCGCTACCAGCTACGATACAGCGAACAGGAAAGCCTGCGAGAGGGCAGCAACGCCTTTGTGGAGAGATTTACTGCGGCCATAGCACGTATGCCCAGGATGAAGGCTCTCGAGCTACAAGACTTCCATCATCAGGAGGACATCAAATACCCAGATTTTGAGGATGTGGATCAAAATGTATTCGTCAGTCCTACCACACGAGACGAAGAATACGACGGTCTTCTCGATCTTGACGTCGTCGTCAAGCCTTTGTCTTGGAACCAAGTTTTGTGTCAGCAGCTGGGAATGCCTCCGGCCCAAGTCCTCTTCAACCTTCCCCTCGCTATACATGAGTCTGGCTGCAAGCTCGACAGGATCTGCGTTCGGACGACCACACCTGCAGAGCAATATTACCGACTTCTTTGGGAGACCGTTGAGCAGAATCCTGTTAGACTCGCCTCCGCGGTCAGTTCTATGGGTATCAAGGATTTCGCCTTCATCCATGGGTGCGGGCACGGTTCCAGGGAACGGAAGACACCAAATACCGAGGATACAGCAGCGTTTCAACGCTACATCGCTGCCATGACACACAGCAACAGCCTCGAACGGTTCAGACTTGCTGTCGACAGCGGCTGGGTCGAAGGCAATCTCAATTCGGATCACTGTTTCAGACTTGCCTCTTTGGCCATGCCGTGCATTGATACGACGTTTGGCGGGCCCACGCGCTCGTGGATGAATATGAAGGACATGCACCTGTCTGACATGCCCCTACGTCTCACTGATCTGGAGTGTCTTGAGAATATACTCAAAGGAAACGGTGTTAGACTGCAATACTTGACCTTGTCACGCATCAAATTGGTGGACGGGACCTGGGCACAGGCCCTGGAGATCCTGCGCCGGCTCGTTGTGGCCGACAAGGAACTACTCGAACCTGTTGGAGCCGAATGTGATGACCCAGCCATGTCGCTTTCTGGGAGATATAACGTGGTCTTTGGCACTAGACCTGGGCAAGAGAGTGTGGCTGGGCATTTTATCAACGGTAGAATTGAGAATAACCCGCTGGTTCATGGTATGAATGAGGATCATCCTCCTCAAGCAGAAGGAGAAGGTTTGGTTGAGGGAAAGGAGGCTGAGAATGTGGACATAACCAAAGGCAATATGCCAGAATAAGGATATCTTGGTTACGAAATCATAAAGAAATTGAAGATATCTTACCACAATATTGAGGTTCGGCACGTTCCTCCTGGACTTGTCTCTTGGGATTCATTGTAAGAATTGGTGTTACTTGAATTTCTACAAACGCTGATAAGCATTGATGAGACTTGGTTCTGCGAGTCAATGGTAAACACACCAGAAAAGCCCTGCTTGATCTGTCTCATAATACAACACCATCTACTTGTATATTGTCATCTATCAATACAGAACCATACCTCTCTAAGCAGCAGTTCCGTTCAACAAAGAATTCGGAATAAACTGCGGCATCGCATCCTCCCACATGCCATCCGTCCACACCGTCTTGTTCGACCCGTCCGCATTCATCAGCATAATCTTGCCATACGGCTGCCAGATGTTATCATACACAGGGCCCTCCTCAGGAAACCCAAACTGCGAGCCCACATACCAGATCCTGCCCTCCGCGGTCCAGGTAGCATGTGCATCGTTCCCCAGCGACTCGGGCGTCAGGTTCTGGAAATCCGACCCGTCCAGGTTGATCGTGCACACATCATAGTTATCATCATACGGCCCGGCGATGGGCGTGCTGGTGCGCCGGGTGAAGAGGATGGTGGACCCCGTGGGCGCGAACGAGGGCAGGACGTCCCACGCCGTCGTCAGCACGGTGGTGTTCCCGGTCTCGAGGTCCAGGACGCGCAGGCCACCGGACCAGTCGGTGGCCTGGTCCCAGGTGCGGTAGACCATGTAGCGGCCGTCGGGCGACAGGCTCGGGAACCCGGCGTTGATGCCCGTCTCGTTGACCAGCACCTCGTGCCACGACCCGTTGGCGGCGACGCGGTAGATGAGCCCCAGGTCGTCCTCGCGCGTCTGGAACCAGCTGCCCAGCCCCACCACCAGCCAGTCGCCGTCCGGCGACCACGAGGGCTGGAACGCGCCCGCGTCCGTGCCGGCTGCCAGCGCGGCGGGGATCACGTCGTCGGTGAGGGCGCTGAAGATCTCGGTCTGGTGGGTGCCGTCCGGGCGCATGGTGTAGAGCGAGCCGTTGGCCAGCTCCTGTTCGCTGATGGCCAGCACGCCCTGTTTGGAGAGGGTCGGGAAGACGTCCATGTTGCGGTACTCCCACTCGTCGTTCCAGCTGTAGAGGGGCTTGTTGATGGGCCGCCAGGTGAGCGCGCCCGAGGGGGTCCCCCACACTGGCTTCTCGTACACCAGCAGGGTGCCGTTTGGTGACCAGGCGGGCGAGGCGATGGCGATGCCGCCTGGGATCGAGGCCCGGCTGGTGAAGTTACCACCACCCTGCGCCTGGGCAGAGACGTAGTTGAAGCCTGTCGTCTTGTTCCGGTACCCAATCGTGTTCGCATCGACATACTGCGGGAACACCTTGACACCACTGCCCGACGTGTGATTGACACGGTCTGTCCCTGTGGCAAAGTCCACCGACACAATCTGGCTCTCCTCCTCATCCATCAGGTCCAGCCGCCTCGCAAACACAGTGGACTCGGTGGTCATCTCGTAGAACACGATGCGCGACCCGTCAGGCGAGAACTTGGGCGAGCCGAGGGAATACCCCGAGTTGTTGACCACCTTGCGGTACCCGCTCCCGTCCGGCCTGATGGCATAGATGGAGAGTTCCTGCGTGTGTTCCCAGCCAGACACATTGTTGTGTCCCCTCCACAGCGTGTCCTTGTCCGAGGAGAACACAATCCACTCTCCATCCGGAGACCAGGCCGGTCGGAAGTGTCCGTCCGGCAGCTGCCAGTCCCCAGCAACCTCGGTGGAGTTTGTAATGTTCCACGACGTGCCCGTCTCGAGGTCCATGACCCAGATGTTGCTCTTGTAGTTGCTGCGCGTCGAGTGGAACGCCACCAGGCTCCCGTTGGGCGAGATGGCTCCGCCGCCCTCGACGTAGGGCGTCGTGGCGAGGGCCTCGAGGTCGCTCCCGTCAGGACGAGACCGCCACAGGTCTGAGTTGCCGTCGCCGTTGCGCTCGCTCGTGAAGACGATCCACTCGCCGTCGGGGGACCACTGGGCGTGATACTCGTACACAGAGTTGTTGCCCAGCAGCAGCCGCTCGTTGCTGCCGTCGGCGTTGGCGATGTAGAGCTGTGAGGACACGGGCGAGTTGCGGTTCATGTACAGGATCCCCTTTTTGCCCTCGATGGGGGCGTCGGCGTTACGTCCCATGAGAGGCGCCGGTGAACCTGACGCTCCAGCATATGGACAGGCCGCGCCTGCGAGCCTGGCGGTGGCGACGATGAGAGGAACGATAGCCCAGCGCATCTTGGAGGCTGTTTCTTCACGGTTGGCTGTGTGTGTGTGTGTGTGTGTGTCTCTCTCTCTCTCGATACTCATCTGCCCTCCCTGTTGAGGGTTGGACGCCTTTTTATAAATTGAACATATCACAATGATTTACTGCAGTATGGTCCGCTTTCTTCTTCTTCCTCTTCTTCTTCCTCCTCCTCCTCCTCCTCCTTCTCCTCCTCCTCCTCCTCCTTCTACCCGCCTTGTTCACCGCGATGCTCGGTAGTATTCCCTATGTCGGTATGGAGAAGTACACCCCTGGTGAATCCTTCCTGGCTCCCTGCGTTGCAAGTAGAATCACGCAAACCATATCTCCATCTGGAAGGTGACAGGCGGCCAACGAATACAACTCTCAGGGTATAATTTTCACACTTCGCCACCCAGGCAGTACATACTCGCCAAGTGAACTTATTATTACTTCTCCTATATTTACGCATTTTTTTTATTAAAAAAAGATATATTTATTACAGACAGGCCTGGCTCACTTTCTGGTATCTATTCACTAAACTGGCATTTATTTATCAAAAAGAGTCTGATTTCAGCCTGGATTCTGTATAGTATAGCATGTACAGCCTAGGTGGCGAAGTGTGAAAATTATACCCTGAGAGTTGTACTACCCTGGCAATTGTCAAAGTGTTTTGAATATAAAATGATGACCTTTATGAGACATGCCAAGACAATGAAACCCTGCATGATGCATGGGCGGTGTAAAACAATCACAGTATGTCCAGTTTATTGTCTACATGACCGACGATCGACGATCGTTGCCCTGGATGAGCTGACGAGCTCGGACGTTTGTTTTGGAGAAAACTCGGCGACAAAAGAGGTTGTGCTTAGACCAAGTAGCAGTGGCGAAAACAAATCCCGCCGTTGTCTGTTTTTCTTTGTGCACGAGTCCATCCGACAAGGACTTTGATGTTTTTCTCGATCAATTTGATATTAGCTTGAGAGATGCTCTAATTACTCCTATAAGACCTCGATACCTTTCCTCGGAGCCGAGATACAGATAATATGGCTCTTTCTATGGTTACCTCCAAGTCCTGGCCGTACTCACTACCCATTAATTAATGACAACATGATATCCACCAACACCACTTTGCAAAAGACCCAGAGACCCATAATAGCCAGCCCTTGACACATACAAACAAATGACTTGTAGTTTCTCCAAAGTACTGGCTTCGTCATCCTCTACTCGGAGAATTCGGGCAAACCGGGCACAGGCTCCCTGGAAACCTGATGATCGACATGTACTCTTGAAGCATATCGTGTGCCTTGTCAACACTGACTGCGCTTTCTGAGTGTTTTCCGGGATCTTGAGGCGGCAGACATGCGGCAATTCTATCCCCCGTGCGCTCTCCAGACCTCCAAATCTTTGCTTTTGACGTGGGATGTTTTGTCCAACAAGATCGAGCGAGTAAGCCCCCGCCTGGAATCGGAGCGGTCATCTGAAGATTCGGTGGTTTTGGAGCCTGAAGAAAGCCCAGCTGTGATCATAAAATCCGAGGTTGGCTCGGAAGACGACAGAAAGAGAGGGTTATGTGGCTCCCAATCGTGTGAATACTATTGCAAAGCAGTGAAGAGCGGTCTGAGGGCAGGGGGAGTGCATGTGGTGACTTCTGTATGTATACAGAAAGATCAGGGGATGCCAGATCATGATGGTCATTATAAAATATGTAAAGTGTTATGAATGGCTTGATTTTTATGATTAGGTCTATATATTTCAAAGACGCGGGCGATTGATTCTTCAGCAGAGCTCGCACGTAAAGAAAGTATTTATTGTCCATGTTGTAATTTTTCAGCCTGGCACGCAATTATATACGACTACAGACAGACTAGAACACGATAAATGGCCACATTGGACTTGATAATGTGCGTGCGTGGTGGAGATACTCATGTTGTATTCCTTTAGTTCATGGGAATTTCAAGGAAGCCAATGTCTTCAGTTCTGTGGTTTCTGATCTTGTAACAATATTAGCCCACCCCATCAAGCAACCAAAAAGTGTGACTCTACGGGTATAAATGGCAGGTCTACTTCTTTCATCTAATAAATCACTACATATTACCTAAATCGTGATATGAAACATTAGCCTGCCGGAACACAGTGACTGGACACATCCAGAATGCCATGCTCCTCGTTCTCACCTCATACCGTACACGAGAGTACTCAATTGATACATATCAAGACCCTCCTCAATCATAATAAAAGCAGAAAATTCCATGTGATTTATATAACGCGAGCTTGAATTGCTAAAGTGGGTATTTGATAGAAGGAAAAACGATCCTGCAAACCATGCCATGTATCAAGACATGTCAACCGGGTTGAAAGAGAGCCCCAAAGGAGAAATTGTAGAGGGGAGAAAGAAAAAAAAAAAAAGAGGAAAGAGAAAACAAATCGCCCCCCTCCTTTCCCAACATGCCAATGCCAACCAAGTTAGTCGTTGTGTCCACTCTCTTTCATTCCATCTCCTATCATGAATCGCCCGTACCATTTGAAAATATATCATATCATCCCATCATATTTCTTCATGCCATCCAAGATGTCGTTTCCGTCCCTTGATTAAGTAGGTTTTTTTTCTCTTTAGTTCCCCTTCAACTTCTTCCACAAGCCTCCGAAGCCGCCGCTACCGCTCCTGGCGCCGGCGACATCTGGGGCAAAGGACGAGCCTTTCCTCTCCCGACGGCGCTCATCGCTCCCGTCACTCCTCTCCTCTCTCCTCTTCTTTCTCCTGTCTCGGTCTCCGCTCATGTCGACATCTACGTCGCCGTACCTTCTCCTGCGCCGCCTCTCCCGCCGTGCAGCATCATCCTCGCCCTCGTCCGCAGCCTCTGTCGTCATCCCTCCGTCATCAGGCGGGGGGCCGGCGTCGCTGTGGTCCTTGACCCAGCTTGAGGTGCCCGAGTGAGGCCAGGCTGGAGCAGGGTCCGCCGCCATCTTTCTTGAGGCTTTGTCCAGGCCATCTGTGTGTCGACGTGAGGGCTTGGCCGGGCGCGCGTAGACAAAGTCATCCTCGTCAGGTTCGGTCCGGCGCCGTGTGGGGGGCTTGGCCTCCCCCTCGCGGGCAGCAGCATGCCTCTCAGCCCGGCGTCGGCGGCGTTCTTCGTCATATTCACGATCGCTCTCCCCGGCCCGTGCCTTGCGCCGCTCACGTTTGGCAGCCCGGCGCGCCGCATCGGCCTCAGCGTCGTCTGCTGCGAGTGCCTCGCGCCCCTTGTCGCGGTCGAGCCGCTTTTGTCGTTTCCGCTCCTCCCGCGCGGCGTCTTTCTCTTCAGCAGCCCGGCGGCCCTCTTCTGCCCGGTGGCGCGCGGCTTTCTTCGCGGCGTGTCGAGCCTCCCTCTCAGCCTGGCGCAGTGCCTCGGCCTCCTCTTCCTGTTTGCGTCGCTTTTCGCGCCGGGCTTCCTCTTTCGCCTTTTCACCACTTTCTCGTTCGGCGCGGCGGGCGCGGCGGGCCTCCTTGGTATCAGCATCTGTGGCCATGCCTGCGTCTTCACCGTCCGTGTGGTACATCCCACGTCTGCGAGATGGTTCAGGTCGAGAACCGGGCAAGATACCTCCAAAGAGGCCGCCGAACCCCTTCTTGGTGGATCCTGTGGTGTTGGAGCGTCGCAAGCCCGGGGTCGGTGTGGCGTCGGCAACCTCCACCATGACAATGTCATCGTCTTGAGTGTATGCCTGTTCGGTAGGAAAAAAGAAGGAAACGGTCAGTTTGCGGTCTCACAGCATCATCACAGGGGCTTCTGCGAGATTTGCTTACCCTCGATGGCCTGCGGCGTGACGGCTTGTCCGGGCTGGGCTCTGCGTCGTTTGCGCCGACCATGACGATATCATCATCCTCGATCTGCCGTGAGGTCTGCTTGCGCTTGCTGCTAGATCTCCCCAGGCTCATCATGCCTTCACCGATGCCCAAGATCCTGGCGGCCTTGGAGCCCGGCTCAGGCACGTCCTCGGGAGGTGACATCATACCGCTGTGGATGTCGACGATGGAAGGGCGGCGCGATGACCTGCCCTCCTTGTGTCGTTTGTCGCGCGAGGACATGGACCGAGAAATGGGAGGCGTGCTGGCGAAGACGCTCATGAGCTTGGGCTTCGCAGGTGTCTCCATCTCCCGCTCTTTCTTCTCGGCCGCGCGCTCGGCCTTGTCGGACGATGACCCCTGGGAGGAGAGCTTCTCCTCCTTGTCAGGCGAGCGCTCCTTGCGCTCCCGCTTGTGCTCTTCGGCAGAAGACGACTTGGGCTTGGAGGAAGTCTTCTTCTCCTTGTCGCGGGATCCGGATGCAGTCCACATGCCCCAACTCGAGCCGCCATTGTGGTTGATCTTGGGCCTCTCCTTTCTGCTCTCCTTCTTCACCTCGATAGGGAGGGGCACGGCGATCGGCGCGTCGGGCACAGCTGGTGGCGGCGGAGGAGGAGGGACGGGCACCACGGCGTCGTCAGTCTTGATCCTGGAGGACCTCTTGCCGCTGGACTTCTTGCTCTTGGCTGGGGCCATGTCGATGACCTCGATGATCTCGTCCGGGTCCTCCTCATCTTCGCCTGGGAAGCTGCCAGGAATGTCGGTAATCTTCTTGGACTTGCTCTTGCGCTTGACCTCGTCTACTGGAGCGGGTGGCGGCGGGGGTGGCGGGATCGGGTCTGCCGGCGCAGGCGGTGGCGGGGGTGGTGGTGGTGGTGGTACGACGTCGTCCTTGGTCGTTGCCTCAAAGGCCTTCAGCTTGTCAGCAATCTTGCCCCCAACGGCTTTTCTCTTCATTGGTTCAGCGGCTGCCGGTGTGCTGGGCCCGACCTGAGCATCACCATCATCACGGGGTGGTTCACGATCCGGCTCGGCAGTTGTACTTGACGACGTCTTGGGAGGAAACGTGTCCTGCTTGGCTGACCCAATACT